GGTGGGAAGAAGAGTTCGAGGTGGTGGAGGTGGGAGAGTTTGGATAAGAGGGTGACGAAGAGTTGAATGTTGACTGTAGGAGCTTCGTGCTTTGGTGGTCCTGCGGTGTAGATGTTGAATTTCAGTGTTTTGATGTTGCGGAGGAGGATTGGGTCCTAGTGTAGGAGATCGAGGATGAAGCGGCGTCCTGCTTCCCAGTCGCCATCGTTTCTGTCGTCTTTTGCACTGACGATGAAGCTCTTGAAGAGTATGATGCTGGTGATTTCATGGAGACGACGGTTCACGAGAGATAATGGTTTGATATATCTATTATGCTGGCGAGATCCATAGTCTTGAGTAGCGTAGATAGTGAGGAATCCACAGATGTGAAGAAGGACGTCATCGTTCAAATCTGACAAGGTCAGGCGGTCAGAATGTGCTGATGGAGGAGACAACAATGAATGAACTGTGGTCAATGATGAGCTGAAATTTTGTAAGATGGACGACAACATCTCGATAGATGTTGGTGAGACCGAGGTTCAAGCTTGTTTCATGGTGACAGTATATTTTCGAGGAGTCTGAGACACGGTCATCATTATTTGATCACTACCAGTATGCCTTACATATCTAAGGAGAGAAAATGTCGATCTTATCTGTAGGGATATTTCTATGCTCACTATGAAAGGTTGATGCCTTGTGTGTTTGTAGTTGTACCGGTAAGAGTAGGAGTGCATACAGGTCGCTGGACCCCCGCAAATGGACTTAGCGTGTGCTGCCATGCTGACTCGCCCTAAACGTACCTCGACCACATGAACCGCGGCAATGCATGCACGCAGTAGGATGCTGATCCCGCATCATTCGCCAATGCCATCAGCTTCGGCTTTAACAGCTCCCCGGATATGTTCTCGTCCCAGCTGTTACTTAAATCAAATGCCAGCTCAATAAGCCTAACACTGTATGCACATGTGCATACATGATCTTTGTTGAAGGAACTGGGAAACGTTAAAGCACTTACGCCTGGACTATACAATTGCCATATATTGGGCTAGCACTTACATCTTGCCAGCATGGCTTCCCAAAAGAACGACGCTTTCGGTAACCTGGGACCTTGGAGCGAACCAGCCTGGTACAATTCGCTCGCTTCTCCTTACTACAATGACTCTCATAAGCGACTGAGAGATGAACTTCGCAAGTACATCGACGAGAAGGTCAAGCCATTCATGTTGGAATGGGAAGAGAAGGGTGAAGCCCCAGAGCAAGTTCGCTTGGAATACGCCCGTTCGGGGCACCCATTCGCGGACGTGCCAGAGCCGTACCGTCCAAAGCATATCCCCGGTCCAGCAGGCATCCCCGTGGGCGAACTGGACATCTTCCATCTCCTCATCGCAACAGACGAAGGAAGCCGAATCGAGGGAGGCGTTGGAACTTCGTTGGCGGGTGGCAGCGTCATTGGAATCCCGCCAGTCATCCACCATGGCACGGAGGAGCAGAAGCGCAAATGGCTCCCAGGTCTGTTCACATGGGAGACCAGTTTTTGTCTTGGTATAACAGAACCAAGCGGTGGTGTATGTAGTTTCGGCCTACTACGATCTATTTACCAAACTGACAAGGTTCGTTCAGTCTGATGTTGCGAATATTCAAACCACAGCCGAGAAGACAAAAGACGGCAAGTTCTACGTAGTTAATGGCTACAAGAAGTGGATAACCGGCATGCCTTGGGCAACCCACATGACCACCGCGGTACGCACTGGCGGTCCGGGAGCCAAAGGCATATCGGTCATCGTCATCCCGACCAACTCAAAAGGATTCACTTGGCGTCGCATCCCCAACAGCGGCCAGAATGGCGGCGGCGCCAGCTTTGTGGAGATGGACGATGTCCTTGTCCCAGTGGAGAACCTGCTTGGTAAGGAGAACGAAGGGTTCAAGATCATCATGACCAATTTCAATAAGGAGCGTTTCATCATGGCAGTAGGATGCAATCGCAAGGCCCGCACGTGTCTCTCGGAATCCTTCGAGTACGCTAACAAGCGCCATACCTTCGGGAAGCCTCTGATCTCCCACCAGATCATCAGCCATAAGCTGGCGACTATTGGCAGATATGTCGAGAGTCATTGGGCTTGGCTAGAACAGCTAGCCTATCACATCCAGCAGTCTCCCCTGCGCTGGAATGATCCAGAGATAGCTGGTCAAATTGCCTTGTCAAAAGTTCACGGTGGCCGAATTCTCGAGATGGCAAATCGAGAGGCGCAACAGATCTTCGGTGGTGCAGGTTATCAGAAGAGAGGTGGACCTGGTGCAATCATTGAGCAGATGAGTCGCGATTTGAGAATGATGGTAAGTTGAGAGGATATCTATCAGATTGTGAGATTCCCAGCTAAGATTACTGTTAGGTGGTTGGTGGTGGTAGCGAGGAAATCATTGCGGATCTTGCCCTGCGGCAGGAAACAGCTTTGGCGAAGAAACGTGGCTGGAAATTGTAAAGGAGAGGTAGAGGTACGGAGTAGAGTACTCATAGTGCTGCCTTGCACTCGTATGTCGACCTAGGTGGGTGGTAGGGTCATAACATCTCTATATGTGGAAAACTTGCCTTGTTGCTTAGTTGAAAGAATAGTCTAGAACTTCGAGACAGCCTGGGTCAGCCGGATCTTTGCCTTCAATATTGAAGCCTTCGCAAGAGCACTAGCCATAGCTGATGCCAAACGGACAGCGATTGGCAGTGGTTAACATCGTCGGAGAGTTCCCGAATGCCCCTCAAACCATACAAGACCAAGAGATCAATTATTTCTTTTCATCAAGATTATCAAGACAAGAATTCAGTATAGAGCGATCGAGGATTTGAATTTCACAGAGTAGTGAAAGAGGGTTGTGGTAATAATGATGAGGCTGGATCAGGGCTGGGTTGTGCATGATGCAAGCCAACCGTGACTGCGCCAGCCTAGCCATCACCTATCACTGCGGCCGGTGGGTTGCTGCATCGTATAGGCAACGAATGCGTCAGGTATTATTGATGCCAGAGGTTTGCGTGTATTGATACATCATTGTATCATTTTGGACTGCTTATACTCCAACATGATCCTCAGATACGAGGTATTGCTATAGTTGGAGGTGGATATTCTTCAGTACCCAATTAAGTCTTGGAAGAACGACCTTGTAGACTGCGACTTGATTATCTTCGCAACAAAGAAGTGCTTAGTCTGGCCTATGCATCAGTGTCTACAGAGGACACACGCAAAAGCCACTTCGGGGATGTGGATGGTCTATGGAGCCCAAAGGACATAAGAGTTGCGATGCAGCCGGCGCTCCAAGCTCAGTTGTAAGCGCCGGGCATGCCCAACCCTATTGAGACGAGCTGCTATCCCCAATTCGACTAGTGCATAGTTGTCGGGTGAAAGAGATGAAGCTGTGTGCCGATTGCCACTGATTGATAATAAGAAACCACGACGTTTGAAAATAAGATTAGATGTTAAGAAAGCAGGTTTGCCTCAAAGAGAAGCGTGTAGTCGGTTTCCATATGCTGTGGTAGGAAATAACTGCGTCTGAAGTAAGGGTCCGCGCAGGCACATGCGGGGAGAGAAGATATTAGCCAAAGCCAGTTATCACATCCGAGAGAAAATGAGGCGAAATTATCAGCATCTAAGGTAGAGGATAGGGGGGGTATGCAGTAACCCTTGGCGATTGGCAGTCGGGTTGGGGGAAGATCAGGTTCGTCAGTGATTCGTTCAGCCTTGCGGCTGATGAAGGGAAAAGCAATACCTAGGAAGCCAAACCACACGTACTGGATAGCTCGATACCATCGTATTCTAGGTATGTTGTTCGGCCCGTACGCGCACCCGTGTGCAGAGCATCCGCTTGTGCTTCGAAACGGTAAACTATCCCGCTCGGAGGGAGTAAAAGGGCGCTCGCTCCAGGTAAGGTGGCGCCCTGATGCATGACCTTGGTTGTCCATGCAACCTCTCTGTCTGCAAGACGGCGTGAGTTTCATTGGATCTTTCTCCAAGGTTCCAGCATGCCGGGCGTCGCCTCAGGCTGTCCCACCTACATAACAAGCTCCTGCCCCAATCACTTTTGACATCGAGAAGATCAGACCCGCGACCCCAACCCTACCATGTCACTCCTCAGAGGAGTTTTCAACACATGTTTTCGTTCTAGTGTCGACTCCGACACCGATTCCGACACCAATTCCGACAATGAAATCGATCTCGTTGGAAGAACCAGCCCAGGCGCAAGACGAAACAAGATAATCGCAGACAATCTCACGCACAATGAGAGATGGTACATTATAAGTTGCTTATTCCTATTCGGATGGGCATATGGCATGGATAGCCTGCTCCGAGTGGTGTACCAGGTACGCATGAACCCGCGTAACTGATCAGGGCCTGTAAGACAGCATTCTTACATACACAAGCCTCTTGCAACATCTGGATTTGCCAAACACTCAACGCTTGCAACAGTCAATGTCATTCGAAGCGTAGTAACTGCAGCAACCTATGTAAGATCCTTGGAGAGAGACTACTGGGTTTATCACTGACAAGATGGACAGCCTGCAGCTGCGCGATTGGCTGATGTCTTTGGTAGATTGCAAATGGTGATCATGAGTGTTCTTTTCCATGTCATAGGTTTGTGGCACTACACAGTCTGTAACTTAATTGCACGTTAACTCCATCCCAGGTACAATCATCGAGGCGGGCTGCAAGAATGTGGAAGGGTTTGCTGCTGGAGCAGTGATTTATCAGGTTTGCGTACCACTTCTATCCACCTAGAGAAGGCTACTGATTGTAACAGATTGGATATACCAGCATGCTTCTTCTTGTTGAAGTCATTGTTGCAGATATTACAACATTGAAGGCCCGTTTACTCTACTCATATGTACCCACTCTACCATTCCTGGTATGTGAGAGCACCTTTCTCCTACGAACGCCTTGTTGATATGACTAGTTCAACACCTGGGCTAGCGGATACTTCAGTGAAGCTGTCCTTGCTCGTACAAGCTGGCGATGGGCGATCGGAATGTGGTCAGCCATCGTGACTGGTAAGCTCTCTTCGATGCGTTTGAATTTGATTTGCTTAGGAGATTTTAACTAATTTAGTTTGCTCGATCCCTTTGATCGTCGCACTTTTCTTGCCCTATCGACGAATAAAGAAAGCTGGGCATCTAGATATAATCAAATCCCCTTTCAAAAACTTGGGTCCACTCAAATTCATCACGGCTCTGTTCTGGCAAGTCGATGTACTCGGCATTGTCCTTCTGATCGCCGTATTCGGTTTCATCCTCGTACCTTTCACGATAGCCGGACATGATAAGAGTCAATGGAAAGAGGCGAAAGTGCTTGCGCCACTTTTGATCGGATTTATCATATGTATACCCACATGGCTCATATGGGAGCATAGTTATGCACGGTACCCGATGCTTCAGATAAGGGCAGGTCTCTCGCCTTTCACAGGAATGTAATTGAATGCTGATTCCTGTCATAGCTTCTGAAGGACCGCGCAGTTTGGGGGGCGCTTGGGATTGCGTGCATGCTTCAGTTTTCCTGGACCATGCAAGGGAACTTCCTTTATACGGTTATAATCGTCGCCTTTGACGAGTCGGTCAAGAGAGCTACATGGGTTGTCTCTCTCTACAAGTGAGTTACCTTTTGTGTCTGCGCTTCTCGACGTTATGGCCACTAATATCGTACAAGCTTCTTCTCTGTATTGATAGGTTTTTTCGTCGGACTTGTTGTACGATTCTCGCCGCGTGTAAATCATCTGAAGGGCATTATCATCACTGGCACGGTCTTGTTCTTTGTAGCATTCGGCCTTCTATCTCACTTTCGCGGAGGAGCAAACAAACCTAGTCGTGATGGAGTTTGGGGGGCACAAGTTCTTCTCGGAATTGGTGAGTCCTTTGAAATGCATGCTATTCTCTCACAGATTCTAATCATATCAGCTGGTGGCTTATTCCCATATCCAACCCAAACATCCATCCAAGCTGCAACAAAGCACAAACATGTTGCACTCATCACGGGATTATATCTCGCCACTTTCAACATTGGAGGCGCTCTAGGAAATGCAGTATCTGGTGCTATTTGGACGCAGACATTGATTCCTACTTTGCTTAAAAATCTGCCGGAACCACATAACACCAACGCCATGGCCCAAGACATATTTGCGTCGCCTTTCAAGTACACTGAGATGTACGCAATCGGCACGCCCGTGAGGAATGGAATGGTCACAAGCTATAGACATACTCAAAGACTGTTGACACTCACCGGTCTAGGGCTATGCGGGGCGCTGATCATCTTTAGCTGTTGTATCCGCAACCCGGCGATGGTGGAGAAGCAGAGCCTATGGGACCAAGAATTGAGCAGCCTTGATGCGCGACCTAGACCCGCCAACAACGTGGAAAATGGTTCGGCAGAGAGAAGTGCTAACAGGCCACAAACTGCATGATTTCACACCATATATGGTATTCAAGATTCAAGAGGGCCAAAACAGGAAGTGACGAGCTCATCTTCTTTCGCCGCAATTGGCAAATATGCACTTGTATTATTACGATAACTTCCTTCTACATGTACACATACAAATGCAAACAAGCCTTAACTAATGTATCGATCCTTTCTATTCAATTGCTTTTTTGTCTGACAGAATCAGTATTACTTCCAAGGCTTCAAGGCGCCGCTTATGGCCATTGTATTTTTCATTGCTAAGAGGTGAGCCTCAGGCAACAAATATCGAGGACCCCTCACTAAGGCACAGAGAGAATGCAACTTTGATTTGCCTGACCCCAATTCCACCCACTCAGCCAGCCGAATGGGGCAATGCAGCACCACGAATGCCATGGCGTCACAGCCTTGTGACGCCACTCATGCATCGAGCGACGTGGCAGCGGAACCGGTCAACCACTCGACAAAGAGAACTATGGCCTTGACCGGAAGGGAACCCTGGAGGAATGTTTAGGCGTTATATCACCTCACTCGCCATCTCCTGGCGCGTAGTAATCCATTGCCTCGGTCGATCCTTACATCGCGGTAAAGCTGTGTGAAGCCAACCACCAACGAGCCAACATGATAGAAGAGACGATCGAGGGTAGATACACACCTGTGAAAAGAATATTAGTCGAGCAGCTTACCATTTGGTACGGTGCGGATAACTTCAGGATAGTCGTAGGTTTCCACCTTGTACTCTTCCCCTCAAGCTAAATGATTTCAGCAACCTCCAGACGACTATGCCAAATGGAAAGTTGAGGTTCCATGGAAATTAGAACCAGTGAGTATTCATTCTATCTTAATATAGTAGTGAACTAGTCATCTAATTTTCGGCATCATCAGAACCAGAAAGTTGAACTCCAACGACGATTTTATTACTATCATAAAAGCCTACGAGGCTGACATGATATCGACTATGCGGGAAAGAGATGCCAGGCTATAAGATCTGTATCGCATAGCCTCGTTTTCACCCTGGTGGGGTTTAGTGAGACACTATAGTTTAGATGCTTTACTAGAAACGCGCCTTGGTGCATTCAGCTGTATGATGTGCAAGGCTCGATTCCCGCCTCTCGTGCGGCTGAGATAGACAAAAGAGCCGCCCCGCACAAGCCTGCATGTATGTATCATGGTACCTTTCCTGCCAGGAACAAGACAAAATCATAAAGACAAACTCGTTATGTGCAATATCAGCACCGAAGCTGATGTATTCGATGGCTGGCAAGACTATCCTCGTAGCTTGCCATTTTCTTCACTTGAGGTCGATGCTCAGCGATCCCATGAACGGCTTAGTCGTGATGCAGACAGATTGTTCATCTCCGAAGCAGGCTTGTGCGAGCTAGATGTATCTACAGTGAGAAGTTGTGATGGTGCGTCATCTCATTTTCAAAACAGGCTCCATTTCCGTGGCCGCAACTAAATTTATGTGAATTCAGAGGCGGGGTTGATAATGGCCGATGCAACAACTATCAAAAAGCCCGAACAATTGCGTCGAAGCCTCCAATCCCAAGATTCAGCTCGGTTTTTGTACGTATACATATGCCCCGACTCCTAATGTAAGATGGATACCTACTCATCCCTGTGTAGCTACATAGCGCAAACATACTCTTGGGGACAACTCTTGATTACCGAAGAGCTATTTCGAAAGCTCATGACAGCCTTGAAAGTACATCCCGACTTCTTAAACGTATTGCACATGTTTGGAGAAAAGATCACGGCGGTCGAGGAAGGATTTACAACCCTGTTGACTCGTCTAGATTCTAAGCCATTGGGCCAATTAGTGGACACATACAGTATGTTATACCTTTTGTTGAAATGAAGAAGCCTAAGACGAGCAGCGATAGCATATGACGTGAAATTCGTGGAACGCCATGGACGAAGTTCGCTACTAGATCCATACTCGGTCCGGCAAACGGGTATTTATCAACAATACCACATGAATTCCGCTGGTAATACATGGATACTTTTGAATACCCCTGAAGGCCTTAGGGAAAGATTGAATCAGACCAGCGTAGATGAGTGCATGACATCTGCACCGGCGCAAATACGATTTCACATGATGATCATCCAACACCTCTCGGATGAGTGGCGGTACTACATTAATTACCTAGAGGAGGAGTTCTCTTTATTGGTATGTAGCGATTTGTGCCATGGATGGAGCGAGCTAACTGAGAAAGATGGATCGTGGATTTTTTTCAAACGTCCAGCAAGCGGGCAAAAGTGGCATGATTGACACAGATTTTGGTGATATCCGACGGCTGCAGATCATGACGGACAAGTTCAAAAAGCTGGTACACCTACTTGAACTAAATATAAGAACTTGTCGACGCGTACAGGCGTTCTTTCAAGACATGGGAAAAGGACTACCTGAGACATCAATGCGCCTCACGGGATGTCACGCCTTAGGTGATGACTGTATCTTTCAACAGGAAACCTACGCTTCGCAATTGCGATCTTTGGTTGACAGGGCAGGGGGCGTCGGAGCATTGGTAGTTATTCCCATTAATATTCATGTCACTACATACTGATACACGGATGCTCCTAGATCGAACAAATACTGGACATAAGATCTGCCGAAACAAGCCATAGAATGAACGTCGCGATGCATACTATTGCCAAGGAAAGTGCAGAGGAAAACAAATTAGTACGATTATTAGCATCGCAGTCAACACGCGACACTAGGTCTATGAAGGTTGTTGCTCTTGTCTCCGCCATATTCTTGCCAGCAACATTTGTAGCGGTGAGCTTCCAATTTGCCCTTTGGCGGTACCATGCCCTGACTCATCCGTGGACACAGACTTTCTTTGGTTCGAATTTCTTTGGGTTTGAAGAGACTCCAGATGGACATACCCTGAAAATGGCATCTAATATCTGGATCTACATGATCGTCGCGCTTGCGATTTCTGCTATGGCCATGGCATGTTGGTATTGGTGGTGCTCCCGTAGCTTGCCTTCCAAAATCTGCGATCGTGATCTGGAAATGCAACCGTCAGGAAGCTCGACAGGCTGACGCCGCAAAATTCAGACTACGTGTGTTGCTACTGTTCCGGGTTGCGGCGGGGCATGTGTTGCCCCTGTTCCTGTCTGTGGCCGAACTTCCAAGCCGTTCGAGTACATCCATTCTTGTTGAAGATTTCTCAAAGTCTGCCAGAAAATCATGATGTCTGTAAATGTATAAACAAACTTAGTCACGTACTTAAAGCATCCTTGAATAAGAGTATAAAGACCTCACCTGTATCATTTTCAAGATGAATCTTCACTCTATCGGGACTTGTGTCCTTGAACTTTGCATCACTGCTATGCCGCGATCGTTTGTTGAACTTGAGGTTCAAAGGTATGCCCTCTGGAACTTCGAAAATCTTCACGTCTATGCTTGATCTCGTACCTAAATTTTCGAGGCTTAGCATCCTCGAGTCCCGTGTCTCGGGTATTCTGAGCTCATTCGTGACTACATGTATTGTAGATGCAGTTAGTCGCTATTGGATCTGACTAAAGCACGCAACTTACCTTCAATAAGGACTAATTTTTCTTCTGTCAATATGGCGAGGCTTATGTCAAGCGGCTGATCACTGCGGCTTTCGGATCCGATCTCACGACTCGTCCAGAATTGAATATGAGAGGCGCACTCATGTACGCTCTTCTCGATAAATTCATTCTGTCTGCTGAAGATCCTGGAGCTTTTCTTGTAGAATGCATACTGCGTGGCTTTCAAACTCATACTAGTTATATGAAATGATTAGATCATCCTCTTTATTACGTGATTTGGATCAAATCACCTCTGATATATGTACTGCCCAGTGAGGACGCTTTGAAAACGCAAGGCTGTTTTAAATTATCAGGTGACATGAAATAAACCAAATGTATTCAACTAACCAGCTACTTTGGGAAGGATATAGGTTATTAGTCCATCCTTAATGTGTAGTAGGTGCAGCGGATAATCCCCACGGCTTTTCAGGTACCCTGGTTTGATGGCTCTAATCGGGTTGCCTTTTCTTCGAAAAACTAACATTATCATGAGCAAGTTCGTAGACGAATGATAAGAAGACTCAACGAACCAGTGATCTCTTTAGTGTCCAGTGTAAGTCCGTTGGAACGAAACGTTCGGATTTCGACAGTCTTGTCCGATACATCAGGATAAAGCCATAACCCAATGTGCTCCGTCCCTAAATGGGATACTTTGAGATGGGCTGGGCTGGGAAAGAATTAGCTTCCAAGCTTGGAGATGCATACTCTCTACGACGTACAGCCTGTTGATTTCCAGACATTGCGGTGCATTGATACCAAACCCTCTGCCCTCCCTTGTTGCTTTCCACACGTCGATGAGGGGGGGGTCGCTTCCTCTATCGACCCTGGAAGCTTGGATCACGTAGGTCTCAAGTTTACTCGCAACATATCTTGCTTCTGGTCTTTCTTCGGCGGATGGTAGCAACATCTCCCCGATGAGATCAAACACTCCCTTTTGATAAAATACACCTTGCCATGATTCGAGAATTTCTTCTTGCGGATTAGCCCTACTACTCTCTGCCTTTTGGAACAGATCCGAGTGTTCCTGAACCACTGAATCTTTCAGATTATACGGCGCTCTAGGGTAATAGAATTGCATAGAAGCTTCATACATGGCCTCTGCTAATGTGTCGTTTGTTCTTTTCGTTCGATATGCAAAAACGCCCTCTTTCTTCGACACATCAAAGCACGCAATCTCCGAGATGATCGTGCCGAGTGAATACACATCATATGCGGCACTGGCTCTTGATGGTGGCGCTGCATAGGCTCCCGCACCTTCGTGTCTCGAGTTTCCGCTGATTCTTGATTCAGTCGCCCTTATACCTGGTTTGTAGTATGAAAGCCCGAAGTCTGCAATTTTCATGGTCTTGTTGGCAAAAAGGACGTTCGAGGGCTTAAGATCCATGTGGAACATTCTCCCGTCCAATTTGCCTCCATTAACACTTGCACCGTGTAGGTACGCAAGTCCTTCTGTCATGCCCACAACTTGACGCCAGAGCTCTTCCGACGAAAGTTGGACATCACCGGCGCCTTTCAGGAATTCCCACAAAGTGCATTCAGCCAGCTCCATTATCATGGAAAAGTCGTTACCATACTCGAAAGCTGCAAGTGCTTCCATGAGATTTGGGTGATTAAGGTCATTGACGAAAAGATGATTCACCCATTCTTTGGCCTCCGCTCTTGTATCTTGAGACCAGCGCCGATCAATAATTTTCCGTGCATAGCGATCGATCTAGTATTGGGGTTGTGTCAGCATACCTAACGTGATATTTCACTAAAAACACACTCACCTGACGGGATCCTAGCTCTTCCGCAACGTACTCTTTGGGAATTTTGAACTCCCATACCTCCCCAAAGTCTCCTCTACCTCTAGGCTTATCTTCTTCCTCGAAAGGTAATATTTCTTTTCCCGACAGAGTTGAAACTGTTTTTCGTATGTCAATTTTCTGCACGCAGAAATGATATTGCCCCTCCAGAATCTCGCCAATGACCATTTTTGCTTTTTCTGGCGCAAGGGCTTCAGATTTCAAAAGGAATGCCAGATTCCCCTCTGACCAAATCCCATCATCGAGCGATTTACGATAGCTGAGAAAGAGATGGATAAGACTTGGATATCTGAGCCAGATGAGCAGTCCGTACGTAGTTGCATAACGGTTCAGCAACTCAGCGCGATCCACATGCTTCTCGCGCTGATCTGCCCTGCCTTGGAGATCTGAATAGCGGCGACAATTGTCGCAATCGCAGTTCAAAATAAGTTGAAGAGGGAATTCTTCCAAAACTTTGACTATGCCAGAGCGCGGGAAGTAGGATACACTGTCGCGTCGTTCATAATACCTGGCCGACGCTCTCTGCCCATATAGGCGTTCGCGTGCGCGATCACAAGCAGGCCAAGTTGATGCAGAAGCCATCACTGAAATGAAAAATAACAAAACATCCCGGTAAGTATTGAATCCTCTTCCCTGTGAAACGATGTTGTTGTTCAGGTGTTCTTAAGACGTACGGCTCAATCACAACGTATTAACGCTTCTCCAGGCTGGGAGTGGCGGGGGTCTGTTGGGGGCTGCAGCCACAATATCGGTCGGCTGCCTGGCACTCGACCCACGCCCGATTGCATCAAATGAGGACGAATAGTATTGCCGAGCAAGCGCTGACTCCAGTGTAATAAATCAGCACGTGAGGTGCCTTCTACTAGTGCAAGAATTACAGCCTGCTACCTGGGGTTGTGCCCATGCCTGGAATGCAGTAATGCCGGCTTGTTAATGATGAAAGTAATGTGACGCAAAGTGTTCGGAACAGACATCTACCCGTATTGTCAAGGGTAACCGGCCCGGGTACACTGTGAAATCACCGATGTGATCCGCATTCATACCGTTGTTTGCGAGAGGGATGAACCGGGTTTTGAGCGTACATACCGAACGAGATTACTAGTATCGTAAGGATCCCCTAGCAATTGCAGTGACCTTGGAGTCTCTGGACATAGGAATCAAGATATCTTGATATATATACTGCCATACATTGTACAAAGAACAAGGCAAGCTAATCTATGTTTTGGAGAAAGGACACTTTCATGGACTGGAGAAGCTGGATTATGTCATCAAAAAAAATACCCTTTCACATCTCATCCAGTCAATCAGATTTCTACCATCCACTTCTCGCTCAATGAACATTGTGTAAAAACGATACTCAACAGACAAGCAAACCTCGGATATCCTGGATGATACATGCTCTAGCCTTCTTGTTATTTCTATCGACCTTGCCTCAGTTCGAACCATTCATCCTGATAATTGTCGTGCTGCGGTTTGGTGTTCTTCAATCTTAAGTACCTACCTAATAAAGACGGGGAGTCCTCCGAACACGAGCAAGACGCAAGGACGGAGACAGAGTCTCACCTAGTCGAAACGCATGCATAGCGCGATTGCTGTGCATATGGCTAGCTTCACTTGCCCCTTTTATGTATTTCCCGGGGTAGATAAGTGGAGTGTAGCTATTCAGTTTTGCTTCGTCTTTGATCGTAGGAAATAGATTTTGGTGGTAAGCAGAGTGGTTGACTTGTAGCAGTATTATCTTGCGTCAATCGTCAATTGAAGGTACATTGGTAGGTCTAATAGACAAGAATCAACTGATATATTCGTCAATTGTTGACATGCAACATCTCTACGCTGTTTATTGGAGAGCAAAACGTATCTGATTACCACACAAATGTCACGTACTAACATCTAAGCAAACAGAGAGATTGATTGATTACAGGCAGATTATGAGGTAAAATCAAAAATGCTCAGCTATCGAATTAACTAAACTATAGCAACAGAGTTCCTGTATGGGTTAATAAGTAGTAGAATAAGAGCTACTCCATAAGAGTGTTTAATTAACCTATGCTAAGAAGTAAACATAACTTAGTGCAAGTACTGATATCCTTGATCTAATCTAATATTAATAGTCGTCCCATTCAATCCTGATATTGATCGACTGGTGATCAACCGTTACATTACCCTGCTCATTGCCGGCTGTACTTGGCATACTTGAATACGAACCACTATGTGGTCTTCGCCTGTCAACGTTACACCGTGATCCAACCCGAAAGTAAATTGAGCGATCCTCCCTCATTTGGTAATACCTAGCTAGCTATGTACAAATACCTATCATACCTCATAGGCCTCGCCTGTTCTTTGTCCTGGCAAGGCAGTATTTTCCACGGAACTCAAACACAGCGACCATGTGCCCGCTCGCCTTGAACGTGGGGTTTCAATTGTTGTGCATCGCTTGTCTCTGCTCTTTTCTAACTGCTGCAGCAATTGTCACTCTACCAGGGCAAATAGCTACGATTCCAGCATGGCATGTCCAATCGTCTCGCCAGATCGGCAATGACCAGTCAAAATTATCCGACCCGGGGCTCGACACCTCTTCGTGGTACAAGATTGGAACCAGAGGAACATTGATGGCCACGCTGCTTGAAAATAATGTTTACAAAGAGAAGGAGATCTTCTACTCGACCAATTTGAAGAAGGTGACACCCACACGGTTCTCTGTCCCCTGGTTTTACCGAGCCAAATTAGATCTGAAGCCGGGAAATGGCTCGTATTACCAACTTCGCACGCACGGAATTTCATCAAGTGCAGATATATATCTGAATGGAGTTCTAGTTGCCGGGAGGAATACGCAGGCGGGATCATACACTGGATTGGAACTGGATCTCACCGGTCTAGTGAAAGCGGGCAATAACATTCTTCTCATACGTGCATATCCCACCGACTACAATCGAGACCTTGCTTTGGGATTCGTGGACTGGAATCCGTATCCACCGGACAATGGAACTGGGGTATGGAGGGATGTTGAGGTGAAGCAGTCAGGTGGAGCATCTCTTTCGCTTCCGCGGGTCGTGGCTCTCGCAGATAGGTACGAAAAGAACGCCAACATCAGTGTGAGAGTCGGCGTGAAGAACTTGAAGAATAGTACTCTTCGCGGAGAAGTGGCCTGCACAGTACTTGACCCATCAGGTACCGAGCTTGGACATCCGAAAGCAGAATTTGTGCTTGAAGCACGTGCGCAACGAAAAGTAGCCCTGGATATAAAGCTCAAGGAACCGCAGATTTGGTGGCCAAAACAATGGGGTGCTCAGCCTCTATATTCCACCGTCTGCACTGCGAGTATAGGCGCCGAGGTGTCAGATAAAACCTCCAAGATTAGGTTCGGGATACGAAGTGTGACTTCAACGCTTTCCTCCTCAAATGACACTACATTCTTCATTAATGGGAAGCGATTCCAAGTCGTCGGGGCCGGTTATACCTCAGATATGTTCTTACGATTTGATGCAGAGAAGATCCGCACTCAATTCCAGTACATGCTTGATATGGGCATGAATACAGTCCGACTCGAAGGCAAACAAGAGCACCCATATCTATATGAGCTCGCTGATGAACTCGGACTCATGGTAATGACTGGGTGGGAGTGCTGCGACAAGTGGGAAGGTTGGACTTACAACGATGAGGGAAGTGGCGAGAAGTGGACTGACCGTGACTATACGATCGCAAACTCATCCATGCGCCATGAGGCTGAAATGATGCAGCATCATCCCTCTTTGTTAGCATTCCTAGTTGGGAGTGACTTCTGGCCCGACGATCGTGCCACCAAGATCTATGTCGATGCTTTGGAGGCATTCGACTGGAACATTCCCATAATATCTTCTGCAAGCCAACGTGGGTTCCCAGCACAACTAGGAAATGGGGGTATGAAGATGGAGGGTCCGTATGACTGGGTCCCACCTTCGTATTGGTACGATGATCAGAATCGCCTCGGGTCTGCAGCTGGGTTTGCGAGCGAGCTTGGTGCTGGTGCAGGAACGCCAGAGCTATCGTCTCTGAAGAAGTTTCTTTCGCCTGCCGACCTCGAAGACCTTTGGAAGAATCCCAAAAAGGGACTTTACCATATGTCGACCGAGGTTTCGCAATTCTACACAAGGGAGATATACAATGCAGCACTATGGGCGCGCTACGGGGCACCAACTTCGCTCGATGATTACCTTATGAAAGCACAGATGATGGACTACGAGGCCACGCGCTCACAATTCGAAGCCTATGCAGCTCGATGGAATACCCAGCGTCCTGCAACGGGGTTGATATACTGGATGCTGAACAACGCTTGGCCGTCCCTTCATTGGAATCTCTTCGATTACTATCTCCATCCCTGGGGCTCATACTATGGAGCGAAGATTGCTTCCAGAGATGAACATGTAGTCTTTGACCCTGTAGGGAATAGTGTATATTTGATCAACCGACAAATCGATCGCGCAGGACAAAGAACCGTGGACTTCGAGATCATCAGCCTGAACGGCACAATCCTCTCCCGGAACTCGTTCTCTGGACCAACAGAGCCCAGCTCAGCCAAGTTTGTCGGTTCACTACCAGGCCTTTCGGGAATTGAAGAGGTGGTGCTTCTTCGGCTTGTCCTGCACGACAGGAAGGAAACGCTCAGTCGCAATGTGTACTGGATCTCTGGGAAGACCGATGTGCTGGATTGGGACAAGTCCACGTGGTATTATACACCGACGACGGCATTTGCCGACTATAAGGCACTGGATGGAGTGGCACGGGCTAATGTCACTCTTACACAGCATGGAACGGCGGTCGAGCTCACCAACACCGCGAAAGTGCCGGCTATCTTTGTACGACTGAATCTCTTGAATGAAGCTGGCAATGACGCTGTTCCTGTACTGTGGAGCGATAACTATATTACGCTCTGGCCAGGGGAGAAGATCACGATTGACATTGGAAATGGTGGTAAGTTAAAGGGAGGTAGCATTGAGATCTTGGGAAAAAACGTGGCCAGGCACAAGGTCCCAGTCCTGGGCTCATAATCGAGCAGTCACATAACTCGACAAAAAGTTGTCATGGAAATCTTCAAGTTGGTTTTAGGAAGGTAGATAGATGTCTTCGAGCTAATCACGGGGCTTAACTAACTCTTGAAAACACGCGATTAAAATGTCTACGGGTTGTAAAAACGAAAACAACATTCCAATGTCATCAAATCCTGAATTATGACTCCATGAATGCTAGAACTAAAATAGAGCGGTCATTGTGCCCAAACAGGTGCTTGGTATCTCAATACAAGTGGCCTGTGACGTGATGTGTAGAGCAAGCCGAGGATCTACAACGGAGAATATCGTGCAATCCCTTAGCGCGAAGTATTTAGTGACCTGGCCGCAGCAATCACTACTGCCTCAATCCGTCCGAGATTGCGCCGCGCCGGTAAGTATTTATTCGAACTCTATCGTAACGGGTTTAGCAAGAACCATAGCAGAAGAGAAGAACCTTGTTTCTCCACATTCTTAAGTGTGTGGGGGGGAGGGGTGGGCACGGGGCAATATCCGGAAGGACATATTCACGGCAATTAAGGAACTACATTGCACCGAATTTTTGCTCCTATAGGAAACATGGACGATCTTGTGGTCAAGTTCCATGGCCGGAGGACGGGATATTTCCAGATGTGTATCATACTTGTATATGTATATACACTTTAATAGCCCACGGTAGTTGACCTACCAATCGATCTTTTTCTTTGATCTGGCATGAGTTTGTTAAATATGCGGAGCCTCATATCGTTGTCCGTGTTTGCCACTTGCGCGCTCGCTGCTCCGGCTTCTCAAGCTCTCGATTTCTCGTCCTTCAGCCCTCGGTCGGTGCATCAGCGGGCGGACCCTTCATTGACTGGCTACCTTGGAGCTTTTTTCTTAGGAGACAAGCCGAGTGTGTATTTTTACACCTCCAACGGCAACAATGCAAACTCGTTCAAGGCATTAAACAAGGGTCAGCCGGTGATTAACCCTACAAAAGGCACGAAGGGAGTCCGAGATCCCTCGCTCATTGCCGGTGGTGGTAGGGAGGCAAGCAAAAAATGGTATATCATTGGTACTGATCTGGAAATCGGAAAGACGACTTGGGATGCAGCGCAACGCACTGGATCAAGGGGAATTTTTGTATGGGAGAGCGTCGATCTCGTAAATTGGGCGCAAGAGAGACTAGTTGAGGTGGAGGACAAGACCGCTGGGATGGTATGGGCGCCTGATGCGATATGGGATGCAGAGAAAGGACAGTACCTCGTCCATTGGGCAAGCAAGTTCTATGCCACAAGCGACCCACAGCACACGGGAAGTCCAAGCGCAACGAGGATTCGGTACGCATACACAAGCGACTTCAAGACTTTCTCGGCACCGCAGGACTACATCAACAAGAGCCCCACCAATATCATCGACTTGAATATCCTTCCGCTAGGCGATAAAACGTATGCACGCTTCATGAAAGACGAAACCGCAAAGACGGTCTTCACGGAGATATCGACCACGGGGCTCTTTGGTTCCTGGGCGCGACCTGGAGGCTCCAACGCGATCATAGCTTCAGGTGTGGAAGGACCAGCCGCCTATTGGGATAATCAAGTCCAAGGGAAGGCACATCTTCTACTTGACTTCTACGGTAGCGATGGATACAGGCCGTACGAGACAAGTGATGTGAAGGGAGGAAAATGGACCGCAAGCGACCGTACCAATTTCCCTAAGAATCTTAGGCATGGAAGCGTACTGCCTGTGAATGCGACAATTGCGTCTGCATTGGCGGCAAGATGGCCTTGATGCTTAGCTGATCTGGAGGGTTGCATATGATGCCCAAATTACCAAATGCATAGGATATGATACCATGATGTCAAACAAGGCTATGGACCTTAAGGATAGTTAGCTACATACTACGGGGCTTTCTGGGACAATGAAAGAGTAATCAAATAATCAAGTTGCTTCTCACTTAAGACAAGATGTGTCTTACCTATTTGCTCAATCGCTGTCTGAATCATATCCACCGAGAAGAAGCGCGGGCTTAGGAGGGGCAGTAGGGGCCTTTAAAGAAGCCTTCTCAGGTGGTGGACAGGTGTGGTCGGATACCAGCTTCTTTTTAATGCCAAGTGCAGCTGCCGCGTCTTTCTTTGGCTTTGTTTGTTTCTTGACAAAAGTTGGCACTGGTGGAGCGGGACCTTCGGGGCCGGAATCAACCATCATATCTTCCTCATCAATTGCCACCTCTCCCAAATCTGCCATGACCCGGCTTTCAAAAGCCTTCCTGGCAGCCTCTGCATCTTCCGCATCTTCTCTTTTGCGTTTCTCATCTTCAACATCAGGCACATCTGCAACAACACCGTCCTTATCGGCCCTTTCAAGACGTGCATTACGGGAGCGGATCTCGTCCAGGGCGTCTGCAATAGCCATCTCCGTCTTTGCATCCAAGACTTTGGTCTCCAGTTCCTGCATGGCATCTCGCTCTGCCTCCTCCTTTTCCAGTCTGTCAAGCCGTTCCTCCTCTGTTTCCTCCGCTAATTTTGCTTCTCTCCATGGCTCGAAATTCCTCTTGGCACCCTTTTCACTTTCGTAGTCCATATTTTTCGGGTCTGTTTTGAAAGTGATCTCGCCACTGCAGCGGGTGCACCGTATGTAGAAACGGAAGATGGAAATGTTGTAGTACTTTTCGTCCGTGGTTTCTTTTCGAGCATTGAATTTTCTCCCCTTGTAAATGAACTCGCCACAATGGGTGCATTTCATGGAGAAGGGAGCCATAAGGCGCACAGTCTGTAGTTTGGGACCTGTAACCTTGGGGCCCCGTTGCCGAGTAATCTTCGAAGGATCGAAGTCGGGTGGGTAATACTTCGTAAGGACTTTTCGCTCGGACATGCTGGCTGTTGCGTACTACTCGAAATTTGTTGGTAGTACGTTGGGTAATCGAGGATGTTGTTGGGTCGTTTCGACACTGGGAATGAAAGTTGTTGAACATTAGTATAGGTACCTAATGTACTAATGATTGATGGGAGAGCTTGGCACATGTGACTGACTAATGGGCGGTAAAAGATGGCAGAACCCCGCGTACCACACCTGCAACGCCTCGTCCCGTGTCCACGCGATTGTGCAGGCGCGATTTGTTGTTCCGCAGTGGACTTCCGCTTTACAAGTACAATCACTTACTTATCCCTTAGAAACAACAACTGAACGCCTAACACATTTACACCTCCTCGAATCTTCTCAACTCGTACACGACTGTTCTGAGAATGTATTCACATTGAGCAACATCCATCGAAGTGCGCAATCACCGCATTGCATCTTCTATCACCAGTCTGCCTCGCTGAAGCCGTATGACATCTTCGGAACTATGGAGAAATTTCTACGAGATTGGCGGCAAGACGCTATTAACAAGCATCAATACGATACAGCAATATTTGTTGCAGACAAACTGCTGGCACTGACTAGTGCGTACATTCTCTGGACTCTACTAATATTTCCCACTGACACTGTCGCTTAGAGGACGACCAAGATGCCTTCTGGCTTGCCCAAGTCCATTTTCAAACTGCACATTACACTCGCGCTCAGGCCTTTCTTTCCCGCGGCGACCTGATTGAACGCAATCCACAATGCCGGTACTTACATGCACATTGTTCCATAAAATTAGGTCAAACAGACGAAGCTTTGGAAACACTCGGCGAGAAGAACCCTACACATTTAATATCTGCACCAGGCAGTGCACGCCAGAAGCTTCGGCACGTTGATGTAAATACCCGGGCTGGTGCACGCCATCAGAAAACCTTGTCACGCACGGAACGTCTGCCTACAAGTGAAGAGCGAGACCGGGAGGACTCTGCAAGTCTTAAAGCTGAGGCCGGCATGTGCTACCTTCGAGGAGTATGCTTTGCAAAGAAGAACGCCTTCGACCGCGCAAAGGAGTGTTACAAAATCGCCGTTCAGATCGATGTACAATGTTTCGAGGCCTTTGATCAGCTCATGGCCAATTCCCTGATGCACCCCTCCGAAGAGTGGAAATTCCTCGAGTCTCTTAACTTCGATACCATCAATGTAGACAACAATTCATCGCTCTCCCAAGAAGCTGCACAATTCACAAAGCAGCTTTATACCACTCGCCTCTCTAAATACTCTCGGCCGCAAGAGTTCACAGCGGCTGCAGAATCTCTTTCAACACATTACAACCTCTCTGAGAATCCAGATATCCTACTTTCCAAGGCAGATCTTCTCTTCACCCATTGCCGGTTCCGAGATGCTCTTGCGCTTACTTCGTCGATTTTGGAGCGTGATAAGAACAACTTTGCTACCCTTCCGGTCCACTTGGCTTGCTTACATGAACTTGGCCGTAAGAATGAGCTGTTTTTGCTTGCTCACGAATTGGCCGATCACAACCCACAGGAACCTTGTGCATGGCTTGCTGTTGGAGTGTATTATCTCTCCATCAATCGCATTGCCGAGGCCCGCCGTTACTTTTCTAAATCATCGATGATGGATCCGCATTTCGGTCCAGCTTGGATTGGGTTCGCACACACATTTGCAGCAGAGGGCGAACATGACCAAGCTATCGCCGCTTATGGTACCGCTGCACGACTGTTTCAGGGAACCCACCTACCGCAACTATTCATTGGGATGCAAAACCTCCAGTTAAATCAACTCACCTTGGCGCACGATTACCTTAACGTCGCATTCGACATTTGTAAACAGGATCCCCTCCTTCTAAACGAGCTCGGTGTCGTCTTCTATCATCAAGATGCTCTACCAGACGCTATAAGTATGTTCCGTCGCGCTCTCAACATCGCAGAAATTAATGACTCGGATCGGGACGCTTGGTTACCCACTCGGATAAATCTCGCACATGCTTTGAGGCGCTGCAACCAGTTGGATGAATCTCTATCGACCTTCGAAGACGTCCTACGAGCCGGTATACAGGACGCGGGCGTATTTACCGCCAAAGGGTTGGTTCTTCTCGAAATGGGTCGCAACTGGGAAGCCATCATTGCGTTGCATGAGGCGTTAGCAGTTGCTCCACAAGATCCCATGGCTACCGACTTGCTAAACCGTACTTTCGAATCCAATGAGAGTGACAATGGCGAGTTTGGCGTTAACAGAGGATTGGATGAATATAGTGAGCAAGTTGGTGACTTCGAAGTCGAAGAATTAGACCGTCGAATCGATGGGAAATTAAAGGAGATCCAACAAAACAAGGTGGCAGGACGAGGTACTAGGCGTACAAGAAACGCGGCTGCACTGGGCGAGGAGAGTGCCTATGGAGAGAGCATGATGGTCGATTCGGATGGGTGAAGTAGGACGGTCCCTCTTGTATCTAAGCGTGGGGTTTGTATCATGACAGGGCGTTCAGGAAAAGATGCAAATCTGGTTTCACGCATGATGTTCGGAAAGCGCATGATTTTGAATCTATATGGTTCCGGCGAGGCACGGTGAATAGTAACCCTATTGGAATCCCCGTATTAGTGTGAGGTCGAGCATCAACTCGAGACTTTGAAGAAATACTCAAGAGCGGCACCAATGAGCACATTCACCATATGTATTTGGGTCTTCTCGGACAAAGATGATGGTAATTTCCTACAGTGGATACAAATAAGTATGCTACTTTTCAAAGCACCGGCGTAATGAATGATGTATATGTAGTGTAAAGAGGTATAAGAAAGTGGGCATAAACGTTAATCATAAATCATGAAAGCGAGCTCTCGTCATAATTTACCGAGCCAGTTGATTATCATTATCCTACACTGGGCAACGGCTCAAGTGTATCTTTTCGATTGTGGAGACCTGTACAGGGCAAACCTTCTCTGGGTATCATAAAATAAGGAGGGAAACAGGGCTGAACTGCAGCGCATGAGCTCATACAGCGTGTGCTGGTGCCTTCCCTTTACCAAGATTCGAGGTCTCGGATTGTACAAGCATCTCCCTGAGTTTCGCTACCGCCTTCGTCGCGTCTTTGTCCATGTCTTCTGCGTCCGGGTTGCGCGACCACGGGATCCAGGAGGTCAATGAGCTCAATGTACTCGATCGCACCCGCGATTGTGCATTGCTGATACTCGAGGCATTGCGGCGATGGGAAGGGACGTATTTCGTATCTAGGGCAGTTGCTTTCGTCTGTGTTTGCTGTGTTTCTTGCTCTTGAGGTCCCTCGGGGACGTTTTTGATTGTAGAGGAACAATCGAGCGAGAGTTGTTTCGAGGCTTGTGATGATGTGACTATAGTCAGAGAGGGGTGATTTGCTGCTGCCGGACTGGCTCGTACACTCCATGCAGGGCCTGTCTGGGTACTTTGCGTGTTCTCTTTCGACACGTCCCGCTCTGTTGAACCGAAGACATTCAGATCGAGAGCTCTTCTCTTTCCGCTACCACCGCTGATAACACTTTTGAGACTTCCATATGCGGATTGGTTTCTCTTCTTATTGGGATCGGCTGTTGCGCTTTGGTGATGCTCGCTCACAAGCCTCTCGCTCGAGCTGCTAGCCTCAGGCACAACTGTCAAGGTCTGTTCTCCTGCGTTCCATGCCTGTCCAATTCGTGGCAAACGTCCTCTCCCGGCCATTGCACCCATGCTTGAGGCCCAACCGGTCCCCATAGCTGTGATCTCTCCTTGCGGAGGCAGATGAGCATCGTACTCGTCAGCGAGACTCAATCTGCTCTTCGCACATATCTCCGCAATAGCATCAATCGCCTCCCTTATCTCTGGGTCCACCGCACGAAGTATAGCCGAGAACGAGAAATCGTCCGCCGCGGGTAGTCGCTCGCTTCGGCCGGCGAGTCCTGCTGTCAACATGGAAGCCGGTGGCGGCATGCTGCTACTCAGGTTGGGAAACAGTCGGGGAGAATTCACGCCAGATGAAGCGCGAGAGATGTGACGGGCGCCAGAATATGTTCGCACGACGACGGGCTGACTTGATAGTGTGGTTTGACTTGAGGTAGACTTCGCGGGCTTGCTGTTGGCGTTTGTCGATGGGTGATTCTGGAAGGCTGGGGCATTGAGGGCGCGCAGAGCAGCAGATTGTGTAGGTGGAAGTGTGTTCGTCAGCGTTGTAGTCGTGCTAGGGATTGAGCTTGCGCTTGTTGTCAGGTCAGAGGGCGTTTCTTGTATAGAGGGCGAGGGCGCGCGGGCAACGATGCTTGGAATCGAGGGGTCGGCTGGAACGCGTCTCTCTGTATCAATCATGGACACGTTGCTATCATCCCAGAGAGTAGACAGGACCTGGAGAGCCACAGGCTGGCATGTAGTCGTAGCTGGTGTCAACGTCGGCGGGACGACCGATCCAGCGGTGTAGTCTTCAATAGTAGGACCATTTGGATGAGCGTAGGTAGGAGAACGTTGGATGCGGTCCCACCGGCTGGAAGCTGGTGTTTCGGAAGAGCTGCCAGCCTGACTGATATTCTCCGCAGGATACGCGGGCATTGTGGGAATTGCTTTTCTGGAGCTGCAGGTCAATGCATGGTCGTTATGCACCGTGGTTGAGAGTCTTGTTGGCATTGCATGGGATGCGGTGATCGAGGGGATTCCTTTCGATCACGGCATGCGCTGGCCGCCGCTTGGCAGATGTTCATCCCGCCTACCACGAACCAGGCGATACACACTTAGTAGACAAATGTAGCGCAAACTGCCGATGACATTGGTTTGTCGATTGGTACAAAAGGCGGAATGGCATTACATGCATTTCATTGCTGACTCGATTGGCTAATAGTCGTAATTCCACATTGTGCTTAATTATAACGGACATTGCTCCAATAAACTTAGCGAGCCCTTCCGCCTCTACGATATAACAATTGAATCACTTCAGCTACAGCAAACTCATTCAACAAATCAACTCGATCATACCGGATGTTCTTCACCATCAACGACTAAGCGATGTGTTAGCCACGAAGCAATGCCCCCTGGGAGCTCCTCCAGAATTTGCATCTCAGCTTTGATATTCAAGATGAGCATCGTCTGAAGCTCGCGTCTCCATTGTTGCTCACACCCATCCTCAGCACAAGCATGCCAGCCTAGCATTTGCGTTGCTTTGTTCCGGTCTCTTGTAGTCAACTTCATTAGGCCTGATACGTTTGCTAACCAGTCGTGGATCCACTCTCCCTCTTTAGTGTCTGCCCTTTCCATCTGACGGCATTTGATATCAAGCCAGCGTAGCTGAGGCAAGGCTAATGGATGCATATCACCGGCTGATATTGTTTCGTGCGACAGACGATGTGAACTGTATTTGTACGTCGACATGATGGCGAATCCGTCTGGGTCGTAGTCCACTAACATGTACATAGGCACTCTTGGGCAATGTTGCGCGAGCTGACTTAAAAACCTTCGCGAAGACAGATCCGGATATCCCTTTGCCTAATCAAATGAGAAGAAGCCCGAAGATGATTGTATCGTGATATACGCTTACAGTAAGAACAAGCCCTTGCAAGCTTAGCTGAGCCCAGAGAGCTGTTGCAAGTAAGGAACGGAAAGTGGCCTTCTCTTATGTGAGCGGATAGCCATTATCAATCTCGACACGATACCTCTTTCTCCACGACTAATATCCATCTGATCCTCGGCATATCTATCGCATCATTCTCCGAGATCTCGGGGACAAGCATGCCCTGTAGGTGTGAGGAAAGACCGAGAAACCTAGTTGACTCCATAGAGCATACCTCTGCCTCGTTCAAACCATTCAACATGGAACCATCCGCTTTGTGAATCTTGAAATTTCCGGCAACAATCCCTTTTGCAGTAGCAACCTAACTAATTAGGATTCGTCTGTACAGCGTGATCTGCTAGACTTACTACGTTTAGATGATGTCTTGACACCTCGAAAGTGCGTGCAATATCATCTACGTATCGGTCGACCACGGACTGCTTAAGAAAGAGATCAGGATGACGATAGTAGATATCCCTAACCTTTCAGTACTGAAATACGTGGAGTATATTATTAAAAGTCATCACATACCTTTTCGTCAACTTCGTGTTCTCTGTGAGACTTTCATGAATGAGTTCAAGAATACGAACTATTGTAGCTACAGCAGTGTCAACGGCCTATCACTCGAGTAAAAGGAGACACATCAATACTGAATCTCCATGCCTCCCCAGCAGAACTTCCGGGGAAGCTTATCTTTCTGAAGCGAGCAGGTACAGAGAGATTGTCCAGTCCAGAAGTTGGGCGCCTGGGACCTTCATAGCTCGCTCTCAGCAGGATGAAAACATCTTCCGCGCCGTCCTGTAGATCAGTGATGATTGTTCTAAGAATCGTCTCTATCCGCTCAACTACAGGCGATCCTTGGCTGTAGGGAAAGGACTGTATCGACGAAGACTGCGCTGGTAGTTCCACCTCCCCTTCCATCTCAGACGCTGCTGGGACAATGGCTGGCAAGGAAGATGAGAACAGGACATCATCGGTGGGAAGGTTGTTCACATCGGTAACGGATGAATATTGCTCGAGAGCTGTAACGTCGTTCTCAGCAGCATATGGCTCCGGTGGTATGCACAAGGAATTTATGTTGAACGCTTCAATCTCGGTTTCACTAGTTTGTCCGAGCAGGTCGCTCTCTGAAATTACGTTGTCGGTTGAGGAGGAGCACTGGAACAAAATGTCTTCGGCGAATCCAGTGTCCATCATGCAACCATATCACAACCTGCAGCTTTTGGTTCACGTCTTGCCCGAAAGTAGTTCCAAGAAGCAATTCGTGCATGGACTTTCAGTCAAGAATACAATTGAGTGGTGAAGGACGCTGGCTTTATCTGTTGTTGTCTGTATAGGCGATGCACGCAAATGTCTGGTACAATCACTTGCAGGAATGCGTCGTTCATCAAAATAACGGGTAAGTGAGGTAAAGTGGGATGTACGAGTGCGCGCCTACATGGTGAATACATAAATTCGTAGTTCTGGTAGGAACGAGTACTGATGATGGCACGTGCACAGATAGGCACCTATGGCACTAACTATATGGGGCTAGTCAGGTGGTCGGACGCGAAGACGCGACTTCCCCATCTTTGTCCATTGTCGCGTCCACTTTCACCTCCAATCTCTACTTTCATTGTACATCTACCACCTCAACCACCACCAATGCAGCTTTTGATCCCACGAATACAAACAGCATAAAGTCTCCAATACAGTCTTCCCTGAGATTTTCATCATTGGACTTCGCGCCCCGTCACACCGTTTTCCTCGAGGCGTATTTCCATGGCCGACATGGAGGGACCTTCGACAACTACTGTTGCCCGCTCGCCGAAGCGTACACACGACCAAATAGAACCTCTCATCTCGACTCCCGAAAGAGCCCCTCCATCCGAGGCACCCTCTACTCCTTTGACTGATCTGTCCACCGTTCCAAGCCCTTCACCGGCGAAAACGCCGTCCGCAGCAACGCCTGTGCACTCGGCACCAAATCTTTCTGCCACACAACAACCGGCCAAACGGCGGAAGCTAACCACTCAGGAAAAGGAAGATCAGAGATTGGAGAAGGAGGCGAAAGACAAGGCTCGAGCAGAAAAGAAAACACAAAGAGAGGCTGAAGATAAGGCAAAGGCAGATATCAAAGCCCAGAAAGACGAGCAGAAACGACTCAAAGATGAGGAGAAACGTAAGAAGAATGAGGAGCGAGAAGAGAAGAAACGTGCCAAAGAGCTTGAACAACAGCAAAAGGAGGAAGAAAAGAGAAAGAAGGAACGGGTATGTGTTGATGGAAATGATCATCGAATAGACTGCTGACCCTACCTCTAGAGCCAAATGAAGCTGAATGCTTTCTTTGTCAAACCCAAATCTGGACTGGAGAAATCTGTAAGCACTATGGTAGATACTGTTCGCTCCACAGATTCCGAGACAGTATCGCCTGTGCCAGATGTTGAGCTGACTGATGCCAATACCACTTGTGCTTCTCCACAAAAATCTAAGTCCGACTACGAACGAACCTTTCTCCCTTTCCAGTTACATTCTCATTCGATACTCGCACCTTATAACCGATTCCAGGAGCTCCAACCGAAGGACCGGGAACAAACTCTCTCTGCGCAGAACCGTTTCGCCAACATGTTTGTCCAGGGAAAAGACCTCTTAGGAAACTCATCGGTGGAATCTTTCACTTCTCAGTTTGGGTCACGGCGCAAGCGAGGGCTTCAAACTCCTTCCATATCTGAATTGGTGGACCAAATCAACGGATCCCGTGTCCCCTCGGTTGTAGATCTTACCAAGGAGCGCGACACATCACCAAAAAATCCATTAGACCTACTGAAGCAAATTCCGATGAAGTACTTGCACTTTCAAGAAGATGTTCGACCACCATACTACGGCACGTTTACTCGAGATGTAACAGCAGAGGAGGGAGCTCGGTTGTCTAGGAACCCACTCTCGCGCACGCTCAATGAAATAGAGTATGACTATGACTCAGAAGCAGAGTGGGAGGAGCCTGAAGAGGGCGAGGACCTCGATTCTGAAGGGGACGATGAAATGTCCGAGGATGGAGACGATGACATGGAAGGCTTCCTTGATGATGAAGACGATGCTCAGGTCAAACGCAGGCTGATCAGTGGTGATCAGGCTCCCGTTAGTACTGGACTGTGTTGGGAAGATGTCGAAGGGGTATCGAGACTCAATGATGGGTCTGGTGCTATTTCCACCGAGTTCAAGGATTTCAGGATGGGGTTTCTCTTAGAACCACAACCGACTTCTATCGATCCATTCTCCACGGCATACTGGGCTCCTGTTCCCAAAGCGGCGCCTGCCACGCAATCTATGTTTAGTAAAGACAGCAGCTCTACAAATGCTGCCATGCAGCCGCCCCGCATGCCACTCTCACAACGGCCTATCAACGGATTACTGGTTGCGCATGTCAATGGATCGCCCAGCATCAATTCAAAACCTGCCAAACCCGCCAAACGCCTCATACCAACAGAACAACTTGCAGCTTTCAAGGCAGAAGTTGAGGGTAGCGATTTAACAAAGATCGCTCTTATCGAAGCTTTGAAAAAAAAGTAAGACGATCCTTGAAATGACATTCTATCCATAGCTAACAAAAATTAGGTTTCCCAAATTACCCAAGGATGCTATCAGTAACACCCTCAGCACAGTAGCCGCCCGTAAGGGACCAAAGGAGGCAGAGAAACGTTGGATCCTCATCCAATAGTAAAACCGCCTTTCGTGCAGTTTTCTAGCCCTGCCATAATAGTTGTCAAATTTTTCTGTTCACTGTGTATGCTACGCGGTGGGGGAGCGCACAGAGTTTATTTCCTGTTATACGTCTGCATAACTAGCGATGGTGTACGAGTGGGTTAAAGGCAAATCGGCGTTTTATCATTGCTCCATCGGTGTCTGCAGCGCTGTCGCTCAAATCATCATTTCAGAGGCGTCGGCGTAACCCTTTCCTTCCTCAACAGAGTCAGACATATGGCTCCTTTATGTTTTTATGAACACCATTCCAGCAACGGCCTGGGATATCAGAAGAAGAAATTGATAGCATGCTGCTCCGCAAGGGTGGCCTCGTGTAACGATGCATATTCTATACTTAGACAGGTCATACACAAACCGAGTTACGAGATCATATATTATTGAGGCCAACATTGAGCCTTGACTCTAGAAGATCTCATCATTATGAACGGGTTGTAACAGCAAGCAATTCCTGGTATTGGAAGTAGAGTGGCTGATGTCTTCTTATCAATCTCGTGTTCAGGTTGAAATATTGGCACAGCGCAGGCGGACCGCTTGCAGAAGCCCTCCTCGCAAAAAGTGACTTGTGTTCCTTTCTCTTTGATCTTGTCTACATCTATTAGTTCCCACGAACAGACTTTATGATCAGATTGTGATGCTAACGTTCTATTCATGCCAAGTCCAGCTGCTGAACTGTCTTTCGATCTTCGTATTCCTGATCACTAAGTGGCGTCATCAGAGCCCCAGCGGCCCGGGTATAGAAGGTTGTGTAGTTGGGCCGAACGTGATATACCAAAATTCGTCCAGCAGATTCGAGTTGGGGCAGTGTCTGGGAAGGAGTGACGGAGTTCTCAGAGAAGACGCCGAGGGCTTTACCATATGTGACGTGGCATACAGATGGGCGTACAATATCGATTGCGAAAGTCTGAGTGAAATGTCAATGTGAAGTTCGAGTCGGTCCAATTAGAAAGATAGAATAAAGCTAGGTAGCGAGGGACACGGGGATGAGGAAGCTCAAGTCAGGGGTATCAGGGTTCTCATCTGCATGTAACGAAATGGTGCATTCTTACAACAGTGGACCAAGTACTTGACAAGCCCTTTGTGTTGTGATAGAGAGCTAGCTCATCAGCGCCTGGCGCTACAAATTCATGCATCTCGGACAGATACTTCTCCCAGGGAAGTTCAAGAACGTGGCTGAGGTTGTTGAAGAGTGTCGTTGCGAGGGAATGAAGCAGGCGGAGCAGAGCGAGAAGTCTGGGGTCGGCGCGGCTATCGGGTTCAGTGAGGGCACGTTTTGTGACGCGGAAGACCTAGAACAGGATGAGAGAAGATACCGTGAGTCTTGGGTGGCATTATGTTTGTGTGAGACAGGACAAGAAAAGGGTTTACATGCATTGTCTTGTGAGGACTCGGCCACCTGCAAGAGCAGTGTGATCATTTCGGTTGGAAGTTCAAGACCTTGAATGACCAGACCAGGCGCTTTAGCAGCGATCGATTCGCGTAAGACAGGCAATGCCGAGTAGTCTTTCAGAGAGTTGAGAGTGACCGTAGGAACAGACATGGTTCGTGAAATACGATGCGGAAGAAGGTTGTCAACAACAATGGACAGGTGAATGAGGTAGATGAAGATTTAGAGGCTTTTCCACTGTGAATTCAATCCTCCGATCCTGTTCATACACGATCATATAAAGTAACGAGTCAGTCGTTAATTCTTGGTATCGAAAGAGCTGTTGTAGTACAAATTCGATTGGAACTTCCTTAGTGCAACGCCCAACTTCCCCAACGTACCCCAAATATCCGATCGACTAAAAGACTTCTCCAATTCTGATTACAAACTCATGTCGACGACCAATTTTCCTCCTTCGCCACGGTGGGACTCTTGGACCAAAGATTGGATGTCATCGAGCGCAAAAGTACGGATGGAGACGTTGATCGCGTTGGCGTCGGCAAATGCGAGCATGTCGCGAAGCTGATGGTTGTAGCCGACCAAGCTTCCAACGACACGAATGTCACGGAAAACGACGTCTTTTGCGTCGAGGTTGAAGCCATTTTTGGGGAAACTGACAACCACCATAGTACCGTGGTTGCGTAGTAGTTTCATGCCTGTGTCAAAGGCTGCCTGTGAATCTGGGAGCAAGACAACGGCATCGACGCCGGCTAGCTCGCCTTCGACAGCCCTGTTCTCCCCTACGGCTTGGAGTGCGCGCTCAACATTGAGTCTTCGCGCGTCATGAATGCTTACCCGGTTCGACATTGAAGACGGAAGGCTTTTAATGACGGTGCTCAACAGACTCAATGGCGCATCGCTTGCATCGACAGCGAGCACATCCATGCCCAAGTGTGCAGCAAACTGAACTCCTATGTGGCCAAGTCCTCCGCCTGCTCCGATGATGGCCACTTTGCGTGCTCCATGGCAGTTGCGTGCCAGCTCCAGCGCCGCCCATACCGTCAATCCTGCGCACATTAACGGCGCTGCCTGGACTGCAGTCATGCACTCGGGTAATGGTGCCACCTGCCGGCTGTCAACAATTGCGTACTGTTGAAAACCGCCGTCTGCGGTGAAGCCCAGGTTCTTCATGTGCGGACAGAAGGGTGAGTATCGTTTCGCCCTGGCTTTTGGGTGCGCCCCTGCTATGATGCACTCCTTACACTCGCCGCAAGGGCGGTATCCTCTGCCTGGAACTCCTACTTTGCTGCCCACAGTCAGGCCAAGGGACTCAACTTCGACCTGTGGGCCTAGTGCCACGACCTGCCCTGCAAACTCATGGCAGCCCACTCGAGGCGTCGAATGCCCCATGGATCCTAATGCAAATACTGCGTCTGTGTGGCAGTATGACGCTGCCAACACCTGCACTAGAATATCGTGGCCTTCAAGATATCGAGCCAAAGGTGTGTCCATGTAGATAAGCTTGTATGGTTCATTGAAATGCTCGAGAATAGCTGCTCGCATCCGCGAAGGTACTTTGGTAGTCGTCATTGCAGAATAGATTGTGAATAAAGTGCCTATTCGATGATGCTTGCTTATTGAGTGGGCCGATTCTTCCTGTGTAGATAAAGGATGCAACTGTGGGTGCAGTGCGTCGAATTGGAAGGAGGATTTAACGTTTGTAGAACTACCAACTGCCATGAGACGACACATCCCTATATTAATTGCTCATGATTATTTGAGAAGTAATCATGAGCAAGCCATATTAGCAAATATGTTAGAGCCTTTTACTAAATCTTTCCACGCGGTGTATTGGGTCCACCCCGCTTTCTTCTCCAACCTACAGGTAACCAAGTGCTACCTTGCTTTATCACATAGGGGGCTTGACGTTACGGATAGGCTCAGTTGGAGAAATGAATGACGCACATACATGCATACTAGCTAATATTCTGTTCTGCACGAGAAGCTGCGTTAATGTTGTCGTGAGACTACGCCTTGATAGCACCAATCGTTACTGCTTTAATGTTCTGATATTCCGCCAGACCATACTTGCTGCCCTCTCGGCCCACGCCAGATTCGTTGATACCTCCAAATGGCGTTTCTGCTGCACTTATGAGTCCTGTATTTACCCCAATCATACCCACCTGCAGTGCTCCAGCTACACGAAGCACTCGGCTGATGTCCTTAGTGAAGAAGTAGCCAGCCAAACCGAACTCGGTATCGTTTGCTAGATCGAGTGCTTCTTGCTCCGTGGAAAACTCGAATATAGGTGCCAGGGGCCCAAATGTCTCATCTTTTGCAACTTCCATATCCTTCGTAGCTCCAGTGATGACAGTGGGCTCGTAAAAGTACCCAGTGAGCCCCTCTGGGCGTCTACCGCCAATCCTCAATTGGCCACCCTTTTTGAGCGCGTCCTGAACATGTCGTTCCACTTTGTCCACAGCTGCCGCGTTTACTAGCGGACCATGTGTTGTGTTGGCGTTGATGCCTTTGCCGAGTTGCATCTTCTTCACTTTAGCAACCAGTCTCTCGGAAAAGGCATCTACAACGCTTTCGTGAACTAGGAGGCGGTTGGCACACTGTTAACTTCGTCAGCCGTCGATGTTCTTCTGATAAGAAAGGGTGGTTTCCAAAGGTCACCCAACAGGGAAACCAGAGAACAGACTTACAACACATGTTTGTCCCGAAGACCTAAACTTGCAAACAAGAGCGGCGTCGACGGCAATGTCTAAATCCGCATCCTCAAATACCACGAAGGGTGCATTGCCGCCCAACTCCATACTCACCTTCTTCATCGTTCCCGAAGCAAGGCTTGTCAGCATTTTGCCCACAGCGGTGGATCCCGTAAAGCTAATCTTCTTTACCTTCGGGTTTATTGCAAGCTCTAAAGAGGCTTCTCGATCCTTTGTTGGCACCAAGGCAATGACATTATCAGGGACTCCTGCGGCCAGAGCTAATTTGGTAAGTGCTGCTGCTGTGAATGGCGTTTCGCTCGGAGGCTTGATGACTACTGAGCAGCCAGCAGCGAAAGCAGGTGCAATCTTCCTCGTTATCATTGCTGCTGGAAAATTCCATGGCGTGATAATGCCGCACACTCCTACTGGCTCTTTACTGGTAAAGACCATAGAACTAGGATACGAGCTAGGGATATTGTCACCATACGATCGTGTGCATTCTTCGGAAAACCATTGAACGAATGATGCGGCATAGGCTATCTCGCCGCGGGCCTCAGAGATGGCCTTTCCGTTTTCGAGGGAGAGGATTGTAGCCACTTTGTCAGGTTGCTTGTTAGTACAAATAATTTGATAAGAGAAAGGTATCCTTGAGTCTCTTAACGTACAATCATCGACGTTCTCCAGAATTGAGTCATTCCATCTTCTCAATATCTTAGCCCTCTCTTTGGCCGTAAATTGGCTCCAAAATTCTTGATATCCGTCGTGGCAGGTGTCAATAGAGTTTGCAAATGCGTCTTTGGAGAAATTCGCACATTCACCGAGTACCAGTCCAGTAGCAGGTTCATAGACAGGAAACGTTGCATTATTTGATGCAGTTCTCCACTTGCCTGCAACGAATCCCCTTGCCTCGAACAAGCCTGCATTTTTCAGAAGTTCAGATACTGGTGTATGATGCCGAGGCTGGGAAGACCCATTGGTAGTTGTAGAGTCGATCATGCTTGCTGGTGATGATTTTGCGCAAAAGATCTGTACACACGTGTAGCTTTGAGATTTCAAGATATGGATAAAATATGTCTGAACAACGGCACAGAATTCGATTGTGGAATGATCGAAAGATCAAGTGTCAACTCCAATACTTGGTTCGCCCGAGATTCTCCTGTATAGGACTTCATTGATTTCTTAAAACTTAATTTACTTGTGTGGAGGCGGGGAAGGCAGTTGGAGAATAGGTCTAGGCGGAGTAACAGGCCGGGAATCTGCGAATGGACTGTCCATAGTAGCATATGGATTTCACAATTCGCCCATCATTGTACTTTCTTTCATAGTAAGACATATCACTTGTTGAAAAGTGAATAATCATGAGTATTCTTTGTGGATTTGTGGAGGTAATTTTCACATTCCATTTCAATATCATGACTGTGCCGACAGCTACATATCTCAATCTTGATAGTATAAACTCCTATAGGTGGTATCGTCGCTATCTTAGAACATCTGGTAGGGACTTCTGAAGTCTTTACGGTTACATTCTCGCTCTCGGCTGCGGATGGGTGTGCATCTTGTGCAGCGGATTGGAGCATGGATCCTCCACCGATCCGCCCTCAATCGATGACTTTTCAGGACCACTTTAAGCAGATCTGTTAAGAGCCAACCTTAGAAGTCAGTTCTCACAACAGGAAAGACGAGTTAAATGACCTCGACCAGATTCGGTTCTGACTGTTATAGCAAATGTCGGTGAGGACATCAATAACACCTGCCGGCCTGTGGGAATCAAGTTCAAAACGACCACCCGATCCATGATGTTCAACACACCTGACATTCACACCGTTGACAGTATCCTATGATTCGTGAGGTAGTCGACCTGGTCACCAATGGGCTAAAGTAGAAGACTGAATCTTTCTTCACCATAGTTCTGGAGCTAGGGCCCACGAATTACCTATACTGAAGGCTATCTGAGGTTATTAGCATCCGCTCCTTATCCTCAACTTTCGCCAATCCGATCGTTATTCTTCTCTTTTGGCAACTCGTATACTGTTGGCCTTGAGACTCTTTGCCATTCCATAGCACTTATTCCCTAAATATAAGGAACCATAAGATTCGGCAGGTGGACCCTGACTGTGGCATCTTGAATGTTTTTTCATGCATGTCTTAAAAGAATCTATCGTTATGCACATGACGCACAATAGTTCCAACGAGTCCCGCTGGTTAGAGGCACTGAATCCGAGATGGAGGTTTCCTCACGTATCACTCATTACATGTTCTGATTATCAATTTTTTTTTCTCCAACTACCTAGTTACCTAGCGTGCTAGCTTAAGTTTCTGAAGCTAGCTAGGTAGTGCGGGGAAAGTCTTGGTGTTGGAGAAGGGCGTCACTGGCGTGATGGTTTGAGTTTGCGCCAAACAATGACTTATGACTTCGGTTTCTAGTTTCCAGCAAACGTTTCCCCAACTGCATCGACGTCCGCCTCTGTAATTTTTCAACACTATTATTTTGGGATGGCTCAGCGGCGTCATAGCTAGACTCAGCGGGTGGGTTGTGCTATTAGGCCAATCGGAATTACCAAGCAGATATCGATCCCCATGTACTATCTCCAGATATGATACAAAGTTGTGCACACTTAAGTCGTCTCTTCCATCTGAATTCATGAGATATGTCGAGCAGGAATGGTACCCACCAAAAGACAAAACAACTGTTTAGAACGCAGGACTGATTGCTGTATGTTAGTTGAACTTTTCAATTGCTCATTCTTACGAGACTCTAGGGCTGTCTTTGCATGCTGAACCGCTCCGTGTTTGAAAATAACATCTACATTGGTTACGCGGACAACATCGGCTCGAACTCGGCTTTCACAAAACTTTTAATGGGTTACATACCTATCATGCCCTAGGATATGGCTGACAAATTCATGTTTGTTATATGACGCAATTGGAGTAAATTGAGCATTTCATGGCTACATAAATCATCATAGATCATATTGAATCTTATCATTCATTGCCTGACATTTACCAAAGAAAATGGCTACTCAACGTGTGTTTCGCCTCCCGCAACGGACCTCGATCCATGACCTTACGGTCGGGGAGGAAAAGGTGCCAGAGCCCGCTGCTCATGAGGTCCTCGTTCGAATTAGGAGCGTAGCTCTTAACTTCCGCGACTTTGCTGTTTCAACTGGAAAATACCCTTTCCCTGTCAAGGAAAATGTTGTTCCCTGCTCCGATCTAGCTGGGGAGGTTGTTGGATTAGGAAGCGCAGTCGAAGACTTCAGTGAAGGCGATAAGGTCATTGCCTCATTTGATCTCAATACCCCGTCTGGTGCTATGCAGGATTGGCTTCATAGCTTGGGAGGTGTCTACGACGGAGCTTTACGACAGTTCATTGCACTCCCTTGGGCAGTCTTGGTCAAGGTTTCTTCTAGCACCTCGCTTGGCTTCTCTCAGCTCGCTGCTCTAGTTTGCACAGGAACTACGGCTTGGAACGCTTTGTACGGAAATATGCAGCTAAAACCAGGCCAAACAGTACTTCTCCTAGGTACTCTTTTCCAATCATGCGCAATAATCAACTTACTAACACGCTCAAGGTACTGGGGGTGTCTCCATTACTGGCCTCATCCTCGCGAAGGCGGCTGGTGCACAAACCATCATCACATCGTCTTCAGACTCTAAGCTGAAGCACGTTCAAGAGAAGTACGGTGTTGACCACATAATCAACTACAAGTCAAATCCAAATTGGTCGGAGGAGGTACTTAGGATCACAGGTGGTCGAGGCGCAGACTTCATTTTTGAGAATGGTGGTGCTGGGACGATTGAACAAAGCATCAACTCCGTCGCTTATGGCGGAAACATTGCCGTCATCGGGTTTCTAGCCTCAGCTGATAAGGATAAAATGCCTGATGTTGCAGCTTTGGCGTTGTCAAAAGGTGCAGTGGTCCGTGGAATCATGGTCGGGTCAACGGAGCACCTGAGAGAGGTGACACGGTTTGTGACGTCAAAGAATCTCCAGGTAGCCGTTGAGAAGGAGTTTGGATTTTCCAGGGAGGATGTTATCGCTGCATTTGAATATTTAGTTTCGGGCCAACATGTCGGAAAAATATGTATCAACGTAGACTAGAGTCTAGTTTAGCTGAAGTACATCCGACTGAGCAACGCGACTCGATTGCAATCTTGTTTACTATGTGCTTCAGAAGAGAGAACTGCTTTCTTTATTCGCTTTTCATACAGTGGCCTTTTTGCGGTGTTTGTAACAGAATCCATTGATGGCCTCGTAGATTGGTATCGGATTTCGGTACCGATGGATTTCTTTTTATCCACTATATAACAGATATGATGTATTGGAAAAGGGCGTAGAAGTAATTGTAACAACAGTTTCGATCATTGATTTTAAGTTCATGACAGACAATACAGCACCCAGTTACTTAGTCATGTATGTAACTCAACACATCATTCCTAGCTGTATATGTGATCTTTGCTCGTGCTGCCCAGTTCAAATACCCATCTCGTTTATCTACAATATGTCAGTACATCAGTAAATGAGTTTGCCTATGCACTTACCATTCATACGCCATTTGTACCACCAATATTCGTCCCCGGGCTGCTCTTTATATATTTCAGCTGCACGCCCAGATGTCAATTTATCAACATAATCTGGGTTGTACAAAAGTGGTCTACCAATGACAACAGCGTCCATCTTTCCGTCTTGTATCCACTGATCCGCTTCCTCTGGAGTAAATGCTGTATTCCCGAAAAGTGGAGTGTTTTTAAGAATAGGACGCAAATATGCGATGGGATCCCATTCGACAGCTCGCGGCTTTCCACCAATCATTGGGTCATATGAAGCCCACCATCTCATCACTTGCACATATGCCAGACCTAGTTTCTCGAGCTCCTTACAGAAGGTCCCGTACGTTTCCTTCGCTTTTTCTATCGAGGGATTCCCATGCTCGTCTAGCTCCCCCATGTCGTTGTAACCACCACAAGGAGCAATTTTGATGCCGATCCGACTGTAAGGGAAGTATTTGGTAAGAGCCTGGAGAATTGTGAACGAGAATCTCATCCTGTTGTGAATTGATCCTCCGAACTCGTCACTGCGTTTATTGCTATGCGATTCAAGAAATTGCATAGGCAAATATCCATTCGCCTAGTGCAGAGATCCGTTAGCTTTTAGAGTCATCGAGATGCTATTCATCCGCCCGAAAGGAAAGAGCTCACATTATGAATTTCGACACCATCAAATCCAGCTTCTTTGGCACACTTCGTAGCATGTTCATAAAGACCGACATATTCGTACGGATCTTTGATTGGTGTTGGTGTCACATATCCTGGAGCGCCCGGTACGTTGCGAAACTTCCCGCCCCTTGCAGCCACATCTGACGGCCCTGGAACTGGCTGATTGATAGAACGCTGCACCCTAGTGCCTGGATGGGCGACGCGTCCAACATGATGCAGTTGACAAAAGATAAGACCGCCACGTTCGTGCACGGCATCGGTCACTTTCTTCCATCCAGCAACCTGTTCAATTCACACAGTTGGTACCTCCACTTTGTTTATGACGAATTGTAGGGTACGAGACAGACTTACGTGTTCCGCTGTATATATTCCTGGCATGTAGGTCCATTCGGTTCCTTGAGGACAGATCAATGCGGCCTCCGAGATCTTTTCAAGAAATGTTCAGTATGGGCGCAAGTCGTTGAATACAAAAGTATACACAAAGAATCGCTTACAATGAGGCCGCATCCCGCACGCTCTGTATAATATGGAACATGAAGATTTGCTCGTGGAATGCTATCACGGTTTCGAGTTAAAGACGCCATCACTACTCTGTTCTTCAACTGGAGATCGCCCAAGCGGAGAGGCTGAAGCAGGTGATGAAATCCATTGTCGTGAGTGCTCGATGTGGTAGGCATTGTTGAAACAGCAGCTTCTGGGTGTTCACGATGGAGAAAAGGTCTGCCGCGATAAAGGAGGATAGTTCGAATACTCTATGTATATCTTTTAAGGACATCGCTTGGCAGTCTAATCATGGGAGTGAATTGGTAATCGCCTAATGGGCGAAACCCACGCTAAGGGGAACCTTGAACTCGTCGTTCTCACACCCTTTTGGAGACTAGTTGGAACATTTGGATGTCTCCAACTATTCCCCAACGTGTGACGTTGATAATGAGCTTCCCCACTCGGGCACCTCTACATTTTCTTTCGTTGCAATTGAGGATATTAATAATATTCGATGACATTCTTCCCTTGCGTGCATGAAAGTTGTTGCACCTATTTCTTTATTCTCCATTACTTTCTCCGGTCCTGGTGCCTTCAGACATTTCTTGCGTTACACGATGTCGTCGACAAGCAGACCATCTACCATGCGCGCAGTCATCTTTAAGGGTGTTGGGGAAGTGATGGTCGAACAACGCCCCAGTCCAGTCATACGTGACCCCAAGGATTGTATCCTGAGAGTGACGTCTGCGGCTCTTTGCGGCAGCGACCTCCACTTCTATCGGGGGCATATGAGAATTCCCACCGATTTTATAATTGGCCACGAATTTGTCGGCGTGGTGGATGAAGTAGGTCCCGACGTGAAGAATTTCCATGTAGGGGATCTGGTCGTGGTAGGTACATGTCCATCTAGATACAGATCGTAAACAGTTAAGGCAATGTGAAAAAAGAACTAGCATCTTAGTGTTACACTATATGACTATGAATCTTTTGACTATAGAGTCGTGGGAGATTTCTTGTGCTTGAAGTACCTTGGCTGACGGTATGTCTTTAGGTGCCATTTTTCACAGCCTGCGGTAAATGCTTCTATTGCCAGCGAAAACAATCGAGCCGCTGTACTGAAGGCAAATTATTTGGCAATAGCCAAAGTTCAAATAGTATTGCTGGGGGGCAGGCAGACTATGTCCTTGTCCCAAATGCTGACACGACGATGGTTCTGGCTCCCACCACAATTTCAGAAGACCTGCTAGTACTCATGGCAGACATCTTCCCGACTGGGTATGTTTCAATTCCCTTATATGTTCATCCATTCCTACAACATGGCTGAAGATTTCTGCTGACGAAGACGAGCAGTTATTTCGCTGCTGCCCGGTTTTTGAGGAACTTGCCATCTGAGCAGCGCAAAGAAGTTATTGTTTCAGTCATAGGATGCGGCCCTGTGGGTCTATGCGCTATCGCCTCTGCACTCACAATGTGCAATACAGTCTATGCCATTGATACAGTACCCGATCGATTGAACGAAGCGAGCCAGCTAGGTGCTATTCCATTGCAACTGGATTCAAACCCCGCAGATACTATTAGGAAGGCGACCGGAGGACGAGGAGCAGACGTTGTTCTAGAGATTGTCGGCAATGCCGGCGCTCTCGAGCTAGCAATTGACATTGCCCGGCCGTTCGCGTCCATTAGCTCAGTGGGAGTTCATTCTTCAACGTTACAACTGCATGGGCCACAGCTGTATGGGAAGAATCTGACTCTGGCGTTTGGTAGATGCCCGGTCCGAAGCATCTTTGAAGAGGCTTTGGATGTTCTAGTCCAAGTTGGTGATAAATTGCATTTCTTGTGTGGTACTAAGATGAAGCTCGAAGATGCTCAAAAGGCATATGACCTGTTCGAAGCGAGGAAGGTAAGCACACACAAATACAGTTCTACACAGAATTTGAACGGCATACTGAACTTGTACAGGTTCATAAAGTTATCTTCAAACTCGACTGATATCTCTGCGCTTTGATCGATTGTGTCAATGATGGATAATTCAACGGTATAAATGGCATCAATTCGCAATGCCATTACAGACTGACTGGAATTTGTCTTTGAGTCATCTAGAATACGGTTCCAGAGATAAATAGCACTCAATCTTACGATAGATCGTCGATCCAGTTCTGTTTCATACAAGTCGTTGGAGATTGCCGTCAATAAGTTATGTATTCATATTCATGCTCGCAGCTTACAGTGCTGCATTGAGCCAGAAGGAGGTGGCTATCGATTTCAAGGGGCACTCTCATTAGTAATTACAAGCAGGTGATTTCAATTTTCCATGCCCAGTGAAATTTCTCTATCGATTGCCACCTGACGAATATGACAACCAACCCATCCCTGAAAGTCGCTATATCCTATGCAACCTCTCGCACACCGTTGCCCTGATTTCTTTAATCTAGGTGACATATCGTGATGGCATGATTGTTATTGGGTCATTCTTGAAGGTTGTATATACTATGAAAAGAAGATCTATGTGATCGTGTCATCGATATCTCGGAACGAAACATCGTTAGGGTCCATAATCATTTGGTTTCCGTTCCTCATCAAGCCAGATACTAACTTCTTCCTTCCCGGCTTCCCCATCCTCGGCAATTCATTGAGAAATCCCCAGAAAGTGTTATCTTTGTACCCCTTCGATTTCCAGTCAGATATATCCTCGTTCGGTGCGAAGTTTAGCAAAGGCAATACACCAAAAAGCGCGGAGTCATGCGCCAAGAGAATGAATATGTTAGGGTCAGCATCTAGCTCTTCGAGACTTCTGATACTGTTTTCTGCTACCTCTGGACAGATGTAGGCACTGTCCTTGAGCCGAGTTACCTTGTAGAAAGGCATGCGGCGGGCATCTCGTTCTTCGTTGGTCTGGCTTACGTTTGTTGCGAAAGGATTCAAGGTAGTAAACAGAGAACAGGGACATGGACGAGGAAATGATTCGTCGAGTTGACGGTCGGGGATGATTTCTGGCATTGGTGACGCGAATGTAGGCCGAAAGGTTCCAGGGAAGTGGCAACAGTCCCCACCAAGGAACACAAAGGTGTCGTGAGTTGTTCGTGCGAATCCGCAAATGTGTCCAATCGCATGCTAGAAACGATGATAAGTTAGCCCGAACTCGTGGGAACGAGAGTGTGGAGCGTTTCCGACTCACACCAGGGACGTCGAGTATGTAAAAGGAGCCGTCTCCCAAGTAGTCGTGCGCACGAAAATCGCCGATGCGAAGTTTGCTCTCTTCAAATGTAATTTCGTCAATGACATGACCTCTGTGATTGATTTGGTTAGCTCTATGTCTCATGTATGAGGGAAATGGTGACATACTCCAGATCACTGCTAAGTAATACACCGTTTGGGTCCTCGGGCCAGCCAGGACAAAAGTTGGCTTTGAAGCCAGGACCAACCACGATATCTGTCGCTGAATCATACTTCGAGCCATCTCCAATATGATCCCAATGCCAGTGACTCCAGACGATCGCATCTATGAACCACACCAGTCAATGGGAGAAGACATTCTGTATTAGGATCGAAAATTCACCGCATACCTAATGAATTCAGAGGTACGCCCGCCTCTACTAAAATCTCATCCACTCCTTTTTCAACTTGAAGTGCTGGAACTTGACTACCGATCATGCGCCTGGTGACCAACGGACCATTCCAGTAATCCTTTCTTGAACCACAGTCGAACAAGATTCTTTTGTTCTGTGCCTCATTATCGATGAGAAAGCACATCGTTTTCAAGTTGAGTAACTCATGCCCGGGAATTACAGGACGAACGAATGCTTCAGAATTGCACACCATTTCGGTCGTCGTGTCTATCGCTCGCACTCGCACTGTATTGAGGCCGGTTGGAAGGTTCATTGTGCTTGGATTAAGGAAAGGCTTTTCGATAGCACTTTGAACCTGGCACAGATTGATGGCTTTTCCTCAAGAGATCTGATATGACCTGTGACAGACACATGCCCCAGTAGGTGACAAGTGTTTCGATGGTTAAGATGATTTACGCATTTGTTTCACTACGATAGTGGCATTGACTATTACTAATAGGCGTAGTACCCTGACTGACAATTGGGCCATATTTTCAGGTGCATGAGGGGTAAGGGAGCAGATTAACAGAAGTCCAAGAATTAAGTGCCTCTACGATTGTAGCTGGGGACGAGCGTTCCCCGCGTGAGCTGGTTGTTTCGACATGTGGCAGCGTCTAGAGGCCGAAGGCCCCCAAGTATTCTTGGGTGAGGGGAGGTTTTAGGGCGTTTGTAGAGCGGCGAGTGCTTGATTCCCCGCTTCCGACGAGGTGCTCTAGACCACCTATTACCCCAACCGCGAATGTTACTACACTAGGAATTTCCCCAGATTACCCCAATCATGCTCCGCGTGTTTCATCAACGCCAGACTTCCGTATACGGGGCATAATGGATACATATATTCCTTGAGTACAGTGACCATGATATTCCAGAATGTCAATCTGATCATAGTTAACTTGGGAAACTTGAACAGAAACAATGGCAACGGGATCGTTCTACAATTTCTTACTCGTCTTTTTCGTCGCGTTGGGTTCCTTTACCTATGGTTTCAATTCGGCCATCATCGGATCCGTATTGGGTTTGCCATCCTTTTTTAAACATTTCGATCTGGACCTGGAGGGGGCAAATGTAGAGGAAACTAATAGGATAATTGGAGGTACGTGAGCTCAGATCGCAAATCTGGCTCCTCAACTTATAATTTCAATAGCAACCAATGGCATGTTTGCCGGAGGTGGAATGATCGGCTGTCTTTTGGTGCCATGGATAGCAAACAAACTGGGAAGACTTCGAACCATCCAGATCGTTGCTCTCCTCTGCGTTGTTTCTGCTGCTATCCAAGCTGGATCAGTACACATCGCCATGTTTCTAGTCGGCAGATTCTTCAATGGCATCGGTGTTGGCATGGTCGATGTCGCTGTGCCTCTTTACCAAGCTGAGGTGTCGCCCGCAAAGACACGAGGACGCATGGTGGGATCTCATGGATTCTTGATCGTTTGCGGATATGTAGGCTTCATCTATTCCTATGAACGAGATTCTGGCAATTGATTATGATCTAGGCTGGAGCCGGTTGGGTTGGCTATGGCTGCTACTTTCTAACCAACGAAGCCGTCCAGTGGCGCCTGTGCCTTGCACTACAAATGCTTGCACCACTGTTGCTACTCGCCGGGTCGCCATGGGTTCCTGAATCACCACGGTGGTTGTGTGCAAAGGGAAAGAACCCTGAGGCTCTAGCTGTCCTAGAGAAAATGCATTCTCACGCCATGGAGGAATTCTATCAGATCCATCTGCAGCTGGAACTCGAACAAAGCCAACAGGTCAACAATTCATGGATTGAGATATTCCGGAAGAAGTCGTACAGGAAACGACTAATCTACGGTTTTTTTGTTCAGTGAGTAGACCCTATTGGGAGTCGAGTCCGTCGATAACAATACTGACCTCGCTCGAAAGATGTATCGCTCAGTCGACTGGCGTGCTCGTTGTCAACAATTATCAAGTTCTTCTTTACAATGGACTGGGACTTTACAACTCGACGCCTTTAGTTTTGTATGCCTGTTACAACTCCTGGGCAGCCTTCATGAACTGGGTCAACAGCATCATGCTCGACCGATGGGGCCGTATCCGTATTATGACAGTTGGTCTGATCGGCTGCGCACTCTCACTTTCTTGTTTCACCGCCATGGTTGCCGAGTACGGCGGCACGGAAAACAAGATCGGTAACGGGTTTGGTGTGTTTTTCCTCTACCTCTTCGTCACTTTCTATGGAGGCACTATGGACGCGTCCTCTTACGTCTACTGCGCGGAGATTTTCCCAACCACAATCCGGGCCCAGGGTTTAGGTTTCAGCGTCATGGGCCTCTTCATGATGACTTTAATCTACACCCAAACAGCCCCGACTGCATTTGCTGAAGTTGGATGGCGTTACTATCTTGTCTTCATTACTATTCCTTTGGCCGGGGTTTGGTTTCTGGCTACGTTCCTCCCTGAAACGAGGCTACTGAGCCTAGAAGAGATATCTAATCTGTTTGGTGATGAAGTTGCTGTTGACCTTGCACAGATGTCAGAGGAGCAGCAACAAGCAATGGAAGCGGACTTTCGCGCAAACAACCCGAATCTAACATCTACTGTTGGGCATGAGTCAAAGGATGTTTCTTCTACTCGTATCGAGTCTACAATGTAAACCGGCGAAGTGGATGGATAATTGTATCAAGTGGTGCAGGAGCAATCCCCAATGTACAGCATATGCGCAGTAGTTACAAAAATTGCGAGCTCACTTTTATAGTAAAACATGGAGCGAAGCTACCCGAACATTTGAGCGCATAGTGATGGTTTCTGTTGCTAGAGTACTTCATTATTTGCCCAGACAGAGATAGCGAGGTCCAGAGTTGATCAACGTCGTACGTATGTTGTAATACTGGGTTTTTATCTCACCAACTTTCTCATTGATTTTATTTGGAAGAGTACGGAGTACAGACAGTAACCACGTCGAATTGTGTACGCGTTAACCTTGATATGCAGACAAACATGAGGACCAATCAGAAGAGCGACGTAGACGCTGGTGTATTTTTAGCACTACGTTCGCCAACGCCGCCAACGCCGCCAACGCCCTTGTGGTCCTTTCTTCCTCCCTCCCGTCATCTTCAACCAATGAATCCGATTGGATCATCCCGCCATAGTGTGTACAGAAGGATAATGGGGACTTCTCTCCGCAAATAACACCCTCATCGGCGCCTAGACCAAACCTATTCCCATGGAGAAATGGGCCTTAATCCCTCAGCAAGCGCCGTCTAGGCCATGGTTCCCTCAAATGCGGCTCTAGTCAACTTCTGAGTATGCGAGTGTGAGGTGGATACCCGCTACTTGTTCAAGAATAGAAGCAGTCATCTCTGACAGGCCGTGGTCCTCTGCCATCTCATTTTAGCTTGTGCACTCTATGAAGTGTATCAATCCTACAAAGACATCGCTTACGCTCTTTCAAATCCCAACCTGCTGATTTCGTTGGCACCTGGCAGTACAATACTCCAGCTCCCTCGCAGATACTCCGTAATTGACTTGAGGAGTCAACTTCATTCAGAGATCATCTCATCCGCGCCACACTACTCCAGTGTCATATCGAGTCGATCGAAGCGATAGAACATGGCGTCGTTCGCATTCTACCTGGGTGCGAACGCACTGTTCGCTCAAGCTGTTCTTGCGTTCAACTGTTCAATACCCCCCATTTACGTGGACATTCATAAAAGAGCAGTCCACGATTCTCCAGCCTTTCAATATGGATCATTCATTGGTCTTGGAACTCCCGCACAGAACCAAAGCCTGTGGCCATCCTTGAGCCAAAACCATACTTCGTTCTCGTCGAATACCTTCTGCGATAATAGCACATTGAAAGACTGTGATAGATCAACAGGAGGCTTTTATGTGAAGGAAGATTCGTCAACGTAAGCTGTGATGATTCAAACAATGTATCTAATGCTCTCAACTGACTTCCATGCTAGATTTAAACCAAAAGGAAAAGACTTCCAACCACTCGATAAACAAAATGACTCATCGAGGGGTTTGTTCGCTTCGGAAACAGTTCGTCTGTATACGCACTACTTCGAAACCGATGGTGCATCGCAAACACTACTTGAAGATGTCGACATTGAAGTCGTCGTCAACTCGTCTACCACGCCCTCCATCGTGGGGATAGGACAAGCCTCGACCATCCTTCAGGGCCTCGTAGCCCAGAATAAGATTGCTGCTCGCACATACTCGCTCTACATAGGACAAGGCTTCGACCGGGCCGGGGGTTCTGTGAACGGCTCGAACGCGTTCGGTGGATACGATTCGGGTCGCTTCACTGGCCAGGCGCATTCCTTCTCGATGAATACTGCGAATCGAAATCCCTTCAGCGTCACTGTGAAGGATATAATCATTACTGAGACCGGCAACCCCAATAGCAACACTTCACTATTCGATGCAAAGAAGTTCCCATCCGCAAAACAACCATCGGCGTTCACTGCACAGATCACTACAGACCAATACCCGCTCTCGCTTCCCTACCAGATAACGCAGAACTTCATCAAGCACCTGGATGCAACCAAGGACAACTACTGGGGTGACAACTCCTTAAAGTTGCGCTCTCAATTCAACGGGACACTTTCCATCGTCATCGCAGGCGATAACGGCGACTTCACCGTCACTCTTCCCCAGGAAGTGCTGGTCAATGCCTCAAACATCACACCCATCCAAGACCGCACAGAAGCATCATCAGCGCCATTCCTTCTGTCGACAGCATTTTTGAGCCAAGTCTACCTCATGGCCGACTTTGAAACCTTCAAGTTCTACCTCGCAGAAGCGGTTCAGAAGAACAACATCGTCATGCCCGAGACGTTTTGTCCTAAGGCCGTCCCCAGCGCCTATGAACGGCCGAAGCAGGGTGCATGGATGAAACAAGGTCTGATAGGTGCAGTCATCGGCGGTGTTTTGGGTGGAATTGGGATCGCAATTTGCGCATACTGCTTCGTGTTGGGCTGTCAGAGGCGGAGAGCGGAAAAGAGGGTTGAGAGAGCGATAGAGAAGAGCAAGCAATCAAAGATGGCCCAATTCGAAGTCGAGGAAGTCCAATCATTCGATCCGCCGCCCAAGGCATCGAAAGTGCTTTTCTGGAAGAGGGGCAAAAAATGAGGGCACTGCTATAGACCATCATCGAACGCTGGAGCGTCATGACTTTCGTTTTATTATTAATACCCAAAGCATATTTAGACTTTGTTCAATTCTCAATGTATATCTTATTATTTTCACTCTCTAAATAAAGCGTTTGACTTGGCAAACCAACTGGATTCTGTATGCTTGGAGTCTATCATGCAAACATCATCAAAGTCAAAGGCCTATCCACGTATCGCATTAACCACAGAGACTTCAGGATACTCCCAGTCGCCGTTCGTCATAGCGTCTGTAGCTCCATAGAATCTCAATGTGATTTTCACCTCGCCACCACCATCAGGAGCCGGCAACCAATTACTCGTCCAATTCGACGGCGGAGGAACGTCATTTGCCTGTATAATAATATTGAACGGACCATCCACATCTTCTTCATTATACGAAGTACCGTCTGGAAACGTCAAATTGCTTCTATCCCCCAATGCATACCGGTTCAGGTCGTTCTTGACCAGATACTGCTCGCCGTTGTACACTGTCAAGCTCCAGAATCCTCCTTTATTGATCTCGGGCTTGCGGCTGAAAGTGAACAGCACCGCTTGGTCTTTCCCAATCACAAAGTCATTGTTGACAGGATATGTGACCTGCTCTGATGTAAGGGCCAGGTACCCTCGGCTTGCAGTGCTGTATCGAGCAGTGTAGAAAGAACCGAATGCCCCCAGCACTCGAGACGCACGGCAGGTCCAGTTTCCACCAAGACGAAGTGTCAGGCCCGGTGTGATCTGCAAAGCTTCGTTTGATGCGTTTGCTGTCGCTACGGCTGTGGTCAGGTTTGTGTCTGGTGGTTGAACGAAGGAATTGTTCTCGTAGTGAATCCCGGCCTCGAGTAAAGTTTGCCGGACCCAGCTTCGATCTTGCTTCACGTATGGCTCATTGTACGGGGCCAATTCTGCTGTCAAGCGGAGCACAACCTCTGCGAGGGTATTATCTCCAGGCGTGTATACAAACTCAGGACGAGAGAACATGCTGAGGTTGAGAGCAGGAGCGACTGGAGGACTAAAGCGTGGGAGCACAGCCATACCGAAGCCATCCTGCAGTTTGTTAACTGCAACGATATCATCTGTACCAGCTTCGACCAAGATTCTCGGCAGCGTGATTCCATATGGTGTGGGTAGGTTGAGGTATGCCTTATAGCCCCCCTTCAGGCCTTCGGTCACTACGCCGGGGTTCTCGCTGTCAAATCGTAGAAGATACTTTCCGGCTGAACTATTGGTTATGCTTCCAATATTTGCAAGATCATTGGCGTACCTGTGATTCTTAGTACGGGAAAGCAGCAGACAAGGTATCAAGCACCAACTCGATTTGACCTGTATGGAGCCTTTCCTGAACACTTACATATCATAGAATGGCCACACCCAGTATCGTTCGCCAAAGTCCGGAACTTGAATTTCGATATCGTTCTCGCTCAGGTCCAAAAATGCCACACTGTATACAGTGTCTGCATTAGGTCGAACGAAGCCCGTATCATCGGCACCTGCAAGCTTGCGCGAGTGGTAGAGACTGTTGGTCTCATTGTTCAAATATCTCGGATTAACATATTTAGCAAAGCTATACAGCGGGAAGCCATAAGTATATGCAAAAGCGAGCGCATTCTGATGACAACTAGTCCGACATTGTGATTCGGGCACAATAACAACCTGCTGAGTATACACGACTGCGGAAAGTAGGGAAACGAATACTAGATGAATTTTCATTGCTGCAAGGTAGTCAAAGACGAGCGCATAATTATGTTGGAGTATGGGACAATTGAAACTTCTATTAATGCAAATCTTGTCGGTAATCTTGAATGAGTTTACCGATGGATTGACCGTCTAGTATGTACTAGTTAACCATTTTGCTCCAAAGATCGTCCTACTAAGAGAGCACTGTGGTTGAGATCCCGCCTTAAAGAGTTCACTTTGCGGGGTAATTGGCATTACCTCGTTACGTTCGTATGGAGAAGGACTACGCCCCACACATACTAATGTATCCGTCAATTGACTGATAACTTTATCCCGTTAGTCATTTGTTGATGTATTGGACTCCGTGGAGGATTCTACAGCGGTGGTCATGCGTTGAATTTATTGCATTAGATCAATTCCGGGTGCAATGATGAATGCAAAAGCAATTTTCCTGCCAGTCTGACGAGTCAAGGCTCTCTATGAATGTCAGATTCAATTCCGGCGTACGAAACGATAATCAGCTTCCTCGTTGTCTTGCAATATCTTGTTCAAATATAGACGTGGCTACGCCACGGGTATGCTGTTCGTTCGTGTGCTATAGAAACTTGAAATGCCTTGATGGTCAATTTGACTTTGAATTGTCTTTACTATAGACAACTGAGGTAACATAGCCAATATGCCACTACTCGGGAAGTCTTACCCTCCCTGTTAGTCAATGTTATAATTACGTGTTTCGCAGATTGAGAATCACTATAATGTCACACTGATTCATGGGAAGTCTTTCCAAATAACGTAGCCGATGGAAAATTATTTGTCACAAGCGTTCTTCCAGTGTTCTCAACTGACACACCTGGCGCAAGAGGCCCTCAAGCGTTGTAGCTTCTGAGATCTACAACATATTCAATCACTTTAGGTTGGTTTGCGAGAAGAACAGCTTATTATCCGTGTAGAGGTCGTCGCTCCCTCAATAATGTATAGTTACATGGTCATCAGCCATTTTGGGAGCTGAACCATTACATTCCTGCGTCACCCCTTGCCAGGAACCGAGTAATAGTTTTGTTTTTCTTTCCATTTTTCTTCCACATTCCAACGATTGTTTTGACGACGACAAAAATAAGTGAAGATGGCCACAGTTTGTATGTTTACCTTCAATTCCTCGTTGTCTCCGTGGACAACGTCGATACCCTCTTTTGCGCTGCTCGAAATTGACGTCTCCATACCGCGCGACAGTTCGATGGAGCGAAAGAGGAGGATCTCAACTAACTAACAGAAATTAGACGACGTGCTCAGGCTTCGACATACTGGCCAACTGCTCAGCGCTCAAGACCGATTGATGCTCGAGAAGCACAGATTCTTGGACGATTTCTTGATTCTCGTGGAATCAAGATGACGGTCGTGCATGAGCGTGCTGCAACAACAGCAACAGGATTATCTTCAACCGCATTGGCAGCTATCTTGACTGGCGTTGGAATCGTGTTATTAGGTCTCCTAATTGGCCTTGTGGTCCTCCTCATACGAGCAGTGCGCAATCACAAACGTCTACTTGCAGATCTTGAAGAAAGAGGAGTTGTACTTGCACAAGCCCAAGCTACGCAAGAGGGCTCCAAACGAATTTCGATCACGAAGCCTCGGACTGTGCTCAGGCGCAATACAATCCTTCCCTTCAACAAGCAAACAGGTTGGGGGTCCTTGCCCTCTGTCGAAACCATCAATCCTGTTGATCAGGCCTCAAAACCGGCCCATTATGCTCCTCCGAAACCCGCCAGTCTCTCAACTAAGTCAGGTCGTCTTGCATGGCCGTTCTCGCCTCGACGTTCAAGCAGCAAAGCAATTCATCTAAGGAAGATTCGAGCACCAATTCTCTCAACTGTTATAGAAAGCCCCAAGCCATCGCCTTTGGTGCCTGTCCTCAGTGGCCCTCAACTCGGAGATAGACTTCTTCCATCGAAGGGCATAGGTCGTCCATCTTCTGATCAATCGCTACTTCAGCATCATCCTGCGTTCCGTACTCATCAGCAGGATGGTGCTGCAGACAATGACCCTTCGGCACGGCCAGACCTACTTCGACGAAGCCTGACATCTAATGCTGTCACTAAAGTAGAGTCACGCGTCCGTCCACTTCGATCAAATTCGGTAGCCGAGATACCTTTGAGCGCAAAGAATGAGAACGCACGCCGGATGTATGAAAGGAGATCTCATGTCCGATCCGCCAGTATGTGCAGCCAGACTTCGGGTAAAGCACCCGATGTGCCCATGCCACCGCTTCCTTTGGGTGTCGCTCGTATAAAAGGCGAATCCAAGCAACGCAGCCAACTCAGCAGAAGTCCGTCTCGAATGTCAGTTTCCAGCTTCGAGTCCGGTAATAGTTCCATCCTCGCAAGCCAATCGAGCCCCATCCTGCCTCGACCCGACCAGGTAGAGATGTACAAAGTAACGAGGCGTGAGTGGAGGCACTCAATGATCGTTGGACCCAGACCCTCGCGAGATAGTGTCACTCTATATGGCATAAATCATCAATCACAAAGCTCGATCAAAAGCAGTTCGGGCCACTTGAGCGTTGGTAGCCCTGCTACGGTGCGCCGATCACGTCGCGACAGCAGAAATACAGCGCTAACGGGTTCCCACAGCTTACAGTCGGTCTATCATAGATCATCAAATGGTCTGGCTGTGGGCGGTACCTCCTCTCCAATGTACAGCCCTTACGCAACTCGATGCTCGAGCACACCACGCCGGAGATCAGGCACTTATGTAACATCATCGGGCTCACCCGAGGAGCGACAACCGTCAGCTCTGCGAGAAGCCTTTGCGAACAATGGGGCCCTCAAACGTCAGATTTCACAAGCATCTACACAGGCATCATCAACAAGAAGTAGTAATGGCAATCCTTTTCAATGGGACCCTGCTCCCCTGGCAGCGGCCAAACCTTCCGCACTCAAAGGCAGCCCTAGTGCGCGTAAGGGTCATCGCAGAAAGAACTGCGTACGCATATCTCTTGACCCAACCATCCTAGGCCCTCAGAGCAGATCTCCAAGTCCTTCTGCTATGAATGATATCCAAGAGGAATCGCCAAACGGCACCAGTCTCGAACGATCCGAGATTGGACTAGGTTTCTCCAGCACGAGGTCGCTCCCAAGACCTCCCAGCACATCTATATTCGCACCCGACCTTAAGTTCACAGCGACATCGATCCGCGCCTCGCTGACACCAAGTTCTCCAAGCTTATCAATGGCAAGTTATGATCATGGCCCCATTGGAACTCCAAGATCCGGTCATCAAAGTCCCGCGTCGCCCGAGAATACTACACATGGGAAGAACAGGCTCAGCAATGGATCCATGTTTAGTATACCTAGTTTTCCGAGTCCGTGTCATGGCATTGGGCCAATACATACATTAACATCGCCTCCACCAGTCTTTGCTTTGAGCAGACCTTCTGATGAATACGACCATATCGGAATGGACTCTCCTATCATTCCGTCCTCACCAGCATCGTTGTACCTTCCAGCATCTTCCGAAAGACACTTGTTATATGATCCTAATACTTCGGGAACAACCAATACTGCTCATTCTGGATTGTCAAAACCTTTCTCCATCGTACCGGATCAGTCCTCTTCCGCCTCAAAACGTGTTGTGGATTCCCATGAGGGCAAATCAAGAGACTCTCCACCTTGTTCCCCTAAGACCGAGCGTTCGAATCCATTCCTCTCGTCTTATCATGCTGATGAGGCAACCTATGCTGCTTTTGGGAGTTCCCAGATGGGAGTGGGAACGGTAGATACCATCGACCCAGCCGTTCTCACCCAGGATCCTTTCACTACACTTAACAGCACCCCCAACGCCATTTCTACTGATATAACCTCTACTAAGGTACCAGATCGTGCAATTACTGGACCAAACTCTGCCAAACCCACGGTCGAAGTCATGCCAGAACCAACATCTTCCTCCGAAACTTTTAGCTCATATGCCGAGCAGACCTCCAACAACTGGTTCCTCCAGGGACCCGATGAGCATAAATTGGTGGGAAACACAACGCAAGTCGATGTTGCCCCAACCTCAAACCATGTTCAGTTCTTCTTTGAGGATCCTTCTGGGGACTCCCTGATGCCCCCTTGCTCTCCCCGCCCTGGGCACAAGCAGCTTCCTGCGGCTGGCCTAAACTTCGCAGACATTCCAACATTAACCCCAACACCAAATGGACCTCGTCGTTCTCCTCCACGTCCACTACGATCGTCCATTCAGAAACTGCGCCGCATGAACTCAGATGCGGGTAAGGATGGTGCAGCCAAGAGTGGTCGTGGAGAGCGAAGGTACCTCAGGCTTGGACGAGAAGATTCCATTGCTGTGCCTGGAGAAGAGAGTTGGCTTGACGATCTCGATGACGGCGACGAAGACGAAGGAACTACTCTAACGGAAGAAAAGCAGAGACATCTGGTTGGCGACCTTCTCGATGACTGGGACGAAGGGGAATCGATGCTAAAGCAAGAGGACGAGTCCTCCAGACCCTCTAAACCAATCATCACACAGCATGATCAATCAACGAAGACTGGAAATCCCCAGGTCACGCCAGAGTCCTCGCCAGAGAGAACACCAGATGACAGAGGCTCTAGTATCTGGGAAGATGGCGAGAAATTCTGGATCTCAACTCCACCACAGAAGAGTCCTCCCAACTCTCCTAACAAGCCCCGGAACAACTACATTCCCTTGTCATCTTCCCCTCTTGCCACACCAATCTATTCCTCGGCCAAGTCTAGGAAACGTGACTTCGAAGTTGCTAAAGACGATCCGCACTCCGGATGCGAGAATACTCAGGACATGATTGGAGATTCTCCTATGGATCGGAAGCTGGCTGGGACGAGGTACAGAAAGCGTAATGTGTTGGGCGTGAGCACACCAAATGTAAGGATACAGGTGCAACCACCTACGAGTGGGGCGACTACCGGTACGCCAGGTAGTTTGTATGATACGGACGGTTTTCTAAGAGCGTGAAATTATTATTGCTCTTCCCCTATCGATAAGTAGGTAATGACTAGTTTTTAATCAATAATTTTATCATGAGATGGCCCGAACTTGTGAATGCAATTAGTGTTATATATTCAAACGCTGCAAGCTCTGCGCCGAGTTGAATTTAATGATCTAAGACTTCGCTCAGGTACGAGCTTGTCGATTGACAGTGTCAAAAGTTGGCTATATGCTTGACTGCTCCGTGTTAAGGCCATGCTCAAACAAATAAAAGGACTCTGGCCATCATTGGTCGTTTGTTTAACATTAGTGCATTCTACCGCTCCTGATTTACAGTATTATACATCATTGGATAAACTACAAGTGAAAATCAGCGGCTAACGCTACGATTGAAATGTGAATCCCAAAGGAGACAAGATCTTCTCTTGAGTCACTTTGTTAGCAACCTCTCCGCCGCGCTCAAGTGCAATTGCTCCGATTATAGCGTAAAGGGATGTGGCAAGGACAGCTTCCTGGCCTGAACCTTGAAGATTATCCGCCTGTAGTTGTTAGCACAATCTCAAAGGCATGTGAATATCAAGAAATGAACCTGCCTTCCTTGGTTTCCAGCGGGTCACTTTGTCAAGTCCATAGCGCTGCGCAATTTGAGCTAACCTAGACTTATCTAAGACGCTGTCCTTCGCCTCCTGTGTAAGTCCGGGCAGACCATCCAACGCAACGTGTGTGTAAGGTTTCCGGCCGAAGTTGTCGGCTTCTGGAACCTTAGATGCCTGAGGCGAGCTCAAAAGTGCAAGTGATGTCTGCAACGAAACTATTCTTCGGCCTGAGCAGAAACATTAGCACATGAGGCATATCGACTGAAGCCGTACAAATGCCTACCTAGGAAAGCCAATCGGTCATTGAAACCTCTCCTGCCATGATCGAAGCTCTTGTGCGTCACTGCTAACCATTTGACCTCATCGCTCAAAACTTTGTCTCCACCCGAGCCCAGCATTTTTGAGTACGCATCGTCCAGCCGCCTTGGGTCCTCATTGACTTTGAAAACAGGTCCTTTCGGGAGCGGTCGAGTTCGGAACGGTGCCGTCATGCGCGCAGGAGTCTGCTGCCATCGCGGCCGGTCGGCAGACTCTGTGTCATATTCGGGAGTCCGCCTTGACGATGTGGTTGAAAATGTGCATGCGGAAGTTTCGATGAAGGGTCTTCGAATCGGTTGGGTAGCCTGGGCGCAGCGAATTGTAGACGTTGAGGAGGTTATGATATTTCGTATCGAACTTTTCGAAGCCATTGGTGCGCAAACATGTGGTTATCCAGGATAACTCGGCCGGTGTGGGGAGGGGACAGAGAGATGGTGTGAATAGTTGAAGTTCTGTAATTGCACTTGAAGATGGAAAATGATCAGGGTCCTAGCTGATATCGGTTTAGCGCATTCTTGACGCGTCTAGCCCCAACCTTACGAAGAGGACTTACGACGAGCATCCTGCTTGAAGAGAGGGAGAAAGAGAGAGGTGAGGCTCTCAAAGTGTCATTATGGTCGAAATATCTAGGAATGAGTCTCTGCAGGAAGCACTCACTGCGGCACTGCCCAAAGGTGTCTCGTTCACCTTCTATCACTACTCGACACCTCCGACCAATTCGCCCGCACTCTTCAGTGCGCCGCCGCAACACAAACCCGAACGAACCTACTGCGAGTCGCACTTTTTGGCTGCATCGATAACTCCAGCGAAATCGCAAACGGCTGTTCCTTCTGATGAGCTACTGGTACTTGCGATTGAAGTTCTGGTCTACTCAACGAAAGCCTTGACTACCATCTTTGTCTCGAAAGCCGACTCGACCGGCTATCTGACAGAGCTTAATCTTCCACGCTCACAGGGGGCGTCACCTCCTAAGACAATATGCAGTACATTTGTTTCTTGGTTGGCACGGAGGAGACAGCGTCCGGGGAAGAAGTTGGTAGTTTCTCTATTTGCAAGAGCCCAGGATCAATATTTGTTCCCTGCCAGCATCGACAATCCACAGAAACATGTTTTGGACGACCGAGGCTTGATAAAGTGGTGGTGTAAGGTATTGAATCCGCTTTTGGCTGAATATGCGCCGGAAGAGGACGTCAAGCCTCTCACGGAGCGGTTGAAGGATGTCAAGGACAAAGCTTCGAACAACGGGGGATTACGCACAGAAGAGCGTGCCACTTCGAAAGGATATCTCGTTATACCTGGATATGAAGAACACGAAACATTACGATATGTGTCTTCCCCATCAGATCGGAGCTCACAGCGCCGGTGGGCAGCATCCCATCCATTGCTACAAATCGCCCCCTATCCTGGCGCCCCGCCACGTTGTCTAGTACCTCATTTCCCCGATGATCCCAAATCCAGGTTCCTCGATGAATTGGATGAAGAGCTTCCGGATGCACGTGCAGAGGAGATGACCCAACAAGGAGGAACACCAAGTCGGAGTAATGGCCAGTGGAAGAGCATAAAGAGCTTGGATCAGTTCTGGGAAACCATGGCTTACCGGCAAGAGTGCTCTTCGGGTCGCATAGTTGGGTTTATTTGGGTGGTTATCAAACAACCGAAGGACTCTCTCAAGGAAGAAGAGGGGGAGGATGGGGAGGAAGGTTCATCGCAATCTCAGTCGCAGTACGATTCGAAACCGAGCTCCTTCTCGCAGCCTACAAACACAACGAGAGGAGAGCACACATCAAAGCCGAGGCGAAGGAAGACGAATACCAACCACGGACCAATTCCACTTCTGATACCCAGGATCAAAACCAACAGCTCTGATCTATCTTCTGCATCAATTGGATCTACAGGGGCCTCAAGGATTCCACCAGAGTCAACGGCTCACTTCACCTGGCCCGCAAATACCCGAGGAACCATCTTATTCTCCGCTACATCATATAACCGAGCGCATGAAATAATGTTACAACAAAATTTCGCGACACGAACTGCTGCAGCGAGAAGCACTAAAAGGTGGAAAGATGAGGTTGCCGTTCTGGGAGGAGTCGATAAGTGGGGATGGGAAGTTACTGGACAGCACGAAGCCCAGACTCAAGCTTCAAGTACTGAGGGTGCAGCTCCAACAATGATCCTGGGAGTCAGAAAAAAGAGAAAGCCTGAGCCAACGACGGAGGAGCCGAGTGTACACGCAAACACGAACAGCGTACAGCACCTTGGGGAGAGTCTTGTCAGGAAGAAGCCAAAGGTTGGGGACGTGACTTCGTCTACTGAAAGCATAAATAGTGGTGCAAATGATATCAATGTGCTGAGTGCGGGATTGGTTCGCAAGAAACCAAAGCAGTAGGACGAGGAGAGAGCTTTGGGGTCACATTATGTTTGCATTTTCGGTGTTTGATTTTTGGTCATTGCATATCTTGCAAGATCAGCATGGACTGGATAGCGATCTAGCATTTTCGCCCACAGAGGGTATGGAGTTGGTTATGGGGAATGGGGATTTGGACGTTATTTGTGCTCTTCCGAGTACTCCGTACCTACTTGCGCTATTATTAGGTCGAGCAACAGAGTGCAAGGCTCGCACAGGTGGATTACCAGACAATTGGGACGCACAAAGTATGAAGAATCTATTAATTCAACGATTACCCTGTCACAAGCATTTTTAGAGATTTTCTATCAGTTGCTACTTAATTGTCACTTCTTTAATTTAGTCATCTCCGCGAAGCTGACCGCCGCTCCGACCACTAGGGTAGGTAATCAACTTTAAAGCTTGTTCCTCGTCCATGCCACGCACTCTTCCCCCACGCCTACGGAATACATTCCTTTCCCCCTCCAACCTTTTCTTCTACAACCGCGCATGCGTCGCGTACCGCTTCACGGCACTGAGTCTCGCGATGGCTCGATGCACACCGTCATCAGTCTCATATGTCTGATATGGTTCATCGTCGTCTGGTTAGTGTGCGCTATTGGTGTAATTCAATTGTGCGTTTGTAACAAGACACAACAACACTGGTGCCAGTCGTGGATGATATCTGACTATTGTTTTTACAGATTCCGATACTACTCTCGTAAACCTGCACCGGCAATTTGCCTCACAGACCTCAACGAAGATGACGTACCACATGTCACCATCATCCGACCGGTGAAGGGTTTAGAACCTAGGCTGTACGAGTGCCTCGCAGCGACATTCCGAACAACATACCCGAAGAGCAAGCTCACTATCAGCTTCTGCATATCTTCTCGCAGTGATCCTGCCTTACCGATCCTTCTGCAGCTGCTCCACGATTTCCCCGAGTTCGATGCACGACTCTACGTGGAGGATGAGGACCCCCTTCTACGTGACGACAGCGAGGCGCTAGGGCCGAATCCCAAGATACGGAACATGAGTCGCGCGTATAAGGAAGCCAAAGGTGATATTGTGTGGATACTAGATTGTAATGTCTGGGTGGGAAAGGGGGTCTGTGGCCGTCTGGTTGATTTACTTTGCGGATTTGGGAAGGGCATCCAGTACAAGTTCGTGCACCAGACACCCCTCACCATAGACTTGGATGGTCAGGATATGTCCTCCGAGGATAGGAATCAGCTTTTGGGTGGTCATCAGAGTACCACCGTGGATCTGGCGGCCAGCACTAGTTCAGACCCACGAAACCATGCCCGGGGGCGATTTAGGAAGCTGATGCAGAGGGGTGGCGGACGTTTGGACGAAGCATTCATGTCAAGTGCACATGCGAAATTCTACAACGCGATCAACACCGTTTTGGTAGCCCCCTGTGTCATGGGAAAGAGCACAATGTTCCGTCGCTCACACCTTAATTACGCGACTCGAGGCACACCAGGCCGATCTCCGGGATTGGACGTCTTCTCAGATAACATATGTGAAGATCACCTTATTGGCGACGCTCTCTGGAAGAAGCCTCAGCCATTCGAGGAGCGTGGATACCAGCCAGCACCAGGAGAACACATTGGAAGGTGGGGCAAGCATGGGATGCTATTCGGAGACTTCTGCTTTCAACCCATGTCCCACACTTCTGTCATCGCAACAATCGATCGAAGGGTCCGGTGGCTGCGTGTTCGCAAGTTCACAGTCACAGCCGCCACATTCGTAGAACCCGGCACAGAGGCTATAGTTTGTAGCTTGTTCGGCGCGTATGCCCTGACTTCTCTCGCGATCTTTCCGGAAAGTTTGGTCTCCCAGACTTGGTCTGCATTTGCTGTAGTCTGGCTTCTGAGCATGTCGGCATGGTGTCTTGTCGACTATATTCAGTATCTTTTGCTTCATAGCACCAAGACCATAGAAGTGGATGAGCACACCCCCGATTTCATATTGCCTCAGCGCTTGAACGCTCCCGTATCAACCTCTACATCTAAGACCCCGTTATTGAATACGGACTATCGCACTCCTAGCCTGCTAGATGGGCGGAGAAGAACGTTTAGGCAATGGTGGTTTGCTTGGGTTGGACGAGAGCTGAGCGCGTTTCCTATTTGGACCTGGGCATTCTGGGGCGGCGTTACTGTAGAATGGAGAGGCAGGAAATTTTGGGTTGGGTTGGATATGAAGGTTCACGAGATACAACCAAAATGATTAAAGACACAGCAGGGGTGGTGGCGAGAGAATGACCCTACACCCAGAAATGACGAAGCAAAGACAGAGGAATCACATGAGTAAATAGAATCAAATGCATATATTCGTGAAGGCGTCTTCCTCCTCCTTTCTTCTGACCAAGAAAGGTGGCTAACCTGCACGTAAATTGGAAAGCCGCGCACCAGATTGATTTGGGGTGCCGAGTATCATACCAAGATCTTGACTGCCCCATCGCTTCGGCCTTTGGAGCCACGGACATGTGCTCCTGTGTCTGATACTGCGAAAGCCTCATATATGATACTGCGACTCGGCGGCTTGTGAGGGTCGATGGCTCTGTGTGGTGCAATCTGTTGCTGCAGATTATTGCTCCAGGTAGTTAACGATTGAGCCGTAAAGTACACTCTTCGCCCTTGCTATGTAACTCGATGTGCAAAGTCGAGTAAATGTAAAGTAATTAGTGCCCGGGTAAGAATAGCACATCAAGCCCAGTCGGTAGTGTCCTCTGCCAGCCAGGTCCACCAGCCAAATTAGGATATACACAGTTCAAGTATATTGGCGTCATAGACCAAAGCCTCTAATTCCATTCGCTCCTGATCTCTCGTGGCGATTATTATTGACCAAGATTCCTGATTTAATCGCTTGTTTCATGTTTTTTCCCGCATCAATCAAAGCCAGGGGGGAGATAGATCCCTCGGCCAAGCGTCACCGCTCTGGCTCTTCCGCTGGCGCTGCAGCGATGGCCCGCTGTATGGAACTGGTTGGACCTGGATGGCAATTCAATGGCTACTACCTACGGGCAGTGTCAGCGGCGGAAAGCTAGACGCGCAATCAAAAGTCTCATGTACAGGTCCGGAGTCCCAATCATCTGTTGACTACCCCTTACCAAGCCATCTCAAGCCTGGGCGACGAGCATCCACATCTCCCAACCCGGGAGTCAATCAACTGACAAGGCGCTAAAGAGATTTTGTTATTCCGGAACCTCCGTGCCCCTTGTACCTCTGCATTGAATAAGCAGTATTACCATACGAATTAAACCCTTTCGGATGGCATCGATGGTATCCTGATCGAAATTGACGATATCTTGATCGATATCGATAATTTTCTGTTCAAATAGCGATAATAGTCAATCAGATCCATCCCGCGGTATCCATGTTTTCTATATCGACGCGTCAGAAGGCGATTGAAGCGTTCTGGAGCAGATCATATGGCAAATTTACCGAGTCACTAGCATAGGCCTGTAGATATAGCAATTTTCAGCTTCTTTTCCATACCAAAAAGGATAACAAGAAGGCGGCGGCAGCGTTGTAGGTCAATGTTCATGAGGTAGTTGGAGGAGGAAGGTACTACATCATTGTTAGCGCTGTATTCTAACAAAGGCTAGTATTGAGATGGTTAGACACAGATGTATTGATACAATTCGATACATTTTGGAAAAAACCACTATTTACCGTCTTGCCATTGATTGATTCTCAGCATCCAAGCAACACCAAACATGTCGAGAGTATTGGCATTGTCTTGCGAGTTCCACTTTGGAACCTTTCGAAATACCAAGAGGATGGAGCTCCTTTCTCAAATACCTGCGTACCCAGGGCTCTGCTCCCTTCTGCAATGCTTTTTGGTTTGAACCTTTCCTCTACTCATCTTACCAGTCACTCGTTACAACTACTCGTTTCCGTATTCTTCTTATAATTCTTTTAATTTCAATTGTTTCCTACCCTCTCTAGAAATGAAGTCATTTGCCGTGCTCTCCGCGTTGGGGGCAACTATTGTCCCAGCACTTGCTGGACTTGTCCCTCGCCAGTCTGGAAAACTGCCTCCAGTTGAGGTCAGGGGAAACGCTTTCTTTACAGGAAACGAACGCTTCTACGTTCGTGGAGTTGCCTACCAGCCAGGTAATTTTATCTCAGCATTAGTTCTTCTGTGGTTGTAAAATCTAACGCATTAACCAGGCGGTGCCTCCGATGCTAAGGACCCTCTCCTGGATCTTGATGGACTTAAACGCGACGTGGAAAACTTCAAGAAGCTTGGGATCAATACTGTTCGTATCTACACCATCGATAACTCCCAGAATCATGATGCCGGTATGAAGATTCTTGACGACGCGGGTATTTACCTGGCCTTGGATGCGAACACTCCCGACTACTCGCTCAACCGCGCAAGCCTCCAGTCACTCCACCAGTCCTACAACGACGAATATCTGCAGTCAGTATTTGCAACTGTCGAGCAGTTTGGAAAGTACGACAACACCCTTCTTTACTTCTCTGGTAACGAAGTCATCAATGCGAGGAACAACACCAACGCTGCTCCTTATATCAAGGCAGTGACCCGTGACATGAAGAGATTCATCAACAACCGTCTGGAGCGCAAGATTCCCGTTGGTTACTCCGCCGCCGATGTTGCCGAGAACATTGAGCAGCAAGCCCTCTTCTTCAACTGTGGCACTGATGACGAGCGCTCTGATTTCTTCGCCTTCAACGACTACTCTTGGTGCGATCCCTCTTCATTCAAACAGTCCGGTTGGGACCAGAAGGTCAAGACTTACGAGGACTACAACATCCCCCTCTTTCTTTCTGAGTTCGGATGCATCACCAATACTCGCGAGTGGGGTGAGATTGCTTCCTTGTACCACACCAATATGACCGGCGTCTACTCTGGAGGCCTCGCATACGAATACACCGTCGAGCCCAACGGTTACGGTCTCGTCGAGCTCAAGAACGGAAAGATCACCCCCAACGAAGACTTCGATCGTCTCGTCGATGCATACAAGAAGACCAGCAACCCCCAGGGTGGCGGTGGCTTCAAGCAACGTGGTGAGAAGTCCCAGTGCCCTCCCGAGGATGAAGAATGGGAGGTCAGCAGCACCCTTCTGCCTGCCATTCCTCAGCGCGCTCTCCGCTTCATGACCGAAGGTGCCGGTAAGGGTCCCGGTCTTGAGGGTACCTCGCATTTCGGAAAGGGTGTCTCCTCCACGACCGCTACTCCAGGATCTGGCCAGGCAACCCGCACTCCTACCGGTGGCGCTTCTGCTGAAAACAGCGAGGGACAACCAGGTGCTGCCGCCAACGTTGAGATCCCTCTCCGCTTCCTCGGCCTCCTCGCTGCGAGTATGCTCTTTGGCGCTGTACTTGTATTCTGAGCGGAATGAGCTTCGCGGATACATGAAAATGGAAGAATTTGTGAATAGCTGAATATCCCTCTTTTGGAAAATTTTGGAAGACAACAACTCAAAATCCATCTTTTCCGCGTACATTTCTTGGAGTTTTTTTTTTATCGTGTGACCTGTGCTGGTTATGGGTGGGCCAAATCTCTGACAATTTTAGATGTGCCTCTGCATAGGGGCTTTTTTTACACAACACATTTCAATCGGCGTATATAAGCGTGACACCTTTTTTTTCTTTGCCTCTATGTCGCATCTTCTATTGTCACTAGAAAAATAGCTTAATTGATGACCATTTACGGTTGGCGATTTATACTTTGTGCTTCTGTGCCTTTCTCGTGGAGGATCTTGCTTCTTAACTACGCAGATAATTTCCTTCTGTTGATCCATCAGGGGGTGGATTCTAGCTTCACGATTATCATTCGGGTAACAGTGGAGCCTATGCTGGGAATATCTACAATCTCCTGCGCTAAATCATGGACATATTCCCAGGTAAGACTAAAGTATTGCTTCGATGTGCAGAATACTGCTTGTTTGCAACATTTGTTATGATTAATATAATTTCTATGTGCTTAGCAGCACCAGTGAATTATTGTTTGATCTTTATTGTATCAACTTTATGTGAGAATAGATTCGGGCATCATAGTAAAGAGTAGTAACACTTAATGAAAAGCAATGAGTTGCTGCACTTATCAAGATGGACAAAATATTACGTTAGCACAGAAGTCAAGACTGTTTGATATGAAAACATTGTTTTCATCCATTAGATAGCTCTACCTTTGATATAATTGCTTCAGATAGGAGGTAATGAGTATTTTGATAATAGTGGTCTCTCTGAAGTGTTCTTCAGTCAAGTTAACCAATAGTATTAAGAAAGTGATATGCCAAACAAGTGAAAGAGTATTAGAAAGAGATACATGGGTTTAAGGATTGTATGTACGCTTTGACTGAAACCTGTGGGGTAAATGGCGAAAGTGCAAAAGGTGTTGATTTGTCACTTTTTGCATATTTCTGGTCGGGAATGTTTGGGGCAGAACCGAACGGCCTCACTGTGATAATGTGAAGATTCTACCAAAGATATTCGATGAGAACTTTTGAAAATAGCTGATAAAAACAGATAACCAAGTATTCAACTTCGTATATCAGAGGAATATTGAATTATATTACCACTTCAGTGTATCACGCTCCAATGCCTCTCGTACTGGCGTGAGTGTTATACCGTATTGCCTAGTCTTCTCTAGATCTACACAATAACCCACATCTCTTTGCCATTGCTGTGCAGTCACTGTTAAATGACCCTGCGCTACAAGCTTAGCTGCCTCGTCATCGCTCAGATACTGCACACTGATCTGCTTGCCACTGATCGCACCGAGGAGCTCTGCAAGCTCATCCGCCGTCAGCTTTTCAATCGCAAGCGGAATCTCCTGTCCAGAAAATCTTTCGGGCGCATCCAAGGCCGCGACTGCGAACTTCGCAATGTCTTTTGTGTCGATGAGATCGAGCCGAGTAGAAGGCGTGTATGCAATGCTCAGACGCTGCGTATCTGCGAGGCCAGGGAACATGTAGTTGACCTCAGGGGAGCAGAAATTCTGGACAAAGAACGCAGGTCGCAGGATGGTCCAATTCGGGAATCCGGCTGTCCGCACCAAGTCTTCGATCTTCTGCTTGTTCGTCCAGTACCATGCTAGAGGATAGCTGTCTGCGTCCCAGCCAGGGAAGCTCTCATGATCGCCTGTGCGTGCGACACTCGAGTATATGATATTTTTAACACTTTTGTTGCGGGCAGCGGCGAGGATGTTCTCGGCGAACGAGATCTCGTTGACTGGGTGGGCGGGGATGGCAAAGAAGAGAGATTCCGAGTGTTCAAGGGATGCTTCTATTGATTTGACGTCCGCAAGGTCTCCAGTGTGTAAAGTTGCACCGAGGGACTGCAAATGTTTTGATATGTCTGAAGATGCATTTCTGACCAAGGTATGCACGGTGTAGCCGCGTTCAATGAGTTCACTGATAGCGGCCTGACCTTGTTTTCCCGAACCAGGCAGAACTGTAACGGACGTAGACATGATGTCTGATAGATGTTGACTGGATGGAGAGGGGTTAAGTTAGTACAAACACTCGCGTTTAGAGGATTTTCCTTATATGGCAGCACCAGGCTGGCAATTGTGGATTCAGACTTTCTTGCTCACTAATCAGTTGCCTGCATTTAAGACTGTGGGGACAGTGATAGGCTTTTTAGTATGTTTTTGAAGATTAGTGCAGCGGATGTCTAAAGGAGCATACAACAGTACGAGTAGACACTGCTATGACATCCATGAATCAATCATTAAAAACAATTCAACAGTTCGACGACAGAGCAATGCTTAAAAGTAACATCCGACAAGGGTTTTTTATCCTGGAAAATTAGCGTAATTGATGGCCATCCACGGTTGGCGATTCATACTGAATGCTTTGGTTACCTTTCTCGGCGAAGATCTTGCATATTTCATAGAACTCCATATTCTAAGATGTTCCACCAGCAGGATAACCAAGGCCATAATATAGACACGCATAGAGGATAGAGAAAGAAATACTCCTTGCCTCTTCAAGATTCGCCAAAGACGGGTCGTGAGCTTTGCGAGACCGCCTCGGTAGCTGGGGGAGTTGGTCTTGATGGCTATGACTAGCATCCTTAACAACATCTAATGGCATTATTGGCGTGAAAATACTCTCAATAACCTATGTATCTTAAAATAATCTGTACTGAGGAATATCTACAATTAGCGAATTGTTTCACCCAAGCCCTTACTGGGCTTCGAGCATTCCTGTGAAGTCGCCCGTAACAGGAGTAGCTTTGATCGGGCCAATGTTGAATATAAATGAACCAACGCATTATACAAAGACAAGTAACAAGGCACTATGATTTATTGGACGTAAATGAATTGATAATTCAGTATTGAAATCAAGAGTGGCTATTATAGACTACGTCACAGGTACACTTCCCACCGTTCTCAGAGTACCTGTAGACAGATCAAGGGACCCGCCTCGGACATTTGCGGACATTTAAATTCTACAGTACACCGACCAAGATCCACATTTTCAAGTCAATTAGCTCGATTAGATCAACCAATTTCTAAGCAAGCACATTCTTATCAACTGCAGTCTATTGGACGTTTGACAGCGACTGTACAGCGTAAACGCCTTCGAACGTTGTAATTGAGCCTGCACCTACCAGCTGCCATCTTCTTTGAGCTTCAAGTAATTGACTCATGCCGGAATGACGATTTTCCACTTGAGAAGTCAATCGAAATAAAATCCATAATGGGCATTATTGCTTATAAAATTGTCCGACAGGAGGATTGCCATCCCGTAAACTATACCAGCAGGTTGTTTATATAGGCTTTGAAGATGTCCTCATGGCCTTGTTGCTATTCACAGATTCAGTTCTTCTTATAGATTTGCAGATACAAGACTTGATAAAAAGTAGCAAACAGTCATGGTTGAACGCTCTGATATCCATCCAGTAAGACTGTTTAATTGATTTTCTCATTGACCGAATTGACTGTATTTCAGGGACCACATGTATTCCAACAGCCAGAAGACTTGCCCTGGTATCGGTACGAGGGTCGCGAAGTTGGTGTACTATTCCATGGGCTTAACGTATGGGGAAAAGTAGCTGGTGAAGCACGGGCGAAAGATATTCTTGCCATCTTCCAAGATGTGTTCTTCGAATCACCGATCAACCTTGTTCGTCGCATTATAGGTCGTCGAATACATCGCAATCGACTCCTCATTCACGATGCAGTGGGTACAGCTGAACCTGGGAAGACCTTGCTGGTGCTCGGTCGACCAGGGTCGGGCTGCTCTACGCTACTGAAAGCTCTGGCAAATCAACACGGCTCTTTTGAGAAAGTGGAAGGCCATTTACAACACGGAGCCTTCCCATTTGAAGAGTCAACACGTCTACTTCGATCAAATATTGTGTACAGCGGGGAGGATGATGTTCATTTTCCCACCTTGAGCGTTGGCCACTCCATGGAGTTTGCTTTGAACCTGCGAAAGCCCAAACGACTGGACCATGAATCGAACGCAGATTTCGTTCGACGGCTTTCCAAGACGATACTAGAGTCCCTTGGTATTGCTCATACTAAAGATACCATCGTTGGGGATGCTTTCGTACGCGGAGTATCGGGCGGCGAGCGTAGGCGCGTAACCTTGGCTGAGGTTCTCACAGCTGGACCAGCCATCGTTTGTTGGGATAATCCTCTACGTGGACTCGACAGTTCCTCCGCCTTGAGCTTCCTCAAGCTTCTCAAGACTCTATCGACCACGACTGGTATGACAAACATTGTTACAGCCTACCAAGTCTCGGAAAGTATCTATCAAGAATGCTTCGACCGCGTACTGCTCTTGTATGAGGGCCGCACCATTTACTCTGGACCTGCTGGGAATGAAGCCAAAGCATACTTTACGCATCATCTTGGTTTCCATTGTCCGGACAGGCAGACTACATCTGACTTCCTAACGGCAATAACATCTCCCGAAGAGCGGCAGGTTGTCGAAGGTTTCACACCTCCGCCCCCTATGGATCCTGATGGCCTTGCCGAAAGATTTCGACAAAGTGCCTACTTCAGGGAGCTAGAGATGGATATGAAGCAATTTCGAATTCATGCTGCCGAAGACAAAGGACAGATTGCGGCGATCGAAGAGGACATACGTTCTACCAAACATCCTCTCACTCGAAGGGAGGGTTTCACGACTCGAACATTCCACAGTCAGCTCATCGCAGCTATGACAAGACACTATCAGCTACTATGGGGCATGCGAAAGACTGTATTTACCGTCATCATGTTCAATATCATCAATGCTTTGGTCATCAGCGCTGCTTACTTTTTGTCGCCTGATACAAACAACGGAGCGTTTATGCGGAGCGGTGCTATCTTCTTCGCGCTGATCTTCTTTGCGCTCAATAGCCTGAGTGAGGTCACTCCAATGGTGAAGTCACGCCTGATAATGAAGAAACATTACGAACTTGGCATGCTGCACCCAGGGATAGGCGTAGTGTCCCTAACTTTGGCTGAGCTTCCATTATGCTTTATCCAGACATTGCTGTTCTCGATTCCATACTACTTCATAATAGGGCTTTCGAAGACGGCAAGTGGCTTCTGGTACTTCGAACTCATCATGTTTGCTTCATATGCAGCTTTCATGGCTTTATTCAGAGCAATGGCAGCTTCGGTACCGAACGTTCCCGTGGCACTTATGTTGGCGGGAGCCGCTTTTCCAGTTGTGCTCCTACCTTCTGGTTATGCGCCAATATGGCCAACTCTACTCAGATGGAGCTCGTGGATTCGTCGCATTTCTCCATCACCTTTTGCACTCGAGGCCTTGATGGCCTTCGAATTTTCCCAAGTGACTTTACACTGTGCTCCTGATGAAATGGTCCCAAATGGCGCTGCGTATGAGGCAAGTTCCCCGAACTCTTACATGCCTTTGATAACCTATTGACTTTTGTATAGAACGTTTCACTCATGAACCAAGCCTGCCCGCTTCCAGGGGCCGAGGAAGGTTCAGCCACTTCAACCGGCCCAGATTATCTAGCCACTCGCTTCGACTACTATGCTTCCCATGTTTGGAGAAATTTTGGCATCATTGTCGCAATGTGGGCTATCTATACCTGTATGATGGCAGTTGGTCAGACATGCATGACTAGGCGTGGCGAGGGTGCTGCCGTTGGTCGTCGATACAAGAGAGGTGCTGTGCTACCCAGCGACCTGATGGACAGGCAGGTAGAAAGGAAAGAAGTTGATGTGGAGTCACAAAGCAGTCACCATCCGAATTCGAGTGATCAACATGAAGCTAGTCAGGCAGACAGTCCGGTCTCTAAGGAGTTGGGACTTTCACCATGCAAAAAGCGTGATGAAACCAAGGTAAGGCAATCCCCACGTTTCCATTTTGATATAGAACGCTAAGCTGATTCTAATTCCAACAGGCGGCTTTCACTTTCTCCGAAGTTTCGTATATCGTGTCGGTGGAGGGTGGAAAAAGAAAACTCCTTGACAATGTCAATGGTTATGTGAAACCTGGTCAACTTACCGCACTGATGGGAGTCTCAGGGGCAGGTAAAACAACTTTGCTGGACACCCTTGCGTGGCGGAAGATCGATGGAGAAGTGTCCGGAGATATAAAACTCGGCGGTCGCCCCATCATTGACCTCGGAAACGCTTTCTCACAAGCGTGTGGATTTTGCATGCAACAAGATGTCCACGACGAAGGAACCACGGTGAAAGAAGCACTCGTTTTTTCGGCACTGATGCGCCGTCCGCTTTCTATACCCAAAGAAGAGAAACTCGCACACGTTGAAAAAGTCATCGACCTATTAGCCTTGAGATCTATCCAGGATGCACTTGTCGGCAAACCTGGGGAAGGCGGTTTGGGGGTTGAAGAACGCAAGAGGTTGACCATTGGTGTGGAGCTTGCGGCCGACCCTTCAGCCTTGCTCTTCCTTGATGAACCTACCTCAGGCCTGGACAGTCAAGCTGCTTTCTCTCTCGTGCGTTTTCTTCAAACAATCGCGGCTACTGGTGTACCAATCGTATGCACCATTCACCAACCCTCTGCGATCATCTTCGACATGTTCGACCACATTTTGCTTCTTGCACCAGGAGGAAGAACTGTGTATTTTGGCGAGACAGGCAAGATGTCTAGCACCGTTGTCGACTACTTCTCTCGACATGGTGCTCCTATGGCGCCCAATGCAAACCCGGCGGAGTTCATTCTCGATACCGTTGCGGAGAGAACCCGCGCTGACACATGGACACAACATTGGCGTGAGTCCGCCGAGAACAAGAAATTGAAAGATGACATCGAGACTATCAATCGTTCATCGCCGCATACGGCGGTAATGTCACATAATTTGCCTATACTTCATCAGTGCATTTACCTCACTAAGCGTCATGCTATTTCGATCTGGCGCGACGGGTTCTACAGCTTCAGTCGACTATCCAAAGCCATTTTCATGGCACTTTTCGTGTCATTCAACTTTTTCAAACCTCACAATAGCCAGCAGGACGCACAAAATCGCATCCTTGCGCTATTGATCCTCCAGTGGATTGTTCCGAGCTCTGCCGCCGATTTATTCGACATCTGGTTCTCAAAATGGACTCTCTTCACCACTAGGGAGCGGGCAGGTGTAGGATATTCTCCCTTCTCACTATGCGCGGCCCTCATCATCGTGGAAGTCCCCATTGCCATCATCATCTACACATTCTTCTTCTTGTGCAGCTGGTGGACTGTGGGGTTCGGTTTCGCCGGGTTTGGGTATCTTAATTTCCTTGCCCTTGGAATATTCGGGATAGGTTTCCCATTTGCCATAGCCAGTTTGTGTGCAAACAGCGAATTAGCAGGCTATGCCAGTAGTCTTATTTGGTGTGTCATGGCTACGTTTGGAGGCATCGCTGTTCCGCATGCCGATATGAACAACTTCTATCGTCCGTGGCTATTCTGGGCGGATCCGATGCGTTACTTTTTGGGAGCAACTGCGTCTGTGGGGTTGCATGATGTGCCAATAAAGTGCAGCAAAACTGAAATAGCGACGCTTCAGCCGTTAGATGGCATGACGTGTGGTACGTATCTGCGGGAGTATCTGGCAACGAACACGGGTTACGTTGTCAATCCAGATTCGCGACGAGACTGTGGGTTCTGCCCATATAGTACTGGTGACGAGTACCTGGCTGGGTTTGACTTCTATTTCGATGACAGATGGAGGGACTGGGGAGTATTCACAGCATTTTGTTTCAGCACCTTGGCTATTGCATTCATTTGCAGCTGGCTGAGATACGGGAGAGGAATAAACGTCTCTAAGATCTTTTATAGGTTGAGACAGGTGAAACGATAGTATCAAACCTACTGGGGGCACTCGATGCGTGTTCTTCTTGGGTTCAAGAAAAAAAAAAGATTCATAACTTAGAGATAATCTGTGCTGAGGTAGTTTTGCTTATCTATAGATTCAGGATCTGGGAGGTCGTTCATGATAGAACTCAGCACAGTATTCGCGGGCGGAACATGACGAATTCTCTAGATCAATAATGACGTGCTCAGTTTGGTAGATACTCGGGCTAACGAAAAAGCTAGATACAGTTCTTTACTCTTGATTACCAAGGAGGCAATAAAGCCAACAAGTTATCTAACAACGTCGTAGCCGCGCGCGGCTTGTGTTACATCTGATATCTTATAAGTGATATTGAGGGTTAAACTATAATCAGCATTCACCATTGCAACAATTCCAGAGGATTTATCTGTATTTCTCGATCGATCGGCCCATCTTTTCTCTCGTTCAGACTGAGAATCTGTGAGGCATTAGTAAACATCAGTGGGCCCTGTCGCTAGCTCCCGGATAGCCCACCGTAGTAACAGTACTTTATTTCCATGTATATAGTATTAGCCCCCCATGCATGCTCGCTGACATATAAATTTCAAGTTCATTCTTTATACGCATAACTAGGAAGTTTACTGTGTATAATGTGACCAAATCTGGTCCTCCTTACATACCCATCTTTTCGTTTAGGAAACCGATCATTTAACGATTCATGACCTCACTAGAACTGGCTCCAACATTACCCCTGCAAGTAATGTCCCGAACTTTGGAGCATTTGCACGTCGCCTGCAATAATTGTAAGATGCGCAAGGTTCGCTGCAATGGCGAACAGCCGACGTGTTCAACTTGCTTGAAACAAGGCCGCGAATGCATATACCAACCTCTTAGAGCCCGAGGACGAAAGAAAGGCAGATGTCTCAGAGCTGAACACTCACAGACTGGTCTACCACCTTTGGCTGCGAAACGATGTCGTGAGGTACGTCTAGGCCTGGGAGTAGGTCATGCCGAAACAGGGGCCTTCCAATTCTTTGGGTCTGCTTCGGTTCTTTCATTTTTCCAAGTCTTTTATCGCCGTATTCATGGGAACGAAGATGAATCTTTGTCGCCTGGGGTAATGAGAGTATGGGGTATGGAGCGCTTTGTCTTTCCTCCAGCACATTCAGGATTCGAAGGAGGCCCTATTTCCTCCCATGCATGGATACCAAGGGACCTAGCAGATTGCTTTGTCGACAATTATTTCTTGGTCTGCCATCCTCAGTATCCGTTTTTGAAGCGCTCCGATGTTGAACATGCGCTGACTGCTTCGTATGAGCCCCCTTGCACGGAGAGGATGGCTCAGAGCGGCAACATTACATGTATAGTCTCGAAAAATATCCTACTCATGGTGCTGGCTATTGGTGCCATAACTTGTACAACTTCGCCGCAAGGAGATCCAAAGGAGGCCGAGCGATGGGCGATATATCTTTCTTCCTTAGTGGACTCTCGCAACTTTGTACTCGCCAGTACAACGATTGGAGTGGTTCAATTTCTCCTTCTGAAGAGTATCTTCGGAACCCAACAAATGAGAACTAACGATGCCTATCTGTATGCTGGTCAGGCAGCATTGGCAGCAATAGCACTTGGCATGCATCGTGCTCAAGTGGCTGACGGCTCACAATCAGAACGACATCAAATGCGGGTTACATTTTATATTCTTTACTATACCGAGCGTCTGGCTGCCCTCTTTTACGGTCGTCCATCTTGTTTCCGAGACGAGTTCATCGACGTGCCGTATCCTGAAGACCTACCTGGATCCGAGGGGAGCTGTGCGGACACCAATTTTGCCTATGTGCGCGCCATGGCAGATATCGGCAAGATAGCGGATCAAATAAACGGCCAGATCTACTTTTTGAGTGGTTCTGAAGCCATAAAGAAGGATACCATTCAGAAGTGCGACGCTGGTCTCGACGAGGCAGTCCAAGGACTTCCGCCACATCTGCAATTCTTCGATACAGCCATGCCAATCAGCGCATTTTCGTGGCAAGATGTCCAACGGACACATATAGGTCTCATGTACTACAACTGCCGCATCTTAATTCATCGGCCTTCGGTATGCTTTCTGGGTCTTCACGAGTCACTCAACGATGCGTTAGCTGAAGCTGCAGCTGCGGGCATACCTGATCTCCTGTCCGGCATCGATCGCGCAGTTTCTGCAGCGAATTCCCTCATTCTGCTTGCCCTGGACGCATTCACGGTGCGTGCTCCCATCATGCGCCAAGATTCGGCCGTAGCATACACCGTCATGGGTGCCTGTCTATGTCTACTCTATCACATGCTGGATGGCCCTGCAAAGACATCTATCAATGATGCCACGGCCTTGTTCGACGTAGTTAACAGCGGAATTCAAGTCCTAGAATACATGGAACATCCGGGTCCCTTGTCAGGAAAACGAACTATGAGCGAGAATATCATCAACGTTGCTCGAGATGCCTTTCAGACCGCGCGACATAGCAGCAACAACTCGACCGAAGGCGCGTCATCAGAAGCAGTCGATGAATCGCAACAGGACTACATGAATACATCAACAGCTATATCTCAAAACAATGTTGTTCAGCTGGATCCACTCCTTTCGCACTTCCCGTGGCTTTGGTCAGTATTCATTATCCCCATGACTAAATGCTAATTTGCTAATATCTATTTATGATATAAATAGTGAACCAGTGCTCCCTGCAGCATTTAGCGACACTCAATCCTTATCAAACTTCACCCCGGAAGATACGCCTCTCTATCTCGATGGCAATATCGACGATAATAATACAAGCGGATTCTATTGGACTAATTGCTAGATTGACAACGATACTGGTGAAAAGGACTCGAGAAAAGCCTTGATTAATTCTTTGCCCTAGTTTCAGGGGCCAAGCAGTAGTCGTCAACAGACGATCGTTTCTAATAGAGGATACACATACACTGATAGACGATAGATAGATAGTGAATTTAAAGAGCATGGCAGACGTAGTATTGGAGAAGATAAAGGGCTGCTGGATTAGCCAACTTTGCGAATACTGGTACACGTAATCCTTAACGACATTACAATACCTCTTTCTTACTAGATAAGTACACTGTTCTACTTAAATCTAGACTCATGTCTCTTCTGCATCGTCGGCGTCATCCCAATACTAAACGACACTGACGCGGCAGAACCCACTCTCGGATGTTGATAGACTAGTACAGCTAGGTGCTAAGGAGGACATTAATCATAGGAGTTTGACATCGTAAAGCCGGAAAAGTAGGGAAAACTCGCATAGTAAATGGAATATTCTATTGAGGGAATGTACGACAATCAATCAGTATCGGTCGCAAAGGTGAGCCCATACAGTAGATGGAGCAGCAAGTCACCATCTCGGCGGCGTAATGCTTCGTGTGATGAGGTTGCAGAAGACTGCACAAGAATGGATCGTAAATTGTATCTGTTGAAAACACGACTCAGTTTTAAGTCGTACTCGCTTTCTTGCCGAAGACATGGACATTATATTCGAGAATCCACAATGCCACTACTCGATCTATCTCCACCTGCATGTCGAAGCCTCCACAATCGCCCGTTGACGACAGCAATTGACACACGTCAATGCAGACATTCTCTCGAAACCCAAGCATGCACGACATCGCAACATTGTACGTGACCTTGAAGCACAGACGAGCGCTCTGATGCAGCTGGGGAAACGCCTCAATGAGGCCCGGGGAGTTGTGCTCCGCTTCAGAATGGAGACACTTGAACGTGAGAGGAATAGAGAAGAAGGATCCGGACATCCCATTTGATCAAATCACGTCGAACGCTCACCGCCAAATGAAGGAAGCGAAGGTGCATTCATGCGAGCTTCTTGCAGATGACTAGCCACGGCAAAAGACAAAAAGGGCATTTGAATGACAAAGCCAGAAAACGAACGGCCAGTCGGGGCACTGGGGAACCAGAGCATCGCGAACCATATTTCGCATAGCCGTTCTTACAGTTTATCAAACCGTTCCACTTTATGTAATGTGTCAGTTGGGAGGGTTCGCGACTAGGTAGGTGCATAGATGCTGGCGTGACATGGGGTAGATGGTTGCAAATCGCCCTTCGCGTACCCTTTTCGCACCTGCAGGCTGCACGTCACAACAGCACATGGTGCACTCGACATGGGTGGGAAACCGTCTAGGCCCCGCCTTTGGCCATACAAAATTCACTGTGCGCATTGAGAATATCTCCCGAAGCGTGCGTCGGCAATTGAGTGGGCTGGGCCATGAGTAGCATGGAACTGTGGGGTGCAGGGGGCATGAAACGGCTATGAGACCGTTGAAGGGGTGTTGCAATAGGGGATATGGAACCAGTCACAATTCGACTCTGGAGATGTATTGATGCTGTGCAACGGTAGCAATTGGTTTTGGTTGTTCTGAGTGGTTGATTTAATGGAGGTGTGCGTTGTAATTCAATGCATTGGTTCAGTTGAGGGTGGCAATATAGTGAGCGCCATCGCGAGCGCTATTCCATGGTTCTATGGTTGAGTAGGTCGACAGAAGCCCTCTTTTTTCTTCTTCTTCTCTTTCTTTCTCTGTGTGTTCTGATGGCCTTCTAGAAAGGGCCGTCATGTTGGTTCAACATTGTCTTTTCTATTACCATCTTTATTGAATGTTGTGTCGGCTGGACCGCACCTAATGTGACCACGAATTTCTTACTTCCTTTCGATTCACTTTGTTTTGCTTTGCATCGCCAACTATTTCCACTCGTTTAGCATCATCTACAATCATCCAGGATGGATGCTCTGGTACCTCTCAGTCCCACGGTGGACCCCGTGGATCGCTTCGGGCCTAAGGGACCAGTGAACACTATGGGACCATCGGCGAACAACCGCTTCAACGCCTCATCGAATAACCGTCCGAGCTTCAACCCAGGACGCTTTCAGAATCAGAATAGCGATACAACCATGGCGCCAATTCTCCTCGGTGTAGGTGGTGGCTTGCTATTCATTTCGATATGTTTACTCGCAGCGAGGTTGTGGTCGCGTATGAGGCCAAGGACCAGATTGCATTCAGATGACTGGACTGTCATTGCCGCTACGGTCTGTCTCCAATATTTCTTTCCATGTAGTCGAATAGGACATGTCCTAACATAAATGTAAACAGACACTCGCGATAGCCAACTACATCATCACATCCGCCGCCGTGATCTCGGGCCTAGGACGCCGCCAACGCTTCGTCTCCTTCGCGCGACGTCGAACCGCCATGGAGCTCATCTTCATCGGCCAAGTAGTATGGTACTGGTCGATTCTCCTCGTCAAGATCTCCGTCGCGTGTCTCCTCCTCCGCGTGAAGCGCTCCTCCCGGCCCTGGCGAATCGGCCTGTACAGCCTCATAACGCTCCTAGTCGGCGCGACGATCGTGCAGACCTGCTTCCAATTCCTGCAGTGCCGGCCCTTCCAAGTATACTGGGACCCGCGGGAAAATCGAAAAGGCCGCGTCGAGTGCTTCGACCGCAGCATCATCAACGGCAACATCGTGGCGTTCAGCAGCCTGCAAGTCGCGACCGACCTGCTCTACTCTTTCATCCCCATCACGTTCATCCGGAAACTGCACCTCCCCCGTAGGGAGAAGGTGTTCATGTGCGTGCTCATGGGACTCGGACTTTTCGCGAGCTGCGCGGCTATCATTCGAACCATGACGTTGCAGGAGTTTTATAATTCCCGCGACTTGTTCCGTACGAATGTGTCGATTACGCTGTGGGCGACCGTCGAGCAGCAGTTTGCGACGATTGCGGCGACGTTGCCGACGCTGAAGGCGTTCTTTGAGCGTGCGTTGGTGAGGATTGGGTCGTTCTTTTACGATGAGGGGTCTGAGACGCAGGTTAGGGGGAGGTTGGTGCAGTTTGGGTTGCTGGGGGAGGACGATGTGGTGGAGAGGCCGATGGCGAGGAAGCCGAGTACGTTGGATAGTCCCGGGACGGGGGCTAGGGATAGGAAGGTTAGGGATGAGTTTGGGGATACGATGTCGGATTCGAGGAGCGAGAAGGACATTGAGGCTGCGATTCCTGATTTAAGGAGTGAGAAGGAGACTGAAGCTGCGATTACTGATTCGAAGAACGAGAAGGAAACTGAGGATACGATCTCTGAGTCAAGGAGGGAGAAGGAGATCGAGGATATGTTCTTTAGACCTCCGGTATGAATGTTGTGCGCTGGCAATGAAGTGGATCAGTGACGAGTACTGTAGTATGCTGCGATCATGGAAATTCGCGGGTGGATCATGCGTTGCCACAATTTCAAGTGCTTTAGATGGATAGCAGACTGTTGACCAAGGTACCTCGTTTCTACAGGCGCAGCATGGCTCCGGCGAAGACTATAGTTGGATGCAAGTCTTACCTATTGGAGATCTCATACATAGTCTGGTAGCATTGATACTGATAGTAAGATGGGATGCACTGTGATTCACTCTTTACAATGAGAAGAGTCCTCATAAGAGACATGTTCGTCATTGTTATCCTACAAGACTAGTTCCTACAAGGCTAGTTGCTATGATGCGTAGTAAAGCTACTCCATATCAATATAGACCTGTGAATGAATGCCGTACATGTGATCCTTTAGAACGATCATAACTCTTCACCAAAGATGTTCTACAGCCGTTGGTCTGGGCGGTTGGGGTCGGGTCCATCCCAAGCATCTCCAATGAGCGTCATGCGAGGGCCGCCACTAGTGTTGTCACACCGAGGCACAATCAATTCGCGCTTCTTTGACTCTTTAGTATACAATCCGTCGCTACCCTTGCGAACGTATTGATACTGCATTTTTGCGTCGGCAGGGAGTTCGACCCTGAACATCCAAGATGGGCTATCCTCCGTGTAGCTAGAGGCGTCGCCTGGGACTGCCTCAGTGACTCTCCATTCACCGAGATCAATGGAACTGCCGCTAAGATAGAGGTTCTCGCCAAAGTATGTCGTTGCGTTGACCCAAAACAAAACGATGACCGTGCAACCACCCGCGCCGAGCGGTGCACCGGCCTCGGTTGCAGGCGTGTAAAGACTGAGCACTGAGTCGCCTTCGCAGACGAGGGGCATCTTGCTCGCTTCTGTGCTATTCCAAGAAGGAAGGGGAGAGAGGGGGAACCTGGCTACGCCTCTAGCATTGTCCATTGTCACGAAGGATGCGTACGACCAAGTCAAATCGCGAGCCGAGATCTGAGTGCCGTTTTCCCGACTATACTGTTCGCTCAGCGACCCATCGGGCGGAATGTAGCGTGTACCCATGTCTTCAAAGCCCTCTGCGTACTCAAAGACAGCAGTGGTGAGCCTATAATAGTCGCTACTAGGTGGCTTGTAGGTTCCCGTCTTAGCTGAACCATCTAGGGATTGCCAGAAAGGTAAGTCAAGGTCTGTTATCGTGATACTCCCGACGCTGTTCCACTGCTGTATGGCATAGTAGAGTTGTTCGGCAACGGCAAAAGTGGTGAGGTACCAGGGGTGACCTCCATAATAGATGTCCTCAGCATAGCGACCCGTAGCAATTGCCTCGTGTGATGACTTGTTCTGGTTTATCGCGTAAATGGAACGAAATGAATCGACATAGGCTTTCAGATTAGCTAGAGCGCGCGGTGAACAGGGTTGGAAGGTCAAATCGTCGCAATTGGCTCTAGGATCGAACACTACATGTACTTTAGTATTTGAAAATGAAAGTGAATGACAATATACTTACTCGCAAGTGAAGTGAGCACAGTACTGGCGTCTAAGCCGGTGCGGTTGTAGCCCTCGTCTTCGACGTTGATATTCGACAATGCATATTTTCCGTTCCAAAAGTCCTGGAGGAGACACAAGATATTAGGTGCTTGGGAGGTGTAGGGACTGGTACGGGCGCCTATCTTTTCCCCAAGAGCTGCACCCTCTACGAGAGCACGATGTTGGACTGCAGTGGCGAAGAACGAACTGCCCTCCACCTCCTCCCAAAGATCAAATCCTGTATCATTCCAATACTGTGCGACATAATTGAGGTCGTTCTGTATCACTGGCCAAAGTATCTGTTCCACCTCGTTTCCTTCGTCGTTGCCGTAGCCTTTGAGTAGGTAATTTGCGTACGTAATGAGGGCAATCGCGCGAAGTGCTGGCCCATCGCGTTGTGGACGTCCCCAGTCACCATTGAAGCGGGTGAGATTGGGATAGAACTTGGGTTCTCCAAGACCTTTTCCAGATCCCAATGCACCAGAAGGATTGGAAACGGTCTGCACGATGGCTTGAGCTTTCACATAGTCATCGATGATTGTCTTCACTTCGCCATTGAGTTGCATAAGCTCATTGACAATCAATTTCATGGTCAAGCCCGCATCTCGTGTCCAGGTGAAAAAGTCTTGAGAAGTCAATATGAATTGAAGGAGAGACATGGTCAACAATCAGTGTAGACTTACAATTGGGATCTTGCGTCGAGGGCGACGCGATGATGACACCTGGTAAAGCGCCAGGCGCCTTACCTCCATGAGGACCAATATTGTCGAGGATCCCCTTCATAGAAATCACACGTTGATCACTATCCAAGTCTGGACCGAAGTAATCACGAGGTGAAGTAGGCTTTGCGGTCGCCCCAAGAAGGGAAGCGACACCCAAAGACAATGCGATAGTTCGGAGCAACATTGTGTGAGGTGGACTGGGTTGAAAGAAGGACAGTCCACGCCAGCTCGAGATATAGGTTGTCTTTATGTATCTCGAAGAGGAGTAAGTCGGAGCTTTTAGAAAGGATCGTCAGTCGTCAAGCGTCGATCCTTTTATGGCCAAAGTGTGGGATGCCAAGACTTAGCAAGTGAAGGTAACTCGCTGCTGGCTCGCCCTCTTCGCTATCACTTCAAATTTCTAGAAGGTACCTATTCGAACCGTGCGTCAATCACATAATTCACAAATGAGGTCTATGCTTTGGCACATTACGTTGGATAATCTGACTCTTTTCCAGGAGGGTTGCGACACTGTTGTTTGCTTTCATGTTGTTTGCACACTGGCTCGTAGCTACGAAAGAGATAATGCTGCGTTCAGTACCAATGCAGGACTCCAGGGTATTCAATGTCGGTTACTAAACCCTTGTCGTAGAGAAGGTCGAGGTAGATGAGATGTACCATGCTCGACGCACAAGTGCCGCTCACGCAGCAATAATAAATGAAAGTACCAAGAAAACTGGTACCAACTGACTACGAAGTGACGTCGGCCTAGTCACAGCCCTCCGCACCCTGCATTTGCTCGACAGCATTTTGCCTCTGAAGCTTGATTGAGCTGAGACCACATTATGCAATGAGAGACGATGTAGCTGTATCATGAGGTAGGCCTTGTGGGTTTGCCAGTGACGATCTGTTGGCATTAACCATTACCCAATGCGATTTCGGACAATTTCATGTATAATCAACAAAGATATAGAGCGAGGACATGCAAGGGTGAATCAGATAACTTCCGTGGGATTCAATTTGGTGTTACAATTGACTGTGCAAGGTACTATATGTAGATAAGTGATGAGTCGTAGGAAGAGAGACGTTGGTTCAGGGAAGATATCCATGTGATGATGGGATTGTCGTGAGTCTAGGCCGAAGAAGGCAACGAGCTGGATCCCTGTAGCTCGTATAATACAGAACAGGACGGATAATCCATCATCCCGGTCCCGACGCCACATGTCCCCCTCTACCCCACCATCACCCCACTATGTATGGACTTCTTTGGATGCAATCCAATCTATGAGAGTAGCATTATTCGATAGAGGAAATGGCATCACAACGTTGAAATATCAATCGGAAAATGATCATAGGTGTTAGCTGAATCCGAACAGATGAAGGTAGTACCAATTTCATATCAATTGATCTTCCAGTCGCCGAGGGGGCAAAGGGACTAGAGTTTCTTGGAGATTTCTGTCAATGTTCTGGTACGATGTAGATCAGTTATAAAGGATCATCAACGTCTACCACAACAATGGAATTTCGAGTGAGAGGAGTTTACATCGGGTGATGAGAATGTAATATTATATCTGCAATCATTGTTACCATCGATTTAACTATCCTCCAACCTTGATAACACAGAGTCGGTGGGATATGCATAGCTATCTTCATCAAGTCATCATAACAGTCACACGAGCAAGTCAATTGTTCGATGCATTGATATGCCGCAGGAGCATATTCTGCTTCCTAAGTGCGGATTAAATGTATATTCATTAGACTCATTTCAGCTAATCTAGGTACAAGAAAAACAGCCGTTACCCATCACCAGCCAAGTACTTTTTGCTTGTGTATTACAGGACGCTGACTTCCTGTGTCCATTCCATATTAAAAAGGGCGTTACGTTTAACGGGTAGTGTAACCACCGTCGATGAGGAGATCGGAACCCTGTTGGAGGTTAGTAAATGCTGTCCAGAAGATATCAAACAAGGTTGAGAACTTACGGTGGTGTAAGAAGAGGCGTCAGAAGCGAAGTAGACGTAGGCAGCCTTGAGCTCCTTGGGGTTGGCACCACGACCCATGGGGATCATAGAGTGCCAGAGCTTCTGGATGTCCTGGGGAACGAAGTCGGAGAGACCAGTGTCAATGTATCCGGGGGAGATGGAGTTGACACGGGCGAAGTCCCTCCACTCGTTGGCAAGAGACTTGGCCAAGTGGACGCAGCCAGCCTTTGCGACGTTGTAAGAGGTCTGCTCCTGGGGGAAGTTGGCAATGTGGCCAGACATGGAGGCAGTGATGACGAGGGATCCGGTCTTGCGCTCACGGAAGTGGAGACCGACGGCACGGGCGCAGTTGAAGGTTCCGGTCAAGTCGACATCGAGGACCTCGTTCCACTGCTCGACGGTGGCATCGAGGATACCGTTGTCAGCGGTCTTTCCGGCGTTGGCGATCAAGACATCGACCTTGCCGAAGTCTGCAATGACATCGGCAACGAGCTTCTCGCAGTTGGCGTAGTCGCTGATAACGCACTTGTACGCCTTGACCTTGACACCGTACTTCTCGGAGAGCTCCTTAGCGTTCTTGTCAGCGCCGGTGGAGCGGGAGTTGTAGGTGATGGCAAGGTCGGCACCGAACTCAGCGCAACCACGAGCGGCCTCAATACCGATACCGGTAGGTCCGGAAGCACCGGTGACGATGACAACCTTTCCCTTGAGGGAGAGGAGGTCCTTGAGCTCAGTAGCCTGGGGGATAGGAGTAGGCATTTTGATGTGAATTGGGTTGAGTGATGGGTATGGGTTGGAATGGAATGGGGGAAGTCTGTAGATTGAGATGAGATGAGATGAGATGAATTGGAATGAAAAAAGAACAATGAGAACGGGGGATCAGAGGGGTAGAAGTAGTCGAAGCAGAGTACAGGTTGAGAGAATGGATTTGGGACTAGTGAGGGGTGTGGTTACTGGTATTGCTCGTTGGTCGTACCTTTGGTGGTGGTAGTAGGCACCAGGAAGGGTGGGCTGTGACGTGGGAGTCCTCTTTGGAAAGACTGGAAGCTTGAGGACGTCATGCTGTAGGGTATGATTCGCCAATTAGCTGCAAACGGTGGGTTTCTGTCGGAGACTCTAGGCTTAGGGAGGAGTTACTGAGCCGGGATAGTTCTTTAGATTGTGGATCTGTAGCAGCATCCATAAGCCACAATTCCTTGCTGTAGTCCCCCATCTCTCCATTTCCACCCATACTACCCATGGATTACTTGACGCTACTCATACAGTAGTCAGTAAACCATAAACACACCCCTGGCAATTGTCTGTTTGTTAGTTACTGCTATGACGGGATGATGTGAGTATCCCCTGTCTTTTTCCGCCTTGCCATGCCTTGCGTGGGACGACCCATGGGGACTTTCTCCGGCATACGACAATTGTACGCGTTGTTTTTGTGTGTTGTTGTCATGCCGGTACACATGTACACTGTATGTATGCAGATTGGTATCTATCAGTTGTGTCAACAGGGTTATAATTTTTTTTTCCATTCTGCCAAAAAAAGAAAAGGAAGAGGAGGGGGGGTAGAACGTTGGCGCTTTGTCCCGCGCTCACCCCACTAAACTCTACCTCTACCTCTACACAGTGCCAACAGCATCAATCAACCCTCAATACCTGGCAACAAATCGCTCATCAAGCAAGACAATGTTTGCAATCACGAATTAATTCCTTTACGGCGGCAACAATGTTTCAGGCTTGTCTAAGTTTCCCCTTCTGGCAATACTTCTGTTTAAATTGCACCATGCACTGTCAGCGATAGACATCCTGACATAAAACACACGGGCAATACACAGCACCCACCATACACATGCTATCGCCTCTTCTGATCTAGATCCATAGTCACTAGCCACCAAATGTCGTGGAAAGAAGGCGATCGAAGCCGATCCCGTACAGTTGTGTCTGACTTGCTGGTCATTAGTCGGAAAGAAGCACATCTCCATCCATGACAGTATGTTCCAATTACCCCTCCCCCTCCCTCCCAGTCTAGCATCCGAGCTTGGGGTTGTTGGGAGAGTGACTAATGATTGTAAGAGCTACCCGCCGAGCATTTTATGAAGCCTTTGTCATCGACTGGCCGGCCTAATTGAGCCCCCTTTGGAGCTGGGCCAAGCGATCGAGTTGCTTACACACGCGACGCTGTGCGAGTTTCATTCCAATAGAGTTGACGGTCCGTCCAGCCTTGAATTTCATCGCGGGGTAGCGATGCTGTTAGGTACTCGTCGTAATCTTTGCTTGCCAGCCTACTCGGAGTAGCACCGAACATTTCGCCGCACGCTCCACAACTCCATACCAGTCTTGAACTTGTGATATGCCCGTTCCATTATTAACTCAAGCTCGTATACAGCAAGCCTGAATCCCATACTATGCCTACACTTGTATCTCTTTCGAGGCTCGGTTGCTTCGTAACATCAGCCCTAGCGATGAGAAAGGTAAATGTTCACTGCCCAAACAGCAACCATCGCATTCTCCATTCTCCAAATCCATCTAGAGTACCAGGGCAACTTGGTCAGTCAGAGATTGGGTAAGCATAAGGGCGCTGAGTTGGCTTGGACACTACTGTACCTCCAACATACAACGGTACACCCACAGCTCAATACATACATCTATCCGCAGGACAGTCGACACGGATTCTCGACAGCACACCTGCAGGTCAGACACGCCACACGCCGATCTTGGTCCCTTTCGACCCTGATCTTGTATGCGGCTGCTTCCCGCTGTTACAATAACATCTAGTAGAACTTCACGGTCGCTGTTTTCTAGAGCCAGCTTTGGCTTCGAGAAAAGGCGCAACCAGGATGAGGATTGATTGCAGGTCCCACGGAAAGCGCCGGATGAACTAAACATTGACAAACCACTTTCCACTTTTTCACATTACTCTTGTCGTTATTGTGACATAACCAGTTCTAGAGGCAGCAATGGTGGACATTTGTACGAGTGGTAATTAGTAGCAGCTACCTAACCTACTGTGCGCCTAGGTACGGAATATATAAACTAACAATGCCAGCTAGGGGTGTTGGTGGTGGATCGTAAGAGCCGGACCTGATCGATCGAGAATGAGAATTCGGTGCTAAAATCCACGCAAATCCCCCTCCAAAACAAACTACCGGACATGGTAATTAGCATGTGTTTACTCTCCTACATGATGTACGCGTGTCTACACGTAACAGAGTATACATATTAAACTCCCCCGAACCCCCTGAGTGGAATGTCGATGAGAGAGATTCCCTCCAATATCCAAGCTGAACAGCGGAACGTGATATGGCAGAAAGACAAAACACGCTAAACCGCATTGACGCGGATGCTCAGCTCCTTGCCCTGACTCTCCTGATTGGCCCACCATGGTACGATGTTACTCCTGCGGCTGCCATGCAGAGACAAGACAAGACACCTCATCCCCTCGTAGATCATCACCGACTCCCCATCTTCGCCCCCAAACACAATACTTTGTCGTGCTGTGCTTACTTGTTCTCCTTCATCCATCCATCTCCACCAGATCCGAATTCTACGGTATCTTGTTCCCGTACTGGCTGGCAATAGACTGTTTGTCACTGACATCACATACACCAGCTCAATCCATCTGGCCCCTCCGTCCAGTAGCGCCGTCGCTCATCATGGTCCTCCACGGCCTTCTTCCGAAGCCACTCGCCGCCGATGCGGTATCTGTCGGCCAGCTCCTCATACATCCCTTACACCCCGAACGTGATGGCTTCTACTCCCAGCAAGCACATATCGAAATCGACGACCTCAATGACTACCACATCCAGCTCCGCTACAAGGACATCTTCTCCGTCGATACAGAGGGCCGCTTCATGACAAACTATGGCGCCAAATTCGACCTTGGCCGCATATACAGACAGCCCAACCTGTTGTCCGTCGGTGCTGAGCAAATGATCCAACGTACAAGTCAGAATCCCGGACGAGCATTTCGGGCGGTTCTCGAAGATCCAGAAGCTCGGGAGTGGATAGCTGGTCTGGCTAAAGACGGCAAAGAGTTCTATGTTGTCGTCGGCCTCACGGAGCTTAAAAATGCGACCTTCAAGCGTGCAAAACTCCAGGATTCTGGTGCTTCAAGCCGTTTGAACGAGCTCCCCATAGAAAAGGGTGCAAAGGTTCCACGAGCGGTCAGGCGGGATTCCACGTTGGGGCTCGGCACTGAGGCCTACGTCTCCGGCGTGTTTGGCATGGACGTTCGAAGAGTGACGGCCCGCATCACCCGTCCGGAAGAGCCACATTCTCTTGGGGACATAGGAAAGAGGTGGTACTACTATGACATCCCCAACAGCACCAACAAGGAGCAATTGATGGTCGGTATGGGTGAAGCCCTGAAGGCAAATGAGCTCCGTCTCATGCTCGATCTGAGCGAGGAAGATGTCCAGACGAACTTTGACGTCATCAGCCAGCTGAGCCTCGATGCATTGAGTGCTGCTGCAAGCCCCTTGCTCCGACCCTCTTCACCAGCACTGCGGGGTCGATCACCTTCGCCCAACCCGCAGTTTCGTGCCCCGAATTTCCTCTAGATTATTCCGTTGACGACTGAAATGTTCAGTCACGTTGTGCGAAGGAGAACGTTGGTTGTCGCGTACAGCTTCCATGCATGGCGAATCATTTTGAAGCTCTAGCAAGCTGCAGGCGGCCCTCGGAGACGTGTTGATGAATTACCCTTTACTGCCCTTTTCTGACGGCCTGGCATGTCTTTCACGTCACAACATGACGCTTTCTATACCCATCTCTACTCCTCGCTTCCATGTTCTCATCATTGGTATTTTCACTTGTAATTCACTACGGAGTCAAGGCCCTACTTTTTCCTTGTCACTACATTTTACCATAGATTCCTTACTTTCCAAGTGGCTACTGATATCTGCTTTACCAAACAACATATTCTATTATGTCTTATATGTCCAAGGTCAACCTCTTGTCAAACCATTGTCTTCGCCTGCTATTGTGACCTTGGTTTCCTTCCATACACGAAAAGTCTGTCAAAAATCAGCAACCTGCCCAGCGACTTACCCAAACAAAAACTTACACAGTCTCATACAAATACACCTTCCTCGCGCCCAACAACTGCAACACCTGGTCCACCAACGCCTTAGCCCTATCCTCACTCCACCCAAGCACCTTACAAAACAGCTTCATTCCCATGGGCTCAATCGCATGCCTCAGATCCTCCAGAAAATACACCCCCAACTTCTTCATCCTCTCGCCCTTCGCCCACGGCCCACACGGCCAATTAAACCTCTTCTCCACCACCTCCTCGAACCCCACCTCTCGCATCCACCCGGCGTAATTCTGCACATTATCCCACGGCCTGCCCGACAACCTACTCGCCTCCAACAAATTGTGCAGGAACACATTCAGCGGGTGGTCAGCCGGGGGCTGCGGGTCGAGAAACAGGAACGGAAACAATCCGTCCTGGAGCTCGAGGTAGCCGCCGGGCGCGAGCGCGTCGTACGCCTTCCGGACGATGGAGCGCGGGTCCGAGAAGCAAGAGAGCAGGGCGCGACCGTGGATGTAGTCGAAGGGCCGGCTGAAGGTCCAGTCGTCCTCTGCGTCTGCGATCTCGAAGGTGCAGTTTACGGGGACGTAGTTGGGTTGGATGGGCGAGAGGTCGGTGCCCAGGACGCGGGAGTTGGGGTGTTGTTCGGCGAAGTCCATTGCTGGTGGGTTGGTTAGTGGGCGTGATATGGTTTGGTTTTAGGATGGGGGAAACGAACCCCATATTCCTGTCCCGGTTGCTATGTCGAGAACGTGATGCGGGTTCTCGATCGGAGCTTGGTAGAGCGCGTTGTCGACCGTGAGGAGCCAGAGCATGTGTTGTAGGTCGAGACGGTCACGCTCTTTCTATTAGGAACAATTAGCTATATCCAACTCACTTTATCAAGGATTTGGGTATCTTCTTCTGACAGAAGGGATACTTGACTCCAATGTAAAATTAAAAAAAAGGTCAAAAGTTACCTCGTCGTTCGGCATGACATACTCTTTCACCCGATCCCTAGTTAGCACTTCCATCTCCATCTGTATGAAGCATGGGAATCGAGATGATAGACATACTGCCAGCCTTGTACCCGTGATACGTGCGACCGAACTCTTCTACCATGGCGTAGACTTCAGACCTAGCACTGGTGGTCGATGTCCTATTTACATATTAAACACTAAGTAAGCATTCACCATTTTCAAAATATAAAACAAATGTATCGTTTATTGAATTGAAAGAAGAGAAATAAATGATATCAAAAACACTCACGCGTAACTGAGTCCGCCGATCGCGGAGTCTGAGTCCGAACTCTCCTATCACAGCATACTCATGTCAAAAAAATATGTACTTTGCAACTTTTCTCTTTCTGTACGGAGTATCGTGGTGGGAGTGATATGTGTGATACAAACAAGACGTACATCGCTTTCGGGGATAAGCGGATCACCGCCATACACATGTGGGCCTCCCGTAGCCGTCGGCGGCTGGGCCTGAGCCTGGGCCTGGTGTGCGGCGCCGGCGTCGTCGTGAAAGCTTGACATGGCTGTTCGGGTAGGTGGTCCAAAATGCGGGCGCCTAATTAGGTAGATTGCAGTATGTACGTTGAGTTGCACAAGATCTGGACGGACGGGAGTTCATGTAAAAAAAGGGTCCCCACGCGCGGTGCGGCCTTTGTTGGAGGTGACGAGTTGCGGAACAGCGAGGGAACAAGGGTGCGGAAACCCTTCTTTTTTGTGGGCGTGCATGCATGCATGCGATGGGTATGGTGGATGGGAGGATCTGCAAGCGACATGGCCCCGAAAGTTGCGCGGAACAGCACTGTTGCGAAAAAGGAATATAAAATGCTTCTTTTTTCTTTAGATTTTTTTCGTCACCGTGGGGGGGATGGGAAGAGACGGTGGTGTTGGCTGTGCAGGATGAAAGCATGCTTATTGATTTTTCATATCGTCTACGCGTTATTAATATCTTCTATTATCATTTCTTGATGCCCACGACTACCAAGTTCCGCGGACTCATCTTGTATTCGAAGACGGGCTCCACCCACGCGGTTTCCACCTCAGGCTGCTCCTTCAGCCAGAGCCAGCGGTCGGTCACGATGACGGCCTCTACCACTCCTGCGCTGAATGCCATCAAGCCCCACATGACGCTGAGCTCCTTTTTTTTCTCGAGATTTTGCTGTTCGTAGTTCCGGATATCGTCGTCAGTGAGACCATCCATTTTGGATCGAATGAACTCTGGATCTACCTCGCAGAAACTGTTTGGCGCTGTGAGTTTCCCGATTGCGGCTCGGACGTAGGAGACGAAGTCATTGTAGGCGAATTTACGCAGCGTCCCGATTGTGAGAGGGGTTGTGGTGCCGTCTGAAGATAAGCCAGGTCCCCGTCCGTTGGGTGGTGTCCAGTTCACTTTACTACTATGGCCTGCGGCAGATACTGCCTCGCCATCGAAGCCGTCGCCATTTACGGGCGGCGCGATGACGCCACGGTCAAGGAAGATCCGCTGGAGAAGGGCACGATAGAAATGTCGTGTGAAGAATAGTTCGCTGTCCTCGGGACCCCAGTTGAACGGTGCCTGGACAGCCATCATGCGAGCTGTAATGTTCAGGCGAATACCTTTAGGGGATTCCGAGTTGACGTTTTCGCCATTGGTAGACGAGAATGGCTGATACGGGAGAGGGTACTCTGCCAACCTCTCAGACATCGGGAAGCCATGAGGATCAAAGGCACCGGCGGTTTTCTCTAGGCGGGGATGGTTTGGTCGCAACGTTGGTAGTTTGTACGTAGGTGGACCAAGGCGCTCAGTGACGAGGTTGTAACAGCAACCCACCATTGCTACAGTCGAAACCGCAGGATTCAACAGGAGGGAACGAAGGCCGTGGTGCACGAGATTGCCACACGAATGCAATGACATGACCATCAAGTTCGGCTCCTTCAATTTGGGTACAGCCTCCAGGTTTGCAGGTTCTTCAACGACTCCTGATGGGACTGCGTCTTCGTCCGAGACTCTCGAGCTGTCCAGAATTTGCTCCACGACCGGTCCAAGATCACCATCTTTTATGACATGCCCCACGTACTGAACACTGCCGTGTCCTTCTGTGTATATCTGGAGTGTTGTAGTTGTCGTTTCCGTTTCTTTCCTCACGTCTAATACTTGTTCTGTCTTTGGAGGTGTGCCAGGAGAGTCGTTCTGCTGCGCTCGAGTGTCCATTTCAACAGAGGCATCTTCTTTGACTGGATCTTGGCTCGGTTGCGTGGTAGATACCGGTTCACATCCATCAACATCGCAGCTAATGAGATCCTCCTGGCCGTTCTTCTTGGTAGTGGTATTTGAGTCAACCGATACATCATTACCTTGACTCTTCGATTTTAAACCCTTTTTCCATTTCCCCTGCTTTTTCAATTGTTCCCGGAACTCTTTCTTATTGCGCATCACGAGCGGCTTAGGAACCAGCCGGGCCAGAACATCCATGTTCTTCGCTCCTTCTATGTTGTGCTGTCTACTCTCGACAGCAACTAAATGCTTCGAGTAGGGTGGTGCAGCAAGCGCTCGACCAAGGTAATTTTGCCCGGAACCAAAGTCGACAAGATGCGATATCTCCTTCTTACCAGCGGCCGATATGTCTGTAGTCAGCTTGTCAACGTAGCGGGCAAAATTATCCACTTCGTGAACCTTCTTGACCTTCATTCCTACTGCAATGTGTCGAGCTATGGAGCTTTTACTTAGGGTCGAAGGAAAGTCCCGGCCTAAAAGATGCTTTCTCACTTCCTTTAGGTAATTGATTAAATCCTTAGGAGGGGCTGGACCGTTGCGCCATTCTTTTACAGATTCAGAGTCGAATTGCGTCAAGTCTTCCCTCATGAGCAGGTCCAGGATATCCATTATATCGCATTCTTTGAACCACAAGCGCCATGATTCGGGCAAGATGGTGGAATACAGGTCAGGAGACCGGGTATAAAAATCGAGAATGTGCACTCCGCCACATAGCGTTTGCAACAGCCATGATGAGGTTGCGAATTTTAACAGAGAATCCACATACTCATCTACTGAGGAAAATTCAGCAGATATGGGTAGCGGGGAATCTGGTCCCATGGTTTAGTATATAAGTATTCCGAGGGCTTTTGTGCTGTGAATGAATTTTGGCTTCAGGGATTGAAAAGTGCCCTTCTAGGCGACTAAGACACATTCAATAACTTCTGTATGGATGCGAATTCTCTTTGACATTCCCGTCTGGTGCTGGAGGCAGAACAGAATAAATCCAAGCCCGCTAAAGTTGAGTGACGAGAACGGATATGGCCCGTGCGCCAGGAACCACCGACTTCCGCATGATGGTCGTCATCCTTGTTACCTGACAGGCAGTTACTGTGTACAGATACTCATTCGCTCGGCTTCTCGAATACCCTTTCCACCCTATCCCTTCCGTCGCGTCGTCATATCCCAATCTCCATAGTGCTTCTGTGACCTTACAATAAACATGATGTCTGGAGCAAACGACGAGGACCCTTTCCTACAAGTCCAAGCGTAAGGACCACTCCTTTCCCGAGGTCTAACATAGCTTCTGACATTCACGATAGCGACGTGCTCTCCGCCCTCAATACCACCAGGCCTCTCTTTGCCTCCTACCTTCGCATTCGATCATCTGCCTCATCAGCGACGTCACCAGAGCTCCGAGAAGCCCGTCAAGAGCTCGAGCAGACACTCCAAAACCTAAGTCAAGATTTAGAGGACCTGATAGAAAGCGTCAAGGCCGTCGAGCATGACCCCTACCGCTTTGGTCTCGAGATCGATGAAGTCGAGCGCAGACGGAGACTGGTGAAGGAAGTCGGAGATGAGGTAGAAAACATGCGAGAAGAGCTCCTGCGCTCTGTTCAAGATGCGCAGAACAGGGGCAAGGCAGCCAATGGAGACATGTTGCCAGATCCAGACTCATTTGAGGATGATGATCACTACGCGCAATTCGAACAGGAGCAACAGCTCGAGATGATGCACGAGCAGGACCAAGCTTTGGATGGCGTATTCCGGACCGTGGGGAACCTGCGACAGCAAGCGGACGATATGGGGCGAGAATTGGAGGAACAAGGAGAAATGCTTCAAGACGTCGACAATGTGGCTGACAGGGTCGGCGGGAAGCTCCAAACAGGTCTCCAGAAAGTTGGCTGGGTCATCAAGAAGAACGAAGGCAGGTTCCTGTTGCGTTCTCGAGTAATCATGTTGCTGACTCTTATCTTCGTCTAGATCGTTGGTCCAGCTGCTGCATAGCTGTACTGATATTCGTTTTGATTCTCCTCCTAGTTCTTCTACTTGTTCTCTGAGCTGGAAACAAGTAGCATCATTGCCCTTGTGGCTCCATAACCACAACAGCACATACGGCGCCACATCGGGTTATTTCTCCTGTTGGTGAACTGCTAGAACGGCCGTCAGCAGCCACGACGGCTATCCATCTAGATTGTGCAACTGGCGAAGCAAGCATAGCGTCGGCGCGGCAAATACCGCAAAGCGGAGAAGGCAATTACTGCCAAACAGACGCATGGCCACGGTGCGAGAATAACGAAGTCGCAACGGTCAATCTATGCATCGCCCCACGCTCAAAGTACAGTGGCGCATGCTGAAATAGCTAAATACCGGCTTGCTACAAATGCTCACTGCCGGGATCCACGTACGCGGCATCTATCTTACGTGATGCACAGAGAACGGTGATAGCAATGCGCTACGAGAGGTAGTACCAGAAGCCTAGATAAGCAGTGGGTATGACTGGTGCCGGATGATCTGTACCTTGGGAAGTATTGGTTGTCTAGGGAGATATGATCAATGCGGTAATGCAGGTATACCCCTGGCAGTTACGATCGCACGTGTCTCAAGCCAACTATAATCTTGAAGCATAGCGAACGCTCTAGTTGGACTAAGTCGCAGACTGATGGGACAACATGGGGAATACTATGCTTCCATTCACCAGATATATGACAATCTAACAGAATTTAATAATTTCGAGTTCCGCATTGACTGCTTCGAATTGCAACCCTCATCAACATGTTTCCTCTGTGGCATCACCACATCACGCTCATCCTTGGTTGGCCGGGCATCAAATCTCACCAAGAACATTCCTGAGACCTTTTCTTATGGTACAGTGCCCCTTGCCTCCACTAAAATTCTTGATTCTGTTCACTCCGTGTATCCGGAATGTGATCGGTACCTCCATTGCCGCTAAATTGCCAAATAGTTGTTACTGCTTTCCCTGAGACGCAGCTGGTCGGAGGGCACTTTCAGGCTCAATTCCGAGGTTCGTCCCATCTTAAATCAATTCCACCTATTTGGATCCATCCCACTTCAGTCAATCGTCTTGAACAGTACCTCTGTCCCACGATCAGATCACTTTCGCCATCGTTGTCGTTCTCGCGATGTGCCCGTCCTTCGTTTGTCCTGGTGCCTTCTTCCGTCCACTCTTTCAACAATCAAGCTAGTCGTCGCAGCAGGCTGTATCGTACATTGTTCGGTGACGGCAGACTCAATCGCTTGATGGCCGCATCAGACGGCTGCAGTACCCGATCTGCAGGAATACACATGCCCGAAGCTTCCAAAATCTCTAATCCGATTCGAACACTTCCTCGTCGACAATTGACTCTAATTGGCGTAACTGTCTGTCTTAATATCCTGCTCTGGAGTTCTATTTTCGTTCTCATCACTTCTTTTTATGTTATTGCATCTGATCCTACTGATACCACCAATATACCCACGCATGTATTGACTTTGCTTTCAGTAAGTCCCTCCAACATGGAATAGGTGCTTGAGATAACTAACAGAAAGCAGTCTGTTGGATCTATTGGCTATGTGGTACTCCATACAGTCTTTTCTCTCAAGCAACGAATATGGAGACACCAAAAGCGTCACCCTTCTATCACGAAGATGACATCATATGTCGCTGTTCGAGTTGCTGTCTCGATAACCATCTTGTGGCTCTTGACCTCAGGATGGAACATGATCACCGTCGCCCGACAGCCAATCTGTTTACCTGCTCGACCTGGCTTAGAGGGGTGGGAAGCTGGAGGGACCTGCGTAGTTAGCCGTGTTGCTTTTGCAGTAACTTTCATTGCGTTGTAAGTTCAACTTAGCTACTTCGTGGTTTGTGAAGATTCCTCTGCTAACGGTGCACGATTTAGAATTGCTTCCGGGACCATCTTCGGAATGCTGGCTACGATTAGGCGACCGTTCGAAGCTCATGTGTTCAAAAGCGCCTATCTTCAATCCACTGAGTATGACTCTTCACCTGCACTGGGCCGCCGCTCGTCGGCTTCTCGCAGCACGTCATTCGGGTCGGGCAGGTATGGCTACAACCACATACCGGCCTCTATCCATAGAAGCAGTCCTTCAAACGTCTCCAACGCCGATGTAGAGACTCTGGATCTAAACTCCAGCACTCCACCGCCGTCTATGATCCACGCTCCTGCACCTATCCGATCTATCGGTCTAGGAATCTTCACCTCACAAGCACAACCGCCACCGCTACCCGCCGCATACGTACCGTCCCGCAAAGCGTCTCCTTTCGAAAACGAACCCCCTATATTCCAGCCATCTGCATCTTACCATCATCTACCGCAACCACCACGGATGACAACCTTAGTAACGCCCTCAGGCTTCGTACCCCTCTCAGTACCAATGCAGTATCCTGCATCAGCATGGCGCGCCGTACATCCAATGTACCCATCACCACTAGGCCAAAACACAGGCTCACAAGCAGCCGCGCATTCGCACACCGCACCCGGCCGCAACTTCTCCTACCGCTCCGGCTACTCCCGCTCCTCCATCTCCCTCACGCGTCCCCACCGCCTCAGCACCGCGACTCCCCCCGGCGGCAGCGGCACCTGGAGCTCTCGCAGCTGTTCCAGCGGCCCAGGCGACGACGGCCGCAGCAGCCCGCTCTCAGGCGGCGCCTCGCGCAGCACAAGTGGCACCCGCCAAGCCAGCTCCGACGACATCGCCTACGCCATCCTGAACGGGACTGCCATTCCTGGCCTCGACGTCCCCAGGGTGCCGTACGTGGCAGAGCACAGCCGTAGCGCGAGCGCGCCGGACGCAACGTGTGGCGCGCAGGAGGACGGGGAGGCAGCAGGCGAGCGCAAGGCGAAGGGGTGGAAACCGTCCACGGGCGGCGGCCGGTATAAGCAGAGCAGCAGTGATCAGTCGAGAGATACGTCGGCTTCGACGGACAGGTCGTTCTATCATTCGCTTTTCCCGCGCTCAAGCTCTGCGGATCTGTTTGGTAGGCCCACGGCGGATAGCGGTCTTGCCAATGTTGCCAATGGTGTCAATCGTGATGCTGAAAAGGAGTCGGAGATCGGGCTGAGGATTGCGAGGACCATCAAGGAGATGCCGTTCAGGAAGAGCAGATCAGCGACGTCACTCAGACCGCCGCAGTACCCTACAGCTCCGAGCAGCAGCTCTGCTGCCGCTGCGACTGCAGAGAGACAAGCACCACCGCCGGTGATCAGCAGGATGCCTCAACGGCCCAGGATCCAGAAGAAGACGGTGGACGTCTGGGGAGGGGCAGCTGCAGTGGTGGACCCTGATCTGCACAAGATGACCACCCTGGATAAGCTGAAGAATAAACCTCTCCCGGCGGTCAGAGGCGCCTAGGCTGGGAAAGCTTGTCGTAACCATTCCATTCTACAACGACGTTTTTGGTCGCTTTTGTTTCTTTTGTATTCCACTTTGTTCTGACATCCCAATTGGGATTGTGCGATATGGTGCACAGTCCCGTGATTCTGCATTATTTTCCGTATCATCGGAGGCGTTGGTGATTATCTTTACGCAATCTGCTGGGTGATCCATAAGCACATCACCGCAGTATTCGCTTTCTTACATTCTACAATACTCTCGACCAGTACCTTCATTCGAAGGTCCGGCGCATATCGAATTATTTCATTTGTCTCACTCTTAGAAAGGAGAATTGGATCTGGAATTGTAGTATTAGTACATAACTACCGTAATTACGAGAAGCAAACCGACCGTACTCACTAATCAATCACAACATTATTCATCAACAGATGAATTCCAGGTTGCCTTATGTCGTTCCAACCGGCGTAAATTCGTCCGTTTGGTGAATCCACTGCATCACCAATCACCACCTCAAAGGTACCTAGGTACACACGGAGATACACGCCTGAGTTACCGAGGCGAGCTTCACCTCCCCCACCCAACCTATGCAAAAGTGCACTTCCCCGTCAGCCTTGACAAACGAACCTTCCCTTCCCACCCTCTCAACATCTCCTCCTCCCCCCGGACGAAACGCACCATGACAGCACCAATCTTACAACCCCCTCGTAACCACCAAACGCCTTAGTCCTGCCGTACGATGATGACAACCGGGGGGGATTGTGATTGAGCCTACCACCTACGAAGGCATGTATGTGTGTATGTGCAAGTGAGTGGATTGATAAGCTTATTCGCATTAAGGCGGGGCTCGAATTGTAAACTCCGAGTGCTGCTCACTACATACATACATACATACATACTGTTGAATAGAGTTACAGTTCAGGCTTATTGCGTGTTATGGTGTGAGTACCTAGGTGAGGTATGGCGTCACCAATCATCCTCTTTGTACCATATGTGAATCTTACGCCCGCTTTGCCTTTGTGATTGATTGCTGCGATGCGCGGTACTGCGCTGCGCGGCAATGCGCGGTACTGTGCTGCACTGCATTTTGGCACAAAGCAAACGGGGAAGTGAGTTAGTGTTTGAATTATTGCTGCGAGTAAGACTGGACAAAGGTAAACGACTCGCTGGTTCGGGGGATTGATTCCTGGTTTGCGGTGGCATTGGGTGGGTGTCTACTACTGTGTAAGGTGGGCGGCCGACGAGCGCTGGATCGGTGTGGGGCAATTCGGTGTTCCCGCATCTTGTCTTGTCTCGTCTTAGTGAGTGGAAGTAGTCTACTGTGTAGGTAGGTGGTAGTGTACATGGTGGTGGGAGGGAGGTACTGGTATCTGGTATGTTGACGCTTAACTCCTACTCCTGCCTTACGCATACGCAATAGATAATGCTGTGCCATGCGGAGACAAGGCAGGCCAGCTAAGTCAATGTACTGTATTACTGTGTAGTAATGTTAGACAAGGCTAGAGTTACACACACATACTGAACTGTGTACGCATACGCATACCCCTCCCCCGCTGTTCTCCTTCCCCGATTGCAAGGATCATTGTTCTTTCATGGATTCTTGCGATGGCGTCGTTTCTTACGCCATACCATGCCATTCTATGCCCTACCATTGCCATCTCCCCTCAACTATTTAAATAGGTAGCATTGCTGCTCTTCCAATGCCGAACCTTCCCATGCTCAAACTCATTCATCGTCAATCCCCCCGCTACATCTCCACTTCCACTTTACGTTCTCCTATCCCCTTTCAACACTCCAAGCTCCCTTCACCTCTCACTCGCCATTGCCAACCAAGACAAGGAATACTTCCTTTCGTCTTTGAAGCTCCATATTCAACCAATCCATCCCGTAAACCATCCAATATGACGATCAAGATCATCTACGGAGGTGCCTCCCTGAACCCAGGCTACTATCCCACCGATGAGGGCGTTCAAGAGCTCCTCGCCGTCCTCAAGGAGGAAGGAGTAACTACCATCGACACAGCCCGCCTCTACGCAGGATCAGAAGAGACCATCGGACGCAACACCACCGACTTCATCATCGACACCAAGATCCCAGGAGGCTTCGGGCCCGGCTCAGCCAAGAGAGAGAACCTGATCGCCGGCGCTGACGACTCCCTCGAGAAGCTCAAGATCAAGCAACTCGACGTCTTCTACATCCACGCACCCCCCGTCGACGTCCCCTTCGAGGAGGTTCTCGACGCTGTCAACGAAGTCTACAAGAAGGGTCTCTTCAAGCGCTTCGGCGTCAGCAACTTCACCGCGGAGCAAGTCCAAGAATTCTACGACATCTCCAAGAGCAAAGGCTACATCCTCCCCTCCGTCTACCAGGGCAACTACAGCGCCATCGCCCGCAAGACAGAGACCGAACTCTTCCCCACCCTCCGCAAGCTCGGCTTCAGCTTCTACGCCTACTCTCCCATCGCAGGCGGCTTCCTCGTCAAGACGCTCGAGCAGCTCGACGAGGGCTCCGGCAAGTTCAACGACAACGCCGTCGGCGGCCTGTACAACAAATTGTACAACCGACCCATCTTCCGCGACGCGCTGGCCGACTGGAACGCCATCGCGAAGAAGGAGGGCGTCAGCAATGCGGAGCTCGCGTACAGGTGGATCGCGCACCACAGCTTGCTCAAGGAGGAGCTCGGCGATGCGGTCATCTTTGGTGCCAGTCGTGTGCAGCAGGCGCGTGAGACGACGAAGGCGTTGAAGAAGGGGCCGTTGAGCAGCGAGGCGGCGGAGGCGATCAATGCTATCTGGCCGAAGCTCGAGAAGGAGGCTATCCTCGATAACTGGACTGTCGTGAGTGGTGGTAAGTAGACGCCGAGGGAAGAATCAATGAATGAAAGGAGCGTGTATGTTCTACATTATGATGGGTATGACTGCAACCTGATATAGAAGGCTTGTCAAGATCAATAGCGATTCACTGGGCTTAAGCCATAGATACTAAACTTAAATACAAAAGTAACGAACCATTCAATATTGTGCCAGTGAGTGGTAATTGAGAATCTTTGGTCGTTCCTAATGTATCTGTGACCCTCTATAAATATAACCTACTATTTTCATTATTCCTGTTCCTTTATCGACGGACAAGGCAGCGAGGGACGAATTGCTCGGAGCTCTGGAGCTAGATCCGAATTGGGCTAGCAAGCTGTACTGCCCCTCCCTTCGATAATCAAGCTCGAAGTCCGTAAGGTGAACATTTCCCAAATTCCCAATTCCCAATTCGTGGCTCGTGGAATCAGGCAGAAGCTTCATTGTCTTCTACTCCCAAGTCCTCAATCCCTCACTCTTTATAAAACCTCCCCCCTTCCCCTCCATCAACCCAAAGACGTACCCAACACTTCCTTCCCCTCCTCTTCCCCACCATCACATCATCCTCCCAAGACATCCTCAGTCGCATACGACACACGCCTCCCCACCACCATGGACCAAGCCGCCCGCGGCGCAACCGCGCTGGCCAACAGCAACTACGACGAAGCCATCAAAGAATACACCTCCGCCATTGGCGTCAACCCCTCCGCCGCACGGTACTACATCCAGCGCTCCACCGCCTACCAACGCTCCTCCCGGTACGCAGACGCCCTCGCCGACGCCGAAACCGCCGCCTTCCTCGCATACAAACGCGCGAGTCGCGACCTCATAAAGGACGCCCAGCTGCGGCGCGGCATAGCGCTGTACTTCACTGAGCGGTACGCCGACGCCAAGTTCGTGCTGGACATCGTGCGGAAGATGGACGACAAGGAGAAGAGTCTCGCGATATGGGAGTCGAAGGTTAGCAAGAAGCTGGAGGGACTGGAGGAAGGTGATGAGCGAGGGAAGCTCACGGCGAAGGAGAAGCCCGAGGTGGAAGATCCTAGTGAGAAGAAGAAGACGGCTTCGACTGCTGCCTCGTCAGTGAACGCGGTGAAGGAGGAGAAGGCGGCTGTTGCGCCGGCCCCTGTCGTTCCCACGCCTCCCAGCAAGATAAAGCACGATTGGTACCAGAACAATGAGAACGTGTACTTCACGCTCCTCGCGAAGGGCGTACCCAAGGAAAGCGCGACAGTCGATATCGCGAACACCTCGCTGTCGATATCTTTCCCCGCCCCGGGAGGCTCTGAGTTTGCCTATTCCGTCGAGCCCTTGTGGGCCGAGATCGACCCTTCACAGTCGTCGTTCACCATTAAGGCCACAAAGATCGAGGTCACACTTAAGAAGGCGGCTCCGGGGATTAAGTGGCATGCCCTCGAGGGCGACAGCGACGCACTTCCTGCCACTACTAACGCCGCAGACACCAACAAATCCACGATACCCCTCCACATCCTCAAGTCCAACACCCAAGACAAACCCCCTGCATACCCGACCTCCTCCCGAAAAGGCGCGAAGAACTGGGATAAGCTCGCCGCCGACCTGACCAAAAAGAAGGCCAAGGACGATGATACCACCACAAAGGGCGACGATGACGACGATGCCGGTGTGGACGACTACGAGGAGGGCGATGAGACGAGTCGGTTCTTCAAGCATCTGTACAAGGATGCCACCCCGGACCAGCAGCGCGCCATGATGAAGAGCTACCAAGAGAGCGGAGGTACTGTCCTCAGCACCGACTGGTCGCAAGTCGGGAGCAAGACGATCGTGCCCGAGCCGCCCGAGGGCATGGAGGCGAAGAAGTACTAGGTCGGGTCGCCTAAATAGACATCGACATCGACCTCTAGATCTGATTTACAGGGGAGGCAAACACCTTTTATCGACGATGTATGTTGATATGATTTCACTGAATTACCTTTCATTTTCGCAAGGCGATGAATGCATGTATGCATGCATGTACGCACCACGAGCGAGGGATAAAAGATCACCACCACGATAACAACGGGAGCCTGGGATCGAGGAAAATATCACGCTTTGTATTTGCCTGCAACGCTCGCTTGCATCGCGTGATAGGACACCTCCATGGTTCTTTTCGTGGTGTTTTTTCTTTCCCCCTTGCGAATGGTGCAAGCATGCAATGGTAGCGGTTCATTTTCCATTTTCTGCTTGTTTTCTTAAGTTTCACTGGTTTGGCGTTATGGAAAAGACATCGGGATTTTTCTCATATGCATCTGTACGATTTTTACTACTACTATCTATCGTAACCCTCGAGCGATAGATACAACGGCGGGGGAATGAGAAGCCGGATAAACCTATTCAAGGGCAATAGAAGAAAGACATCAACTATTCTCACAGTTACAATTTCCCCAAACAGTTCCTCTGATTCTCCACTCCTACATACCAGCATGTTACAGCTAACAGACAGACAAAGCAAATACTGCGAGCTCGCTGCGCGATGTAAAGTAGGAGGATCAACTAGTCAATTATTCTATGCACAGAAGCACGAAATCATTACTCGAAAAGGCAGGTGGCCTTTGATTTCTATTCCCAATACACTTTCTTCCCCGCGTAAGCATGCAAGTCGATCGACGTAATGTGTTACACTAAATCTCTCAATAAAGTATCAAGCCGTACATAAGGTCCCAGGCCGCAATTCAGGTCGACTTCTCCAACTCCCCACCCCTGGATTCCCTACGTATTTTAAAGAGATAGGAGAAGAATGAGGCTCAATTGACAACACTATTAACCGCCCGTAACCAATTGCAATGTTCCGGTCAACAATATACCTGGCGACCTTGCTCGTCCTCTCCCTTCCCACCAAAGCAACATGCACCACCCACCAGGCCACCAACCTCACCCACGACACCTTCGACTTCATAATAATCGGCGGCGGCACCGCCGGCCTCGTCCTCGCCAACCGCCTCTCCACGCTCCCCAGCCTCCGAATCGCCGTCATCGAAGCCGGAGACTCAGTCCTCAACAACAGCGTCGTGACCGACATCCTCGGCTTCCCCAACACCATCAGTCTGCCCATCAACTACGCCTACTCAAGCGCGCCGCAGAAGTACACTGATGACCGCGTGCTTCAGTACAGCGGCGGCAGGGCGCTGGGAGGCACCACGACGATCAATGGGATGACGTACCTGCGCGCGGAGCGCGAGCAGATCGACTCCTGGGGAGAATTCCTAGGCAACGAAGGGTGGAGCTGGGATGAACTGTTTCCTTACTACCTCAAGCAAGAGGGCTTCGAGCGGCCAGGGCAAGAGTTGGAAGACAGGGGCGCGGCTTTCGAGGAGGGGTTCCATGGCGAAGAGGGGCCTGTCGCTACGGGGTTCACGCCGTATCTCACGGGGCAGGACTTCTTCGGGGTGATGAGGGAGACGCATGAGGGGGTGGGGATCCCGTGGAATAGGGATGCGAATGGTGGGCGGATGAGGGGGTTTACGGCGGCAACGCAGACGCTGAATGCTACGGCGTTGGTGAGGGCGGATGCGGCGAGGTCGTACTATTATCCTGTTGCGGCTGAACGGCCGAATCTGTCTGTGTTTTTGAATACGACGGCACTGAGGATTGTCTGGGATGAAGAGCGGAGGTCGTCTTCTGGGGAGGTTGTGGCGCGCGGCGTGGAGGTGGAAACGCAGTCGGGTTCGATTGAAGTCATCTCCCTCAGTGACGAGACTGGCGAGATCATCTCCTCTGCAGGATCTATCCGCTCCCCAGGTCTACTCGAGAACTCGGGGGTAGGAAACCCTTCGATCCTCGAACCCCTAGGCATCACTCCCGTCATCGACCTCCCCGGCGTGGGAGGCGGCCTCCAAGACCAACCCAACATCCAAATCATCTACAACTCGAGCACAAACTGGACCGGCTTCCCATCCTTCGCGACCTTCCTCACAGCCGCCGACATCTTCCCTCCCTCCGACCTCTCCGTCCTCCGCGACGAAATCACCGCAAACATCAGCGCCTACGCATCCACCATCGTCGCCTCCTCCCCGCGCGACGAAACCACGCAATCCATCCAAGAACACCTCCTCGCACACCACGCCTCCCAGATCTTCACCCCAAACAGCACGATCCCTCTCGCAGAGATCATCTGGTTCCCAATGGGCACCCTCATCGGCGCCGCATACTGGACGCTCTTCCCCTTCTCCCGAGGAAACATCCACATCACCTCCCCCAACTCAACCCACCCCCCTGCCATCCAACCCAACTTCTTCCACCTAGACCTCGACACCCACCTCCTCGCCGCGACATCCAAAAAAGTGCTCGCCCTGTTCTCAAGCCCGCCTCTCTCATCATACATCACACCCCCCACCACCCCGCTGGCTTCGCCATTCGACATCGCGGAGCTGGGATACCGCGACCCCCGCTGGGCGACTTGGATCAAGGGGTCCTACGGCTCGAATAATCATCCAGTGGCGACGTGCGCGATGATGCCGCGGGAGCTGAACGGCGTGGTGGATGCGGGGGGGAGGGTGTACGGGGTAAGCAATGTGAGGGTCGTGGATGCGGGGACGCTGCCCGCGCAGCTGAGTGGGCATCTTTCGGCGAGTGTTTATGCGGTTGCGGAGAAGATTGCTGATGGGATTCTTGGGGAGAGGAAGGGTGGGAGGTAGATAGATAGATTTGTGGTTGGAAAACTGTGTATATGTATGGCGTATATGTGAGCAATATATGTATGTAGATGGATAGATGGTGATTTAGCACATGCCCGTCAACGACACAAGACCCGCCGCATCCAAACCGGCGGCGGCCATCCCCTCGTCATCCTCCAACAACTTATCAATCCTCTCCACGCTCTTGATCCTCCAAAATGCCTGCGCGCCGTCCACAAACCTCCCCGTGATGCCCCTCACCTCGTCCTCAGGACACGCCGCAAAGCACAGCCTAACGCAATTAAACGCATCCCTCTCATTCACCTCCTCCGTCGCCGCGAACATACTCCCCGGCGCAACAAGACACAAATACGGCTTCTTGGTCCAAAACACCCACAGCGCCTGCGACAGCCGCCGCGCGTCGACCTGCCTCCTCAACGGATGCGTCGAGAAGTCGAACCTAACCCAGACGAACATGCCACCAAGCGGGCGGACAAAATCGAATATCTGTGTGGTTTCGACAACACTCCACTCCTCCTCGCCCCCGTCGTCCGCGACAATGGCAGCCAGCGACGCGCGACGCCCCGCCTTAACGAGATGTTTCCCCTTGGCCAAAACATCGCACATATCGCCCATCCTGCGCTCGTAGTTGCCCCTGAGCCCCTCGAGCCAACGCACCCAGCCGTCGACTTTCCACCCGCTGCCGTCGGACGCGCCGCCCCTGCCCGGATCGGACGACGACTGCGGGCCCATGATGAGTTCAGCGACCATGGACTGCACGAAGCCGGAGGGTTGCTGGGTTGTCGTTTCGGAGATGCGGAGGATGCGTTCCACGAGCGCGGGCTGTGCGGTTATCCAGCCGAGGCGGCAGCCTGGCGCCGCGGTCTTCGAGAATGTGTCGAGGCGGAGGACGCGGCCTTGGTGGTCGATGGAGAGGTAGGAGGGGATGAGGGAGTCGAGGAAGTCGAAGCCGGAGGATTTGGTGGGTTTCGGGGCGGAGGGCGTGGATGGTGTGGTGGAGGACGGGAATTGTAGGTACCAGTAGGGGTCGTCTTCGATGATGATGATGTCGTATTTCATGCAGAGGGCGTAGATTTCTTTGCGCCGGGGTACGCCGAGGGTTCCTGAGGTCGGGTTCTGGCCGATCGTGACGGTGTACATCATGTGTGGGCGGCGACCGCGCGAGAAGTCCCAGTTCTCGAGGACGGAGGCAAGACCGCCTGGGCCGTGGGCCACCATGCCTTCCGAGTCGACGGCGACGGAGACGATGTTGACGCCGCGGGGCTTTGCGGTCTGGACGGCGTTCATGTAGCAGTATTCTTCGACGAGGAGCCCGGGTCGCTCGGAGACGTGGTCGTAGCCTTCGAACCATTCGTTGCTGAGGGCTTGGATCGCCTTGCTGAAGCCGTCCGTGGAGCCGCACGTGAGGATGATTTCGGGGCCGTCTTTGTAGGGGACGAACGGGTGGAGGTTCTCGCGCGTGAATTGCCGGATGAAGTAGTAGAGGGATGGGTAGCCTTGGGAGGTGCCGTACTGGAGGGCGGATTTGAGGTCGATCATGCGCAATGGGTCCTTGTTGCCGGAGTCGTGGGGCACGACCACCCGTGATGATGGCGGGTCATCCTTGGAGGAGGTCGAGGTTGAAGGGGCTTTCGTAGCAGATGGGTCCACAGGTTTGTTTGGCGTGGGCTTCCAGCGATCCGGGTGAGCGACTTTGGCCTCGAGAGTGTCGAAGGGAAAATAGTGGTCGTTTGGGAGGCCTGAAGGGGAGATATGTTAGCAGGTGTCGTCGCATGTAAGATGGGATGAATGGATGAGCGAGAAAGCAAAGTGCGTGGCCTACCGCCGGCGAGCTGGGCAATGCCAGGGATGGTGAAGTACTTGTAGAACTTCTTGACACTGGAAGCCTCTCGAGCTTTGGTGCTGCGGGAGAGGTGGTGGGAGAGGTCGACGGGGGAGGGAAAGGTGGATGGGTCGGAGGTGTAGTAGGACATGTTGTAGATATGCCGAGGGACGTGTTTTTATGTACAACAACAAAAAGGTAGGATGCAGATAGTGCTTTATTGCGACATGTAGGGTTCCAATTGCGATAGTAATAATTACTGCATAAAAAGTCAAGAGATATAGTACTATATGCGATTGGGAATAATAATGGTGTAGAGGAGGGGAGGGAGGGAGGGAGGAGGGCAATAGAGGAGAGATGGATGATGGACGTTGATATTCGTCCGTCCAGCGGTCAGATATCGATAAGAGAGCTGCAAGGTATGTATGCACTATGTGACTAGGTAGTATGTATTGTAGGTATGTATGTACACGGTATTCGTACTGTCGTTGGCTGTATTTCTCGGTATCTCGCTGCCTCGCTGGTAAATTCGTTAGTGCATACGGAGTAGATTAGAAATCCTCCCCTCGACTAGCATCAGAAAATACGCCCGCCTTTCCCCATCCTATCAACCGCCCGTCAAATCATGACGCAGTCATCGCACTTCTCCTCGTATCACCATCACCGTCGCCGATACTGACATTGCATTACTCCCACCTACCTAATTCATGCATGGACGGCAGCTATCGTCCACGGTTAGAGTCGCATTCCTTCGCTCATCTCATCGTCCCTCTCTGCCGTGCCTGCATGAGTATATAAGTGTAGGTGCTGCATGTCGTTGGTTTACATCGCAAAGATATTCCGCACCAACGGTCAGCACCATCCATCACTTAAGATCCATTATTGACTCGTACAGATAGAATACTCATAGCAGTAGCATTATGGGCAGGGCTGAAGACGAAACGCGTACCACGTGCGGCATTCCGGTTGGCGATGGGGGCGAGCGCTGATCTCATGTCATCCATCTGGTGCCAACCACCTTGGGTAACTTGCCTTACAGGTACAACTACTTACTACCACTTCCTCTACTTCTTCCCTATACTCCGTACTTAACCTCTCTCTACTCAATACCCCGTACTCTCCATTGTATCTATGTCTGTATACTACCTCGATATTTCAACTGTTTGATAACCCCAGTGCTCTTTGTTTGTGTCTCATCTCGTCCTTCGGAAGTCCCGGAGCTGTCTATCCGACCAAGTACCCTCTCTGTACATTCGGACACCGCCATTCGGCCTCGCAGTGCCTCTCTACATTATAGTCAAGCTCGAAAGCTTCCCCAGGCATGGGTCCTCACACGACAAATACTCCTTCGGACCCTCCTCCCCAGGTCTACCGCGACGATGATGTCACCAACCCTCACTCTCACGATTCCGACGACTCCGATACGATCCTCATAGACGGCTCCGAAGCCTCCGACGAAGAATACTACCAACAACAAGAACCATATTATGCTCGCAAATATATTCCTCCACGGCTGCTACGAGCCTGGAGAGCTGTCGTGGTCTGGACGAAAGGTCCTCAGCCTCCGAGACCCTGGAAGATACGCCCATTCCTGCCTCGCATCCAATACGCGCCCATCCAGTTCCTACAGAATTATTTCCCGAAGCGAAAACATAAGGTCATACTCTTGATATTCTTCTACTTCTGTTGGCTGCTGTCCTTTGGTCTGGTTCTACATCGTTCAGCTTTCGCTGCCGACGTTCCTGGTTACGGATCGCCTGTGCGCTTGAGGTGCAACGATAGATTTTGGGGTGATGGAAATGGATGCGGGCTGAATGGGGACCTTTGTCGCCCTTTCAATAACATGACCCAACCATTCCGGTGTCCCGCTAATTGCAAGCGGGTTGAGGTTGTGAACCCTCATGCTGTTGGGGATCAAGAGATAAACTATCAGCCGCTGGTTATCGGAGGGCCGACAGACGAAGAGGAATCTCTGAAAAATACATACTACCGCGGTGATTCGTTCATCTGTGGTGCTGCGATCCATGCGGGATTCATCAATGACGCATCTGGTGGCTGTGGAGCACTATCCATCATCGGGGAAAGGGACCATTATCCAAGCATCAACAAGAACCACATCAAGAGCATAGCCTTCGACTCCTACTTTCCGAAATCTTTCACCTTTCTTGAGGGGACTGCTTCTAAGTGCAGAGACCTCCGATGGCCTTTGCTTGCAGTATCCCTCACGTTCACCATCCTCCTATCTCTCTTCACGACATCGCCTGCCGTGTTCTTCCCATCGATCTTCTTTGGCATATTCTTCCATGTAGCACTCGCCTCTGATCCGCCAAACCTCACGGACTACTATGCTATTGTCAGCATTGCACTCGGAAGATTCTTACCGGCGAGCTTCTGCATGTTTGCTGTCTATAAATTCTGCGTCAGACGGCAGTTGTCCGGGCTTCACGCCCAGGTTGAGAAAACCATACTTTGGCTCGGCGGCTGCTGGGTGGGCGCATTGAACAACTACACTTTTGATAAGATCCCAATTGAGCGGCTCACACCTCACGATATCAAGCAACAACCCGGAGCAATCCCCGCCCTGATCATCATTGTCCTGAGCCTCTTCAGCATCGCTCTGGGACAAGCATGGGCGCTACGCGTCGAAGGACGACTGCCGCGATATCTAGCTATCTATGGCATCTTCGTGGCTGTCATACTATCCTTGGTGGCCATTCCCAAGATGAATGTTCGAATCCACCACTACATCCTCGGCCTCGTGCTGGTGCCCGGTACATCGATGCAAACCCGGCCGAGTCTGCTATTCCAAGGCATCCTGGTCGGCCTCTTCATCAACGGGATCGCACGATGGGGATTCGACAGCATCCTCCAGACACCAGACGAGCTCCGCGGCGACGCACAACTCGGAACGCTCCTCCCCATCGTCCTCCCTCCCATCATCCACAACAACTTCGGCCTTAGCCTCCTCCCGAACATCACATTCGAATGGGAGACGCCTTTCCCGAAGCACTTCGACGGCGTGAGCGTGCTCGTCAACGACGTAGAGCGCTTCCGCGGCTACGAGGCAGAGGCGAAATCGTTCACGTGGGTCCGCCATATGGAGGATGTCCCTGAGTATTTCCGCTTCGCGTACCTGCGCGGTAGCGGTAGGGGCGACTACACGAAGGCCGGGGTGTGGCGCAAGGATGGAGGGTGGACGGAGATGGAATCTGGACCGTCGTAGACACCAGAGCCCAGGTCGGATCCCGAATTTTGGGTAGATAGATTGATGAATATCTAGTGACTACGATAAGATGAGATGGCGAGAAGGGGGAGGGGTTCGCGGGGAACCCTCATGCAGGGTCCGTATCAGGTACAGCAGGTATCCGTCTGAGAGCGAGCATGGGGACGCAGCGTGCGCTCTAATCGGGCTTTCGTGCTACAATGATACTGATGGCTTGCCGGACTTGCATTATCGATCGATTACAACAAACTGCACTTTATCACACGAAATAGAAATGCATGCATGCACGCACGCACGCACGCATGTCTGCATCGCATAGCATATTGGTGCGCGCGCGGGCGCATGAAAGACAGGACCGTACTGGTCGTACTGGAACATCACATATAGAGGTTGCTGGATATTCTTGATTTCCCCATAGAACAATAACCAAATCACAAGACTGGCCTCCCAATCCAGACCATCTTCAATGTCTCTGATCTGGCTGACATGGCAGCCTTTTGAAACATCGCTTCCGGCTAAGAGGCACGCGAGCGAGAGAGTTGTAGAATGTGAGATGAGTTGAGTGCACAGAAAGAAAGGCTAGATACACATGTGTCGCCGCCCGCTGGCGTGGTGGCTTACTCCGTTTCTACCGTCTACGCTCTACCTACGGAGTATGCACATTCTACGATACAGACTACCACGATCAAGCCGGCAAGCAAACCGCACCAGGGGACGAGACCCTCTCATGGTGCGTCGTCGGTCGATTGCATCCGGTGGCCAGGTGTGCGGCACCTCACCATGTCTCTGTTGGTGCTATCCAGCATTTCAGATAGATTGCCCGTACCAATCTTTTTGCTCTCGCCGCTGTGGGAACATCGTGCATTTCCGTGGCACGCTGTACATGACCGATGTTAACAAGTGCAGACGGAGTGTAATTGTGCCGCTTCTTTCATGTTAGGTGGGTAGACGTGTACATATCCCTTTCTCACCATCATCGTCGTCATTGGCGATAGCGGCGTCGTGCAGGTGATGAGGCTATCTACATCCATTGTTCCTCCCATCCTTTGATCCTCCAATCCGTCCAGACGCGCGGCGTGATGGCTTTGCGGTGAGTATCTACGAACAGGTGGGCAGATAGAAGCGTGGTGGCACGAAGGAATCAATCGAGCATGTTGCGCCTTCTTCCTTTATCCTGAGCTGAATGCAAACGAGACGAAAGCAACTTCTGTAACTTTTAATCACCGCTGCACGATTTCACGACTGTACATACGGGGAGCAATTGGGCACGGCAACATGACATGATTGGCCACCCGCTCCGTCCCTTCCAGCGGAGATTTAATCTTAACCCGTCCACCCAATCGTAGGTACTCCGTAGCTAGTCAACTTGTAGAAAGCATCTCACATCATCTCTGCGTCTTCACCATCCCATCCCCAATGTCCGATCTTCTGCTATCGATAGGCTTGGAGGAGTAATTGAGGGGGCGCGCGAGAAACTTTTAATTTGCCTTATATCACCTTACCTATCCTCCTCCGCCGGCCAAACCGATTGGGGGCAAAGGATGGAGGGGAGGGGATTAGGATGCACGATGGAGTTGGGCTGGGTCGTCGCGGGCGCTTACTTACATTAAACCCCCTCCCCCGTTTTCCTGGTGCATCCTTCATATCGACGATAGCTGGCGAATTTGCGATGTGGTTTGTACGGAAGTGTTGGTTTGTCTCAGGTCGGGCGGTGTGCCGTAGATGGTACGGTAGTTAGCAAGGGGGTGAGAACGAGAGCTGAACTCATGATGTGTGCTACGTTTTGTGAAATGTTCTACAAAACTTCGGAGTACATAGGCAGTTGCGTACTCGTGGTGGATTTGCCGTTTTATTATCTATTGGTCGTTTTGCGCGTTCATTTCGTTTATGGGTGGTTACGAATTACAATAGTACATGTAGTTAGTAGGAGAAAAGCACAGGATTGCTTGGGAGGAACCACGGCGTAATTTCTTTTCTCTTATTCTTTAGAATTCCACCGAGCGAGCGAGAGTGGTTTTGTTTGGCGCGCCCGCCGACCGACCCCATATAGCATGGTGGGCGGCAACCATGAGGACAATGCCATATTGAGATTGTGATGATACGTAACTTACACACTTGGAAGTATTCACACACTTGATCAAGATGATGATGTTCAGCTGTGGTGACTCCGGGGAATTTATCCCACATTTCACTTTCCCTCTGGAGGAGAGAGATCTGCCCGTCCTTCCCAATGGGTCTGCTGTTACCGGCCGGCAGCAGCCTTGAGATTTGAGGCGTGGTGATCCGTTTAGTGCGTGTGTGCGCGTGCTCCCCTGACAATGATCCTGATGACGATGATGATGATGGAATTGGGGAGATACGAATCACGATTTGATTCCTTTGTTAAAGGATGGATCCACAAGAGCGTTACGGGGCGTGGAGAGATAGAGAGATAGTAAGGATTCGAGAAGGATGGAATCCATCATGGTGTCAGAGTACGTATACAACTACCATACGATGAGGATGAACAACAGAACAACAAACAACATAAACTTACGTCGCCCTGGAGCGAACAAGCAACATACGTGTAAAAGACTAAAAGTGTAAAATGTTCAATTCATCCTGATTCCTCTGGGATCAAAAGGGGGGGAGGGAATCTTCTCGTCGCCTGTCTTGGATTGCCTCTTGGAGACAGACGTGCTCTCGCTGGGCGATACTTGCACTGCACTTGGAATCTGCACTACCGACCTACCAAGGTATTGTATGGACTGTAACTTTGTACGCTGAGGGACCTGAGAGGTCGACGGCCCACTGTTATGATGCTACTCGCTCTTTGAGGATCGCCTGGAGATTGCGATCAAGCGTGTGCACGGGAGAGAGAGCGGTGCCCACCGACACGGCCCCCTACATTACTTGCAACTGGGGCTCTGGGAGGAGCAAAGAGGCGACGATCCAACCCCTCGGCGTGCACGGCATGTTCTTTTGTTCGAACTTTGGTTCTTGGGGGATTTTTATTGGAAGTGGGGACGGCTTTCTTGTGTGAGGCTATTGAATTATTGGCGAAGTGGTCGTGATACAAGCCGTCGTGGTCGTGGTCGTGTGCTTGTGTGCCTGTGTGCTTTCAGGTGGTTAGTTACTCGTAGGTGTTTTATTTTCAGGTACCGGTTCAGGCACAGAAACAGGAGGGACCAAGGATGGTGAGGCAAAGGTCGGTTTGCAACACTGGTCCCATATCTCATCAGCGGCCAAAGATAGATCCAATCGATAGGGTGAATAAACGCGGCGCAGGGGCAGTGCAGGGCAGGTCAGGGCAAACTGTCATGTTCGGGCGCAAGGCTGCATTGGATGTCTTTCTATATACACAATAGTGATAGATACATGGATGGCATTACGGCACAGGTACATATTGTACAAGGCACTCATACAAAAGTGACTTGCAGTTATGTTCTGTGAATGTACCTGAGTACAGACAATACAAGTAAGTATGCCAAGGGGCATTGGGGCGATCCCTTACCGACTGTTTCAGGAGGTCGTTTGCGCCTTAGTGGCCGGATATACCTTGCAAATGTTAATGTTAATGTCCTTTAATGGGGGACTCTCATCACTGATTCACTGTCTGTTATCCACTGTGTAATCACTGTAATGTGCACAGGGTCATGGTCCTGTGTCTCCCTTGACCTTGTCACTCTTGAGTCTTGTCTTGTGTTCCTTGCACGGGCGGCTGCCCACCCCCCCCATCCCATCCCCAAATCCCCAATCCTAATCTCATCCCATTCCCCTTCCTATGGACCTATCCCATCACAGGCCACAGTGTGCATGCACCATGTCAGGTACCATGTCAGATATCCAAGGAGCCCCGGGCTAAAGTGGGTTTCACTTCTTTAAACAGAAGCATTCCTTTCATATCCCCTTAGAAAACACCACTGGCCCCTCAAATCTGGTGATACTCTCTCTCTTTTGCTTCCTCCCCCTCCCTTCCTTTTCCCTTTCGCCATCGGACCCAAACCCTCAACGGGACTCAGTCACTCCTTATTCTGCTCGTCCGTCGCTCGCTCGCTATCTCCAATCTATCCAATATTCGCTCAGCGCCTGGCCTGAGCTGTCACTCTTTTCGTGTGTATACTCTTCGAACAACAAGGCTGCTTCGCTCCACGGAAAGTCCTGGTGGCTAGGAAACGACTCCCATCCCTTTGACTCGCAATATCATTCGAATCGATCCATCATCATCATCATCGCTCAAATATCAATTATCCGGAATTTGTACGCTTTCCGCCAATTAGATCTTACGAATCCACATTCGACAAGGAACTGTAAAAGTAAATCCGAAAGTGGAAGAGACGGCTAGAAGAGAAGGAATAGAAATCGCAAGTGCATAGGAGATATCAAACCAGAAGCGCAAAACACCCAACGTCTACTTTTGCGCGACATCTTCGACTCGTTCGCCAAGATGAAGTCTACTACAACATTCGCCACGACAGTGGCCATCCTCTCTGGAACTGCCGATGCTTTCTGGCGCATGGAATGCCGTGGCCGTACAGGTCTCGCGCGTATCGATCCTCTCGTCGAGCCTGGTATCGTCGCAAACCATGCGCATGCGATCCATGGTGGAAGCAGTAAGTAGAAGATCGTCCTCTCCCCACTCTTTGGTTCTAGCCCCGTGTTGCTCCTGCGACCGAACGAATGAACGACAGGACGGACGAACCATATCATGCATACATGGCTCAAACGTCCCCACACGTTCGCTCGTTCGTTCACGAGCAAGCATGTCGATCGCATTTTGTGTTGTGTGTGTGGAAGGTTGTAAGACCGCGAAGCGCATTGGGTTTCACATCCTCCGAAGCGCAATTCGCTAACGCTATTGTTGTTTAGACTTCGGAATGACCACCGACTACAACAAACTCATTGAGTCTGATTGCACCTCTTGCATGGTCGAGCAGGACAAGTCTGCGTACTGGTAGGTTCAATAATCTTGACAGTCCGAAACCGTAAGATCTCGAGTTCGCTAACATGTTGTTAGGACTCCATCCCTTCATTTCATCCATGAGGATGGCAAGGCCGAAGTCGTTGGCCAAGCAGGTGGCATGCTCGCTTACTACCTGCTCCCCGGCGAGGGTGATCCTGGCTACAATGTCACTGCGTTCCCCAAGGATTTCAGAATGCTCGCCGGTGATACTCGCCAACGAAACTTCACCGGACCATTCCCTGACAAGGAGAAGTCGTTATGGGGTCCCGAGGACAAGACTCAAGCGTCTCTTGCGCAGAAGGCCATTGGCTTCAACTGCTTGGACTACAGCAAACAAGGCGAACCCACGGCCTATCGCCATTTCCTACCTGACAAGGCTTATTTGGATGCGAACTGCAAGAACGGCACTCGAGCTGAGATCTTCTTCCCATCATGCTGGGACGGTAAGAACAACGACAGCCCAAACCACAAGGACCATGTCGCCTATCCTGACCTCGTCAATGCTGGAAAATGCCCCTCGAGCCACCCTGTCCAGCTGCCAATTCTTCTCTACGAGACCATCTGGGAGACCAAAGCTTTGGACGGCAAGAAAGGTCAATTCACCTTCGCCAATGGTGACCCTACTGGTAAGCGTTGCTGCCCTCATTATGTTTCAGGTGACAGCCAACTTACAACACGCAGGTTTTGGTTACCACGCAGATTTCATGATGGGCTGGAAGGACGACCAATTCCTCAAAGATGCTGTTGCCAAGTGCACCAACAAGTCTGGCAGGATTGAGGATTGCCCTGTCTTTACCCAGAACGGAGCAAAGGGTACCCCCGGACAGGACGGCAGCTTCCTCCAAACCGAACAAAAGATGCAGCAGTGCAAGTTCGCCGAAGTCCAGGCCCTCGACAACGACAACTGCGCAGGCCCTGCCGACGGCCTTTGCGGAAACGTCCGTATCCAGCCCGGTCCAGCATACGCAGAGCTCATGAAGCCTGGTAACCCGGCTGCCCCAACTCCCGGTTACACCCCTGGCCCATCTGCTGTTCCCTCTGTGCCAGTCCTCTCGTATACCACTCCTCGAACCGTGGTCAACGGCATCTCCATCTACAACATCAAGGGAGACGGTGGTGTCAAGTCGGCGCCGCCAGAGATCCCAGCAGCACCGTCGAGCAGCAGCACCCCGTCCTCTACCACCGCCTCAACTACATCGGCCCCTGTTGCTGCAGTTCTCAACGTGCCAGCACCCACTGCTCAGCCACCTGCTCCCACACCAGCAGCAGTCGTTCCCGATACTGTTCCTGGATCCGTCGTGTCCACCAAGACTTTCACCAGTGCAGGCACCGTCTACGAGGTCGCCATCAAGGAAGTCCAAGTTTACGTGACGGTCACGGCCACCCCAGCGGGAGCACCACAGCCACCGAAACTGCACCGTCGTCACGTGCACCACAACCTCCACCGTCGGGGTCATGGCTTACTTCGACAGTAAGTGGCTTGCGAACGACATGGACAATTTCGTTGTGGATGCATCTCCTTCTGCATGCATGGGCGTTGAATTTATTTTCCCACCTTCCAGCATCTATTAAAACATGGTTCCCTCAACTCCCCTCCAGCGTCGCAGTACACGAAAGCGGCCGAGGGTCAAACGGCCAGGGCGGTACATTCGAAAGTAAATATATATGATGGTTCGAAAAGGTCTTCCTTGGATTGTGTGTGTTCTATTGCGCGCGCATCTGTGTGCGGCCTTGTTTCTTTTTATATACCTTGATTTTGTTTTGTCTACTTTTGTTTTCGTCAGTATTTTGTTTCTTCATCATCACGAATGGCTTAGGGAATTGCGAATTTTCAGAAGGCGTGTTGGAAGGCTGCGCCGGAGAACACGCTGGGGAGGGAGGGCATGCTCTGAGGAAGCTCAAGCATGACATAGCCAAGGGGAGTTCGACCCAGTATCGTGCTGGGTGCTTCCGTCATCATCATCATCGTCATCAAATGCAAGAAAGAAAGATAGCAAGAAAGACGTGTGTATACATTGTGGAATGTTGAAGTGCAGTGAGAAAGTATGATGATGACTGTGATCGGGTCCGATAACTGATGATGAATCCTCGTCTACCCCGCGTTGTCGCCAATTGATACCCCAGGCCCATACCAAACGTGGCGCAGCCTTGCGAACGAATGTTGATTGACAGCACGACAACACGACGAAGCCAAGGGTAACCCTCCCTCATTCAGCTCACATTGTAATGGGCTGAGGTGTGGATGGTTGGTGAGAAATGGTACAGCTTGGGTGGTATTCATTGATCAGCCTTGTCGCCCCTTCCGGTGAAAATGCGATAATTGCAGACTGACAGACTCACAGAATGCCAGACGGACAGACATTTTCGCATTAATTCGCCTGCATCAGTCTCGCTGCCTATTCGAACCACGTTTTCCCTTCTACCTCTATACATAGTTGTTGCCTGTGACAGCATTTGCAGCTTACAGGTCGAGATCCATCTGAGATGCATGCACTAGCATCTCAGCATGCAGCAACTCCTCTACTGCTGCTGGTCATCCACCACATCATCCACCATGCATCATGCTGATTCTGTCTTCGCATCTCCTGACTGGTCGTCCATTCCAATTTCTTCCGCTTCACCAAGTATTTCGCTGCAACCTCCTTAGCTGTACCCGCTGCACCGCTCTTCGCGCCGACCCCAACTCGTTACTGTACCATACATACTCACTCGACCATCCTAATGCTGCCTGAAACCCTATCCACTGCACACCAATTGCCATAATCGGCCTGACACCCTGCGCACCCATTCCTGAGGCAGATCGCCTTTCAGGGAGAAAATGCCGAACGACGTCTATTATCGTGCTCGTTTGATCAGTCTCGTTCGCATGCAGAGGCTCCGCCATGTCCACTGTATATGTATATATGCACCTTGTGCATCCACGTAGATTCGATTTAACTCTCCTTTTGTGTTTTGATCCATCGCATTGATCCTTTTGCAAAATTTTCAGTCAGATTCACTACAGAATCACTACAGAGGCACTAAAAAAAGACTGTGTGGGTTTGTCTGCCTGGGAGGCCGTGCGTTGGGTTTTGGAAAAGTGAATATAAAAGCTCAAGTCTGATCGACTTTCTTTCCTGCAATACTGATCTCTTTCTCAGTCATTACACTACTATTCTTGGCTGTGATCGATCTATCTGGTAGATCTTTCTATAAAGAAGTCAGTTGTGCGCATTGAGACAGGTCCTTGTCTCTCGTCAACAGCCAAACCACCTTGTCTATTTTGAAATCGCAATCATGATAGACCTATCCAGCCTCAACAGGCTCCAGTTCGACACCTCCGCGTTCAATTCCACCGTCACCAGTCTCCCGTCCACTCTTCTGGACGCACTGATTCCCGGCTATGGAATCCTATCCAGTCTGGTCTTCAATCTTCTCGGTGTTGACATCGGCCTCGCAGTCTCGGGATGCCTGGTCGTCTTTGGTCTAGCAAAGGGCGCTCAGTTCCTCTACACTCGGTCCTACGACCTGTTCGCCGCATACTTCATGTCGTCGATCCAGATCGAAGACGACGACTCACTCTTCTCGCAGATCATGGAATGGATCGCCGAACAGCAAATGACCAAGATCTCGCGCGACCTCAAGGCAGTGACAAAATGGGTGTCCGCCTACGAAGAGAGCAGCGAGGAGGCCAAAGCCAGCGACGAGGACGTCCTAGACGAGGCCGGCATCTTCAACTTCGAAAAGTGGGCTTCCAACATCCCGCCGAGGTACGAGCCCAACTTCGGCAGCGACAAGTTCTACTACAAGGGCCGGCGGTTCATCTTCGCGCGCACGCGCCGAGAGAAGAAGTCGCAGAGCTTCTTCGGGAAGGCTGAGGACCAGACGCTGGATATCAAGTGCATAGGACGCACGACCGAGCCTATCAAGGAGCTGCTGAATCATATCAAGCGATGGACGCTCACCAAGGACAACAAAATGACCGCAATCCACCGACCGTCGCCAAAAGAGGAGAGGTCGAACTACGCTTGGGACAGACAGTCACTCAGGCCGTCGCGACCAATGAGCTCCGTTTCCCTGGACCAGAAGCAGAAGGCAATGGTCGTCATGGACATCAACGAGTACCTGCATCCTGCGAGCGCCCGATGGTACGCCGCACGAGGTATCCCATACCGACGTGGATACCTCCTCTACGGACCTCCTGGCACCGGCAAGACCTCGCTGTCATTTGCTCTCGCCGGTATCTTCGGGCTTGACATCTACTGCATCTCGCTCATGGAAATCGGCCTCACCGAATCCGACCTCAACAAACTCTTCTCCCAGCTCCCGCGCCGCTGCATCGTCCTCCTCGAAGACATCGACTCGGCCGGTCTCCGCCGCCCAGACGACGCGCCCACCGACGCCGCCGCCAAAGAAGGCGAAGAAGCCACCAGCGAGACCTCCACCGACGACGGCAACCTCACCAAGATCAGCAAGACGGATCCCACGAAGGCCTCCGTCCCAGGGCAGTCGCAAGTCGGCTTCAAGTCCCTCATCTCGCTCTCCGGGCTCCTCAACGCCATCGACGGCGTCGCCTCCCACGAGGGACGCGTCCTCATCATGACGACCAACCTCCCCGAGAAACTCGACGCCGCGCTCATCCGGCCTGGCAGAGTCGATCTGCAGGTGCAATTCACGCTCGCGACGCGCGACCAGATGCGCGACATCTTCAAGCGGATGTACAACACGCACGAGGTCGCCAAAGCCAAAGCTCCGGCTAAGCGCAAAGCCGTGCCTTCCTCCCCAACGACGGGGAAGTTCGGACGGTCGGGCAGCACGAAGGAAGATGCGGAGTTCCTCGACCTCTTGGCGCGCGAGCCCGCGCTCGACGTCGTGGATCCGGAGAGGCTTAAGGAGATGGCGAATGAGTTCGCGGATCAGCTTCCTGAGAGGCAGTTCTCGCCTGCGGAGATCCAGGGGTTCTTGCTCATGCGGAAGAAGGAGCCGTCGAGGGCGTTGAGGGAGGTCGCGAAGTGGAGGGATAGCATGCTGGAGGCTAAGGCGAAGGATGTCAAGGTTTTGGAGGTACAGTAAACGAGACGGACGGGTCGAGAGACAGAGGCGTGGACTTGGTTTGCCTGGCGTTGATGTAGAGATGGTGAATTGAGACGGGGAGAAGATGTGGTTTTCAAAAAGACGACAGGGCGTAAAAGCTTGTTTTATGCTTTTGCTCCATCACAAGGCTGAACAAAATCATTTGTGGAGGAGAGTTTTGTTTGCCGTTTTCGGCAAGCATCTTTACATACGAGGGCTGGTTCGTTGGTTGTCCAGTCAGTCCGGAGTGCAGGAAAATGTATCATCAGAATAGCATAATATACCTAGGCTGCATACAGTACATTACATACAAACATTATGAATATCCACAGAGTATCAGGCCGTCCGCCTGCTATCATTCATAGCTTGACAATGAAGCATACGAGCATTTACAACCTATTCCATGTTTTAAAGAAGCCATTAAAGTTCAGAGCGTATGTATGTGAATAATAATAGCCGGCGATAAACCTCTCTCTGTACATTTAATTCGATCCGATCCCGATATACGGGCTTGGGCGGCGAGTGGGTCGCTCGTACGCAGATCAATAAGAGGATCCCCAAAATTAAACCCACAATTGGAAGCCGTACATATGTATGAATGCAGATCAAGAGGGCAGGGAGGGTCTACTTTAGTGACTATTTTACCTCGTAGCAAGGCAAGGTCATAGCGAGATGTACGCTATTGTACGAGTGTGTAGTTACTTGTCTTGTATGTATGTTGCGGGGATGGGGCGCAAAAAGGCGAGATTCAAGCTTTGAATGCATCAGCCGCATACCGTTGTTGCGATCTTATGTGAACGTAACGTGCAAGAATACCAGGCAGAGAGAGATTGATAAGTTCGGTCATACGAATGTATACATTTTCTCTTTCTTCTTCTTTATCTTTCTTTTTCGCTGTAAACTTTCAGTTGGTTGGTTGATTTTGTTCAGGCAAGAGCTTCAGCTGAAGCTCAATGCAATGACAGCTTATGACCATGACTTCCTACCCAACCCGTACGAGTGTGCGACAACTATACCTAATGATTGATGTTATGATTTCATGTCCATGCCCTAAGATTGCAAGGCCGCCCGCTTGTCTTAGTTGGAGAACCTAAATGGATGTAAGGTGCACCCTACCGCCGAAAAGAATTCAACTATCTTGTCAGCAAGCAGCATGGAATGGCCGTAATGGGATGTGTTTGACCTGGACATTGGAAAAAAGCACATTGCACCGCCCTTTAGGGATCAATCATCAAATGATAGGGTCTCGTTATTCTTATGGCTTTTAGCTCGCGCGACAACGCAGGATACCCGTAGGGCAGGGACAAGGACAGGCTTTGGGTTAGGCTCATGGAAGAGACGGCAGCGAACGCATGAGGCACGAGGTGCACTTGGGTTGACTACTGCCGTACGAGGCACGTCCACCCGTAAGCACGTTGAACAAGAAGGTTTCGAGCGAGTCGTACGGGAATGTGTGGGTTTGGTGGTGGCTTGGAGTTGGTTCTAGTGTGATGCATTGGAGGGTCACTTTGACTCTCTACGGTCGTTGTACGGAGTACAGTATGGATGGTGGTGTAGGATCTGCTCTGTAGTCACCGTCTGTGTAGGAAACATGATGGAGGAGAGGATAGTGCGAATAGAGTCTGTGCGTGGCGCCACACTCAGCTGAATCGCCAAGTCGCACCTTATTTTGGACCAGTCGAAACCAAAATGCACCATCATCATCGTCCATCAATCGTCCATCCCAAATCACACACCAGGCGACAAGACACTTATCGGACTTCCGAGTTCCGACAAAGAGACATTGACCCTTACTCTGCCTCCCCATCAGCTCGAATGCCCTTAGTGACTCTTGCGATGAATACTGCATACTCGTACATCGAAGGACTAGATAGAAGAGAAGATGATTGACGACCACATGCATTCAAACTCTACAATATCAATGGATCAACTCATCCATCCCCATTCGCTTCAACTCCCACCTCCGCGATTTGTGCTTGTATGCGCCCCCAGCACGCAGACTTCAGCCGCGCAGTCTGGTGTCTGGCCTAGGCACCCGCTAGCTCGCAGCTCCTTAAGATGCTCCACCAACGATTGACAAGCCACATACCGTTTTCGATCATTGTTTCCCTCCATGCCGTCTGTGATTCGGTAATGCGCCAGGCGTGGCTGGCCTTCTCTCTGGGGGGCCTATGGGTGTGCTACTCGCAGGCGGAAAAGATGGCATGGCTGTGCACCTAATACAGGGGCAAACTCTCCACTTTGCGCAGGGCTTGTTCGGACGATACGGATGCCCTGCAAGCAAAACAACACTATGTAGGCACAAGCCTATGGATGGACGAGTACCCGTTAGATCGAGTACAGGCCATGGCGAACCCCATAATAACCTGCTGTGCTTGTTTAAATAACTTTGTTGCCGTCGTCTTTCCTCCCCCGCGTCCAATTGCTCTGAGTGAGTGATCTCCAATCCTTTGGCCAATCCATTGTTTGTTTTTCGTCCTTCAACGTCAATTGCCGCAGGACCAGAGGCAATCAGGACGAACAAAGACTCGGGACCATATTTTGCAACGCCGCACCCTTATTGCCAGCAGCGTTGGAAACCAGGTCATCTTCGAACGGCGAGGTTCCGGATCCTGTCCAATCTGGTTATTTCGAGAGAACGCTGCAGCTGTTGAGTCCTTCGACCTGCATTCTGTCATAAAATAGATTAACCGCGTCCCGGGCTGCTGCAGCTACGCGTACGACTTCGTATCTCATATTTCCAACCGATTCCCCTCTTCAATTCTTCGAGATTCAGTTCCATTTTTCGCCATGAAGACATTTGCTGCGCTCACGGCGATCGCCGCTCTGGCTCACGCCCAATCGGAATTTTCCCTCTCACCCAGTGCTACACAAGTTGTATCGTCGGCTGACAACCTGGATCCAACTGGAACGGCATCAGGAACAGGCCCAATCAACACCCAGCGAGCATGCGAACAGGTCTCTGGCCAAGTTGAAACCAGTCGATCAAGGACTCCAACCGTTCAGGCAGATCTTGCGTATGCTTGCTTGAAATCAGTACCAATCGACAACGATGCCGCGACATTGACGCTCAAGGCCATCAAGCAGATGGCCGAGTTCCAGTCTACAATCTCATATCTGAAGGATCCACCCAAAGGATATGTGAACGAGAAGGTAGATATCATGGGTGGATTGGACGACATCGGCAAGAAGGTCAACGGCAGCGAGTACAAAAACGAATTCGATTTTGAGAACGACATTGCCACTCTTTTCACCAAGGCACACGATGGTCACTTCAGCTGGGATGGCATGGCGTACAACGGTGTTTTCCGATGGCGTAGGTCGCGACAGATTGCTTTGATCAGCGCAACCAATGGTGATGGCGTGCCCAAGATCTACACGGTCAACAGCTACAACACCAGCAGCTCAAACGAGCCGTCTGCTATCTCACAAATCAACGGCAAGGACGCTGTTCAATTCTTGAAGGATGAGAGTCTGCAGAACTCTTACCACGACCCCGACGCAAGGTGGAACGCCATGTTCTTCATGCAACCTGCCGAGTCCTATGGCTTGTTCGCCAACCCTTCGTTTTACCCTGGCCCAGACACCAAGATCAAGTTCGAGAACGGAACCGAGCAGACCTACCTGAACTACGCCGTCGTGCTCGACTCGTCAGCTTGGGGCCGCGTCGATGACCCGGATACGTTCTACGACACTTTCATTACCGCCAGGACTTCTGCCAACCGCGGGCTCTCAAGCACCCAGTTGCACAAGCGTCAGGATCCTCATCAGCTCCCCCGGTCTCTCCAACACGAAAAGGAGAAGCATCTCAGCCGCCGTTATGTCCCTGCCGCGTATCCCGAGCCTGCTGTAGAGCACACGGCTTCTGATGTGGCTCTCGCCGGTTACTTCCTCGACACCAGCGTCGGTACCGTTGGTGTTCTCATGATCCAGACCTTCAACACCGAGAGCAACTCCGATGCCCGGGAGTTCCAGTCGGTCGTCGAGGAGTACCTCTCTGAGGCCAAGAAGCGCAAGGCTGTCAAGAACGTCATCGATCTCCGAACCAACGGCGGAGGCAAGATCCTCCTCGGATACGACACCTACCTCCAGTTCTTCCCCTCCCAGGTTCCCCAGCTCCAATCCCGCTACCGCATCAGCAAGGCCTCCGACCTCTTCGGAGATACCTTCAGCCAGCTGACCTTCAACAGCCGCGTCGGCGAGCTCTACACCTCCCCCTTCAACTACCACAGCTACCTGAACAAGGACCTCCAGGCCTACAAGGACTGGAAGGACATGAGCGGCGCCAAGTTCCACGACGACTCGTTCACCCACGAGCTCCGCTACAACCTCTCCGACCCCATCGCCACGTCCTCGGACCGCTACTCCATCGGCGTCACCATGACCGGCTACGGCTCGCGCTCCAACATCAAGGACGACCCCTTCAAGCCCGAAGACATCATCCTCCTAACCGACGGCATCTGCGCCTCCACCTGCTCCCTCTTCACAGAACTCATGGTCCAGCAATCCGGCGTGAAAACCATCGCCATCGGCGGACGCCCGGAGACAGGCCCCATGCAAGCCGTCGGCGGCACCAAGGGCTCCCTAGTCCTCCAATCCGCCTACCTCACGCAAATGTCCGCGGTCCTCGTCGCCAACTTCGCCAGCAGCCGCTCCAAGGCGACCGAGTGGGTGGAATTCCTGCCGAACCCGTTCGCCATCAACTTCGCGTCCGCGGCCGTCAACTTCCAAGACAACATCCGCAAGGGCCTCGAGGGCGACGGCATCCCCACCCAGTTCCTCAACGACACGTCCAGCTGCCGCCTGTTCTACCAGCCCAACGACTACTTCAACGTCACCAACGTCTGGCAGCGCGCCGCGGAGATCGGCTTCGGCAAGGACGGCAAGCTCGACGGCGACAAGTGCGTGCAGGGCAGCGTGACGTCCGAGGAGCAGCAGAAGGGTAAAGGGGAGGGAAACCCGGCGACGGGACAGGGCAACACGAATGCTTCGCCGACGAACTCGAAGGGTGCGGCGCCGAGGGGTGTGCCGCCGTTTGCGGGGCTGAAGGCGCTTGTTGCGTGCGGCGCTGTCGTCGTGGGCAGCATGGCTTTCGGCGCGAGTTTAATCTAATGAGTGATGATGCTTCGGTTTTTTTCGGTTTCGGGTTTCGAGTTCGACGTAGAGTCGGATATACGCATTCGCATCCGCGGTCTTTATGAAGATCGGGGATGAATGATGGTTAGTTAGATCGCTAATGTGTAGATCTTTTGTACATATATATACACCCAGACTTTATTATCAAAATCATGTTCACACACTTCAATGATACGATGCCATACATGTCCATGCCTGTGACTACACATGTTACCATGCCCCCTCTTGTTCTATTCACAGTTACAATTTTCCGTTTCCCAGACCAGGTCAGAAAGGCTTAACAGTTCTCTATATAGCAGTGACATTTCCATGTGATCTCAAAGTCGAGTAAGCAAGTCGGATCAAGTCTCTAATATCTGTCTTATCACTACCAATAAGAAGGTATTACTATGCTCGACGTGGAGAACAGTAATAGAATGGACGGGCGTAAAGATCAGCAATGTATACACTTCCATTCTCGTTATGATCATAAATCCCTGTGGATGTATATAGTTCTCTCAGTGAGAGGTATGTATATCAAATTGAAGCATGTATGTGCGTCCAAGGCATGTGTACCTATATCAGCACATTCACAATTCATCAACACCACGAAAAAGCATACCCTCAAGCAAAACCAATACACTCAATCATAGCTTCGATCCCCCCTCCTCCCTATCAGGCACATCCCTCCACGCCTCCTCAAACCCACAACTCCTCACCCACGTTGGCCCGCTCGCCTCCACACTATCAACCACCATATTCCCCAGCACCCTCCACATATCGCCCCTAATCGGAAACATCTCCTCGTTCCCTTTCTCCCCCTCCGCACCCTCCGTGGCAAACTTCCGACAAACCCCCTCCCCGCCCATCAACGCCCTCACAAACTTACTCGCATGCCCATCGTCCGCAAACTCCACGATCCGCGCACACACATCCTCCCACGAACTCCCCCCTCCCTCCCCCGCAAGCCTCCTCACCTCCTCAACAGCAAGCAGCTCCGGCGCGCCACGCGACGCATACAACGCGAGGTCGAGCCTAACCTTCCACTCCAACAACCTCCTCTTCGCCCTCATCGAAAGCCACTCCTGACGTAAAAACACCGCAAAAAACGTCGACAAATTGACGCAATGCATGAAGAAGAAGTCAAACTTGGCCACTTTATCCCTCCGGAGCGCCGCAGTCGTGAAGTACGCCGCCGCATTCACCATCTCCGCGTTCCGTTCCTCCAGTTCTTCTTGGGTGGTGGTGGGGGGGATATGGTACCGCGACGCGAGGGACAGCATCGCCTCCGGCGCCCGCGCGAGGATCCCGTCGCGCACTTTATTCGCGTCGTCGAACCGCGCGGCACCCCTCAGTTTCTCATCCGCTCGTATCTCGCCCAACAGCCTCACAATTGGCACCCTTTCCCCCTCCCCCTCGGCCTGCTTCACGGCAGCGCGCGCCTCCGCCTCGAGGAAGAAGGGTTTCAACCACACCTCGTGGACCGCGGCCTGCGCCAGCGCCTCGGCGATGACGGCCGGCTGCGCGAACTCGACGCCGAAGCCCAGGTGGATGATCGGGTGCAGGAAGCCTGCGAACATCCGGACCAGCATGTCGTCTGCGCGCGGGTCGTCGTCTTGGAAGACGTAGGAATTGAGGACGGACTGCCACCCGCGGGCGGCGATCTCGCGCTGGAAGAAGGCGAGGAAGGTGGCGTAGTGGCGCTCCGAGCCGAGGTGGGAGGAGAAGGTCGCGGGATCGTGGAGGGAGGGGAGGGTGGAGGTGGAGGTAGGGAGGACGGGGCGCTGGTAGGAGGCGTTGTTGGTGTAGGCGGTTTGGAGGGAGTGGGGTGAGGCGCGCAGGGCGTGGAGGGTGAGGAGGTGGTGGACTATGTGGTTCTGTTGTGGATGATGAATGAGTGTCTTATATCTTTGGTGGAAGGGGGGGACGTACGTGGAAGCCAGACTGGTTGAAGAAGATGTGGTGTTTCTCGTGGTTCTCCTGTAGCAACTCGCTCGTCTTGTCCGCCGACTCCTGCGTTATGCCTGGTAGAAACACCTGTGCGTCCAACTGGGCTGGTGGCGGGAGTTGGATCTTGGATGAAGTTGCCATGTTTCTTCTCGATGAAACTCCGTTCTTGAACTCTGGTGGAATGATGGTGTAGATTCTCTTCCATGTGGCGGGAGATCTGATGGATTGGAAACGAAGAAGACGCAGCGTGTGGTGTCTTATATGTTGTTGTCCTCCAGATCTTCCTGCTGCTGCTATTGCTGCTGCTGATGATGGCGCTGTTACGAACATCTGATATTGTGTGCTGGCGAGTAAAGACTGATTTATCAGATGCTTACCCCACATCCAGGGCCGAGAAGCTCTCTGCAATAACCATTTCCAGGAGCCTTCGCATTGGAGGGAATTCGTATTGTCAAATGGTTCCAACCAAACAACACCTTCGATATTGAAAGAGTGACGTCGAAAGGTACCTCGGCGAATCGGCGAATCTTAAGGACGAGATTAGTCAAAAGCCGCCGAGGAGGGGAACTACGCGGCGATTCTGGGACTGGATTGGACGAGAGCCGGGGGTGGCTTCACGAAGTTCCCCCGCATCCTCATTCCACGCCTGTCTCGATTAGGGCGATACTCAACGTGATGGTCCCAGGATTACGGGAGGACAATGCGATGGGATGCGATTGGTGACGAGCATGCAAGACACGAAGTATGCATGTATGATGCACAGCGTTACGCTTTGATGCTCATCAGGTCCAGATGATTTCGATTTGTCACCTCAAATAGACGTGCAGGATACGAGGTAGCATGTTCAAAGCTGAAGGCACCTTTGTAAGCTTTGCTGCCGAGAAGCAGAATGGTCTTTCCGATTATCTCTATCTGGTCTTGTCCCCTCAAACTATGCAAGCTGAGCAATAAACTGGGTATCCGTCCAATGTACCCACGAAGAATCCGTAAATATGCCCAAAACCTATCCAATCCCAAGCGCCTAGAATATATTCCAATGTACAATCGATAATCCTAAGTATATTTAGAAACTCCCCGGTTCCAGAATGTTTGTATGAAGTAATCATGTTCCACAACACCAATAGAAGTAACAATAGGAAAAGCCAGAGAGGCTGTGGTGCCATATGCGAAGGTGAAAATCGACTTTTATGCTCTTTTCTCTCTAGGCATGCTCGGGCCTGCGTTCAGTGCTCCACTCAAGAATCGGCCCACGTCTTGAGGCCGGAACCTTCCTCTCGTGTTGGCTCCCTCGAGTGTCACGGTACTGGGCCGGCGAGTTAGGCCAGAGTTCGTCTGGTGCAGTCCGTTGAAGCTGGCGTTGCTTGGACGTCGGGCTCTTCTCGTCGCATCTTCATCCTCTTTCTTGTGAAGACTCTCGCTTGGAAGCAAGATAGCGCGATCTAGTGCGTACGGTAAACTACGGTGCCGGCCGCGGATCTGCATAGCGATGATGATGAGCTTCGAGAGCGTCCGGAACTCTGCCGAGAAACTTGCGTTGATTCCAGGGTAACCAAGACTAAGCCCGACAGTGCCGTATGCAGATACAATCTCGAACAACACGGTAAAGAGGGTAAAGGCGTACTCGTTGGTGTTTTCCAGTCGCGAGCCTTCTACAATGGCAATGAGGAAGAAACCAAGGAAGACGAACCACAAGTCGAAGGAAAGTTGGCGACGCAAATGCGTTCCGAGGTAGCTGCTCTTAGTCTCCTCGTCCTCTTCGGAACTATATACGCCAAGAGACTTCTCTTCGTACACATTCGTTTGTCGCATGCTGATAGCAATCGGAAAAATGGAAATGTACATCATGATTAGGTAGGATACCTGGATAGCCGGGTGGAGGTCTGCGATGTTGACTACGGCAAAACCAGCGGTTCGGGTGGCAGCTGCTTGGAATAATCCGTCGAGAAACTTAAAGCCAGCCGGAAGGGAAGTGACAGTGGGATCTTTCAGCTGCAGGACCAGTTAGTCAATGACAGGGATGGAGAGCAATAAGACGTACATCAAGAATGACGAAGAAGATCAGGTCGATGCCGTTGAGGAGAATGAGGACCCAGAATAGCCACCAGTTAGCACTGCTGGGGAAAAGTAAGGTAAAGCATCGACGCGGATGGTCAAGCAGAAACCGAAGCTCTTCCCATACACCGCTGCCATACGGCACGCATTTTGAAGAAAGCCAGATGATAAATCGAAGCATGCATGGGAAACCCGTGTTTCCAATGATGATCAAGAAAGTACCTAGTAACAATGGCAGGACGGCGAATTGGAAAGGAATCATGGACGTCGGTGTCAAGGTAAAACCAAGATCGTTGAACATGGAGGCTGGTGTGAAAAATCCCCTAGACAAGTCAGCTGTGTGTTCTTGATCAGGCCATGACATGGCATAACTTACCACCACGTTGGATCAACGCCCACTTCCTCCACAACGCCTCTGTAGTGGCCGTCCCGGTTGATCCAGGGGGTCAAAACGACCATTCCCAACAGATGGAAACCGATGTAGTAACACACGAGAATAACGGCGAGAAGTTTCAGAGCTCGGTATTCAATTCCGCCCAATTCCTCTCGTTGGTCCTCAGTCAGATCAACAAACGCAGAGTTACGTCCAACGGTTGCCGACCAGCTCAAGTAGGGCATTGGGTCCCGTTCTTCCTCCCGAGCCTTTGACAGAAAGCTGCTGAAAGTCCTAGTGGTCCGCTGGCGTAGATGCTGGCCTGCTGTTGGTGTTTCGGCATCCGCAGTTACGGCTCGGCCCGTATTGAGGGTGTAAGCAGAAGGGCCACCATGGGGACGTGGTCGCGTATCAGGTACGTCAATGGTAATGTGCTGTTTCAACGGGTGGTCATCTGAATTGAGTTCCGTTGGAGGGACCGAGTTGGATCTGTGCCGTCTGATCGGCGATTGCCCATCCTCGTTCGTCGTTTCTTTATTCAATTGTTCATCCTCTTCAATGCGTTGGGGGGTGAATCCAAGATCGTAATCTCTGGGTCCGGGAACTCGGTAGACGCCTTTATCCTTTGGGTTGCGCTGGTTTTCGACAAAAGCAATGGCCGTCTCCCTTCTCTGGGAGGGTGTTGGAGAAACGACCTCATCGGCGAAACTTATATCTCGATGGAAGGGCATGTTCACTCGGTCTGTTCTTGGGAAATCGTAGTCATCTTGGTTGTTGCGTTTTTCGTCCGTTGTTGGTGCTCGAATAGGGAGGTGGGGATCATCTTCAATCTCCCCGTCTCGAAAACGATCCTCGTCCTCGATCTTTGTGCCCGTCGCCGCGCCATCCGGTGCTCTCAAGACCCTTATTTCCCGATCGCCAACACCTTCCTCCTCACGCGCGGGATCGATCTCCAGGTCCTGTTTCGCCTGGCTCTTCGTCCTGGATCTACTTTTATACCGACGGAGGGATCTCGCTTCGGAAACGACGTGTTGGAATCGCTTTTCGAACCAGTAGAGGCGGATGAAGACGACGAAGGTGTTAATGAAGATTGGCGTACACATGATGGTTATGAAGTAAATGACGATCTGCATCGCGAATGGTTAGTACAATTTCCCCCAAAACAAAGCGATTCGAGCGACGTACCTGTTGATACAGTTTGATCCTGTTGAGATCAACGCTACAATGGTCGTAAGTAGTGATCCAGTATATTCCAGTTGCCGTACTCACGTATTGAGACCACTCTGCGTCGCGGAACCGCTGGCAAAGAAAAGAGCATCGATGTAGGCCAGGTCACCCGCAGGATAGATCATGATGGACCCGAGGAGCGTCATGAAGATAATGTACACATCTAGCGGCCGTGTCAGCAATCGTCGTCGCTCGGATCCATATGCTATGATATGAAATATCCGAATGGCTCAAAGGAAGCGCGTACAATGGAGAGTGATGAAGTTCATCTGAAGTCTGAAGGGAGATATCTTCCTTGGGGTGTGCTTCTTAAGCCACCCAAAGGCGACGATCCAAGGACCGAACATGGTGACGGATTGCGCGAGCCGAGGAGAGGAATTGCGAAGTGGGTGTTGCACTTTTTCCCCCCGGGGAACGACGCGGGATCGTGAGGATTGGGGGGAATGGAGTGACGCGGAGGGTCACTGGGGAGGGCGACTACTCGGCGGTAGAGGGAGAGAAGAGGTTGTCCAAGGTGAGGATCCGGGAGGGTATAAAGAAAAGGGTAGTAAGTGTGTCTATGTTAGGTCGGGTATGTGAAATGTTCACTCAGCTAGCCAATTTCAGCTAACGGACCGACCCGGAAGCGTGCGGGCGGATTTGGAGAGATGCATGTTTTTCACGGGTATGTTTATGGTGGGAAGATGGAGGATTCAAATGTTTTTGAGAGGGAGGGGGGAGAGTAAGAGGAAACCAGAAGAGCAAGAAGAGAGAGGGAGAGAGAGCGCGGCGGTGTAATTGCCCGCGATAAGGTGAGATGAGGTCCTAAGAGTGTCCAGGAGTGTAAAGGGTAAGGGCAAGTACCAAGTACCGGCTGGTAGGGATAATACCTAGGTAGTTACCGTAGTAGTCAGTAGGCTGTGTTACGCCAGATTCCAGAGAAAGTGATGACGCCAAGGGGGAAACCTCTCCTCTCTCCTCTCTCTCCTCTCTTCACTCTCTCTCCTCTCTCTCCTCTCTCTCCTCTCTTCACTCTCTACTCTACCCTCTCACTCGCCCATTCCCCTTTTAACACTTCTCTCGGTCCAGACCAACTTTTCCGACCCTAACACCATATCCTTCCCGCTCCCATCTACAACCCCAATTCCGGGGCCCCGGTAAATACCTTCAATTTATAAAAACACCACCTACCCAATATACACAAAACCACCAAAGAAAACAAAGAGCACCAACACGTTTCCTGCGCGCACATGCAATGCAGTGTACCATTACTACGTACCATATCTGTGAACGAATACTTCCCACTTCCCGATCCCGCGCGCCCGCACGCCCACGCCGCCCCCTTGTCAAGGTACATAGTTACCGTGGGTACCGTATCTAAAGTTATAATTATTTTCCGAAACAAGCGACATTGCAGCATTGATCCTACAGTGCCTTGCCTACTACCCAGGTACCAGATAGGTACCTGTAACTTGAATAGCATAACGTAGCATGGCGTACTCATAGCACTTGTCCCACCCAGGGAAACGAAACAGAAACAATCCATAGTACAGAAATAACTTAACTATGTAACAAGCACAGTCATTCGTCGAAACAAAGAAAATCACTTTGTATGGGTGATGGGGAGCAGATGATATAACATCAGCAGCAGCAGCAGCGGACGGCACACCTTGAAACTTGCTTGCCTTGCCTGTGCCTGTGCCTGTACCTGAGCCTTGCCTGTGCCCCGAACCTCGAGCGCGCGCGCAGCGACGTTGTTGTCATGTGGCCTCATGGACAAACTCGGTGTTCTTATTTTTTGCTTGTATTCTATTTCGTCATTTCGTAGAGTCATGACTGCGCCATGCGAAAGTGTTACTGAGTACGCAGTAGAGAAAAAGAGAAGAGTGCAGTGGGCGTAAGTGATGCATTCCGCGAGGTCTGAATGCGGAAAACTTGGTTCGTACGAGTTACATTGTGCGACCTCGTACGTGCAGACATGTTATGATTGGTCAATTGGAGCGGAATGAAAAATGATGGGTGGGCCAATCGAAGACGTGATTGATTACTGGTTGACGTATTTGTTAGAGTCGACATACACGAATCGCCATTGCGTCTTCATAGATGGATACATAGATAGATTGATAGATTGTACAGTACAGATAGAAAGCTTGCTCTTCGGGAATAGCGAAGCAGATTCACATGCTGGCGGAACGAAAAGAGAAAAAACCGGAATTACACTGTCGCTATGTTGTGTGAGAAAAAAAAAAAGAACCCGTCCCCTATGCAGAACCACAGAATCGAGAAATCACACGTTCCGAGCCTTGCCCTGTCATTGCATTTACCATTCGACGACCGCGCTCCCGCCTCCGCCAACCCAGAAAACTATATAAATGAGAATTTTGATTCATGATCGGAAAACCAAGAATGAAAAAAGATGCAATTTGTCAAACCACTCGCCCACACACTTCTCTCACCAAGACTGCTTTTCGATTGCGCATCGTTATGATGCCTCGCTGCCATTGACGGCCGCGGGGATCGCAGGCGATGCGGTTCCTGAGCCGTTGGGCTTCTTCGTTCGCAGGGTGAGTGGGAATGGGTAGTCATCGGGATCTTCCTCCTCTCTGTTGCGTTGCAATTAGCATAATGCACAAATACGATAGTTGTCAAAATTTGGGGCAATACTTACGGGAGCTTCCATGCAATGTAGTCCTCCGTGCTGAGTCCCTCGCGGCCTTCCTGCAGTGAGGCGAAGTCACCAGGAGTCATCATTCCAGATCGGTCGCGAGGCGACCCTGGCTCGGAGAGCGGACGGGAGATCTTCACATCACCAGATCCGAAGAAGTCGGGCTCCTCGTCACCCTCGAATGCGGCTGGGTATGCGCGCCTCAATGCCAATTGGCGAGCCTTGACGTACTCCATACCCATGCGCTTCCAGTCGAGCAGGTCGGACAGACGCTCGGTCCGGTTACGCTGGTTGATGCGCTGGCGCTTGCTCTTCTTTGTGAACTCGTGCATGTACTCAGCAAGCTGGTTGACCGAGTCGTCCACACCCTTCATACGTCGGTCCACAATGTAGATACCGTAATCGGACGCGTTCTCGATCAACTCCTCCATGTAGCAACCGAATCCAGACAGGTTGGTTGTAATGCTGGGTACACCCATGACGGTGCACTCGGCTGGGGTGTAGCCCCAAGGCTCGTAGTACGAGGAGAAAACACCGAGATGGGTACCACGGACGAAGTCATCGTAGTCGATGGGCAGCACAGGGTTTGCGGAGTTCAAGAACTCGGGGTGGAAGACGACCTTGACGCGGTCCGAGGGGTGGTTGAAGAGCTGGCAGCGGCGGATCTGGTTGAGAATTGGGTCTTCTGAGTCGTTCACCATGTTGTGGGTGACGATCGGGGGAAGGTTGTGACGCTTCATCGCGAACAGTCGGCGACGGAGCATGATCTTATCCGACGCAGACAAAAGCTCCTTGTCTTCTGGGAGCTCCTGGCCCTCCGTCCAAGCAAGAGATCGCTCGAACAGCTTCTTGCCCACGTTCTCCTCAATCACCTTGACAGTGTCGTGGAGCGATTTGATAACGGCCTGACCCTTGAGGGCCTCAACGGTCAATGATTGCGTCTGTGCTGGCATAATGATGAAAGCAACCACAGTCATGTTCGAACCGGAGCTCTTCATCTTGTGGTTCAGACGCGCCAATGACTCGATGAACATGTCGACACCTTTATTCCTGTACTCGTAGCGACCAGCAGTGAAGAAGAATAGCGTGTTCTCAGGGTCGAAATCGTTGTGACCGTAGAAATGTCCTCGGACGAAATCGTTGATCTTGACCTTGGCCTGCTGATGCAAGTTCTGGAACTCGTGAGTAGCCGAGAACTTCTTCACGTTCAGACCGTTAGGAAGAACTCCGTCAGGCTTTCGCTTGAGGAGATGTTCGCTTTCGTAAGCAGTGATGTGGGATACCGTAGTAAAGACATCAGCGGCGTGAGTAGCGGCGCGCTCGATGCAATACCTGTGGTATATGCCTCGCTTTCCAGCCTCAGCATCCACATCAAAGTACTGCAGGTTGTTGTAGAAGTCGACGGATCCGGCGCAGAGGTAGCGACCGAGAAGGGTGGCGTGGGTGGTGAAGATCGTGGTGACATCGATGCGTCGCTTCTTGCAAAGAGGGAGTGCGACACCGGCCAGCCACTCGTGGAATTGGGCAATGACTGCTCGCTTCTTCTCGTGGAATACATACTACAACCATGTTAGTCGATCTGTCGCAAATTTGCGCGGACCGAGTTAGGATGGAATAGACATACCTCTCCCAAAAACCACGCAATGAGATAACCAAAGACAATGGCCTCGTTGGTCTCCGAATCACCAGGCGGGGATGGGATGCCAGCAACCGTCCACAAATCGCCTTTCCATTCGTCGAGGAATCCGTAGGCTGTGCTGGTATCGAAAAGAAGGACCCGTGGGGCGCCATCGATCAGCCAGCGACCGTACATGGTCTTGATGCCCCGATCGTTCATCGACTTGATGGTATTTACTAGAGCAGGGTCCTTGGGCTCAATTTCCTCAACCTCGACTGCGGCCTGGGGTTGCGATCAGCATTGAAATGCCATCCAGCGCCATGCGCCTGGAGGGAGCCTACCGAGTTCCTGTTGAGCGGACCCAACAAGGTGTATGAAGCGCCATATTCGGCAGTTGTGACCTGTGCTTTCGATTTGAGGACCGAGTAGATACCACCGACTATAGGAGATAAGGTCAGTCTCGGTGGACGAGGTCAATTGGGAACGTGGGGAATGGGGTTACCTCGATTCGCAACCTCTGTAGCGATCTCAAAGAGAACGTGGTTGGTGACGTCGCGCTGCTGGGTCTCGGCCATTGCGAATGGGCGGGAGGGGGAGCGATGCGAGCTCCTGCAGTATGATGGGTTGGGTTCGTCTAGTAGAGGGGAGGGGGATAGAAGTTAAGAGCACGTCGCAATTGGAGAGCTTTGAGGAGGGAGAGGAGAGAGAAAGAAAGGGAGCAAAGCTAAGAGGAGAGGAGTAGTAGGAGTAGTTGTAGTGGTAGTGGTAGTAGTGGAGAGCAGAAGAGTAGAGTAGAGTAGAGTAGAGTGGTTAGAGTGGAGAGAGTGGTAAGCTTGGGAGCTTGGTTGAGGACGGCGGGCGCTAGTGGGTTGATAAGCCGTCTGATTTGCTGGGTCGAGGGGGGTGGTTGTGTGGATGGTGTGCACTGTGGATGGTGTGGTTGCCCGGGGTGCGGAGTCAGGCGTTCACGAGGTCTTTCTCCTACGAGTACGACTAGGAACTTGGTTTGAAGGAAAAAAGAGCGGCGAATAACAATTGGAGGAATTGATTCAGTACAGTACAAGTAGGCTACTACAACAACCCCCGTGCTTAGAAGTGGTTAATGCGATTTGGGAGGTGGTCAGGTGGGAGCTTGTCGTAGCAGAGGCACCTTGAGACGTGCGCAGTCCAAACACTCTGAAGTCCGGGAGATGAGGGGAGGGGTTGATGAGATGAGGCTCAGCGCGCGCGGCGAGGGCGCACTGGCTGTCTGTAACTACAATATCTAATTCAAGCGCACGAGAAAGGGTAGGTAATCAGGGCCGTAGTACGGAGGTAAGTTAGCTGTAGACAAGAAACAGACAGTAATAGCAAATAGTAAAGGGCGAAATCTCAGCCGTTTCGATTACTTTTTAGGGACCGAGCTTGGAATCAATTCCCTTTTGCTTTCCAAGTTCCCTCAACAAGAGAGGCTGGGAGATTGCACAGTATGGATAGATGAGGAGAGGGTAGCTGCAATACGTTAAAGCAGAAATAAAAAGCAGAGGCCGTTCGCCAGCTCGTTCCCGTTGTCCCGTAGACGACGGACGATCGACTGAATATCTCGATGTCTCGATGTCTTGGTGCTCGGTACTGTCGAAACTCGTGCAGTCGATGCGCGTTGTCTCAACGATGGATGGTCTAATTGTCCAATCTAATAGCTTCTTTTCCCACCTCCGAAAGAGGTCACGGTCGCCCGCCGCCGCCGCCGCGTCCATCGTTGTCGGTTGTCGTAAAATCCTCGTCTGTGCAGCCCCAACCAAGTCCGTGCTCTCGCTCAACACTCTCCCAAAGAAGGGGGCGAGGCCCAAAAACTCCTACATTCGACGAGAACATCCGTACTGTTAGTATTGCTTTGGTGCACAGGAATAATGTCAAAACCTTACTGTGCAGAATTTTTTTTTGGTTGAGGATGGGCGGGAACCGAGAAAAGGGCATGGGACGTCGATTTACAGCTACTATCCCTGTCCCTCCATGATGTCATCACACGTTCTCGCCAAATGGACCGTTCGCGTTGCCCAAGACGGTTAGTCCTCCGCTTGACAAACCTATCAACCTACCAGTACCTGTGCTGGACAATACCTACCTAAAGTGCTAAGGTAGAGCCTCAGTAGAAGACTCTGTACGCATGCGACAAGTATCACCTTCCTACCGTGTGCTCTATAATAATAATAACCATCTCCCATCATCTCTGGGCGTAATTGATGGAATGGACATGTTTCAAGTCCACGCGGGGGCCACTCATCCAAGGAGCCCATCAGCCATGCGAACATCTCACCCATCCCATCAGCCACCACCCGTGCCGTAGCCATGGATAACTTTAGGTACCTGGTACGAGTAGCATAAATCATGAGATGATACAAAGCACAATCCATGCCCCGTAGCACCGTACCGCACGCCAATAATCTTCCCCCCATAGCCCACCAAATCTGCATCCCACATTACACTACTCTACACCTGCAGCAAACTACAGGACCCTTTCCCCGACGCTGAGCCCAAAACTCCCCACAACCCCGACGCATCATTTCGTCATGAACCCCGTGGGATCAGATCCAGTGCCGATGCCGGGTTCGAACTGGTACATCATTCGATGCGGGGTAGCTCTGGTGTTTCGACAACCACGAGTGTGCCACGTTTCTTGCTCACTCGCTCTCTCGGTAAGAATCGTGGGAAGTTCGGCGTTTTTGCGGACGGGATGAGTGTGGTGCTAAATCCACCCTTTAAGCATGATCGTGTTGATTTTTCATGAGGTTTTCTACTTGCAATCGTCTATGTCGTCTATGTTGTCTTATGTGTTTGTAGTGCAATGCTCGGTACTCCGTGGAATGGGCCTCTTGAATATCCCCGATCGACATGCAGTGACATAAATATACATCACCATTCGCCTCCCCAAGAGGATCGAAGTGGGTCCGACAATTCAACCATTGACGATCATCGTAGAGAAGCAACACGAATATTGTAACTAGACATCCTCTCTTCCCTGATGGACATGAATAACCCCAGAGTTATGGAATAGCGGGGGTATGGCTCCACCGCTCCACATCACCCCATGATATTGTTTGAGTAAAACTTATGCGTGCATGTGTGTGTATCTACTCAACTCTCAACCCCGTCGTTGATTATTGTCTCTTTGAACCTGACGGCTTGTTGATTTTCCCAACGTCTTGACTACAATAGATATATGGGTGTAAGCACACTATGCCGGTTCGCAGATCAGACTGACACTCTGTCTACATAATATCCTCGGCTTTCTACAGAGAGACAAACACTGAAAAACTTCCGCATAAACATGTACATCCTATTCAAGAAAAAGAAGGAAAAGCATAATTAGAAACGAAAGCGAGACCAGGCATCATATCCTCAACTTGAAGGGTTCTCCGCTCCGCTTACCCTTATGGCACGAACATAACACCGATCCCCTCTGCCTTCACTACTACTATCCTAGTCACCATATATCCAACGATTGACAATCTGCTATTGTATTAGCTGGCCTGAACGATATCAACTATTTCAACAGAATCATTCTATCATCACAACAAATCCAAGAAGAAGAGATGGAAAGGAATATTAATGGAAGTAAACAAAGCACATCTCACACACTGCTCCACATCATCATCAATAATGACCATTATCATCGATCCACAAGGGGCACAAACTCTTAGACCATGTCGAAACAAAAGATACAATCAATTCAGTCCTAAGAAATCATACCTCAACATATCCTCAGAGCCTACTCTCCTTCCTCCCCCTGCCGCACAGTATCTCAACATCAGACAACACCTCCCAAAAACATCAGACGAAAACCAAAAAAAAAAAATTAAAAAAAGAAAGTGTAGAAACTACCGGATTTGAACCCGAGCAGTTTCCACGAAAAAGCAAAGAACAGAAAACAATCGCTGATTGGCAGATACTGATGTATGACCCTTTAACATCTGTGCAGGTTTCTTAGAAGAAGGTGTTAATTTCTTCCAATCCGGCCACACAGCGTCGTGGAAAGACTACTGCTGGATGGCGGGGCTAATTTCCCGACTTTGGCTGTAGCCTCGGCTTTCTTGAAGATTGGGTGTGAGTTGGGGGGTTTATATAGTCGATAATTGTTTTACCTTCACTTTGTGGTGCACGGATCTGGGTGTAGTGGCTAGGTAGTTGAGGTATGAGTAGGCAGCACTGTTCCTACTGGCTATCTTGCATACTCTTCGAAATTTGGATGTTCTTCATGATCTGTTCTATCTATCCTATTCTACCCTATTCATTCTGTTCATCTCTATATCCATTCTTTCCTGGATGAGTGAGTGAGTGAGTTCACACGCTTGCCTACCTACAGTGAGCTGTCCAAGCGATTAACACGATTCATTATACTGATGATGCTATCCATTCTAATACTCATGCTCATGATCATCTTCATATTCGTGTTTATGCTCATGCTCACACTCACGCTCATACTCATACTCATACTCATGTCCATTTATACACCCACCGCCCACGACCCAAACAACCCCCTCCACGATCCCATATTCCCGACAGTCTCCCCCTCCCTCACCACCAGAACCCCCCCCATACACCAGACTCCCAACCTCCCAAACGAAACAGAGCTAGAAAACACACACGCCACAGCACCGCCAATCTCTCAACAAGGCAAACCCGAAGAAACAACGAGTATATGCGTGAATGAGTGACTAGTCGACCGGATGGAGATAGAAGGCTGAATCTAACTAGATGTTGATTTTAAAATTCTGCTTGTAGAAGGGGAATTGGTAGACGGGTGGAGGGATCATGTTCTCACTGCGTGAAAAACGAAGGACTATCTATTGTGAAAAACATTCATTTCGTGTGCTTACCTTTCTCGTTTTGGTCCCATTACTTGGTGCGTGAGATATTATGATATTATGATCATCAGTCCGTACCAGCAACCGTGGTCAATCGCTGCTGGAAGAGAGAGGAAGAGGGAGAGGGGAAGACACATTACCAACTAAATAGTCCATGAACCATCATACCAATTACGAATGCAAATACAATACTTGTGGGGTATCTATGTCTGTCTGTCTGTCCGATCAACTCACAAACCCTCCACCACTCCACCCTTACTGCCCACCACCACCATTTCCACCCTGCGACCTCTCCACGCCCGCGAGCAGACTCCCAGTCGCAAACTTCGACCCCTCCCTCAAATCCAGCATCGGCCCCTTCGCCTTCGACCCATCCATGACGCCGTGGCCCACAGGCGTGTGACCCTGGCTGAACCCCGTCCGCGCGGCGAGCAAGCCCCCACCCGTGAACGCGTTGTTGCTGTCCTCGGGGACGTTCTCGTGGTTATTGACGGCGTGGTTTGCGAGGGCTTCGCCACGGCCTTTGAGGGAGCGCGTGCGCTCGTGGCCCTCGGGGCCGAAGTGGCCGCGTGTGCGGGCGGTCGTGGGACGCGGGCCGGTGCGCCAGTCGACGGCCGAGGGGACCTTGATGGCTTCTTCGAGGGAGGTTGCGTTTTCGACGAGGGGGCCTGGGGCGCTGGTGGTGTCCGGGATGAAGGCTTTGCCTTTGCGGGCGTGCTGCGGGGGTTCGCGGTAGGTGGGGGTGAGGTCGACGAGGGGTTTGGGCTTGACGCGCGTGGACATGCTGCGTTGGATGTCGCTGGAGGTTCGGCGGTGGTGGTTGCTGCGGACTGAGGAGCGGCGGCTGAGGAGGGTGTCGTTGGAGGGTTGGGAGGATTGCATGTTGTTTAGGAGGGAGGGACCTTCGGTGAAGGGGCCGGAGAGGGTGGCGTTCTTGTGTTGTTCGCGGTCATTCATGACTTTCTGGCGCTGGGTGTAGGTCCTGCCTAGGAGACCGCCAGATGCGAAGACCTCGCCATCCTCCTGTGAATTCGTGCTTGGACTGAAGGAGTTTTGTCGGTTGGGCATGGGCGGCATGTCGTCTTTATTCAAACTGTACGACACAGGGGGTGGCCCCTTGGTTCGCGTGGACATCTTCCTCTGGTGCATGGTCTTGGTATCAAGTCTGGACAGTGGAGCATCATCCGGGAAGGCACCAAACTTGAAGTCATCCTTCTGGTTGTCTTTACTGAACAGGTCTAGGTCGAGCAGTGGTGAGAACGTTCCGAGCTGGTAATGAGACCCCACAGAAGCATTCCGGGCATGTCCTTGCGGCGCGCTCTGTTCCGGATTCCCTGATGTTGACCTGAATCCTCCTGCTGTCTTCGTATCCGGGCCCTTCTTCTTCTGGCCCTCACCCAGCACGTTCCTCAGATACCACGACCTCCAGTCATGTAGATTCTTGTGGAAATCCGCAGCAACAGCTCGATCATTGGTACAAAAGAAATTCACGAACCGTGTCTCGTCCACGTAAATATTCGATTTGAGCTGGCTCTTGACAGCGAAGCACACCTTCTTCGGCGGCTTGATCTTGGAAAATTTACGTTCGGTGGGCGTGTAGAGGTCGAAATCGGAAAGATGGCAAAGATTCTCCTCGGCTTTGGCATCTTCGCTCTTGCTGATGACCAATTGCCCATCCTGACGAAGTCCTATCCACTTCTTCGTCCATTTCCCTGGCTTCGATGAGTAATGCATATAACATCCGAACGGGCCAGGTCGGGAGGTGGGAGCATTCGCAGCGAGCAGTTCCTCCTGGTTGATGCCGCTTGCTCTAGAATCAAGAATGATCAAATCGTTTTGCTTGTCGTCGTCCCACGAGTTCATGATATCCCTGATATGTTCGTAATTCCTGATTGGCCGCATGAGGCCGACCTTTGTGAAATTCTCTTGGATAACCGCTGTCCTAACGTCAATTGGCTCGGTCAAGACCGTGGCCGCCGACTTGATTAGGTCTAGCGACGTTGTCGTCACATTCACGGGAAGGTATATGTGTTGTTGATTGCACACAATCATAACTCGCTGCAGCACGTGTCAGTCATCAGTCCCTCACCCCCGAAATGCACATATAAAATGAGAACCATACCCTGTCTCCAGCATTAACCGCTGAAATCGGAGCGTCTATGCCAAGCACAGCGCCACCACCTCCAGGTCTGATCGTATCGAGATCACGATCCTTGCCGTCGCTCGTCTGACGGGGTCTCCCGCCGCCGCTGGGCGAGCTCTCCGACGAAGCTGGCAGATCGTCCTTCCGCCGCCTATGGAACATTCCGAATCCACCCCCTTGCCTGGGCGGCGATGATGGCGGAGAAGACGAAGAATTAGCAGTAAGAGCCTGGGCTGCCTTAGCACGAGCAGCCTCACGCGCCTGCTCCTCCTCCCTCCTCTTCAAACGAGCAGCACTCTCCGCCTTCTGAAGCCTCTTCCCGCGCTCCTGCTCCTCCCTCGCCCGCCGCACTCGTTCTGCCTCCTCTGCTTCTTTCTGCGCCCTCTGACGCTCCGCGTCCTCCTCCTCTTCCCTCCGCAATTGCTCCTGGCGTTTCCTCTCCGCCTCCTCTGCCTCCTGCTTCGCGCGCCTCTCCGCCTTAAGCTTCTCCTGCACACGCCGCTGCCGCTCCGCCTCCTCCTGGAGCACCATCTTCGCCTCGTCGCGCGCTGTCTGCGGCGGCGGCGCCCTCCCCTGCCTCGCAACCAGCGGCGCCGCAGCAACCTCGCCGTGCTGTCGCAGCGCAGCCGCCGCCGCGGCAGGGAGCCGTGGATGCGCCTGGTTTGCGACGTGCGGTGTCTGCTGGTGGGGGGAGCTCAGTGCTCGAGCGCGGACGACGGTCGCCTGCGCGTTCGAGGGCAGCGGCGGCGGGGGCACGTCTGTGTTGGAGCGGACTGGTGGTGGTGCTTTCGCGGAGGAGCCGTGGGACGTCGTTGGTCGGCGGTGGTAGCGTGACATGCTTCTACTGATTCCTCCCGCGGCGGCGGCGGTGGTGGTGTTGTCGTGCGGTTCGGCGGGTGCCATTTGGGGGACTGGAGGGACTGGAGGGACCGGAGGAACAGGTGGTGCGGTATCGTGGGTGTTCGATTGCTCTGGAGTATGGTTTTGCTGTTGCTGTTGCTGTTGTGCTTGCGCGCGTCGAACGGAGCGGTACCTCGAGAATTTGGCTGGAGGGGGCGCCGCCTCTATGGGCGCCGCTGCGTCGGCGGACATTATGTCGTACAGGTATGCAGGCGGCGTGCTGGACAGCGCAGTAGCAGTTGCAGTGCACCTGCGCTGTCGTCTTCAAGTAAGGGACGACGACTTTTTGACCACACGACCATGAAGGGGGTTTTGGGTCCGAGGGGTAATAAGGGTCAAGGGGTGGTGCGTGTGGGATAGGATCAAGGACCCTGTAACCACGACCACTCCTCGCTCGTATTCGTTGCCCGTTAACTAACTTGTAAGGAGGGACGGGTGAGCGGGTAGATGGTTAATGCTGAGTAGGATGTAGTTAAGATCGACGGTCGAGCGAATCTATTTTTTCCCTGTGAGGTTAACAAGTAATAGTGAGGGAGGAAAGAGAAAAAAAGCAGCGAAGTTTCGAGTATATAATTAACAACACCCACCGCCAGAGTTCAATTACGTAGGGGAAGCCTTCCCTACCGGTGGTCCAACATTCGTAATAATGAAATCAAATCAACGGTTGAACGGGACCGAATTATTGATTCCTAGGAAACGGCGGGCGTCCCAAGCCTACCAAGTACCCCCAAGTAACCTGTATTTCTTGCACTTGGTTGCCGGGTTTCCCATTTCTTTCTCTCGTCTTCCTTAGTGTATTCAATTATCGTGTAGATGCTGGTTCAGGTACACCAAATGGCTACTACACTATTACTACTAGTTAATAGTGAACTATGTATTACTGGACAGACACCAAATTGGCATCGCAATTTCCCTCCTCTCTTAGCGGGCGCGAAGGGACAAAGGTAAATTCACCACCAGCACTAGGTACGACCAGTCTACCACGACCATCAGCTGGCATTTCATTTTCACTCGCCCAGCTCTCTTCCTCTACTCATACGAAAGGAAAGGAAAGGATCCCAAAAATGACAATCAAGTTACGGAGTACATGCATCCAATCACGAGCACTCAATTCTCCCCTTACCTACATATGCTTCCCTCTCCATTTCCCCCTCTCCTTCCAGAACCTCAAGCTGAAAACACAATACCTCCATAAACGCAATAACATCTCCACATCAACGTCCACCCCCCGTACCGTGAGACCTGAGGCTGAACGGCTACCGGTAGGTTGTAACGTATTACAAGTCGTGGCCGTGGTACCAGTACTACCACGGTCAGGTACCCGAAGGCCAGCTAAGACGTCCCATGCCATAACGAGAATAGCTCGCATGCGTGTTCTAAAATAGGGAAAGGGGGGAATGGGACGGGTCTTTTTAGCGTCGTGTGGCGCATGTTTCGGATTTGAACTTCCCCCTTACACTACCACCTACCTTTCAGCCTTGTTGAGCATGGTCCATGGGATAGATCGTTTTGAAGTCAATGTTGGGGTCTGTGTGTAGGGTGGGTTTTTGCACTGGAGTCAGAAGGACATGGAAGTTTGGCAAGTATTCTATTGCTTGGCTATGTAGGGGTTGGAGTGTTGAATGGTTACGGTATCATCGTCATCGTATCCTTCGACGACACATCATGACATTCACTCAAATCGTTCCTGCCACAATTGTACAGTTGCACGAGATGGTGTATCTGGGCGGGGAGAAAACTTGAACCCCCGTCCCAGTCCCCAGACTTCAAACTGCAATTGGTCTCGGGAGGTTCCTTCCTCCACGAGCAAACCAACTCAGATATGCCTTTCCGTTCATGTGAAAAACAAAAAAAAAAAACCAGCCAGTACCGTGATCGTGTCGAAACACTTCAAGGCATCTCGACAAGCACGCATTGCCCGGCCAAAACGCCTGCAATGGGGTGGAGAATGGAAAAAGGGGTGGTAACGAAGGGGTATTGAACACAAGAAAGAGAAGGGAAAATGTGTGTGATGATATGTGCATCGTCCGCGTTCGTATCGTCCGAATTGACTTTTCCAAGTCTGATTTTTGTCCAGGCCTGATGTAGCACCGAAAAAGAACCCAAAGATTGCCGCCTAACCGGAAGGGAAGAAAAAAGCTCGCTGACGACTGAAGCACGTCTGCGAAACGCCGAAGCGAGTCACGTTCTTACCGCCAGAGATCGGCCCTGGACGACCTCTTGTCTCTACCGACCTGGCTCATGAAGCTTGCGCGAACGCCTCCAGTGCTGTCGTTGCTGAAGCCGCGATGGTGAGAGGGACCGAGGTGGCCTGCACTTCGCGGCCGATCATCATCTGCGGGAACAGCCAAAAAGCCCCCGAACCCATTTGGTACCACCACAGACTTGCGGGCTTCACCTCCCCATTGTGGACCGAGGCCCTTGTGTGCAGAATAGCTGCTGACGGGGCGTCCACCAGATAGCGATCCACGCCTGCCCGTGTAGGCATCCGCGGGGATGATGGACGTGAAAATCCAGTCCAATTCATCCATTCCTTTGGAGAAAACCTCGAGCGGTTGGTTGAAGCCACGAGGAGTGTGGTGTGGCGAGTCCGCAAATGGGCGTACAGGCGGTGCCAGCGTCAGCGACTCTGGGAAGCTAGGGTCACGAACGAAGAGTTTCCTCAAGGCTGGGAGTGACCCAGACATGAGTGAAGTGGTGAGGTACTGGTAGTACGAGTCCGCTGGTGGATACATCTGGTGACTCGAGCTAGAGATGACCTCATAGTTCAGGGTGTGTAGTGATCGGGAGGTCATAGGGGGAATTGGTTCGATGGGTAGCGAGGCAGATACTGTTGCGGTGAATTCGAGTGTCCGGAGATTGGTAGCCATCTGCAAGACAATGTGGAGAGCAGGCACTGTCAAACTAGGACAATCCTTGATCTTGAGAGTGCGCAATGTATCCCGGCTGACTGGGTGCGAGAGGTATTGAGCTAGGCCTTGCGCCGTGAGATTCTTGACCTTCCTCAGTTTGATGGTGTCGAGTGGAGGGAATTCGGGGATTCCGGGAACAGGCTGTAGGACACTGTCGTTCAGCCAGGCGACCTCGGAGAAAGAGACCTCACTCAACCAGGGCAGTTGGCCGAGGACGCGCCTCAATACGGTAGGCTCGATCTGGATTCTGTTGATCTCAATGACCCGGAGCTCTTGCCAGAATCCTTGCAAAAGGGTCTCCAGCGACTTCTCCGCACCCTCATTGTATTTCATCTTTCGAATATGGGGGCACCTTGCCTGGAGCTCCTGGCGTAAAGTGTGGCAGGTGGAGTCACCGTTGTAGAAGCCATCCGGAAGGTCGACGTACTCGAGGTTGGGCAGGACCGACACGGTACGAGCAAGATCGGCCTTGCAAGACTCCCTCGTCATGTATGGTAGCTTCAAGAAGCGCACGCGTTGTCCTATGTAGTGATTGTCTCGCACCGTCCGGCAAAGCTGGAGGAGTCGCGTGGTTGGAGGATCGATTTCGTCGCCACCGCGGGATTTGCGTCTACGCTCGGCAGCGTACACTTCCTCGAGCTCGCAATAATGTACAGCGTCGATGCGGATGCTCTTGTACCTAGATCCATGTTAGCGCACCGCAATCGCAGTCGATGCCGCAGCCCGCATTCGCATGCAGGCGGCCGGTGAGGAGACTCACAGCAAACCAGCAGCCACACTGTACCATTGTCGTTTGACCAGGGCGCAGTGTGCTAGATCGCGCATGTCACAGGTCATGCAGCCTTCATTGCCGGAATCCTCGCTGCTATCCAAGCTCTCGTCCATGGAGTGCGGACAGACCTCCTCGAAGATGCGGCGCAAGATCTTGTCATTTAGGCGTGGGGTGCAGTCTGGACCATGATAGGCGGCGACCGAGTGATAATCGTTACGGGGAAAGAAGTCTTTGTTCTTTGGGCTCTTCTGCCGGCGAAAGCGCTTCATGAAACCCATGATGCGGTAGGAGATGGAGCTGTTGATTCGGTTAGATAGTGTGCTTTGATTCAAACATGAGCAGTGCGGTGTGTGTGTGTGGATGTGGGGTGCAGTATATTGGTGCAATGTGAAGAAATGTTTCCGAAGAAACGAAGGTAGGGTTGGAGGTGAAGGAGGGGGAGAGGGGCCCCGGGAGGAGAGGAGAAGTGGAGAGCAGGTGAGAGGGAGAGGGATAGAGAGGGGGGGAGAGGTGATGACGGTGGTGGTAGTGGTGGTGGAGACGGAGAATTGGAGAATTGGAGACCGCTGAAGATATATGAACGTGAAGGGGAAGGGAAGGGGAAGGAGAAAGGGCCAGAGCTGTAGTATTGTAAATACTAACATTCGAGGACCGAAGTGACTGACCTGTTACTGCTGTGGTTACTGCGAGGGTCTTCGTCGCGCGGGGAAGAGTGGAAACGCTTAGACATCATGTTCTCCTCTAGTTCCTTAGCTATTACTGTGTTCCCGTTGCCTTCTTCTCTCTTCTCTCTCTTCTCGTCTTTCTCTCTGGTCCTGTTTAATCAAACTTGACGCGGCGAATCGTCGGCTATGCGCGGGGAAGCTCCGACAGCTACCTCGAGGATACTTTTGCTCGTGCCCAGGGTGTGTGTGTTCTCTCGTGCAATTGCAATATAGAGCAATTGCTTGACCAAGTTAATGTACAGGCGCAGGCCGTTATAAATTATCGTAAATGAACGATCCCGTGGGTATGGTATGGTATGTGTATGGTATTGTGTGCGAAGCTGTCGCACGGGTGCCGAGGAAAGTCTTATGCACGTCGGAGGAGGAAGACGATGGAGGATAAGGAAGAATAAGAGAGCACTGATACGAGAGTATCTATGCGCGCTCAGACCTGATGCAAATGCAAATGTTTCGTTTCGCCGCGGAAGAGCTGAAGGGGTCGGTGCTGTGTGTAGCGCCCGCGAAGCGTCAATTCAAGACAGACAGACAGGCAGGCAGACATAAAGTGATTTTTCAAGAGAGCACTTTGTGCGAATGTAATGAACGTGAAGTGAGAACGGACGTTGAGGATTTGTGGGATTCAAGATTCAGGGCACGGAGGGCGTTGTGTTTAAGGGGTAATTGATAGCAGACAACGACATGCTCGTACTAGGTAGGTGGTAGGTTGGTGACAAAACAAACGGCCAACGAAGCGGGAGCTAGGAACTAATACAAATCCTAACGCCAGCTACTTACAGATAGGATGGGATGGGATGGGGTATGTCAGTAGAAATATCGGTAATAATAAGATTATAATCACCTAGTTATTCACGTCCGACCAAACAACACTGACCTCCATTGAGAGAGGCATCCCGCCCCTTAGTTTTAGTTTTGACCCGTCTGGGATGCGAGCGGCGCCAATCCAGTGTCTACCATGCCATTCACCCTCTCAAACCCGTATGACAGCGTGGTCCTCCCTCTCCACTTTCCAAATGGCCCCAAAACAGACGACGCTCGATGCCCAGACAAGCAAGGCTGTCCAATGACGTTCGAGCAGTATTCATTAGCTGGTGGTGGTCGTGACAATGACCCTGGAGCCGAATGGTATATCATCACGTGGATGTAGTAGGGGGACGGGGAAAAGACATGATTGATATTCCAGAGGCCCAGAAATAGAAAAGGCAAATGTGTCAGAGCTTCCAGGTCCAATGCGAACATGACGTGGGCAAATAAGGATCATTACCGTGCAATCACTGATGGTGCAAGGAGTAGCACGCTGTACTATCTTATGTCTGTCGTTGGAGTTTGGTACGGCGTCGTTGCTCCATCGATCTGTTGGTCGTCGCAGAAGGAAACAGCAAAAGCGAACAGCTAGGTACGGTAGTGTACTATGCGGTGGAAGGATTGTTGATCCTGCGGGCATGACAGGGCTAGGTAGATCTGAGAGAAAGTCGATGTCAGTGCCGGGGGCCCGAAGCCACCTCAAGAAGGGTTGACTCTTTGGCTGCAAGAGACGTGTTGGGCGAACGCATGTCCAGCTCTACCGTCTGTCGTAACGATGTACGGAGCAGAGGACGTCCAATGAAAACGCTATCCATGTAGCCACCTGCTGGCGGCGTTGTTGGGGCGAGTTGGGCCTATGGATCGGATGTGGATGCGTGTACGGTGTACCGTTATGCGTCCTGTTCGATGGGAATGGGTTCTATTGATGGCAGGACGAAAAAGGCAGAGATCAATCAATCAATCAGTGGATGGATGGTCGCACGGGGGGACACAAGAGTTTAAGACACAAGGCACAAGACACAGAGTAGGACACCACCCCACCTACCGTTCCACGCCAAACACATGGTGGGATGTGATTGAGGATGATGGCAGGATGGTAGGATGGCATCCTCGTAGCAAAAGGGTGGGACGGGGAGGCAGCGGATGTGGAGGGAAGAAGAGGGAGAAGAAGAAGGGCAACACGCGGGAAGCGTTGAACAAGACTCGTGCCGTGCCTCCTGAGTCCTGCTGTATCCATCCATACATAGTACACCTTTTCATACATCCTGCACACATACGTACGCACATACATATGATGGTTGACCCATCTCATGGTTCAGCAAATAATCAATCGATCAATAATGGAGAAGAGCAGAGGGAGGCGTGGTGTTTCAGATGCTGCCAATCAACGACGCACCCCCCAACGGAGCAACTCTGCCGGAGTAGATAAATAGTGGGAGACAGACAGGGGTAAGGGGGAGATGATGACGATGATGCGTCGACTGGACGGTGATAGCTCTCTATCTGCTCATCTACATAATCATGCTCATGGCTATGGTCATTTAGGTATTGTAGTAATAACGTTCTAGTTGCTTTCCGAGGTACATATTCATTGATTCCGGGACATCCTCTGGACCACAGCAGCTGGCCACAAATATGTAGTCATGTTTTTGTATTTATAGTCGATAATCTACAGAGTATTCCGTACTTGTACGGAGTACACTGTGTATATACAGCTCACGCAACAATTGGGGAAAAGATATATAAATCATACATCTACCATTCTTACGAGTACAGGCCAACCGTAGGAAGACAGATAGGTACATGACAAGAACAACCTACATGTGCTGGTCCGAGTATTACTATCCTTTTTTAATGGAGCGGAGACTCGCACGGCAGCAAAGCTTTCCGTTCACTAGACCTACTCCTGCGTCTCTACCTATCATCTCCAAGTAACTCCCGTTATGCATGTATCCCTATGTATGAACATGTGCCTGTGCAGGCATAGGCACATTGCAGCCTGCGACCTGCAACCTAATTTGTCTACGTGTACCTGAACCTGTTTCTCTGTCTGTTCCTGTTCCTGTTTCGGAAGAGGCGCGAGAAAGCACCGAGCTTCTGTGTTCAGACATGAGCTGTAGCAGAACAAGACAGCTCAGGGAACTCAAGCTTAGAAAGAGAAAAGAAGAATGATTAAACGATAGAACAAATACCCCATCATCATCACCATAACCATCACCATCACCAGCTAAGTAATCAAGGCCAACCGTACGACGACTAGACAGACTAGTGGATGGAATTCTCAACCAAGACTGCGTTAGAACTTCGGTACAAAGTACCTAACAGCTGGTTACTACTGTTACTGTCTAACGTCTGCTGCAAAAGTAAAAACGATCCAGATGATGCCCAAAGCAAAGAACGAACCTTCAGGTATATCAATTGGTAAAATACATAGTATTACGAAACGCATCATGATCGGAAGGCAGATTTGGAGATGTTTTGTCGACTTGACATTTCTTTTTTTTCCTTTTCCTTTTCCATCTTCATCTTTGGTACTTGATCCCTCTTTTTCCCTAAGGGACCAAACATCATTCGCTGAACCTGCGTTAGCTCCTCCTACACCCAAAGAACATTTTTGTAGCGAATTTGACAGAAAAGTAATAAAATCCTTGGTAGAATTGTCGTACGTGATGACGAACGAGGGAGAAAGCTATGAGGAGAGTGTCAGGGAGTGATTACATTAGTACGGGAGTATTCGATCCCATTTCATCCGCCCAATTCCCTATGATTATTTGCTGCGTATGTAATTCCTCCTTCTAGCACTGACCCTACGAATGATAAGAATAACTAGATACTCCGTAGTTTAGCACAGCACGGTACCAGCAACCATTCCCCTGGCATACTATGAGGGCGTACAGAACATGCACCATGCACAGTACTTTTGCTTCCCCAAACTTACCTGAACTAAACCTAACCTGATCTAACCAATCCCTCTCTGCTCTCTAAACTCTCTAAACTGCAGTAATAATTACTCTAATTAACACTCTCTTCCCTCAACCTCTCTCTCAGTCTCTCACTTGCTACCTGGCCTGGTACCTACTAGTTAACTACTGCTAACTAACTACCACTTTACCACTTATCCATACTCGGACTCGCCTCGTCTCGTCTGGTCCTTCTCTTCTTCTTCCTCTTCCCTTCTCCTCCATCCTCTCCCCCATTCCGCCTCATACTCTCTATACCTCACCTCACCTCACCTCATCCGTTTTCTCCATCTTCGTTCTTCTTCTTCTCAATCCCCCCCTCTCCTCCCCTTCCTACCTCTTCTTCGCCAGAGGCTTCCATCTCCTCCGTCCGGTCGTTCATCGCCCGCGTCGATCTCTACCACTCGTTATTTCTCACCCTCGCTCGCTCCTCGTTCGAAGCTTGTCCGCAGCTCCCCACCTCTACGGGCCTTCACCTCCTGTTTTGCTGACGACGTCCATTGCACTTTCTCTTCGCATTATTCGTCCCGTCCGCCTTCGAGCTTTACTACGCCTTCCAAACCAACCAACGAACACCTACCTCATCTTACCTACCCACCCATCTACTACAACCACCTTCTCACACCCTCACTCGAACTGCGTCCCTAAAGCGTTGTTTTTTTATTACTGCTTCAACGTCACATACTCAGCGGAGTCTATTCCCATATACTAACATGGCGTCCCAGACTCCTCAGGCGCCTAACCTTGACCGCTACGTCGTCATTCACGTTGCCACAACATGCGATGAACACGGTGTATACGTCACAAAGGACTCTGCCGAGGTCATTGAACTCGGATGGATCTTGCTCGATGCAAAATCTTGTGAGGAGGTGAGAGGACAGAGCAATTGATTGCCCCACCCGTTGGTTTATATCCATACTAACACAGCTTCTAGTTGCACCGAGAGAGCATTTTGGTCAAGCCCGTCAACACGCCGATTACGGCACTCTGCAGTGAGTGTTACCCTTCACCCGCATTCAGTACGAGAGTACCCCTTCTGACGTAGATTCTGCTATAGCAAGCTTGACAACCTTGACCTGGGATCAGGTCCGCAATGCCGGTACCTTCAGGGACGCAATTACACGGTTCGATGCCTTCGCACAGGAACACCTCGTCCCCAAGAACCTCGAGTTCGCCTTCGTAACCCTCGACTCCTGGGATCTCCGGGTTCAACTGCCTCGTGAGGCCCGCGATAAGGCTGTTGTCCTCCCCCCTTATCTACAACACTCTCGTACATTTGATTTGCGCACAGAATATCAGCGCTGGCAGGCACACCACCCGGAGTCCCTTCCATTCGGTTCCAGTGCATTGGCCAACATTTGTGCTGCATTGGAGGTCGAGCCTGTGCAATCATCTGCACCCATCAAACACAACCTTCCTTTCCACTTGCAGGCACTTGCCCCCGCTTCGCCGAGGCGAGCTATGGAGGAATCTGTCACCTTGGCCCGCGTACTGAGAGGCCTCATCCGTAAATCACAACCACCCTCGGAGCACCCAGACGTCCTCACCAAACCCATGGACGCCCGTGCCGACGTCAGGGCATTCTTGTCCGAACGCAGTAAAGTGCTTCACATGAGTGGTCTTCCCCACGACACCACGCAGTCAGAGCTTGAGAGTTGGTTCACCCAGTTCGGCGGCCGTCCCATTGCCTTCTGGACTCTCCGCACTCCCGACCAGCATAAACCCACCGGTACTGGATTCGCTGTCTTTTCTTCCCACGAGGAGGTACGTCATGATGCAATTGAAACTTTATTATCCCTTGACTTACCAAGTACCACAGGCTGCCGAGAGCTTGTGCATGAACGGCCGTGCACTCAACGAAAAGGCCATCGAGGTCTCCCCATCGTCGAGCCGTGTCCTTGACCGTGCTGCGGATATCATCACACCTTTCCCTCCCAGCAAGAACCGCCCACGACCAGGTGATTGGAACTGCCCCTCCTGCGGTTTCTCCAACTTCCAACGCCGCACGGCATGCTTCCGCTGCTCTTTCCCTGCCATGCAGGTTCCCCCTGGCGATGGTATGGGCTACCCTTACGGTTACGGCCCACCAAACATGATGGGCCCTCCTACCCACCACATGGGTCATGGCCACGGTATGGGTGGCGGCCACATGCCTCGAGGCAACGGCGGAGTCGTACCTTTCCGCGCCGGAGACTGGAAGTGTGGTGAGAATGGCTGCGGTTATCACAACTTTGCCAAGAATGTCCAGTGCCTTCGATGCGGTGCCAGTCGATCTGGTGCAGCTGTCGTTGCTGATTCTGCATTCCCTTCTCCCATGGATGCTCCGTCTAGCTTTGGCATGGGTCCACCTTCAATGGGTGGCACTCCTGGTCCTTTCGGAGCTGGTGCCTTTGGTAATGCTGGATTCCCTGCGCAGCAGTTTGGTGGCCCCCCTAGCTCTTATGCCCTCCCTTCAGGAATCGGAGCCGCTAGCCCCTACCCTCCTGTCGGTGCTCAGTATGCTCCTAACGGTGGAATGCATGCTACTCCGTTTGACAGCCGCTCAGCAGAGGCTGCCTTCACTGCCGCCGACCAATATCCTCCTAACCAAGGTCCTGCCAACGGTGATGGGCGTAATGATCCCTTCAATTTCCTTTCCACCAACTTTGGCGGTCTGTCCATGAACGATGATCGCCGCAATGCCCCCAACTCCGCGAGCAAGTCTCCGGCTTAGACAACACGTACATATACAGGTATCGATCTCTCGAAGCCTCGATCTTGCTCGGTCAATTTGTGGCATGGGTCGGCTATTTCGGAACGGTGGCGCGGGAAAGACTGAATTTTGGAGTTTCTCTTTCAGACTGGTAAAGATTTGCAGCATTTTCGGACTACCGGACACGGGAACGGGTAAGAGATCATAGACTGGAGATCTTCAAGGAGGAGTTTGATACCTTTCGATGGCCGGGGCGGTGTTTGGGGATCAAAAGTATAAGCCTGGGAGAAAAGTCATGGTCACGGGTGGCCCAGGCTGTTTCTTGGATTCAGTTTTTCGACATGGAGGGAATTTTCCTTCTGCTGTGTTTTCTTTGCACACCCTCTCACCCCAAATTGTTCCCTCATAATCCCGTTTGCACATTTCACTTCTACTTGTTTTCTTTCTACGCTTGGTCTGCAGTTCAATTCCAATCTACGATGCGTGGCATAGCGTTCCGGGGATGGTTCGGGGGCATATGAACCTGGTTGGGCGCTGGTGGGAATCGGTGGCTTTGCGCATATCTTGGATCGTCAATACTGGCCCCTATAATGGGACCATCCTTCTCCGGATGGATGGTTTCTGCTGTTTTGCTTTTTTTCCTCTTTGCTTTCTTCTCTCGTACCCATCCATCACGGCCGAGTTACATCATGGGGCATTTCCTTTTCTCTCTCTCTCTCTCTCTCTCTCTCTCGCGCTCCTCATAAATAGAAAAAATGTTCCCTCTCTCTCTATTCCGAGCCATTGGAATCAGCGCCCGTCAGACTGTTGAGATTGATCGCATACATAGGTGTTCTTCTCTTCCGTCTGAAACGACTGTAATTCCGGCTCCCGCTGTCATAACTACTACATAGAAGAAAAAATAACTCTTTTTCCCTCTAGAAACTCTTACTCTGCCCAAGCTAAGGAAAAAAGAATTTAAAAATCAGGATGACATACTCCGTACTTGTATTGTCATTATCAATCGCTAGAACTGTGTAAGTTGTTTGGTTGGTTGTTTTGAAGGACAGTCGGATTGAGTAGCATCACAAGACAGACACGCAGATGTGCACACATATTCACTCATTCATCACCTACAGCCAGAAAGCAAAAAACACAACATGACTAAAATGAGAAGCTTTCCATATTTCAAAAACGCTAGACACTCATTCATACATACATACGTGCCATACGTGCCATACGCCGAGCGTGAAAAAAAGATAAGACGAGTCTAACCAAGTTGTTAATGCCGACCGACAACAAGCAGACGACCCCAAGCATCGAAGTGAGAGAAAGGGTTAGTTAGGTACGTTTTTACATCTCGCTGTTCAGCAAGCTCTCCATGATGTCGTCCTCCGTGAACGCCGTGTGGCGCCTACCGCCCCGGACGGGCAGGATTGTACCTTCGTGCATGTCTTCATCGTTGTCTTCGTCGTCGTCGCCTTCTTCGAGGGGCATCCGTGTGCCTTCTGCTTGCATGCCCGCGAGCATCGTGTCTTCGTCTTCGTTGTCGTCGTCGGGCACCTCGCTCTGGGCTTCTGGGGTCCCGCTCTGGCGTTGGCTCGCGGTGCCGGCGCGCGGCGGGGAGGACGACGTGGGCGGTACTTCCGTCTCGTCGACCTCCTCGCCCTGGGCTTGAGTGGCCGCTTCTACCTCTCCCAAACGCTTCGTCAGGCTGGTCTCCAGCTTAGCGAGGTAGTTCCTCGATGTGGCGTCTAGGCCGAGCTTCGCCTCCACGGCCTCTGACACGAGCTGGTGGAGGTCGCGCAGTGCGTCAATGTACGCCGCCTCGTGCTTCGATGGCGTGGACGAGATGTACAATTTGGTGAGGAGGCTCAGGAGCGGCTTCTTCTCGTCCCGGGTGCACGTGTCCCTGAGGGCCCGCTCTAGGATATCGATCGCAAGCTGGATGTGAGGTTCCTCCGCGCCCTCGAGGTTGTTGATCTTCCCGTCGACGCCTTGTTCCGTCGCACCGACGACGCGGCGGCCGTCGGTCCATTCAGAGAGGTGGCCGGCTACGATGGGCCAGCCGACCATCTCGTCGGCTTCCTCGTCGATGTCCTCTCGCATCACGAGAAGCTTTTGGATGACGGGGACGGCGAGTTGCGACATCAGGAGCGCGTTCTTAGCGCGGGAATGGCAGAAGACGGGAAGGAAGTAGCTGAGTGCTTGGCTGACGGCTGTGTTGGATGCTGTGTCTGGGTCGAAGTAGGCAAGTGTGAAGGCTTTCAGCAAAATGGCCACCGAGGCTGGCGGTAACACGTTGAGGAAGAGGAGTTTGGAGCCTGCTACGCATGCTTCAAGCGCCAAGTAGCGTTTGTCGGAATTGAAGGCTTTCAGGAACATCTTCATGATGTGCTTAAGCCAGGGGTTTGGTGTGGGCTCCGGTTCACCTTCTTGTTCCTCGTCCTCGTCTTCGGGATCTGGTGGGAGAGGGGCGATGAGTGTTGGATGTGTGATGATGATGTCGGTTAGAACCTGTATGACGATGACCTTGAGGCTATCTGGGCCGATAGAGTAGCAGTGAAGGAAAAGTTCTACGTTGGAGCTGGCAAGATCCTGGAAATGAAAGTTAGCAAGTGCTCTTGTTTTTCGATATGCAGTTCTCACGTACCTTGCTAAGGAGGCCAGCCAAACCTAGACACACTACTCCACGCTCTCGGATATTCTCATCGTGGCTCCGCACTGCAGGAACAATGAGAGTGTTTAAGATAGTGACCAGGGCGTTGTTATCTTCCAGTCCTACATAGACATTCTGCAACATGCATTGCGCGATATGCAGACACTTCAGGAACACGAGAGCTTCACGAATCTGCCTCTGCTCCTCTGCTTCTGGATCCTCCTCTTCCTTCGCCTTCTTGCTTGGGTTAGAAGCTGAAACAGTCGCGTCTGACTGAGCTGAGTGGAAGCTGTCCTCTGCATCCTCTGGCACTTCGGTTGCCTCGTCCGGCATGAGTGTGTCTCGGACCTCAGCAATTGCTTCCAAAATGACGCTGCAGAACTCTTTCTCTCCCGTGTCACGGCCACCACACACTGTACGGAGGACTTCGACACCCAATTTTGTACACTCTTCGGGAAACTCGACGCGCGCCAGGGCATCTCGCATGATGGAAAACATTTGTCGTCTTCCAACTTCGTCACTGTAGTCGAGCGTGAGAGCGATGTGAAGCAGCTGTTCGACCACGAATTCTTGCTCACTGGCTTCTTCAGCCATTTCTTGATAGTCTTCGTGATCCTCGTCCAGCTCAGCAATCCTGTGTCCAACCTCCATCAAACGATTGAGATGTGTCTGCACAAAGAAAGCAAATGCCATGACTGCGGGCATCTTCTCGTCTTGAAGCGAATCGTCCGCTAGACTAACGCAATAGTCATTCAAACTGCGTGCCACGAACGCGCTTTCTGGTGTCAGTCCGTTCCAGAAGTCGTCGTCGAATGTGACAAAATCTCTATAGTCTGGCCGGCCGTCCCAGAACTCGCGCATTGCCTCATGAGCCATGCCTTCCTCAGTTCCGGAATGGGTGATGCTTATGCGCTCTAGCAATTCGAGTAGAGCGTCCATGTTAGGGGGAAAGACTTCACCAGGTTTTCGTTCTTCCTCAGGTGTCGGATTATGGGTCTGAGCACAATGGTCGATCCATCGTTCGCGGAAGAGACGTGCGGTTGCCTTTCGGACCATCTCGTCACGATCCCTTAGCCCCCACCGGATGAGCTTCTCACGTTCCACCATAGACATATGACGGAAATCCCCAAGAGCAGGAAGTAATTTACCATACAAGGCACGTCGAGTCCCCGGATCCGAGTCCCTGGCTCTTTCCAGTAGCCATTTGAGGGTATTGGGTCGGAAAGGCAGATTCATTAGGACCGCGCGACGGACTTCCGCACTCGGATCGTTCTGCATAATATCCAGCAGCTTGATCAGTATGCGACCTGTGGTGTCATCGTCGCTGTCCTCTTCATCTTCCTCCTCGTCATCGTTGTCGGCAAGGCGGCCCAGACCGAGTACTGCCTGTACTCGAACAGAAGGCTCCTTGTCTCGCAGTCTCTTCGCCAATTTAAGCCGGATGAGATCAAATAGCTCGTCGTCGATCTGATCTAAACTGTTGACGATGTGTGCAACTGTCTGTGTGGCGCGAAATCGCACCGTCTTGTCCTTGACCTCGATAAATGTGAGTATTGTAGATAGTATATGCGATGTGAGACGACTACTAGGCGTCTCTGGAATGAGCATTTCTTGTTCGTCATCGGGCTGCAGGATAGCATTGTCTGTGGGAACATTAGCCTCAAATTTCAATAATTGGAAGACAGATGAATATACCTTTCTCCGTTGCATGCTTCAAGAAGATACCTAGAAATCTGATAATACGGTCACCAACAGGTTCGCTCTTCTTGACTGCCATGATCCTCGTCACGCATCGCGCTACCTCCTCGTTGAAATCCGCTTCGTCGAATTCCTCTTCCACTCGCTTCTTCTTGGTATCTTGTGCCTCGTAACAACATGCTTCCTGGATCTTCCTCAAACTAACGACTAATTTCCGCTGTGTCGCCGTTGTCTTCTGTGCGTCGCCGAATATTTGACATATCTGCGTTCGAAGCGATGTGACCTCTCCTTCGTCTGGGACCTCGACAGCGGGGACAGACGACCGCGATTTGGCCGTGGTCGAGCTTGATTTGCGGGTTGCACCTGCGCCAGACGAGCGCGCCGACCGCGATGCAGGTCTTCCGGGCATATTCGCTCTGTGAGTTTGGTTGTTAGTTGTTGTCGTTGGTATGTTCTGCCGTGGAATGTTTCCGAGGGGTATATTCGGATGGGGGATGTTGATTCTGCCCACACCGAACAACAAGACAGTGACCCCCCAAAACAAACAAATGCCCCTGCCCGATCCGGGCAAGCGCGCAACGCGACTCGCACGTGAACTCGCCTAACCCCTGTAAATTGCGACATCGCGACATCGGCGGGGAAGCTCTCCAATTCGCCGACGAATAGTTCCCAGCAGAAAGGTTCGCTTTTGTGACTTGTCGTCATATCTTTCTTGCTTCTGGACGTTTGCGCGATTACTATATTCTTGAAGTTTGTTCGTGTGCTCGAATTTGTTTCAAGATGTTCAGAACTGCAGTGCGCCGGTTCGCTGCGACTGGAATGCACTTTGCTGCATACGATGCTTCGATCATCAACGTTTCGAGGGCACAAGGCGTTGCACAAAGAGGCCTTTTAGATGGTATGATCCACGCCTCCCACCTCCAATTCAATCAATCTCACCCACTTTCCAGCAATTGGCAAGACCCCTCTCATAAAACTAAAGCGACTCTCTGAGGAGACCGGTTGCGAAGTGCTCGGAAAAGCCGAATTCCAAAACCCCGGTGGCTCAGTCAAAGACCGCGCCGCGCTCTTCGTCGTCGAGCATGCAGAGAAGCAGGGCCTCCTGAAGCCAGGCGGCACCGTCATCGAGGGCACAGCCGGCAACACTGGCATCGGACTCGCGCACGTCTGCCGCTCCAAGGGCTACAAACTCGTCATCTACATGCCGAACACACAATCGCAGGGCAAGATCGACTTGCTACGACTGCTCGGCGCAGAGGTGTATCCCGTCCCTGCGGTTGCGTTCGATAATCCGGAGAACTACAACCACCAGGCGAAGAGGCATGCCGACAGTCTCGAGAACGCGGTTTGGACGAATCAGTTCGACAACACTGCGAACCGACAGGCCCACATCGAGACGACGGGCCCGGAGATCTGGGAGCAGACGAATGGAAAGATCGACGCTTTTACTTGTGCCACGGGCACGGGAGGCTCGCTTGCGGGAGTCACGCGGTATCTGAAGGAGAAGTCGAACGGCCGCGTCAAGGCGTTCCTTGCGGACCCTCCCGGTTCGGTCCTGCACTCGTACATCCAGAGTGGGGGTAAGCTCGCTGAGAGACAGGGCGGTTCTATCACAGAAGGCATTGGCCAGGGCAGAGTGACGGACAATCTCAAGCCGGATATCGACCTCATCGACGACTCGCTCCACATCGCGGATGAGAAGACCATCGAGATGGTGTACAGGTGCTTGGATGAGGAGGGCTTATACTTGGGGGCTAGTTCGAGCTTGAACGTCGTTGCTGCTAAGGAGGTTGCGGAGAAGCTTGGAAAGGGCCATACCGTCGTGACGCTTCTCTGCGACGGTGCATACCGTTACGCGGATCGTTTATTCTCGAAGAATTGGCTGCAGGAGAAGAAGCTCATCGATTCGATACCCGAGCATTTGAAGAAGTACATTGTCCTCCCATAGAGGAACGGACTAGTTAAGATAAAAATACAATACCAATCTTCCAACAAGTGTATTTCTATATTGTTGTATCTACTATGTCTATAGATTCGGCGACCCACTAACAAATCCATTGACCACAGCGGACATAAGCTGATTCGCGATCGCGGTCTTCGGTGGCAACCTCAATCCACCGGGCTTGTACTCTGGTCCGGCATCTTCACCAAGTCCACTCGTACCGATTCTCAACGCCTCCCGCACCTCGTCAAGCGTGAACCATTTGGCATCTTCCAACTCCGCATCGTGTCCCAAGTGCACGGTCTCGCCAGTGGGAATCGCCTGTCCAATGGCGCCAATCATCAAGTTTGCGGGATACGGCCAGGGCTGAGTGGAGTGGATGACGACGCGTCCGAGGTGAATTCCAGACTCCTCCCATACTTCTCTTCGTACGGCTTCTTCCACGCTCTCGGCGGGCTCGAGGAACCCGGCGAGCGTGCTGTACCAGTACTCTGGCCAGCGCTTTTGTCGGCCAAGCAGCACACGCTGTCCGTCGGCAGATACTACAGCCATGATGACGGTAGGGTCAGTCCTGGGGAAGGATAGATTGGAGATACCGGTGCGTGTAGCGCAGGGTGGGCGGTCCGGTGTCGATACTGAAGGTGCGATGTCTCGTGGGGGACATGTTCGCTTGAAGCCGGCGTTTATGGAGAGAGTAGGGTATCCACAGGCTCCGCAGTATGGGTTTCTTGCATTCCAGTCGAGCAAATGGCGAGCTTCGGCATAGATTGCGGCTGTGGTGGAGTTAGTGGTGGAATCGTCAACTCTATGTCTAGTGTGTGCAGTATATACCTTCTTGTGCAGGCAAAGATAGGTGCATTCGGCCTTTTGAGAAAGCAAGACCCTGCCCTTCTAGATTCTTGATCAAGGCCTCAGCAGCCTCAGTCACGCTGGCCTTAGGTGTCACATCGACGGCGAAGTAGGGTTGTCCTTTGTAGTGATCCTTGTATACGAATCCCTCTACGCGCTCGTCGAGACCTAGGAAGACTATTTGCGGCAAGTATGTCGCTGAGTTGTAGTCCTTGATGGTATCCTCTTCCGTCTTTGAAAATGGATCTTCGCCAATAATGGGTTGCACATCGGTATACTTTACTTGCACGAGCTCGGTGCCAGATTTGACCAACGGCTCAAGCTTGTTGAAGAGAAGGAAAGAGGCCGAAGGGTGGCGGAGGGCCTGGGAGAGAAATGCATGGTCAGGGCGAAGGAAAGACACACGGTTCAGTGGCGATCCTACATGGGATCAATCAGTGACTACTTTCTACAGAATGAATGGAGGCGCAACTGCAATATACCGGAGAAGTAGTTGGCGATCTCCTTGCCGAACTTTCGGCTTAGCATCGAGTCGACGTCAGGATGCGCAGGCTCAGGTAGATTAGGTTGAGGGAGGGGCATTATGTTATGACGCCTAGTAGGAAGAGGAAGAGAGGTCGAGTAGGTTACAGAATTGTGCGAGTAATGAGGTGGAAGTCGAAATCCAAACAGGATAAACAATCGCGAAGAGAGTTCTACGCCAGACTAGATAATAGCACCAAATAGTTGCACAATCTCGTACCTGACGTGCTCGATCTACTTACCCCACTGAGGGGTGAAGATGGATTATTAAACATGACTCTGACAGGTCGATAGGCCCGTCCTACTAAGTAATTGCAAGAAGGGCTATTATTTCCGTTTCGAAGGTTCGAGGGCGATTCTGCATCCTCGGCTTTAGAGACTACTCTCGGTCCGCTATCGCCAGCGTGCCAGCGGATACAAGTAGGCCGGAATCCATACTAATACTGCATAGTACGGAGAAATAGTAGATGGTTACAGGGATGGTTGCAGAGAAAGGGAAGAGATCAAGAGGGAGGGCTTGAGGCTTGACGACACCCCACGTTGCCGCCAAGCCTTACAGCTCTCCAAATCCCATACCAGAACACCGTTTCCAAATGTTCCGATAGTTACAACATGCATATAACAATACTTTATTAAGTTATTACCCACGATACACAATCAAGATCACCTTCCGCATAATACTCTGCAACTCACTCACCGCCTCTTTTGAAACCCCAATGGCTTGAACCTGTTCGCCATGAGTCGCTTCTACGTATGTAACCGCTCTCCCTTCACCGTTTCCCGCATCTATAGAAAACGCAGCGCAAGTCGTGTTAACCCGCCATTGGACAGGTTGGCGGCTCTACCTCCGCCTCTTCTGACGAGGACGACGATAATCTTCCCTTCCCTACACCCTTACAGCGCAGCGACTTCCTCGCCGCGGACTTCTCCCCATCGACTTACCTGAGCACGCTGCGCAATCGCCATCAAACCCTCGAAGACCTGCGCTCCGAACTCCGGTCCCGCAGCCAAGAGCTAAATAAAGAGCTCCTCGACCTCGTCAACTCTAATTACCAGGACTTTCTGAGCCTCGGAAGCAGTCTCAAGGGCGGCGACGAAAAGGTTGAGGAAGTCAGGGTTGGTCTTTTAGGATTTAGGAAAGACGTTGAGGCCGCGAAAGGCAAGGTGGAAGAGAGGGAAGAGGTTGTCAAGGATCTGGTGGACGAACGCGTGCGGATAAGGAATGACATCGCCATCGGCAGAGCGTTAGTGGACTATGAAGAAAGGCTGAGATTGCTCGAGGGTCGACTTAGAATCGAGACAAGGACAGATTCTGCCAAATCGGGGGAATATGATGATTCATCAGAGAGCGAAGAGGATTCTGACGACGATGAGGGGTTATTTTCCTCCTCCGTCTCGAAATTGCGGAATCACGTTCAACAGTATTGTTTAATACAACAAATCGCGAAAAGTGTTGGAGAGACTATGCCTTTCATCACGGCGCAAGCACCACGCGTGGTAAAAGTCCGAAACACAATACTTCTAGACCTCAACAATGCATTGAGGCAAGCCAAAGCCGCGGGCGCCAAGGGCTCAAGTAGAGTCATGAAGATCGCAAGAATCTATGCGGACATGGATGAATCTGCGGAGGCAATCAAGGTGTTAAAGTCCGCCAAAACGTCATAATATGGCCTATATCTACAGCAATGTGGTCAAGCATAGCGATGGCGTTAGATTATGATACAATGTCTTATACATATAGATCAGATATGCTACAAAGGACCGGAAAGCTCCTTGACTGGTATCGAATTAGCGTTCTTGAACTCGCCGTTCAAAGTGAACCCGGGAGAGTTAGTGGAGCTCAGCACCTAGGAATAAGTTAGTTTGATGTAAAATGAAAAACATGCATGTCCGAAATAACTCACCACTTCGTGAATCTCCTTGCTTATTCGATCTTGCATTTGCGCAATATCCTTCTTCAGCGTATCCATGAACGCCTTAACATTCTTCTGCATCTCTTCGGGAGTGAAGGCCAATTGTCCAACTGCCATTCGGATCACACCCATCCTTTCCCTGTACTCACTTGCACCAACCATATTCCTAACCGTAACTCCCACATTATTCACAACCGTACCCGTCTTCGTGCTGGGCATCAATCCCTTTGGACCAAGAACCCTTCCCAAACCAGCCTTATTCAACTTCGCAAGCGAGTCGATGTGGCAAATACACCTTTCAAACTCCACAATCCCCTCCTTGATCTGATTGAAAACCTCGTCCTCACCCACCAGCACCGCACCCGCAGCGCGGGCCTCCTCGGCGGCCTTGGAGCCCGGCGGTGCAATCACGCAGATCCTCACATCAGTCTTCACGGGATGCGGGAGCCGAAGTCGATTGCGGATGACGGGGCCGTTCTTCAATGTGCGCAGGCGAACGTGCATTTCGTATTTTGAGGATGCTGGGTTGCGGCCAACTTCGAAGGCGCGGATGTATCTGTTCACACAGAGTCAATACCACCAATCTTACACCCGCAATCTGCCAATTGAACTCACTGCATCGCGTCCACGAGAGCGAATTGCTCTGCATGCTTCAGGTCATACTGGAGGAAGGTGTTCCTCGTCTTTTTCTTCTTCTTGGGTGCGGCGGATTTTTGAGAGGCGCATCGCAGGGTCTGGTAGGGGAGGATGCTGGGTCGAATTATTTCAGCTCGGGGAATCGCTATCGAGGATGCTCCTATTCTGCTCAGAGGAGCGAGGAACGGTCTTGGGTTGGCCATGTTGTGGTTTAATGTGTGGTCGTATGTTGGACATCAAAAGTTCGGAGGTCCGACGAATTGTACGCCAAGCTTGATACGCTTTGCCTAATCGGGAAATACCACGTTTATATGGATATAAATCCCCACGAAGCTGTGCCGCACACAATTGGCGTGCGGTCAGGTAGAACACTTTAAGCTTTTTCTGACTCGACTGACCAGAAAATAGCCAGGAATTATGAAAACCATGGTTCGAAGTGCAAGTCGGGGTTGCCGCTAACATTCTGAGTCGCCTAAGTGTCTTTCAAGATCAGCATTTCTGTCCTGATTCAATAAAATAGATAATTCACCTTGTCCTGAAATCGCGATTTATTTTCAAAATTATCTACTAGTAATGCGGCTGAAAAGATTTGAATCTCTTGACCCGTTCTGCTGGTATTGATGATGCTTGATTTTAGGAAGCGCATTCACGAGTTTACATTTTGAATTAAAAGATACATTCTTTTTACACATAATCTCCAATTGGAAGGAAAAGAAAAATGCATTAAAATGAGAATGAGATCAAGTTCCTGTAATGAGCTCGATATATTGATTGAGACTGGCAAAGTCCAATAAGAACTTAGTCTGTCAGTTTTCCTACCAGGACACTGTCATGTTGGCGAGCGTGCCTTTTGGTGCATGTGTCAGCATTAGGTTTAAAGTATAGAGGATTTCTGGTAATTGATCTTATATGGTCCCGTCTTGATCTAAAGCTATGTTGAACAAAGATGCTTTTGATCTCTCTCACATCGCTTTGGTTGACATTGAGACCCGCAAAGAATGTATGTGAGGTAGGCAAGAAATCCTAGCAACTTGGTTCGCTGAAAATGGGCATCTCAGACGATAACATATCGTTTCAAGATCTAAGAGTTCATCGGAGATCCCTAGAAATTGGCAAGGATAGAGCATCAGGTTCGAGATCACTCGTGGAAATATGTGCACCATTAGAGCGGTATCATTCGCCGCACGTCCGGAATGTGTGAACATGCTTCAGAGAGAATTTGTCAGTGTTTGGTTTTATATGGTCTTGCACTTATTTCTTCTTTTGGAAATACAGATGCTGGATCTGTGAGTCCATAAGGTCTGATCAAGGTCGGCGAACATGATCTAGAAGAGTCTATATGTATGAAATACATGATCTTCACGCAGATGTCAGACTGCAAGTCCGGATGGGAAAGAACAAACGAAGATATTGTGGCCAGAAGCAATGACGTATCGTTCACGACCCAATTCCCGCAACCCGGTAACACGATCTAATCGTCGGAAATGTCAAGCTTTCCAAGGATGCCTTAGGAGAAAAAAGCCTATTTCGCCCTTCGATCGTCATAATGCCTGGTCAAACACGATGGCTCGACGGACTGATGGCGAGGAGGGTGCGGGCAGAGCGGCGCGTCTGAGGCTACCGAGAGACCACGCAGCCAACGACGATATCTCGTATACTCGTTTTCTAACTCCAGGACTGCTAAATGGTGGATTTGGCTCTGCCGTCCCAACTTCAGACAAGAGCTGCAAGTGTGACACAAAGATCTTCCGACCAGCGTCGCAGGTATTCGCTTGATGTGGCTGAAACGCGCGACATGCTCCGCACCTCCGCATCGATGCCATCGAACCTTCGGCTGAACTATTACCGATAAATCGATATGTCGTCTCGAACTACTCCATTCCAACCAGAATTGCAACTGAGATAGCCAAGCTTTTGGAGCTGAGATGTCCAAGGGCGAGGCATTATCTTGGACTGCGTAGGGTGCGTTTCAAGATTTGCATCTGACTTCATCGTGGACAGCAGAACGGTCGCCTTTATTATCTGAGGACATCGCGCCCAAGGCTTGGATTTTTTTTATCCTGCATTCACATATTTCATCAAGCATTTCTATTCTATATCATTTTCTATTCGTCATCTTTTCTTTTTGCGCTGCGTTTATCATCGCATCTTTTATACAGCACACATTCGGCCAACCACGTCACCAAGTTATCCAGAGAGAACTTGAACCCAATCGCCACAATGTTGACCAACCGCCGATCCACCATGATGATTCCTCCTCCAACAACACACAAAAGGACGCAAAGTTTTACAGCGGCATCTCCTAACTATGAATCCGAGCCACACTGCCGCACCAGCTCCGTCCTAACAGCCACAACCGACAACCTCCCAGGCCACCGCGTCGTGAAAGTAATTGGCACAGTCCATGGCATCACAACTTGCGCGCGAAAAGAGACGAAGACTTTCCTGAAATCCATGGGGATGGGTAGCGAGGCAAAGAGTCTGACGCACATGCTATACAATGCGCGCGACCAAGCCATTGAAAGAATGGTGAGGGACTGCGTGAGCCGGGGAGGCAATGCGATTGTTGGAATAGGATTTGGAGAGAGTGAGGTCTTGGGATTCGCGCAGGTCTCCGTGTATGGCACTGCGGTCTTCGTCGAGAGGCAATTCAGCAAGGACGATCCTTTCAACCAGTGACACGCATTGCTGGTGGTATAGAGCCGACGGACACTTCGAGCACAATCGAGTGATATCGTAACGCGGCGGATGATCCATCAGGGTATGGATATCTCTTTTCGAGTACATTCGGATCAGCGCGAGCAAGTTCTCAGCAGCGACATAACTATACGGCGTTCTGTCGGAGTCGAAAGGGAAAAGCGTCGACGAAATTTTTGAAAAGAAAAACGATGGCGGAATCGTTCAAAGGAAGCAAATTCTTCCAGCTGGCTCTATTGATACCATCGCCGTGGCCAGGGCGACGACAAAAGGGTTAGCAGTGCGTAATGCAGAAAAACATGTGTACATGAATTTTGTTTGTTTAATAATTTATCACTTTCATCTCCATTGCTTTTATCTTGTTTCCCCTGAATGTCAAGTCCAGACGAGCATAGAGGAGCATTGGACACGAGGTAAGTTGAAAACATATTTCCTAGATAAAATTATGCTACGCTAACAACATATACAGTGCAAAGAACACCCTTCTTCTACCACCAATCCATACACCAGACCCAGAATCCAGCGACCATCACCATCCCAGCATCCACAGCTCTGCCTCTCTCCAGTCAAAATCTCGCAAACCACCAACCCAACGCGCCCGCAATCCCCATAGCAAACGGCGGCAACAGCGTGCTAACCATAGCATTGAACGCCTTCCACCACCTCTGCGTCCTCGCAACCATGAAGCCCTCCCTATCGTTGACGTGCGGGAACCCCTCATCCGGCACGTCTTTGCCCAAGAAGTCACAGAGACCGGTCCAGCCGGCCTTGACGTCGAACTCCAGGAGTCTGTCCTTCGGCACATACGCCCTAATGGCCTCGTAGTGGTCGATGAACGCCTCGCGCTCGCCCTTGGGGCAGATGTGCTTGCGAAGCGCCTGCTGGAACTTCTGATATCTCCACCATGCGCGTCTGTATCAAACATCAGCAACTACATCTCCCCTTCCCGCACTGCACTTCCATCCTCGAATTCAGGGGTCCGGTACAACACGACTTACTGCGTAGGTTCAAACGGGGTAACATAATCCCAACTCCTCCACTTGATCCCCTCATCCACACTCGCCTTCATCGACGTCATCCACCTATCGGGATCCCGATTCGTGAGAATGATCTTCGCATCCGGATACGCATCCACGAGGTCCCTCCACACATACGTGCCGGGCATATTGCATGACACATTGTAGTCACCGAGCAACTTGTCGTAGTCCTCGTGGGTGTAGTTCGCAGCGGTGTCGTAGTGGTACGCGGAGATGGCTTCTTCCCAGTAAGGGTATAATTCGGGGGTGTTCTGAAGCATCGAGCCGTGGAATGTGTTGTAGCCGAGGACGTTGAGGGCTGCGCGCAGGGAGGACACGCCGGTGCGAGGCATGCCGAGGATGAGGATTTGCATCGGCTTGGGGTTGGGGTGAGGGGGTTTGGAGTCGATGAGGCGGGAGGTCATCATGTCGAGGGGCTTTTGGAGGTCGGTGGTTAGGGAGTCTACCATTTTGGCCATTTTGGATGTTGGGTTTTGTCAGGAGAGAGGGAGATTGGGAAGGAAAGTCGACAGAATGAAATGATACGTCTAAATCTCTCACAAGAAGGAAAGAAGATTCAACGATATGAAGAAGTTTAAGTCGAAAGATCGTTACAAGAAGCAACACAATCGTGTGGAAGCTCTGAATCCCAAAGCGTATGATCAGCGAGCTTCGCAATGAAAGATATGATTGTCTGAAGTGGAGTTGACATTGTCTTTTTGTGTCCCTCTCCCTTCGAACGACTATCCCCGAACTAATAAAGACTCAGCCATTCTCCTTCGAACCGCAATGGGTAATCTCTGTTCGTCGACGGTGGTGGCCTTTGAACGGAGACTTGGTACCACATGCATGTGCACTTATCACCACCCTCACTCACTCAGTCAAGCCCAACACGAAACCACACATAAGGTACATATGTACATACACACTTGGTTGTGCACAGGTATCACGTTTGTCTCATTGCACATGGAACGAAGGACGCATGTTTTCCACCGACCGATAAGCATGCATGCATCCCTCATGTACATCATATATTTAGTTAAAACAAACACACTCCCGCCCACCCCTGTCATCATCCTCGAGAATCCGGGGAAGTTAGCTCGCTCGCTCGCTCACAAACGACACAGATACCCTTTTTCGAACGTACCGACAGCAAACAAATCCGATACCCAGGATCCCAGCCCCATCGTCGATGCTAGACGCGGATGGCCGCACAGTCCCCCTCCACATGCACACGATCGCTGATTTCGGGGATGGTGGGAATTGCCATCCATCGGATCGGGAATACACAAGATCGCAGGCTTATAGTGTTGGGATTGGCTCGATGGGATTTGTGCTTACTTTGCTGTTTCCGCACAGTGAAGGAAGCGAGGATTGACGGGGCTATGCGACATTGGCATTTCAGTTTCCATCTTACTCGGAGGAAAAGTTGCTAGGCAGCTTGCTTGTGTTATACTGGGTTCGCGGAGAAATGTACATAAGATATAGTGGGTGCCTTGAAACTTGTTGAAATGCGTAGAGGATGATGGTGGTGGTTGCGATTTCGTTTCATTGCTACTCGGAAACAATGCTGAGAATGAAGTTGGTCGTGAAGATGTCGTTGGATCTCAGCATAGTAACATTGTAGCAAGTATGCCCACTACGACAGAATTACTAGATACAAACGCACATTATCTATCTAAAATTCTGATTTCCTCGTATTTATGGACATGCCGTCATTCGTTTCACGCGTCCATACATACATACATACATACATACATACATACATGACCCCGGAGACTCAACACCGCATCTTCATACCAAGAAGCTTGCTTCACTCTCCTGTCGCACCTGAATGACAGCAAACACACAAAACTGTGACATACAACTATATGTTCCGTACTTCGGAATAAAAGACCCTCCATCCAAATCGCGGTGAAAGAAAAACACTTGAAAAATATATCTCAAGCTTACACCCACCCTCCGCCCTCCGTATTGGTCCGTTTACCTGATGTCGTGCAGGGCAGATGCAGGGTACTGCACTGCACTACCTGGTCACCCAATGAAATTGAAACCTTGTGAGTTCGAGCGAATCGGAGGGGGTGATGTTCTGGAGGGCGTAAAGTCGGGGACTGGGTGATGCGAAGTTCAGGCGCCTGGTGCTTTGGTGAGCGGGAGGAGCCGCTGCAAGTACACTGCGAGCGAGCGCGCGTGTGCGAATTGGCGGATGCGGTGTGTATTGTGCCGCTTGGTCCTTGGTGTAGGGCTGATTTTTGGGAGAATGATCATCAAGTATGGAGTTGAGCGTTCTGTGCGGATGAATTCGATGTCACATTGTGTTCAAATGCAGATAGGAAAATGTTCAATATATGTTGATGAAAATTGCCAATGCCTTTAAAAGCATGAATTGTAGAATTTTGAAAAGGTGCTGGATATATCTCCTGAGCCTCGCAAAAGGGTAATAACTCCTGTAGCAGTGAAAAATCAGAGCTTGATTGAAGCTTCTCTTTCCGCCAACGCCAGCCCAAAGTGTCCTTTCAAAATAATGTGAAATGTAAAGTGCGGATATCTTCCAGGTACAACAAAATTCGAAAGAAAATGTATAATTAAGAACGAAAATCAGATCAGAGATCGTTGGGACTACCCCATGTGCCGTCACTTGGCGGACTCGCCATGTTCATGCCTTGATACCCGCTGGTCACGTCAAAAACCCATGCATTGTCGTCCATGGGAATCGTAAATGGCATGTCCCAACCGGGCGCACTCATGAGGTCAGGGAATGCGATTGATGGCACAGGACTGTAGCTTGAGGAGAATGGACTCGTGCTCAGAGGAGTTAGACCCATGCTGGCTGCGGAAACAGCCATGTTCCCATTGGCAAACGACATCGGTTGCTGTTGTGCGTAGCCTGTAGAAGACAATGATAACTGTTGGCCGCCTAGTGATTGTGCGTTTGCGTCCATCTGTTGTGTTGGCATTTGTATTGATTGCACGTTTCCAGTTGCTGGTGGCGAAACTGACGCCTGTTGGCTTAGGGGGCTGTCGCTTCCAGTCGCCTTCACCATACGCTCGTACCAATTCTGAATTTTCCGCACTCTTTGCTCGTAATGATAAAATATGTCCTTTTGTTTATTTCCGTCTGAGGCTCGGCCAACCAATGCGCCTATTCTAAGGCTCAGGTGGCGGAAAACATTGTCGATATTCAGATTGCGTCGGAGCTCTCGCGTCTGCTGTTCAACGCTTGGATATTTGCTTACGATAGCGAACTTAGCTGCCAAATTTACGCCGAAAGAAAGTTGGATCCACTCGGAATTGGTCAAAGCCATCTCGGATTTTGGTGGTAGCCATAGGTACAGATCTAAGAATGCCTTGGCGGAATCAAGCCCCTCGCAGAGGGTGTTAAGATGGAGAGCGGGGTTATGCTGTAATGAGCGCTCGAAGAAAGCGACCTGGTATAAGAATAACTTCGCTGTATGGAATTGCATAAAAAGTAAATCTGATTGTGTGAGTGACCTATGTGCCAAGAATGGTGGTGGTCAACTTACGGCTATCAGACACGTCGGTATGGAGGTGCATTCTAAATTCCTCCAGCTCCGATCGTGTTCGGAGAAAGGCTTCTTGGGCATCGGCGTCCGATAATGACTGGTCGGCTACAGTGTCGATGTTTTCTATTATTCGTTGTAGACGAATGATATGATAGAGGTCCTTGTCTGTCTGAAACTCGCCCCGTTGCCTCAGTGCACGACATCCTTCTTCAACAAAGGTTGAACATGGAAACGTATTCATCTTGTCGAACAGTTTTGAAATTCTGTGAGACAGTCAGCTCGGATACTTGGCAAGAAATGTCGGCTGTCAGATAGGATACGCACGTGGAGGAAATGTAGAATATGCCGGCTGCGGCTCTCTGCTCCTCCGCTCCCCAGGTCGCGGTACCCACAGCATTAGCTATGGGGTCGCGTTTGCTCCCTGGATTTGAGGGTTTATTGCGCATGGGTGTACGATCGAGACGCATGTCTACTGCTATCGACACTGCCAGTTGGAGATACTGAGAGTAGTATTTTGACCGGCCATGATATTGGTTCCTGTAATTTCGTTAGCCGTGTTGGGCGTAATTGTCTCACATAACGACCAGCTCGTACCATGCTAGCACAATCAGGAGGCCCTGTAGGTACTCTAGTGACAAACTGTCGTCACCTCCCAGAAGCACCTTCTCGCTGACCATGTATTTGAACCGATGGCTGAGTTTCTCCTGTATTGCCAAGTCGTGAAAGGAAGCAACGGATATTATTGACAAAAACAAGAATGGGCTTTCGTGTCGCAAGTTGGTGGCAGTTGCTTCTGCAGGTACAATAATGAATGGGAAGTGCGGCATCATGTCGGACTTGTACAATTCCACCAGCGTTTCCGCTCGCTCCAATGTGAGGATGTCATGGTCGATGACATCGCCGTTCGGGGGTGCATCGATGGAAGAAGGGGTAGAAGATACGATTGACGCGGAGGAAGGAGCACCCTCTGGAATAGTTTGTTGGATAATGGAGCCGGGTTGTGTTCGGAGAAGATCTTGGACCTGCTGTTCGAGGGCTTGGATGCGCCTGCGCTCGGATATCATTAGCACGTTGTCTACACAGGCGCCATTTATGAACGATATGGAGTAGAAGGAACCAAACTTACGAATCGCGCTTTGCGGAATTGTCTCTTCTTCGTGCAGGTCGGAAGACACAGTGTTTACCCAGTCGAGCGCATCTGCGATATATCGTCAGTACAATCTTGTGGTGGGAGAATTGCGATGTAGCTCCTAACAAAAGGGAGCTCTCGGGATTGGGCCCTACCTGTCACATATGTCTGTTCTTTGAGTCCGATCACAACGGATCTTAAGAGAGAAGCAGTTCTGACATGTTTTGGATAGCAAGACAGGTGGAGAGGTCCGCTGCGACGGGTCGAAGGGAGCAGCCACTGGTGCGCTCAAGGCCATGATCGTGGTTGAGTTGTTGTCAATGAGGTTGAGTGACGTTATTGTATTTATTGTTGTTGTTCTTGTTTAAGGGTACAGGTATAGGTAGTTAATGGCGGGATAAATCATTGGAGGGCGGGGGAGGCGAAAGTGACGGAGGACGGAGGACGGAGGAGAGAGAGAAAGAGGGAGAGGGAGCGAGAGAGCGAGGGAGGAAGGATGTGGCACAGCACAGCTTAAAGGGCTGCGTTGGGGGTGTGGGATCTCAGCTTCAGCCTGAAGCTTTTTCTGACGTACACACACGCCCGCCGATTTTGTGTACGAAGATAATACCAGAGAAACAAAAAAGAATTAGACGTTGCTTTGTTTGTATGGAATGGTCAATAAAAGAGAGGAGAGTACAACAAAAGCACTCAATGGGGGTTCCCGTAGGAGTACAAGTACTGATGGGGTAAGGGTCCGATGATATATGTATGGGATAGTTCATCGCCCTCTCGCTGCAACCACGAAACTACGGCTACGACTCACTCTACTACTACGATCATGGCTATGGGTGATTACGACTTACGACCACGATCTCGACTAATTGATTATTGTTCAGGCATGCATGACAATGGCCGATAGCGATAACTACGCGAGTTGCGAATAGCGAACAGACACGACCAGGGCGGCCGCCAAAACCGATCACCATCTCACTTCGCTCTTCCGTTAGCTACCGGCTACACCACATACGAAGTAGTTACAACCTACAACCTACTAAGTCCAACAAGCTACGACCCGCCCGCAGTCTAATCACAGGCTACAGCAGCGTGTCTTGTGCGGGCCGTCCTAGGAAGGGGGGCGGGGTGAACGACCCTTCTTACGACAGTTAGGCTCCAATACTGCTCCGTACCAAAAACTACTTTGGATACCTACTCACCACGAGTATGAGTACAGTAGTAATACCTGGGACCTGCGTGTTCCGATGGCTACCGGAGTTATGGACATAGCGCGTATAGTGCTCCGTGTCAAACAACAAGCTTGTGCCATGCTACCCTTTGTGTGCTGAGTAGAGAGTTATGCAGGGATATCCAGCTGTTGTACCTGTACATCTAGGTAATCTACCCTGTGGGGACGAGGAGAATGCCTAATCATTCTCTCCGTGTATGTAATATGTAATATCTATGATTCGTATGCAGACATGTAGATAGTCATCAGAGGGTATCACATGTATGGAGTACTGCATGTGTTCTTTGCGTGGTTGCTCGTATCAGCGTGTATGCACTTTTAACCTCAGACTCACCAGACATTCAAATGAGTAACAAGTCACTAGATAGATAATACATGGGCGAGCAAAGCTGCAAAGATTCGTTTCACAAAAGATGGCTCTAAGTTGTAAGCCCTGAAAGGCATCAAAATCAAGACTAAAACCATCGGTAGTAAGGAGTCAAGACATTCTAGTAACTTTCTAGAAGGGGTAGAGGGGAAGACAGAGATGGAGGGGCGCAGTTAGTCGGGCTTAAGGTTAATATCAAACCTGGCATGCCGCGTCCCCCGAACAAGCCACTCGCAGATCGTTACCGCCTCTGACGTTCGGGGTTCGGGCCATGATGTGATGTAGAACAAAGGGACTCAACTCACTTGACTGGATCTCAGACGTTGTTACACCTACACACGTACGCTTCATGGCTTATCGGAGACTCCATGATTCCAACATGATATTTGCTCGTGAGTGGTACGAGGCTTCAAGCTACTAAGCCACTCAGCTAACCTACGCGTCTTTTCTGCTCATGCTCAACATTTGCCCTTTGCTAGATCGATGACCGAGAAGTATGAACTTGTGAAGAAAGATCAAAATTTAACTATATGCTGTAACGCCTCGCTATGAACTCCCTCATCAGCCCTCTCTAGGAGCTAACGGTTATGGACAAAGTCTATATACACGTTGAAACGAAAAGACAAGAAAAAACTATGTGCAGAATAAAAGAAGTCGGCATGTGAGATACAGTCAGACATGCAGCTGTAGCGTCCACCTTTTCACTGCGAACCCTTGATTCCCGACCTCCGATACTGAGGCTGAAGTGGAATGATGCGGAAAAAGGCGGGAGGGGAAAAGGTGGGCATACGAGAGCCCTGCAGCGGCCGACTTGATCTCAACGTCCCAGCCAATAATTCCATCAAATGGCGTCGAAATGACCCTGGAATGACTCTGAACGTGCAGAATGCAGACATTCACAATTTGGCACGCGCGCCTTGTGGGATGGACCCTGTGAACACCTGCTGTGGGCGCCAGATACATGGCTTCTGCCCCATAGCCTCGCGCCAATGAGCCATCAACCCACCCGCCCTACTCAAGGAGCACATAGCAACGATGATGTCGGTTTCAAACCCCATGGCAGTGTACAAAAACGTACCATAGAGATCTGCATTGACCTTCAGGTTCCTTGATTTGAAGTACGGGTCGTTGAGCGCCAATCGATCGATTTCCATCGCGACCTGGAGCAGCTCATTGCCATATACTCTGTCTTTGTGCTGATCGAGCATCGCTCGGATCCACTTCGCCCTGGGGTCGACCGCCTTGTACACCCTGTGGCCATAGCCGAAAAGACGTTGCTTGCCGCCCTTAACCTCGTCGAGGAACGCTGGCACGTTCGCAGGCACTCCGATTCTCTCAAAGTCGGTGAACGCACACTCAATCGCGGCTCCGTGGAGGGGGCCGTAGCCAGAGAGGAGGGCTGCCGCCAAGCCCGATATTGGGTCGGTGAGGGAAGAGGCAGTGTGTAGGAATGCTGCTGTGGAGTTGGTCATCTCGTGGTTGGCGTAGAGGATCCAGAGCTTCTCGAAGCACCGCTCAATGGTTGCATCAGGCTTGCCATTTTGGGTGAAGCCCATCATGAGCAGACAGTTGCCAATGAACGATCCATTGGGATCTGCTGCCGTGAACTCTTTGCCTCGCTTGTGGCAGTACGCAAGGGCGATGACGACCGCAAAGGCCGACAGAGTTCTTACAATTGCAGCGTCAACTGCCGGCATGTTCTTCACATAATGTGGCCTTCCAGAACTATGGACGGTCCTTGATCCTTTGTCACAAGATGTGTAAGCAGCTAGTCCAGCCTGCATCATCGAGCAGATGAGCGCATCGCGTCTTTATCTAAGTCAGCGTGCTTGATCGTCGTAGCAAAATCTGGGGTTGACATACGGTAGAGCGCGAATCACGTCGACTACAGGCTGAGGCGGTACCATGTTGGCAGCGAGATCTTTCCGAAATCGTACTTTCTCGGTCAAGGTAGGCAAATGTCCCCAATTGATCAAGTAAACAACTTCCTCCCAATCATTGTCGCGGACGACTTTGTCAAGAGAATGCTCGCGGTAATGGATAGTGCCGCGGATCCCATCACTGTCAAGGACTCAATACAGACTTTGGTCATTGCTTGGGGATGATACTGACATGAAGGTAACCGATGATTCCACAACTGCAGTATTCATATATCCTGGATCCAGTATCCTCAAACCAGCTTCCATTTGCTCCACTACGTCGGCTCGAGAGCCATCTCCCTTGATTTGCTTGAAATCCGTAGCGCGTACTGCATTTCGCGCGATCGGTATCGAATACGTCTTTCCCGTTCGGTTGTCCAGCACCGAAAGGGAACTATCATACGCTATGGCAGACTGGCCACTGAACGCGTCTGACACTGATTCGACAATGCTCTGCATGTTGATTCTTGAAGGAAGGTATCAGGAAAGTATCTGAAAAGAAAGTATCTAAGATCTCGTGCGAGTATCTGCAAACGTGAGACTAATTAAAGAAGACGTCAAAAACTGAGTGAACGGGGCGTAATGATGGAGAAAGACCAATATAAGAACACACATCCACGAACTTGTGTTTCTGCTATATTGTGTGCTGAGTACAACCTATCGAATGCTGATGTTGAGTCTGAATCCATACTTCTGTGCCTCAGGCGGTTTGGTAGTTGGATCACCCAGCGTATCCCCGCAAAACACTCCATCTTACCTGTATGCCACCACTGACATTGCAGACCCTTTCACTGGGCATGATTATTCCGCGCTCCCGCCGGTCGGATCAATGACCCCACGATTTGATTTCGGTTAACTAAATAGAGAACTGAAACAGGCCTCCAAGGAGGTGTAGTAACCCGAAACATCTACATCAATCTCCGCTACGCAACTCAAGTATGTAAGATGCACGACCCACCAAGCTTTGCAACGCCCGGGTGGGATGTCTAGCATCGCTACGCCACATCTTGATTGTCAACAATGTCTATCGATGGTTCCTCAGAAGATGGGAATTTTTTTCCAAGACTTCCTCGATATCCTTGACGGGACACAATGTCCTCACATGACCGTACCATGACCGTAGGACTCCAGATTGGGATACCTTCATCGGCTTCGACCGTCCCAGGAAACAGGATCAACGACGAATCATGGCTGGAGCTCTCACCCATATCGCTCGACTCACGAAGGAACAGTCTCGATGACTTCGACCCGAATTATCGTCATGAATCCCTTCCTTTTCCCGCGCTGCAACACAGCAACGAATCTCAAGATACATTGGAACCAATTATCGATTCATATGCACGAAGAAATGTGGAAAAGAAATATGAAAGGAAATCATGGCACCAGAGAGTCCGGCAGTCGATCAATCCCACGAGGACTTCCTCTTTGGAGCATCGTATTTGGTATCGATTGCCTAAGACATGGGAGCGACCCGTTCTTACGCCTGAACTATATGAAAAGGAGGACTCAAAAGCAGTGGAAGTTTCGAAGCGACGGAAATGGTATTCCAGCCTCACTCCAAACAGTAATGGAAAGCCGTGGCACCAGAACCTCAATCCACTGAAATGGGGACCGGTACCCCCGGTGCCTTCTATACGATCGATGTGCCCGGAGAACACCGCGAATCTACTCAGCAAATTACACTTCGGATGGGTATCATCGTTTATGGCGAATGGATATAGACGCAACCTCGAAACGAATGACATCTGGCTCGTCAACCCTGACAGAAATGTCAACACCTTGTCAGCACCCTTCCATAACTCTTTCCAGAACCGATGTGCAGCGGATTCGAAACGTAAGCTCATGATAGCCCTATATGTGACATTTAAGAGAGACTTTTGGATAGGTGGCATTTGTATTTTAATATCTTCACTTGGCCAAGTGATGGTGCCCTTCACTCTACGCTTTTTATTGACATTCGTTGGAGATGCATACGAAGCATCTACAAACAACCGACCAGGACCACCGATCGGCCGAGGCCTAGGAATACTCTTCGGCATCGTCCTCATCCAGTTCATTCAATCATTGTCCACAAACCAGTTTCTGTATCGCGGGGGTATGGTGGGTGCACAGGCACGCGGCGTCCTCACAACCGCCATCTTCGAGAAGTCACTGCGGATATCAGCACGCGCGCGAGCAGCTGGGAAGGGATATTCAGACGGTCGAATCATCAACCTCATGTCCACAGACGTCGCTCGGATCGATCTCGCAGCTGGCATGCTCCACATGATCTGGGCGGCCCCGATGACTATTCTCGCCTGTCTCATCCTCCTCATCATCAACATCACCTATTCTGCCGTCGCTGGCTTCAGTCTGCTAGTAGTCAGTATTCCAGCATTGACCTGGGCGACGAAGTCTTTGGCGGGGAGGAGGAAGGCGATATCGAGTATTTCGGATTCGAGGATTTCGCTCGTGACCGAAGTCCTGAAATCAATACGCTTCGTCAAATATAATGCCTGGGAATCGTCCTTTCTATCCAAACTCCAGGGCCTGCGAAAAAAGGAGACTATCTTGGTCGCGAAGCTTTTGACCACACGTAATGCTATCTACGTCATATCGATCTCGACGCCTGTCTTCGCAGCTATGATTTCGTTCATTGTGTATTCCATGACGGGTCACTCGCTGGGTGTTGGACCCGTCTTTTCTTCTCTGGCGCTTTTCAATGCCGTCAGAATCCCTTTGAGCTTGCTGCCGATCGTCATTGGGCAGATGGCGGATGCAATGGCATGTCTCAAGCGCATCGAAGACTTTCTCTCCGCCGAAGAGCACGAAGATAAGATTGAGTGGGATATGCGCGCCGAGCAAGGCATCCAAGTTCAAAATGCTTCGTTTACCTGGGAGGAAACTCCCGATAATGACCAAGCCCCCAGCAAAATAACAGGAAAGCAACAGGGTAAGAAGGCCAATGAAAAGTCAGAGATGGAACTCGAAGCATCCAAGCCACCTGTATTCTCGATCAAGGACATGAATTTCTCCGTGGGACGCAACGAACTTCTGGCCGTCGTAGGCTCCGTAGGCTCGGGAAAGACGTCCCTCTTATCCGCCTTAGCAGGAGAAATGCGAAAGACAGATGGGAACGTTATCATGGGAAGCTGGGCACGAGCATATTGCCCCCAACAGGCTTGGATACAGAACGCGAGCGTGAAAGACAACATCCTTTTCGGCAAGCCCATGGACGAACGGTGGTATGAGACTGTGAAGTACGCCTGTTCGTTGGAAGCCGACATGAAGCAGTTCTCGGCTGGAGAAGACACAGAGATAGGTGAGCGAGGTATCAATCTGAGCGGTGGGCAGCGCCAGCGTATCAACCTTGCTCGGGCGATCTATTCGCAGAGCGAGATCGTGCTGCTAGATGATCCGCTTTCGGCAGTGGATGTACATGTTGGGAAGCATCTGTTCGATCAGGCTATTTGTGGGCTGCTGAAGGATAAGTGTAGGATATTGGCTACACACCAGCTGCATGTCTTGTATAAATGCGACAGGATACTGTGGCTCGAAAATGGGAGTATCAAGGCGTTGGACACATTCGACAATCTCATTGCAGGCAACACCGATTTTCAAAAGATGATGGAGAGCACTGTCCAGGAGGATGGTCCAGCCAAGTCAGCCCCAGAAGAGCATGCTGAGACAAAAGAAGAGACCCAGAAAAGGGTGACGAAGGAGAGCAGCGGACTGAAAAAGGGACAACTAGTCAAGGAAGAGAACAAAGGTGAAGGGCATGTTTCCTGGGCTGTTTACAGAGCCTACATCGCCTCATCTGGCCACATTCTACTTGGACTGATACCGATCTTCTTGCTCGTGGTGGCTCAGGGAGCAAATGCCATAATGGGTTTATGGCTAGGCTTTTGGACGTCGGATCGATTTCATTTGAGTCGAGACAGCTATATTGCCATCTACGTTGCTCTTGCGGTGTCACAGGCACTATTGATGTTCTTCTTCACAGCATCGGTATCCAACCTGGGTAGCATCGCCAGCCGTCGTACCTTGGACAAAGCAACAGAGAAAGTCATCCGCTCACCTCAATCATTCCACGATACCCAGCCCCTCGGACGCATCATCACCCGCCTCTCTCGAGATGCCGATGTCGTCGACAACCAGCTCCCCGACGCCCTACGTATGTTCCTCTACACAATGGTGCTCATCACCACAGTCATCGCCCTCCTGATCTACTACTTCCCCTACTTCGCAATCGCCCTCGTCCCCATCCTCGCACTCTTCCTCTTCGCAACCTCTTACTTCCGCGTCACAGCCCGCACGCTCAAACGCCACGAAGCAGTCCTCCGCAGTAAGCTCTTCGCCCGGTTCTCCGAATCCGTCTCTGGAGTCTCCACCATCCGCGCCTTCGGCCTGCAAACCACGTTCACCAACACCATTCGTGACGCCATCGACGGCATGAACGCAGCGTACTACCTCACCAAGGCCAGCGAGCGTTGGCTGGCCACCCGTCTCGACTTGGTAGCCAACATGATGGTGCTTACGGTCGGATTGCTCGTAGTGATCAGTCGTGACGCCATTCATCCAAGTATATCGGGAGTCCTGCTAGCATACCTGCTATCTATGATCCACGTCATCCAGCTTGTTGTCCGCCAATTAGCGGAAGTGCAGAATGGCATGAATTCGATGGAACGCTTACACGAATACGCGACGGCATTGGAAACAGAGCGCGAGGCATCCGAGCATACAGTCGAGACAAGCCCCTCGTGGCCCGAGCGAGGAGAAATCGTCCTGCAGGATGTGCAGATGAGGTATCGTCCGGAGCTACCCCTCGTTCTCAATCACCTCAACCTTCATGTCCATGGCGGGCAGAAGATTGGCATCGTAGGACGGACGGGCGCTGGGAAGTCATCGATCACGCAGGTCCTTTTCAGACTTGTTGATTTGGCTGGAGGGAGGGTCATTATCGACGGCGTAGACCTCTCGACTGTTGCGCTCAGTGAATTGAGGTCCAAAGTCTCCATCATAACGCAGGACCCCACCCTATTCAAAGGGACCATCAGAAGTAATCTGGACCCATTTGATCAGCATCCTGACATGGACCTCTGGGACGCAGTCAGAAAGGCCGGGCTTCTCGACGACGAAAAGAACAAAGTCCAGCTGGACTCGACGGTAGAAGAGGCCGGCGCCAACTTCTCCCTGGGGCAGAGACAGTTGATCGCTTTGGCTAGAGCTTTGCTGCATGATAGCCGTATCGTCGTGTGTGACGAGGCGACATCGTCGGTGGATATGGACACGGATGCGAAGGTGCAGAGGGCGATGTCTCAAGCTTTTGCTGGCAAGACGGTTTTGACTATTGCGCACAGGCTGAAGACTATCATTGACTATGACAGAGTATGTGTTATGGATAAGGGGAGCGTTCTGGAGTTTGGAAGCCCGCTGGAGCTCTGGGAACAGGGCGGAGTTTTCAAGGAGATGTGTGCTGGAAATGGCATTGATAGAGCGCATTTTGGGCGTTAGTATTGTTGCTTGATTGTACCTTTCTTGTAAATTATGGGGTTTCATCGTATTGGATGGAGTTTATTTGCATATTTTGTATTAGTTCGTGTATATAGACATACTCATGGCGCCGGCTTCTTATTTCATGTAAATATATTCAGTTATCAGATCGTTGTATGTACATACTGCCAATCCAATGCCATCATGAAGTTATTCACTGCTATACATATAATCACCACTCGAAAGTATCACCCGTCTGCTATACATCCCTACGCAACTACTAATACATCATTCCGACAAATTTACGCCTGGTAAACCTTCTTACCCTCGAACCAAGTCTCCAAAACCTGGCCCTTCAGCAGCTCCCCAGGCTCATACTGCATATCCACGACCACGAAATCCGCATACTTGCCCGTCTCCAAGCTTCCCGTAGACCCCTCGTTGAAATACGAATACGCCACGCCATGCGTCGCCCCCGTGATCGCCTCCGCGATGCCAATCTTAAAGTTCTCATTCACGGGCGCATCACCCGCATCCGGCTGCCTCGCACTCTTCCTTGTAGTCGCGACATACAGATTCTTAAGCACGTCGTGCGGAGCGGTCGGGGAATCCGAACCCAGCGCGAGCACGACGCCATGGTCTGCGAACTCTTTGTACGCGAACGCACGCTTGAGTCTCTCCGGGCCCAGGAGCTTCGGCCACGCGCGGAGGATCGCGGGGTCCGCGTGCACCGGCTGGATGGAAGCGACGATGCCTAGTTTGCCCAGTCGCTCTGCATCGCCTGGCGAGGTGAGTTCGAGGTGCTCGATGCGGTGACGCTGGTTGGGTTTTCCGTGCTTCTCGAGGACGTCAATGGCATTGCGGATGGCGAGGTCGCCGATTGCGTGAACGGCGCATTGGAGATTTGCTTCGCAGGCCTTTTGGACGACTGGGTCGAGCATCTCGGGCGTCCAAATGGGCTCGGCGTTCGAGAAGTTGGTGCTGTAGGGTTCCTTGAGGGCGGCCGCGCATGCGTCGATGACGCCGTCGGTGATGAGCTTGATTCCAATGACACGGAGGTCGGGGGACGTGGTGCTGCTGTACTGTTTGCTGAGTTCGATGGCTCGGTCGACTTGCTTCAGACGATGTTCCACGCCGGTTCCTGGCAGAATGGCCCAGTAGGCGGCGATACGCATGGGAAGTTGACCCTCGGATTCACGAAGGGCGAGGATTGCCTCCCAGGCGTTCTCGTCCATAGCCATGTCTATGCATCCTGTGTAGCCGACTTGGTGATATGCTTCCATTCCAGCCTTCAATGAGGCGACCTTCTCTTGCATTGATAGAACATTGGCGATGTGAGGCCACACAATGAGGAAAACTGCCGCCTCGGTCAGTCGTCCAGATGCTTTACCGTTCTCATCACGTTCGATGGTGCCGCCGGCAGGTGTTTCCATGTCTTGGACGCCCATCTCCTCCAACGCAGCAGTGTTGCACCACGTAGAGTGCAGGTCCTTTGCGTCGATGAAGATAGGCCGGGGGTCCAGATCGTCCAGCATGCTCGCCTTGGCCTCGTTGTTCGTCGTGCTATACATCCAGCCTCGACACAGGATCCTTTTCTTGTCAGGATTCTCCTTTGCATACTTGGAGATGCGAGCTCGGATGTCGTCCAGGTTTTCACATCCGTCGAGGTCTACCTTGTTCAAAGATTGGCCTAGTAACAAGAAATGACAATGTCCATCGATGAATCCTGGGAGGATATATCGGCCATTCAGATCCTGGGTGGTGACTCCATTGCTAATATGGGCCTGGATTTCGGGTGTATCCGCTGCCCCTACATATGCGATCTTGCCGTCTTTTACGACCAATGATGTTTGGAAATCCGCATTGGAGGTGCCATGGCTGAAAACCCGGCCATTTGTGAAAAGCGTTGTACCGTTATTATTAGCCATGGGAAAGGTCATGCAAAGGCTTGAGGATGGGATAGAAACATGGATGTGTAGTTGGAATCAATGGTGGGGTTATCAGATCTTCCCATGATTCGGCTGTCGTCGGTTGCCGATATCGCGTTAGGCTCGGCTCACATTGTCAAAACTGGACAGACAACGGGTAGACGAAATAGGAACGAGTGGAACGGCACTGCAAATTCTATGAAATAACAGATGTCACTCGTGTACTAGCGGTCGATAGACCTACCTTGTCCGTGATATTGGTCAGCTCCAGACCCGACTTCGCTTCAGCCCTATCTTTCATATAGTCCTGACCGATCATCACAGAGATTCCATCATAGTAACATATAATAAGCGAAAGCCGGCAGAACATTGGCGTGTTGTTTTATCATCACTTGATGCAACTCATGCGTGATAGACGATCAGGCATAAACAGCATGCATGTTTCCCAAGACCAGGAGCAGCTCGACCACGGCATATCTTTGGCAACATGTCATGCCTATGATATATTTCTCAAGTTTACTACCAACTGACAAGGGTCCAACTTTGCATTTCCAACACTATGGTTCCTCTAAGCCTTAACACAAGTCTAACGCGGCATCTGTATGCTCCCTGGTCAGCCTGACCCATATGCGACAACGGAAGCGACCAAAAAAGGCAATGTAAGACAAAGTGCAATATCGCGATGCATGTTGCCAACATCGCAATGCATAGACCCCACCTGCCTGTGCATGCAAGATACGACTCCCTGCGAATACAGAGGGTAGGCACATTGAGTTGCCTATCAAGTTGCTCTTGACTCTGCTTATACAGACGGTTATCATTACTGTCCTGCCTGGATCTGTCGATTACTCCTTCCACATAAGGTTTTCTTTTGACACATCATCCATGGCTATAGCATGTATAAGAAGACTAATATATACAGAGACCCTTGGATTGTTTCTTCATATAAAGCCATTCAAGGACTTCTTTCCTACATCTCAGCCTTGCCACCTTTGTTGTTGTCGAGCTTTCACACTCACAGATTATGTTTCTAGCGAACGTTTTTGGGCTCATATCGCTATCATGCGGTCTGTATTTGCTCTACTCTCTTCTTCGCTTCGGCCATAGAGATAAACGGTTGCCACCTGGTCCACCCACAGTTCCAATTCTCGGGAATGCACATCAGATCCCTCCGACTCGATTCTACCTGAAGTATGATCTTTTCTCCCTTTCATATACCACTGCTCCTTGCTAAGGGAACAAACTCCAGAATTAAAGAGTGGGCTGACAAATATGGCGGCGTATATTCCCTTAAGATAGGAGCTGGCACCATGATCATTATCAACGATCGCAAGGCAGCCCATGAGCTTTTCGAAAAGCGGAGCGCCATATACTCCGATCGACCCATAGACCACAACCTAGAGACGTGTTTCGGTAGTCAGAATATTGCTATCATGCATGCGACGCCGTTGTGGCGTGCTCAGAGGAAGATATCTTCGCAGAGTCTGGCACCTAAGCAATTGGATAGCAAGATTAAACCCATACAGGAAGCGGAGTCAGTATGATCCTGATAGTTTGTTGTGATGATGCTCATTTCTGTGGAAGGATGAGCCAACTTATGTTTGACTTGCTCATGACGCCTGACGAGTTCTTTACACATGTCAAACGCTCCACAGCTTCGATTGCGTCTATAGTACTCTTCGGCTATCGTGCACCCACTTTTGATAGCTTCTGGGCCAATGTCAGTTCACCCAAACATCCACAACATGGAGCAATGAGCTGATTTACAGGCTGTCTACCAAGCAATGGATCATGTAAACCCTCCCTCTTTCCAAGTTTCACCAATTCGACAAGCAAACTGAACCCCACAGATAAGTCCTGCATCCGAACCAGGCGCCTCCTTACCAATCGATCAGTTCCCGATACTGAAGCTAATACCAGACCGATGGGCCCCATCAAAAGCTCGCGCAAAGCTCTGCTACGAGGAGGTTACGAAAGTGTGGATCAAAGCCCGGGATCTAGTCGAAGAACGCCGTAGGAACGGCGATGAGCGCGATTGCCTTGCAGATCGCATGATGTCGGGATCCATAAAGTCAGACATACCGCTCAGCGATATTGAGCTCGCCAACTTCCTGGGCGCTTTGTCTCAAGGTGCTGCGGATACGACGATGAGTGCGATGATGACCAGTATCCTGTACTTGGCTACAAGCCCCTGGGTGCAGGAGAAAGCGAGGGTCGAACTGGACAGTGTCTGCGGCGTAGAGAGAATGCCACTCTGGGAGGACTTCGACCGAATTCCTTACATAAATTGCATCATCAAAGAAGGCCTACGTGTCAACCCGGTGTATGTCCATACTGCGTCGCTGTGTACACGCACAGGATACTGACATTGCGAAACCAGAATCATGACCGGAATACCTCATCGAGCTGCCCGAGACGACTGGTACGAGGGTATGCTGATCCCGAAAGACTCTGCTGTTTTAATTTCTCCATACGCCATGAACTACAGCATAGTCGATGACCCGGAGGTCTACAATCCCGATCGGTATCTGAACCACCCGCGACTTGCTATGGATTATGCCGGAAGCCCCGATTACGAAAAAAGAGATCACTATACGTACGGTGGCGGCCGTCGAATCTGCGCTGGCATCCATCTAGCCGAGCGAACACAGTGGCGCATGACTGCTCGGATTCTATGGGCATTCAAAATCGAGCCGGCCATTGACCCTGTGACGGGAAAGCCAATTGAACTCGATACCTCCGACTATATCCAAGGTTTAATCAGTATACCCTCGCCCTTCCGTGTAAACTTTGTCCCTAGGAGCGAGAAACACGCAGAGGTTATTCGTAAGGACTTCAACAGCGTCGAGGGATTCTTAAAGCAATGGGAATGATTATAGCTCATTAAGAGCAATCAGCCCGGGTTTCATGCAGATTTTCATGCAGATTTTCCTTTCATGTCAGTGTATGATGGGAGTTTCTTCAACTACCCTAGCGAGATTACTTGCTAGAAGCATGCCATACACAAATTGTCTTCCCAGTCGCTAACATAGTACTTTTCAAATTATCTATGTCTTCTAGAAATCGTACATTTCATATCCTATATCCCATCCTATCGCTAAAACATCGTGAGATGTGTAAGTCCCACAAACCCCCTTCCCACCCACACATTCAAGTCACAACCAAACCACCACAGCCCCCAATACAACCCAAAAAAACACCATACCTCCCATCTCCCAATCACACCCCATTTAATACCCCCCTCTCGATGCCCCAGCCAATCACAGCCCCCGCAATTCCCCATGACGCGACCTGTCCATCGCGGTGCTCAATTGGATGAGCACCACAACCACCACCCCCGGGACACGCAAAAATATAAAATGCTCCCACATGTGCCCCTCAGGTCTTGCGTGGAGTGGTAAATGAAGTACTACTGCGTACTGTACGACGGACTCTCAGAAATCGCCTCATTGCTAGGAGACCTAATGCCTTCTGTGAAGAAGCGTACGAAGATGGAGAGTGCACGCTCATCGAAGAGATCGAAGGGGGGAGAGGCGGCGAAGAAGGCGTTGCCGGTGACGGTATTGTCTGGGTTCTTGGTGAGTAGTACCTGTGATGGGGGAGGGGAAAGGGTGGTTGTGGTGGCGAAGCTGACGATGAGAATTGCAGGGAAGCGGGAAGACGACACTGCTCCGTCATATCCTGCAGTCGCCGGACCATGGGCTGAAGATCGCGGTGGTCGTGAACGACATGGCGTCCGTCAACATCGACGGCGCGCTGATCGCCAGGTCGTCGACTGCTGCAGCGGGTGCTAAGACCGACGGCAAGAGTGAGGTCGTGGTCAGGGAGAAGGTGGTGCAGATGCAGAACGGATGTATCTGCTGCACGCTGCGCAGCGATCTCCTGACGGAGCTGGCGCGGCTGGCGTGGAGTGAGGAGCGGTTCGATCACGTCGTCATTGAGAGCTCGGGTATCAGTGAGCCGCAGCAGGTTGCGGAGACGTTCACGACTGAGCTTACGGAGGCTATGATTGATGCTGAGGGGATGGACGAGGAGGAGAAGGAGACGTTGCTTCGTGTGTATGTCACATACCCCCCTTCCCCTTTCCTCCATTCAAGACTGGACGATGATGAAGGCTAACGTACTTGAAAATGCAGTGCAAAGCTCGGCGGCCTCAAGACCCTCGCAACCGTCGACACGATGGTCACCGTCGTCGACGCCTTCCGCTTCTTCTCCGAGTTCGACACCGCGGAGTTCCTCGCCGACCGCTTCGCCAGGGAGGACGTCCCGGAGGACGACCAGCGCACCATATCCGACCTCTTCGCCGACCAGATCGAGTTCGCGAACGTCGTCATCGTCAACAAGGTCGACGCCGTTGACAAGACGACACTCGGTCGCGTCCGCGCGTACGTCAAGACGCTGAACCCGACGGCCAAGATCATCGAGGCGAAGTTCTCGAGGGTCGACGTGAGGGAGATGTTGAACACCGGAAGGTTCGATTTCGCGGAGGCGGTCACGAGTCCTGGGTGGTTGCGAAGTCTGCATGAGATGACGGTTGTGGATGTGAAAGGGAGGAAGAGGTTGGCGCCTAAGCCTGAGACTTTGGAGTATGTTGAACCCTTTTCCCACTGAGGCTCTATCACTCCGGAGATGCTGATAATATCCTCTTTATAGATACGGAATCGGTAGTTTCGTATACCGCTCAAGGCGCCCCTTCGACCCCTTGAAACTATACGAAGCTCTAAAGGGCAAATTCATCCTCCTACAGGACGAAGTCGAAGACGACGAGGATGATGAAGAAGAAGACGAAGACGACGAGAAGAACGAAGACACCGACGTCACCATGGACTCGCCCTCCTCACCAAACAGTGCCTCACCACTTAACTCAGACGTCGACAGCGTCTCCCCAGACGACGAAGTGTCGTCCGCCGAGAGCCTGCATAACAAACGCACATGCCCCCTCTTCAGCGGCGTGCACCGCAGCAAGGGGATCTTCTGGCTCGCGACGCGGCCCTACCAGATGGGATCGTGGAGCACCGCCGGCGCGATGCTGACGCTGGGCTCCGAGATGCCGTGGTTCTGCACCGTGGATGAGGACGAGTGGCAGGCGGATACGGCGACGTTGAAGGCCATCAAGGCGGATTTCGAGGGGGATTGGGGAGATAGACGGCAGGAGCTTGTCTTGATTGGGGAGAAGCTGGATGAGGTGGCGCTGACGAAGTTGTTGGATAGTTGTACGCTCAATCGGGCGGAGATGAGGAAGTGGGAGAGGGTTATGCGGGACGATAGGTTGAGTGAGGATGAGAAGGAGGAGAGGCTGCAGGAGATGTGGGATGATGGGTACTGGGCTGAATGGCCGAGGGTCGAAGAGGGTGAAGATGAGGAGCATGATCATTCTCATGGTCATAAACATGCTCATGGGCATAAGCACTGATGTTAGTGATGATTAGAGTTTCGATCAATGTTAGAAGAGTTTTCCTATGCGTCACATATCCCTTGCGTATAGCTACAGCCACTTGATGCTGCCTGACTTCTTCTAGCCAGGCGATGCAGTCCGAAGATCAGGGTTTAGCATGCGAACTTGTCCAGTCTACCTTGAACCACAAAATAAGTGCCAGTGACCAGTGGGAGAGAAATCTCTAAAGTAGGAACAAGGGAAGAGGTTGCAACCCAGCAATGGAAAGTCGCGGTTGCTCCTGCGACTTTTTAGTATCTGATATCTGTTGCACAAGTATATTCCAAAGACACCTCTTATCACTGGTACCTTGAATGGTAAAGAGCTGGGAGACCTGAAGTTCAATGCTTCTTCGTTACCACGGCATGCTCAGTGTTAAGTACCTATATGCACAACAGCGCATGATTATTTACATCGATCTTTGGTTCGTCAGTAGTTCAAAATGTTCCACAAGGTTGATAAAAGCTTCGAGGGGTGGAAGCATGAACGATGGACAACCCAAGAGGCAGTACAGGCCTGGAGATGCATGAAGAGCACGTTGAAGCATTTTGAAAAGGAATCGACTTGGTGCTGGCTAGTAGCTGGAAATGCTTCGTGTGCATCAAGTTCTTTTTGTCGAAGTGATAGACGTATGATTATATCCACGTTGAAAACAAATTGAGGTGTAGTTAGCGAAGCCCATGAAATAAGATGTTCCTTATTGGTCGTTGTGCTCGTCCTACTCGTGAGAAAATTGTCCGATGTTTCTCCCTGTCGAAAATTTCGCCTAGACAGTGGGTCCATTCCGAACCAAAAAGTATCCATACTGGAAAAAAAATATCCATGTGTGACAATTTTCAGGAAACCCTATGGATCCACTTACTCACAGATTTGATTATTTGTCGGTATAACAACCTTCTAAATCGTCACATTTCCATCAAATGGCACAACAAGCCCGGCTGGCACAATTGGTTAGCGCGTGAGACTCTTAATCTCAAGGTTGTGGGTGTAAGTTCAAATCAACTACCAGTTTCTGATTCAATCATCAGTACTAACAAAGTCAATAGTCGAGTCCCACGTCAGGCTTCAAGCAACATTCTTTTTTTGCACTTTTTTTATGGGCAATTTTTTCTTTTTTTATTGGTCTGGTGCTCGGGTTCTCGGTTGGTTTCGGCGGCGGTTCCATGGACAGGTGCCGGCATATAGCGTAGATGTACCAAGTAGGTAGATCGAAGACGGGAAACGTTGCCGAAAATAGCTCTTTACTGGTACCAGCTTCATCACTTTGAACTTGTTTTGACTGTAATGATTGCTGTGTCTTCTCGTGTTCTTACAGTTACATGTGCATTCGAACCGAGCGCTATGATTGTCATCTTGTCTTTGAGGTGATGAAAAGAGAGTTCTGGTAATGGTTGACATCGACATTCGGCAACGCTTTAGTGACTGTCGTACACCTCTCCTGGTAATAAGCGGATTGACGCCACGGAATAAGAGCTCAAGTATCACATGTTGTCGGGATTCAGGCAGCAGCAAAAGAATGGTAGGTTAAAGACACTATGGATGCATTCAAGGAGGACGCATTGTTGAAGCTCAATAGGGGAGAGATGGAGTCGGTCACTGGAGCTTTGAGGGGTGAAGAGAAGGGTGGGGCTTGGCGAAACAAGGCAGGTTTGTTTTAGTTTGGTATACACGCTCAAGGTACCACACCCACGGCATGTCGCCTTCTAAGAACCGCTCGACTGACCTCGTTTCAAAGATATCTCTGCAAAGGCAGCTTCCGCGACTGGAGGGATTCCGTGCATAGCACGTAGACGGGTGTTAGATACCTGACGATTCTTACGCCTCTGTGACACAAGATCTGAGAATGCGAATCCTTGTCCTATATGTGCCAGCTGGCACGCTTGATTCTTGCACTGTGTCCAGCGAGGGCATCTAACCCGCATACACTGCTGCTTCCCGTCGCTGCCAGATGCCATCTCTCGACAAACTGTGCAAGGTCCCCGTTCTACCCCCCCGTTGTCGCAGAACTCTTCCCACCCTTTATCCCAGCAGCTTTGGCAAGCAGCAATGCGGACGTTGTCAATCTCATTCGCAATCTGCCAGCGAATGTCTCTCCAATTACCTCCGTCTCCCCGCCCTTTTTCCGTGAGATTTTCGTACTTGTCGTCGTGGTGGGCGCGGTTGCAGTCAGCACGGCAGCTTGAGTCGTCTCCAGCTTCATCATAATTCGCGCATTTTTCCCGCTCGCATACCTCATCGGCGTCAAAACATCGTTGACAACCCAACGCGTTGTTGTCGCATTCTTCAACCCGATCCCAGCATCGATTGCAAGGCACGTGTCGACGAAAAGGCTCAAACCCTGCTAAGTCTTCGACGGTCTCGACTGACAACTGTTCAAACGTGCACGGTACTCCATTGCGAATGCAACCGCGACATTTGTTTGTCTTGAAGTCTTGTTTAATGAAAAACGGCGGTTGAATGAAAAGGCAATCTTCGGGATCCTTGCAATGGTCACAGGAAAGTGGAACGATAGAAGAGAATCCTGATAGAGAGACAAGTCGATTGAGTGAGATACCCCATTGAGATTCGCCCACAATTCGTGCGTAAGCTTCATTGCGTATCCGCTCAGCACTCTTCAGGCATGTAGACTCTTTGACCTCGGGGATCTTATCCTTCAGTGTTTGTCGTAGTGCTCTCGGGCAAGCTGGTTGTGTTCCAGGGGGTAGGGTGCACAACACTCTACGAAATAATCTTGGATTGGTCAGTAGGTCAACTTGTCTAAAGAAAAAAGGAAATGTGTGGAGAACACCTACTGGTCTCTTGTAGAAGAGGACGTATGTACTTGTCTTGCCGTACCGTGGTTCCACTGTCGTTGTAGAATACCTCTGTTACCATAGATTTGTGTTACAAATCTAGATTGAGCTTCACAGAAAAGGTCGCAGAAATATCTATGGACCGACCCGTCTATAAAGTTATGGATTGATTTGAGCGGATTGACATTTTCATTCAGGAAGCAGGCGCTGAGGATTGAAGCGCCTTTCGAGTTTGATGTTGCCTCATGCTTCTGGATATACGACCACTGTCGATCTGACGTGTTGTGGCATGGGACACATGGATAATCCTGGAACCAGTTCGTATCATCGGAATGGAAAAGGCACAAGTTTCCAAGCTCTACGGGCTTTGCCGCATCGATATCGACGGGCTCTGTTGCTGCAACGACAATGAAGTCTTGCGCAGCACAAATTGGAAGCGCAAATGCTGATTGCCGCCCAGGCTCAAAGAGCTGTGATGTTGTACAGGAATTAGGGTGGTAGTGTGGAATTACCTTGACCAATACACAACGAGGATTTGGTCCATTCGACTTGCGGACCAATGATACAGGCAATATTCGACTATCTCGAAAAGTGGCATATTCGGAATCTGTCCAATAATGCTCAACCACAAGCAAGTCTCCACATGGACTATCTGGCAAAGCAATACAGACGTGCTCTTTTAACTTGAAGCATTGTTCGTTCAGGGCCTCTGTGAATGAGAGGATGAAACGTTGCGTCCCTACCTGAAGATTCCACTTCTTTCGGCCTTGGACTTCGCCTTGTATTGTCGAGACTTGGTCAGAATGCGCTAATTCTGTGGCCTTGCATTGGGAAGAAGAAATACAAGGGTCGCGCCATTTATCTTGTAAGGTTCTCTTGACGGTATCACTATGCTTATCAATTACTTGCATGAAATTTTGACCACTTTGAGGATCTCCAAGATCGATGGTATCGCCTGTTGGAGCCGAGGTTCTCGAAGAAACGTAGTGACGTGGTATTATTGTTAATCTGTTAGATCTTTGAAGGAATAGGAAGTTCCAATGTTGTTCAGGAGCCAGGGCGTCGTAATTGGTTGCTGGAAGACTTTCACCTCTTGTGATAGCTTTATGTTCGATCAGGTATTTGCGTTCTGTATGTTGATCGTACAGTATCAGGTCACAAACAACAGGTTGGACTGGGTTGAGAAGTAAGTGAAATCGATGGTTAGTGTTTTGCTGTATGAACCGAGATAGTACGCGTATTGCGTTACTTGAGGCTGCCTGAGTAACACCCTTCATGTCAAATACCAGGCTCATATGGCGAAGGGGACCCAGCATAGTGCAGCCATGATATTCGACAGAATTGGAAGGGTTGACATAGTTCCCGCCATGAAGTATCGTGTTTACCATGTTAGTCAAAGCAGCGGGGAGGTCACTATGGTGAACAGCGAACGGAGCCAACATTGCAGGAAACGTGAATTGGCATGGGCCTGCCGTGCGAAATTCCAAGCGAGCAGATTGATGCTTGGCCTGGTGTGTCATTCTGTGAGTGGCATTCAGTGTCTGATAGCTTCGTGCAGGAATGAAGCAGAGATAATCAGGGTATTCTGGTATCACGAGTATGAAGAATGGTACCGGCTGTTTGGTGTTGTTTGAATACAGGTTGGTCTTCACATCGAAGGGTATGATTTTCAAATCTTCGTCAGGATCATGGTTCGATAACCAGTTCCACGACTCAGAAAGACTCCCGTAAGGATACGTTGGCCCAGGTCGAATGATAAGGGCCCCATCAATGTTAGCGTAATCTTGCCCTGATGTATGGTCAACACATGCCTGGTCAACTTCTTAACGGTACAGATACTCACCGCGGAAAATACCTATTTGTAGGCCATGGTTTTCGCGCAATAATAGAGAAGCCTCAACAAGCATCCTGAATACATTGGATTCACCGATCCATCCTGCGAGGCTAGGAATGTTCTGAGTTACGTTGTTCGTTGCACCATGTCGCTTGTTTGTAGGTTTTTTGCGTAACATCCTGGCAAGTGATGGGAAGAAGTAGTTATGGTATCAAGTTGCGAGTAACCAAGCGTAAATCGTGCTGCTGATTCTGCTGGAACCGACGGCGGCGTATTTGAAGAAGATTACAATTGCAATTTCATTCTTACTGGTGTACAATCAATAATCCCTGTCAACTGTGCGCAGTTCTTTCATGCAGCTTGTAATTTTCTTCGAAGGGTTTGGAGAAACAGAGGCAATCAGCTGGCTGGGTGTTCCAGATGATTGGGTGCAATCAGTTCGCTTCGTCCCTAACAGCAATCCAATTACCGCAATTGGCAGTTTAAACATCCACGTGTATGGAATACAAACTTGTAATGCTTGTTGAAACTATATTATCAAAACAAAACCATGGCACAATTGCTGTCTTCCTATCATTTCTACGAACTCATAACGATCCTTCCGCACTTGCTGTCTTGTGAACGACGGTCGAATGATATCGCGCTAATTTGCTACACACGCATTGCGTCGTCGTAGAAGATTCGCGAACAATTCGAAACAATGTTGAGAACCAATCTGGACGAACACAGGCTACTACATGTTCTGAGAGAGAATGCGAATGGGGGCGGACCGCAAGACACAAGAATGATGAATGAGCTGCGTCGCCTGAAACATGCAGGGAAGCCGCTGAGATGGGTAAGTACTGTCATTTTTGTGATAATGCTCCAACTGACAAGGTGCATTTTAGTTTCAGGTGATGATTCCTGAACTGATTCCAGGGACTGCAAGTACAAGACAATGGATCAAAGATGCAAGAAATCTATTGTGGGATGAAGATGACGAGAAGGCACATTTGCGACAGCAGAGGCTTCTTCAGCCAGGTGCGCTAGATCTGCCCCACGACGAATACCAACTCAGGAAGTACTGGCCGCTTTTCATGTGCGCCCTACGACCTATGTCCCCGAAGCTTTCTGAAGCAGCAAATGCCGTGTATCAGGCACTATGCAGGAAAGACTGTGTCCCTGGTAAGTTTGAGCATATGGATTGCTACGAACATAGAACTAAAAAGGCCCAGATGATGACGATCTGTTCATCAGAACAATGGAGACAGATACAAGGCATGGCCAATTCATTGTGGCTGCTCTAGCCCTGGAGTCAAAGATCCTGTATCCAATAATTTCAGAGTTGGAAGCAAAGATAGGAAAGTCCGGGAAGAAGCTGAAACCGGAGACTGCAACAAGCCAGAGTCAGAACAATACACAGTATCAACTATCCATCCAGCCGCTGGTGGACACGATGCCCATGGATTTTGACCCGGGCACGAATGAAATAGACGAAGAGACCTTGCTTAAACTGTTGAAAAGCTTCGCTGGTATGTATTTTGTACAGAACACTTTAGCTTTCAAGTGGCTAACGAGTCCTCAAGATGAGCTTTTGGCCGAAAAGTTGAGACAAGATGGCACTATCAACAGCAAGCGACCGGCTCCAGCCACGGTGGATGATCAATGGCATACTCATACTTCTAAACGGCTTCGCGAAACCGTGGAAGACAGTGAGTCGTAGAGGTCAGAGAAATCTAGTCTTGATACAAGGTCAGCCATGAGAAGCTTCTGGTTAGGGTTCCATACAATGGCCGTTTTCTGAATAGATGGCTTCTAGAGCTAGTATCCTTATCACTAGCTAACCCCAAAGCTTTTATCCCAATTGAAATCTCATGTTTTGATCAAGATGCACCGACAATCCTTTTCCCAACTTTGGAAATTTTGACAATGGTTTGTTATCTGATGTTTCCACCACATAGATCTCTACGAATGCATAAGGATTTGATTTGATCACCATCGCTGGAAAGTGTGCAGAGAAAGCATGCGCGAAACTGTGTACCCTTGACTGAAAAGCGCCCCCTCGAAGACTGAGCTCATAGAAGACTGTACTGAACCGGAAACTGCACAAAGAGTAGAGACGATGCGATGGAATATCGCGAGAGATTGATGCATTTATACTTGTATCATAAGCTACAATAATCCATCGCTAGCAACGAAAGTTGCCACCGAGGCCCTTCAAGGGTAAACTGCTGTCATGTTACGATATGGGACCCTTGATACGCAAGCCCTCCAGGTGAGACTAGACATGTCTTAATCGGTTGGCAGGCCACGCATCTCACGCCTTTTCTTCAGCGTATTTGCTTTGAGGGCTGCCGTGGGCTTAGTGTGTAGCATGACTGCATCAATCGCTCTTGACTGAGCGATTCCCATTCTTTAAGGTCGTCAGATTGGCGAGAGAAGAAGGCCACAAGTGCTCGGAACAACGCAGCACTGGTGTCAGCGACTGTTAGACTAGCGCGCTTGCGGTGTAAAAATGGGCTCGCTGCCGTTTGTCCTTCTGACTCTGCAAGACATAACACATCCTCTCCATCAGACCCAATGGAAGTTGCCAATAGGCAGGCTAAACCAGAATACTTGTTACTCAACGAGAGTGAGCTCCATTGTATTTGTCGGCGCTCGGAGAATCTTAGCTTGGAAAGGGCAAACGGCATCCCAACTACCATTGCACTACATTTTTGTTAGCTTCGAAATGGGACGGAGTGGAGTACTTGCCGTTCCGGAATTGTAGTCTCCCATACTGAGCACATTTTCAAGCGCTGTGCTGGTGTGCTATTTCGCCATTTGGCGGCCGCTATGTTCGATCGCACGGTGAGGGCCACATACAAAGTAGCTGTACCTCCAAACTGGGGTGCCGGCGACCAGCTGAATTCATCTGTTTATTGTTAGCGTGGTTGGCTAGTATCATTATCAACATACATGGTTCTTCGTTCAGTACAGCCCAATTGTTCAAGGCTATGGTAATCAATGCGATTGGAGATACCGCTCGGACTTGCATATCGAATGTACCCAGCCACGGTGACTCCAGTTGCTCGAAACCCACGAACAAGCGACTTGGGGAAAATAAGTCCCTCAATATAGTTGATATTTCGAACCACTCGATATCTTCCCTCGCTCGGAATATATCTCGGATCACGAAGGGCTCTTGGCCATCAAAACGATGATGCACATCCGCGAGACCCGCAACGTCTTGTCCATGCCTTAGGATCGATTCACGCGCAGGAGTAATGTGATTAAGCCATTCCCGCCAACCTTTGTATGCTTCCGTTGAGGTGGCATGATCAGAAGGGCAGTGAATAACATCATTCTTGTACTTTTTTGCCACGTTGAACTCTTTCACCCGACGCCACCATTCATCGATGCATAAGTCGCACGGTGGCAGGTTGGAAGTAGAAGTGATTGAGGGCTGCTCGGATTTCCCCTTCTTCGACTTGGCTCGATCTTGTCTCTTGTTTTTTCCCGCTTGCTCTTCGCTTTCGATGCGTGATGTTCGCTTGGTTTCGCAGGACTTTGGATTATCAACTGGGACTGGCATTGTGAGGAATAATCCACAGAGGTGATCGACAAAAGTGTTGATGAGTGGGAAATTAGTTAAGAAGAGTGACTAGTATTGACTAGAGGCCGAGATTTCGTTTTATCATGTAGAAGTAATATTATCGCGGCGTTGGACAATGAACCGACACAATCAAAGATTGATGTAAACTCCTTCTGCCATTGCCTTGTATAACGGTTTGCTTGTGAAATAAAGAAACACTAAAATAGCATTCTGGCAGATTTCTCTTGTCTTGCAAAACATATCGCAAGCAGATCAGAGACACCTTATTTGACAAACTATGCGATCGGTACCTTCACCTTAGGGTTACGTAAATGCCAACATCCTACAACGAGAGAACAACCCTGAGCATTAGGTATTCGAGCCGTCCTGGTCGAGTGCTCAGTATCAGATGGAACAGAACGATATCAACCCGAGACAGATGAGACTATATTGTTAAGACATTGCACATTTGATCCCCATTATTTGCATCCATTACCCCTTATGATCCCCACTCCTAGATGTCCCTATCACAAGTGAAATACTCCATCGCTTTCAGATACAAGTAGTGACAGTTTCCCACAAGCCCACCGTCACCACCGTCTCCTATTGTTGCCCAACACCTTCATCATGAATTTGCCGTACTCCACCACCGGCCGATAATACCATTCGCGATATCCCTCGCCTCCCTAAGCCGTGAGTGAAGCGAGTCGTCGGCATGGCAGGCTCCGTCTCTAGGAAGCCGCTCAAGACGCTGACCCCATCTAGCCATCCCGTTCAATCTTCTCTGCAACAACAGCCATTGCCAATACGCCTCTCTCGCAGTTCTATTAACATGTCTGATGGCGCGATGCCGCCTCTCGACTCTGAGAAAAGATTCCCGCTCATCTTGCGCGCGAACGCGGCCGTGGGTGGTGTACATGCCGACGCCAGACAATTGCCGCATCACCGAGTCGTGCCGCCTCCGCGCCTGGTGTTCAATTCCCTTTGACGCGTGATGCAACCGCCCAGTAGCAGATGCAAGTTTCTCCAGGTTACTGACGAAGATGCCGACGCGGGAGGAAAGTGTGTGGATGTCCCGCGCGAGGTTGAGTTGCTGCTTGCAGCTGCTTGTTCTCGACTCCGCCGCTGCGATGCTGGGGAGGAGAGTGCGCTGGCAGAACGAAGCGATGTTGCGCTCTTCGAGGGCGGCTTCTTCGAAGCTGTCGGCTAGGCTGGCGAAGTGACGTAGATCGTCGGGTTCGGCTGTGTTGGCTCGAATGGTTGAGGTGAGGTTGAGCCAGACGACCTCGGAGCTTCCGAGCGGAGGGTTGCTTGCATGTATGATGCATGCTAGGATGACGAGAACGAAAGTAGCAATGATAGCACGCTTTCTACACCCAGGCAGCGTTCGGCGGTAGCGTTGGACATTGATCCAGTGGGGATAATGCATCGAGCCGACGGTTTCTGGGCCTGCATCGAGTAGCCTGCCGAGGAAGCGTCGGGGAAAGGTGATCACAGATGCCATGTCAATGGTTTGTCTGTCTGTTTGACTAAATAGATTCACGGATCGGGCGTCGTCGATGTGGTTGCAGTTCCCATGGGATGGCTTGTTGTTTGAGGGGTGCAGAGTCGGTGTTTCTAGGACCAAACTCATTGATCATACACGAAAAGGAACCCGAGTAACTTATAACTAGCCACTATCATTGTTGCAATCGTCCAATCCGAGTAGTTATTCAAGATCCAGTGCAGGGCGTCGTGGAACAAAGCAAACTGAACGTGCTAAGAACGCAATGGCTGTCTCAGCGCAACTGCTGATCTCTTTGTCCGTGTGCTTTGCTCTTTATGGTTGTATGTGAACCTAGAGACAGAAATCTCTCTTGTTGAAGCTGCTGGCTTATGAGTTCAGACTGCGGGTATTAATAAAAGGAAGGGAACTGTATAGCAACAATCACAACACAAAAAGCAGAAGGTATCAAGTAGAAGTGTGAGGAAAGGTTTGACTGATATTATGATAGGTGACTTGGGCGACCTGGATTGCTGCTACTGAAGTATTCATATCACACCTCGCTTTCCAGGTGCCGATGTGATGCTGCTCTGCCTATTACTGGAAAAAGACTCAACCAATGATGTATGTAAAGCAGTTGAGAAGGAAAATGCAGGTCGAACTCCTTTTGATTTGTAACGCCCCGAGGATGAAAGCAAGAGAGAAAGGGAAAAGAGGGAAAAAATAGGGCAACGCCAGATACTGGATGCAATTAAAGAAGATGTGGAGGAAAACACGCCTTCTCGTCGTAAAGATCATAAGACTCGATGCACGAACACGCTGATGTGGGAATAGACAGTGTCGGCCTTTCGAGAGATTCAAGCCCGGGAAATGTCGAGCAAAAGGGTGTGCGTGTCAAAGAAGATACAAGAAGGTATAGTGGGATGGCCATGTAAAAACATCAGTATGTCCTAGCATCGATGGAAAGGGGATCATCGAAAGGATTCGGAGCAGGTCCTAGGTCATCGGCCAACGATTGCGCAAACCGCCGATCCATTGTCCATACAGTATGTCTGCGAGGAGACCTTGCTGCTCCATGCCCTTTTCAAAATGTCCTGGCAGTTTCTTCTCATCGATATCTCCCAGCTTGTCCGTACCCCACATCTTTTCGCTCCCAATCGCGCTCTGACGGCGACGATGAGATTTTAGATGTGGATTGTTATGAGCAAGCACGAGTTTGGCACCTTTGAGAGGCGATGAGGAAGCTGTACCGTTTGGTGTCGACAAAGGTGTATGGTCAGGCGTCGCAATGGGTGTTGACAGTTCATGCGAAGGCTTCGACACTGAACCGGCAGCGGCAGCGGTCGTGTGGGATCGAATACGAGTCGTGCCAGTGCCATGTACGGTGGTGCCGCTGAGGCTCGTATCACTGGTATTGGTATTGTGTTGTTTGACTGGGCTTGTTGGGAGCACTGGTGTCACGGCAATACCCAAAGCGGAGGCTAATTTGGCGTCACCTTGTAATCGGTCTACCATGGCCTTCAGAAGTAGGAACTCGCCATGTGGGTCAACCTGGTCGAGATGCTCCCATGCCTGTGCAACGCGGCTCATTGCCTCTCTCTGATGAGGCGACGCACAATCCGAGTGCGCCTCCTGGAAGACGTTGTCCAGCACCTTACTGTATGCTCGGCGACCGTAGAGCGCGTCCTTTGTAATAGCGGCTGGAGGCTGTTCCGAAGGCGGTGCGTTCTCATTGTTCAAGTCAAGTGGGTGAGCCGAGTTGGGTGGGGATGGTCGGAAAGTCCGCGCTTGAGGATTGGGGTGGAAGGAATTATTGGGCGGGTTTGAGGCCAGAGCAGCCCTGCGTTCTCCTGAAGGCACCCTTTTGAAATGTCTGACAGTGGATGGCGAGTTGCCGAATGAAAGGTCAATACCTAGCGGTTGCTTCGGCATTTGGCTAACGCGGCGAGCAGTTGGAGTAGACCCAGAAGCGACTCGAATGGCCGTTCCGGTCGACGAGTTCCTGGACGACGCTTGACGGCGACGGGGCTCTGGAGCTGGAGAATCCGTGGGCGTTCCAAGAGGGGCAGCATTGAGATCCATACGCTGCATCATGGAAGCAACGGCGGCCGAGTCGGTGGATGGTATGCGCGCCGCCTTCCTCCTCCTCGTGGCAGGCCTGGGAGGAGCGACAGTAGCTGGCTTGATGGTGAATACCCACTCATCTTGATCGGCTTTCGGGGATAAGTCAACCCTAGAGAGTCAGCTTGTTAAGTGCAAGGGATATCCGACTGGCAACCTACATAGTCTCCTGGTAATAGCTGGGATGGGCTGCGTTCTCCTCCTGCGCATCATACATCTGTTTGCGCTCGATAAGCTCCCTCAATGCTTCCACTTTGCCGGCTCGCTGAATGAATCTGTGACGAAGGAGTTCCTTTGCACTGGCTCGTCGATCAGGGTCTTTGATTAAACATTGAGCGATGAAGTCCTTGAAGTCTTTGCTCCATTGGTCTCCCTCGAGACGTGGGGCAGGGTTCTTGGGAATAGTGAATAGCACCTTCATGGGATGGGTACCCGCGTGCGGTGGTTGACCCCAGGCCATTTCGAGTGCGGTGATGCCGAGGGACCAGATGTCTGCCTTGAAGTCATATCCAGCCTCCTGGATAACCTCGGGGGCCATCCAAAAGGGGGTACCAACAAAGGTCATGCGTTGTGATTTCATGTCTGTTAATTGAGCTGCGACACCGAAATCGGCAAGCTTCACCTTTCCGCCATCTGTGAGCAAGGTGTTGGCAGCTTTGATGTCTCTGTGAATCTTGCCGGTGGAATGCAGGTAGTCCAGGCCGAGCAAGAGTTCTCGCGACACAATGGCTATATGCGCCTCACTGAATACGCCAGGTTTCATCTGGACAAGTTAGTTTGACGAAATAAACTTGCAAGTTATCCGATAATGCGCACCAGGTCAAGACAAGATCCACCACCCATGTACTCCATGACTATCCAAAGTTTGACACCCTTCACGAAACTGGTCTTGTATTGGGCGACATAGGGGCTATTGCAGGTACCGAGTAAGGCAATCTCAGCCTGGATGTCTGAAAGTTCATCGCTGGTATCTTCGAGATCAATCTATGGATTGCATTAGGTATTTGTTTATGTTGAGAGTAATTGTTTGCGGTTCGTACATGCTTGATGGCGACCAGCTCCCCAGTGGCTTTGTCGTAAGCCTTGTACACTTTTCCAAAGCTACCGCCTGCATTCGTGTCAGCTCACAAAGAAACTTGATATCGGTGTACGAGGCATGCATACTGCCCAGCTCCTCCAGGACTTGATAGTCGTCGGCCTGCGCCATGTCGGGCAATTGCCGCTAGAAATGTTGTTAAGAATAATCGAACGGGATCCAATGCAGCGACGGCGATGGGAACAAAGGCCGAGGTGGAAGGCGGGGTGCAGCCGCAGTGGAAGAGTTGCAGCCAACAAAGAATCCGACTGTTGTTCGAATGCTAGTGTGTGATATTCGAGTATTTTGTTCGTGAAGCTGGTGGTTATTGGAGACTGGAGGTGATTATGCGCACGGCGTCGGGACGGATCCCCATGGCAACGGTTGGACCAGTCAACAAAGGCGCACGATCCCCCGCACCTTGACGACCCAACGACGCGTGCGCGACGAGATTGCGATGGGGATGGTATCTCGAAGTACGAGACTGGGGATGAGGTTTAAAGGGAGACATTGTTGGAGTGGTTATTTTCATGGATCAAGGAGGAAAGGGCGAAGGGTGAGGTGGATGACGGAGGCCATCAACGCGCTTGCCAATACATGTGCATGTGTGTTCTCCATAACTCCATACAGTAGATCGATTTGGCCCACACACGGGTACGGAGTACCTGCATACAACTGACATGATAAAGATAGATTATGCCTGACCCAGCCATAAGGGTTCGATTCTTACAGGTCTTCCCATTCCCTCTTCATCGACTCTCGAGACCTACCAGTAGAAAGGTGCAACACCATACAAGTGTTTGTGTTTGTGTGATTTCCCTGCATATGAACCCTTGTTCCGTCCCAGATGGCTTCGAAATCCACGCAGACGTTTGTGTCAGAGCACGGGCTGCGATCTAGGTAGGTACAGGATCGGAAATGGATGGATGGATGGAAAAAGAGTACTTGACATGACCAGTATCCGTAACTACCTAGATGCCAGTAGTGAAGACGGCACAGCGAGAGTGGATTGGCCGACATGGGCCGGCCTACTGATGAGCGGATGGCGGCGGTAAACATCCACAACATCTCACACAGCAACTTACTACTTGAGTCTTGCAGAATGTCGGTGCCTATTTACTCCGAATATTAATACCCGTTGAGCCCCTGCCATGGCTTGGCCGAGACCTGCAGAGTGTAGTTCTCAACAGAAGAGACTTTGCCACGGGAAGCATCAATTGGCATAACAATGATGATAAATTTCAAGAAAGATCACTGCATATGTGGGAAACACATACTGTAATCATGTTAAAGAAACCCCACCTCAGGGAGCAGTTTGGGACGTGAAGTGGTATGTTTATGAGAGTGGGGTAGGTAGAAACAAACACAACCCCCGCTCTCCATCTCCTCTACCTTGCTTTGTTCCAAGGAACTTGTAGCTCGAGTCTAACCATTCCAACCACATAACCATGTCTTTTGTCTTCCAAGGCTCATGATTGAAATAGACGATCGATCGATCGGGATTGGGCATTCCGGAATCGGAAAGCAGGAGGTTGGATGGAAGTGGTCACGCTGGCTGTCTGTACATACAACGAGTAACAACAAGGAATTGGTACGAGGCAGTTGGTTGTAACTTAGCGTCGTCCGGACTATGTGAGTGTAAACGTGACAGGATAGGGCCGGGTATGGTTGAAAAACGTAGACTTCGGCCGGGAGGTGCAGGCAGGCTCCATGTCTTGGGCTCTTAGGACGAGGCGGAGTTCCAAAGAGTTCCAATGGGATCGATGCGCTTTTGAGATAAAGATGCGAGCCCAATCATTTGACGTTGGACGTTGTTATTCTGTTGCTGGGGAAGAATCATCATCATAGAAGAGACAAGTTTGGTAGAGAGTGGAGTTTAGTTGTTTCCCTAGCAGAGTCAACCTTGTAGTGTTGAATATTTGCAGTGTGTGCTTGTGGGATCTAACCGAGTCCGGGTTAACCAACGGGAATCGGTTTCTGTGGCACCCGCAAACCTACCACTCTTTGACCTCTTCCTCTTCCACACGACCGCCTTACGACAACATCATCCAGCCTTAACAACCTGTAACGTAGACTGCAATTGACCTGAAAAGTACTCTGTAACAGACTAAATCCGAACTCAATGCAATTGTGTCTCCAATTGAGCAACCTACGTCCCTTTTCGAAAGAGTGAACGATATCCCTCGAGTGTCATTCGTGAAAATCTGGATCTTGCTGCATGCACGTGTATGGGCCCAATGCAGCTAACCGCCGTTTGCACACCGCATCTTTGAACTCCTCTACTGTGGTATGTACCCATCCTATGATTCCTCGCCTTTCGGACATCATCTACGTACTCTTCCAGACTAATTCATGCAACTAAAAGGATATTCCTGTCATCGTCAATCATCAGACACCAATTGACCTGTCTGATACGATCCACTCTCGCCTTGTGGTCATGCAGCCTGAAAGGTTTGAGAGAGGAATGCAAATCATCATAGCACGAGAATTAAAGTAGTCTGCTACACTACGGAGTACACTGACAACGAGACGACCAGCCTCCTCTGCCTGGTTTCCTACTCGTATGGTCAATTGTGTCTTGTGTTCGTTCAGTCTTGCCTCTGTAGTAGTTGGCTAATATGTGGTGAGTTGCATGCATACGAGTAACCTACTGTATGTGTATGTATGCATGCCAGTATTGTACGATATCTTCCTCTCTGTGGCTCTCTGATCTCCCCACCCAAGTAAGACATTTAAGACATTCTCTCGGAGGGTTAGCAACGGGATCCTAATTCCTGCCAATGGCCATCGTCCCATGCCCACGCGTGTGATTACATCCAAGACTCCATTTGATGATGATTTCGTTGTTAGTTTACTAGTAGGAATTGATGGTGAGTGATGATGATGTTGATGGATCATGGTGGTGTGTGTGTCTCTCGTGTCCTGCCCTACCTTGCCCTACCCTGCTTTTCCTTGCTTTGCCTTTGCCTTGTCTTGCCCGACTGTTTCCCTTCCCTTCCGTGCTCTTCTTCTGCATCTTCTTCTGCCTCTTCCTAGTTTGTTACTTTAAATTGTTCTTCTCCCACTCTTCGCTTCCCTGTCTCACCCGAGGCGAGAATAGATACACGACAGCTAAAAGGCTGCCCAAGAAGGAACCGTGCCCTCCCACTCAGATCCCTCCATTTCGCCTCCCATACTCCGTACTTTCCTCTCGTCCTTCTAGGTCCTTGAGTGTGTGCGCGCGTGTGTGTGACTCTACATAGTTACTTCCCGCTCTCTGCTCACCAGACCGGACTCCAATTTCTACTCCTCAATCCCCCCCCCTCCTCTCCACTCCTCTTTCCTCTCCTCTCCTCTCCTCTCCTCTCTCCTCCACCTCCCCCCCTTCATTCCTCATTCCTCCCCCACCCCTCAGGCACACAAACACACGCACACTCAATGTCTCGACAATTCCCATCCATTGCCTTTCTATAGAGATATGCGCGCTTCGACAAGTCTCTCATGGGTTCCTGCGTCGCCAGCCCTGCTGTGCTGAAGGCGTGGTTGTCTTGGCTGAAGAGCGGTGTTGTGCTGACCATCGGCCTGCCTGCCGCACTACTCGCACTGCACCTTGAGATTTACGGATCCTCCCCAAGAACCACCTCACGCATCCTCTACCGTCTCCAACGACGCCTGCGTCTCTCTTCTCTCTCTTGCGAACTCCGCAGGAGGAACGAGGCCACTGGCTCCTCGACTTCAATTTTTTCTGTTCGAGGCGCAGACGTCATGAACCGTGACCGCGCACAGTCGAAGCGCAAGCCGAAATCACTATCTCGAAAGCGGTCAATGACCCTGGACGTCAAAGACCAGACCACCACGCAATCCTCCTTAGGGGGTCCATCCAACTCTCTTCCTCCATCTCAACCTCAACCAAACTTTCAACCTCAACCTCTACTCCTCTCCCAATCCGACGACACATTCCCTCCTCCTACCTCTCCCACACTCCTCAACGAGGCTACTACTCACGATCCTTCTTCCTCTCCTTCTGCTTCGCTTCCTCCTCCTCCTCCTTCTTCCCCTACCTACTCCACTTTCTCCGCCACTTCCACCGCCTGCACAATCTCCCAACCCCAAATTCATCCCGAGCCAACTTTGCCCTCGCCCTACAACGAGGCCTACAACCCGCCCTCCTTTACTTCTCATTCTTCTTCTTCCTCCACCTCTTCTTCCACTTTCTCCATTTCCATTAGCGATACCAACGACTTCACCTTTTCGCAGCGCCCTTCCACGCCGCCAACCCCTTTTAGCGAAGCCTCTACCTACAAAGCTTCACCGTGCACGATATCCATTGCTTCCTCGATTTCGCAACCTCCCTTTTCGCCACTTGATATCCTAAAGCAAGCTTCCAAAGCCGCGCCTTGCAAGATTGCTATTGCGTCCACCTTTTCGCTACCTCCCTCTGCACCTGTATCTCCTCCCATCGAGGTGTACACCGCTACTCTGTCCACCGTCTCTATAGCGTCTGAGTTATCTCAACCTCCCTCCGAAGTGCGTAAACCTCTCCTAGAGGCCTTCAAGGAACCACCTAAGGAAGCCCAGCTCTCCATCACGCCTGCTGCCACCGCCCAAACCTCCCACTCCCCCACGCTCGTTCAAGCTCGGCCGGCACTCCCTGCGCTTCTTCCTTTCAAAGAGGCTTCCGAATCTGTCTCTCCCTCGACCGTCGACCGCTCTCAGGCTTCCACTCCGACACCCAAGCCCATCGAACAAGCTCCTCCGGCTCAAACCAGATCCACTCGAGTCCAGCCCGTACGCCCTGCACCAGTACCCCTGCAGGAACCCATCAACGTACCTTCAATTCCAACGTCTACGGATACTGTCACAGAGCCTGCACCAAACGCGACGTCCACGTCGACTGCGAAGTCTGAACCCCCTGCACCAACCAAAGCGCCTGCACCGTCAACGCCACAGGTACCATTCACGCCAGCTAGGTCAGGCAGAGCTGTGAGGTCATCGGAGCCATCCACACCCTTCGAACCAACTACACCTTTCCCACCGTTCACGCCGCTTCCTTCTCAGCACAAGATTTCTAACGAATCTACGCCAACGCCCTCTGCGCCTTTAACCGCCTCCGCATTGTCTCATTCCTCTTCAAGGCCCAAGATGCCTGCTCACGGCCGTTCCATGTCGCATGCCGACATTGCTTCCAAGCAGAGGAAACGTCTTTCCCTGCAATTCCCCATTCAGCTAGCTGCTGGCAGCTCGTCTCCAGGCTTCTCTCCACGTTCTCGTCCACAATCATGGGTCGCAGCCCCGTCACCCCTGGCGACTCCTGATCCTGCCCCTTCGCCCACGGAGAGCAACATCCTCGCCGTACTCGCCGCTCAAGAGAGATATGTGCTTGAGCTCAAGGAAGAGCTTTCAAAAGCCGAGGACGATCTCAAAATGCTCAAGAAGCATTATGCCACGCACGAATCTATCAAGCAACGCAACGAGCTTCGCAAGGTCACGCAGTTGCAGCCTCTCAATACCACTCTCGCCAATGTTCCTACCGAGCAAGACGATGAGGATGGCTCGACCGCCTGGATGCAAAAGGAGATGGAGCGACGGAAGGCCATGCTCAGTGGCGTAAAGACATCACAACGCAAAGTCTTCAGCGGTTCACGTCATCTTCGAACATTGTCTTTGCTTTCGCCCGACAAGACCTACAGCCCATCGTTCCCCCAGCCAGCCGACGTCCGTAACTCTATCGACGAGACCCTCTCTACGTCGTCAAATGAAGCACCTAAGCGCCCTCAAATGCTCACACGCCATGCGACATCACCTGACATTGCCAACCACATTGCCAACCATATGGATGACGACCGTTATGATCTCGGCGGTCTCCCCACCATTCAGCGTGACGCTCTCCTCCGCACCGGCAAGAAGATGGCCTTCGACTTCAAGGATGGACTGTTGACCTTCATCGAGGACATTAGGCAAGCTACCGTTGGCGATGAGGCCGCCGATGATGACAACTTCGCCGCCACCCCTTCCGCTAAAGGAGCATCCGCCAAGCAACAGCGCAAGGGTTCCGAGACCCGCCCATCGCTCAACCGGGCTGCCAGTTCGAAGAAATCCTCGCTATCCCACAAATCCAATGACATCGGAGATGATTTCTGGAAAGAGCACGGTTTGAGTGAGCCCAAGACCGCCTCCACAGATAAGAAAACTCACGCGTTAAAGAATACTCGCACCCCTCAGAAGAACGCAGCAAGCAACGAAGAGTTCGACGAGTGGGATAGCTGGGATACACCAAATGACAAGGCTACCACTGGTCCCGCAAATGATGTTGAATCCACTGGTAGTTCCGACGAGTCCGAAGAGCCATCGTCCCCAATTTCCGGGCGAACAAGCACGAGGTACCACGCAAAACGCCATGATTCCAAGGCATCCTCGCTCACTAGTGGCAGCTCAAATGGCACTGTCGATGACGTTCCACTACGGGACTCTAAGCGCAACTCGATACCATGGCCTGATCTGGTCAAGATGTCCCCCAGCAACCTTAAGCGTACCGCTTCTCACCTGATGAAGGAATGGGAAAAGACCCTCACCCCACCTCCAGAGTCACGCGACTCAAGTCACTCCAGCGGCGACTACGTCGGACGTTCAGCTACTCCAGTAGATCTGCTATGAACGAAGATGAATGACTTTATGCATGGTGTATATACCACAGACACATGACGACATAATGTATTAGACGCAACGTCTGAACGATATTTTGTTATTTTCGATTCTCCTTGGGGAGACTATTTAGATCATCGGCTTGTTGTATCTGTCGGAATCCCACACGAGCGGATGTTCGATCTAGAGCTAGAGCTTACTTGTTGATACTGTTTTCTGTTAATTTCTCGTCTGTCTGTTGGTCTGCACTCAAAAGCGCATGGTTCTTCTATCTATAACGATTGCTCCAAATTATTATATAAATTCACCATACCATTCATAGTCCGTTTCGCTCTCATGATTTGATCTGTGATGTGATGAAATCCGCCTATCTCATTAGCGACAAGCGAGGTAGCCGAAAGCGGATACGCCAAGACTCGTAGACGGAACGTTCCGTCTTCCGAACCTTCTCCGCAAAAATATCCATCGAATACTCGTGCCTATTCACCGTTGGCAACATCGACGCCTCGCAACACATCTCTTCAATCCTACGTCGTCATGGCTTTCCCCGGTAACCCAGGTATGCCTCCGGGCATGGACCCCAACGCGGGCATGTCGGAACAGGAGCAACAGATGGTGAAATATGTACGGAAGCCTTTTGCCCCACTGCTGACTTTGCCAGAAGTGGCTAACAGAAGATGAATAGATGCAAGCAGGCATGGAATCATGCGCAGGAAAGACCGTCATGGCTGGTGTCATGGGAGGAGGTCTCGGTGCTATGTTTGGTCTCTTCATGGCTTCGGTACGTACGATATCAATTCGACGAGGCGCTCTCAGTGCCCGAACTTTGCGACCACGGTCATTTGCGATTGAGAACATATCATGCTAACAGCATGCTACAGATGAGATACGATACCCCAATGTCCCAGCCATTACCCACCCAAGTCCCCCCTGCGCCTGGAAAGCCCACCACCACAACCGCAGCCGCCACCAACGCTCCAGCAACATCAACCCTCTCCGCCACGAGCGTGAAGCCCAACATCGCCGCCGCATCCACGACCGCCAGCGCAACAACAGCAGCAGCACCCTCCGCCACGCTCCCACTCACCGGCTCCACCGCTACAGTTCCCCTCACTGACCTCCCCCTCCGCCAACAACTCAAGCACGGCCTCCGCGACATGTACCAATCCTCCAAGTCGAGCGGCCGCAACTTCGCCATCGTCGGCGCCGTCTTCTCCGGCACCGAATGCGCCATCGAGGGCCTCCGCGCGAAGAACGACCTCTACAACGGCGTTGCTGGAGGCTGCATAACCGGAGGGATATTGGCGCGGAAGGCGGGGCCTCAGGCCGTTGCTGTTGGCTGCGCGGGCTTCGCGGCGTTCAGTGCTGCTATTGATGCTTACATGGTGAGTTGCTTCCATGTCCCATCCATATTTTTCCCATGGCGGTGGTTGGACTGAAGACAGGGTTTGAATTGGCAAACATTGGAAACTGACGATTTATGACAGAGAATGCCCGAAGACGAGCGAAGCAGACCAATCGCATAAACCTCCCCCTTCTCCAAATGATACCCCCACCAAAAAAAACCTAGCAATCTACGAAGGCTGTACGGAATACGCACCCGATACATATATAGCCAGGCCCATCTTGGCTACCCCCCAACCCCATTTGTAAGAATATCACGCGAACGACTGGAAAAAGAAAAACACTTCAACTGCATCGGGCGGCGTTTTTCAAATGTACTCAACATGACAACATCCAACCTCATCTCTTCTCAGCAGTCAGGCGGGGAGGAAAAACGAAGAATCTTTACACAGGAAAAGGACATCTTCATGATTACGTTCGAAGCGGAAGCGGTGTTTGCAGGTAGAGGTTATATTTTAGAACTGTACTGTAGAATGAAACATGTAAAACGTGAATGATTAATGACTTTGAGAATATCCCTAGAGAGAGCGAGAGAGCCCGTCGCTCCTCCTTGGTTGACCACTCACTCCTATCCCTTTCCCCCTTTTGCATCCTTATCTCTTCTTCACAATAACAATGACGACGAAGAAGGGAATAGATGGGTTCCATCGAACAAATCCGTCACACGTGATATACATGTACAAGAAACGGATCATGAAAACCCATGGATTAGGAGGGCCGAGAAGAGAGAGAAGGGGATGTGAGAAAGGGGGGCGGGGAGAACAAAATCACAGTACACCAGTCGGACGGAACTAGCAACGGAAGTGGCGAAATGCTACGTAGAAGCGCTGCTGTGATGTCGAGTGCCAGTTGTGGGATTGTTTAAAGGCCAACGACACGGACGAAAATGGCTGGGCTGGAAGTTTAGTCGGGGTAGGGAGGTAGGGGGAGGGTGGTGCTTCGTTCGTGTGTTGCTTTGCACCAAGTCCATATACTTAACTGCGACTGCGGCCGCGAATGCGGTTGTTACGTCTGTGGACTGATGGAGTTGTGGATTGGAACCGAGTGTCATGGCGGTAACGTGGTGGCGGAATACCACCCCTCCCCCATTCACCCCCCACTCAATCCACAGATATACAAAACATACACATCCCCTCACTACAGGTTTTTAACGAAGGCGTCTAGATGTACATCCACCTCCTCCCGTTTCCTTCTCTCTCTTTCCCACTGCCTTGGACACTTTTACTCGGAGTTGGTGATGCTGGAGACGTGAGTGCTAATGGATATTGCATGATGACTTACGGACGACCGTGGAGTGTTGTAGGGGTTGATTGTCTTTTGTGAGTGGGGAGCAAGATGGTTGGTGGTGTGATGGATGGATGAGTCGGACGACGGTCTTTTATGTACTTGGCGGCGGTGATGGGAGGAGGAGTGGTGAGGAGAGGAGAGGGGGGTATCATGCAGAACACATCTGTTCAATTTATCTAAACAAATGAATGAACGATACGTTTTAGACTATAGTTTCAGAGCAAATACTAGATAGCAGTCAGTCAACTTATACTTACCACTCTAGAATATAAAACCCACTTTGAACATACATCAATGTTGGAAACTCCCCTATTAAAAAGCTTATCTGAAGTACTAATACGGATGTAAGAACGTGGTGGTCTACATGTGTTCCTACCACAACGGTTAGAAATCAAATCATATCTAGCTCAATTTGATGGCGAGACTTTGTCCGTTCTAGTAGCAAACAAAGAATAGAGATCATGAGTTGAGTTGACGTGTGTTCGGTTGAAGTCACACGTAAGCTTTTAGCAAGAAGAACGGTGGAGAGTTCCTGGAATTGTTGGGTGAGCTGGACTTTGGTGTGGTACGTGGAAGGGTGAGGCGAGGAAGATGTTGAGTGGCTTTCGGGTGTCAAGGTCGTGGGAGGATGGGTTGTGGGATGCTGATGCGGAAATTCAGGAGGGTTTGAAGGTGGAAGTTCGTGAGAGGGTGTAGGTGCGTTGTGATGTATACTGTGATTTTAGGAAGGGTCAGTGGAGTATTCAGGTTTTATGGTCATATTATGAGGGAAAGATTATGATGGGTACGTAGTTTTATAGCGTGATAGTTACAAAGAAAAAGCGAATCTTGCTGTCTAGAAGTGTGTTTCATAAGTAACCAAACGATCTGACGTCAGTTTCTAACCATTGGATACATGGAGAGTAATAAAGTCAGTTATTTACAGCCTGTATTGTTCGATTCTATGCAAGTCGAAATCATTGTGGAAATGCTACATGAATGCTAATACCTTCATACTGACTGGTTTTTATATGCTTACGAAGAATAAGATGATCTTCCAAATATTGATTGAGGTTAGTATTTCGAATCTTTTGCGTACACTTATATGTTTTTACTTAGGACAATGCATGATGTATAATTGACAAGGAATAGACACTTGAATGAATAGCTAAATGGATAGTTGCATAAAGTACTCTCTTCAAGGACCCGATGATGGTCAAGGAATCAGGCAAGATTGATTATGAAGTACTAAATGTAGTTACAATTACCGGCTGCATTGGTCATAGATGGCTAAGTCGACGTTGTGACCAGGCATCAGTGTATGCCCGCTAAACACTAATGTATACAGGCCGTTCACAGACTTTCTGTATTGGTAATATATTTGGGCCTACTTTCAGTAGGAATTCATCACAGCTATCCCATGACATTTTGAGACCTCCGTGATGGAAGATGTTCCCTCGTGTGGCGTTTAAATCTACACTTCTCTGCTACCTAGAGCGTTCTGAAGGTTTATGACTCAGCAATGGGGTAAAGAATATGTCTGTGATTCTTCTTATTTTTCTCCTTTTTCTGTGTCTTGTACCTTTCGTTGTATGTTTGGGAAGAGCAGTGCAATCGTCATGGGCTCAACATGTTCAAATCAGGGCAATTTTAGAGTAGGATTTCAAATTGAATCATCGATACCTTAAATCTCGTGAGATGCTTATACATCAGCTTTAATTGATCATAGACGTTAGGTATGTGAGGCACGTGCAGTGCGATGTAGCAAGGGATAGTCCAGGAACGTACGTAAACAGTGCGCACCAATAAGGTAACGCAGCAGTTACACAACAGAAGGCAAACGGTGCCTTGCTCTACACCGATCAGAGGTCAATCTGGCAGCATCTGGGACCCTCTGGGGATCTCGTGGTAGAAACTAGGCAAACGAATGCCTTGCCCCTTCCCGCCTTGCCCGCCCGGGTCCGTGTAACATCATTCCACGAGTCACAACGTGCTCTGGGAGACTTCCTGCCATAGCCAAACTTAATTTATGATTTGTATAAGGTTTATAGTATGAGGTTATGGTGATGACATAAGCCGAAAAGAAGGAGGGTGTATGCTCGTGGGAAGACAGGTACTTGGATGTAGACACATCCTCCGCTGTGGGTATAGGTAACGATAACGACAGTGTGGGCATAAATGCATTGAGGCTCGTATCGAGGAAATTCGACGTAGACTAGACGAATGTGTCAGCTTTGAAGACTTAGAAATGAACCACCTCCACTTACACAAAAGAAACCGACCCCATATGTTGAATACGGGGCTGCTTTGACATCACATCATGATTCGATATGATGAGACAGCAAACAATCTGCAGATCACTGCTTAAGGTTTGTGGGGCAAGGATGTTGAAATCCGGGGGAGAAGACTGATGACAAACCGCTCAGGAGAAGAAGTTCCCAGAATCTCCATCTTCGTATTGTGTCAACGTAGCCTTGTTCGATCCACCATTCCAGGTGAAAGGCGCGCTGTATACGCTCACAACAACTCCTCTCTTGTGTTGTCCTTCCAACATTCAGTTCATAATCCTCTTATAGAGTGTCAGGTATACTTACGCGGAGATACATAGGAATGGACCTTCCACGATCCCTCCGAGAATAGTATTGGTATCGCATTGGCAAGCCATTCGGGCCTTGTTGCCAAAGCCAAAAAGGCAATAAAAATTGGCAATTCTCCCGTCAATCCTCCAAGGTGTTTTGCGTCCGTTCGCTCGGACGTGTGGTATATGTCTGGGAGCAGGAAGGCAGGCCAGGTTTGGTCGCTCCTCTGGATTCGGAGATTCACGTTCGGGCCCTGGTACGTGATGAAGGACGAGTAGTCCCGACTTATGTGGTCGAATTTAGGAGTATGCCAGGCGCTTTCACGCTCATCTGCAATAGCAGTTGCATCTCCTTTCATGATCCAAAATCCTAATCCTGCAGAATAATAGACACTCATGGTCGAATGATGCTCACAACCCGTCTCGGGCAACGCATCTATCTGTCGTATCGATTGTCCATCCAGATAGAACCACTGCCCGGAGACTCCTCCAGCCGTCCTAATATGTGAACCAGGTTTGCTAGAGGGATTCCATCTTCCTTCTTTGTCCAGCCGAGGGGGGACTATATCCGAGCGTTCTGAGATCTCGTCGATGCGGAAGAGGAAAGGAGGCTGTATTGGATCCATTTTGTCAGCTTATTATCCTTCTCTACAGGCCATCGCGTAGAGAACACCTACAACAACCATCGTTCTGGCGTGTAATGTCGATGAATACACAGCACACTGCCGTGCCTCACATTCACAGTATCGGCTTCTGTTTTGGCTTAGTCGCCCAATCCTGGGTTGGCGAATCAAGTGTGTGCAGTCTTTGTCTTGAAAACTGTCTTCCACAGTTGACAGTAGTGATTGTCTGTGTAGAGCTCTGGTAGTCGCACATTGGTGTACGAGTGTCACTTGAAGAAAGTGACATCGTACCTGTCCCTGAGCGCAGTCATCTGGACAGACAGTCCGCGTCGAAATGGTGACCGTGAAGCAAACAGTCGTTGTAACTGGTTAGAAGCAACAGGGGAGCCGGTATGGGTTAGTAAGGAAGACAATTGCACTAAGTGTAGCCTCAGGGAGGCCGTGCTGCTCAGCATCTTGCAGTTTGGCTCTATACAATGATGAACGGATTGGGGATCATCTAGTTCGTGAATAGGGTTGTGAAGAAAATCACTGCCAATGTTGTTCACTGGGTAGATGTGTTGTGGTGAATAGGAGTATGCGCAGCGAGGGTCTGCTACTTAGATAGAATATGCCAAATTGAGCTGGAGCTGGGCGCAAATACCCCCACGAAATTACTGAAGCATGACCTTGTGACATATAGACAGAGGAATGAACGGTCTATTCTGAAGACAGGTTGTAAAAGTGTGTTTGGAATGACGCTGTTATGTTGAACCATTAACCCGGGTTATCAAGGTGGGTACGTTTGAGGCATCTCCCTAAATACTAATCAGGTTCCTGGGCAACTATAGCCACAGATCGAAGTATTCCAGTCTCTCGGTCCTACACAGGTCCCCAGAAACCAAAACAGAGCAAGGTCTGTACGCCTTCGAACCCTTTTCACGACCATGACAATCTTCCGAGCAAGGGTGGCCTGTGGCACCGTACGCCTTCTTGCAGCAATTCGGTCGCCTTCTTTTGCATATTCATTCCATAAGCCCTCCAACGGATCTACCCATACGAGTTTCTGATATCGACCTAAAACGGATGCACAATTCTTGAGGAAAGCTGATAATGTACGGACCGTAATTGGCAGCAGTTCCACTTGTAAGTTCCCTCCCAGCCTAACACAGTGGTGCTCACATCCACCTTTGGATGGCACCATCTCCCTGGAATTAACTCAAACTGCAAGAAATAACCTTTACGATCCCAATTCTATCGAGAATACCATACCTTCTTCGATCGTTTCCTCCAATCCGCGAGTCCCTCGTCTGCCGCTGCATTGTCCTACCTCAGGCTTTGCCCAAACAAACTACCTACACCGAATCATCAGAGTAACAGAACTACGAGACATATCATATATTGTTGCAAGAACGGAGACACTACAATTATGATTCGCCATCGAGATTGTATTCACTGAATGGCTAGTGGTGCAGGGGGGGCTGCCAAAACATACATTGAGCCTCCGCAAACACGTTCTCTCCCTTGTCGTGTAGCGCGGTACATGCATATCATTACAAAGGCAGTAAGTGTATATGGGTAGGTGAATATTCTCGAAGCATATTGACAGGAGGTAACACAGAGACATCGTAGTGGACGTCCCAGGGACCAGTGGCACTCGGTCAGCTCAGGGTCTGCCAGCCGCACGCGGACCGCGCCAGCATACTTTACGACCTGATGCGATAAAGTAACATCGTAATGGATAACTACAGACGATGATATAAATGTACGCGTTGGTTTGCATGGCCGCAAGCAGCATCAACCGGGTTGCGTTCAAAGACCGCCAGCGTTACATTGCTACATTATCAGTAGGCAGCACGCGTTGGCAGTAAAGCAGCAAGTGCTACAATGAGTCGGTAGGCATTAAAGTGCTTATTTGACGTGTTTGATAGATTCTTGGGCCCTAAGATGGTGGTCGTGTGGCAACACTCCACAGATGAAGTCGTCATCTATTCGACTGATCCGGAGTACACTTCTCGCATGGCAATCTCGTTCATGCTGGTGGGTTATTTGCCACCAATCCAACGACACTACATCATGATTGGATAATATACTGATATAATCATGAGAAGGGCATATACACAACGAGCAAGCTTCGATGGCGCCCACCTCCGTACGACGCGCGAATACACGAATATAAGCCCGACCCACGGAATGGCAACTGGCCAACAACACAACCCGAAGACCTCCTTGGTAGAATTACAGTCCATACGCTTGATTGGAGGTACCAGAGAATGGGAGATACATGAGATACCACCCATATCGATTTGTTCAATGTGTCTATTCACTTCTCAGTTGAACACGTTTGAGCATTGCATATTGCATAGTCAACTTCGGCGATTCGGCTCACAATAATGGTATTAAAATTGAACTATGATCTTGGAGTTTGACTTCGATCCATTTCGGAGATAATTATATGCACTCAATGTTCTAGGGAAGCACGTAGTCTTGCCAGATATTGATTGAGCATCAATGTACCAAGAGCTTGTTATGAAGTGAGATCGACCAATGGGAGGCTAGCGCGAGTTTATTTTCCGACCGATATCCGAATGCGCACAACTCTGTAAGAACTGACAAACTATTTCTGTTTCGACGCCACTAACGAGAATATTCATTCGCAGCACGGGCCCGCGGCATACAGAAGAGAACTTCGATAAAATCCATCAAGATCTACTGCAGGACTCCGACAAGAATTCGACCACCTTGTGATCAACACACAACTTCTAGGACAGTTCTGTGTTCCAATCCAACCGTTTCGAGGTACATTCCTTTCCTGGCTGTGCGAGCAAATTCTGCACAAATTCGACTCCAAGATGGCTACCGATAAACGATTCCATTCGCTTATCGTCGATACTGGTCCCTTGATCAAAAACACCATCCCAATCTCCACGATCTTGCAAACTGCAGAGAATGTCTATTCCACCCCAGCTATCTTGTCTGAAATCAAGGATGCGGCCACAAGATCACGTGTAGAGACGACACTGCTCCCCTTCCTGAAGGTCCGAAGCCCTACACCAGCCAGTTATGAAGCCGTCGTACAGTTCAGCAAGAAGACAGGCGACTTTCCCGTCCTGAGCAGGCAGGATTTGGGGATATTGGCTCTGGCTTACGAAATTGACCAAGAGAGGAAGAAGCAGGAAATTGTTGAGAAAGAGAAAGCCCAAAACGACCCCGCAAAGGCCACAGAGGACACAGAAACCCCAACCCCTCAAGATGTGGTTACCAATGTGGTCTCAGAATCCACACAAGAGCAGGGCAAACCAGTAGAACATCAATCAGCACCTTCGCCAGAAGTTTCTTTCGAAGAAGCTTCGGCCAATGCCACAGAGGTTGCAGAGGTCTCAGAGGCCACAGAGGCTAGTACGTCCGTTGAGCCGCAAAGTAACAACGAAGAAGGCGGCGTCTCTCTCGCCGCAGATGCATCCGTACCAAACCCAGCTGAAACAGACTCGACATCCCTTGAAGAAAACCTTTCTAACCTCGAAGTGTCGGATCAACCTGAAGGATTTGATGAGGATGAAGACGATGGCGAGGGCGATTGGATAACTCCCTCAAACGTCAAGAAACACCAAGCAAAAGACAGCGGAGTGCATATGAAAGAGTCCGAGCTTTCTCCAGCAGCTGTCGCTACAATGACTACCGATTACGCCATGCAAAATGTCCTCCTGCAAATGAAACTTGCTCTAGTCTCACCGTCGATGCAGCGTATAAAGAATTTGCGCACCTATATTCTCCGCTGCCACGCATGTTTTCTTACCACCAAGGAGATGGATAAGCAATTTTGCCCACGGTGTGGTCAACCGTCGCTCAAGCGAGTTTCTTGTTCGACCAATGCCAAAGGAGAGTTCAGAATACATTTGGCCAAAAACTTCCAATGGAACAACAGGGGTAACAGGTATAGCGTGCCGAAACCAGTTGGTGGCACGACCAATGGCAAGAACATCAAGGGCGGAGGCCAGGGTGGTTGGGGCAACAACTTAATCCTTGCTGAAGACCAAATAGAACATGTCCGACATATTGCACAGGAGAAGAGAAATAAAACGAGGGATTTGATGGATGAGGATTATCTACCCGGAATCCTGACAGGCGACCGAGGCCGAGCGGGTGGAAGAGCCAAGATTGGTGCAGGGAGAAATGTGAATTCCAAGAAGAGGAGCTGAACCCGCTGAGAACGAAGGGAGAGGATCTGATGACATGCATGAAAACGGCGTTGAGACAAAAGCTTGCATATTTGCTCTTAGTAATAGATTCATCTAGTTGGGTGAGTTTGTAAACCCGGGTATCTTAAGTAGAGATTTTACCATATCATCATTGTTGTGCCATTCCCCAGACCACGACATTTCCATCACCACCGGCACTCGCCCATTCTTTCCTCACTCTGCAGAAGGTGACAGCTCCGACAAAGTCTTTGTTGTTCTTCATCGCCTGGGTCGCACTTCCGCTGACCTGCCTCAACTCGGAATGTTTAAATTTGTGCAGAACGTGTCCGTCCAGCATGTCCCAGACATAAACCAACCCGTCGTCACTCCCACTGACGACTACACTGTCGTTCAATCCCAGTGTACTCCTCACGCGCAATTCCTTGTTGTGAAAGCCTTCATCTCGATAGGCCTTCAGTAGTTGACCATTCGTCCGGTCCATCAACCTGACCGTTGAATCAAGAGAGCTGACCAGCAGCTCTGTTCCCTGCTTGGTTATTGCAAGCGACGTAACAGGATGGCCTATCACATCCACCTGGCACTGGCCTGTCCTCAAATCGTAGCTCCGTACCCTCCCATCGACACTCCCAGTAATTATCTCCGAGTCATACACGCAGACGTCCGTTATACTGTCTTTCGCTTCGTCTAATGTCATGATGGGTTTGTAGCTCCCACTCTTCGTATCCCATATCTTTACAGTTCCGTCATAACTGCCGCTCACGACCACGCTGTCATCCTGTCCGGCAAAGACGCCCTTGTTTACTCGCGCATTGTGGCCTGTCCATCTTCGAATAGTTTGCGCCGTTTGTACATCCCAATAGAAGACACTTTTGTCGCCGCCGGTCGATACAAATTTCTCGTTGGCGGCATTCACGTCAATGGACAAGACTTCGTAGCCATGGGCGGAATATGTGTTTATAAGTCCAGCGGCAGATGTTTGAGAGGATATTGGAGCCTTCGAGGGGTTGTACAGGCGTATCGTTCGATCGGATGAGCCTGTGAGCATATACTGTTGAGAGCCGGAGGAGTAGGCGATGGCGTGTACGATACCTCCATGACCAGTGAGCTTAGCGATCGGCTCTATGGGGAACTTGGGCATCTTCGCAAGCTCAAGGCATGCTTAAATTGGTAGCAATCAATGAGTTGGAGATTCGGGCCCCGAAACCGCAGTCTATTAATCTTCTGCAGAGGTGCAAGTCGCCCACTAAAACACAGAACGCAAAGCTTGGGCCAATGACGCGCTATTCGGATCTACTTCGGTTGGACTTTTTCCAAAGATTGTATACCTGTAGCAAGTCAGCACATGCCTACTTGTGAAATACAATAATAAATAGCAACAAGCTATTGCGTTACAATTGCCGATCATACTAAGAAGGAGGCTCTTAATATCCTCTAAATCATTATGGCTCTGCGACAGCTTACAGAGGCTCCTAAGGCGGACGATTACACCCCGCTCCAGCAACATCAAGAGCAAACACCCAGTACTTTCTTTGGCAGCAAGCCAGTTCTATATGCCCATTATTCAGGGCTTACTCTAGCCGCGACTAAAGAGAAGCTCCTTCAAACCCAAGCGACCTCGGGCTTCCAGCTTCAAGAAGAGGACGCGGATGGTATTTCGCTCGCCAAGGATGTCGACATTTGGGTGAACTCAGAGTAGGTCAATTCCTAATCCTCGGATTGTATATCGTCTAATCGAATGGTAGAAATCTCGTTCTTTTCCAGAACTCGCCCACTCCGGCCGGTGTATCGATTCCGTATCCCTCCATAGCACTTCACGCCACATTGAAGTGGAAATCGCAGGTTGACGCACTCTTCATAAACGTATCACTCAACGACGCAGAAACTGTCAACGAAGACGATGACATTCAAACTCTCGATCTCTATGTCTTGCCTCCGAAGTACGACACCGAACCAGAGACCGCATGCATCAAGGAGATTTTCACCGCGATGAATACGTGCGCTGATCTCCACCCCGACCCGGACGATTCAGACATGGAACAGGAGTTCGATGAGACCGCACCAGGAGCGACGGGTTGGATCACTGCTGAAAATATGGATGAATATCTCGATGAGGATGGGAACTTCAAGGGACCTGTCCTTGGCGACAATGACGGTGCTGAAGAGCTTGGTCCAGGAGCAGGGACGGTGAGAGCTAGGGAAGACGATGATGAGCATCCCAATGGTGTAAATGGAGACAATGCCGATGGTGAGACGAAATGGCAGCGAACCGGTTGAAAAGAATTGTCCCAATTCATCTTGCATCTATTGCCTGAATAAGTGAGAGCTTCGAAAGTCGATGCACGAAGCGCGGACTGGTTTAGATCCTAAGCTCAAAAGTCACTGGAGGCTCCCTCTCTCCTCGAGATCAGGAGCTTTGATTACATGGTACAGATCACGGTTAGACCAAGTGCGACTCTCAAGAAGAGCGTGATTTGGTTTCTAATTGCTGAGAAGTAGCTAAGCTAAACATCACAACGTCTCAATACATGCGACTTTAGTAGGAGCTAGCTACCTAGATGTCTCGACCCAGTATGCCTGGACCAGGATCCAGGTGCCAAACTGTAATTGGTCTAGCGCCAGTAGTAAATCCAATACTCTGTCATAACTGCGAGCTTATGTTCCACCGTAGACAGTGAAAGATCCTCTCTGTAAATCGAATCCAATAAAATTCCGCTGTCTGTTTTACAGGAGGCTCTCGCAACCATAATGCCTATAGACCAAGCGGAAACCTACCCAGACTCACAATCACCAACCCTAATTTTATCTCATCCCACGCCCGAAGAGCTCATCAAGATCTCGACCAACACTGCCGCCGCATGGAAAGACTCATTAAGCCCATCACAATTCCTAGAAGAATCCCACTACCTCTCAAACGTACCATTAGCTCAAGATGGCGCAATGACGAACTGGATCCTCGTGGACAAACGTTCAAAACCCAACGCCCGCCATATCCTATGCTCATGTGAGACCTTTCGAAAACGGTCGCTCACAAGCAATGCCAGGGGCGAAGTCAAGGACAGTATCGTACATGGGGTTGCGAGCGTGTTCTGCCCTCCTGAATTCCGGAGGCGTGGGTACGCGGCCCGCATGATGGAAGAGTTGGCGATTGTTCTGCGCACATGGCAGGATAGTAAACTACCCTGTGTAGCTAGTATATTGTACTCGGACATCGGCAAGACATTCTATGCGAACCTTGGATGGAAGCCGGTGAACTCGAATACGGATATCGAGTTCACGCCGAAATTGATTCCAAGTCCAACGATAAGCCGGGGGATTCAAAGGGATGATCTCGCTGAGCTTTGTAAACGTGACGAGGCTATGGTACGTGGGGCACTGGCATCTCTTTCCAAGGGAGCCAAAGAGCGCCTGGTGATTGTGCCGGATGTCAACCACATGCTCTGGCACATTGCAAAGGAGAACTTCGCCTGTGAACGTATCTTCAACAAAATTCCAACAGTACATGGTGCAATTGTCGGACAACCAGGAAACCAAGTTTGGGTGATATGGACACGGAGATACTACAGCCATCCAAACGACAAAGTACACGATAATGTCCTCTACATTCTTCGACTTGTAGTAGAAGTGAGTGTATTTCATGATTCTGAACCTGGGGAAGACAATTATGACACTCAAATCTTGAGACAGAATCTTCGAGCCGTGTTAGAAGCAGCCCAGGACCAGGCTGCGAGATGGGAACTTGATATAATCAAACTATGGGACCCACCTGCGATTGTACTAGAACTGTTGAAAGATACGGAATTTGACTCTGTAACCAAAGAAAGGGAAACAGAGTCAGTTGCCAGTCTTCTATGGTACTCAAAAGACAGCTACAATGGCGTTGACGTTCCAGCATGGCAAATGAATGAGCACTATGCCTGGTGTTGAGCGTGTTGTATCATCATAGCCTGGGTAAAAGCAACATTATTGGCCTGTAGTTTCAATATCAAACGAAAGTGTATCTCAGAATGTCACTTCGAAATACCCAACAATAACAGCCAAGTTAACTTTTACCCCTCAAAGGGCTCCAATTTGCATCAGAGCCACGTTCGGGCTGCTCTGGTCAATCGGACAAAGACTAGCGTCCCGATGATGGTCGGCGACAACCCCTCTGCAAGTGCGCTGACGTACCTCATGACCAAGACTCCGATGAACATCGGTCGAAGCCATTCCGCGAGAAAGCTATCAGATGCTCAGACAAGAAAAGGACTTTGTTGATAAACTTCGACATGTGACCACAACTCCGATTGACATCGGTGGACCCCATTCCGCGAGCAAGCTACGAGGTATAAAATAGTCCGACAAGAACAAGATTCTGTCGATGAATTCTATTGAACTATTTACACGAAGACTTGATCCGCTTATATTGCAAACCTTTTCCAAATATGTCCACGACAGTAACCATTGATCAATTTGTCGAGTCTTATGCCCAGCTATTCAAGAATGGCCAGCGGTCCCCTATTCTCCGCCGACCAGATGAATACGGTATGAAGTACGAGGACATCTTCTTCCCATCCCTCGACGGAACAGTTCTGCAGGGTTGGTTTATCCCCGCCCCCAACGCAAAGAAACTCATCATCGCCAACCACCCTATGACATGCAACCGCTACGGATATCCTGGTCATCTTGACGGCTATACTGGCTTTGGTGGCTTTGAAGTCAACTTCCTGCCTGACTACAAGGCCCTTCACAATGCTGGATACAATGTTCTCTGTTACGATCTCCGCAACCACGGCATCAGTGCTGCGGGTTCTGGCGGTGTCTGCGGCGCTCTAGGATACTACGAGGCTCGCGATGTTGTCGGTTCCGTCAAATACGCGCTCTCCCGCCCTGATACTAAAGATAACAGCATCGGACTGTTGAGCAGGTGTCTGGGTGGCAATTCAACCATCCACGCCATGTCGCAATACCCAGCCTACTTTAAAGACATTAAGGCTATGATACTGCTGCAGGCCGTCTCGGGGCATGCCTTTGTAGAGAAGGGCGCGCTCAATTCTGGCCTTGATAAGGATGCCACCGTCTCCGCGTTTGATAAGCGCATCTACGAACTCACTGGCTTCCGGCTCAAGGAGCTCACGCCGATCCCTTTGGCGCACAACGTTACCGTTCCGACATTGTTCGCGCAGGTGCGGAAGGATTCTTTAATTGATACCTCCGATAGCTCGGATATCTTCAATGCACTTGGGAGTAAGGAGAAGAAGATGGTGTGGATTGAGGACACTACCCGGCGGTTTGATGGGTATAATTACTTCGCAGAACATCCGACTGAGATGCTTGAGTGGTTTGGCAAATATGTCTGAGAGGTCAAGGTCCCTATAGTCTTATGAAGCAAGAGTGAGGTGTGTATAAGTATTGCTGTCTTGTATTATTATTCCTGTTAACAAAAGTTTGTCCCTAGTTGAACAATATATTCATATTAGCTACTTGTAGTAGCACTTCAAACGCTACGTACTGTTGTAAGCGTGATACTAGTGGTGTAACTGTAATTCATCGCTAAAGAATATCAACGTCCCAGTAATAAGAAGCAATCTAACGAATGCGTATATGCGGAGCACTTTGCAAATTTTCCTGCACGGAGGCTCTTCATGGCCTAAGGGATGGACCTCACCACATAGGACAAACTAAAGGACCCCACCACGGCCCACCAAGCTTTTCAATAAGCTTTCTCGGCGACATTAGCCACTTTGCATTGCATACCATACAGATCAATCTTCTTTGGGAAGTTGATTTGATTTCATGCAGGACGGATGAGATACCAGGTGTTAACCCCTTGAGGAGAGGTATCATTTTCCTTCTTCGAAGCGGCCCAAACACATAATCTATCACTATCTCATCACACGTCTAATAACCATTAGAGCTCCCATTAACATACACAACCTCCGGGAACTTATAATTCGGCACATCCCACCACCCCTCCTCCCCAAGAACGAAATCGTAAAACCTCGACACGAAGCTCCTAACAATATAGTCCATCCTGGGGCCGAAGATCTTGTCCAACGACGGCGTGATAGTCTTACCCCTCAACCCCTGGAGATCCACCCAGTCGCCCAGATCCGCAAAGTTCTGGTGGCTGCTGCCCGTGACGTTGACCCACTGGTACCACCCGGACTGGTTTGCGGAGAAGGGAGACCAAGATGGGTCGATGGCGGGGGTGTGTTCGGCTCCGGCGATCATCAGGAAGGGTTTCTTGACGTCTGGGAGGTTGATGAAGAGGCCGTCGAGGTTCACGCCGCCGAGAATGGAGTCTTCGACTGCTAGGGCGCCAGCAGATGCGGCGCCACCGAGCGAGTGGCCGATTGTGAGATAGTGGGTCGTGTTGAATGATGCTCCGGTAGATTCTACATACGATGGGAAGAGTTCCCTGATAATCGCGAGAGTGTCTGAGACGCGCATGTGGTATACAGCCGCCTGCAGCGTCGCGTTCCAGGACGCAGTTATGTCGATTCCATAGACGCCTTCTGCACCGTCCGGAAGCTGGAGATAGGGGGTCTCGCCAGGATGGTCGAGGGCAAGCACTGTGTAGCCCTGAGATGCGAGTTCAGAGTTCAGCGCATTGTACATGATGGCGTTCTCGCCGCCACCAGGGGAGAAAATGACGGTCGGCTTTTGCGACACGCCGTAGGTTGCTTTGTCCAGAGGTGGCGCCTGGTATACGTTCCATGTCGTGAGACTCTGGAGGGAGTTATTTGGATATTGGAGAATGTCGCCCCAGAGTTTCGCGGTTGTTGGATCTAGGTATGGCGCTGTGTTGTTTCCTGGCACAGGTATGGTCAAGGTAGGATAGTAAATTGTCGCCAGTAGGATTGAAGATGCGTTTTGGGGAGCCACAGGGTCGTTTGGTGTAGTGTGATTGAAGACATGCTGCGTGTATCCAACGTGATAAGGACCTGTCGGCGGAGGGAATGGCACGGCAGAGACTGCCTGGAGTAGCAGGGACGCAACAATAACCAACATGATGAGTTCTTAGACACGAAGTTGTCAGACGAGGGGACAGGAACTCATGATCATTTAAATGCTGTGGGCGGCTGGACCTTTCGTTCCTTCATGGATCTTGATCCTGTGTTGGTCTAAGGCTGAAGCTTATCCAGTTGTTGATTACGATATTGTTCCAATCAGACTAGCCTGGTTATGGTGATGCTTTAGACTTCCCTGCTAAGCTCGATGAAGCAGGCGATTAGGTGAATGAGTAGTGGAGAAGTATCACGATAGATGATAGCCACAGCACGCATAAAAATAGTCACGGTAGAAGTTCGTTAAATATGCCATTCTTTTCGATGCAATTTTACAATTACTTCAGGCCTGCTTGGCAAAACCCCCATGGTGATTGGATAACTAATTTCTCAAACTCTTGACCAGTTAGAAACATGATTGAATAAGTAGTTGCCAGTAATAGCAGATTTCCCACGCTCGAATCTTACCAAAAGGCAAACGAACACCTTGATTGCGCTAGTTACTAGGGGAGATGAAGCCGACCCGCTCCAGGCACACCGTTTTGCTAACTCGTAGTGGAGTGCGAATGTGGGAAAGACTCCCGCAGTGTACCGGTAATAATGCCATTATTATACGAATGAAGACATGCCTGACGTCACTATGCTTACATGTCTACCTCGACCGGTGAAAGCAGACACAAGCCATGCTATACTCAATGCCCACATGCCAGATAACAAAGTGCGTTTAATGGACAGACGGAATCATTATTACTCTGTTGTTCATCTTCTTTGTCCCATGAACTGGGGCAGGCAACATTGATGCTAAGATACGGACATGGTGAGAAGTGTCGGATGCGCTAGGAGTACTTTCACGAAGGCAAGAGTCGTATACGGAGCGCTTGAGAACGAAGCATGAATCGTTTGGAAGATATGACAACAGTTTAATTGTGTCTACAAATTTACGAATCTTAACGCTGGCAGGCCTTGTAATGTTGTTTGAAATAGGAAAACTCACCTATGTTTATGGAGACTACCCGAATTATTTCGTATATATATAGTCAGGATTTCGAGTTGCACAAGTACATGTCTTCACTTTTTATATAGTATGGCTAGGTCATTTAAAGAGAGACTAAGTTAGATTTCTGTAGGTGCTAATAATAGGTAGACTAGCATAATGAATGGATGTATCCCAATGTTTATGGCGAGATCTGACCAAACTTCAAAGTGTCGATGAAGGAGCGACTGAATGAAATGAACGAACCCCAACGCCATGAAACCACCGAGCATGTTGTCAATTTAGTTACCCAAATCCAAATGAGTGGACACCACATTGTGTGGTTCAGACTTAGCGATAGCCTATGTGTAGACGAAACACGCTCCATGCACCGCCATAGAAGTGTTATGTTGTCGATACGTCTTGTGATGAGTTCTAGTTGTGCTTGGTCTCCCTGATTTGGGACACAGACAGGCCAGCCCTCATCTCGGCGTCCTCGCGACTTAGTGCGCGATGCGCTCCGCTCCAGATCCCGAACCTTCTCTTGACGGCCTTCCAGCTCTCGATGGCCGCAATGTATATGCAAACACATGCGAAGCTGATACCCCATTCCCAACCAATGGCGCCATGCTTGAAAACCTGTCGGTTGATGACAGGCAAGTAGATGATGGCGAACAAGATCGAGAAGCCAGCGGTGACAGCCCAGAAGAGGAACCGATTGCGCCAGACGGTGGGGAAGACAGAAAGTCCACGAGGAGTAGATGAGTCCGGATACAGGTTGAAAAGTGACCGTGAGAAATGCTTCACTTCCCAAGCTGTGACAAGGAGTAAGAGCGTGATCGTCGTGTAAGTCGTAGCACGAGCGCGGAAGACGACACCGCATGTATCATTCCAGTCCTCGTTGCAACCAGAGCCGAGATCTCCTCCGCCAGGTCCAACGTACGCAACGATAGCGAATGATGCGAGGCACAAAGACCCCATAAAGAACCCATAGATGAACTTATCAACGATGAGCTCTTTCGTGAACACCCCAACCTTCAAATCATGAGGAGGTCTGAACATGCTGTCTGTTTGAGACTCTTCAAGACCAAGTCCAATGGCGAGGAAGGAGGAGGTGATGAGATTGACCCAAAGGATTTCAATGGGAGATAGAGGGAATACAGAGTGATTGTCGTTGTCTTTGAAGGCAAGACCGATGAGGAGTAGGATAACTTGGGCAATATTCGAGATGAGCAGATGCATCAAAAACTAGACCTGTCAGCATGAACCATATAGACACACGTGGACCACAACATACCTTTTGAATATTGTCAAACAATCTGCGTCCTTCTTCGACCGCTTTCACGATGGAGGCGAAGTTGTCGTCGGTTAAGACCATTTTAGCGGCGTCCTTTGCGACGTCGCTACCAGTTCCCATCGCCATGCCAACATCAGCAATTTTCAAGGCGGGGGAATCATTTACGCCATCGCCAGTCATTACGCAGAAGCGCTTCCTGCGATGCAGGGCTGACACCATTTTGACCTTTGTGGCTGGACTGCATCGGGCAACGACTAGAGGCAATGTCTCCATTCGGTCGATTTCTTCATCACTAAGTTGATCAAAATCTTTGGCAAGCATGACAGCCGTTGTGCTTCCACGAGGAGCAGTGACTTCATTCAAAATACCGACCTCGTGCGCGATTGCCCTTGCTGTTCCAGGATGATCACCAGTGAGCATGTGCACGGTGATACCGGCAATTTGACACTCGCGCACAGCTCCTTTGGTCTCCAGACGAGGCGGATCATAGATAGCAACGAGACCAATGTAATTTAGTTCGTTCTCGACATCTTTGCGTTCCTCAAGGTTTGATCCCAGTGGGAGAGTCTTGTGAGCGATGCAGAGAACTCGAAGGCCGTCTGCAGCCATAGTCTCAGCAGCTTCAAGAATACTCGCTTTTTCGCTTTGTGAGAGATTTAAAACGGGAAGTACGAATTCGGTGGCTCCTTTGGTGTATACATCTAGATGTCCGGCATCATTATCCTTGAAGACGACCGTCATCTTTTTCACAGTAGAGTCGAATGGAAACTCGGCGGCGTGCGAAATGTTCAAATTTTGGAGGAGCTTTTCTCGTCCCATGTTGAAGCGCATCGCAAGGACATGAAGTGCGATCTCAGTTGGCTCTCCAGTAGCTTTCCATGGGCCTGGCCTGTTCTGGCTAGAGGCTGTTCCGGGGCGTGTAAAGATGGCGGACTGCTGCGTCGATGCATCCGTGTCGCGCTCATCGTCAGTGTTCATTCTCTCCATCGCTTCTTTCTTGCTGCTATCCTCATTACTGCTCAGTGGAGCTTCGAATGTGGGTTCTACCGTTGACAGATTGCAGAGAGCGATGGTTCGTAGAAATCTTGTGAGGATTGCATTAGGCGAATACTCTTCAATATCAATGCGTTGCCCGTCAAGTGCAACATGGCCGCTGCTCGGATCATAGGGATCCGTGGTATCGTGGACTGAGAAGGTACCGACACCATTGATCATGGCTTTGCGCGTGATCATGCGACCTTGTGTTAGAGTTCCTGTTTTGTCGGAGCAGATGTTTGTAACGCCTCCTACAGCTTCAATAGCCGAAGACACGCGAATAATGACATTCGACCTTGCCATTGCCTTTGCTCCCACGGCGATCGTAATGGTAAGGACCGCAATGAGAGATTCAGGAATGACGGCCACAGCCACACAAATACCGTATATGAGTACCTCCCCACCAACCTGCCATTTGTTCGCAGAAAATACGATGATGGCAAGAAGGATGGCTAAACCAAAAAGCAGAAGAGCGAACTTGCTTAGCGTAATCTGGAGGGGGGTACCGACGAGTCCAAGAATGGTCTTGACGCCATTGATGAACTTGATTCGAGCCTTCACGAGGAAGCTCTTATCTTTAAGTGTATCATCCTTCTGTCGAAGCATGTGAGCGATTTTTCCAACCTCAGTCTCCATAGCAGTAGCCACGACAATGCCGGTGCATCGCCCGGACTTCATCTCGCTACCAGAGAAAGCAAGGTTGGTACGGTCGCCAGTGGGTATATTCTCATCGTCAAAAGTCACTGCTGGTGTCTTGTCGACAGGCAGTGACTCTCCAGTGAGGAAAGCCTCGTCTGTGGAGGCGTTCATGGCATCGATCAGTCGAAGATCCGCCGGTACAATGCTGCCGACCTTGAGGTGGACAACGTCGCCGGGTACAAGGTCCACAGCCCTGATCTTCTCGAGTGTGCCATCACGAAGGACAAATGATTCAGGTGCAGTCAAACTCTTAAGTGACTGTATGGTTTTCTCTGCCTTGTAGTCTTGCCAGAACCTAGGCGAAAGATTAGTACATTTTGCAATATGACGAAGTTGACATTGAATTGACTAACCCGACGCATATGTTGAGGACAATGACGGCAGTAATGACGCCGCCCTCAATGTAGTCGTTGATTCCGAAACTTAGACCCATGGTAATTACGAGAACCTGTAGGTTGATAATTAGCCTTAGTTACTACGGAATGCGAACCATAGGCTTGGCAGTTTCACGAGCATGTACACAGTAGATTCATGCGTCTACCGTGAATACACCACAGGTGCACATGTTTACAGTGATATGAATTGATGGCACATACGAGAGTAAGACTGTTTGAGACCTGCCTCAAGAGAATCTCCCACAAGGATAGCCCTTCAGCTCCTTTAACCTTGTTAGGTCCATGGAGCCGAAGGCGAGATTCTGCTTCTGTAGCACTGAGTCCATTGCTAGAATGCTAGGTTAGTTTGGTGGTGAGGTTGAAGAGGCTGAGGGGCGTGTATTTCCATACTGTATGTCGACGTTCAGTGCCCGGGCGACCTGTTCTGGCGTAAGAGTATGCGCAGTTGGCAGCGATGCAGGAGTGCCTTGATTGGGTGGATCTATAGGCGGATTTGGTTGATGATATTGATGTTGACCTGCTGTGGTCGGTGGTCCATTATAATTGCCGTTTCGTTGGGCACATATAGGAGGTTCAGTCGACTCCTCGACAGTAGGAAGGCAGTTCTCTTCACCCATTCAATTAGAGATAGTAACCAGAGGACGGTTGTTGTGAGAATAGAAGAAAGAAGATGAGACAAGATTAGCGGGAGAGCAGTTATAGCCGTGAGTGGTACGGCGGGAGTGGGGTAACACATGACCGACATCACGTCTATGACCAAGAAGTTACGTGGGTCCCCTCCAAGTCTCCAAGAATGGCGAGTGCAGGAGCGCCTCTTGGTATTGGCTCCACTCGCGCCTCACTGACGTTCATGAACCGGGTACAGAGCAGACAACTGGTCGGTACTCCGGACCAAAGTACGAGTGGCACAATGCTGTTTGTTGTTGCATGTGTCCGTGTTGTTGTCGTTGTACTTGTGGATTGGGAAATACAAACGCCTTTGTTGTTTCGTTTCCTTCATACCAAACCGACCTTCATCATTCGTTGGTATGTATGGCAAAGCATGTACCCCACGTAGTACAAAGAACATGTCTTCAAATGGTTCGTTAGTTTACTGTCCCTACGAGGATTCCGTTCAATATCCAGAATAGGTGCTTTGCAGCGTATTTTGCTAATTGCCTGCATAGCGTACGTATACACTCCACTGTAGAGTAGTCTCACCTCCGTGTAGTATCATACAAATCTGGAAAGATGAGTTCTTCAACCATTTTGGGACGGCGAATCATCGTGCCCATGAGGCAAGAAATATCAAGGTACGAGAGTGCGCACTTCGCACTTCACGATTAACAGTTAGAGCATTCACTATCCAGAGGCGATAAGAAGCTTGGCTCGTCATGGACAACGTTTCCTTTGTAGACCTTGATCTGTGTATCGACAATACCCCAAACACAGCCACGACGCCTAGGCTTGGAGGCTGTTGGCATGCTGTGCCTCATACAGGGATAGGATCACTGCCGTGGTTCGACCGTGTTCGCTGCTTTTCTTCCTCTGCGTCTTTGATGCAGCGCCGAGAGATGCTTTCCCTTGTGCAGTAAGCGGGCGCACCCAGTTGAGACGTGTCATTGCGGGACACGGCTTGGGGTGCCCTTCCACGCGATGAGGGGAAATCTTGCTCGGGGAGAACAGATCCGAGCGAGATGAAAATAACATTGAGATGGACGAACGACAAGAAGCTGGAAGTTGATCATCGGATGTCTTTATAGATACCCAGGTACGAGTAGGTTGGACGTCGTCTTGATTAAAAGGCCGAAAGGTTCCTCCGTGCCGGTTAGTAGGCCGTGGGTGGGTTGAAGTGGGCGTGGGTGGGTGCCAGGTGGGCGTCGGCCGTGAAGTGGGACGGGACGACTTCCAGCTCCACCAACAGCCAACACCCGACAACCAACAACCACCACAGCAATCCAAACATTCTCCCTTCAATATCGTGGGGAAATGCGCCAGTGGGCAATCCCCCACACTTTCGAAAACACTCTGAACCTTTGAAACAACCATCTTCCCATCTCCACGTGGGTTTGGGAAACGGTACCGTACCGTACTGGACTGCACCATAGTACCCCAGGCTCCGTCGCTTGAGCCCTCCACAGGCTCTCCCACTTGCCTTGTTCTGGCCTGTTGCATCTTCGATTAGTATCGTGGAGGATACCCAGGCAGGCGGGTGGACTATAGTCCAACGTCACTTCACATTCGACATCAGCATGTTGACATCACCAACAGTCAAGGCACAGCGGAAGAAAGTAAAATCCATTTCCAAGAAAAGGTCCAAAGAGCACCCAAAAACCCCAAGTCCCAGTTGATGCTGTTGGCTCAACGAGAACATCACATCCATGCTTTTATTTGCCTCGCCCAATAATGCGAAATCATCACAAGTCGTTAAAGTATTACCCCTTGCCCATTACACCTCGCAACTCCATATCCAATCAACACCTCGTCGAGCAACATAAATCAGCTTTCCCTGAGCACTTCAGCTTCAGAGATATCTGATCGTCGGCGAGGAGTGCCCTGGAGCTGGACGTCGGCCTCGGCCAGCGCAGCCTCGAGGCTCATGTTCAGCGTCGCTGCGAGGTACTGCGCGTAGCGGAGACGATATGAGGATGCCATGTCGTCTGATGACTTGAACAGTTGTCGTGTTGTTGAAGGGCCTGCTTTGAGATTAGATGTAAAGCCGAAGTCTGAGTGATCAAGTATACCCGAGGAGGGATGGAGAACTATCGAAGGCGGGCTAGGACAAGTCTTGGGGGATGTAGAAGGAGAAGAAGTCGTCGAGAATGGAAGATGAGGCATGATGCTGATTCAGTTGATGATGTATGACGATGGTAAATGAAGACTGGGAAGATCGTTGGATGGTCTTGATTGGTGGAGCTACGAGGAGGATAGTTCTCTGCCCTTTATCGAATAGCTTTTTTGCTTTCGATGATTGAATCTCTGGTCTGAAGAGAGTTTCTGAGGTTGGTAAGAGTGGAATATGCCCCTTGATTCAACAGCGGCACTGTCTCTTTATATATTGCACGATCTTACAGCATCCCTCAAAGATGGAACAGGACAGACCACGCACCCACACACACACACACCGCACAAACTAAAGGACTCGGATCGCAGGGGTTTGATACGTTGGATCGGTGGACGGATAGTGAATTGTTGGGTGGCATCTCGATCTGGACCAATGATTAAGACGTAATTGGTACTCTTTGTGTCACGGTATGCGACTTATTCTGGGAAATGGCCCATTCCAGTCTTAGGTTGAGCCATTTTGAACCTTCTCCACACACCGCTAGAAATATCACTCATCTAAACTGTCTAACCGTCAGTTTACCTAGCCAGCCCTTGAAGAGTCCGGGGAAAGGCTCAGGGGCACAGCTGACCACCGTATCCACTTTGGGCAGTCGGCAAGCCTTCAAACCCTGTCCGACTATATCTCAACTTTTGAATCTTCACCAATGTCTTTCTTATCTTTGTCGACGCCTCGCAGTTCCTGAGGACCTTTTCCCCCTTCACGATGCGCCTTACATGCAGCCAGAGTCCGTACGAGTCCCCTCATGACTAAACGCCTAGAAACGCCGCAAACGCCGGGTCCCCAGGTCATGTCCACCGTGACACGACCTATTACAAGCTGAATAGAACACTTCGGTCCCCAGCGCGATGACACAAGCGCACATAACCAATAATGCCATATGGATCTACTATGACGAAGCACGACAATGAGTGGACACAATCCACAATCCACAATCTATACCCACAGGCCGCGTCTGCAGTGGGAAGAAACTAACAAGGACGCCCGCCACCGCTGTCTCGCGCTTCTCCCAATGAGGACATTCACGATGCAAGGGAACGGGACCATGCCTTCTGGGTTTGTTCTGGTGTTGCGGTTTGTTGCGGCAATAACTATCTAATTTTTCGTGTAAGAACACGGATGCTGTGGCCAATTTGCCGTGTACCTTGCGCACTCCTCACCAGACCGACCCAGTTATTCACTCGATCAGCTCAAACTTTCTGCTGTGGTTTCATCCCATCCCAACAAAGGTGTTTTGCAATAACAAACAATCCTTGTGCCTAGACCAAGTCGTTTGCATCAACTTCTCAGACACCGTCATCCTCAGTAAACTTGGTTATAACCCGAGTCCAAAGAGACTCGCGAACAATGACATGATGCCATTGCGCAGGCCTCACGGGGCTAAATTACGGCATGGAAATCCCTTGTCGACGTTGGCAAAACGTCACGATGTCGATGTAGGCCAGACGCCGTTCCAAACGAAGAGTTTTGCATGCAGGCAAGTTTTCGCCAGGGGGTCACGAGAGCCCGCACCGACGATCGTGAGGGGCCATGCCGTCCAGAATCCCATAGTCTTACTAGCATAATCCCCTCCCCTCCTTCACTATCTTTGAACAACCAACCAACCTATCCTGTCCACCTAAATTCGGATAATTCGGATAGCGCTGACATTCCACACTGGAACCCAGAACTTCCCAGGTCCATGTTTTCTGAGCTCACCATCCGTAAGCCCCTCATCCGTACTGTCCGAATATTCTCATCACATCATCAGTACGAGTAGCGTACAATAGCACCGTAGGTAGGACCTAGGGTATCTTCTGTAGATGCTCCGACTCCGTACGGGTCTTCCCGTTGACGAGGGCTACTCTCACCACCTCGTACCTGAAGTGTCGCGTGCCAATCAACAATCTTTCAATACTGAAACTTCCCTTCATCTGTGAATGAAGCAACTTCATCCAGCTTCCTTGACCTCAATCACTAAATGCCTCGCCTTTTCCCAGACTCCTCATTCTTTGTGCTACGAGGCAACTGAGCCATTTTCCAACAATCCAACACCAAGTATATCTCTCACACACAAACCAAAACTTCCACCCAATCACAACCCCAACAATATCAACACTCCCAACTCTAGCCCTATCAATATCCCTCATGCTACTCGACTCGACATAGGATCGACAGGAGACAGATTGTCGTGCCCAGTGCAGTGTGTATCAAGATGCATATTCGTCTCACCGCCCCCGATAAGGGAATATCCCTAGATATGCAGCATGCTTGAAACGGATAGCGAAAGCAAGCATATCGCACAATTGCACGCAATTTGTCCTCCACCATCACCGTCAACCACCAACACCAATTGATTGCTACCCGTGAAACTAATCTGCTTGTAATTAGGGATTCAGCCATCATCTCAACAATAATATCGGGGTTATCTATTCATGTGAAAGCATCCCGAGTGTTGGAATTGATTGCGTTGGAAATTCAATTTCTGCAGTCGCATAACAAACGTGCAAGGAAGCTTATTCCGACGACGTCCAATAGCTTCAATTTCGACGGCCATGTGGTTGATATGCACCAGGGTTTGGGACGGTCCGATGTTCACAACAAACAACGCATGGTCCTCATGGCGACTTATCGTTCGTCGAGAGTTTCTGATGCGCTGGCAAGTGTTTCCCTTCAGCGCCAGAGATAAACTCTTTTGGCAGAGGCACGAGAATATGCTCCGACGCTGTTCAGCCATGAAATGACAGTAGGAGAAAGATCTAGGTATCTAGAACATTTCATACGCCCCTACCTCAGGTACGCAGCAAATCCTCGTCACTCGAGCACTCCACTCTTCACATTATTGTCTGCCCACCGCGTGAACATTCAAGAAACCACATCGTAGCAACACGCACTAGGACATCATACTCCGTCCCGCCTAGCTCACCCACAAAAAACAACAACCCACAATCCATTTTCAGCCTCCCCTCCCCTTCGTTCGAGAAAACCCACTTTGCCTGCCTTGGATCGTCGGGTCGAGTGTTTAGATGTGGAGCACCCCCCTCCTATCCACTCCACCGCACATCTGAGGCTGAGGCGTTTTTTTTTACTTCCCCACGTGGTCTGCTAACGTTTGGTACCTGACTCCGACACGGCTTCGAGAACCTTTTTCGCTTAGAGTGCGGATCACCCGTGAGGGTACCAAGGTATTATCTTGTAGAAGGGCGAGAGAGGCAAGATCTGCTTGAGCAAACTATGTCTTGGGCTACGGCATATCAAACGTCTTGGTAAAGGTTCCACTACTGCTGTTGTTAGAAAAATGTAACTATGCGACTTATTGCGTGCGCTGCGAGGTCGAACTCGTCACAGACCGAAACCATCAGGTTTGGCTTGGTAGAGAAGTATGTATGCATGCACTTGGCGTGGTAGTGTTGTTCGCTTCTGACGAATTCTTCTAATTTCCCGACGTTTGTTCGCTACAAGTGTTTGGTGTATTCTGCGTGTCGTTATCCCTTTCTTGAGATCTGAGATTTGGTTGATAATTTTGGCTAGAAGCGGTTGACTCACGATGGTGGAATAGGTCCGATGGGGGCGCGAGCGCTAACTTGACTTTAGTAGAGAAAGTGGCATGTGGACGACACGCATGACTGGTGTGGATGTCCTAAAGGTTAGCAAAAGCATCTGAAGCCGTTGACTCCTTTATGCAGAGGAGGTTGTGAATCTTGAGAAAACTTCTACCATACAGACACTTTGACGAAACAATCTGATCATATTACATCTCCAGCCCGTCGACTATAGGAGGGGCTCTACCATAACCTATCTACAAACCCACTACACTGCCATACCCCAAGAACCCGAAAGCGACAGATCCAGCTTCGGCATATGCCACCTCTTGTCCTTACCCACCGCGCTCGCATTAACACCTGGCGTTGTGCCATTACCAAAAGGACCTAAACTCGGCGGCAAGTCCTCAGGCCTGGTTCCCCACGTAGACTCATTCGACCCCAGAGTCAACTCCAGGGTCCCGCCATCCAGGAAGAACTTATGCTGTAGCCAGTTCCGTGTGTACGGCTTTCCGTCGAGCGTCGCGCTCTGGATGTACACATTCTTACCCGTCGGATCGAAATTGATGTTTTTGATCGTCGCTGTCTTGCCGCTCTGTCCGTTTCGTATCGAGACGGATTCAAAGAAGGGCGGGGTGATGAAGTAGACGTCCTGGCCTGCATTGGGGAAGATTCCCATCATGGTGAGCGCTGCAAAGGAGCCCATGGCGCCGCTGTCGTCGTTGCCCGGGATGCCGCCCAGCGTGTCGTTGAACTGGCTTGGGATGTAGAAGTGCGCTCGCTCGGCGGACTTCGCTGGGCGCCCGGCGTAGTGGTACAGGAAGACTTTGAGAAAGGCTTGTTCGTCGCCAATGTACAGGACGCCGGACTCGTGCAGGAAGTCGAGTCGGCGGACGAATTCGCGGGGGCCGCCGAGTGTCTGGACGAGCGTCGCCATGTCGCCGGGAACGTAGAATGTGTACATCCAGCAACTACCCTCGTATGTTTCGTGGCCGCTTGGGTTCAGATAGCATTGGTCGAATGAGAGCAATGGTGAGCAGAATATGGGGTCTTGGTAGCCCCATGTGCCGTTCATGTACTTGGGCTGTAGGAAACCGACAAAGCCAGTGTCTACACCGTTGATGGCACTGCGCTGATCCGCCTTGTACATGTTCTTCCAGTTCCCAGAGCGACCCAGGTATTTGCGATAGTCGTCCATGTGCCCGAACTCGCGGGCTAGAAGGGCAATGACGAAATCATTGTACGCGTATTCGACGGTACGAGAGATCGAGCGTGTTTCAGTGCCTACACCGAGGGTGTCGTAGTTCTCGGTTGGAATGTAGCCTAATGACTTCCACGATTCGAGACCGCCGCGACCTTGACGTTGTTAGACAGTGTGAAAACTTTTAGCTTGCAACCATGAATTTGGTACCTTCGATATCCCAATTCAAGGGTTCAACTTCGGCATCAGAAATGAGCGCCTCGTACGCTACTTTCCAATCAACACCAGCAGATATGTTTTTGAAGTAGGCATCTGCAATGACCACATCGGCGTTGGAGCCTCCCTGTGTGAACCCTTGGAGCTGTTAGTCTATCGAAGCCTGAAGTTGATGAGAACATGTTATACCAACCTTTACAGAAACTCATTCTACAATCTGGCAACTTCCCTTCATGCTGGTAGATATCGAGCAAACTCCGAACCATGAGAGTCTGACTATGCGGATCCAGCAGTGTAAGTAGAGGATGTATACTTCTAAACGAATCCCAGATACAGTAGAACGAATCATAGTAAGGTTCTCCAGAGTCCCAGAACGGATTCTCGCCAGTGTAGTCTTGTGGACTAATCATCGTCCTGTACACGCCACTCCAGAACGCTTTTTGAATTACCTCGCTAGCACCACCCGGTTTTATCGTGATCACGGATAGCTTTTCTTTCCAGGCGTCCTCGGCAGATTTCACGACGCTATCGAAGTTGCTGTTTGGGATTTCTTTCTTCGCGTTCGCGCACGCCTGCTCTTCACTCTTGAAGCTCATGCCCACTCGGACGAGTATCTGGTTGTTTCTATCAGGCTTTCCAAACTTGATCCATCCGCCGGCCGGTCGCCTACTCGCCCTATTGCCTTCCGAAAACACACTGATCGTCTTCGTAAACCCGGCTCTAGAGTTGAGAAACACACCTGCATCCTTCATCGGAGCTCCTATGAAATCGGCGCAGAAGTACGATTGATACTTACCCTGGCCGAAGCTCGGTTCGAACCGCCCATGTCCAGTCATGCGGCCAGTATCTCCAGACGTCATGACCGTGATGTTTCCATCAGTCCTGGTCTTTGGCAAGTCAGAAAGCTCAAGAAGGATCAGCGGGCTCAATGTCGTATTCGGCGTCGTCGGCACCTCTGGAAACGTGAATCGGTACAGCGCAGTCTTGTTCGTCACCGTCATCTCCGCGCGGACTTGGTTCTCCAGCGTGATTGCAAAGTACCCCGGCCGTGCTACCACGGATCCTTGGACGCGCGGAATCATCCTCTCCCAGCTCGTGTACCCGCAAGCGTTAATGTCATCATTCGGACAACCCGCATGCGCAAAAATGGGGAAGTTTCCTAGCGACGCAGACTAGAATCGCAATGTCAAAGCCCGAAATCGTCTATGTGAGCCTGCTCGCGCAGGGAGAGAACATACGCCTCCAGTGCCAGAATCATGCATATGCGAGTACCCCCAGATGGGACTGTCATCCGACGCAAATCCGCCCTGATTCTCGCCATAGACATCTGGCCCAGCCTTTGCCATACCTTGAACCCATCAGCTTGCTATATTGTAGTGTTTGCTTGGGGGTTCGCTTACCAAATGGCAGTGTTGCACCCGGGAAAACATGACCTTTGAAGACAATCAGCCCACGACCACGTAGAAAGAAGGAATGCCCAACTCGCCTCCATTGATCGTTCCAATAAGCGGGTCGACATAATCATATGGCGTCTTTCCCTGAGCATTCACACGGGGCAGCACGGTGATAGCCCATAACGCCACAATAGCGGCGCCATTTCGTAGAAGAGCCATGCTCAATTTCTCTCTTTGCCGGGCGCGTTACACGCCACGTTTCCGAATTGGAAGAGACTGAGAATTGGAAAGGGAAGAAACCGCTGGAAAGTGTCCATTTCACGCGCAGCGGCAAAGCCCCACATATTTAAGGAATACATTCCATCCCCATCTTTCCTTGGCGGGTGCAGGCAGGCTGGCATCGTGTGAGACGAGACGGACGCTGGGCGACATTTGGGGTGGTGTGCACTTGTGACCTGCTGTTTTCTCCTCTTTTGTCTCCGTCTTCCTTGAAGGAAGGGACGTCCGCACGGCAATGGTGCTGGTGGTCATACGCTCGGCCGTTCGATCGCGGGCATATGACGATGGATGTTCCTGAAGATTGATTGCTTGATGCACGAAACCCCATGCAACCATGCGGGAGAATTGCCGAAAGTGGTTGCGGGGTACATTGATTTTCCTGCTGGGTTGTATGCTGGAGCAATAATTCGGATGGGGTGTTTCTTCTCAATTTATCCTTGTCTTGGAATGCTCGACTATGTCAGTGACTTTGCGTCGAGAACTATTGGAAGATGCACTTTCTGGGGAGAAAGTGTTTTATCTTGGCGACTTTCTATCCATATTCGTAGACTTAAATGGTCAATTTGTGCAAAGGGGCTAGAACGCATGTCCGTAAGTAGTCAGTGATTCACTTTGATGTATGTACAATCAAGTCTATGGTAGGTGGAAGTGAAAGGTGATAGTCCTACGCGCATGCGGTTCCAAGCAAGCTTTGTGGCGTCATTGGAGATCTTCCCCGCCTCGAAACGTCCCGCCAATCTGGGCAGGTCCTGCAACCTACCCTTTAGAGGTAGCGTTCGAAAGCACGCGTGCCAATCGTTGACTTCATCGAGCCATTGATGGTTGGTCTCCAAGACAGTTTAATGCAGACCACCACCATGTGAACATATGTTGCATTGAGATGGGCACAGTATAGCCAAGCTACGTCATGGTAGTTGTTCACATGGTTGCAATGTTGTCGAAATCGGCTCGGACAGTAGAAGTAGCTTCTTAATGCGGAATGTGTCTTCTTGTCTTTCTATATTGAAATATTGCCAAGTGGACTTCACAGGACAATGATGTTGAGATATGGTGAGAAGAATATACGCTTGACACACTCCACTGATCGCACACTCGATTGCACAACTAAATACTGAAAAATATATATCTCTACAATTATGTCAAATAGTCATCTTAACTACAACTTCGCAATTATCTTATTAAAATGGCATATGGCAATAAAAAAGCACAACCCCGTTCAATAACATGTCAACCATTCCCTCCTTCCAGACAAACCCCCCAACCGCTCCCATATCACTCCCCACAAACCTCAGTCACAGAATTCTCATTCGAATCCGTAACCTCCAACGGCACCCTCGCCTTCTTCCTCTGCAAAGGCGGGGGCGTAATAATCGAGACGTCCAGCTTCCTTTTACTCCCAGCACAACCTCCATTGCTTGCACCGGATGTCGTGGAAGTTTGCGAACATCCAGAGATAGAGACGAGGGTATCTTCGCGGATGGCGAAGTGTGCTTGCTGTGAGGCTTTGAGGCCTACCTCTCGGGTGCTGCTTGTGCATTGTGTTGCGTTGCTTGTGCTGGATGTGGTGTTGCTTTGAGAGGGGAGGGAGGGGTCGGTTTCTGAGATGCTAGGAGTGGTTTGGTAGTTTGGTGGCCCTCCTGATTTCATCGCCGAGGATGTCAGTGTCGCTGCGGTGGTGGTTGAGTCTTGCCTCCCAACGTATCGTCTCATCAACAGCGCAACATCTCTCGCGTGGCCAGATAGTTCAGTGTGATCAGGGACACACCACTTCTCGCTCGCCAACGCTTCCAGATCTTCCATGGTCACAGCATCCTCCCACGTCCGATCCGAGTGGATCTTCTTGAGCCGCGGGTGCCGCAGCATCTCGAACGTCTCGTTCTGCACCGTCTCGTACCCGCCGCCCAGAATCTCCGCGACAAACGGCTGCTTGAACGCCACAGACATCTGCGCGTCAAAGCCATTCGACTCCTCGAAGTCGAACTCCTCCGTGCACCCTTCGTCGTCGAGTTGGCGCTCTCGCAGCCGGCCGTGGATGTTCAGGTAGCGCAGGTCGTGCTTTGGTATACAGTGTTCGAGGCTAAGCACGCCGACGATTTTGAACAGTGGCTTCACGCCCGTGTGGTGTAGTGATGCTTTGTTTTTCAAGCATCCGAGGTGGAAATGCGTCCAGTGTAAAGGCCTCACGTGCGATTTGGCGGCGATTTGGGGATTGTAGCTCGCGCCGACGATGGCGAAGTCTCCGAGGTCGCGCGAGCCGCCCATGTCGGCTAGGTAGTCTTTCTTCATCTTGATGAAGAATCCGGGGCGGCGATCTTGTATCCCCGTGTGCATGGGGAAGTATGGTGAATGGAGTGGTTTGAGGACGAGTCCTTCTTGCCGCTGTGCGAGTGCCAGGGCGAATGCTTGCTTTAGATCTGTCATCCCATCGCTGGATTTCTTGAAGTCTAGGAGCGTCCATTGTGATCGCATGGATCGCCCAGGTATGGTATCGACCAGGTCCCGCAGGACGTTCCGGCGATCCTGGAGGGTCTTCCGAAGCACCGGATCGTCGTCGAGGACGAGGACGTCGAAGAAGACAATCATGAGGTGCTCCCACTCGTGGGGCAGCGAGTCCTGCTTCGCCCCGAAGGTCATGCCGGAGCGTGAAATGTGCTTTCGAATCTTGGAGAATGGTAGGATCTTGCGTTCTTTGTCACTGTAGAGGACCATTTCGCCGAGGATAACGCAGTTTCTGCGGATTCTGCAGGTTGTCTGGCCGAGCCTGAGGGCGGAGCGAATGACCCTACAAAGGGCTTTGCGGTCGTTGGTGGCGTCTTTGCCGTTCTTTGAGAAGATTTGAATGGGGGTTTTCTCGTCATCTAGATTAACGTGTATCTCGCAGTACTCGCCGTCGTATTTGATTTCGGCTGCCCATGCTTGCTGGTTCAGCATATCGAAACAATGCTTGAACGACCATGCTTTGTAGAAGGGCGGACGGCCTATTTTCACGCCCACTACAGGCCTCAGTTTCCACGCAGCTTCCAGACGCATCCGTTGCTCGTCATTACTCGGAGGCACAGGAGGATATTCCTTGAGTTCACTCCTGAGTAAGCTGAAAGCTGCACCAAAGTCATTCTGAAACTTCAGCAGAAGTGGGAGTAGGAAGTGGTATCTGCCAAACACAAACGTCTCGTTGAGATTCAACGTGCAGTGATCCCGCAAAATGAGCCTTACAAACCACTTTGCCTCCCATGATTCAAGCTGAATGAAGATATTCTTGAGCTCAGTATCCGTGGAAAACTCCTTTTGCTTCTTCCGTCGTGTCGCAATGTCTGAGAACCTACACTTCGCAGCTAGCTGCACGAGAAGTCGGTCAACTCGACTTATAGAGATCGGTTTCTTGTTTTTCCAGGTATTGTCCCATGGCCGCATTGCCCTCTCCACGTAGACGCCCAAGTCCCCGTCCTTGCTCTGCTCCCACCTGTCGTATACCAGTCTCTGGGCATTGTTGAATTGAAGTAAGTTTGCGATTTTCCGGGCAAGTGACGGTGTTTTGAATCCGTGGACTCTGTCTTTCCGATGATGAGGGAAGACTATGGAGAGGAAGGCTCCGCCATCTGTTGACGGATGGTCGATGGCTTTCCGGTGTTCGGCGAACCAGCCAGCTATAAAGTTTCGGACCTTCTTTTCTTCTTTGTCGTTTGGTGTTCCGGAGGTGATGGTCTTGGTCTTGACGATGTTCTCGACTCCTTGGAGTAGTTGGCAGACATGGTTGAAGGACAGCTCCTCAGCGGTGGAGACTGAAGTTGCTGTTACCTGCTCGGAATTCTTTCGCATGGATGACTGTGACTATGGAGTACAAGGGGAAAGGAAGGTCCGAAGAAGAGGCAGTTAAGTATGTATGTTGAAAGAATCGTCCGGCTCTCTCTGTTTAGATAAGGCTGCATTGAGGAGGTCGATGGATATAGCTCTGATAGGGATAGGATGAGTCGGCATGAGAAGGAAACAACAGCTGTGAATATTGGTAGGCTAAAGTGATACAGATGCGGTGTCCTTGTTGTCGTTACACGGAGTGATGCCCGGTGTCCAATATAATAATGTTCAATAACCAATTGTTTCAAGCCAGAACCGTGGAGTCGGGAGACAGTGAAGACAGGGTGAAATGATTTACCTTCAAATGTTTCATAGCACTCCGGATAGAAATGTTCCTCTGTTCGTCGTAATATAAAGACACTCGGGTCTTGCTCACCGATAATAGTGCTACTGATGATATGCTGCCCCTTCCTGATGCGCGTGACACGGACTCGACTTTATCGTACAATTGACAAGCTTTTCAATTGTAATACTCCACATAGACCAGTGAGTAACGACGTAATACGTGCTGCTCGGAGTGAATCGATATAATTATGTTTCTGAGATATATCGACGCGTGAATCGCACTGTTCAATTCACCCGTATCTCGAGGTGCGCGCTAATCTACGTGTGCACGGGATCATCGGGTAGTCGGCATGTGTATACCCCGATTTCCACCATTCGCTGGAACAGTGCTCCGTACAGTACACTTTGTATGATGTAACCGTAAGCTCACCCCATTCCTTAACTTACTCGTACGAAAGGAAGGACAAATAAATATATACAACTATTACCCCACACCTGAACCCTCTATAGCACTCCGTACACACATTCACAAATTGAGAGGTGATCATATCAAGCAATCATGTCTGAGAAGGATCCGCGATCAGAAGACTCCAAGAAGCGGGACCTGATCTCTCGTGGCGATAAGACCTCGACGCCAGTTGGAAAGGCCGCGTTTGCGCTCCTTCGAGCACTCGATCCAGTCTTCCAGTACTCGGTGTTGAAATATGGAGTCGGCACTGGCCTCCTGCACCGCGTGGGCCTGAGGACCTTACCACCAGGACTACCCGCGCATACGGGCATAGCATTGATCGATGGCCTACAGTTGTCGCCGTATCGGCTTGTACTCGTGGGAATGGCAGTTGGCAGTGCGATCAAACATGACATCTGGATCTCAGCATTGTCGGAAGAGCCGATGAGCATTCAAAATGCGTTTATCATCGGGGTGTTCAATCTCGTCATGAACAGCCTGAACAGCTATGCCTTCCTCGCGTCCATCACCTCTGCGTCACAAGAATCTACATTTCCGCAGCCAGCACTGCTCGTGGGTAGCGCGCTGTACACGACTGGCATTTTCACCGAGCTCATCGCTGAGATCCAGCGAAAGCGGTTTAAATCCGACCCTGCGAACAAGGGAAAGCCATATACCGGCGGTCTGTGGAGCCTCGCGAGGCACATCAACTACGGCGCATACACATTCTGGCGAGCTGGCTACGCCGCTGCTGCCGGAGGATGGGTTTGGGGAGCCGTGGTGGGAGCGTTTTTCTTTTCTGACTTTGCGACCCGCGCGGTGCCCATCTTGAACGAGTACTGTGCGAAGCGCTATGGTGAAGATTGGGCGAAGTTCGAGAAGCAGACGAAGTGGAGACTGATTCCGGGTGTTTACTAAGAATGACATCCCTTCTAGAATGCATGAAAGCCCATGCGGCTCTTCTGCATGCCAGATTGTTCCTCATGTATGCGCGGGATGCGAAAGTCTAGACTTGTCGGAGAAAACCCATTCCTTCGTAACAACAAACATCTTGTCGTATACTAGTCACCCCATAATCGATTGTGCTTCGCTGTGCAAGGCTTACTCATAGTCACCTCATGCATGGAACGCACCTACGGTATATTAGCGACGGAACATTCGAGCTGAATAAACGGCCCAGTAGGTTCAACATCGATCGGAAAAAGAGAGCGAAGGAGCAAAACGTGCACGCCACGCCAGATCGGTTGCCGTTGCGCGACCGCTTGACCCGAACAGGTAGTCGACGATTACGAAGGCCATGCACGTGCCGTAGTCGTAGAACAAAGTACGATTTCTTCCTTGACTATAATGCAACTTGTTATCTTCACCGAGTTCAAGCCTATTGTGAATCGTCCCATCTCTTATGTACTCTCGATCCTGGAGGAGTTGGGCTGAGGGAAGTTTGTCGAGGGTCATGCGATAGATGTTAGGTTAGTAGGCTAGCATCTCTGGGGTACTGGAGTAATACGATGATATGGAGAGGAGAAAAGAGCGAAAAAGGAAATCAGTCGAAGAACATGCAATCGCATGCGCAATAATAGCGTGTTGGCGGTTGAAGTAAGTGTGAAAACTATTCTCTGACATACGTAAACCGACAGGTACGCAGTTACGTCTTTCAGCTCACCTCGACGACTCGATCGGATCCTCTTTTCTTGAGCTATTGTTTGATATGCCATGATGCGGCGCATGATAGAAATAGAATTTTCTTTTTCGGAATCAGAGAATTGATAGACATGACGGGGACCACAAAACGTTGGAGCATCAGATAGATTTATTGAAACTCGTTGTTAGTACCCTTTTCGCGGTAGGCTGTGTACAATATTAGAAACCAGACTCGAGGACGGCCCGTTGTGAGACACAAAGCAGTAAAAGATCAGCGACCCTGCTTGCGTTCGACGGGCTTGAGAGTGAAGCGACGAAGCTGACAGGCAGGCTGGACCCTGACGAGCAAATCCTTGCACTCCTCCCTCAAGCCCCAAAGTGGCAAGCGTACGGTGCGTGGGTACTTTGTTCCGGTCACTACGAGCACTTTGCCATCGTCTCCTCCCACGGGCCATCACAAGCATTCCCATCCCCACAATGACCTCAATTGTCGGGATAAACGCTGCTTGAGAGGAAGAAGAGATTGTTTAGGAGGTGGCTATGCGGTATTTGGATCGACGGACGTCGCGATGCAGTGCAATATTGACGCTTTCTCCGAAGCTGAGAATTATGGAGATCCGATTTGGTGAAATGCACGAGAAGCAGTAACGAGAATCATTCAACAGGCGAAAAGGCGTGAATGCCAGGCACGGTGTGCTACAAGATTTCTCCAGTTGTTCGACGCGGTCAGAACTTGGCACGCGATTGCACGAGAAAGGAAGGTCCATACTGCACTCGACAGTGAAAGTGCAGGCATGGCATAGTCAAACGCTGTAGAACCAGACTACAGTCTGGAGTACCTTGGTACTCGTAGGGCTTGAGCCTCGAGGCATGCGCTGTCGACGAACATGATCAGATCGGACATGTGCACACGCCCACATGGGCAGATGCATCACTGCCCTGCAGACATGATGCGTGAGAGTCTGAGCGGGGCTGTTCCGATTCTGAACATGGCCGGTGAAAGAGAAACTTATTGAGCGAATTGCCCCGCGACGAGCAGCGACAGGACGCTGTAAGCATCACATCTCAAGTCGTCACATCCACACGATAGTGCAGCTGTGAAACGATTGCGATCTTAGCGAGAGGAAGAGGAGGGGTGGATGGGATGGGATCTAGTCAGAGCACGGGAATTTGGTCGCCAAAGCAGAAATGTGCCGCTCCGATATGGATGGCACGAAAGGTTTATCGATGTTGTTGCATTTCGCACCTGGATTGAAGTGGAAATATTGGACCGATGGATTGATACGCATAGTCGCATACAATAGTCGTCAACACGAGAAGCGCAGCGCCGCACATGACGGCTCTTTCGGTTTAAAGAGGACCGGTACGAGCAAGATGGTGTAGCGCTACGCTACCTTAACAATCCCAGCGCAGCGCAACAATGCAACGCATCCGACCGTGGGCCTGCCTGTTGGTGCCAAAATGACAATGTAACCAAGTTGATCTTCGCACGAGGCAGTCAGCCAGTCAGTTCGTCGCATGGCCGCCCAGTCGTCGGATCTGCCATGGCATGCCTGGTCGCTGTTGTCGGCGCCTCCTGGCAAGTCCCAAGTCCCAAGTCGCAAATCCAAGTCCAAGTCTCACGTCCAAGTTTGAATCTCGCTCGCTCCCATGCGGCGCCATTATTCGGAGGAAATATGCAATGTGCCATGTAAGCCATGAGGGCTGCCGAAGGCGAGAAGGGGAATGGCGACATCTCCTTTGCAGGAATCACAGAGATCCAGCTGAGACGCAACAGGGCTACGTACAAGTTCTACAGGCGCACGCAGGCGCAATCAGGAACGTGCGTGATTCGATGGTCAGGGTTGATGCAGTTCACCAGGGCAGGGCAGAGGCCAGCATGGATGTAAGTTGTTGCAGGGGCCATGATCAAGGCCCTAACGAGGGATGCATGCAATACGGTACGGAGCACAGAGGTAAACTCTTAGTTGGCGGGAAGAGAATAAGAGTGGGAAAAGAGAACAGAGCAGAAGTAGAGAGGTAGAGGCAGAGGCTGAAGACACCATACTGGTGCATTGGTGAAGAGCGGGGCGTGGTGACTAGTTACCTCGCACTACTGAGTGGGGGAGAAAGAGGAAGAGGTGGAGGATGCAGAGAACGTACGAGGTAACTGCGGTACGGTTACGGTTCGGTGCGGTACATGATGCCTCATAGTTGTCTCGTAAGAGGTTGTTGCAACACACATTCCAATCGTATCGCTCCCCGACACCCCCAGTTGAGATGAGATTTTTGGTACTCCGTCGTTAGTTAGAGCATCAAGTCGGGGTATTTTCTTGATCTCTGGGAACTCGTAGGGGGAATTCCAAGTTTGGGGCCATGTTGAGATGACGCCGTCGTCTATAGCTTGAGTATATTATGAGCCAGGAATCATCGGATGATGATTTTACCTACCAGTTCTACCGTTTACCTGAGGGGAGTACGGAGTAAACTCAGTAGTTAGAGTATGTGCACCGTGACCGTTGATTGATCATAGACGGAGGGCGAATATCAAGAAACGTCATAGTGGGCCACCCGTGGAGATGCGATCAGTGATCGTTGATCGTTGATGGATTGTTCAACAGCGGCTTTTTGCTACAGCCACTACCACTCACTACCACTACCCGACAATCGAATTGACTTCCATTGTTCTCCTGATTAAAGCACTTTGTTGTCTTGCAGCATACCTGGTTTTCATTTGTCCTGCTGTTACTTGTCACTGTTGCAGGATCCCATTGTTACTGTCATCATTCCCATTAACTATTCTTCCATATATTCATAAACCCAGCATCAGCTCAGCAGCCAAAACGGAGAACAGTCAGGTCCAATTATTGCCCAACTTGGAATTGGAAAGGTTGTCCTCTCCGCCATCCACATCCATCTGGCTGACAGACCAGACAACTCAGCGCGTACCATTCCATTGCAATCATATCATCTCATCATCCTCCACCTTCGTGGCGTTTCCAGCCCATTCCCCCTCTTCCTCTTTTTTGCATCTGCATTTGCATTTGCATTCACCATTGCAGTTACTGGACTCCACCACCTCCGCCTTCTCCTCTTTTGGCTGCTGGATAGCGCAAGCCAGCTCTTGTTCTATTCCCAACCCTTCATCCCTACCGCATCCCATCCCATCCCATCCCTCCACCACCACCTTCTCCTCTCCAGCGGCTCGGCGATCGGCCGGAAAGGTTGTCCAAGGTCATCCCACGTTCCCGTACTTGACTCGAAACAGCGACTGGCAGGACTAACCACCATTACCATCGAGTACCAACCATTATCACAATCAGAACCATTCCCACCACCAAGACGAAGACGAGGTCGACGATACCTGCATCTATCTCTCTGCACGCACACCTACTTGCATCACACACCTGAACAAAAAAACTCACCACTTCCTGAACAGTAGTAGACTCTGTTCAGCTTCTCGCCTGTTGCGAGTGAAGTACTACCAAATCCCAGCCTATTATTGTACATCGTGTCATCGGCGGTTCTTGTACATACATTTGTACTTGTGGGCTTGCGAGTATTATACTTACTTGTGCTTGCACTGATACATACACACTGGAGTCTGGTAACCATCCACACTATCACGGTAGACGCAAAAGCTAGTCGTCTCACTGGGAGTTATTCCGCTCGCCCTCCTCCTCCTCTTCCTCCTCCTCCTCTTCCTCCTCCTCATCTTCTCTTGCGCTCTCCATTCTTCCTCTTTGCTCTAAATAAGTCTTTTCACGTTGAGCTACGAGTACCACCACTACTCGCTGATCGGTACATGGTACACACCCACACCTTAGACTTCCGCCTTACCCTTACGCTACAAGTACACTACGCTACATTCTACAAAAGTACACCACCACCATCAGACTACGCCGGATCCATCTCATCCCACCTCATCCGTCGTTTGGTATCGTACGCCCGCTTCTGCTGCCCGCTCGCCCTACGCCGCTTTTCGCTCCTACCGTCGTCTACTTACGCGACGCTACTCAGACGCTACCGACCTGCCTACAGGCTACCTGCCTGCCTGCCTACCTGCCTTTCCCTCCTACCCTAATTATTACATATTCATCAATCCTGCCCGCCCGTCGCCCACGCCGCCTGTGCAGAGATCTGATCTTTATAGATCAATCCCCCGATCTGACAAACTCTCTCTCTTCCCTCTGAACAGGATTACACATCTCACTACTCGGGCTCTTGACCCTCTACAAATTTTCATCACCAATTCCACATCTGCCCTCGCCTGAAGTTGGACATCATCGCCGAATACGGACTCGGGTGGAGTGCTCGTAGTAGCGGTTGCGGCATCTTCTTCTGAATTCCATATTTTGCAGGCACTGCGCACTGCACGCCCGGACGCAAGCGGCTACCCACCCACTCAACCTCCCACCCACCAGGGCCACCACCCACCAACCCAAGACTCCAACAGAAACAGAAACAGAAACAAACACCTTTACTCCTCCTCCGTCCTGTGTATACATCAACCCAATCTTAACCACCTCACTGCGCCCCGCCCCTTCGAGAGAAGAAATTGTAGACAAGTACTCCCTCCGTACTTCCCTCTACCCATCGTCACCCGCCTCAACCGGCCATCCAGTCGATTCACCCCCATCGCTCGCGGTCCGCCTCTTTGAGAGTCAATCCAGGGCGACGTTGGACCCTTAGTACCCCGTACCTACCGCAACACATCGTACATTTCTCACTCCTCGCATCTTTTGAAACACGCCTGTCGATCCGGGTCCTATCACCTCAATCGACGTCAGGCAAGGAGCGGCACCGACAACAATCTCATCCCACTCCACGCACGCACGCTCCTCGACAACAAACATGTCTGCAATGACTGCACAACCCACCCAGCCTTCCTATGGCGTCCCGCTCCATCGCAAACCCGTTCCACCTCCCGGCACTGCCGTCCGCCCCGCACAGCAACACTATTCACCCGATACAGCTCAGCTTCAAGGTCATTCACGTACCAGGACAACTTCTTCTGGTGTCTTCCCCATGGGTCCCGGTACCTCCGCTCCTCCCTCCGCATACGGCACTCCCCAAGGCACAATGCAGTCCTCCCAGTACCCTACCCAGTACCCTCCTCAGCAAGTCCTCAACCAGGGCACCCGCCGCACCCTCTCGAATGCTACCTCCTCCTCCACCTCCACCAACGGCACGCCGAACCGCTCCAACAGTGGTGCTCTACGCCGATCATCGTCCTCGCGCTCGGGAAATTCCCCTTCCTCCTACGTCGCTATGATGCGGAAACAGAAGGCCACAGTCTGGTGCGATCGCGCCCAGTATGAAGACCCACGGATATTGGCACAGCAGCGAGCAGCGAAGCTGCGTGCGAACATGGAGGTGGTAGGTGGGCCGCACCACGCCCCGCCACGGAATGTCTCTGGCAGCTCGAGCGTCGCCGCAGGTGTGCGATCCAAGATCACGCACAGGGCACCCAAGGCGTCGCTATATGCACCAGCAAACATGGCAGGCACCGGTGTTCCAATGCGTTTGAGTGCCACCGAGGTCGACGAAGGGGATAGCGAAGACAATGGCTCTACACACGGACCTTACCATCAACGCACAGGTTCTGGTCGCAGTTCCCTGGGCTCCGGCCGTCGCGTTGCATATGCCAACCCCGCTGGCCGACTATCGACAAGTTCCACACCTCCCAATGGCATCAGTACATCCGCAGAAGGCATGGAAGATCTTGCTGAGGAGGAAACGCCGATGCCTGGCTACACTCCCACCAACTACTTCGAACACACCAAGACTGGATTGTCGGGAGGAAGTGGAAGCAGCAGCGGCGAACGAAACTTTGGTGATGTAGGACAGATGCCCCAAGGCCTGCCGAAGCCAGCCACGGAGAAGAAGACATCGGACGATCTTCACCGGAGAGGCAGCGTTGACGAACGAACCACGACCATGAGCAACACACGACTCTTCATTGCGAATCCGGATCTCAGCGATTGAGATCAGAACATCAACCACCACCACAAAAATATATTTCACAACTTCTCCATGAGATACCCGTCTTCGATGTACGTGGGCATGCTTTTATCCTCTTTATCTGCTTTTGGGCAAAGAAATTTTCTATATGTTTTTCCTTTCCCTGGTGTTCGGACACACTCTATGCATCCTCTCGTTGGACTCTAGCGGCATCGGCTTGTTTTATTCGGGCCTGGCTAGCTCTGTATAGATCTTTCTTTTATGTTATGATTTCCCTCTTTTCCTTTCCGGGTCGCGCGTACCCAGGCGGTCGCTCGCTAAATTTGTATATATACATTGGTATCGTGGAAGTTGCATGATTTTAAGGATAAGGACTATATGGGAACCAAGAACTCACATATATATAATAATGAATTGCTGTTCTCCATAACCTGATTGGTGCCTCGTGCAGGCAATTCTGACCTCTTCTATTCTACTGATCGCCAGCATTCAATTGATCATCGCCCGCAATTGCTCCTCTCAGGCGCATCATTGCTGTAATTAGTCGCGCGTCATATTTCTCTCGGGATGCCGGGATGGCATAACTCCGCCCACATGAATCCTCCTCGAAAGCATGTGATCCCACCAGGCCACCAAATTACGAATACTAAGTTCGTCTAACCGTCTTCATGATAATTTACGCGTGGGCCCGTTCCTAGTACGGCTACGACAATCATCCGCCGCTCATTCGATTGAATGTAGCGGTGGCCCGTGCGCCCAATTCAGGGACCTCCATCTATAACAATGTGTGACACTCTCTCCACAACAAAAAGTCGCAAGCCCGCCTCGCTCGATGTGAGCATTTGATTCGAATCGATTTCCTTCCGAGAGGATATACGATACAGAAGGACGCAGCAACCATGGCGCCGCCCAATGGCACGCACCAGCGCCACGCGAAAGCGAAGGCCAACGGGGTGGTTAAAGGAAGCGATTTCGTGAACGCTACGACGGACCGCTCGAGGTGGCGGTTGAAGGACGACAGAGGGTGCCAGACGTGGCATTATCTGGAAACCGACGAGGAGGTAGAGGCGTGGCCGCAGACCGCGGCGGATAGGTATTTCCTAGGTATCGAGACCGTGAGTTAGGATTTATTTGCTTTTTGTGAATCCGACGACAAGGCGATGAAACTGTACTGATGGATACGTAGGGACTCCCGAAACTGCAACCCGCAAAGACGCCCCTCGAGTCCGCTTCCAATGGCCTCGAGTTCTTCTCCAAGCTCCAGCTGCCGCCTGGGAACTGGGCCTGCGAGTACGGCGGTCCCATGTTCCTGCTCCCGGGCCTCGTTATAACGTGGTATGTCACCGAGACGCCGATTCCGAAACCCTGGGCGATCGAAATGAAGAACTACCTCTTCGCGCGGCAGAATCCTAAAGATGGTGGGTGGGGTCTGCACATCGAAGGGGAGAGCAGCGTTTTCGGAATCGCGATGAACTACACGACACTACGACTGTTAGGCGTTGATGCGGACGACGAGCGCATGGTGAAAGCGAGGAAGAGGCTATGGGAGCTCGGGGGTGCGGTGAATGGGCCTCACTGGGCGAAATTCTGGTTGAGCGTGTTGGGAGTGTTCGAGTATGAGATCGTCAATCCGGTTCCCCCTGAGCTGTGGTTGCTCCCTGATTGGGTTCCGATCTCGCCCTGGAGGTGGTGGATTCATATGCGGCAGGTCATGCTGCCCATGTCGTACATATGGTCGAAACGCTGGAGTTATCCGCTGAACGACTTGACGAGGCAACTGAGGACGGAACTCCTGACCCAGCCGTACGAGACGATCAACCTTGAGAGCCACCGTAACACGATCTCTCCAATAGACAACTATCACCCCAAGTCCTGGGTTCTCCGTCTTTTGTTCTGGCTTGTTATTCATATATGGATGCCCCTCCTCCGGCCCAATTGGATGAAGAAGCGGGCTGAGGAATGGACGTGGTGGCTCATTGAGGCTGAAGACGAGAACACATCGTACTCTAATCTTGGGCCTGTCAACGGGCCCATGAATACCCTTGCTGCTTATATTCAGCTTGGCCCGGATTCGGTACCGTTCAAGGAGCATTTGAAGACGCTGCCCGAGTTTCTCTGGATGAAGGACGAGGGCATGTTGATGAACGGAACCAATGGCGTGCAGACCTGGGACACTTCTTTCCTCGTCCAGGGTGTTCTGACTGGAGGTTTCATTGAAGACCCGAAATGGAAGCCCATGCTCATCAAGGCAATGGAGTTCCTGGAAGACCAACAGATCTTGGAAGAGTGCCGCGACCAACACAAATGCTACCGCCAGCAGCGCAAAGGCGCATGGGGTTTCTCTACCCGGAAGCAAGGCTACACAGTATCCGACTGCACCTCCGAAGGCTTCAAGTCCATCCTCACCCTGCAAAAGCACCCCACCGCCAACTACCCACAGCTCATCAGCGAGCGACGCTGCCTCGACGCAATCGACGTCATCCTAACCATGCAGAACGAGGGTGGAGGCTGCGCGTCCTACGAGCCCACCCGCGGCTCCGAGCTCCTCGAGCACCTCAACGCCGCCGAGGTCTTCGGCCGCATCATGATCGAATACAACTACCCAGAATGCACGACCGCATGCGTGACCGCCCTCCACATGGCGCAAAAGTACTACCCAGACTACCGCGCCAACGAAGTCAAGACCTTCAAGGCCGCCGCCATCGAGTACATCCGCCGCTCGCAGCTCCCCGACGGCTCGTGGTACGGCTCTTGGGGCATCTGCTTCACGTACGCGACCATGTTCGCCGTCGAGTCCCTCTCCTGCGGCGGCGAGCACTACTCCAACAGCGAGCGCGTGCGCCGCGCTTGCAAGTTCCTGCTCGACCGCCAGATGGAGGACGGCGGTTGGGGCGAGACGTACAAGTCCTGCGAGCTGGGCGTGTACGACCAGCACCCGGAGAGCCAGGTCGTCCAGACCGCATGGGCCGTCATCGCGCTGCTCGAGTCCGACTTCCCGGACCCGGAGCCCCTGAAGAAGGCGCTGAGGTTGATCATGAGCAGGCAGCAGCCGAATGGCGAGTGGAAACAGGAGGCTATTGAAGGTGTCTTTAATAAGAGTTGGTGAGTTATTCCCCTATTCCCTTTTCCCATACCATCCCAACGTCGAAATAGAAACCACAGGACTGTTTGATCTGATACTAACCCCGTCACTTTATAGCATGATATCGTACCCCAACTACAAATTCATCTTCCCGATCAAGGCATTGGGCATGTTCGTCCAGAAGTTCGGCAACGACGCTTTACTTTGATAGATCACAATCGCCGGTGGCGATTATACGAATCGCGGAGCTGTGGAAACCAAAATAGATGGTTTAGACTCTGTAGTCATGTGTAGTACGTATAATGTATAATCAACGTCCTCGAAAGTCGACTCGTCTCGACTTGACTTGACCCAGCCATCCGTCTTCCAATTCCCACCAAGCCACTATATCATGATTGATGCATGTGCTGTGCCATACACTCTACCCCCTAGCCACGCAACACTTGAACTCTACTCTAATAAGGCTTATACCTCCCCTTCTCCCCTCCAGCATCCCCCTTCCTCTCCTTCTTCTCCCTCCTCCTCTCCTTCCTATCTTTCTTCCTCTTTCCCCCATCATCCCCCTCGTCATCAACCTGCATCGCCTCGTCGCCGTCTCCCGCAGACGACCAATCGCCCTTCCACGCGCGCACACAGCCGTCCTCGCCAACTGTGTACGTCGTCTGTGACTACAATCCCCCCTTCTCGTCAGCAAAATGAAAACAACAATGTGATTGAAGGAAGGGAGAAGGCTTACATGAGTATCTGTAAACAAATCCCGCACCACCTCCCCGCCATGCGCGTCCGGAAGCACGATCTTGCGCGCCACGTCGTACGTGTAGTTCAGGGGCTGATCGGCCGACGAGGGCGGTTGGAGGGGGATGAGTGATAGTGTCGATGTGCTTTCGTTCCCGCATTGTCAGCAAGCCAATTCCCTCTCCTCCCTTCTCATACAGCTGTCTTCAGAAACAAAAGGGGGAACGGAAAAGGGGAAGAAGACAAACATACCTATGCTCCCCAGCCACCACATACGCCTCCCCGCCCACCCAATGCATCCCAACCAAATACTCGCACCCAAGCCCCTCCCTCACATCCCCCCACGCCACGGGCTTCGGCTCCTTCACGTCCTCGTCTGCGCTCTGCAGCGCGTGGAAACTCACCGTCTCGTCTGTGCCGATCGCGAACATAGTCGTCGATTTCGGCGACGTGGAGACGAAGCCTGCGTGCGCGACGGCGGACCCGTGGTTCGCGACTTGGAACAGCGCGTCGTCCTCGTCCGGCACCGAGGTGTCGAAGATGGAGATGAGGCCGTCGGTTGAGGAGGTGAGGAGGAGGGTTGGGTGCGAGGGGTGCAGGTGGAGCGAGGTGATGGTGTCGGTGTGGGATTCGGTGTAGGATTGGAGGGGGGAGGTCGGGTTGCGGTTGTCCCTGGGTTTTTTTGTGAGTACAATAGTTCTTACGGTGTTTGGAAGTTGGTGATCTTCTTTTCTTTCGATTTGAGGTTGGGGTTAGGGGTGATGGGATAAGATGGATAGACGTACCAGATGAGAACGGGGGACTCGGCAGGACCGTCATTTGGGTTTTCGATTCCCGCGGCGATGAAGTTCCTCGAGGCGTCGCAGACGAGTGAGGATATCAATTTGTGTGCTGTGTGGATTGTGTTAACCATGTTCTGTTCTCTGACTATCTCTTGTCTTGGGGGTTTATATCCCACATCCCCAGATATATATCGTCTATATACTGCGGAAATATTCATAAGAGCAACAGAAAGAGAAAAAAATCACATACGACTCTGAATCTCCGACACCTTCCCCCTACTCCTTGCATCCCAAAACCTAACAAACCCATCCCTCCCCGCCGTCGCCAGCAGATTCCCCTCGGAGCCCTCGACTCGCTCCAGGCACGTGACGCTCGCATTCGCGTTCTTGATGACGCCGTCCGCGACGAGGTTCAGGGAGATGGGGTCGAAGATCCGGAGGGAGTCGTCGGACGCGATGACGGCGAGGTTGGCGGTCTTGGTGTAGTTGTGCGGGTATTCGCGAGGGCTGGTGGAGATGATTTTGTAGATGTAGGTTTCCGGGGGGAGGGAGAGGGTGGTCTGGTGGATTTGGGCTAGGGTTGTCATTGTGTCCTTTTTTTAGGGGGATTATTTGGGGGTCATGTGGTTTGGTTTAGGGTTGGAATTGTTTTGATATTAGGTAGATTGTTGTGGTGACTTGTAGGGGTGATGATCTGGGTTTAGATGTCGTTGGTGGGTGAGGTGGTGAGAATTTGCGTGGTGCGGTGGTCTACTCCGTACTGTCTGTCTATCACGTTCAGTATGATGGCATTGTGATTGATGATGATGGGTTGATCACTCAATTAGTCCTTTCGCCTTCAGTATTTATGAATGAAGATGTCGTGGATGAAGATTTTGATTGTAGAAGAGCTTCTCGTGAAGTTTTGTCCTGCATTTGCCTGATCAAGTTATATGCCGGCATAGTAGCAGCTGCCAGGAGTCCGGCTTCGATCAACTTATCAAAGGCATCAATAGCTCAGCACGATCGCACATGACGCAAGAAGTATCTGAGCATGTGCATACTCCATTCAATAGGCTTCACACATGCATGCAGGAGTGTGCCCCGACTGAACACACAAATTGAAGCAATAGCTACGAAGAACGAAAAGCATGTAACCCTGGATATGAAACGCACTCGATCACAATTTAAGATAAAATGCGCGATTAACTACGGGTATTCCTTCAAGAAACTCTCATGTCCTTATTCCACTGACATAACGCCAGCAGACAGGCCGTCACTCCAGCAATTCAGGGCTCATTGCGGCGATATCGAGGTTCCATGAAGGAAAGAAAGAAAACAGGGAGGACACGCACGAAGAGATTTCGGATGAGGTGGATGTCGCTTGACTAAGCCAGACGCTCTGATTGGTCGCTCGGCAACTCCATCGATGGGAACAACCGAGAACGCTTGATCGTGAATGTCACTCTTCGACATCACCACAACCGCACTCACCCGGTACTCCTCTCCACTCCATTCGCAGCTCAATTGCGCCTCCCGTCGAGCAGCATGGCCTCTCAACGCATCTTCCAGCTCGGCCTGCGACGAGCAGCTGCCGCTCCCGGCTTCACCAGGTTCCAGCCCGCCGGGCGCATGGTACAGCGGAGGTATGGAAGTCCATGACGAGCCCACGGAATGGGGCAGATCGAAACAACCACCCTTACAACAACACCAAACTAACCATTCAAAAAGGCTCGCAGCAACACACAACGTATCCTCCGCCGAGGGCCAGGAAATCCTCGTCAAGCAGCGTCTCCAGCGACCCGTCTCTCCCCACTTGACCATCTACCGCCCGCAAATCACATGGTACGCATCGTCGTTCAACCGTATCACGGGAATCCTCCTCAGCGGAGGTCTCTACATCTTTGGTCTTTCATATCTCGCCGCTCCCGCTCTCGGATGGCACCTCGAGACTCCCTCGCTCGTCGCAGCGGTTGCGTCATGGCCCGTCGCCGTTAAGATTGCTGCAAAGGCCACCGCCGCTTTCCCCTTCTTCTTCCACAGCATCAACGGAATCAGGCATTTGACCTGGGATCTCGGTATCGGCTTCAAGAACAAGACCGTCATCCAGACCGGATGGACCGCTGTCGGACTTACAGTTGCTTTGGGAGCATACTACACTTTCGTCGGTTAAATCTAGGCGGACCCGAATAAAAGAAAAAGCTTAAAGAGAAGACAGGGAGGAGCGAGGACAAGATTCAAGTATGGAACTTGCTGTATGAGTCCAGTGGGGTCGCAACGCTGGGTAGGAGTTGCAATATATGGCTTTCTAGAACCAAGGCACTGCGATGGCCATGTACATTTATCTTTTTTTTTGTTTTAGTGCAATACATCAAACATGTTCAAAACAACAAATGACCAGAAGTAGCAAATCGTGAGATCCCTCATCGTCGCACTTTCAATTGCAATGGCTATTAGCTGTGGACCTAATTCCCTATCATCCAATCCGGCATTGAGTGAACAAGGCTAGCACGTGAGCCCGCGCGACCAACACGACCGGAGAATTAGAGACGATCTCACGACAGCCTAATTACAATGCATGGCCCAACGTCATCTCATGGAGGTCGCTCGAAGTGCCTTTCACGATGGCGTCGCGAGATTCAGAGCAGCATACTGGCTTGATGGATGATATTTACGATGTGAGCTGTCACTTTCCCCCCAATTCCAGGCACCTGCACCTAGGGCTATGGCGCGCTTTGGCTCCGCAACCCCCGGTCGCCCATGCAGATCCAGGAGCCTTCACACAACACAACATGCCAGACCTCCACTGACGCTACAAAACCGCAGGATCCCTCGCAGCTCTCGCAACTGCTTAGGCAGCGCGCAGGCAATCCCGACACATATCAAGCCTCCGACGCGACGGGTCACAGCCTCTTCATTAGCCCCAGCAAGCCCGCTGCCATTGCTGCGTCGGCCAACGAGCGCACCTCATTCCCAGACAATCACAATCATTCCCCGCAGCGAGTGAATGATACGACCGCTTTGACGCGCAACGCACCGTCTAGACGCGCCCCAGCCGATGTAAACTATGTCAAACCAAACCTCCCGACACACAACACCGCACCAGCAAGCGAATCCGCTCTAAAGCCCCGAGAGCGCGTTGACAAGATGTATCAGACGTTTAGTGGTGTAATGGATGGCCCAGGAGACACTCAGCCAGATAGCCAAATATACAAGGAGTGGACGAGTGGCATCTATGGGAGTGCTGTCCACGAAAATGTCCCTACCCATGGGTTTGGCCGCGAGGAGCATGATCAAGGGGCTGATTCGCTATCAGAGCCACAAGATGCTGTAAACTCCAGCCAGGAACAGCTCAGTCCTACCGTCACCAGCCCTACCATTGCTCCTGAAGATGAGAACATCAATCAATTCCAGCATGATAGTCTGGCTCCTACAAGTCCTCTCAAGTTCGAAACACCGGCTATGGCGGGGCGGAAGCGAACCAGTGATGGGCAGATGCTCAGCTCTGATCTACGTACAGTAACGCCTGGTACAACACTGACGGCTGCTGCTTTTTTTGGAGGAGGGAGTGGAGGTATCAAAGGCATGGGAAATGCAATGTCCCTTACGCAAGTGTTCAATGCTACTCAAGCCCATACATCGCCCATTGTGGAGGGTGTCAGCGACGACGCTGTATTCCAGCGACCTTCGCCAAACTTCACGGATGCTCGCAACTCTAGCCCTGTCCCAGTGTTACCTACGTCGAGCCCGATCAAGGCAGTCCACCTCGATCCTCTCCGATCTTCGAGCGAGCCGCGCGCGGCATATGTCACAATGAAGCAGTCGCAAGACAAGCGATCTCGTGTTGTTACTACTCGCGAGCACGACCACACAGAACAAGAAAGCTGGGACGAACCAAGCATTACAGAAAAGAGGGCTCTGGCTCGCTCTGCAAGGCATAAGCTCGATAGGGAAACGGGTAAAACATTCGCACAAGTCACAGCGCCGTCATCATCACCACCTCAAGGGCGCCGCAAATTGCGTTCAATCCCATCAGCAGGCAAGCTTTCGAGGTTACGAACTCCTGCGACATCCCGAAGTTCAAGACGGAATGCTTATGACGGACCGTATGATTGCGACGAGGTCTCATCGAATGAGCCATCACAACAAAATGCAGCCACTGTCGCTCGAATTGAAGCGAATGCAATCAATGAGCTTTCACAAGATGAACACTCGAGCTCATTGGGTGGCCCGGATCTGGGAACAAGAGTCCAGGTACCAAATACCTCCTCCCACCCCATTCGAACTCTTTCTGGTCGCTCAACCCGAAATACACCCCCTGCAAGTCCGTCCCTGCGATCTGAACGGAACCCACACTCCCGTCCTGTGAATGCCTCCCGCGATGTTCCACCTGGCTCACCAGAAAAGAGTAGCAAAGAAACAGAAACCATTATGGATTCACAGCCAGACTCTCGGTTATACGCACAACCCACCTCTCGACCCAAATCGCTACTGCCACCTTCTTCGCCCTCCACAAATCAGTACAGCATCGACCAGACGACTCTGGCTAGAAACACAGGATACACAAGCCGGGTTGTTTCCTCGTCCGTGCTCTCCATGCCGCCAAAATCAAGCACGCAAAGTGCGGGAAATACCACAGACGCTCCTCCTGATAATGTAGACAACGACGATCGTGTTCCAAGCAGTCCTCCAGCTATGTCTGTTGACGAAGTCGTGTACGACGAGCATGACTATGGTGAACATCAATCTGCAGGCGAAGATGAAGTTGATGTGAGGTCAGGTGATTCCGATACAGCAGACGAGGATGAAGACCTCCCTCAAGTTGGGCATAATGTTATTGTCGACGAAGACCAAAGTCTACGGGAACCGTCTGTTGGTAGTGATGCCATCCCTGAGTCAGAAAGCGTAGTCGATGAGGGTTCTGGCATGAATGTAGACCACCCTGACGAGGCGAATGTCAACAAAAGGCATGATGATGGCCATGGGAGGTCGGATGAGCCGAGTTGCTCAAGTCCAACAACCAAAGGTCTCAGCAGCCCCATGCACCAGCAGGATCAGCCTCCTTCCCGGATGCACCGACAATCTACAATCCCGGAATCTGATGTCATGGAAGACCAGCAAGGACACAAACTCGAACAAACTGTAGCTGCCGTGGATATACAAAATGATCAAGTCAGAGAGTCGACAGCTACTGGTGACAGCGTTTCCCGCCAGACTAATAGCACGGAGAATTTCCACACTGCTCATGAAAACCAATCAATTACGCGAACCGGGGTTTCGGGCAGCAATACGATTGACACGAATCGAGATGAGGGTAAACAAGGTCGGAAATTGCGCTCCCTCTCTGACATTGCGAACCAGGCTAGCACGCAGCAGTCCAACATAGGTGACGTCGAAATCCCGACATTGAGCGGTTTAAGCTTTTCGGAAGACATTGGTGATAAGAACGAGGTATCTTCGGCTGAGCCTTCGTTCATGCAAGAACCTGTGGTGAAGAAACGAAAAATTACCTACAAATCGAAGGCAACCCGCATATCCCCTTCGAAAAATGACAGGCAAGAGTCCCAAGATGCACATTCTCTAGAGAGACCGGAACCTCAAGTACACAATGTTACGGAGCCAGATGAAGTAAGCGCCATCCAACATGATAGTCCTGCAAAAGATGCGTCGAGGGAGGGCGCATTAAAGCCAGCCAAGAAGACAACGATGAAACCTCCCGCAAAAGAAGTTCTTTCGCGCGCATCTCCCAGGAATCGGGCGCCAAAGAAGTCTTCCGAGCGAGCGCGGACCATTCCAGAGACACCAAAGACCGATGCGCCTGCTTCACGATTCAAGGAAGGCGAAGAGCAAGCAGCCCCTATAGAAGAGACAACCAACCAGAACGAAGAGGAAGAACCCTCCGGTGACATATTGGTACCAAACAGAGTCATCGCATACTGGCCGAGTATGGGATTCTATCCTGCTACTTGCCTGGGTGCATACGATTCTCGCCATCTCAAAATCCGTTACGATGACGGTACCCTAAATTCACTAGAAGCCATCCAAGTTCGAACTATGCAATTAAGAGTTGGAGATCAAGTCAAGGTGGATGTTCCGGGTATAAGAAAGAACATCTACGTTGTCGCTGGCTTCAAGGATAAACTTGATACTGAGAGCCTAGGAGATTTTCCGTTGACTGACCAGTATGGCCATTTGACCATCGTACTCAAGCTGAAGCAATCTAGTACGGAAGAACCTATATCAGTGCCCATGGAAAAGATGTATCTTACAAACCAGTTATGGGGGAAATTCGGGGATCGACTATACACATTTGCCGCCTCGCGCTCTTCTACACCATCAGCTTCACGCGTTGGGACCCCAGCTGCTACTGTCGAGGAGCCAATCACGCCGTCTTTGCTGCGGAGGAGTCATACCGGCCTGTCTTTGCTTAAGGAGCTGCCCACCAGGGCTATGTCAGTTTCATCATCTAATCGTTCAAGTTCGGTATTTGCAAACATGGCGTTCGCAACGACATCTACCCAAGATTCATCTGGGGACTACAGAAATGGACTCGCTACCTTGATTACCAACAATGGCGGTCAAATACTTGAAGAAGGTTTTCATGAACTCTTCACTGCAACTGATAGCTCCGGGGAGCCTTCGGCCACAAACAAACAACAAGCAGCTTCATCGAGCTGGGATGGCCTGCTCGTCAAGGAGGAATACAAAGGACTACGTCTTGTCGCTCTAATCACAGATTCACATTGTCGATCCACAAAATTCATTCAAGCCCTGGCACTCAATGTCCCCTGTCTCCACGATCGTTGGTTGACTGATTCTATCAAGGCAGGCATGCCTCTCAATTTCAGCAGGTATCTTCTGCCGGCGGGCACGTCGATATACTTGCAAGGCGCAGTTCGCTCAAGGATAATGCCTTTGTATGACCCCGCAAGCGAAGAGGCGTCACTCTCGAAGATGGTGCAAGAGCGCGAGCTTCTCCTAAAGGGTCAGAACATCTTGTTGGTGACGGGCAAATCGAAGAGGGAGGCGGAACGAAAGAAGCCCTTTATCTTCCTGACCTATGCGCTTAGTCCAAAAGTTGTCGGGAGGTGTACTGATATCGCCAGCGCAGTAGAACTGCTACAAGACGGTAGATGGGATTGGATCTATGTCGATGGAGGCAAGGCTGGAGTAGACGAAACCGCTGCCACTCTTTTCGGTGACAAGAATCAGCGCCGCGTTGACGGCGCCACTGCTCCCAAAACGAAACAAGGGAAGAAGAGAAAGCAGAGCGCGAGCAACGACCGTGATGACAAAGGCAAAGACAGTACAGATTCTCTTATCCGCAAGGGTGAAGTCGGAGGGAGAACAATCCGCATCGTGTGCGATGAATTCATCGTGCAAAGTCTAATCCTCGGCGCGTTGGCGGAGGAGTGACGATAATAGCCCGAATGGTTTCGCGTTGCTACTTTTCAGCATACTTGGATGAGCACCGCCATCAGAAGCGGTCATTTTTAAAACATACCTGTGGCTGACAGGCAGCCATACATGTTCAATTTTTGGAACTTGTTGGACTTAAAGCGCGTGTTGCCGTAGACTTCTTTATAAGTTCTTGGATACCCAAATAGTGTAATTTACAATTCGAAGATCGCTACGAAGCAAACATACATTAGATACGCTGTGCACGGCATTTCAATCCGATCAAGCGCATATTTATACGAGTAGGGACAATTGTGTGGCCGTGCTTCAACCTAGATACACTCCCATCAACTGCTTCACAACTACCAATGTCCGCCTCGCCTTGCACATTTTAGGGCGAGGCGCAGCCACAAAGTAACAAAGTACCGCTTCCACAATCGTATTTCTCAAACAATGGGGGCGGTTCAGACCTGCCAAGCATAGCGATACCCTGCCCTCGAATTCCTATTTGGTCGTTGTAGGATCAAATACTGCAGCCTTGCGCCTAAGGCCCCCGATATCTAATCTTACCACCTAAACGACCCTTGCGGTCGGCAAAGTCATGCCATTTCAAGGGGAGGGTGATATTAGCAGCAGCGCGCGCCTTGTTCGTAGTTCTGTCGTTTTGATCTCGTTGTTCTCGCGTTGCATTTTCTGAGTCGATTTCTGTATTTTGTCTTTCCTACCGTCGACTATTGCTTAATTGGTAAAAGCTATTAGTACTTCCGAATAGACGATCTTTGGTTCGGAAGTATTTGGTACTTGAAGGTGTATTGTGAGGTTTCTCAATCGACCACAGTGGATAAGGGACATAATGTGTCAACGTTTCGGTGCCTTTGCGACGGCGCTGCTTGGATACTTCATCGGAAGGACTCTCGCAGTACCGACCGTGCAGGTCAAAGGTTCCAAATTCTTCACGAGTGAAGGAAAACAATTCTACATAAAAGGTGAGGAAAAATCATATCCTATACCACGACCATGTGGATACTAACAACTCGCGTCATTTCCAGGAGTCGCATATGCCGAACCTTCTGACTCCGACACAATGATCGACCGTTTCAACAGCCTCGTGGACGCCGACGCCTGTGAACGAGACGCCCAAATCATAGCAGACCTTGGAGCCAACGTCATTCGACCATACTCCGTAGACCCGACGCTAAACCACGACGCATGCATGAGCGCCTTCGAGAAGAAAGGCATCTACGTGATTGTAGACGTCCCCAGTCCCACAATATCGATCAACAGGCTCACGCCCGAATGGACGATCTCGATGCGGGATGAGTTCATGAAGGTGATTGACGGGTTCTCGAAGTACGATAATCTGCTTGCGTTTGTCGCTAGTAATGAAGTCATCACCAATGTGAATAATACGAAAGCGGCACCGTATGTTAGGGCTGCCATTGCGGATTTGAAGGCGTACCGCGATCTCCAGGGATACCGAAATATTCCAATCGGATACTCTGACGGTAAGTGAACGACCCGATCTCAAACTCTATATAATGGACAATCGCACTGACGTGGTATTTCTAGCGTTCGATGCATCTGTCCGCGAGGAGACTCTGAACTACTTCAACTGCGGAGATCAAGAATCTGCGGCAGACTTCTTCGCGGCGAACGTGTACACTTGGTGCAATGACGACGATACTATGGCTAAGACTGGCTATGACAGTCTATACAAAGAAATTGAGGGTTATTCGATACCCTATTTCTTCAGCGAAACTGGTTGTAACCAAGGGGGAAGCAGAAGCAAAGGACCCAACAGATCGTTCAAAGACCAAGCGGCCGTCCTGGGGCGCGAAATGAACGACCGCCTCTCCGGCAACATCATCTATGAATATTTCCAAAACGTGAACAACTACGGATTGGTCAGTGTATCAGGAACTAGCGTGAGCAAGTTTTCAGACTATTCGCGGCTGCAGCAAGCGTGGAAGACGTTGAGTCCAGATGGAGTGAAAAGCGAGGATTACAGCCCTACTCTCACCGCAAGGAGTTGTCCCACATCGAGGTCGGGCTCTTGGGAGGTGAATGCTAATGCAGAACTTCCCACTCTTGGGCTGAGTGGTGTTACGACGCCCTCGGCTCCAAGGTACACCAGTACTGTCTACCCCGGGGCTTCGGGGTCAAGTCTATCTTCGGGGGGCCCTACAGATTCGAACAAGGAAAACTCACCTGCGACCAATAAACCGAACAGCTCTCAAGGGGAGTCTTCCGGATCTTCACCTGGATTGTCCGTTGGCGCCATCGCGGGTATCGTCATTGGAGTTCTCGTTGTGGTGGGATTGATATTGAGTTTTACACTACTCTGTCTCTGGAGGAAGAGGAAGATCCGAAAGTTAAATGAAGGTCTCAAAGCCGCGTCTGGCCCACTGAACCCCGAATCTGACAAGATAGCGGTCGCTTCTGAGGACCCCGATGAACGAAAGACGTCGAGTTATTACGGATCGTCTTACGCAGAGCTGGAGCCTCAACACCGAGCTGCTGAGCTGGATCCTTCCCGCGGGTACGCTGCGCCTCTGCCGGCCAACGAGTTGTCCACACAGGGACCGCTAGGCTATTCAGAATTGCCCCCTGGTGGAGATACGTCACAGGTGTACATGGCTCCTCCAGTACAAAATCAGACTCAAACTGCGCCTGAGCCGTCACCGCATGTACAACGGCAAAGAGAGATTGAGATGAATTGGTTGGAGAGTGAAGAGGCAAGAATCAGGCAGAGGAGAGAATTGCTCAGGCAGCAAGGTGGTGGAAACTGAAGTACCGGCCAGTCCTCTGCGATTAGAAATGAACAAATATTAATTGAATACCCTAAAGCCCGGATCTATTAAAGTCTTGTGCGTATTAATATGTTATTTTGATAGACGTGGGTACATCTTGGTTTCTTGTCTTCTATATCATATTTTGCCTCGTTACAGTTTAACTCCTTCTCTCCTGTTCTTCCAACTTTCCGCGTCTTTACTCGCCCAATCTCGCAGAACACGTCGTTGAATCTTTCCACTCGGAGATTTTGGGACCTCATCTATGAATACCACGCCACCAGTCAGATGCTTGTGTTTAGCAACGCGGCTTGCCATCCACTTCTCGATATCCCATTCGGTTGAAGCATTCTTATGCTCCGCCTTGAGCGAGATATACGCTCGTGGTAACTCTTCATGCTCGACCTGCAAGGCACATACTGCGGCATCAGCAACATGTTCATGTTCCAGCAGTACAGCTTCGAGCTCAGCAGGCGCCACCTGGAAGCCCTTGACTTTGATCAACTCCTTTTTGCGATCCACGATCCAATACCAGCCTTGATCGTCATTAATAGCGATATCACCTGTTCGCAGAAAACCCTCCTCATCAAATGTCTCGGCAGTAGCAGTTTCGTTTCGCCAATAGCCCATGCATACATTTGGTCCTTTGACGAGAATCTCGCCCCTATCTCCTGTCTTCACCCCATTTCCATTCTCATCAACCAACTTAATACTCGCATTAGGATCTATGTACCCCACAGAACCCGAGCGGTCGTCTCGACCACCAGGAACATGCAGACACGAGCACGTCACCTCCGTCATACCCCACGTCTGCACAACTTTGAGATCGAACTTTGAAGACACCTCGTTCTGGAGTTCTTTTGAGAGCGGTGCGGCACCGCACAGAATATTCTGTAACGATGAGAGATCGAAGTCCTTTGTCTCCGGCCTCTTCGCTAGCATGACTAGCACCGGCGGTGCGGTCTGTATATGCGTGATACGATACCTCTGGATATTCTCGAGGAACTTGACGAAGTTGAACGAGCGCATGAAATAGCACGGACTTAAAGTGCGGGCCGCTGCGACAATAGACCAAAGTTGGCCGTAGGCGTGATACAAGGGTAGAAATCCCAGCCAATGCTCTTCCGGCCGGTCATCGGGTCGGTATGGTTGTTCTAGATCTCGCATGTATATGCTCTGCTCTACGTTGGCGATTACGTTTTGATGGCTGATCATGACTCCTTTTGGAAGACCTGTCGTTCCGGACGAGTAATTGAGTGCTGCGATTGTGTTGCGAGCGGTGGACCCATCCATATTGGGCCATGTCCACGACCGAGATTCTTCTTCGGAGCAAAGTATAGATCTCCAATCGCGAGTGCTATCAATTGATCCGGTCTCTTTATCTGAGAACAGGAAAATACGATCCTTTTTGAATCCTGACTCCGCAGCTGCTTTCAGAAGTGTGGGTAGCAATGACGGCTCTACAAGAATAGCCTTACATTCTGTATTCTGTATTTGATACACGATCTCTATCAAAAGTTAAGAATGGAACCCCCGAAAGACACATTCTAACTTGCCTGCGACTCCGTATGCTGGATTACAGCCACTGAAAATGAGGCCGGATCCTGCGATGCCCAAATACCCGACAGGTACGAATATGTGGTTGTGGGACAACACCATCACCACATCTTGCCGCCTCAGCCCGAGAGAAGATAATCCAGCACCCAGCCTCTTGACCCATGACAAGAGCTGTCTGGGGGAAAGTGAATTCGATGTGTCATCTGCGTCAATCCAGATAGGTTTATCCGAGGTTTGCTTGTGAGACGGGAAAAGATAGGAAAGTATGTTCGCAGCGGGAATGTCGATTTTGAATGGCGAGGACTGCGGCATCTTGCTACATAGATGTATCTGATAAAAAGGAGAAAGAACTAGGTTATTGATTTTTGCTTGACAATTTAGTTATGAAAGTCGAATCGACGTCACTATCAAGGTACTATGAACCGAGGATGAATAGGCGGGGTCAGCACAGACCAATCAGAGTGCGCGCTCAACGTTGAAATATACGATAAAAATAGGCTCCCCAAGAAATGTGTTTATCATTGATATGGATCTATGCTTTTCATGTGGATTGAATATTTCAGACTTGGGTTATATCGTTGTCTCGTAATAGGAATACAAATAGTGGGCACAGTGTGCCAATCGCTTCATACATTGATCATTTCTGTCTAAACAAACGGAGAACTGTTGTAAGGTATGCCTCGTCGTATGAGCGAAACCGAAGGTGTTCATTGAATTCGTTTTTATCCGAGTCGTTGTTGAATGCATCAAAAAGCCATCAACATAGATTCTAACAGTCTGGGTTCGAAAGATCTACTCCTGAGATCAACTCCTGCATCATCTCAAACACCGTGATCTTTGAAACTTACCTAGATACTGGGTATCTACTGCATCTAACCGTAGCTGCAAGTGCATCCTTTGCGCTTCGCCGGGTCCGTATGTGGCCAAGGGACACACATCCATCCTCTGCCACAGACTTTACGGTCCGCTCCGCATGCGTCCGTCGAGCAAGGACCGGTATAACCTTGGGGCAAAGGGTCGGGCATGGCCAATGCCAGAGCGGGAAGAATAGTGGCGACGAGTACAAGGAACTTCATGTTGACCTTTTAAATTCTCACTGAATGAAGGTGAGGAGTGCGTGAAGCGGTGGAGCTAAAAAATTCACGGAGGTACTTCCGATCTTTATACCTTCTCTGTGAATCCAACGACGCAATGTGACATGGTATTTACGAGACATACAAGTTTGTTATTGCTGTAGAGTAACGGCAGTGCTACTCATGCGAAGGGATCCAAGCCGGGCAGCTAATTTATTCCAAGACCTGTCAAGACTTTTGTCCCACCAAAGTGGAACGTCCACATAAGCTGAATTTGAGGCGGACCGAGAGCTTAATGGGTAAACCCCGTCACCAAGCCGCCATTACGATCTTGTTTGGGGCTGGTTGTCCGAATCGGTCTAGGCGTGCTTCTTAGCTGTGTCAATTGCCTCGAGATATGTTTATGCGATTCTGTTTTCCTGAGAAACAAAAGCCGATCGACATCTCATACGCCACTGTATGGCGACTTGGCGACTTGGCTACCGAAAACTTGGTTAATCTACGTATACCCCGGACGGCAGCGATCTTGAAGATCATCCACGCTAGTTGCTGATTCACACAAGGGATTGCGTATGGTACAAGCCCCGATTGAGGAATGTTGCTGCAAAAATCATCGTCGGAGAGCGTCTTCCTGACAGTACATGGCCAAGATACCAAGGTTATGCGAATAGATTGTTGCCGGCAGGTGACATGTACCACTGTGCAAGAGATTGAGCCGGCTTGGACAATGCAGCACGGTAGATACCTATCGGGCCAGAGAAGTGGCTTGGTTTAGCTGACGTAGTATGCTCCTGAAGCCCAATACTGATCAGTGTCTCCCAATGAGTCTGCTCGATGTACCTACTGCGATTGCCATAGTTAGGAGAACAGCAACCATAATTGGAAATGTATAAAGTAGATCTGGGATAATTTAGCAATAACATAAGGTTGTGCAGTGAATGATCACAGGAGCCCAAATCATTAGATGAATTGAGTTCATCTAGCCGCCGCCCAATCGTGGTGCGGGAGTTAAGCTGCCGTTTCAACATGGCATTGGCCGGACAACTGGTTTCAAACATGATTCCTATCTGTGATAGAAATCGATCTAAAAATCACTGTCAAGTTCACACCATTTGTTTCATAAGTTCAGACGGCCAATGAAGTCAAATGAAAGGAGACGAATAGGGGGCCTAGAGCAAGGTATATTTACCCACTTGGTGCCCCCTTCTTCTGATTCTCTTAGAAACCCGACGTTCGAATCGTTCAATTGGCATACCATGAATCACGTTGAAGACAGTGTTGAGCAATCTTTTCCATGGGTTTCATGATGTGAACTTGGTAAGTTGACGATTGGCCAGGAGATGACGAGTACCCAGTTGGAACATGTCGGCGTTACGGAGTTTAGGTCTACCGCGCTAAACCATCCTTGGTCGACGTGTGCTCGTGCTGCGTCGCGATGATATAGGCAGCGGCCCCTCATCGATAGTGTGATCGATACATCGTCACTTGCAACATGCCTCACGATAATAATGATAACACGAACGGCCGGCGTTCTGATCATGGCGATGTCGAGAACAACCCTTTCATTGCCTTTCGTCGATTCGCAGACTCGCATGTCTCCTCTTTAATGAATACGGTCTTCACGCTCCCAGCTACGCTTGCCAATTACAACAATGCCTATCACGCCCGCGAACAATGCCTATTCGGCCACGCAGATCCCGAGAAATGCGAGAGGCTGAGGCGCCTCGAGAACAAGACTGTTGAGTTGGCTGAGCATGGTCGTGAACTATATCGTACAGGAGACGTTCAGGCTGTGCTGGCCAAAAGCGATGAGCTTCTTTCGCTCGAAAGGGAAGCAGACGAGTTGCGCAGAAACATTGTAGAAGATGCAAGAGGTGTAGGGTCTGTGGAGATGGAGAAATACAATAGCATCGAGCAAAATGGAAAAACAAGCAAATGTGAGGATCGACATTGGAACTGGTCATGGAACTGGGAATATCCCAAATCCAACAACGGCCATGGGCGAACAAATAGGGACGATGAAGATGATTGCACATGGCCAGGTCGCGAAAGAAATCAGGAGAAGGCGTACCGCGAAGAGGATGTTCGAAAACAGTTCGATGAAGAATGGGAACAAATGGATGCTAATTGGAAGCGTTTGAGACGATACATGCAGGATGAGAGGGCATACGCTTTCAGAGACGAGCCTAGAGTCTGGAGTTGGTCTTTCAGATGGCCACCGCCAGCTGACAGTTCTACCGACAACAACATGCAACTCGAACGGCAGGAAAGGTCGGGTGGCGAATCTTTTGGAACATTCATGGATGAAGTCTCCCGCATGTTCTTCCAACACCCATCCCCATCCTCCTATGAACCATATTCACCGCAGACGCTTGAGGGGGACCGTCGGCTCCAGTCCACAGGCATTCAATGGAGAGATGCTTACGAAGACCTGATGCGCACGGAACGAGGGCTCGAGTTGATGGACAAGAGCCAGCTTGGTCAATCTAGGCATTTGCCGTATCATCAATGGTCACGGCGTTTCCTTTACCCTGATTTCGCTCGACCTTCTGGAAGCCCCATTCCATCTCATGGTCAGACACCTGGGCGCGTTCCATGGGAAGGGGAAGAGGCTAATGATGAACCGCACTACGAGTATGCGCATGATCATGAGGACCAACACGACGAGCCGGCTTCACCGAAGATACAAGATAGTCAGAACCAGGAGACAGAACTGGACGCCTACGAACGACTACTGGATCCGACGAATCAGCCTATCCGTAATTCAGGAGACAACCAGCCTTCGATATTGTCGACTCTCACGACTACAGAGCGGACAGTATCCCCTGATGGCACTATTACAACTAAAGTGGTATTAAAGAAGCGATTTTCCGATGGCAAAGAGGAAACTTCCGAGACAACTCACACACAACATGGCGAGGAGAATGTCAATAAAACGTATGTGCCGGAACAAAAAAATACAGTCAATGAGAAAAAGAACAGCGGGTGGTTTTGGTCTGGGTGAATGGTTCTTTGTACATCGGCGCAATCTGGAATAGCACTATGCCATACTTTCTAGCGCCCAGGTTGGCCTCGATTTGGTTGTATACGGGCAAATTGCATGATCTCTATTCTTTCTAAGTAGTATGATATCCCCTCTCCGTCAAATATAGCATTACACATAGCGTATTATAGCACCAAATATCTTAGGTTTCTGGACTACAATTGATTATAGTTGCATTCATGTACCACAAGCTATTCATTGATAACCGCCAGCACTTCAACCTCGTACAAAAGGTTACTCTTCGCCAAAGCCGCAACTCCCAGCACCGTATCAGGGGGCCTATGTCCATCCGCCATCTCATCCATAAACTTCATCCAAAGCTCACCCCACCCACGATCCACCACATCCTTCGCATCCAGCTCCGCGACCCCGGAATCTCTCACAATGTAATGCTTCACATGCACAATATCTCCAGGGGTAGCGTTCGCGGCCTTGAGACAGTTGTGCACGTTTTCATAGGCTATCTTCACCTGCTCAAGAAATGAGGTGGGAACGGTCTTGGTGGTGGGATCGATTCCGACTTGGCCGGCGAGGGTGATGAGTTTGGCGGTTGGGAGTATGGGTGTTACGCAGACCTGGGAGTAGGTCGTGGGTGGTGGTGGGACTGTTGCGGGGTTGAAGGCGGATGGTTTGTTTGCCATGTTGCGTCTTGAGCAGAGGGAATGGAATCGCGTAACACTTGCTTCCGTTATTTGATATGTTGGATTATGTGCTGAATTGTTGTTCAAGAATGGGAAGTTACTTCTAGCAACCTGAATGCTCACGTCATAGCTAAGTTCATTATTGGCTATTCGGAAGCTTTATCTGCTCCATGACACCACTACTTCGTACAGCCTATATTACGCTTCGAAACCTTGATACAACAGTGAGAGACTTCCTCAATTTCTTAGACATATTCTATTTCGCCCAAGTTTTAGATTAGATACCCGATATTCATTATCATGGATCAGGGCACTGCATTTGCGCCAGTGTCTTCAATATTTACAGAACAATCCAAGCGGCAAAGCTATACTTACCGATCACATAGAGAATTAGGACATAGACTTAGGATTAAAAATATTCAACTTATTGTGAACTACATGACCATCTTGACTATTCTTGCTCGAAGAGTATTCAGTTGATATGACTGAAGGGAGCGCCGAGACCGAAGTTGCTCGGACCACCAAGGCTTTCTTTCGGGATTCAATCACCCATCCCAACCTCCTTCATCAATTTCTCCATCCAGTTAGTGATCTAATTACCCTACAGCTTCATCTTCTGCCCTCATGATCTAACCAAGCTAATCCGATGGATTATTTACCGGGCTGATCTATGGACCGACCTGTCAAGCGAACCTCACAGCGCAGGAGTCGGGTGCGCCTCGTTGCACCCAATCACTGATGGGGAGCACAACAACTCAAAATGATCCCTTAGCTAGGATTTCTCAGTACTCATTCCAGGTATGGTGTAAGCGATATTTGAGAGATTGCAATCTTTTAACCCAATTAGGTCGTAACTTGGACGCTCTGTGGATTTGCAGTGCTCTTTCTGGCGTCTCGAGTCGCCATTCGGTTGTCTACCAAAGGGAAACTTATGATGAATGACTACTTTCTTCTGGTATCCTTACCAGCTCTCTATGCGGGAGCTGCTTTATTGCAGTCATCTCTTGATGGCCTCTACGCCGAGAAGGGACATGCCGGGCCACCCACTATTGCGCCTCGTCTTACTGCTGCCATTGACTTGCTTTGGATTTCGATCTATTTCGTCAAATTTTGCTTCCTAGCACAGTTCAAGTTCCATAAACCTCCATATGCATATATATCTGACTCTTTGACTCGTCATTACTGGATAGTCATGGGTATATGTGTAGCAGCTGGCTTATTCACATTTGTGCAGCCCATCGTACTCTGCCATACAATTGGTATGTCTCGAAATGGTTTGCTGTAGTCCTTCTTTTAACGTACCGCAGATAGCTGTCGATATTTTGAAGGACACAGTACAGTGCCATGGGAAATAGCGTCGAATACTTTGGATATTGCCACGGACCTGTTAGGTATGCTAGGAGGCTACGATTTCCGAATCAAGGACTAATTGCTCAATAGTGATTTCCATACCTATTGCTTTAGTCCAAATGGCGAACTACACGCGCATCAACACCATTATCAATGCGTCCTTCAAAAGCCTCTCGGTGTTTTCCATCGCTATAGCGTCAACGCGTCTTGCTCTATCATATGACCGCCGAACGCATCGCATTCGGTATAGTGACATAGCATTTTGGCTTGTTGTGGAGGCGGCTGTTGCGTTAATCATGGCCGGCATTTCAAGTTATCGCACCCTGGTCATTGACTGGGTCACCGAGCATCGGCGAGGTCGCACCACAAAGAGCGCTCATCCTTTTCAAAGGTCACATGAACCTTGGATTAAGGTTGGCACGAGGGACCAGGTGGGCGGATCTGATCTGCATAGAGATCGTGGCTCTGAACTCTCCGTGTTGAATCGTGCCTGACTCGAGTCCGACAAGCATTAGGTGTAGAAATGAACATAACCAGATCTACGATCGTGAGACGGACAACGAGAGGTGGGGGTGGAACTTTCCGAGAAAACTGTCACGCGCACGAGCCGAGCATAGATGCAATACATGTTCCCATACGATGTGTATTCGATCCGCAGAACTTTAATGAGCTCCTGTCCTCCGAAGAATTTCGCAAGGTTCGTGCGTAGTATATCCACCTAGATACTTCATCAACTAGGCAGATAATGTACTCTTTATGTGGAACCTAATGTCCTGTCACTTCTGTCTGTAGCTAGCTTTGGTTAAAGAAGCTTTGCTCAATGCTCATAGAGTCATATTGGAGATGAAATGTCCTATGCCGTGAAGTCGCCGATGTGATGGACAAGCGGCTGGGGTAAGATTAAGATGTACACTCGCCAATCTGGCGCTATGCTGCACGGCCCCTGCAATGATTGATTTGGGACGTATCGGGAACCTCTCTCCAAAAGAAAATATGGGATCTTTCGAGTACGCGTAATGATTTTTTTCATACGCTTTGTATGCTGATCGAGAGAATTGCACAAAATTGAAGTTGACTGGCATTTCTGCGGAATCAACATTGGCTTTCACCGTTGCTGCGTTTACTGGAAATAGGTAGCTAAAAGGTAGGAATCTAAGCTCTTCCGCCATGTGATTTCTTTTGTATAGTTCCCTTCTGTTCATTAGTTAGCGACTATTTTCGGATGGTATGAGCAAATACGAGCTATCCGTTCCCCTGACAGCTGAAGCCAACGACGGGATGGAATGCCGCCGGATCCACTTCCATGCGCCGCCGTCCAGTGTCCCCATTCACCAGTCAATACTACCAGTATTGTTCACGTTCCCTGCACGTGCAGACTCGCCCTCTTGTGGAACAAAAAGCAATCGTGGGAACAATAGCGATCTGCATGAATTCTCAGATCAACAAAGCTACTGTACCTGCCAATAGAGATCTACGGAGATCAAAGAAATCGTTCTTGCTCTAGCTATGTCGAGTTTGGGTGCAACCACTGTGAGCACCACCTCCGTCTCCTCTGATTGGTGGCACCTGCACCACTGCTGTCATATTCCTTTTGGCGTGTCGGATGCTATCCAGCATCAGGGCAAGTGAGTAGGTAATCCCCAGAATCGGGTCGAGGCTCGCCGATTTTTTAGATCTTGCGCCAGGTTAAGTACAACAACAGATCTTCTTGTGTTCTCTTGGAAACATCAAGGGGAAAGAAATGACCCTCTTATAAAGACTTGAAGCATTCGTGTATCGGTCGGACTCTGTGCTCGACAACTATTCGCATCCTCCGGAATTCCCAGCGATGGCTCTCCAGCTCGATTCGCTCGCCTGGTTCTTTATCAGCTTTGCTATCGTATGGTCAGTCTTGTTGGCCGCGGGGCTTCTGTTTCTTTTCAAGCATCGTCATTTACCATGTATCCAAATTCGGAGACTTCCACTCCTTTTCACCGGCGTTCTTTGCTTTCATGCGTATGGAACGATATGCGCACTGGCCTATGTTATTGCACCTCTGGCGCCATGTGACGCCGAATACTGGATCATGAACATCTACCTCCCGCTCGGAGCTGCCATGTTCCAAGCCGCGAACAGCCAGTTTCTCCACGTTGCAAGCCGACAGAAGCAATTCGCCCAGCTCGACACCATCAAGGCCCCGAAAGCCGTGGACGAGGAGGAGTACGAAAAGTTGGCGAGGTCCCGCTTCAGGAGGATTATGCGCGGCCTGGAGCGGGCTGATCGAATCGATCGGATGATGGTATTCATCTGCATTGGCATGATTGTACAGGTATGCTGAATGAACTCGAATGTCAGAATGAGTCTAATTGATCCGTACACAGCTACTAATCGCTCTTTTCATTTTCTTTGCATCTAAGAAGTTTCACCCTAGCTACGGGGTCTTTGACTGGAACGTCGTCGGCTCGCAGATGGAAGTTCGAATGAAGTGCAGCAAAGGCTGGGAATGGTGGCCGTCACTCGTTTGGCAATTTTTCTGGGCATGGATCTATGCTCCATATCTACTATGGAAGTCTCGCGGCATCCGCGATGTGCATGGATGGCGCCTGCAGACCATCTGCTGCTGTATTGCAGGGTGAGTCTATCGTCCTCGCGACCACAAGTGCATAGCCAACTAATACACTTAGGCTTCCTGCAACACCTCTCTGGCTGGCTGGTCTCTATGTGCCACAGATGGCAGTCGTTAACCAATATATGGTCCCTCCGACCTGGTTCGCCGTCAGCATATTCTTCGTAGAGGTCTTTTCGATTGGCTTCCCTGTCATCCAGGTCCTTAGGTCTAAATCGCTCAACCGTGAAACTCTTGATGCCATCGCATCTTGGGAGAAGCGGAATCGATTCGATGTCGCCGCAGATGCCACACTGAAAGGCTCCGACGATTCATCGATGAATAAGAGTGACGCATACTCGGGCACAACCTTCCACTCCGTTCCCAACTCTCCTGCCGCGACGACGACTACCTTCAACTCGCACAAGTCAGAAATGCTCACGATGGCAGCTTTGGAGAACGCACTTCGCGTCAACCCAGATCCGTTACTCAGATTCGCCGCCTTGAAAGACTTCGCAGGCGAAAATGTTGGCTTCCTGGTCAATATCGCTCAATGGAAGAAGAACTGGTTCTACACGACCCAAGCCGCGGAAGACCACCTCCGCGAACAGTTCTTCAGCGCTGTGCACATCTACGCCTCCTTCGTCTCCCTCGAAACCTCTGAGTTCCCCGTAAACCTCTGCTCCAAGGAGATGAAGCGCCTGAACACCATCTTCGGCCCCGCCGCTGCCGCCCTCTTCCTCCGCCCGACCTCTGCCTCCTCATCCCACGCCTCCGCAACCCCCTTTGACGTCCTAGAATCCGACACCTCATCCACCACCAACTTGAAATCCGACGTCAGGCTCGATGACCTCGGCCGCTCGAATTTGCGGTCCGCAGCCCAGATGTCCGAGTTTGGAACCGGTCCCGCAGTCCCTGTGATCCAGGTTCCGGAGGAGTTCACGACGGGCGTCTTCGATGCCGCAGAGACGGAGATCAAGTACCTCGTGCTCACGAACACGTGGCCGAAGTTCGTCAGGTGCAGTCAAACGGTGGAGAATTTGTCGAATGGAAATGTTGAGGGTGATGCTCAGCGTTGGAAGAATTTTGTTCTTTGCTCGAAGTGAGCAAGCCAGACTGGCGATTACTTTATACCCACCCATAGTATATTTCTAATTTCTCTTATGTCCTTGAATGATATACTCTCTTCACTTCGTCGTGCGAAGTATAATGTGTTGGTGTGAGATTGATTGTATGCAGTCCGAAGAGTGAAGAATAAACTGCTCATGCACTGTCGTTTTTGCGATTAATCACGGTTTACAAAACAATGCCATCATCTAATAGGGATCGATTAGGGTATCACTCGCTATCCGTCATTATCTCCTGCAGAAATTCGTCCATATCCGTTTCCGGCGGCGATGACAACTCATCCGACAGCGTCGAGGAGAACGAAATCAGCTCTTGCTTCTTCTTTTTTGGTGGCTGCGGCGGGAGACCCTGCGAGATCTCCAGCACTTCCAGCAAGCCTAGAAGTCTATCTGAGCTAGCTTCCATCAGGCGCTTAGCCTGACCCTCCTCATGAGCGTTGGTTTTCTTCCCCCTTGCCGTTCCATACACCTCGAGTCGCTCTTGGATCCCGCGTTCTACTACTGCACGCAGACTTTCACTTGCCGTTAGTGATTTGGTGTCCATCATGCACATGAACATCTGCTCTAGAATTATGGAGATTTTGGCATTCGCGGCGTAGCTTTGGGTTGTTGCGCGACGTGGGAGCAGGTATAGTTCGAGATGCGCTTGTAGTGGCGCAATGAGGCTATAGTCCGGTAGCTGGCCGCCGGATGTGAGAGGGAGGATTGAATTGGCACTGAAAGCCATCTGGAGGGTATTCGGTAATCTGGATGTGGATAGTAGGAGACTGAACATAATGGTGGGAAGAGGATTCGCAATTTCAACGACGGAATCGAAGAGGTCGTTGAGTTTAGTGAAGTGTGAGGGGAGGGCTTGAGCGACCTGTGCGAGCTGTTCCTGGTCAGTATAAGTCGTGAACGCATATGGAAATACGAACCAATGCAATCAGGCGCTGGCGGAGAGTAATAGCTTCGTTTCCCCCCATGCGAGCCACTGCCTCATCGACATCCTTGAAGGCGAAGTCGTCATCAGTAGAGAGCGAAGGGTCTTTTTCATCACTGTTTCTAGCCGCCGACCTCTTAGATCTTGCTGGCCTTGCAGATAGGCCGGGTGCATCATCCATTGCCACATCTTCGGAACCATCCAGGAAATCACCCAATTCCCCATTCTCTATATCAATTTTTTCTGGGACGGTGTTCTTGTTGACTGACTTCGCACGTACAAGTTCGTTCAGCCAAACCTCCGGGTATTGTGATTTGGACTGAGAAGTGCCCATTGCCATAATTGCCTTTATCACCCTTCGCCTGTTTGATCGATTTGTCGGATCTTGACTAGCAATGTAATGCCACAGCAGGCTTTCCGTAAGCACGCTATCGGCATTATCTGCTTCTCTGCTTGTTTTGACACGAGCCTCCCACTCAATTTCAAGGAAGCTCAGCATTGCCTCTAGCCATACTTTCCATCTCTCCCAGCGAGGCCGATCTGTTACCGAGCAGTTGAACGCCCACCCAACGATGTGCCAGAAGTCATCTGCGCGTGTGTATAACGATTGAGAGGTTGCAGCTAGGTCTACGAGCTGTTCAATATTGCTGTGGTCGATCGACGGGTTGTTTCCACTGGTGTACCTAGTGGCGTTGCGCCGCCTTGCACGTTCGTCGGGAAAGGAGAAGGCTTCTTTTAGAGTCGGGTCGAGTGGGGAGACGGTGTTGAAGATGCTTTGTAGATACCGCAACGCGGCATCTGCACCTTTGACTTTCTCGCGAGACAAGTGTTTAGTGGTTATTTGTGGGTATACCACAAGCGTAGAGGCGAGACAAATCTGTGACGCGGGAGGCAGATATGCGTGGTGGGGTTTCGCGGGAGTAGAGATGGAAGTTCCAGTCGTGAGAAGCGCGTTTAAGAAGGTGAATCCTCCAGCATCTGAACAGATTAGAACCCAATTCAATGTTGCAATTCAGTTCCACTCACATTGCTCCGCTTCAAGGTATGCTTTGGAGTGATTCGCAAGCTCATAACTCACCGGCTTCGTGGGTCGGCGAAGCGACTGTCGCGGCATCTTGCCCATAGCCTCGAGGGAAGAAATTCCGGCATATCCTACGTCAGGCTGCGGAGACGATCGGGCCGAGTGAAACACATCTTCAGAATGCGGATTGGGTGACTGTATAGACATTTAAATGCTCAAAATCTTGAAGAATGTGCCTCTGGAGTCCGTCGCGTAAGCTTCCTTAACACGCGCCTGATATGACGCGGGGTCACGATTGGCCGCTAAGCCACTTCAAGGCTTACATATAAGCCTTTGCTGCCTAGTTTCTTCGCCGCATGAGACAAACAAACCTTCTGATTCATCGTTCACACTGTTGGAAGCTACTTTGGGCATTTCATCGTTGCGCTGCATTTGCTTTTCATTTTCGCTTTCGCTAGAGTTCAGCCAGCATACTCCATACATCATATCGATCGCTCAGATCAACAATGATTTCGTCTCTTACTGCTCTTAACGGTGAATGATGCATTGTGGATGTTATTCAGTTGACAAACTAATAGCATCTTGACCATGTGGAGTATGATCCCTCCGGCAATGCGGCCGGCTTGCAAGAGCATAGGAAAGGTTGCGTTTTGGATTGCTGTCAGTCCTGCAATCATAATACTCTTTGGGTTTTATATTGCATACAGCCTCGTTGTATACCTATGTAAGGAATTCGACGAATGGATGCATAGGCCTTCGAGACAACTCCTCGAACCACAAGAGATAGAATCGAGAAGAGCGAAGAGAGAAGCGCGCTATCGCGCACGACCCTTACCTAGATTTCGAGAGCGCGCAATGACCTTAGATTCCAACGGAGGATTGTCCCTGGTGGCGGCACCGGTCACAGGAAGGAAGGAAGGAGAAACTAGGAGAGTTGTTCATTCTCTAGCGAGCGTACGACAAACAACTACTGACCAGCTTGGGGTTTGTGATTTGTACATATTTCCGTACGAGATCCGCGAAATGATATGGCAGTATGCTCTCGGCGGTCACCACATACATATCGTCAAGCGAAAGGGAAAATTGGGCAGCATCTATTGTCCTGCGAATGGAGCCTTGGATCTCGACCATACAGACCTTTGCTGCCTTTCACGGGACCAGCGAGGGTACCACACAGCCACAGGATGGCCGTCGCATGCTCGACCTCTATCATTGTTAGGATCTTGCCGACAAATGTGAGATTTAGATTCATCATCAACTCCGCCATTCGATTAATTTGTTGACTTTGGTGTTAGATATTCCGAGTCCATCAATTTTCTGTATTCCTCCAATACTTTCTCTTTCGATGAGTTTTCAACACTCATTGATTTCTTCCCGACCTTGATACCCAAACGTAGAGCGTTGATCTCTTCCGTTCACATGTTGATTGATTTCGCCCCGAGTTGCTCCAGCCAGCGTTTGAGCCCCTTCGCACATATCTATACCCCGCACAATGACTCTTTGGCCGATTGGCAACAGTGCACCGCAATTCTTAAATCTCTTCCAGCCCTCACAAACGTAACAATCACAAGTCCCTTTTTCTGGATAAGAAACATGCACCTACATCGAAGTCGCCCCGCAACTTGGATTCAAGACTTCTTCACTCTTTTGAATGAAGTTCGCGTACATGGACAAGTGAGTTTGGTGTGGCCGCCTGTGCCTAATGCTACGTATGTAGGGGATGTCAACAGCCTTCTCCCGGCGAATCATTCTTTCAAGTTGTATCCGTCTATTTATCACGATGGCTGTGAACTGCTAGCCTTCATCCTCCCGTTACATGTGGCTTGTTTACATTGCGAGCCGCATTCGATTATTCGCAAAATGACCAAGGGACTGGCCGAATCTAGGACCGACTATCGGATCGACAATGAATCCGCTACGAATCCAATCCAACTAGACCCGTGGCGTTCCCGCTATTGGACGTTTCACGCCTCTTGCCGCGGCTGGATCGAGTTTGAATATGACTGGGAGGAAAAGAGGTGGAGCGTCACACAGGGCGCAAAGGAGCTTACTGATGACGAGGCAAATGCCCATATGGCAGAGACTGGACAGGTTGGACAGAATCTAGAATCTATGCATGGGATCATGCAGGGCCTGTGGGTGAAGTCCTCCATCATGAACCATGCGGCGATTGGCGATACAACAGGAAAAGCTCTAGATATACCGACGAAGGAGGCTTTTTATCGGAATGCAGGATGGACGGAAGTATAAGGTGGCATGCCAGCCCCTTCTTTTCCTTGATCTTGATCTTCAATGTTGGACTTCACATATATACTGATTGAGTGAATGGCAACGATATTTGGCGACATGCCTGTTTCTTTTGCTCATTGGATCAAACTAGAGGGATATTTCATTACCAAAAATATTTATCGGGATACAACGAGCACGTCATACGAATGTGTGATTATTCTGTGGAGAACGGGATTTCCTTTTCAGGGTTAGTGGAAATAGCTATAGCTTAACGACGATCAACTGTCAACCACCTCCTCCTCACACCATCATCGACAACATGGGCAAAGCTGAAGCTCCCCAGCCGCCGCTGAGTCGCAGGCCCAATGCGAATGTTACAGTTAGAATTCTGTTCTATACTGGTTTAACGCTCTGCTCCCTATGCATTCTCTTCTTCACTCACATAGCTGTACCTGGCTGGCCATGGCGATCTAGATCATCATCGTCAGGGTTTCAATCATCCACAACATGCCCTCAAGCTAGTCCATTGATCCCGAGCATCAGTACCCCTGAGCTTGAACATATGGATGGCTATCTACATTCAGATACCTTCAGGGAGCGATCAATTGAAAGGCTGCAGGGAGCTGTCCGCATCCCGACGGAAAGTTTCGATGACATGGGCAAGATAGGAGAAGATCCTCGATGGGACGTTTTCTATGCATTCGCGGATTATCTGGAAAATACCTTTCCTCTCGTGCATGAGACTCTGCAACTCGACAAGGTCAATACGCATGGATTGCTGTTCACGTGGCCTGGTACAGATGCTGCGCTGAAGCCCACCTTGTTGATGGCGCATCAAGATACTGTACCGGTCGAAAAGAGCACAATCAACCAGTGGGAGCATGCGCCGTGGTCGGGCGATTATGATGGCACATTCATCTGGGGCCGTGGGAGCAGCGATTGCAAGAATCAGCTCGTGGGCATCCTTGAAGCTGTTGAAACTCTGATTGAGGCCAACTATCAGCCCCGCCGCACCCTTCTTCTCTCCTTTGGATTTGATGAGGAGATTAGCGGAAGGGAAGGCGCTCAGAGTCTTGCCCAGTACCTCTATAAGAAATTTGGTCATCATAGTGCTGCGATCATCGTGGATGAAGGCGCAACAATGGCGGAGGCGTGGGGAAGAGATTTCGCCATGCCTGGTGTCGCTGAGAAGGGTTACGTTGATGTTGATATTGTCGTCCGTATGCCAGGTGGACATTCAAGTATACCACCAGAGCATAATGGTATCGGAGTCGCCAGCCAGCTGGTTACCCTAATCGAGGCCAATGCGTACCAACCCAGCCTTGACGACCAGAACCCGTACCTCGAGCTGCTCAAGTGTGGTGCAGAGTACGCCCCGACTTTCCCACAGAAGCTGAAGCATCTCCTGCGCAAGCGATCTTCGAATAAGAAGACAAAGGGCAAGGATGAATTGGCCATCGAAGCTTCCAAGGCCGGTCTTGCAGTCAAGTATCTCATGACAACGAGTGTTGCTGTCGATATCATCCACGGCGGTGTAAAGAACAATGCGCTCCCCGAGAGGACTCAGATCACAGTAAATCATCGTGTCAATGTGGGATCCAGCACCGACAACGTTCTCCGACATATTACATCGCTAGCCGGGCAAATCGCAACCAAGCACAACCTGACACTCAACGCATTCAATGGCACGGAATCTCCGTCGTCAATTACACTCTCACACCGAGCTACTTTACTCGAGCCTGCGCCTGTTACACCCACCAAGATTGATGGTAAAAAGTCGACGCCATACTCAATTCTTGCTGGAACTACTCGAGCGCTGTATGGAGAAGAGCTCTTAGTTGCACCGGGCATTATGACCGGAAATACCGACACTAGATATTACTGGAATCTGAGTGAGCATATTTTTCGGTACGGACCCGGTTGGGACAGGGACCAGGACGGTATGGGAAGCATTCACACTGTGAACGAGAGGATTGGGGTTAGGGCGCATTTGGATACGGTTAGATGGATGGTTGGATTTGTGAGGAATATGGATGAAGCGGATATTTGAGGTGTAAAAAGTTGTAGATGGAGCAAGGGTCTGGAAGTACTGGCGGTGATGACAGATGCAAACAGTTGGAAGCTAGACATGTCTGCCAAGGAAGCGTTGTATACTCGTGTGGTACCATACTGAGGTCGCAACGTATGTTCTCGTAGGTAACTAACTAGACGGTAGACCATAGTGGGCTTCTTTGTCCAGTTGCAAAAGAAGGGTACGGTTCTTTCGACGAAATCCTGCCGATCCGATATGCGCCCTCAGGCTTAGCGATACAATAGTGAGATGTGTAAGCCAGTTTGACCAATCAGAGGCCGTGGTACAGTTAGCCGCGAGGCTCGACCCCACCTTCAACCTCGACTCTCCACCCCTCCCAAGACACTTAAGACATTGGACAGCTGAAGCTCCCAAGCAAAAGCTCCCAGGCAAAGCTCCGCCTCCCTTCCAGTGCGTGGAATCTTGCTCGAATATTTCATCAAGCCATCCCGTCCCGCACTTGCAGCCCTTTCATCATTTACACACCCATCATACACCTTTCAAACGTGACGTTGAGACAACAATCATGGCGTCATACTTCGATGCCCAGCCGCGCCCCAGTGCTGTCCCCAAGCACTTAAACGAAGCAAGCGAAGAAGCATTTGGGAAGCAACCCCTCCTCAGTCCCCAGGTAATAGGCATTTTGGAAGATCTTGAGGGCGAGTCGTCGTCCAGCGAAGAAGAACCAGAACCACAACCAATCCGTGGCTCATCAAGCAAAGGTTCATCCGGGTTGCGCCACGCGCAAACGTATCCCCTGCCGAAACAGACCTCTCGCATGTCCAAACGGCCCGTCGTCAAGAACCCTCGTCTTGCGCGATTTCACTCCTTGAGGAGCATGCTGTTCTCCTCCCACATTGAGGACAACTTGAACAAGCTTCAAGACGAGCAGGCCGAGGAGAGGTGGAAGCAGGAATATGAACAGCGCAAGGGCTTGACACATACAAAGGACTCCTCGCCCAGTAGATCGTCGAAGGCGGATAACTACCCAACAAAGAGTGGTCATCGTAGGGTGAAAAGCAAGGACACGCCAACCATGAACGTAATTGAGGAGAGCGACTGCGAATCCACGGCCTCAGATGACGATTGGACCCCTAATGTTGAACTTGGGAAGAAGCACGATGAACCTCTCGTATCTGATGATGATGAAAGCATCGATCATTCAGATATGGAGGACTTGGTCCGATGGGTCAGTCGACGCGATCCCCCAAGCGACGGCGAAGCAAGCAAAAAGAGACGGCAGAAGAAAGCGAATCTGAAGGTCCAAGACGGGCAACTCGAAGCACACGACAGTGGTCACGAGAGCCTGGGCCAATCAGATGTTGAGGATTTGGTTGACTGGGTCAGCCGAAAGCCTGAGGGCGAGGACGGGGATGGTCGTCTCCCAGCCGATTACAGTGATGCGTCGACTGCATCCGACTCAGAGGGTGCCGGCTACAGCGACGACGCACCTAGTCGCGACCAGAACAACATCAATGTCGATGAATTAGTGAGATGGGTCAGTCGGAAGGAAGGTGCCAACGCAGGACCTGTTGGTCGCACGGTTCCCATAGTAGAGGACGACCCTGCTTTCGACTCCGATCATTCTGAGCTTGGGCGATGGGTCACGAGACATGACGACACAAGTGGCGAGTCCGATGTGGGCGAGATTGCCGCAGCGAGATATGAATCGCATCATTTGAAGTCCCGATCACCAGACGAGGAGTCAGAGCATGGCGAGGGCGCGTCGGCTTTGGTTGCTGAGTGGGGTGATATTCCCCCTTCTGGCGACGAAGGAGAGGACGAACCACTCCCTGAGGAGAAACCCGCCACAAGACCTCCACTCAAGGAAACTCTCACGCATGAAGATGTGGACGATCTTGTCGATTGGGTTGCGAAGAAGCAAGACGAACCAGCGCCTGAGAAGGAAACCACCTCACAGAGACCTCCACTCAAGGAGACACTTACACACGAGGATGTCGACGATCTCGTGAGATGGGTATCAAGGAAGGAAGAGAAAGCCGAAAAGGCACAAAGACCACCACTGAAGGAAACCCTCACTCACGACGATGTGGATGACCTCGTCAGATGGGTCTCTCGGAAGAACTCCAAAGATTAACTTCTGGACAATCTTTGAAATGTGAAACGTAAAATTTGAAAACTGAAAGCGCCTCTCCGGGGAAATTGCTTTTTTTATGAGGATGACGTACGCTGTGATGAAGAGCACGATCCTTGATGCGCAAATGTCGGAATGGGCAGTAGAAAATGCCAAGCACGATACCAGGGTTCAGCGTCTCGTTGCGACCGAATCGTTGTGTGCTTTGTTTTACTTCTCGTAGTAGCAAGTTTGTATATCCGTCGCCGTAGCGCGGAATTGTTATAGTACGATGTCGAGTTTTTACGATACTCCCCTTCTTTATCAACTTGTCTTACGCTTTAAAATATCAATTTTTTATCAAAGCATATGAAGCAGCGACGACTTTACATTTGAACACCAATGGCCCATGTAGATAGGGCAATATCCCATTTACTATTGAACTGCCAGCGATCCATCACCATTGATTGATTCAAAATGCATGAGCGAGCTATGGGCGAGGAGTGAAGACAAGAAATATAGGCCCGCAGACAAGCAGACTGGTTCCATCATTGCTGACTACAAATTGCCGGAAACATTCAGGGCTGAGAAGCAAAAAGGAATTCAAAAGTCTGACAATTAAACAATCAACGATGCTCTCTGGTTTTAAGTCCTCTTTCAAGAAAGTACTTTTCAATGTGAAGAGATGTTGACACATGACTCGAATGCAATGGGATATCTTTTGGCCCAACCGGCTATCAGCTTTTGTGTCAAGACGTGGCTTCCTAAGAAACCCTCAACCGCATTGCTCATTATTCTCAATAAGCACACATTTCGTTAACACGTGAAACAAAGATGCTAGGTGATGATATTTCTTTTACAGTTGCTCACATTTGGGCAATTGCTATAAGGCTTGCTCTAAGATCATCAGTCAGGACAGATGACACTGTTCTAAATCGATTACAGCCTGTCTAACCTTTGTCTCTAAACAATCACTACTTTGCGATACTATGTTAACGAGAGGCTGCTAGAGAATACGAAGCTGACAACATCGATTAGCATATATATGGATGACCTCAATATGTACATGATCTGTCCCTTGGTCCATTGGACTGTAGAGTATGGTTATTTGTTATCTTGTCGTATTCTTTGATCATCCAGCAAGTTTGATCACCCATTTGATTTACGCAAGAATCAAGCGACCTAACTGCGGAGTATAGTGCGATATTACGAGCTACCAGCAACCCCCATATTGGCGGCTGTCGCGGCGATGACATCACTTGTTATACCGTATTCTAGTGATCCCAAGACAGTGGCTGAACTATTACTCGGAAAAGGGTTTCCAGAGAGCGACGGGCATGTAGGCAGGAGCTTGTCATGTTTGTTTAGTTGTCCTTGTACGTCATTCCGCAAGAAGTACAGAGCAAGAGGAGTGTAAAGTGTATGTTGAAGCTCGAAATGCATATTTCTTGTGAAGACCAAAATAAGTTCATGTCATTGTGGCGAACATATATGCATTGAAGACTATAGTAATAATAAATATCATGCTGATGCTATTCCCAGGGGAATGTATGTACAGTAAAAGGAAGAATCAGCATGCAATCCTGGCGTTCATCTAACATATACAAGGACGAATTAAACATCATCCTCTATCTCGACAATAATTCTTCTGCAACGTCTTTCAAAACGAATTTCTTAATCTTTCCACTTCCGGTCAACGGAATCTCTGCGCTGCAGTCGTCACCTAGCCAGAACACATTCACAGGCGCCTTATGTCGGCCCAACACCTTCCTCACCCACTTCTTGACTTCCTCCAAGTTCGGCTTTTCCGCGTTGTCTTCTAGAGCCAGGAAAGCCACAGGCACTTCTACGTACTTTGGATGTGACACCCCGACGACGATGGCGCGCGTTATGCTCGGATGTTCGACGAGTCGCTCCTCAATCTCCAAGGGGTATATATTTTCTCCACCTATAAGATTGCAATTAGTACTCATGATCGAGGGTCCATAAAATATGGTAAAACTTACCCCGAATGATAATATCCTTGAACCGCCCAGTGATCGTGCAGTACCCATCCGCATCCAGAACCGCCTCGTCACCCGTATGCAGCCACATCTCGCCATGTTCATCCCTAATCATGACCTCATCCGTCTTCTCCTTATTTTCAAAGTACCCTCTGCAAAGCTGGTACCCCGAGATGCACAGCTCGCCGCGGACGCCAATCGGAACGATGTTATTGTCCCGATCAGCGATCTTGACACGGGCATGAGGCAACACCGTGCCGACCGTGTGCAGCCTCCTGTGCAAGCTGTCCGTGGTATGTGCATTGAATATCGTGGGAGATGCCTCCGTCAGTCCGTAGCTGCTCGTGAAATCGACCATGCCGAGTTCGTTGACCATACGCTCCATCAGCCACCGTGGGACTGGCGATCCAGCCACGATGCCTGTGCGGAGATTACTGTGCCAGTCTGCGGGTCGCTCGAGCTCGAGGATTGCTTCGAACATGGCGGGGACGCCGTGGAGAGCGGTGCAGTTTTCGTCGGAGATGGCACGCAGTGTTGCGGCGGGATCGAAGGCGACGGCTGGGTAGACGACTCGGCCGCCGTGTGTGAAGACTGCGAGCATGCCGAGGGTGAGGCCGAAGCAGTGGAATAGTGGTGGAGGACAGCAGAGGGTATCTTCGGAGGTAAGGAGGAGACGATCGCCGACAAAGCGCGAGTTGTTGATCAAGTTGCTATGATCTATGTAAGTATAGTTCCATCGTGATGTGGCATTGTAGACTTACTGATGTGTCAACATTGCTGCTTTGGGATTGCCAGTACTTCCACTGGTGAACTGCAGATTGATCACATCGTGTGGACTAATAACTCCGTCGAATACTTCCAGTATTTGCTCTGGTATGGGCTCTCCTCCTCGAATGAAGTCTTCATACTTAGGAAAGCCTTGAGGCTCACCACGGAGTATACAAGTCAATTGTAGGTCTGGTATAGCTTTAGCAGCATCCGCACTGCTCAATCGTTCGAGGAGGGGTGTATTGTCGAAGCGTCCGATTGAAGAACTCGTGAATAACGCCTTGCAGCCTAAAAGTATGTCAATACAAATACTCAATATCAATGTTACAGCGTACTCACGCGTATGCTTTAGTGCACGCTCCATTTCCGCAGACGTATATGTATTGTTCAGCGTAACGCATACCGCTCCAATTCTACAACATGCGAAGAACACCACCACATATCGCTCGCAGTTACCAGCCATAATGCCCACTCTATCCCTCGGCCTCACTCCTTTTCCCAAGAGCGCTCTTGCGAGCAAGTTTGATTCGTCCCATAGGTCTTGATACGTATATCTTGCTCCGGTCCATGGAATTACTAGACACTCGTTCTGTGGTCGGTCGGCTGCTTGTTGTGCGAGCAATTGTGAGAGTGTGAGTGTGAGTAAGGGAGGATCGAGAGGTCCTGAAACTAATGATACATTTGGATATGGAGGAAGCTCATAAGGGTCGATTTGGAGGAGGATCTGCGTCAGACGCTGGTGAGCGTCATTTGGACTCTGTTCGAACTCTCTCGACATTGTGACTGTAAATTATCTTTTCAAGTACACCTGATTATCATGAATGAAATTCGAAATAAAAATGGAAATGGGAATGTCTAGCATTGACAGAAAGATAGTGGGGTACACGCAAAGATCCGGAAATGTGCCCGGAAAGACAGGTAAATGAGCTTGAAGCCTCAAGAATTTAGGGTACTCATGTCGACGGAATTGATAGTAAGAAGTGGGCACCACACTACTGGCCTCGATGATGCCCTGGACCTTACTAAAGGGTCTGGGGACTGAATACGTAGTACGTAGCACACCATTATTGCATGCAACATGGCACTCGCGGCAGAGAAAGAGTTTGGAGCCAAATCCACACAGCAAGACCGATACCGAAGCGATGACATACAAGCCTGGGTGCCTCACTTTGACCCTGCCCGCGCCGGCTGTCCGAATCAGATAATGGCGCTGTGGACAGGGTGATGATCCCTAAACTCCAAGCAACAAGCTCAGCTGATCGCGATGAGACGGCGTCTTTTCGATGCAGGGAAGAAAAACTTCTTGCCAGACCTCCCTGCCATGGTGGGCGAGCAAGGTTGATCATCTCTGCGGGTCCGTGATTGACGCACTTCGTGTTGATCCTTGCCATTTCGAATTATCCCTCGTCGTGATGATGGACGGACGGCCATCTAATCTTATCAGATGAATGCTCCGGCGCCACCGCCCTACTGTGTAACCATCCCGTGCACTTACATCTGCCCTCCCGTGCTGTCTAGAACGGCACCATACGTCTTGTAAAGTGGGCGTACATACCCCAGCCGATTGGATGGCTAGCGTCCGCAATGTGAAAAATTTTCTCTCCGTACGGCATCAGCCGCGTGCTAGAGAAGGGGGCAATTGTTATGATGTCGTGGCGTGGAGAAGGGAGGGAAGGATTCCAAGCTCCCGTGCTAAGAAATCAGTCGTGGTGTTAAGGTTATCTGATCCGCTTTTGGCGCGAGGTCCTCATACGTAGTTGGACCCTCAGGGACACATTGACACGCAATTCGTAAAATGGTTCCATCAGATAAAAAATGTACTCATCGTTCCCTTCATTTAGGGATGCAAAACTTCGTAGGGCGGGAATTTTGTGGATCCATGTTTGGCTCGCAGAAGTTTGAAGCCAGCAGGCGTGCTATTCAGACACCATGTTGCCTTGTAGATCCTTCGCGAGTACCGATGATACATTCCCTTTACGTACAAGTTATAGACAGGCGTGAGAAAGAATGTATACCCTCCCCTGTGCTCGTTCGCTTGAGACGATGCATCAGACTTTTCTTCGAAAAGCCAACTAGGCCCTGCAGGAAGTGCCTCATGCGTAGACGTTTCGCTGGCCGGCGCATGCCATTGGGAATATTCGCGTATTAAGGTTCAGCCATTCCGACACGACTCTATGCCATCAAGGCCGGCTGAAGCGGTTTCTACACCTGCCTTGTGTAGGCAAGGTTATCTGATCCATCCCCTGCGTTTTCCGAGCATTCGTAATTAGGGCTCGATCGAAGCGAACAGAGCCATGACGTGTGCGGTAATGAACCCCCATCAGGTGAATCGGTCCGTTCGTGCATAGTGGACCCCTCCACCGTAAGATATATGGGTCATTCAAAAGCTACCTATTCAACCCTCCGATTCCTAGCTCCCGAATACGGCTTGCACAATACGGAACGAATAACGGCTTCCGTTCTCCATCTGATAAAATCGTGATTGCGGGCCTGTACGCAGTAGAGATCGAGATGTCAATCCGCACTCCGTACGAGTTGATGAATTTCTTGTTGATTAACTATTGATCGTTCAGGTAGAAGACCTGAAACTAGAATATGCAGTACAATACATACTGGCTTCTTGTATTATTTCATAAAATGTATCTATGACACTTCCAATATGCAGTCATAGCTTGGAAAGTGCATCGAGGCTCGGTCTAACTGCCTTCTCTCCATCCCATACTAGAGGAGACAGTGTGAAAAACTTTTCTCGGTTTACCATTTTAAGTGCCGACCGCTTATTCGGGAAATCCAAGAACTTCACAACATGGAAACCGTGCGCAAAGTCATACGCGAAGGAGGAGGCGCTGCTTGCCGCGGCCCTAGACTCACCAACAATAGCATCCGTACGAGGATCGTCAAGGAAAAAGTAATGAACAATAGCAGACCACCAAGCAGAGGCGCGGGCTGGGCCTCTGAACGAGCTGTCGCCAACCATACTACTGCGCCCTCGATCATAGAGACCAGCTTGGTAATGTGCACCTACAGGGCTTTCCTGTGTAAGGCGTTAGCGAAGTAGCATAAATCTTTTATAGAATTCAACATACCAAGACCCAATAAAGTTCGTGATAGCCGAACAGTTTCCCTTCGAAGGCTGCAAATACAGCAAACACGTGGGGGTCTTCGTGCAGCTTGCGTAGGTACTCCTGATGTTCTTCGAGCGTTCCTGTCTCGTTCCAGCCGGCAGCTACACGTGGATCATTCTGCCAGGTGTGAAATAGGTTAAGATGTTCGGGGTCCCTGTAGTTCACTGCGATGAACGTAAGGTGTTCCCCAAGGTGCGGGATCCAACGACTGTAGATGATAGACCCAGCAGCCGGTTTAGCTGGACGCACAGGATGGCTAGTGTGTCGGCTCGTGACCGAGGATTGCGTTGTTGGTGCTGTCTGGAAGGGGAACAATGGGTACTGGGCAGTGATTGGCTTGTTGTTGGCATCGAGCATTGGAGTCCATGCGGGTCGAGGTCCGAATGGGGAACCTGCACCTTGCCAGAAGGTGCCTCTGAGGAGAAGGTGACCATCACTGGCGGCAGAGGGGTCAAGAGATCTGGGGTGAGGAATGAATAACCCTGTTCCATATAACTCTGTGGCGAGTGCAGATGCATCATCTCCATCGAAGATGATTCGGAAGCTTTCCACCAAAGGATGCAAGGATATGATGAAGTATGTGATGAGCCACACCTGCGCAGCAGAGGGTCTCTCACCCGTCCACGAGATTGTCGAGTGTGGTGTGCGTCGTGCTCGAGCCCAAGAGCTGTTGTCTCCAGCTGGGGGAGTGGAATCTTCAGCCAACAAAGCTATTTTCGTGAACTGGATCGTATCATCGTGCAGTGGTGTTGGTGGAGGAATCCCAGTGTCTTTGTTCTGAATTGCTGCTTGTTGTATCTGATATCTCACGGGCTCGTCCTTTGCAGCAACATTCGTTGCAGTATAGGTGGTGAGGTATGGGTGAGGTAGCTTGAGTATGAAGGGCTCGTTGGACGGTTGCATGATAGGCTTGGAGATGGTGGATACCGCCATTGGCTTTAGGGGAAGGCCGTGACAACGAGGGATTGAATGTAGGCAACAAGACGCCTGTATGTATGACCGCGAATTAAGAGCAGCAATGAAAGATAGATAGTCAAACTCAAGACGAAACAACTGCAAATCGAATCGCATATACCTACTTACCAGCAAGTCGTGACGTGAGCTCCAACTACCGAGGTCGGCTTGATCCAAGCCTGTTCACGTCTCTACCGACTTAAATCTGCAGCAGTCCACTTCTTGGTGAGTATGACCAATGAAACAAGTGGAGGTAGAATGGCGTCTTATGACACGTCTTCGAGGAACGAGTAGTCAGACCCTCCCAAGAAAATAAAATCTAATCAGATCTTTTCGATGAACGGCATTAATTCCTTAGTGTGTAGATTTCCCAGCCGTCTGATGGCTTCAACTGCTTTGCTAGGGACCCATGTAAGTCGCATTACGTTGACTTTACTAGTCAGGTTTTAAATTACGCTGGCTCCAAAGTAGTCAGAACCGTCTTCACAGCGAACTCACACGGATATGCAAGCCGCTTGCATGGTCATTGTCTGCACGGAAGCAACCAATTCCAACACCTCGGCCGCTCCCTGGGCATGCATGGGTCTTCGTTTCGGTGGCTTCTCGCTGACGTACCTAGGATGATGTTTTCTGGTGGCTGCAACGAAGGGCATGCAGCCCGTCCTGGCTAGAATTGATTTAGTTGTCGTCAAGCCAGGCCCACTGGACGCCTTTGCCTAAATTCCGAATCACCTGAGAGATTGTAAAGCCTGATACCACATCATACTTGATATCTGGGTGATAACCTCTCAAAACCGGACTGAGAAAGCTACTATCAACTGCAAGCCCTCCCACCATCATACATTTCAACAATGAGTTCCAAAGATCTTTATGTGGCACAAGATGCTACTTATGATTTGATCTGCGTAGGCTTTGGCCCAGCTCAGATAGCCACCGCTATTGCAAACTTCGAGTCTCCAAGGCCCTCAAATGTTATCTTTCTCGAGCAGAAGCCTTCCTTCTCATGGAAAGCCTCCGCACATCTTCTTCGGTCGCGAATGGAAAATGCATTCATCTATGATCTCGCAACAACAAGAAATCCACGATCGGCATTTACGTACACCAGCTACCTACTTGCCAAGGATCGACTCATCTCTTTCGCCAACTCTGATCGCATGGAGCCCTTGAGAATTGAATTCGAAGACTACCTGAGATGGTGTGCAGACTCATTCTCAGAGCAGGTTAAATATGGACACAAGGTCACGAGCGTGATCCCTGAACGAAGGAACGGCGTGGTCAAGAGCTGGCAAGTTGTGGTGCAGGATGCTACTGGCGGCACGCAGACTCTCCGCACGAAGAACTTTGCCTTCCCTGCACCTGCATCAAGAGATCAGAAAGCACGATCGCTGATCAATCTCAACATGGAGGCTGGCCGGCGTCATGTAGTCTCCTACGACGAATACCTTGGTGGTCGGAATGCGCTACGTGGACCTCGCGAGCCACGACTTGATGTTGCTGTCGTGGGCTCTGGCTCTAAGACGGCCGAAATCATTGACGACCTCCTCACCTGTTCGAACTTGGGAAACATAACGGTAGTCACAGAGAACGAATCGCTTGTCCCGCTACAGGTTTTGAGCAAAGAGACTACCCCACCACCACCACGCCTGTGCTCTCTGTGGGTAAAACCATCGTGCGAAGAACAACCTGCTCTGTCAGATACCTCAGAGTTGTTACACAAGGTCTATGATCGTGCGTATGAGAAGCAGGTTGCTAGCAAGGGACAGTACGCGCTGCGGATCGTGTTGTCAAGAGATGCGAGTAACACTGCAGAGGTAATAGCACAGGCAGGTGTCGTCATTGCAGAGACCCCTACCGAGACGCAACTGGCGACGGATGGTCTCTTTGACCAGGTAGATGCACTGGTGCTGGGCTGTCGACAGAAGAGCGAGAGCCTCGAGGAGGTACAATTCAAGCGTGGGACTGTGGCCGATGATTGCCGGATGTGGATGCTCAACGCACACTCGGACGAAGGTCGAACGCTAGCAAAGGACATCGCCATTCGCACGGGAGAGATCGCGAGAGTGGTCGCCGCCAGTGCCAATAGCGATCCTGCGCGTCGAGAAGGGGATAGGGCAATGGTTGTCAGCGCTCGCATATGAGTGATATAAACAGGCCAAATGGTACAAGTACAATGCAGTGTAGGGTGCTACTTCACAAAGCTACCTGTTGGAGCACGAAAAGTACTCGTACCAGGTCAGTACGAACTGCGCTGTAGCAAGAGAAGGAAAGTGTACGTTGTGACCGTGGCCGAGGGAGTCAGGTGCGATGACAGCGAATAGACCTGCATTGAGGCGGGTAGATGGTGGATACCAGTCAAGAAGGGACCTGTGCCGATCCCCACTGTCTGTGATGGTGAGGGTGATGGATGGTGTTTGTTCTGATGGAAGGGGACCGGTGGACGGAGATATTTCCAACATGTGATTTACTATGATTACTTCAATGTAGAATTTTTTTATCTGATCGAGTCTAAACCCGATTGAGCCACTAATAATCTGATCCTTACCCTTGATCTTTGACTTAGCGCCATTGACGTTCACCGTGTCCGTGCCATCCCTGAACATTATCCCACATCCATGACCCTCAACCTCCCGTCCTCCCATCCCATTATTGTCCCACCTCACACTCACACCATCGACCAGCCTGCAACAATCTCCGCATCCCTGTCTAAACCATTTTCCTCACCTACTCAAGCCTCAAGTGGACTTTTTTCTTCGTCGTGCGGTGTACTGCTGTACTGTACATACAGGACCACTCTCTGTCTTGCCCCCTCGGCTCCACCACTGATCGCCAGCTTAGACTTTCCCCCTCTCTGCCCATCTCTCTGTCCGTCTGGCCCTCTTGTCTGATGCCTCTCACTAGCTACATACGTGTCGTGCACTATGAGAATGCTCCCAATATGGCGCTCATCTCGGGCCTCATAGGCGTACCCTTCGCTCCTGGCCCCACTCTCATCCCATAGTCGTATTCTTCCCTTTGCCCCTGTCCTTAAGCTTTCCTTCTCCGAGAGGCACGCCTCCGTACAAGTTACGTAGCACGCGGAGCTGTTCAATCATGTCGTGCGTACATTGACATCCCCATGTCATCGGGGCCCATTTTGTTCCGGCCCGGCCTTGCTTGCTCAATTGTTCAAGTCGCTACCACAGCCTCTGCTCCCAGCGATTTTCGGCCATACAAGTTCTTCTGGGAGTGTTCGAACTCGATTTGAGATCCTTCAAGGTCTCACTTGCTGCGTCCGTCATATTCTGTCGTTACTCGCAGCGCCATGGAGCTCAAAGCTCCCTCTCTCAAGCCTCTATTTGGCTTTGTCTCGCTACTATTCTACGCAGACCCAACATGGCTCGACAAGTTGATGGTTGTTGTTGCCTTCTTTGCTGCCATCGGCGCTGGAGTACCGGTCCCTGTCACAGGTATTATTTTCGGTCAGCTCGTCGACGATATCAATCAAGCTGCCTGTGATACTTCGACACCTGCTACAGAGTCTCAATCTGCTATAAACAAAAAGGTCTTGACTCTCTTATATCTAGCCATAGGCCGTTTCTTCCTGATCTTCATACACATCGCCTGTTGGAATCTCAGTTCTCAGCGTCTCTCCCAGCGCATCCGTGAGCGCTACGTTCGGTCCCTTCTCAAACAAGATATCGCCTACTTCGACAAACTACCCGCTGGAGAAGTTTCCTCACGCCTCAATGGTGACATTCAAGCAATTCAGACCGCCACCTGCGAGAAGGTGGGAATTTTCTTAAATTGTATCTCCTTCGGCATCACGGCCTACATCATCGCATTCATCCTACAACCCAAGCTCGCCGGTATGCTGATTGCCCTAATCCCGGCCTTTGTCATCATGAACCTGGCAACCGGCCACTTCACGCAGAAGTATACCATACGGGTATCGAATCACTTCGCGTCTGCTGGTGCTATTGTTTCCGAGGCGCTTAACAATGTCGGTTTGGTTCATGCTCTGGGTGCTCAACCAAGGCTAGAGCAAAGTTTCGGAGAACGGTTGACAAATGCGAAACGAGACGGATTGAAAAAGGCTACGGTCGCAGCGACGCAAGCAGGCATGATATGGTTCATTGCCCTTTCAGCGCAGGCACTTGCATATTGGCAGGGTAGTATCAGGATTGCCCAATCCCTTGAATCCAACAGCAACGGCACAACTGTAGGAAAAATCTTCACGGTCATCTTCATCTTAGTCGATGGTTAGTATATGAGACGGTTGCCATTTGCGACATGCCTCAATGCTAAATTTTCATAGGTGCTTCCAATCTTGGACATATTGCTCCATTTCTGCCACTTTTCGGCGCAGGAGTGGGAACATTCAAACGCCTTAAGCAAGAGATCGAGCACCTGCCAACAATCGATGGAACATCTGAAAGTGGTGACAAGCCCACAGATGTAGAAGGCAGCGTGGAGCTCCGCAATGTTTCGTTTGCATACCCCGCAAGACCAGAGCACCAAGTTCTGAACAACGTCTCTCTGCAATGCGAAGCACAGAAACTTACAGCCTTGGTTGGCTTGTCTGGAAGTGGAAAATCTACAATTGCCAGTCTAATCACTCGATTTTACGATCCCCTTGAAGGATCTATCTCGTTAGATGGCAAAGATCTCAAGAGCCTCAATGTCAAGAGCCTAAGAGGCTTCATCAGTCTTGTGCCTCAAGAACCATCTCTTCTTGATCGCTCGATTCTGGAAAACATTGCCCTTGGCCTTGTCAACTCTCCTGCTCATGCACATCTTGAAAAGACTCTGCTTGGCGACGCTCTGGCGACCATCGCGAAAACCGTCCGAGATGGTCAGGACTTATTCAAACTCGCAGAATCCGCCAGTCCAGAAGTAGCAGAGATCGTCAGACTTGTGCAAACAGCAGCCGAGCTCGCAGATGTCTCGAATTTCGTCGGTCGTTTAGAGCACGGTTTCGCTACTCCGGTTGGATCAAGCGGAAGTCTTATTAGTGGTGGTCAAAAACAAAGGATTGCACTTGCTCGCGCCCTTGTTCGAAACCCCAGGATCCTGGTTCTTGATGAAGCGACAGCTGCACTAGATTCGGCTAGCGAGCAGCGCATTCAAGCTGCGATCGACAGAGCATCAAAAGGACGAACTGTTATTTCTATTGCGCATCGGCTGTCGACAATCAAAGCTGCTAGCAAAATCATTGTAATGCGTCAGGGATCCATCATTGAAGAAGGAACTCATGAAGAATTGATGAGCATCGAAAATGGTTCCTATGCTGAAATGGTTCGCCTGCAGTCGGTCAAGCCGGCTGGCGATGATGCCGCATCTTCTGCGAGTAGAAGTGCTGTTGATAGTGATGATGAGATCACAGAAAAAGGAAAGACAACAAACGACCCGGACGCTACTCATGCCCTCAAAGACAAGACCAAAGACAAGAGCACCGAGCCCAAGGAGGCCAGTGCCGAGCTTGCGGCGACATCTGTCAAGAGAGCAATTCTTCCTTTCCTACGACCATATCCCCTGCTTCTGACTGGTGCATTGTTTTGCTCTCTCCTTGTCGGTCTCACATTCACTGCCGCAGGTTTGATATTTGGAGATACCATTGGAAGCTTTTCGCCGTGTAACGAACCTGACTATATTCGCTCCCGCGGCCTACTCCTATCTGGAATGTACTTCATGCTTGCATGTGTTGAGTTTCTTGCCAATTTTGGCAGCTGGCAAGCATTTGGCATCGTTTCGGAGCGCCTAATCTATAAGATTCGCATACTGTCGTTTCGCTCATTATTTCAACAGCCACTCGAGTGGCACGAATCCGAAGGCCGGAGTCCGAATAAACTTTTGACTTACATAACTAACGACGGCAATTCCTTAGCCGGATTCAGTGGCTCCATTGTGGGAACTGTTTTCTCGGTTGTGATCAATTTCCTTTCCGTCATCGTGTTAACACACGTTCTGGCCTGGAGAATTGCCATCGTCTGCCTCACGCTCGTGCCATTGTCCTTGGGCGCTGGTTATATGCAGTGGCGTGGAGTTGCCAAATTTGCAGTGAAGCATGCTGGAGCATTCTCCAGCTCTATCGGTATCACTGTTGAGGCTCTTACAAATATCCGGACCGTTGCCGCGTTATCACTTGAAGAGGAGATCTTGCTGACATACCGTCGATCGCTCAAAGCACCTCGGCAGGAAATGGTTCGTCAGAGCTTTAACACCACTCTCTGGCTTTCTATTTGTAACGCTATGCCCGCTGCCATATACGCTTTCTCTTATTGGTGGGGCTCCAAGAACATCATCGAAGGCCGCTACAGCCCTTCGGATTTCTTTACGATTGTGGTGTCGCTCATGGTGTCAGCACAACTTTGGGGTCAGTTTTTCGTACTTGCTCCCGAGATCTCCAAAGCGCGAGGCGCGATGTCGCGAATCTTCGGTTTGATTGAACTCGGATCAAAGCCGAAGTCGAAAGTTTCCTCCGCACACTCAGGTGACAGCAGCTCCAAGTCATTTGATGATGATATGCACGAAAAGGGGGACATCGAGTCGGTCGCTGAAAGTCCATCCATTCCATCCCGCCAGGGTGGTGCTACTGTCGCATTCCGCGACGTCTCATTCTCATATCCCGCTCGTCCTAACATCCCAGTTCTAGACTCGCTTTCGCTTAGCATCCGACCTGGTCAATTCTGTGCGCTCGCTGGCCCATCTGGTGCTGGCAAGAGCACAGTCCTGGCTTTGCTCGAACGCTTCTATGAGCCAACATCTGGTGTTGTCTCCATAAACGGGTTTGATATCTCGCGCCATAACAGCGCTGCTTTCCGAGATGATATTGCCTACGTACCACAGGAGAATGTTATGTTCCAAGGGACTGTTCGATTCAACCTGACGCTAGGTGCACGACCTGGCCATACGCCCACAGACGCTGAGCTTGAGGAAGCGTGCAAACTCGCCAACATTCACGACGTCATCATTGGACTTCCCAAAGGGTATGACACCGACGTCGGCGCCAATGGCTCTCAACTATCAGGTGGCCAGCGACAACGTCTTTCTATTGCCCGTGCACTTATTCGCAAGCCCAATCTTCTCTTGCTTGATGAAAGCACAAGCGCCCTCGACGCCGAAAGCGAAAACGCCCTGGAGATGGGGTTGGAAAGAGCCGTCAAAGGCCAAGGAATTACTGTCATCGCCATTGCACATAGACTGCGTACTATCGCGAAAGCAGATGTCATCTTCCTGATCGAAGGTGGGCGTGTTGTTGATCAAGGACGCCACTCAGAACTAGTGGAACGATGTGAAAGCTATCGAGTGAACGCACTTCATCAAATGATGGCTTGAGGTAAAAAATAGTTGTTTCTTTTCTTTTATGTTTAAATATAGGATGAGAATCGGTTCACATAATCAGACTAATCCAAGATACCCGCTTCATAACATTCATACACATGTTGGATTATGAAAAAACTGAGTGAGGAATGAATATTGCACTTTGGCAAGGCTAAGCGCGCAATGCGAGAATGTTATGAGCGCTTGCAATGACACTACTGTGCCAACTTTCACCAAGTAAAAAGCCAAAAGCCCACCACATGCCTGGTGATGCCATTTTGTGGGATACTACAAGCGGCGCGACTCCGGCCGATCAAAAGCAATGTCGTAGACCACAGCCGGAGTGCGTTGAAACACTGTGATCGTCAAGCGGATTGCCAAAGTCGGAAAATTATTCGAGCTATTACTTAGACAATAACATCAGCGATTTAGCGTATCAGATGTGCCCTCCTACATTGCCAGCTATGATTGTTCGGCGACCCCTCATTTTGAAGATATTCACCGTGCATGTCAACCTATGAGGACGTTGAACAGCACAGGATGTATTGAAGCGAGGCTCGCTGACACCTAAGAATAAATGGAATGTGTATATGAAAAAAGGCAGCCTGCCCATGATAGAGTAAAACTATGACACCATCTCAATGGAAGATGGTGGGCGCATTAATGTATGGGGCGCCTAGGCTGGTGTGTATGTATGTACGTGGGGTTGCTGGCTTCCTCTTGGGACTGTTTACCGCGACGCCTGAAGGGCACTGTTGATCGGTCTGAGGTCTACACAGTACACTTACTACACCATCCCAAGAACGACACACTATGAGGCGTGCACGTCGTCGAATTACCTACGCAGTAGCGACTTCAGGGTTCCATTATGACCCGTCTCCGAACCTCGGCCGTTATCTGATGAACCGCTCAAGGCAAACTGTGCCGGTCTAGGGCTTCTCACCAACGACGACATCACATCACCCTGCATGAGGCAGATTGCCTGCATCGGTAGACGAACCCTTTCCAAGCAAATTGCCAAAAATTTGAGCCCTCCTCCAACAGGGATCATCCCTCATTGTCAGGCTTATCAGATCCAGCCACAGGCTCGGTTCTCTGTATTGGCTATCTGATCCGTCGACTAGACTCGTCACTCGGTGGGTCCCGTCCACCATCGGCCGGAGTTGCGAAATAATTTACAACAAAGCTCTCTACTCAGCGGCCTCCACATGGAACGGGGGTTGCATCATGCACGCCTTCTAACTTACACATACTTGGACGAAGAGATCGGTTGTCTTCTCTATGCCTCTGGGCGGGCCCCTGCAGCCGAGTCCCAAGTGGCTCTGAAGGTGGCGGAATTTTGTCAACTTGGGAGTCGTTGACCCGTTGCTCGCGCGGGGAGGCAGTAAAAAACCAACCTAGAGCGCCGAGTTGTGCGCAAGTAACGCGTTCCCTGTATGACCTCCGGTCACCTCCAGTGGAGCCTTCTCTCTTCGTAGATAGTATGCTTGGATCGTTTTACATAAAGGTGTGGGACTTCGGGAGGGAATCACGAACCTATGTCCCGTCTTCACAACCCTTTACATATGATAATACCCCTTCATTATTAGTACCTTTCTCTTCATTGTCTCGGGACCATCATAGAATGCATTTGGCGAAGGAAGTTCCAGTTAATGGTGGCGGTGGCCACCATACTTCCGTCGTGAACGGCCATAAGAGCAACGGTGTGCACTGGAGCAATGGCACAGATTCTCCCGCATCTACACCGGCATACACCGCCCGTGGGACGCGCACAGAAGAAGAGAATGAATTAATAATAAGCATTCCGAAAAGCACATCTCAATCGGATGTTCTTGAGACACTCATCACAAGCTGGATTATACTTGTGCAAAGATATCAGCGGGATGCATTCCGCGCTATCTCATGGGGCCTCAAAGACGCTGCTAACTCCGAACTGCAATGCATTTCTGCAGAACAATTACAACTGCAGGATTTATCCACCGCAGAAGATCTTCTTCAAGCAGTACGGAAAGTAACATCAAAAACCATCGTTAGTGAGCGAGGCTCAGATCCGATCCTTGTTTTCAAGGATGGCACACCAGACGAGGTAAAAAGCATTTCCCTCTGGAATCTGAAGACTTGGCTAAATCACAACGATAGTGGAGATTCCAGACTTTTGCTGTGCAACTACGGCCTACTTCCATCTACGCTACTTCGCAATGGAGAGTACCCGAGATGTCTCTGCACCAAGCAGTCACACAACTCCACATGCTTTCCGACATTGTCGCTACTGTTTTCCAAGATCGACAGTACTTATTATCACATTTCAACAGCCCTACCCAAACTGAATTAGACGAGCTGTGGTCCTGGAATACTCCAGTTCCTCCTACTATCGATAGATGTATGCACGACATTTTCTCTGAGCAGGCTCAGAAACATCCCGACAAGCCCGCTGCGGACGCTTGGGATGGCATTTTGACGTTCGGCCAAGTAGACCAATATTCAACAGAATTGGCACAAACATTATTACTGCTAGACGATAAGCCGTCCGTCGTTCCAGTGTTGATCGAGAAATCACGATGGGCAATGGTCTGCGTGCTCGCGGTCATGAAATCCGGAAACACGTTCGTTCTCCTCGACCCTGTTCAGCCCCAGGGCCGACTGAGCGCCATCATCGAGCAGACCAAGTCTCGAATCATCGTCGCTTCAAAGGCACAGGCATCACTTGCTGCTCAGGTAGCAGCCAATGCTACGATAGTGCCTGTGTCCGAATCGAAATTTGCAAATGTGTACTCCCCGTTCGCAGAGCAACAACCCAAAACTTCTCTGCCTCCAGTGGACCCATCGGTACCTATGTATGTTCAATTTACATCCGGAAGTACTGGAAAGCCAAAAGGTTGCATGATATCGCACCGGCAATACGTCTCTGGAGCGATCGAGAGGCCTCCTGGTATCGGTTATAAGAGCACCACTCGATCACTTGATTTCGTCAGCTACGCATTCGATGTCAGCATTGATACCATGTTCTTCACGCTATCTCAAGGTGGAACTCTCTGCATAACATCTGATGAGCGACGCATGAATGATCTCAACGGTGCCATGCGGGACTTGCGAGTCAATTTCGTGGGCCTGACACCATCTGTCGCGCGAACCCTCGAGCCAGATGTGCTTGATCAACTCGATACGCTAGCTGTAGGTGGTGAAGGCGTTGCATCGAGCGATGTCAACGAGTGGCTCAAACGATGCAGTCGAGTTGTTAATGCGTATGGCCCTTCAGAGTGCACAGTTGGAGCCACATACAACAATCATCCTGGCAAATATCCCTACATCACGATCGGCAAAGCATCTGGCTGTGTGTGCTGGTTGACTGATCCAGGTGACCACAACAAGCTCGTGCCAATCGGCGCGGTTGGTGAACTGTTGATTGAGGGTCCCATTGTCGGAATGGGCTACTTGGATAACCCCGAGAAGACGAATGAGGTTTTCATAGAAGATCCTGGCTTCCTCACTGCCGGAAGCTCACATTTCCCCGGTCGTAGAGGTCGAATGTACAAGACAGGAGATCTAGTCCGCTACGATCCCGATGGCAATGGCGAAATGGTCTTTATCGGTCGTCAAGACCAGCAAGTCAAGCTCCGTGGCCAGCGCATCGAGCTCACCGAGATCGAGTACAACATGAAGAAACACCTACCTGCAGATACTCAGGTTGCAGCCGAGGTCATCAAGCCTGGCGGAACGGGGACGCCAGTTCTCGTCGCTTTCATTGTCGAGAAGCGCTTCGCAGACGGAGAGTATCCGGACGGCAGCATCTTCGGCTCTTTCTCGACAAAGTTCCTAACAGCCCTGAAGGATATGACGCAGAAGATCTCTCAGGATCTACCAGTGTACATGGTACCTGCTACATATATCCCTATTTGGACAATGCCAGCTCTCGTGTCCTCGAAGACAGACAGAAAGAAGTTGCGTGAGATTGGTACCATGATCGACCGACAAAGTCTGCGTCGCTTCAACGCTGCCATGACTGATCACGTCAAACCAACAACAGAGATGGAACTTGCAATATGCGCCATATGGGTAGATATCCTCGGTGGTAGTGATGAGTTCAGCGCCAACGACAACTTCTTCAGCATGGGCGGTGACTCGATTCGAGCAATGAAGCTTGTTTCTGCTGCTGGAAAGCAGAACATTCGGCTCAACGTGGCGAATATCATGATGAATCCCACCTTGGCCGGCATGGCCAAAACGGCCCAGGTCGTTTCTAGCGACGAAACTGATGATATCCCAGCGTTTTCGCTTCTGCCAAAGGGCTGGAATGTTGACAATGCCATTGCTGAGGTCGCATCGGCATGCGGAATATCCAAAGATCAAGTCGATGACATTTATCCCTGCACACCTTTGCAAGAAGGTCTCATCGCGCTTTCCACCAAGAACTCTGGAGGTTTCGTAGCGCAGCGTGCCCTAGAGCTCCCTCTTGCGACGGCAACACGCTTAAGAGATGCCTTCCGCGTCGCCGTGGCGGAGAGTCCAGTACTGCGCACTCGAATTGTGAGTGCAACTGGGCGCGGACTCGTCCAGGTAGTCGCCAAAGGATCGCTCACCGACTTCGAAGATGATAATTTGGAAAGATACCTTGAGCAAGATCGCCAGACTCCCATGGGTCTCGGAACCCCATTGTTTCGCTTTGCACTCATCTCCGGCAGCGGCAAAGAGAAGGCTCAAGTGGTTTTGACCATGCATCACGCAATCTACGACGGCTGGTCCGTTCCACTAATGTGCGAGCGAGTCAATCAGATCTACAAGGGCGAAAAGCCCACACCAACGGTCGATTTCAAGCAGTTCATCCGATTCCTTCTGAGTATCGACAAGTCTGAGTCGGATGAGTACTGGAGAAAGTATTTGGACGGCGCACATCCAGTGCAATTCCCCCCTCTTCCAGAGCCAACTTATCTCACCAAATCGGACTCTTTATATGAATACCATGTCACTCTTCCAAGTGCTGCTCATTCGCAGACTACTATGGCAAATTTGATCCGTGGCGCTTGGTCTCTAGTTTCCCAGCTTTACTTGGGACATCACGACGTCGTTTTTGGCGAGACTATCATCGGACGTTCAGCTAGCGTTCCTGGTGTCGAATCGATTGAAGGACCAATGATCACAACCTTCCCTGTGCGCGTGCACATGGATATGGAACGTACCGTCAACCAACACATGCAAGACATCCAGGCTACATACGTCAAACAAATTCCATATGAGCATGTGGGACTTCAAAATATCAGTCGCGTCTCGGCTGACGCACGTCACGCTTGCGAGATCAGGACTGGACTTGTTATCAATCCACCTGAAATGAATCCCGAAGGTCTTCCAAGCTTAGAAGAGGAACCTGCTGGCGGTTTCGTTCCTCCGGATGCTGCCGCTGCGGCGGAAGAGGCGCGGAAGTTCAACACTTACGCGTTGATGCTTGTGTTCACATTGGAAGAGAATGGCTTCCTCATCATGGCCGCTTGGGACTCAAACTGCCTTTCTTACTCCGCACTGGAAAGAGTACTGGGAGTTTTCGATCGCGTCATCACCAAGTGCTGCGAGAACCCTCAGCTCCGTCTCGTCGATGTAGCCAATCTCAATAAAGAAGAGTCGGCCGATGCCGAAGCAATTCGCCCCGTCGGAATTACACTTAGCGAACCACCTGCAACTGTTTCGCAGACCGCTAAACAATCTACTGGCGAGGCTTCAGGAGTCCCTATCACCGAAGATGAGCAGCGGCTACGCAGCGTTCTTGCGCCTATTTTGGGCCTCGCAGAGAGTGATATCCTGCCGTCAGATTCGTTCTTCGAACTCGGAGCAGATTCCATCAGTGCTATGCGCTTTGCTTCAGACGCTCGTCCCCATGGCTATGAAATTACAGTCGCCCAGATTTTCAAGACACGCACCATTTCGGCGCTTGCAGCAAGTATTCAGTCATCAAAGGAATCGAAACTCAAGGAGACCATCGGGCGTGTTCTAGACATCCCGGCGGAGACGATCGACCTTGGAAAGAACTTCAACGACTTGGGAGGAAACTCCGAAGCAGCATCTCAATTTATTGCTGAAGCCCGATCGCAAGGTCTCGTCATCGAAGCCGCGCAGCTTTCTCAGAATGTGCCTTTATCAGCTCTTCTCTCTCAAAAAGAGACTGGCACCTCCACGGCAGCGGAGAACACTGATCTGGATGCGCCATTCGCAGCCCTTACTGGAGATCTGCAATCGTTGACTGCGGAGGACCTTCAACCTCATCTGCAGAACAAGGAATGGAAGATAAGAAACGCTTACCCAACAAGACCTCTTCAGAAGTACTCCGTAGATGCTACCGTCAATCTTCCTAGGTTTGCACTTCGATACGAGGTGATCCACTTTCCTGCTTTCATCGATCAGGCCAAGCTGCAGCGTAGCTGCGAAGAACTTGTTGCGCGAAACGAGGCACTTCGGACGGTGTTCATCCCCTACGCAAACCAGACCTTGGGTGTTGTGATTGATAACCTTCATGCGGCTTTCGAACAGATTTCCGTTCCGGAAGGAGAAAACATCGTAGAATTTGCGAAGAAATTCTCCAACGAAGACATCGAGAAGCCTAAGCCTCATGGCTCCTCGTTTGTGGGCTTTTTGCTATTCACCTCGTCTGACAATAAAGAAGCGGTCCTTGTGTTCCGCATCAGTCACGCACAATATGATGAGATATGCCTTCCCGGGCTATATGAACAGCTCGTAAGCCTATATTCCGGTACCACTGTTCCTGCCACCGTGCCCTTCACCCGGCACGTGAACTACTGCATAAACAAGAGCATACCAGAGTCCATACCATACTGGAAGGAATTGCTCGACGGCTCTCAGATCTCCATTCTTTCGCCACCTGAACCACCGAAGAGCAACGAAGCCGTGGACATATACCGAGAATTCGACATTTCCACCCGACCATCCGGCATCACCATCGGCTCGCTCCCCACCGCCGCCTGGGCAGTCGTCCTAGCGCGCCGTTTGAGCATCCGCGACGTCGTCTTCGGCGAAGTTGTGACCGGCCGCGCCATCGGCACGCCCGACGCCGATCGCATCTTCGGCCCTACCTGGAACTACGTCCCTTTCCGCGTCCCCTTCCAGGACTCATGGACATACCGCGACCTCTTGGAATTCGTACAGACGCAACACGTCCAGTCAGCTGCGCATGAGAGCATGGGTCTCAGCGAGATCGTCGAGCACTGCACGAACTGGGATCCCAAGAAGGTGACTTGGTTCGACACGGTTGTCCATCAAGCTCCAGGAATGACTGAGAGCATGAGCTTTGGTAATGTGGCTGCGACGTTCGAGATTACCTACCCGCATGCAGAAACTCTGAGGGAGTGGAAGTGCCAGGCTTTCGTTCAGGATGGCGGTAACAAGCTCGGAGTTGAGATTGTCGCTTTCAAGGAGTGGAAAGACACTGCCGATGCCTTGTTGCAGGAGGTAGGCGAGGTACTCGCTAGTTTGGTCAGTGGGTCTACTGAGAAGGTGTTCTAGTAGAGCCTCTGCCAGTACAAAGTACGGACGTTAAGAAATATTTGAAAACGAAGTACTGTATGCGAGTACGCACAGCTTCATTATTGTTCCTCTTTTGAGCATAATCGTAATGTCGTTGGAACAGTACATTTACGAACACCTATCCTGCATTATATCATTTGGCGCATCTACACGGTCTCATGTTATTCAAAGCATTCTGTATATACCTTTAGTATCTACTTATCTTGCAACTTGCTGTTGTTCTCTATTACTATTCAAGTTCTCATCTATGTTGATTTTCAGAAAGTAGAAGGACGTAACATTGCAGTTCACTATTTCAAACACGAAGGGGCGGTCGCTTGCAGACCGTTAGGCCCTCACCAAGCATCATCCAAGCCATTCAATATAAGACTCAAGAGGCGAACCCAAAGCGATACGCCTTTCCATTCCTTCAACAGCAACGCGCACACCGAAACTTTAAGAAATATCCCAACTCGACTCGTGTCCATGTGCACCGTATATGGAATTTTGTCTCTGCGGCGCCTAGATAAACGCCATTGTTTGATGACGTCCCCACAAGCGTGTTTCAACTGACCCGTACGCATGGGGCGCCAAGCAATGGATTCCGCCATGGAACAATTTACTTCTCACACCTGAGTCGAGCGCTTACCACGTTGACCTGGATTTTGGTATCAAGTTCTCTTTCTCTTACTGCTGCATGAAATCATAGTTTGGACAAATTTCTTCATGATGCAGTAGAGATCATGATCTCATTCCTCATGCGCAAAGGCCCATCCCACTGCGTCCCTCGTATTTGTCGAGTGGCGATCAAGGCACTAGACTGTGAGACAGAATGGTTCTTGAGGTGTAGGGAGCTTAAGATTATGATGCGCTTCAACGGCATCCTCTTCCGAAAAATGACAAGAATGAAGTGCAGACAGCTCCGTACCAAGGATTCTACACAGGACATGAACCTTCAAGAAGGCTGACTACCTGCAACTAGTGGTGGTCTTCCGTACTTCTCTGTGGCAACACTATTCTAACAAGTGCGAGAATTGAAGAATGGTCATTGTCGTACAGAGCGAATGCGACGCGGGTGGTCCAGATCCACAGGAAGAAGCAAAGGCCATCACCACCAGAATTGTCGCTTTGCCTAGAACCGTGCTGCATGCAGCATAGTAGGCGTCTTCAAACAAATCTCTATAGACCATGATTCTGAACATAACTCAGAAAATGGTATCGATCAATAGTAATAACCATGGGCTCACCGTAACGGGTTGTCAGCATCGAGTGGTGGTTAGAGAGCACCTCTGAATCGCAGGAAGTTATCGAACCGAACCGCAGCTAGTCTCTTCGTGGACACATGCAGGATACAACAGATGCTCCACCAATCAGAATGCGATATTTGGACCTGTCAAATCTCGTCAGATTCGATGAAACGCATGATCCTTCTCTTGGCTCATATATTTGCATGTTTTCGAGAAACACCAAGCATCTAGTCTAGCCCCTGGGATTTCGCTCTTGCTAAACGAAACGAGCCATCATGCGAGGCCAAACGGCTGTCATCTCTAATGGAATTAGCGTTCGTTGCCAGTATGTCAGTTATAAAGAACTTGACCGTCGCTCACCAGTATAGCCATCATCAACGCAGCTGAGCTGGACTTTCGTTTACTTTTTGCATTTCGTCTTTCGTTTCAACTTCGTTTAGTCACTCTTTTTACCAAACATTATCCATCATCATCATCATCATCATGAAGACTGTCGCTATCCTCGCTGGCATGGCCGCCATGGCTAACGCCCACGCCACATGGCAACAGCTTTGGAGGAACGGTGAGGACCTAGAGTCCACTTGCGCCAGGTTGCCTCCATCCAACAGCCCCATTGAGGACTACACTAGCACTGCTCTGCAATGTAAGCAATTACACAATACAGGTCTTTGTGCATGTACTAATTACTGGATCAGGTAACGTCAACCCTGCTGCTGCTGCTGGAAAGTGTAGCTTCGAGGCTGGCGACACAGTCACCATCGAAATGCACCAACACAACGACCGTGAATGCACCAAGGAGGGCATCGGTGGTGCCCATTGGGGACCTGTTCTTGCCTACATGGGCAAGGTCGAGGATGCTGCCCTTGCCGATGGTTCGGGCGAGTTCTTCAAGATCTACCAGAACGGATGGAAGAAGAACCCGGAGGCCGCTCAAGGAGACAACGACTTCTGGGGAACCAAGGACCTCAACTACAACTGTGCGTCTCAGAACATATCCAATCAATCATACGGAACTAACAATTGTGTCAGGCGGTAAACTCGACTTCAAGATTCCCGCTGACCTTGCTCCTGGTGACTACCTCCTCCGAGCTGAGGCTATCGCTTTGCACGCTGCCAGCTCAGGAGGTGGTGCTCAGCATTACGTGACCTGCTACCAGCTCACCGTCACTGGTAGCGGATCTGCCACCTTCGAGGGTGTCAAGTTCCCCGAGGCCTACTCCAAGACCGGCCCTGGTCTTGGATTCAGCATCCACGCTGACCTTTCTGACTACCCCATTCCCGGCCCAGCTCTCATCGCAGGTGGGTCTGAGGCTACTCCCCAGCTTTTGACCTTCGGTCAGATCACCGGTGCTCCCCCAGCAGCCACCGGTGGAAGCGGAAGCCCCAAGCCTTCTGCTACCACTGCTGCCGCCCAGCCCACCTCTACTGCCGTCGCAGCTCAGCCTACGACCTTGATCACTTCCGCTGCTCCCACTGCATCCGCAAGCGCAACACCCGTCGCCGAGCCAGTCTCATCCAGCCCTGCTCCCGCTCCTTCTGCAACCGCCCCTGCCGCATCTGCTCCTCCCGCGGCATCCCAGACTCCCGCCCCATCGGACAAGGAGTACACCCTCGAGACCTTCATTGCTTGGCTTCAAGATGAGGAGGCCGCCGATGTTGCTAAGGCAAAGGCTCGCCGCCATGCTCGCGCATTTCGCGTCTAAAGAGCATAGTCTCATAGCATTCACACAACCAGAAATGATTGTTCATGGATAACAAAGGGGAGGAAACGATTTTCGTGTAAATACTTTTAACTCTTTGATAGAGGATTTTCAATTCACTTCTCATTTGGCAATGCAAGCTTTTTGCAGATGCTGAGCCTGTTCTATGATTGTCCCAATGGCCTTTGCAGATGTGACGAATCAATATCTCTTATATACTTTCCGTGATATGCTAATCATATGTATGCCGTCAAATATTCAAGGCAACCAGCTTCGATGGAAGCTGAGATGACATTCTGCGGTAATACTCATTACACGCCTCACAGAAACTAGTCCTTTCATGAGCTCGTCCCTAGAGCCTGGAAATATTGAATCAATGGTACAGCATTCGCCTGCTCAATCCGTAGGCGAAGTTGTCTAGTTCGTACAGCAGACGTGAGCTGATGGATACGTTTATACCCCATCGATGTGCCTCGAACGACCTCCTTATAAGAGCCATTGATCATCGCATCAACTGCATATGCGCCGATACGCTGGCCCAACGTCACATGTTCTTGGACAATGAAAGCATCGACAAGCGCATCAGCGCCCAAGTCAACAGTCAAAGACCCAACCCTCTTATTATCGTCCATCGTCCAATATGTCTTATCGTTCGTCAGTACGTTAGCCGCAGCGAATGTAGACGAACCGCCACCGCGCACACTGCTAGCATTCACCACGAACCCTGGCTTAAGAAGCCCTCGATTCAGGAACCGATCTCGCTGCGCTTTGAACTGAAGCAGCACCTCCGCATCCACAGCATCGATCTTGCCCGTTCTGTCCGGCGGAACATCGAGCAGTAGATTGACACTTTGACCCACAGACTGCAAGTACATTTTCATAAGCGCGTCCGCTGTCTTCGGCTTCTCGTTCGCATGATAGAACCAGCCGTCGCGAATACGCGCATCAGCCTCGGCAGGCGTCCAATACGTTCCATCGCGCATTCCGGTCTGGAGCTCGCTTTCGCTGTAGCGTTTGTCGTCTTGAGTGCGATTGATTGTGTGCCAGTTCGTCGCGACTGTGACACCGTCTTCATTGCCCACCCAGCGAGCATCTACACCTTGGTGTCCCCACATGATTGCGTTGGGCTGGTGCTGTCGAATGATGTCGCGGAATGCCGTCCAGTTGAACGTTTGGACTGTGTTCGATCCACTCGCGCCATCGAGCCATATTTCAAAGATCTCAACCGGTGAGCCGTCATCGTGTTTCATCGTCACAAGTTCTGTCAGTTGTTGGACGTAAAGCTCATTGTAGTCGCCTGGGCTGCTGTCTCCAAAGATCTGCGGTTCCGCGTAGATCGTACCAGCCAAATGCTCCTTAGGCATGGCTGGGTCACGATGGATATCCCAAGGCGACAAGTAGATACCGAAATCAATCCCATACTTTTTCGCTGACGCCGCGGCCATACGCACGACGTCTGTTTCGAGACCTTTAGCGGCGCGGTCCTTGGCCCATTTCCCGTTGTCGATCTTATAGGTCGTCGAGTTGGTTTTCCAGAGCGCCATTCCGTCGTGGTGTTTCGCTGTCAATATCATGCCCGCCATTCCCGCGCGGGCGAACGATTCGGCCCATTGGTCGGTGTCCAGCGTTGTTGGAGCGAAGACGTCGGGAGTGCTTTGGCTGCGGCCCCATTCTTCATCCGTGAAGGTGTTGGGGCCGAAGTGGATGAATGCGTAGTACTCGCGCTGTTGCCATGTTATTTGTCGCGGCGAGGGTGTTCGTAGGTATGGTTTGGGTGCATCCTGAGCTTGCAAGGTCAGTGTTAGACAGCTTGCGATGGCAAGTCTTGTGATTATGTGCATTACGTCGAATCTTTTGAGAAGTTGGGTCAAAGCGAACTGGTCTTCTACAACAGGTATGAGATCCTCGATTCGTCACGACAATACACAAACACCGTCGTGCAGGACAGATTGTAGCTCAACCAGGTGCAAGCCATGTACCCTACAGGTAAACATCGTGTCGAGAGAGACACCCCGCAGATTTGCGGGGTTTGCCAGTTGGTAAATGCAACGTCACATCGTCCTGAATACTTCTTTTGCCATTCAAGTAGATTTTAAAACCACACGTACTGATTGACTAGGGCACGTTGTTGCTTTACTTCGGGGATCGCATCAAATTTGGGAATGTTGCCTTTTCAAGGAAGTCTTCATGATTCCCTTGCACTACCCATACCTTTATTCGGCTGCTTTTGTATTCACCTTCCACGCAGGGGCTAGTACTGGTCTTCGCGGATGTTTGCACCCCGGAAAATTAGTTCAATGGCAATATATATATTACCACGATAATTATTGAACCTGGTTGATCGGCAATGAAACTATCCAACGGTCTATATAAGGTTCAGAGCTTAGGAGTCTAACATTAATTAAAAAGAAACGTATGGTAAAGTTGTGTGGATGGTCAGACCACAGCTACTACCTAGCTTTCCCTGGCTAGGAGCTCTACGTTCAGAACTCGGTTTGGCCAATTACGAGTTCATTTTTTTGCAATTTTTTTTGCAATTTTTTTTATTTGCCAACATGAGAATGTCAACCGAACAAGCCTAGGATGCTGCGAATAGACGTTGTGCTGGTCAACAACATGGTCTTTCACACAAGTTCTGCGGCATGCTATGATTGTATGCAATTGCAATGGCTAGTGTATGATGTCATAAATGAAATATTTCATTGACTCTGAGATGGCTCAACTACATGCGCCATAGGCGATAAAACACCTCTTTTATATTACTTAATCTACAGCATCCCAACCCTTTCTTTCAACTGCAATCCAACATCCAGATTTTTACTCTTCCGAGCGGCGGTTGTTGTCAATGAAGACCTTCTTGAAGCGGAAGTGCAGAAGATCGTTGGTGACTTCCCACGCGCTCTTCGCATTCATCTTTACCAATTGCCTTGTGGGCATCTGGAAAAGCTGGTCAATCTCCTCCAACGTCTTGTCCTTAGTCTCCGGCATGAAAAAGATCTGGTAAAACCAGCCAAGGACGGCGATACCACCATAGAAGCCGAGAGCGAGACCGGTCTTTGTGAACGCGTTCTGCATGGCAGTGAAGTTGTATGTAACAATGAACGAAGACAAGAACAACCAACCAGCAGAAGTTGTCATACCGTAAGAGCGAAGATAGGTGGGGTACACCTCTGATGGGATGACCCAGGTCAAGCATGCGTAGGAACCGAAGAACATCTCGTAGATGACGAGACCAGTCAAGTAGACACCGAGGGTACCGCTAAGAGAGTCGATGTGGTAGCTTACACCGACGAGAACAAGACCAATGAAGAAACCGGGCAACATGGCGATGGCCCAGAAACGACGACCGCAAGTTTCCATGAGGAAGATGGCAGGGATGGTACCGATGAGAAGAGCGCCACCACCAACAAGAGACATGTAAGTAGCATCGTAGGTATCGAAACCAACTTGAGACATGAGAACGGACATGTAGTACCTGTCATGATGGTTAGTTTCGATTGTGGATAGACATGAAATGCAGATGTTCGTTGACTTACATGATAGCGTTGATACCAGTGAACTGACCCAAGAAGATCATGATGTTGGCGTAGATGATCGCACGACGAGCACGGGGCTTGGTAAAGAAATCCATCCAAGGGTAGTTGCCAGTGCGGCCGGCCGCAACCTCCGCCTGCTCCTCTTCGGTGCTGACCTTCATGACGAAGAACTCTTCGCGAGACTCGGGTGTGGAGATACCGCGAATGCGCTTCCAGACTTTGTAAGCTTCAAGTGTTTTGCCCTTGTGCATGAGGAAACGCGGGCTCTCCGGCATGAACAAGATGCCGACACCCATGATAGTCGAGAAGAGCAGCGAGCTGCCGAGAATATATCTCCAGTTTCCGGGAACACTGATGAACATAGCTGCGACGGCATAACCAAGCACCTCTCCGAGGGCAATGCAGAATTGGTACAGGGAAACCATATTTCCACGAAGCTTGCGCTCGACAGTCTCAGCGACATAGACGGGAACAGTGCCGCCCTCAAGACCAACACCAGCACCAAGGATGACACGAGCGGCAACGATCATACCGAAGTTGATGCTACCGGCCTCAAGCGCGCCGCCGATAGTGTACAGGATGCAAGAGATGATGATGGCCCAACGGCGTCCAAAGTATTCGTTGCAAGGCGAGATGAGAAGTGCACCGCCGACAGCTAGAACAATACGTTAGTAAATAGAAGTACAAGTTACATTATTGGGTCACACTAACCGCCCAATGGCATGCCTGCGTTGACCAGAGAGTTCTGTCGGTCGTCGAGATGGAGAGACTTTGGGAGTGTCAAGTTGGCTCCAGAGATAAGAGACTGGTCGAGACCAGAAAGAAGGCCACCCATCGATGCGAAGGCAACAAGGAGCCATGTGAAATGCTTGGGGTTTTTGAACTCGAGATCGAACATTCCCTTCTTATCGCCAGCTTGCTCCAACTCCTTCTCCAAGTCATGGATCAGGTTGTCGGACTCCCAGCCTGTTGCGGACTCAAGGTGTTCGCTCTTTGCCTTTGGCTGAGCCATGGAAGGAATACTTCCAGTTCGAGGAGCGGTCTGAATGTCTGCTGTAGAATGCTGCGCGACCACCTCCGTGTGCTGAGATGGCACTTCGGACTTAGTGGTATCGACTTGCTTCTCGTCCATCTTGAATTTAGGTACAGGGGTATCAAAGAACTATAAAAGAGGAAAGGCGTCGATGAGTATCGACGAATTCGAGCTCAGCTCAAGAGTAAAAAGGAGCAGTGAAAAGCGCAGAAGGAAATACCCTTGGAAAGCAAACCTCCTGTGCGAAGCAGATCTCCGCCTTTTGTACTTCGGCACGAGGCTCCGCAGAAAACACCATGGGGATCCCCAAGACTTGTCCCATGACGTGGAGAGCAGCCTATTATTCACTCGGTTGGTCTTACCGTAGTTCGCGTGCACCATAATCTGGTTTGGTTTCACCCCAGAATGCTTGTATGTGGAGTCTAGTACTGGGAAAATCTCGGCGTATCTCTTGTTTTTTGGTTGAAGATTTGGGGGCGTCTTTTGCTACAAGTACGCATTTCAACACTTCTTGCGATATTGTTGGGCATTTTGCTCCCCGTTTCCCCCAGCATTTCCCCATATCTCTATGGACTCAACAAAACAGAAGTCCCACCCTCATGGTCGCATGAAGATAAGCTACAGCTTCTCCATGTGCTTTACTGCGGAGTTTCGTGCTCACCACTACAATCGAGGATGTCAGATCAGGAGAGATACCTTTTGACGAAGTTGACCGATATTCTTTCCGAGAACCATGCTGAGCAATAGAACAAGGTAGCGTGGTGGGTCTTGGTAGTGGAGCTTGGTGGAGCTTAACTGAGCCAAAAGGCATTTAAGAGTTCTAAGAGATTTCTAAAATCCTTCTAGCGACCAGTAGCGCAATGCGGCTCTGCACATTTTTCTCCCAGAAGAAGTCTAGTGGATCACGTTCGATGAACATTCCCCTTTCAGAATCGCATTTGGATATGGCAAAAGATATGCATCCCTTGAACCGATTGGTCTGGTTGGCTTGCTATGATGTCTGTCTTACATGAAGTCGGATCGCTTTGAACAACACCGTTCAGCTCATTTAGAAACACAAACTGGTTTGCACCCACGAGAACGCAAAAGTGGTAATCCAAACATGATATTTTACAACTCTATTTCAATTCATTGGAGGCTAAGGACATCTTGTGATGCTAATCCTCGCAGTCCTGAAAAATCATAACCCTTTTTTTTTTGTGGCCGCATTTGCGCCGGCTCTAACTGTTGCCATTGGTGAAGTCGTCTCACCTGATAGACCACCATGAATTAGTCCATACCTCATACGGCCAAATCATGTATTCGATCGGCAGCAATCGGGATTTCAATGCCTTCAACGCGATGCGTTGTTTCAAGGCCCGCTGCTCTTTCCATTGATGATCGGACTCAACCTAGTATTTTCTCTATGTCTTAATGGTGCTACCCCCGCGCTAGCCCTTGCAGAGAAAGAACTTGGGTCAAGAGGGTAAATTTTTGCAGTTGGCTTTGAACAAACTGGGGATGAGTTAGGATGCGTAATCCGAAGTTTAGCTTCCCGGTGGATAGGACAATAAGTTGGATAATCGTTTACGCGAACATGATCAGGGCTGATGAGTCGATCGTATAAGTGCTCTTTCGACATGTAGTTAACGGTGTCCAATAATGTGGCCAGTGTTGATGTTCTTTGCGCCTCTCCATGTGTGTCCATGTTCAGCCAGACCTTTTAATGGTTAGTTTGCCAGAAATTTTGTTGTAAGTGATGTATGGGCTTTACAAACTCGTGCAGACTGTATGTAGTTACACATATTGCGACATACATTCATCTAGTTTGTGACGTCTGAACGACACCTAGATGGGAAGATCCGCGGATGATTTAGCTTGATTTGGTCAAAATGGGCCGTTTGCTTGATCACTGCGTTCCTGGCCATTCCCCGGCAACTAGCCTCTAGCTAATGTCTGGAGACGCAGACCATGAACCGGGCAGACAAGAATGTCAATTTTCCCATCAACAGACTCGAAGCATGCTGAATCTTCATTTCAATGGAATCAATCATGAACGTCTTGCATCATTTGGTAATGCGTAATTCTTTGCTTTTCCGATATGTATGAATATGAGCAGGTTGCTGAAACAATATGTACAATCACCCGTAGACAGACGTCTTTATATAATGTGCTAATCTCAAGCCGCTTAAGAAGCCTTGATCTGGGCCAACACAGTGTTGTATGCAGTCTTGGCCTTATAGCCAGAGTCGAAGAGCAAGGGGTTGCCAGAAGGCCTCCAGGAATCGCTGTCACGAACACCCCAGACGGTGATACCAACGCAGTTGGCCTGGTTCATGCAAGCCTTGACGACGTTCTGCCAATCCGAGGTCTGGGCGTTCTGGATGTCGACCTCAGTGAGGGCGCATTCGGGGGCGGCACCGCAGAGAGCGGCCATGGCAGCGGGAGCATTGGCACCCTGGCCAGAGGTCAAGTGACCCTGGGAACCGACACCATCAATGGGAACTCCTTGCGAGATCCACTGCTTGACGTTGCGGACCATAGCCTGCGTCTTAGCATAGCTGGCTGTGTCAAGACTGAGGAGTGTCAGATTATTCGTTCTATGAAAAGGTAGTGGAGGTCTCTTACTTGTAATCGTTGATGTAGAGCTTTGCGTCGGGGTCAGCAGCACGAGCAGTCTCGAACGCAATCTTGACAAAGTCCTGGCCCAAAACGTTGTAGAAAACGCTGGCGCGGAAGTTGCCGTTCTCCTCGAAGATCTCGTTGAGGACATCCCAAGCATAGATCTGTCCCTTCCAGCGCTTCATGAGAGTGTTGATGTGGTTTTGCATGACCGAGGTTAGGGTTGCCTTGTCACGAATCTGGGATACCCAGCCGGGCAGCTGTGAATGCCACACAGTGGTGTGACCACGAATCAACTTGTTGTTGTCGGTGGCGAACTTCACCAAGAAATCAGAGTTTCCGAAGTTGAAGTTTCCCTTCGAGGATTCTGTGGCGTCCCACTTCATGCTATTCAAGTTCAGTGACAATTATAGGGAAACTCCTATTCATTCCATACCTATTCTCCGGTGTCACTTGACCGAAGTTGGCCTTGATGATGGCTGAGTTAGATCCGGCATTGAGTCGACCCTGGTCGGTGCAAGTACCGAAGTACTTCTTGCCCTTCGCGACCATGGCATCGTGGATGCTTTCCGCTGCCTGACGAGACATCAATGGCTCTGGTTCCGCCAACGGGATGGCGGAGGCCACGGAGGCAGCAGCAAGAACAAGTGTGAACTTCATGTTGATGGATCGCGAATGGAACTCGGGTTGATGACAGACAGAAAGTAGCGGCGATATGTCATGATGGGAGGGGATTACTCTTTATAATCTCTCTTTTGCAAAACCGGACGTCCACAGCACTGCATTTGCCCATATCGATTATATGCTTTCGTAATATCCATATTCGCTCCGCGTGTCAATAATTCTCTGCGGGGATAGAATAGCAGTCCATTGTTTGATTAAATCCCACGGGAGTAGCGTGCCGGGTGATCAGAGACTGTAGTATGAGACAGTCCGCAAGAATGGAAGAGTTCGTAATCTACGACAACACTCGGAACCAGTAATCCTTTCATCCACTGTGAGGCTCTGGGCGCAATATGCGAGATACCTAGCTGATTGTGGAGTTCTGGCTAAAAGCATCTTTAAAAGCCGATCCATGCAAGGTCAGGTGAATGCCAAGTTGCTTCTTTCCTAGATTGCATTCACGCCTCAACCCACATCATCAATATCTCAAGTCAAGATCGCAACTTTCGATTTGTGGGAAATTTTTATGAGGGGAGCCCTCGCGTGGAGAGAACTATCTAGTGGTGCCCCGGTTCTCATCTGCGCCTCGTTCTCTACCAGGGACTGGGAATTGTCAGCTATCTACTTATCCGGGGATGACATGGACTTGATTCATATCTGAATTGGGGGTCAATCGCAGGGGCTTTTTGACCTGGTCTACGAAAGATCTTCCAAGTAGAGCATCAGTAACTGTAGACGGATGTGATTGGACCGTGGTACATTAATGGGTAACTTCAGCACTTATACCGCTGATACATGCCGAAGAATGGAGGATCTGAAGAACCACGATCGTTCTCCACTTTTGTCGCTAAGCTTAAGACGAATACTTACGAAATGTCATGAATTGAGTGACGAAATGGCAAGTCTAGAAAAGTTATAGAATACAATGCCCACTTTCACTATGTTTGATCCCCACAACAGTAATATGGGGATGTTGGATTATCCGGTATGGGGTCCCCAGGGGCTATTTTGGGTATCCTTTCAGACGGTGGCACATCGCCGAGTCAACGTGAATACCCCAGATTTAGGACTAATCACTTAAAGTTCCGAACTATCACCGATTTTAGAGTCCAGTACTCCCTCGAAGTTGGGTTGCGGCCCGGTAAGGCGTAGTGAGAGCCTGGGACCTCTCTGATCAACCGCAGGGTCCAAACGATCGTCCTTGAGGTTTCAATCAACCTTGGTGATTCCCCTTCCTTGCTCCTCCTTTTGTTTCGCAGCCCTTATCAACCCAATGCCAACTTCATTGCTCACGCCCTCCTCTGCTTGCCTTGTCCAGAATACATCCTCGGACGTCATTCGTACACTCTTCCTTCGCTCTCTTTCGACGACGTCAAGATGGCCTGATTTAGTGGTACTGCTCTCCAGCTCGTCGAGATACTTCTTCCTTTCCGCATATCTTTCGTTCCTCTCCTTACGTATCTGTCTCGATCCAATCTTCTGGAGGGAGAACCGCACCGCTGCCCTAAATGCGAGGAATATATGCTCCGAGACAAAGATGGTCAGTGGTAGCGAGCACCATTTGCCCATCGTAGTCTGCATGATGCCCATTGCATAATGATGCTGCCCGAACAAGTGAACAATCGCTGCACTCGAAACGCTGCCGAGCCACGTCAAAGCCTCCAAACTAGTAATCCAAGGTCCTATTCCGTCGCCTCGAACCGGTGTTGGGCGCTGGTGCTCGATACATATCTTCAGGAAGTCGGAACGCAATTCGATCCAGTTATTGATTAAGAAACCAATCGGTATCAAAGGCCAGACAGGGGAGAACAAGGCGAGGTATCCAAATTGTATGACCATCTCCGAAATATCATCTTGAACATTGTAAGGCGATAAGAGGGCTTGCTTTCGCGCGCGTTTGAGCGTTTTCGTTTCAGAAGGATCGTCCTCGAGCAAGTTATCAGCATCGGCATTCTTTGCTTGGTGTTCTCGCCACCATTCCCTGAAGCGGGTCTTGAGATAAGGGAAGACCAATTCTTCTCCAAGGTTGGAGATCTGACCAGTAACAGTAAGAGCTATGACCTCGTTCCGTAGTCTGTCTGCATCGCTCTTGAAGTCGAATTTGCCAATGGATGCTCCGAACGTTTTGTGCAAGTTATTCTGCAACTGCGGGACTAGAATGTCACCAAAAGGTACGTATACAAATGCCGTCAGTAAGATAGGTAAGTAATTCGTAATCGAGTTCAGCACGAAAATCTTCTGCGTCAGGGACATTTCGTAATTGTCTTGCGTTCGGTGATTTTCAAACTCCGTCATGGTGGATGCAATGTCCTCGAGCGTGTTGCCGATATATGGTAGCAATATCGCAAGCAGAACGGTAGGAAGGTACTCCTTTGAATTAACGTCAGCATCAGAAACGTATAGCTTTTCATCATCGATAGCCACTTACCAGATAGAACTTGTAAGGTCCCTCATATGCCTCGCTAATGTAAATCTCAATCGCAAAGACGACAACGATAAGGATGCCCAGCAAAAGCAGACTTAGCAGAACGAAAGGAATAACGACTGACTGTCGAGCAATCTGCTTCCATCGAGGAAAAAATTGCTGTACTCTACCAGCAGCATCAACGAACTCTTTTTCGTACTGAAATTGCGGTCGGTTGACTTTCAAGCCTCCCACTCCGCGCACTTTCCAGCGGATGGAAAGGTCTGTCTCCTGGATTTTCCAATACTCAAGAAAAACAGTACACCAAAAGCCAATTATAAAAGCAAAGGAAAGCGAGTACTGCGGAAGAAATTGCCAAGCGAAGATACCTGCCACGCAAGGAATTATAAGGAAGACGAAATATGTCTGTAAAAAGGCAAAATAGAAAGCAACCTTGGCGCCCCAGAGGTCTCGAATGCGGTCAAGGTCTTCAGCGCTGAGCAGCAATTTTTTGCTCAGATGGTAAAGAAGGTCTTCGTTTGCTGATATGTTGTGAAGCGGAAATATGGATTTCACATTCTTCCATTTTCCGAACTCGGGAGTGATCCCAGCACCACCAAGCTCTTTGCGCCAATTTACCAAATGGTACATGGACAAGATGTCCTCGGCTTCAAAATCTCCATCGACGACGGTGTCACGATTGCCACCGGGATGCTGCTTGGTGATTCCATAAAGCCAATCTTTGACCCGCGAACGGTAAACGGTGTTACCGAGCAGTTCACGAGGTGCTTGGACGAAGACAAGCAATGTCTGATTGTAGCCTGCACGTACTTCGGTATGCAAGCCTACAGATTTGACATCCTCTAACAGGGTGCTGAACTCTTTTATCGCCTCATCGGTTTCTTCTTCCGATTAGCTCGATGTCTGAAATCGTTTCGGCGTGGGGGAACAAACCGGCTTCACTGAAGTCGTACACGATGATGTACTTATCATTACAAGGCAGGTTTTTCTCGCCCTGTACACCAAAAGCGAAGGTGCGAACCTTTTGCAGTCTAGGGATACCCATTCAGCTAAACCTTTGTAAGAATGTAGGTTCCCTGTCCTTTCCCTAGTCTAGTGGTCGGTCGAATAAGATGGAGATATGAGATAGAATGAATGAAATGAAAGCGCGATCACGTGGAGGACGAAAAGACGTGTTCTCTACCCGGCTTCGGGGACTCCTTGAAAAGATATACATGGCCAAATCGTCCCGTATCATGTTGCCCTTACCGCGCGTTAGAGATGCGCAATTACGTGGAATCAAGGGGCCAAGTTCTCACGATCGGAACGATCGGCTTCCAAATCTGTCTAGGACTTGCCGTAAGACCCGTAGACCAATTGCTCCTCCAGTGAAACGTTGAAGAGGGTTGTTTCTATGATTAGCTACAAGACATTGAGGTAAGTCGATTCGCGCACAACTCACATAGAGAACTAAGCTCGTGGGAATACGTCAATGTCGTTCAATTGATGTAGATCGTGGTGTTGAATGAGATCACGTGATCAAATGTCTCCGTAGTGCAACCCCTCTAGACATTATAAGCACCATCATCCTCTTCCAGTCTTAGAAGGTTGCCTGATCAACATCAATGAACTGTACATCGTGCGACTGTGAGATATACAGACCCCTCGCCATGTATTACGCACTCCATGTTCGCCGTACTCGTAGGATGGCCCTCCTCCACCACTGAGCATCGCTCTTTCGGAGATACCCTAATCGGAGAAAATATATCCGAATCGAAAAGATGTTCCGTTCCGGTCCCAACCCCCAACGATCATGGGCGAAAACGTATGCCAGTGATCCAGGAGTAAGAGGTAGTTCTCAGGGCACTGAGACAGCGACGATGGGATCGGAGCAACCTTAGCTTACACACAGGATGCCGACCGGACGAGAAAGGCGCCGATGCCCCCGATATCACGACTAAAGAGTGCTATCGCCAGCTAACTCCGGTGTTCGTCCAGCCAATATCAATCGTCCCCTGCAAGTCAATGATCCCTCGATCCTGGCTCTTGCATCGACACGAGGTGGTGTGTTCATGCGGAGTTAAGAGAGGTGCAGGGAGACCAAAGAAAGCATGGCGTGCGAGAAGCATCTAACACCCAAAGAATATAAATATCAGGTCTAGAACGGATTTTTGAAGCAATACAAATATCTTCTATCTCATTAGATCAGCATCTTTCAGGCTCACTATATACATCCATTTTTTCATCGTGTAAATTCATTTGCCATGGCTCAAAAGAACCACGTTGAGAACATCGCCATTGTCGGTGCCGGCGGCCAGATCGGCAAGTTTATCGTCGATGCTTTGCTGCAAAAAGGCAAATTCAAGGTCACTGCCATCTCTCGTCAAGACAGCACCAACACTCCCGCACCTGGCGTCCAAATCGCCCGGGTGGATTACGACCAGCATGAATCGCTAGTAAAGGCTTTGGAGGGCCAGGATGTCCTCTTGATCACCATGTCTGTGGGGGCCCCGCCAGATCAGCAAGCAAAGCTCGTTCGGGCCGCTGCTGATGCGGGTGTGCCCTGGGTCCTCCCAAATGAGTTTGGAAATGACAGATCAAGCGAGCAGGCCGGGCGAGATGCATTGATCGGTCCGCCCAAGGCAGCAGTGCGAAACTTGATTGAAAGTCTCGGGAAGAGCAAGTGGATTGGGATTGCCTGCTCGTTCTGGTACGAGTACAGTTTATCCTGGTCGCATTTCTATGGGTTCGACATCCAGAAAAGGCATGTCCTTTGGTACGATGATGGTCTGCAAAAGATCAATACATCTACTTGGCCCCAGACAGGAAGAGGAGTGGCTGAGCTTTTGAGTTTGCCAATCTCTAAGACTGAAGATGGCAGTGAGTCTGCAACATTGTCAGATTACGCGAATGACTTCGTGCGCATCTCGTCTTTCGCCGTCAATCAGCGAGACATGTTCGAATCACTCAAACGTGTCACGAAAACTACGGATTCCGACTGGACTTTCGACTCAGTTCCAGCAAAGCAGATCTTCGAAGAAAGCGTCCAACAGATGGAAAAGGGCAATCATTCGGCTTTTGGTCGAAGACTGTATTCCCGCTTCTTCTTCCCGGGTGAGAATGCTGGCTTGTATGAGGTCACGAGCGGCTTAGACAATGAGAAGCTAGGGTTACCGAAGGAAGACTTGGATGAGTTCACCAAGAAGAGTGTGGAGCTTGCAGAGTCTAATTACGTGGGCAAGTTATTTGGCATGTAAATACCGACATCTAGAGGTCAGAAGAAATTTATGTATAAACAGCCTATAGTAACATTAGTAGCGTCGTTATCTTTCGCAGACTTCTAAAAAAGGTTGTTGTACGAGTATAAAAGAAGACGGCTTGATAGAACCATGTGTAGCAATTCATTCATCCACAACATGATGACTTATATCCAAAAGCTGCATGCTAACACAATCCAAATAAAACTCCAAGCGCAAGCAACTCAAAAAGTATCATCCCTTTGCGAGAAAGGTTTTGCTATGTGGTTATAAAGTATGGGATGGGATATTTGGCGTACTTTCGTAACCTGTACACGTTGCCGATTTGCAGCAGTGCCAGATGGGCATTAGACGTATGGTACTGGTGGGGCGGTTGACAAGCTAACCCCAAGCAATTCAAGAGTTAAAAAAAAATGCAAAAAAAGAAGATTTGTTCCGTTACCGGGAGTCGAACCCTGATTTGAATGTTAGAATTGATTTGATGAGTCGTATAAGGAATTGAATGCTTACCGGCTCTCGTCGGAGGCTGACATTGCTCAGATGAGCTGATGAAAGCGACGGATGCTAGCCGATACACCATAACGGATGTTCTGCTTGTTGATGGAAAGAAGACAAATAATTAACTTTATATACCAAGTCAAAAGAATCGATCAGAGATTTCCTCGGGCGTTTGGACTCAGTCCAACGAGTGGGGCGCTACCACTGGTTCGAGGACAGCGAGGCGCACTAGCCCCAATGCGCCCCCTAGCGAATTTAGGACTAGTGCTCAAACACTGAAGTGTCGGCAGGATAACGTGTGATAGGGTTGGTATTCGTAGAAAAGCTCATCTTTCTGAAGCCCTCCTCAATAGCTTTTCATTAGAGAGCCGCCAGATTTTCTCTTACGCAGCATCCTATGGGTATATTATGAATTTTGAAAACTTATAGCTAAAATTATTAACAAAGAGACCATAAAATATATATCTAGCTAGTAGTACCGTCTTTTATTTCTTGCATTCTTGTAATGTTAGGGCTTGAAAGACGTGTGGGAAGATGCGTGTGCATGAAGAAAGCTATCAGCTTCTTTACTACTCGTACTAATGTTAAACATTACTTTTAGGTGTCCCTCGTAGCCATTATAAGTAGAGGCCTAATGCTCAGAACAGTAATTGACATGCGGTCTTATTACGGTGGGTTACTCTATGCAAAGTGGTAATAGCTAGTAAAGACAGCTTCAACATTATGAATCAAAACTTCATCATTACAACTAGGAATATGTCTTCTTTTTTTGCATCTTTTTGCTATTCCATTTTCCTTTTTTGGGGGGTTGGGTTCTGGTGTTGACCCCAGTTGGCCTCAGGCTAGCGTGGCTCCGGCGGGCAGGTTGAGAACAAGCAACATTGAACAAAGCTCTCAAGTAGGAACAACGGAATCATCATGAGTATCCTCTCATGAATTAGCTGCTAGGGTCGGGAACTGCATTCCTGTACAAGCTGGGGAGCAACAGAAATAATTTGACTGCTTGAAGATGCCGCACGCCGCCTCTGAGCCGCCACCAACGTTGGCACCTATGGCCGACCCCCTTTCCGGCCACCACGATACAACCTCACCACTCCACCACCACGTTTCTACTATGGCTGATCGTGAGCTCTCTATACGAAACGCCATTGCTGCTTACAATGCTGACCCTGCTATGTCAATAAGACGCGCCGCTCAGCTTCACAACGTGCCCCGCAGTACGCTAACCGGCCGACTGAAAGGTGCAAATCCTCACGCGCTTGCTCATCAACTGCAGCAGCGATTGACTCCAGAGCAAGAGGCATGGGTAGTCGATTAGATATTGAGTGAGGATACGCGTGGATTTCCTCCTGCCTACTCACGCGTACGAGAAATGGTGTCTACAATCCTTCGATCTAATGGAGACAGCGCTCCTCTTGGAAAGAAATACATGGAATCTTTCCTCCATCGAAACCCACGCGTCAATTCAGTAGTTGGTAGAAGAATGATTAATGCCAGCAGAGCCTCTGCAGCAACCCCTGAGCAGTCGCTGGCCGAAATCCAAGGGTGGCCGGAAAAAGGGTCAGCCAGCTTACAGAAAACGATCTGATTGTCCTGATTGAAGAGGGAGAAGAGCCAGACCGCAGAGATTTTCTTGAGGTCGCTCGGCAGCATTTGGTCTTGCTTGACAACAATGAATACGTTAGCAGTTCCCTGCGGTTCCGACATTGCCGATGTAACGACAGGCTACGAACCCATACAGCACGATTCTTCGTGGAAAGAAGATGTCTGGGCAGCTTCAAGATCCTCTCTTGAGCCCATTTGTGCTGAAGCTTGACTATTCGCACAAAAGCCTGATCTTCCGAGGAGTCATTCTCTTATCAATCTGATGGATAAATATTTGAGTGTTGGTTTGAACGATCCATATACTATGCCGTGCTTCTGTAGCAATAGTGGAGGAGTGTCGTCGGTACATGCTGCTGCTGGGGCGATCTGCGAATGAAGCGGCCAGAGCAGAGCGGGTATTCGAGCTACGTTACAGTTTGTGAGACGCTTCGAGATGCTTGTACATATAGAAAACAATCAAGTTTCTTGTTACATATCGACGATTTTTATTACCTCGTAGCCACCACTATACGTGAACATTTAATACTCGGGAAAGCAACTTAAAGAAACGGTACGTTGCTACCTACCTATGAAAGGTCAATGTCAAGCATGGAGAACTTCAACATTGTTAATAAAATCCCAAGTTTTAAACCTAAAAATAATCACAACCCAACAAACAATACTTTTAAAATAATATATGCATCTCTGTGAACTTTTGAACGTACCAAAAAATCAATCTAAAATTTACAAAAATCAAATTCCTGCTGGACTCCTCTCAAAAGTGTAAATGTCTGAGCAACTTCCCTGCATACATGTACCGTACTAGTAATTCTACTCAGAAGAGAGAACTTCACAGGCAAGATGATCAGATCAAAAGTCACACGATATCAGAATGCGCTTTGGAGGAGGCCAAGGCATATGTTTTCTTGCAAGAGCATTGGGCACCTGCATGGGTATATTCAGATTGATGTCTATGGCAAACTATCCAGTGGGCGCGTTTGAAACCGCGTCCTTTCCTGTGCGAAAAGCCTTCATTGGTAATGCTCATCGGCAGCGCAGTAGCAAGTTCTTTCTTATCCTGACCGAAGACTGAGTTCCTCACAAACCAACTCCATTATGGTGCTTCCATCATGACCATCCAATTTTAGCGCCTTTCGCAAATCCAACCCCAAATTATGAAGTGTATCGCCTAGGGTATATGACAGCTTGATTGACTGGCAATGTAGTCAATCGAACTTCGACGAGAGAGCCTTTGCCTCATGAGTGGGCTTTGCCCCGTCTCAGTGTCCGCTTCTTCTTCCTCGGGGGACTATCGGACCGCTCTGACAATTCGGGTTCCTCGAGGTCTTCCTCCTCAAGATCATCCTCTTCGTCCTCATCAACCACCTTCCGTCGGCTTGGTTTACCTCCAGCCTTGCTCTTTGGCTTCTTCAACCGTGCCTGCGCGGCTTGGAAGGCTTCTTCAGATGGTTCGTCCTCGTCCATAGGGGTCGCGCGTTTCTTAGACCTGGACTTCGGTGCGTACTTGGCTTCTAGATTGTCGAAGAAATTGCCTGCTCGAGACTTCTGCCTTTGCTGGATCAACGCTGCCAGGTCGCCGAGATCGCTTGTGTTATTCTTCTTGCTCCTCTGCTTCGCCTTCGCTTTGTCTGCCGCATCCTTGCCGTGCTGCACATCAAAATCTTCACGCCTCTTCCTCTCTTTTGTCTTTGCTTTTGCACGATCACTGTCCGTCAGTTTCGCGTATCTTGGGAACGACTCAATCGTGCCTTTCTCAATTTCTTCGTCGATAATGCCTCGGAACCGGTCGTCGTCTTCTAGTATGTCTGATAGCATGACAACGTCGTAGATGGAGTCCAGATTTCCCTTGAATTTGCAGTACGCGTTCAGAATATCCTCCCGCTCCTGTGCACTTCCTTTGTATTCGTCCGAGATCCTCTGAATGTTTTGCTGGCTGACCACATCGTCAAATTGCTCCCGGTAAAAGGAGAGCCAATCGAAGTCTTCGTCATCTTCGAGCGACTCGGCGGTGCTTCCGGTGAGATCGTAGCGTTTGCGACGGCGCTCATCAGACAGGACGGCGTATGCGAATGCGATTTCTTGGAATTTCTTGTTTGCAGCGGTCTTCTCAGACTCTGGAGCCTTATCTATAGCTAGGTCAGAAATAGAGCTCTGGGAAACGCCGTGAGGTGAACTCTACCGGGATGGTGCTTGAGAGCAAGTTTGCGATAGGCTTTCTTCACGTCGTCTGCGGTGGCTTCTTTTTCAAGTTGGAGGACCTCGTAAGGATCGACAGATGGCGGGGCATCACCGAGCCCATCCTCCACTTCCTCGTCGTCAAGATCATCATCGTACTCGTCCTTGTTCTTCCGCGCGACCATGATGAATGTAGTGTTGTGAGAGTTTGAGTTGTTTGCGAACTTGTGACGGCGGCGCGATGGAGGGAGGAACGCGAGAGCGCGTTTATCGCGTAATTATGCATTATCGATAAGCTGAGCTATCACCTTCCCACAGCCCACCAAGCGCACCTTCACCGAGGCAGATGCTGGACGCTAAAACACATCATCTTCACTCACCGTGTTCACCAATAACTACCTACTCATCTCACCGATAATTCACCATGTGTCTTCAAGACTTTGACGGCGGCAACCCGATTCCTGCTAAACCATCCATAGACCCCAATGACCATCTAGCCTACATGCGATTGGCACTTTCTCAGGCCCACGAATCACCCCCGAAGCCTTCGAACTTTCGCGTGGGTGCGCTTCTCGTAGATGCAGACACTGGAGCTATACTATCACAAGGATATACTTTAGAATTGCAGGGCAATACGCATGCGGAACAGTGCTGCCTTATGAAGTTCTCTAGGGAACATGATCTCCCCGAAGAACGGGTGGGGGAAGCATTGCCGCCAAACACTGTCATATACACCACGATGGAACCTTGCAACCTCCGCCTGAGTGGTAATCTACCATGTGCGGATAGGATTATTCGGACGAAGAACAAGGACGGGAAAAATGCTATCCAAAAAGTCTATCTGGGAGTAAAAGAGCCGGAGAAATTCGTGGGCGAGAACCAGGGTCGAACGAAGCTTGAAGACAACGGCATTGAATGTATACATGTACCAGGATTGGAAGAAGATATATTGAATGTTGCTACGGCGGGCCATAGGTGAACTATAGGGACTACTGAAGCCTTGGAGTAAGCGTCCTATAGTTGAGTCGGCAGAGCTGTTCAAGCTCAAGACCAACCCGCATGGTTTGCCAGACACTGCAGTGCAACTTGACGCCACACGCAGTCCAGCCTCCTCCGGTAAATCCTCTTATATCCGAATTGAGGTCTCTATGCCACTCAATTACATTTGAATGTCGACTTGTACGCAAGTCGATTCAATAGAGCGTGGGTGGAACGAATGAAGACCCTTGGCGCTACTTTTTAATGGCGTCATCGATTTTATATAGCGAACAGCTCCGGATGCAAGCAACGACGCGTGTGACCGAGCCGTGACGCGTTGAAGCATCAGAATTACGGATAATAAAGTGCAGAAGAAATTATATGCCTTTCTGCATCTTTTTATATGTTACCCGCAAAATACCCAAGAATCAATGCAATCTGTTCAACTACAAACCCGTCAAGGTTCGACTCGACTATTCACAAGTCTCAGAACATCAGCTTCACATTCAGGATTCAGAACAACTGTAGCCAAAATGTCAACCGGTGAGCCCAATCTCCCCGCAATGCTTCTGAAAACACAGCCTTGCTAATCAAACAACGCCCAGGAATACCACCAATTAGCACCAACCTCAACATCGAGGCCACAAACATCCAAACCGCTCCCGGCGTCTCCCTTAGCGACAACCAAAAGACGATCGTCGGCTCCGTCCTCGACCTCTTTGCCGGCCGCCCATCTCTCCCCAAGCTCGCCCTCTGGCGAGACGACGCCACGTTCGCAGACCCCCTGACCATCGCGACAGGCCGCGAACGCTTCTCCGCACAGTGGTACGGCCTGCAACAAGCCTTCTCGGAGATTGAACGGCAACATCACAGCGTGACGGATGCGGGGAACCCAATTCTGCTCGACCTGAAGTCGCGGTACGTGATTAAAGGTATCAACAAGGAGCAAACGATTCAGAGCGTCGTGGCCATCCACACGGATGAGCAGGGCAAGATCACGAAGGTGGAGGATAAGTGGGATGGGAAGCTTCCTGAGGGAAGCATTGCGAATGTGAGTTCTATATTTCGATTGTTAAGTCCGGTGTGGTGGGTGAATTACTACATTGCGTGGGCGTTTTGGGTGTGGAGCTTTGCGTGGGAGACTCGGGCTTGGAATGTACGTGTTGGAGCTTGCTGAAGGATGATGTTACTGACTTGTGGATTATAGGCTTTCAGACATTTGAATGCGGTTACAGTCCCAAAGATTGTTTCGGTGCCGAAGACTGCGGAGGAGGATGCTAAGAAGGGTAATTAAATCGCATGCTATGATGAATGGTTCGTTACTCAATATATTCATTTAATCGTAAGGTCGTGAGACTCCTTTATACAGCGTCTATCGTGTGTATGCTTTTTAGATAAAGCGAAACATCCGCCCAAGAACCACATGAATCATAAGTATGAATGCACCAATTCCAAAGCCCAAAGGCTTCAAACCAATTGAGGCTTCATTGACGATCAGTATCGTTCCGCATTCCGCTTCTCTTGTGGTCGGTAGCCCAGGTCCATCCATGGTAAGCGTCTGACAAAAACCGCCTTGTTGCGGGTGATATTGCGTAGGGTTTTGCGGTTGGTTGTATACAGCGACGGTCGTAGGAGGCGGTTGAATGTAGACAACCTCTGTCTGCGGTGCTGCTTGCACGGTAACCGTTGTAACGCTTGCTACATTAATCGTTCCACCACAGGAGCTTCCTGCTGGACAGCAACCGCATGCTCCCCCGAGGGTCTCTGGTGAAGCGCATGTGTATCCGCCCGCACAGCACCTACATCGTTTAGACATGCTTGACTTTGGGCGCACATTGGCGCACTTACCAACTTGGATGGCCAATGTTGCCGCAGCTTTGTGATGCGAAGGAGGGACATTGGTTTGTTTCGACACCTGTAACTTCTTGTCCGTTCGGGTAGACAATGTAGATGGCGCCGGAAAACGGAGCGTTGTTCGTGAATTGTTGAGGATTCGCTTTTGGGTGTGCAATAGGTTGCGCTTTCGGTTGCGCATTTGGTTGTGCAATGGGATGAGCATTTGGTTGCGCATTTGGTTGCGCATTGGGATGGGCATTTGGTTGCGCAATGGGATGAGCATTGGGGTGAGCATCAGGGTGTGCGGCGCACAGCAAGCTCAAGCCCCACCAATATGCGAAGTTGGAAACCCGCATTGTGACGATATACTATGATAATCCAAAGGTGATCTGAATCGAGCTGGCGAATTGCTTTCCAAAGTACCAATGTAAGTGAGGCTGAATTCTACGATTACCTGTTGTTAGTAGATGTCGGCTGTCAACCAGGTGAAGTTCTCCTAGCAAGCATACAAGGCGGATAGAAGATGAAGATGAAGAGGCGAAGGCATAGTTTCGAGAAAATGGCGGAACTCGCCCGATCTTATGACCAAAGGCGACCTCAAGAAAGCTACAACCAGAGTTGGCACAAGCTTATTGTAAAGCTGCAGCAAGGTGGTCAGCTCCATGGCTCATGACAGCTTCATGGTGGGCCGGCCCAGAAGCAGCCTATCAAGGTAGGACAATCGTACAGCTTCCTTGTACTGCTGGGCTGCGAGCCACACCGGACCAGGTGGTTCCTGGATTGCTTCGCTCTGGGCATTACATCGATCGAGTGATATCAGTTGGTTCTCGGGTATTGCAAAGAAGAAAGAGAAAAAACCAACGTTGTGTTGGAAAAGCAATGGAGCCGGGAAGCGCTTTGTTGGCACTGAACCTTGGTCGGTGGAGTGTTGAGTTGGGTTCGGTTCTCCCACAGCCTCATCTTTTATCTCTTCAAGGCGAACTGAGAGTCAGATTCAAAGCCTTCGAGATGCGGTTAATGTCGTCGTGGTGGGCTTCGAAAGCGGCTCTCACGGATCAAGCAGGTCTGCATCGAGGTAGGTGGCTGCATGCTAACTGCGTGCTCGAATGCTGTTTCGCATGTGCCGCAATCATCTTGCAGATATCCGGAGCCTTGTCCTTGCAACACTTACCCATACACTCTTAGCGTGCCCCAACGATGCATTTTCTTGGAAGTGGTTCTTGGAAGTTGTACTCGGAAGTTGTACTGAACATTGCTGTGAAATTGGGCACCTGGTAGTAATACGTAAATTTGTAAAGTGTACAAAAGTGTACACCTTAGGTTCATTTGATGCGACCTTGAGATTTTAATGTGCCTCGCTACCTTATATCACCAGATGAAGATGAGCAGATTAGATCTGGAAAATGGGAATATTCCGCAGGGGTGTTTGGATTGCAAGTGAGATCCCCTTCGCAATTTACAAAGGCAGACTGCGCTTTCAAGACAAGAAGACAAAGTTCTTTGTTACTGAGAAGCATGTTTCAGTATTGGAACTGGGGAAGAAGCGAAGAAGCCGGAAAGAAGGCGCGTCCCGTCTCCGAACGATGCACGTGCCTGCGCGCACGCCGCAAGGCAAGCGACCGTCCGCAATCACAGGCAGCGGGGAAAACGCGTAACTGCTAACGCGACAGCCTGCAACATTCTGTCGCAAGTCACAACCATCCACAACCGTCCTCAACTGCAAACAACAACCCGCAACAGAAATACCATCGATTCGATCGATATGACATGTCATCGGCCCGAAGCGTGACAAAATGTCGTTCTTACCCAGCGTACTGCTTCAGAATATCTCCAACATATAGTACATGGGTCAAACTGACCGCGGCGGATGTACAGGCTCTACGATCAGAGCCTGAGTTCCAAAGTGCGCCATCAGAAGTCTCAACTTGTTGGCCTCGTATCTAATTTGTGAATTTCAGGTCAGCGCATATATTTTCATCTTAATCACCCAATACGCTTTGTGCGCTTAGTCGGTGTCGTAGTGGCGATTGAAGATATCAATGCTAGATACACCATCCTAACGATTGACGATGGAAGTGGCGCGAACATCGAGGTCAAAATAGTCCGATTGACTCCAGCGGAATACAATTCAGTCAAGAGTCCATCCAATACTGAAGTCGATAATGTGGACGTAATCAGCCACTTCGGTGTATTTGAAGTTCTTGTGGATCGCCATCGCATCGACATCGGCTCCGTAATCAAAGTCAAGGGCACCATATCCGAATTCAGGCAGCAGAAACAAGTCGAACTCAAACGGATCTGGGTAGTCTCGAACACTAATGAAGAGGTACGGGCTTGGGCAGAAACGGCGGCTTTCAAGCGCGAGGTCCTCTCCAAACCGTGGCATCTATCCCGGACGGATCACCAGAAGGTCAAACAACAGATCAAGGCGGAGAGACGACAGCGGAGAGAGCAGGAGAGGCTTAGAATCGCGTATGAGCTTAAGAAACTGGAGCACAAAAAGTTGCGGGAACAGTATCTAGCAAAACGAGAGGAGAAACAGGAAGCCAGGCGCCGGAAAGAGGAAGCTACGATGAATGCTGGGGCACTCATATGATCACATCTTTAGGATACTCAATCCAACAGCACTAAGATACTTCTTCGCGAGTGAAATGTGTACAATCCAGCGTGCAAGAAAACGTGCTTCAATCGTAGCCTAGGGGACTTGTGTCAAAGAGGATGGAATGGGCTTTATTCTTTCGCGGTTGTCGGGCTTTCGTGAATGATCTAATGATACACCTAGGGCGTAATTCTACAATACGCTCATATCATCATGGAATGTCGTTCACCTTCTCTTCTCATGTGCCTTTCTTAGTGCACGATCATCGAAACTGAACCCCGCGGCCTGCAGTATTGCAAACCGCAAGCTGTCCATACCAAGCCTGTCTCCATTGACGAGAACCTCTGCACTGACTCCGAGAAGCTCTCCTAAAGCGCCAGCACCTGTTGGTGGCTTGATCTCGGAGCGCATGGCAATCATTCTCTCTTCAACTTGGGAGATGGTCCCCTTGGGTTGAATGTTCCTAGAGACTGACCCTTTGGACATTCTCTCCAGACGTTTAGCCTCCGGAATGTAGAGTCGATCCAACTTGCTCAACACCACCTGATGTGGCACTCCACCCTCCCGTAGACTGGACAATAGATTCTCATCACTCTCTTTCAGGCCATGCATTGCATCGACGAGGACAAAGACGCGACGAAGTTGCTTCCTCTTCGTGAAGTACTTCATGATCTCCGTGCCCCATTCACTCAAACTGCCTTCGCCATATCCTGGAAGATCAACGATCAAGACACCACCAATACCAATGATCCTGTCATGCCCACCACTTCTCCCTTTCTTGATACGTACTCCATCGATACCACCGACGCCGTACAAATTCATTGTACGTGTGAAGCCTGGGGTGGCACTAGTCCGCGCCAGTATGTCCTTCGCACCCGCATCGACGACTGCATTCAGCAGGCTGCTTTTGCCCACATTACTGCGCCCCACGAACGCAACTTCTGGGACATCGCCTTCTGGAAACTGTCGAAATAGTGACACAGATCGTAGGAATTGCGCCTTTTGTCCCTTCGTGAAGAACTTGTTCGCTTTTGCTTTCTGGGCGGTCGTTGGTGCGAAGGTTTCCCAGTAGTAATTGTAGTCTCCTCTTATGCCGGCGTCCCATGCGTGTTCGGTGGTTTTGGGTTTGCTGGTATCTAAAGGTACGGCTTCTGGTTTGGATTTGGTTGGACGTGGAGAGTCTTGCTTGGAGTTGGTAGTAGACACATTCTTGATCTCAGGCGCAATGTTTCGGCCCTCGTTGTTGCCCTGGGGCCTGCGCAAACGGTTGATTCTTTCTCGAGGTGGAGGGGCGCTGGCGATTTCGAGTTCGGATTCATCGTGGTTGTATAATTCTCTGCTTTCGCTGCGTACTATACGTGATCTGCCAGGTCGTAGTCTAATTGAACGCGTTTGCTGCTGAATCGTCAATGTCTGGGAAAGAAATTGCGGTCGAAAGCCCTCACGGGCGCATGAACGGCAGACAAATTGAGACGCCGGCCTGGAAATAAGGTGTGCCATTATGCTCAAATGACCAGGAGGGTCGAGTGCATGTCAATGGTTGATAAATTTCCAGAGCCACTTTCTCGATCGACATTGGATGGTCAGAGCTCCGCAATTTTCTCCGCAACTATCGATAGTGCCTGTCTGTCGAACACAAGAATCCACCACCACCACCACCACCAACGTCCAAACCTTCAACTGACGACATCACCAACGACCCTCCTCCCCTCCAAAACACAAACCCACCACAAAAATGTCTGCTCCGCCCGCTCGAACACAAATCCTCTCTCTCTACCGCCACCTCCTCCGCGAACTCCCCGTCCGCTCCGCAGCAACCCCATCCCGCACGGCACACCAAAAGCTTTCCTCACCATCACAACTCCAAAAACGTCTTCGCTCGATACTATCGTCCCAGCATGCAAATGAGAAAGGCCAATTACAACAGGCGGAGCAGTTCGTGCGATACGTGCAGGCGCAGAGGATGTATGCGACACTCATCGAGCGATATAATCCCGGAATGGGCATGAGCGAGGAGGAAAGGGTTAGGTTGACGGCACGGAGGGTGGGCATGGACTTGCCGGTTGAGCATAAGAGATGAGGGATGTTGGTATTTGACGGGAGGGTTGGGGTGGAGAGATGTAAGATATGAGTTTGGGCGAGCACGAACGGTGTTGGACTATGGGACGAATGGCTGCGTCGATCACGATGGGGGTTGAAGTGCCGCTGCGGCGCATTGGAAAAGGAAGAACAACAAGGACATCTGCAACAGGTTCACTCTAGACTATCTGGATTGGGAGACCTTAAGAACGATCGGTAACACATTGCATGTGGAGGTGTATCATTATAGTGTATGCAAGCATGGCGTCGCTATAATAAGTTGAATTCTATCAAGTACTCGGCAATCTCTAGATTCGTCCATTCAAACCTTCTCATTGGAATATGAGAAGTTTGTGAAAGTTCTGTGCTCTAGGGTATGAAACATTTTTTTTTACTCCAATGACCATGAAACCATGAACGCCGTTTACTGCAATAGGAGCAAGTCAATGGTCGAGTGTATGATCGCTTTCCCGATTGACAGCTCGGCAATGTGTAGCTCGTCGCATTCCGTCCTATTGTACACCCGATTGTGCGCAATCGACTCAGCCTGTGCACACTCATTTCATCTCCAATCCATAGACGGAAGTGTTGCTTCAGTCGTCGAATTTGATGCCCTTTCCGCCACTGATATCGATCAGTCCTCCCCTGTACGAACCTCGCTTCTTCTTATTCTTTTCCTTCGTGAAACCCTTGCCTTTTGTAGGTTCCAAATCGGCATGTGCTCGGTCGGCGTAGTCGTAGGAGACGTATTTGTTACTAGCAAATCGAGGGTCGACCTTGTAGTCAGTGGGAACCTTTTGGAAACGTTCACCCTGTTGCTTCTTCCTCGTTTGCGGTTCATCCTCATCGGATCGCTTGCGCTTGTTTCCAGGTGCTGGAACAGGGGAGTCTGGGCGGACAGTTGCGCTCGAGTCTGAAGAGCTCTTGCGATCATCGGAAGTGTCGCTGGCCTCCTTGGATTCCTCCTCCGACTCAGAGGAGGACGACGAATCGTCGGAGGAGCTTGAATCATCGCTTGAGGATGAAGTTTTCGTATGTTTCTTGGCGGACTTTGCCTTGGATGCGGATTTGGATTTTTTCTTTTCTGACTCGCTCTCGGAAGATTCAGAATCGCTCGACGCGCTCGAAGAATCGCTTGAATCAGAGTCGCTAGAAGCACTTGAAGAATCGTCCGACTCTGGGAGAGGCACATTCTCGGGGGCAATATCAGACTCGCTATCGGAGTCACTGGAGTCGCTGGAGTCGCTAGAGTCGCTGGAATCGCTGTCGGAGTCGCTGTCTGACCCGCTCGATGATGAGGATGATGAGGATGAAACTGATGCAGCGATCTTCGCCTTCTTTTTAGGAGGAGCAGCCGCTTCTGCTTCAGACTCCGAGTCAGAATCAGAATCGGAGCTTGAAGAGGCGGAGCTCGAGCTCGAACTGGAGGCGGAGGCCTTCTTCGATTCTTCTTCAGATTCAGATTCATCGCTAGAGGAATCACTGCTTGAGTCGCTATCCGAGCTGCTGCTGGCGTCACTGCTAGATGCGTCCTCCATGTCTACATCTTGCGATGCTATTTCCTTCCCTTTTGGCGCCTTCTCTTCCCACTGGCGGAACAAATCCGTCAATTCAGGATATCCACTTGCGCTTCCCTTGAAAGTTACATCTTTCTTCGCGGTGTTCTTTTCAAGCTTGTTGGCGGCCTCATCATAGCCGTGTTCGAGCAGGAAACCGTGAACGAGATCGAGGAGCGGAGATGGCACGGTTGAGGTTGCGCTGGACTTGGATTTCGTCTTCTCAACCTTCTGTGGTTTTCCCTTCTGCTCGCGCAGCTTCTTGGAAGTTGCCATGGCGTATGGCTATGTTGTATGGGAAAAGTTTGTTGTTCGGTGAGGTCAATGGTCAATTGAGGAAATAGTAAGAATGAAAAAAAAGTTTCCACCAGCGAGATTCACAGACAAGCGCTGCCGCATAATGCGCTAATCCCGTATGGGCAAGTGCCCTGGGAGCACTTGGACCAGGGTGTGTGCTAAGCCAAGACCTCCCTCAGACGTTCAACTCGTACTGCTGCCGCTCCTTGACAACACGAGCGCAATTAATAAATTGCATTTCACACCTCTGATCCGCTTTCGCCTGTGAAGCGTGACTCCCTCTCTACAATCTTTGTGCTGCGATTGCCTCTCACGCTTCGTTGCCAGACGTAATCTTGACGCCGTGTGTCACCCCCTCGTCCAGCACCTTTAACCTCAAACTCATCTGGAGCTCGAGCTCAACGACGAGCGATAGTTGAATGGCACGAGGCTAGGAGACCCCCATTTACACCCGAAGGCGACGGCCAAAGGATATATACATTCCTCCAAACGTCCATCCAGACCCACAGCAGGATACTGTCGCGGTTTGGGTATATACAGCCATGGACGGGAGCCGGCCCCGTGGCCCCCCGCAAGGCCCTGGAGGAGGTGCACGACCGGGCGACCCTCGCCGTCCTGTTGGTGGCCCTGTAGGAGCTCCTGCGAATGCAAGTCCAGCAGCATCCAGCTCAGGAATGTCACGGGCCGAGCGATTTGACGATGAGCGGCGCAGGATTATGGAAAGCTGTTTTGGAAAGAAAGATGATCAAGGACAGTGTATGTTATCGCTATTGAAATTGACAGACCCGCCCTTTGGCTTTATCCCAGTTTACTCGAAAGCCTCACATCAGTACACTTGTCTAACTATAATGTTCAGTGGTCGAATCCTACATTACCCACATACGTGTTCAGGAAGATGCTGCCTACCCACAAACGCCACCTCCACCGAACACCAATGCTTCAAACAAGAAAGCTCGTGTTATCATAATTTCGGTTCGAGCGACCGGAAGAGTTCGGCTCCACAAGGCCAGGGAGAACGCAAACGGAACCTTTTCTATCGGGAAAACGTGGAACATGGAGGAGCTTTCCGGTGTCGAGAATTATGTGCATGGCAATCCTGCCAATGAAGAAGAGGCCCAGCGAAAGAGATGGGCAGGGGATACTGGGTTCACAGTCACTGTCCAAAAGCCGTATTATTGGGAGGCAAACACGTCGAAAGAGAAGGAGTTCTTCATTGGGAGCATGGTCAAGATTTACCACAAATACACGCAGGGAGACTTCCCTATTCTCTCAGGTTTCAGCCCGGCTGAACTGAATGGACTGACGGCTGGTCGACCACATCTTGCAACCGCTGAGGGTCGTGCAGCTCGGAAGAACGGCGAAGCCCCACCTCCTCTGGCAGCACAATCTCCAAATTCTTCAATTCCACCTAGATCGCCCCTTCCGCCCGGAACGCAGCAGCCTACGCCTCCCCCAGGAGATAGACGACCACCTCCATTACGGGACGATCGACGCCCTCCTCCTGATGATAGGAGACCGCCAGGGCGAAGTCGCCCAACGACCGCAGAGGAAGATAGGAGACCTCCTCCACGACGGCCGCCAACGGCAGAGGGTGACAGTCGAGAACGACGTCCTCCTCCTTTAAGAGGCCAAACTCCACAAGGGCGACCGGGGACAGGAGAGGAGAGTAGAAGACCACCACCTCTTCGGGATGGGCCTCCGCCCGCTGGTACTCCGACTTTATCGGCATTCTCCCAAGGGCCTGATGGTCAAAGGCGACCTAGACCCCGTCCATCCATGGAACAATCCTTGCGATCATCTCCTAGTCGAGAACAACTAGATATGCGCTCCCCTCCAAGTAGAGAACAGATGAGACCTCCTATGCCTGGACCTATTCCGACACCTCCGTCGGCGCGACTGACACCTCAATCATCGCGATCTGAAGTTGCTACAAGACCAAAGACACCAGACTCTATGAACGACATGGCTTTCCCACCCAGTCTGAGCCCAATGCGGCGCACGCATGCAGACGATGCCCATTCGCAACGATCTCAAAGATCAATAGATGAGAATGCAACGGATGCGGCTGGATTAGGAGTTGCAGCGGCAGAACAACGGAGGCCAAATGGATTCCCACTTAGCAGAAGGGATCCTTCCCCGCTAGGCGCGCGGCCTGGTACTGCACAGAGCAACAACAGCGCGGCCTTCATTCGTAGTGACGAGCCACCACCTGAGGCACCTGGTCCACGCAATGGCCCGCCAGAGAGGAGGCGACCGCCGATGGCACTCAACCCGCAGCTATCGCAACAATCTCAACAATCTCAGCGTAGCATTGGGAGCGAACAAAACAGCGAATATCACACACCGATGCAGTCTCCACCGACTCCCCTTAGTCTCCAAGCTGGCCGTCCACCCCCGAAAGCGGCCGACAGACCCAAACCGTTCCCTTATGATGACCTCCCACAGTCGGGACCTGCGCGCACTGAGAGGGCACCAGAACAAACGACGACGGCACCAGCTCGAACGTCTGAACCACCAACATCACCACTGCCTCAGATCCCGAAAGCAGCTGAAGTGGACACATCCGTCCCCAAAGAGCAAGAGACAGCACCTCTGACAGATCCAGCTGTTCAATCGATGTCACCAACGGCAGAACCAGCTGATGATGGCGAACACCGGCCTGGACTAGGCCCGATGATCAAGAAGAAAACGAAGGCCGATGCAGCAAACGCATTTCGCAAAGCTGCATTCGCAGCAGGCGCATTTAAACCCCGCGCAGGTGGAGCTGCGGCTAAACTTTTCGCAAAAGAGACGAAATCGTCCGATGAACCAGATGGCATCAGTGGTGTCTTTGTGCCTCAACGACCGGCTGCTAAAGAAGAACCCGAAAAGAAGGCAGAACCAGAGCCCGAAGAGGAACAACCACCACGAGAGGCGGCAGAACCTACTTTGGACACTAAAGACACATCAGATAGGATGTTGAAGGACAAATCAAACACTGATATTGATACTGTGCCGGCAGTGACAATATCCAGCCCCTTATCGCCATCCCCTTCGGCACCGGCTGCACCAGAAGAGCCGGTTTCACGCCAGGCCTCCAGCCCTGAGAAGCCACCACTGAAAGCAGAGGCCGAAGTGGAAGTTCGACGGAAGAGGCGTAGGTCTAATCAACAGATCATGAACATCTCCAAACTTGGCATTGACCCAAGCTTGATTGATGAGCGTGGGCTAGAATTCGAGCTTTTGTTGACAGAGATTGGCTGGGGAAGTGGTGAACTATCATCCCGAAACATCGAAAACTTGGAATCCGATATTAAACGAGAGATTGCACGTGTTGAGGCGGGAAGCTGGCTCAACCATCTAGAGCAAAAAGATGATCGCGTGGAAGCAGTTGAGAAGATGCTTGATCGAGCAATCGCAGAGTGTGATGAGCTCGAGGGTCTGCTGACCCTGTACAATGTTGAACTAAGCGTAAGCGATTTTGACCCCCTTTCTGCATGCATCTTCTTTTACTGATGTTGTAACAGAGTCTCAATGACGACATCGCATTTATCGAAGCACAGAGTCAGGGTCTGCAGGTGCAGACCGCCAACCAAAGACTTTTGGAGAGCGAGCTGCAGCAGCTAGTTGACACAATTTCGATTACGGCCAATCAATTGGAACCATTGCGCCGCGAGCGTATTGGAAAGAAGGATGGATTGGTGGCCATTGAGTCGGCTTTGGTCCTGTTATACAAGGCTTTGACTACCATTGACCCCGCTCTCATTGAGAGTGGACGGGCGAACTCTTCAAATGATTTGGCGAAATCAAGCAGTGGTGTGGGCAACAGTGAATTGGCATCGATGCAGGCACTACAAGAGAAGAAGGATCGATACTTGAGGGAGAGTTCGATGTTCTTGGATCGCCTCAAACAGCATATGACCATTACATTTGGCGCTGCCTTTATCGAAACGAAGGACGCCTTAGGAAAGATTGACAAGACTTCTATGCCTTCTACCAAAGCGAACATCGAGGCCCATGATACTGGACGCCAGGAACTGTGGATGCTGAGCCCTCTGATCTTGTTCACAAAAGAGATTGACCGTGCCAGCTGGGACGAAATGTTACGCATGTACCAAACACAGGCCGGCCAAATGTACCAGGACGAGATACGCGACAATGTACTAGCCTGGAAGCGTTTTGCTCGCAAACCCACAGGAGACGAGCAAGATTTACTTTTCACTGCCCCAGAGAAGGAGAATGAGAGCATTACTGGTGCAGCCAGGAAGCTAACAGTAAAGAGAAGTCAGACTCTAGCTCGTGGCCTGCGGACTACCTCTAATGAGAAGGAGAACAAGGTTGATCGGACGCAGACGGGGAAGCTCTATGCGTACGACGTGTTCTCAAAAGTCCTGGACGACATGGGCCCGATACTTCTTACCGAGCAGAATTTTGTGACCGAATTTTTCCATGCAACATCCACAGATGCTGTCGATTTCCCTGAAGCCGTGGGTGCTGCACCACCAGAGCGTCGCCACGCTCCCAATCTCTGGATTCGCAAACAATTCGAATCTGATCGAGCCATGGCCAAGCGTGTCGCCGAAGTCATGGAAGATATATTCTCTTTCTGGCCGACTGAGATCCAAAATTTGGTTGAGTGGGCCGTTAAGGCAGATCCTTTGTAAGTTTCTCTCTTCTGCGTAAAAGAACCGTACTAATTCATGTAAAGACAAGGTGTTGGCATATTGTGTGCCGTTGACCGTAAACTCCTAGAAATTGAAGACTCGAACCAGGACTTCCTCACCAGGACTCTCCAGAAGGTTCACGAGCGCCTGACCGGACTTTTCACGCGCTTCGTAGACGAACAGATTCGAGCCATCGAAGACACAAAGGTGAAGATCAAGAAGCGTAAAGGGGTCATTCGATTCATCAACACCTTCCCTCACTTTGCGATTGCTATCGAAAACATGCTACCACCTGCGGACGAGCACAATCAACTTGAGATTAGAAGGATGGTCGATGATTCCTATCAGAAGATAAACAAGGCCATGTTCGAGAGCTTGAAGGTAATCGCCAAGGAATCTCCGACGGTGATGGCCACACAGGGTCAAGGTGACCCAGAAGACAAGGAGGCCCTCAACTACCACATTCTTTTGATCGAGAACATGTACCACTACATCGAGGAAGTTGATGCTCGGGCAGAGACTGTTCTCAGCGACTGGAAAACCAAGGCAGAAGAGGAGATGGTAGAGCACATGGATCTCTACGTCGACGCAGTGATCCGACGACCATTGGGCAAACTACTGGTAAGATATGCATTCGCTCAGCAACAATTGCATCAGCTAACAACTCGTAGGAATTTATCGAATCCACCGAAACTCTACTGGCACAATCAGGAGCATCTGCACAATCGATTGCGCAGCGCTCGTCTCACTCCCGTTCCGTGTACAAGAAGCTGGTCAATTCATACGACTCGAAGGAGATCCGCAAGGGTATCGAGGCCCTCAAGAAGCGAGTTGACAAGCACTTTGGCGACGCAGACGATCCGAACATCTCCCGCAGTCTAGTGTTGAAGGTATTCAAGGAGTGCGAGGAGAAATACAACGACGTCCAGGAGAGGGCAACCAGGATCAACCAAGATGTATATACTGGGGAAGTCGAGTTGGATTGGGGCAAGAACGAGATCAGGGCAGCATTTGGTCGAAGGTAGAAACCGACTTCTTCATGACCTGATGCCTTCTATCAAACAGCATTTACGGATCGGTCGGAGGAAAGGGGAAAATGAGGTTTATGAATTCTTGAATTGTGTTTATATACCATATAGCGTTTTGGAAGATCGGAGCTGCTCGCCATGCCATGCGATTTGCCTACCTGCCTGCATACGTGGTAGAGCCCGACGCGTTTTTGAGATAATTGCATCCAGAATTGAAACCATAACGACTGGTAACTTTCCGATTGATTACCCCTTAGGTGTTCAACAACACATGATATTTACCCTGCCCTACTGGTCGCAACAGTGTCTTTGATATCTAGGAGTTACATCTCCTTTCTTTCATCAAAACCTCATAATGTCCTGGTAGCCAGCGAATGCAAACCTCCTTACTAATTTCCAATTGAATTGCATCAATTAAGGTACTTGTTCAACAGAATAGTCCCGGAACCCAAGGAACGCGTGTGTGCATGCGTACCTGGAATGAAATACCATTTGGGTCTAGGCCATCTGCTCTTTTGGGGTGGTGGATGACGACATCGATCGCGAGTACCGATCCCCTAACGTCGCCTGCATCGAAGGAACATGCAGAAGAGAAAAACAGACTCTCGGACGTTCGGGCGGATAGTTGTAGCGAAGGGATGAGGTGAGATGGCACAAAGGGTCTAGAAGAGAGTCGGAGGAACATAGATACCTGGGTGTTTATTTACGTACATGTAGGACGTCATGAGTACCTTAGGTTTCCGCTTTGTTTGTGGCTCGTTTCGTATTTAGACAACACACGCACGCCTACATATACACTCCCCAGACAAGCGACATATAGAGCACGGCACCGGCACAGAGTAACAGTGATAATTTTGAGGTCATAGGGATAAGAGAATATCAATCATTGCTTCAACTCGCACAGACGAAAGAGATATAGAGAGCACGGTAGAAGGATCCAAACTCCACTACATACATCCACCCCTCAATACAACAGACGACATAACACCACACGAACGACTTAACAACAATGACGCTCCTCCAAACCCTCCTCCGCGCAACCGCCTTCCGCACGCCCCTCCTCCGCACCCTCGTCCCGACCGTCGCCCTCGCATACGGCATCCAAACCGCCGTCGCGATCCCCTCCATCGCCGCGCAGACCGAGCGCTTCTACGACCTGTCGGGAAGCCTGACCTATCTGTCCTGCACGGCCGCGAGCCTGTTTCTTCCGTACCTGCGGGCGAGGGCGGCGGGACAGTTCGCGTCGGGTGGGTTGAGCGAGTATCTTGCAGCGACGGGCGCGGGGCAGGGTGCGTGGTGGTGGAGGCAGGCGGTGTTGAGTGCGGCGGTGGGGGTGTGGGCGACGAGATGTACGTATCTACCCCTCAATCCCTTTATCCAAACATGAAAATCGTGTCTCCAGAGAAAGAAGTACCAAGACAATATAAATCAAGGGAAGACGGAGGGAACAATTGCTAACATTCCAATGCGTAAACAGTGGGAACATACCTCTTCAAGCGCATCTCGTCCGACGGCCACGACTCGCGGTTCGACAAGATCCGCGGCAGCGCCTCCAAGTTCTACGTCGCCTTCTTCGCGCAGGCGACCTGGGTATCTCTCTGCCTGCTCCCCGTCATCGCCGTGAACTCCCTCCCCCGCTCTGCCTTCGCGCTCACGGCCTCCAAACTCGCTACCACCGGCTCCACCGCCGCAGCCGTCGTCGCAGCATCGCCATACGCGACGGACATCCTAGGCCTCTTCCTCTTCGCCTTCGGCCTGACGTTCGAGATCGTGGCGGACAGGCAGAAGTCGCAGTGGAGCAAGGAGAAGAAGGAGAAGAAGCACTCGGAGGAGTTCCTGACGAGGGGTTTGTGGTCCAAGTCGAGGCATCCGAACTACTTCGGCGAGATCACGCTGTGGACGGGCATTGCGGTTGCGGCTGGGGGCTTGTTGGTGAGGAGTCCTGCGCAGCTTGGGCTTGGGTTGAGTGGGTTGGGGCTGGGTGGCAAGGCGGTCGTGGGCGCGATGTGTGCGGCTAGTCCCGCGTTTGTGAGTTTCTTGTTGTTGAAGGTTAGTGGGGTGCCGTTGAGTGAGAAGAAGTATGATGGGAAGTTTGGGGATAGGAAGGATTATAAGGAGTGGAAGGAGAATACGCCTATGTTGATCCCCAAGTTTTGAGGGAATAGGGCAGCATAGAGGACGAAAACTGTTTGTATGTATATGGAAATTCGAGAAGATTGATTTTGATTCTTTGACCGGCCCCGCTGCTATGTTTCTGGTATCTACCTAAAGTCCAACCGCAAATCTAGTGTATCATGTAATAGTAAAAGGTGCGAAGACGACAATTCCACATTGTCATGGTTCATGTACAGCATTATTAAATATGCCAGACTAGGCGCCTCCTCGAGGCCTGACCTGGTTGATTGGTCGAGGATCCGCAGTGTGCCTGTAGTTGTTAGTATTATGTTCTGGTTCATATGCGGCAGGCAGAAAACTTACTTCTTGACGATCCTCTCAATGGCATCCATACCCTGTACCAAGGTATCCATCCTGGGGCCATAGCTCAAACGCACAAAGTGATGGCAAGGCGAATCGAACAAATCTCTCCTCTTGCTGGGGTTGAGGTCAAAGAAGATACCGGGCACGACAATGACCTTCTCCAAAAGACAAGCCTGGAAGAAGTTCAAACCGTCGTTGATGCTCTCGGGCAGATTCGACAGATCCAGCCAGAGGTAGAAGGTGGAGTTGGGCATGAAGGGGAACTTGAAGCCGATCTCCGTCAAACGGCCAATGACATAGTCACGCTTGTTGCGGAAATGCATCTGCAGAGCACGCATCTCGTTGCGGACGCGCGGGGGCTCGAGCATCTGGACGGCGGCCTCCTGGAAGGGAACGTTGCAGCCTCCATCGAGGTAAGAACCGCAAGATCCAATGGCGTTGATGAACTCCTTAGGGCCAAGGACCCACGCAACACGCCATCCTGGAAGTCGGAAGCGCTTGGTCAGACCGTCAATGATGAGCACATCGTCCTCGTCCACATCCTCGACGTTGTCGGCGGCGGAGATGACGGTTCCGTCACAGTTGGTGGTGTAGTTGTAACCGCAGTAGAACTCATCCATGATGAGAGTGGCACGATCACGGCAGATGTTCTGGATCTGAGCGAGCTCCGGGTTCGTCACCATCTGACCTGTGGGGTTACGAGGGTTGGAGGTGAGGATGACGGAGGTACCACGGGCGATTTCCTCAGCAATCTTGTCAGGAGACATGTGATACTTGTCGTCCTCTCCAAGAGGAATGGGAATGGCTGCGATGTTCTTGAAGAGCGACAACATCTCATTGTATGCAGTGTAGTCGGGAATGAAGAAGCCCAAGTAGCAGTTACCCAAGACAGCAGCGATACGGATCAAACCAGCTCGACCACCGGGCACGATGCAGACGTTCTCCCAGGTGTACTGGCTCTTCCTCCATTTACGGTGGTGCTCGTTGTATAATTTGGCGACCGCCTCTCTCAAAGGCTTGATACCGGCAGTAGGACCGTACTCGCGGCCGTGGCCGCTGATGTCGACCTCCTTGGGGCGCTCGAAGCAGCCCTCAATCTCATCGTCGACCTCGGGGGCACCCTGACCCAAGTTTGCCCATGCTTCGGGATGCTCGAGGAAGCCGTGCTCGTATGCGCGCTCGGAAGTCCAGACTACACCGGTAGAGGCACGAGTTGGGTCCAATCCAGCATGTGGCTTGTGTCCTTCGTGCGATTGGCGGAACTGACGATGGATCTGAGAGGTAATTTCTGGGTAAAGATGGCTCGGTTAGCAATGCAACGAAGATCTGTTGGATAGTAATGACGTCGCTGTGTGTCGCTGGCTTGCTTAAAGCAGGAAAAAGCAAGTAAAAAGGCAGAGGAAGCTAGCTACGAACAATCTACCTGCTGGTACCCGCAACAGAAGGGAGAGATGGGGTGGAACTCACCACTTTCGGTAGGTTCTTTGCTAGTAGAGAACCTTCGCTCGCTAGGACCTTGAGATTTCAGGATAGGAACCCTTCGACCAGAGAAAGACATTGTGAGAGGTGTTGATTGAAAAGTCGGTGGAGGTGGGGGATCGTGGTTGTATAGTAGGTAGATATGCGGGGAGAGCTTCTTGTGATAAGCTTTTCTAGCGTAGAACCAGCTGCTGCTGTCCTTTTTTTGGTTATATGTATATGTGAATGTGTATATGCTAAGCCCTGCAATAGCAATAGCAAGTATTGGTGAACAATAAAAAAAGAAGAAAGAAAAAGTTTCACGAGAGGGAGCAGCGGGCGTGGTTCTTATTATACATAGCAGCAGAGCAGCTTTGGGCGGCGTCGCAACTAGTAACAGTAGCAACCAACACCCAGCAGCATCACTACTACATACCACCTCCACAGCTGCTACGGAGTACAGCACGCCCAATGACATTCTCCCAACGCCCTCCAAAGAACTATAATGACCAGCATGTTTCAACCATTCATTCCCTCAGTGGCCCCTTCACCCCCGGTTGATACCTTTGCAGTCTCCTGCTGCTCATCATTATCGCTTCCCTCGAAAATACAACTCAAATCTGCGACCCGGGACGTCAAAGCTCGCGTTGAAAAAGCTCCACCGGCCTTCCGCTGTGCTGTGTAGGGTACGTAGGGTGCGGCCTTCAGCCACTTATGGCGAGGGCATCGTGAAACGGCGTGTCGTCGGTCTTTTACTGACCAATGGAGGTCGCCCACAGCGCTATCCGGGGCGCACCAGGGACACCAAGACCGGAGCTTGTGAAGCGCGGGCCGTGAGAGCTGCCAGACATGGAAGCTAGAACGACGGGGTCCCCCCTGGTACTCGTAGGCTCGTACATACCTATTGTAGGGAGAGTCGGGACGACGTGTAGGTTCACTGGCAGCTGGCTCGGTGCTCGACGTATCTACTACTGCGGGAGGTACATCTCTCCACACATACGGATGCTCTCGTATGCATGTCTCCAGACTCTCCACGTCCTCAGATGGCTATCATGTCTGTCTATCATCTGGTGGCGTGGCCTCAACTCGTTCAATGATCAACCTGCTACACATCGATCCAGGATGATCAGCAAGGCACAGCTGATTACGATTACATGAGTTTACCTCGCCGTAGAGAAGACCAAGCTCAGCGCATTTCGCCCAACAAGTGAGCAAGGTTCCAAAATAAAATCATACAAACTGTCCTCTATCTTATCGACAACCCTTCTATCTTTGTCGTCAGGCATTCCACAACAGCGTATCAGGTCAGACCAAATGGAGGGAATGGTAATGATGGAACAGAAGGGGGAGGGAAATAGTTGGACAATAATGCCTCATTCTTCCAGCATCAAACAACGGCAACAGCCCGACTTGATTCATTATCAAACTCAATACATGCCACTATGTCCGCCCACTGTCGGAAGACCTTCGCGGACGCCGAAAGGAAAAATCCAAAAAAAATTAACAATGCCATGCCTGTTACTTTTGCAACAAAAACGAAAAACAACGCAAATATTCCAAAATTGGACGCGAAATGATTCGTCAAGTCCTGTAGTCCGGGTCCGTGGATTTTATCCTTATTCAGGACAACGTACCAAAAAAGTACTCCATCTTATCAAGAGGCTCCCAGATGCATTCAAGAAACCCATAAATTTTCTAACGAATCATGAGAGAGCAGCGACGATATTGTACGATATTTCCATGCAACTATCACGAGAGGAGAGTCAGAATCAGAGGATCCGAATTCTAAATGGCGTGCAAGTGCAAGCACCGACATCCCATCGGATGCTCTCTCCTCAAGTCTCTCCCCACGTCCCACAGGGCGACACCTGCAACGCCGTCAAATCCCCTTCCGCCTACCCAAACGTCGTATCGCAAGTTACGCAACGCAAGCACTCGTAATCACGTATCAAAATAACAAATCATATTGCTACTCTAGAGCCTACGTTCCGCTCTTCCTGGCCCCCTTCTTCCCATCCATCTTAAAGTGTAGAGGAACCTTCGAAATGGCAATGATGGTTCAAACTTGCAGGTGGTCTTGCCGAACGGATAGATATATCCTTCGAGCAAGTAGCAGCCGTTGGAGCATTTCTCCCTCAATTCATCGTGCGAGCAGATAATAATATACTATCCAACATACTCGTGCCATACGAACTCTTCTCCCTCAAAAATACAAGAAAATACATACAAGCTTTCTCTTTAACCTCTCAACATAACTTCAATTCTTTGCTGCCCAACAAATAACGACAAGAGCCCGTGCCACACAAACACTGCTAACAGCGGCGGCGGCCACAGCCCTACCCGTATCGCACGGCGCCCTCTTCCCTTACCCCCTGGTTCCCCCTGTGGGCGTGCACGTTGCGCGCCCGCTTACGCGTTTGCGGCCGGCCGGGAAAAACCGCTCATCGGAAGGGAGCCAGGTATCACCACGGTGGCCTGCCTTGCCTCAGTTCGCCTGTGGTTACGAGCATATAGTGCAAGCGTGTACGCTGTTGTTAGATTGCGACTCGGAAGTCGGAAGGTCCATTCCGTTGTTAACGTTATCTAGCTACTTGGTTTAAATGTCATAGCTGAGCTGAGGTAGGGAGGCAGATATCACGGTCTTTGAGTCCCAGACACAGTCTGGTTTTGGGGAGCGTTACTATTGTAGTACTTGATGTTGTACATTTCTATATACATAACAGCTACATACCAGCTTCCAGGAGGAAAAAAACAAAAAACACACTAGAAACGGTGCCCAAAATGTGAGAGCTATGCGTGTGAGGGACCGCTTGGGAGCAGGGGTCGTTTGTTTAGGTACCTATTGTTACAAAACAGAACCCTTTACAATACAAAAGAAAAATCGCAACGCCTATAAACGTTCGCTATTGTTTACTCGACAGGCTCTTCCTCGAGCAAGACCTTGAAGCTGAATGGCTCGAAGGGGACACCGTCTCCGATGAAATGCTTGCTCATGGCCTCGACCCAGTGCAGACGCAGAGAGTGCAACATGGCGCTAGTACCCTCCATGACACAGAGAACGGCGACTGTGAGAGCGAACCACATGTAGAAGACGACTACCATGATGATCGCACCAGTAATTCCAGTGAATCCAAATGCAATCTTCATGGTCATCTCCCACAGGACAATAGAAAGACGCTGATGTGCCAATGACAAAGCCCAAAGACGTAGGTACGAGGCGGTGTGAGACACGCAGTTGAGACAGAATTCTGCAAATGTGTTAGTAGAGGAACGAGCAATATTCTGAAGGAATAAGATTATCGACTTACCAATAGTGTGGATGACTTGATGAATCATGACCTCACTAAACTCAAACTCTTCGTGCTCCCCGCCGTGTCCAATGTCCTGTGTGATCATTGCGATGCCATCGTCATCGTCACCAAAGCTCTCCCGTCCGCCGTTGAGGTTTTGTCCTTCTTCATCGTCGTCATCCAGCGCGCTAACACGAGTGTTCTCGCCAATGCCACGGTATCCCAAAGCCCGAGCCTTGTTGTGCTCGTATCGAAGATAGAAAGGCTTCAAGAAAAGCAGGATAGGAACGCAGATAACGGCGAGAAGCAGGAGGACGACCTGGATTCCTGCCTGTCCTTTGTACAATGGCTGATCTGGGTTCTCCAAAGTGCCTGGCTGCAAGAACATGTAGATCAACATGTTCAACAAGCTAGGAGGGTTCTGACCGCGAGCGGCCCAGTCAACACACCACTTGTATACGATGGTGAATGACAAGTAACCGAAGATGGACTGGAAGAAGATCATGCCAGGAACGAAGTTACCCCAAATATCAATGGGAGTAGAGAAGTACAGCGCATTGACCAATGACCAGCCAAGGGAGAAGGTCATGTGGCACCAACCCAAGAGAATACTGAGCTTCATCTTGTAACTGTTGGAGAAGAGAAGGTCATTGTCGGTATCATGCCATCTCCAGTCGAGACCGAATGGGTAGGTGTAGCCCTCAACTCGAGTGGCAGTAGGGCCCAATGATCCGTCGTCGTTCTCGGTCCACTTCCACATAGATTTGAAGATGGGGAGTTCCTTGGAGAAGGCATCGCAATACAAAAGACCAGTGTACATCGAAAAGATTCCCATCATGAATACGATGTAACGTCCGTAAAAGATCATGGAGAACAATTCATCGAGCTTGCTTCGTTGAAGCTTGCGTTCGTAGTAAATCATAGCAAGAGCTGCAGTCAGGAGGATAATACCATGGCCGAAATCACCAAACATGACCGCAAACAGGAAGGGAAAAGTGACGATAGTAGGCAACGCCGGGTTAACTTCGCGATACTTGATCGTGCCATAAGCGTCGATGATGGTCTGGAAAGCCAGCGTGAAGCGGTTGGTCTTGAAGTAGGTTGGTGGTGTCTTGGTGGTCTTGATCTGGTTGACGATAGTCGGAACCGAGAGACCGGCCTGGTCATTGACATCTCGGAGAGTTGACTTGATCAAACCGAGGTAGTTCGTAGGAGCCCAAGCCTCTGCAATGAGCGTCTTCCTTTGATGATCGTAGGAGAATTTGTTCAGGGTCTGATATGTTGCCTTCTCTTTCTTAATGATGACCATCCAGGCTGCAAGGCTACGGCCAATTGCAGTCAATTCCGCATCCAAAGTGGACTTGGTATTCTTGAGAACACTAGCGAGATCGCTCAATCTTGTGTTGACCTCGCGGATCTGATCGCGGCGAAGCTCGCTGTTCTCATCCACACTGTACAGATCGGCGCCGAGTGACTCTGAGATCTTGCGGATCTTTGCGATGATTTCTTTGCCGTGAGCGAAGATGATGAACACGTTCTTGCTGACTTCCTCATTGGTTTCGGGATTGATGATGGCCTCGGGAATTTCGGACTGGTTCATGTACAAGTTGCCACGTAGGGTTCTCCACAAGATTCGCTCGAAGGCGGCGATACGTTCACGAGGGATGACACCTGCTACAAAGCCGATGTTCATAACGGAAAAGGAGCGGTCGGCGGCAGCCTCGCCCTGGCCGCTCTGTTCCACATCTTGAAGAAGAGGAGCATCGTCGTTATCGAGAGAGTGTCGGATCTCTTCGGTCTGGCCACGGGCCTGCGAACATTGTCAGCGCATTGATCTCCAGATAAGCCTTGGCACGATACGTACTCTATCAAAGAATCCACCAGCCTCCCTAAGAACCCAACGCCATTCAGTCAATTCGACCTCGCGTTTCTTGAGGGTCTCGTAGCTCTCATTCAGAGACGAGATCCTGTTCTCCAGACTCTGGCTCTTGTCCGCAAGCTCGTCGATCTCAGAGGCCTTAGGAGAGATGAATGGGTTGTTGAAATCGTAGATCGAGCGCATCGGGATAGAAGCCTTATCCATCTGCGAGTGGAAGTATCTGAGTTGTCTTTCTACGTTGTCGAGTCTTCGGATTTCCTGTGTGAAGGTACGTTGGAAGGCGGACGTCTCGGAGTTGAGCTATGGCAACGTGTATTAGCTATGTGGTCCATCTGATATCGACCATCAAGGTCGACAATGTAAACATATATGCCCAAACTATTACTCACATCTCTGAAATCCATCACACCAAGCTCGCCGAGAGCAGAAACAACTTCGCGGCCTATTTCGTTCGCGATGTAGAGCTGCGTCAACGACATGTCCGCGGAGCGGAACATGGTGTCCTTTGTGGGCGCCATGCTGGCAGCTCTCTGACGACTAACTGTGCGCAGAGAAAAGCTGTCTCGATGGTTGTTGGGGACCGTCGGTCGTGGTTGCTGTTAATGATTGATGGCTGATGGCTACTGGAGCTGTGTCGATGACATGCGGCGACTTCAAGGTTGCAAGCCAAGCCTGGCATGGGCCCCTTGGATCACGTGGTATGACCTAAATGTAGCAGCCACGCAAACGCCTACTTGGAGCTAACATCACCCCCTGTCAATTTTGGGAATGGGATTTCTGATCAGAAGGCATTATCCACCACAGGAGCAATGCAAAACGAAATACTATGCAGCCATACAATAGGATCTGACTGTACAGCCAGAGATGGGACACTATATCTCTAGAGCTCAGAATTTTTCCTAGAGGAGCAGTTTTCCCTTTTTACTACTAATCAATGGTAACTGTACTTGTGACGTAGAGTTGAGAATATTTATGAAGTGGTTGGTACAATCTGCTATTCATGTGAGATATATCCCCCGATCAGCGAGCCCAATTAGTCTAATATAATGCTAGTATTGCGATACCTTGCGACTTCGCCAGTAAATATATATGCCGAATTGAAAGATATGATCCATATAGCTCCTGATACTGGAAGATTCACAGATGAACATAGGCAGTCTACCCGGTCATATATGATCATACATCGACCAGTTCAACAATATCACCGAACTCTGCAATGAGCCAGTCCTCAAGACCTGACTCTAGGTTTGACGAAGGTTTCTTGTCAAGTTCCAGATCCGGGTGTTCGAGGTACACATTCTGTTGAGTATGTTGCTTGCGAAATCCTTCCTGTACCTTGTCTTCGATACGCCCTGTTGATGGGGTCTCCTTTTCCATGGGTAAATGTGCTTCATCATCAATGTTCTTGGGGTTAAGCCCTACCCCGTGGACGTTCAATGGAATTTGGGTGTTATGCTGCCGATCCTCGTCACCCTTGGGCGGGATCGCGTGGACAATAGCATCAGAAACCTTGTCTTGCGTATGCGCGGCGGGATCAACGTCTATGGAAATGGATGCATCATCATCCAACTCAGTATTTGTGTTTAATGGACTCAAGCCATCAAGTGTGGTCAAAGCCCCCTCTGGCTTCGGATTTTGGTTGTCATTGAGCTCTATGCCGGCTGGCCCCTCGAGAGTAAAGTCCTCATGGGGCCTATATTCAGGACCCACTTGCTCCATGCATCCGGAGTACTCTTTGTCCGATACGTTTTCGAAGTCTTCGTAGCAAAGTTCTGCGGTTTCAGAAGGGATGCAGCCATAGTCACTTGAAGGTGGATTATCCTGGTCCTCCGTGGAATCAGTAGCCAAGAAGGACAGGTGAACCTGCCCGCCCTCACCAAAACAGTGTGCTGGCTTTTTCCGTGTTACCGAGGAGATGGATGCAGGCGGATCTGCAATTTGTGCTCTCCGATGAAGTTGTTGAAGATTTTGAACTTCACGAAGACCTTGGATGCCGGCGCCATGATTGTTTCTCTTGCTCGGTTCCGTCAAATCAACGGTGTCAATTGCGTGAAAGTCTCTTTTCTTGGCCGATTGCACTGAAGAGAGTGTAGACTGATGGACATTGTTGCCGGTTGGTTTACGTTTTCCGTCCGATTGGGATGTTGTCGCTATAGGAGGCTGCTTCTTCGCAGACTTCTTGGGTGGTTTGTCGAGTCCTTCGCGACAACACAGATGCTTACAAGCACTCTTGTCTTTGCAAGAGTGATTGCATGACCACCTCCCATTTTCAAGCTGTTTCGGTCCTTCGATATCTTGAGAAGGTACTGCAGAAGCAGAATCTACCCCCAGACGAGCATTCTTGGCTGTATTAGTGCGTGTTATCGTATCGGCTACATCAGGAAAATCATCGATGTGATCAAAGTTGAGGTCACCATACGAAGCCTGCAAGAGTTCCTCGTCATCAATCCCATCGTCGTCAATTTCAACGATCCTATTCGAAGGTTCATCGCTTCTAGAATCACCTCCAACCCCGCGCCTTCCTGCGTTTACTGGTGGTCTCTGGGCCAAGAGAGGGTTGGGCTGGCGCGCAGCAAACATGTGTGGTGGAACTTTTGGTTTCACCGATACTTGACGTGCAGTTCCAGCTTTGTTGAATTAGCCTCACGCTCATAATCGGGTTTGGACGCTTACCGATTTCAGTACACATGACAACACAGTTTAGATACTGTTCCGCACTCTCAACGACCGCGTTCACGGGCAAAGTTTTACCTTTCCCGAGCTGTGAACCGCTATGGGACTGTTAAAGGCGCGTATGTAATAGTAGTGTCAAGAGGCAATTACCTGATACGTGCAAAACGTACAAGATGTCCGTCAGATCTCTCAACTACTAAGCAGACATATACGGGGCTGTTTAGCCATTTCAATGGTGGCTGATCGTTGAGAAAGCCAAGGGCAACCTGGAGTAGGACTTCAGGTCCTTGATCTGTTTTCTTGATCTGGTATGTCTGAGTCTCGATCTCTTGGAGAATAGCAATGAACTTACTGCACTGGACGGGATGGTCACCGAAACTCGAAGTTTGGGGAATGGCTTAAGCTTCTCAAGAAGCTTGAGCCCGAATGGCGGGTTTCTACCAAGAACTGTTTCAAGTCGCTGTGTGTCAGTCATCTCAAGTTCTTCGACAGACTTGATGCCAGCGTTGATCAGTTTCCGCACCGAAACATTGCCAATGTCGGGAATCTGCTTCATGTGCATGGGGCTGTCATCCCAAGCGCGTGCACAGAGACTCCGCTCTAGCATTAGGGCATGCCCAGCTGCTACAGCGTCGCGTAATTCGAGTTGACAATCTATTATACAACGCACGAGACGGGTGGCATGTTTGAAGACGGTGTTCGCCTCTAAGTTGTACTGATTGCGATGCTTGCTTGTGTCCTTATCCCAAGTCATATCCGCTCCTCCCAATACAGATTGAAGGATCAATGAGACCTTGTGTGCTGTTGTCGTCAGGGCGACCGGCACGGGGAAACGCATCTGTGAAGATTGATTGAGCTTTTTGTAGAATGACTTCTCTCCAGACCTGAAACGTATCTCCTTGAACTCATCTGCTTGCGAGAGAGCGGACACCTGTTTTGATTAGTAGAGCCATCGAGGTAAGACAGCTCAAACTAACAATTTCTGAGAGCAGGGCCTTTGGCTGCAAGCCCAAGAATAACTTCATTGTTCTGAAACGAACGTAGTAGCGTATCATGGCCAGGCCGAACTCCGTTGCCTTTATGCCATTATCTGTTGTGATGAGATTTTCTTGTTCAAGGAACTCGAGATCACGTTGGCAAATACGCTCCAGCTGCCCATCAACCGAAGTACCACCCTTGGGACTCTGGAGTTTATAGTGTTCCGCATTTCGCTTCAGGCGCACATAAAAGAACGTCCCCGAAAGCCATTTCCTTGCCGTATTCAAGTCGGTAATGGTACCAAGCCCAATTTCAGCATTCAGGTGGTCAATGAGACCGAGATGCAGGTTACTCTCCAACAGCTCCTTGCCACTCACCATTTTGTCGTAGTGCGGCACTTTAGATTGACGCGTCATGATAACCGCCACAGCACTGTTATCGAATTGAATCCGTCCAGCCCGTCCAAGCATTTGCATAACCTCAAGATCAGAGTACTCCTGGATGCCTGCCCCACCAACAAATTTGACAGTGTTCTTGATGATTACAAGATGGCAGGGCAGATTGACACCTACAGCCAATGTTGATGTGCAGCAGATGACGTTTATGCTACCCTTGAGGTAGCCCTGTTCGACAGCCGCCCTGTCGTCGAGTTCAAGACCGCCATGATGGAATGCGACAGCTGACGTGGCACATTGCTGAAGGTCTTTGTCTCGTACTAGTACTGCAGAACGCGTTGCCTTCCAGCATGTTGTTGCATCGGGGAAGGAACTGTACCAATTCGCTAACATTTTCGCAGTGCTGACTGCAGATGCTCTGGTGAAGCAGAAGATCATGATAGGTTTTCGTTCAGAGTATTTGGGGATAAGCTCAACGAGCTTTTTGTCAAGAAAGTTGTCGAATTGAAAATCATTTCCAGATGTTGGAAACCCACAAACATATTTTTGGAGTTTCACGGGCCGAAATTCTTCTCCAAAGTTCTCCATCATGGCAGCTTTATGAGGAGCCGCCGCGTTCTTCCCAAGCCAGCTAGCAACATCTTCAATGTTTGGGACAGTTGCCGACAAAGCTACGAAACGCACATCAGTGCCAATTGCCTTCATGCGAGAGACAACAGCCTCCAATATAGCGCCTCGTTCATCTTTCAAGATATGCACCTCGTCAATGAGAAATAGCCGTATGAGTCTCATCAGCTTTTCATGGTCCTTCCACTTGCGTGTGATACTGTCCCATTTCTCGGGAGTCGTCACTATGATGTCTGCTTTCTGCACACTTTGTACGTGGGCGTTGTCGCTATCACCGGTCAGCTCGATGACTGTGAGCCCCAGAGGCTCGAACTTCTTCTGCCAGTCTCGCTGGCGTTCGGAGCAGAGAGCCTTGATTGGCGCTTGGTATACGATCTTGTACTGGCCTGTAGCATTGCGAACGAACGCCCGGCATATTGCCAATTCGAGGATGACAGTCTTGCCGGAGCCGGTTGGGGAGGCGAGTACGAAGTTGTCGTCGGAGTTGTAAACACTATTGAAGCTTCTGGATTGAACAGCATTGAAAACCGGGAAAGAAAAGATGGACTTGAGCCTATCAGGTAGCTCAGATACGGGCACAAGCCGGATGCCAGAGCATACTGGGCGTTGATGGCCGACGATATCCTTTGATATGTTCATGTGCTGCGTTTCGGGCGATTTATGAACGAAGTCGCCCTTTGGCCGTGAATTTGAGGGCTGCGACATTTCAGAGGCTACTGGAGTAAACGTCTCTTCATGAGTGATACTCTGAGCCAATTCCTGCCGAGCTCCCGTTCGTCTTTGGGAAGCTCTGAAGGCAGGGCTAGAGGATTCTGTAGGACGGCCATCTGAGCTTGGCTCACCAGCTTGAGTAACACCGAAGAAGGCTTGAGCTAGGTCTGTCAGTGGAGGTTCTAGAGTTCATTCACGTAAGCCTGTACTGACTTGGAATAGTATTGTGCGCTCGAGTCTCGTCTGGCACTGAATTAGCAGCATTCTACGGGTGGCGGGATGAAGCAAATAACCGTCATGGTAGTCATAGTAGTCATAATTTTCTCCTTGATAGCTCTCGCCACGCATGGAAGATTGCGAGGTGAGGTGGTGAGGCAGAGATTTGGATGTACTGGGAGCAAAAGACAAGCGTGCTTCTCCTCTCACAGCCTGACTGACGCGGTCCTCGTTCACACACTTCAGAAGATACTGATCTACGAAGTTCCATTAGATTAAAATCTCTGTGGTCTTCAAATTGACTCCACTAGACATACCAAAGCGGTCAAAAACGATACCCTGCTCGTGTTGTTCATCGACCTCATTGATATCGTCAAATTGATGAGATGTTCGGTAGCGATTACGCTGAGGAGGATTGTGGGAGATCGATGTCGTTTGAGAGCCCAGGAAGCTTTGACGTGGTTGACTCCGCCTGGTGTTCTCTTTTGGATGTAACCCTTCTAGTAGGCCTTCAATGGAGTCCGCCATCGTCAGATCCTTTCCGCGGTGCGACATCTGAGGCCACAAAGTCAATGAGATTTGAAGATAGATCAAGAGAAAGCCGAAGATAATGATCTACTACTAGTGGTGAGAGTGTCAAGTGAGTGGAGAATGCGGGGTGTTGGTGAGCAAGAACTGGAAGGAGGAAGGAGCGGCTGCCGGACGTAAGTGAGCGGTTCACGTGTATGCATACGCCGCTCAATGAAAGTTACACCTACATTAGATACGTCTTCTACTAAACATACGGCTATCACCTTTGACTGCAATCTCGGGATAGACATGTGGGTAGATACGAAAATACGAAAGTATTGATCATGAGCTGACTTTAGGACTTGAGATCGTCAGCGGCCGTAAGTGGTTAAAGATTAAAGACGTTTATATTCTAATACTTCGTTCCCTACGGCAAGTGTAATTATCTACTCAATTCTCTTCGAAGATGGAGACGTCTCCTCTGTCCGAGACCAGTGCCGCCCTACAGTTGGGTTTGGAGTTGTGGGCCTTGACGAGCTCCTTCTAGATAGATATGACGATACGGACGCTGGGCTCAATATACGATCTTTCTCGTTCTCCTCTACAATCTTTTCCAAGTTTAATCTCTCGAATTTTCCAGTACGAGTAGGTTTAGCCTGTACTTGGTCGGCAATGCTGTAGACATATGTTGCGAGGAGAACGATGGTCGTGCCCAGCAAATACTATTACCAGATTAGTTGTGCACAGAAACACATGGTGAACAACAAACTTACAGATTTGGTAACCGAAAAGTCGAAGAAGAACATGCTACCGATGCAGCTGAGTATGATTGAGATAGATGTCGCAAAGTTCTTGGCGATGTTGTCCGCATCGTTGATCACCATGGCCACAACGATACCTCCGCATCCTTGCAACCCAATGGCCGACCAGACGACCCAATTGTAGCCCGCAAAGAATCCATCTTTTGCAATGTTTTCGCCGTCCAGGAATATGACTCCAATGAACAGGGATGGAAACAAGGACCAGAAAGACAACTGCGCGTTTCGAATCCACAGCGAGGCTCCAGATGTTGTCGACTCTTTCAAGACCTTCTCGAATGAAACTCCTGCGAGACCAGATAATACACAGGCTACCAGAACTGCAGCCATTCCTATTGATCGGTCCAGAGGCGGATGCTGAAGAGCCAAAAAGGCTTCATCCTCCTCAATTCCTTGGTACGATGCCGATCTATTGATGAGTTGCTTCAGTGCGCGAGTCCCCATGTGCCGGAGCTGTGCCGGCACACCAGGTGCTGAGACAGATTCGGGCTCCAAGCTCCGAGCAAAGTGTCCATGCGACGAGCTGGATGTATGAGGAAACTGGATGATGGAGACTCCGACAACCAGTAGTAGCAAAGAAGCCCACCTACGTGGAGAAAGCGTGCGACCAAGTAGAAGAACGCTGAAAAGTGCGGTGGTGAGGATTTTCAGTTGATATGTCACCTGAAATGTGGCGGCATCAAGATTCGACACCGCGACATACTGAAGAGTGTTCTGGAATGTGTAAAGTACGGCAGGGATTGCAAGTTTCCAGCTGTCGTTGGTGAAAACTGCTTCGAATAGTTTTCTGAACAGTGTAGTCACTGTAGTGCTGGGAGGCACGTTCTTTGATATATCGTAGAGGACCATGGTCAATGAAACACCAGTCTTCAGCAGTTCATTAAGAAATACAGATGTCGATGTATGATACCGGAGGCCATTGACGGGAGGCATTATTCGTGAATAATGCATTACCTTGACTTAGTTAGTATTTGTCCACTCGTTGTCCACTTGAATAACCGTTAAGGCGCAGTGTAGAACTTTAGATGAGTAGGTGGAGAGCCATCCATACCAGTATCAGAGCAGAATTCTGCAATGTAAGCTTTTCGAAGAATTAGTAACCAAGACATAAGATAGAATCAAAGACAGGGCATTTGCTCGTACCAATGCTAATGAGAGTTGCTTCATAGGTAGCCTCGTAAATGAGCTACCTTTGCGCTCTGCTTCTAGCCCCATGGCTCAACGTGTGTCAACGCACAAGAGCCCAACAGAGCTGCGCCGATCAATTGTAGGATTTGATGATACTAGAGGCTTTGTAAATGTAGTCAGGGAGCACCGTGGGAGATATCTCTAATTGACGATGGGATGCCAGCGGTTGTAAGAAGAAGTTTGAGGAGAGAACGCATAGAAAATAGAAGAAGTTCGAGGCTCGAGCTGTGGTGTGCTGAGTTAAAAGAGCTGACTTTTGAGGGATAGTGGGGTGAGCCGTCCCAATGCTACTAAGAATACGAGGAGGCAACCAGCGAATAAAGAACCCAGCTGCCCCAGATTTTTGTCGTATCAACTGAATAAGGTACCGGTAACACTGTCTCTCAACGGTAATGTCCCGTACCGTACCCGGCAGCCTCCCCAGCAATCTGCCTTGCCCTGCCTTGTTCATTAGGGATTAGCTGCTGATCATCTGCGCCATCAACCGGCCAATTTGGGTAACTCAATCCTTTTCTTCACATGGCAGTAAAGACATCGAGTTCAACTAATACTACTAAGAGATATGCCATACCAAGTATTTTCACGCCTAAGTCTACTCTCTAGAGGTGCTATAGGAGGTTTCTATTGGCTATCAGCGTCGCCGTCAACTATTCCTATGACCGTTATCTTGCGCTACCATTTCAATGGTCAGCCAGTTTTCATCCAGATCAACCAGAGATGATGCGATAAGACCTTACATGTGCTTTTCAAGACTTATGCTTTAGTTGGCTTGCGCGTCTACGTAGAGGTTTTTCGGGATAGTTGGACGAGAATGGAATCCAACATAGGATCATTGACTGCTCATCGGCATAACAAAATCACATCCGAAGCAACAACGCAATAAATAGCCCAAGAACACTCTTTTCGATTTGCTCCCGATTGCACTCTGAGTGCCATCCGGTTATCTATAATACAATGCCAAAAGCGTGACATGCCATGCCTTTGCTCTCGGCCTCCATACACCGTCCGATGCTGATTAACGCAGGTTGATGTATGCTACAGAACATACAGATATGGAAAAAAGAAAACATATGAAAATTTGAAGCCATGAATGCACACGAATTGTTGTTTCTCATCACTCTGCTCCTCCTCCGCCGCCTCCAGCAGCACCCGCACCACGACCGCCACCACCTCTAGGACGCTTTCCTGCCTGATGACCACCCTCGCCGCCATCACCACCGTCATCGCGTCCTCGCTTCTGTCCACGTCCAGCGCCAGGTTGGAAGCCTTGCGCTGCGGGGTTCATTCCCCTGGGGCTATTCTGTCCTTGACTTTGGTTACCAGCGGCAGATGTGTTGATCTGCCCACCGCCGCGACCTCCTCTTCCTCCTCGACCGCCGCCACCACGACCGCCCTGTCCAGCTGCTTGTGGATTTCCGTTCTGGGTCGGATTGTCTTGACCTTGAGTCGTTTGACCCCTACCGCCAGGTCGCGGGATGCCCGTGCCACCGCCCCGAGGTATACCAGACTGATTTTGTTGTCCAAGCAGGTTACGCATCGTAGCGGGCCCCGTGCCGACATTGCCCTGCCCTCTACCCCTTCCACCTTGCTGCTGCTGTGGCTGTTGTTGTCCAGCAGGTGGTTGGATTTGGCCGAATGGTGAGTTTGGTCGAGCATTATTCGCGATACCCTGCTGTAACTGGCCCTGTGCTCCTGTGAAGCCTGGTTGAGGTAGACTGCCCGGCCCAGCAACTGACTGGCCAGATGCTTGATTGGCTTGTTGGAATGGCTGTTGGCCGGTCAAATTGCTCGGCCGTCCGAACATTCCAGTATTGTTGGCCTGACCAGGTTGACCAAACGAAGGTTGCCCGAATCCACCCAACTGGGTACTCTGGGTAGGCTGCGTAAAGGAAGACTGCCCAAATGGCGATTGGCCAGATGCTGCGCTGGCTGGGCCATTTAGTTGTGGAATGCCGGAAGACTGAGAAAATGGAGTTTGCTGCATGGCCCCTGGAGCTGCTGTGGATGGGCGGGGTGTGGCGGCAGGTGCTGTTTGTGGTCCTGAAGCCGGTTTCGCGGGAAGCCCGGTAGGGACAGGTTTGGCTTTTGCTACCTTTGCTACCGCCCAGACCTCACCAACAGGACGTTCGGGGGTCTCGTCTGCGGCCTTTTGAACCACCTCCAGTTTGGCTCTTTCGTTCCTAAGCATGCCATCCTTGAGACTCAACTTGGCAGCGTTTCGTGCGTCTGCCTCTTCCTTAACCTTAGTTTTGACCTCTTCGACCTTGGCAGCGACCAACTCATCGATCTTCGCAGTGTCAGGTTCCTCAGGCTTTGAAGTGCTGTCCTCACCCTGCTTCTCATCCGATTCCTTCTTGATCCTTGCTTCAACTTCTTCCACCTTTTTAGCATACAGCTCCGCGTCCGCCTTCTCTTGTTCTGCACGAGCCTTGGCCACCGAAGACTCCAGTTCAGTCTTGAGACGTTTGTTGACATGGGTTTGGATTAGATTCCTCACAAGGTTGCTGCCCTTGACCAGAGTCTCTATTTCCTCTCTGCTATAGGCTGAAGCTGGCTTGCCATTAACACTATCCCCGGTCTCTGCTGAAGGTGCTCCCAACTCTGCTTGAGGCTGGTTCGTTTGAGCTTGCTGTGGAGTTCCCGCCGCAGCATCTGAGCGGACACGAGTAGGGTCGTTCTGGTACTCCGAGGTTAGACGGTCCATGGCGGCTGTATGTTCCTCCTTGAGTTTCTTGATCAACTCGTTCTTCGCTTGTATCTGCTTGTTACATTTTTCTTTAAGACTGTCCATCTTGGTGGTAGCATTGCTCTCAACCGCGGCGATGCGCTCATTGGCAGTTGACTCCACTTCTGCTTTGACTGCCGCAATTTGTTTGGCAATCTGATCGGCATCTGTGGTAACGGCATTCTCAGGTTGGGCGGTAGCAGTGGAGCTTGCCATCTCTGCCTGCGTCCGCAAGTCCTCCACCTCTTTTTGTGCTGCCGCGAGTTCTTCTTTGATCCTCTCAATCTCCTCTGAAGACTGCGCAACAACAGTTGGCTCCGAAGATGTGACTTGGGATCCTAGCTCTGACAATCGAGTTTCGGTTTGCTTCACCTTCTCGTGTGCCTGGGATAACTCACCGTTCAGACCGGCGATGCGTTGTTGAAGGTCGCCCTGTACCGAGTTAGCGGAGTTTTGAATACAGGCGAAATAACTTACTGCTTGGTTCTCTAGCTCGGTGACTCTGGCTTGATGAGCCTGGATTTCAATGTGAAGTGCAACCGACCGGTTCGATTCTTCGATAGCCTTCTTCTCAGCCGCTGCAACTCGCTCCTCCAAGGCCTGTTTCTCTTCATTCGACAAGCCTGGAGCACTCTCGTCGACCTGGCCATCCTCGGTCATTGTAGCGTCAACATTGGATGCAGCATTTGCGAGAGCTTCGTCGCGCGCGATTCTCGTCGCTTCGAGCTCTTGCTGCACGGCTTGTAGCTGTAGCTGTAGCTCATCACGCTCTTTCGTCAACGCAGCGTTAGTGGCATCCTTCTCCTTGAGTTTTCCAGAAAGCTCCCTAGATCGCTCTTTGAATTGGTTAACCATTGCTTGACGGCGCTCTTGGAAACCATTCTCTAGCTCTTCCTTAGTCGTTGTTTTCGCCTTCTCTATCTGTTCGTCGATATGGCTGAGCTGTTCCTGCGCCTGGTCACGCTCAGTCTGGAGTGCTTCGAGGCGGCTCTTTAGCTCCTCTAGCTCTTTAGGATCGATGCGATCATATGTCTGTAGGACGTCTCGGTGACGTTTCTGCCAATGATCACGATCCTTTTGAACAATCTCCAGCTCTCCGTTCTTCATTGCCAGTTCACCCTCCACCTCCTGCACACGTAGTTTGAGTGGCTCTATCTGACCTTGGAACAGGTCTAATTCCTTAACCTTGTCGGCCAGGCGAGCCTGGGCTTGTCTGGCTTCGTTGCGAAGGGTGCTAGCGCTTTCTCGGTAAACATTGAGCTGCTCGATGGTGTTCTCGAGGGACTCAAGATTTCTGGCGCTTTGTTTGGCTTGTACTTGTGACTGCTGTTCCTGGACGAGTTTCTCGCGCGTCTGGTCGAGTTGGTTCCTCGTGTGCTCGAGATCCTGTTTGAGACGCTTCGCTTCTTGAATTGAGAGCTCACGCTGAACATCCACGATATCCTTTTCCCGGCGAAGGTAGGTGATCAAGTCTTGCAGTCCCTGAATATCGGCATCAGGGCTGGCAGACTCAGAATCATGTCCAGACACAGATACGCGAGCCTGTTTTAGAGATGCAATTTGAGCACCAACGCTCTCGAGCTGCTGGTGGAGAATCTTGTTTTGGCCCTCCAGATCATTGTATCTGCTTCGCAGTTCGTTAAGCTCACGTTCGTACCTCTCCTTCAGTTCAGTCCAGTGTTCTTCGCCTTCAGCAAGAGATGTCCGTGCCGCTTCAGCTTGTGTTTTGAACTGTGCGACCTCGGATTTGAGCTGATTGTGTTCCTCACGTTCTTGCTTGAGCTTGGTCAAGGCGTCGCTATGCTTAGTGAGTTCGCTCTCGTAGTTTTGTTGTGCGCGGGTCGCAATGTCGGCTTGAGCTTTCAGATCTTCTTGGTGCAAAGCTGCGGTTTCTTTGTATCGATCAGCCTCGTCCTTGAGGCGATTAATGTCACCTTCGAAAAAATCTTTCTGTTGTGCAAGGCGTTGAATGTCCTCTTCGTGCTGTCGTCGAAGTTCAGATAGTTCGGTGCTGGTCGTAGCAAGCTCAGATGAGATTTCCTCAACTCTCTTCTGAAGGTCCTCGATCTTGGCATCCTTCTCCGCAATCTGCCGGTCTGTTTGTTGTTGAAGCTCTTCTTGCGCATCTTGTATATCAGCCAAGCGATCCTCAGCATCCTGTGCAATAGCCTTGTACTGCTCAATCTGAGCCTTAGCATCTTCAATCTGCTGGTGTGCTGTCTCCAACTCGTGCTTAAGGTTTGAGATTTCAATGCTAAGCTCTTCTTCCCTGCTGATATCGTCCTCGGCAGCGTCCGTAGCTGGCGCACCGTTACGCGGTGTTGGCCTGGGTTGAAGGTTCTGTCCTCGTTCTTCGGCAATGCGGAGTTCAACCTTCAACTCGTCTACACGAGCCTGCAATTGATCACGTTCCGTTTTCACCGACGCGAGCTCGGGTCGAATGTTGTTCAAAGCCTTGGTCAAATCGTCGATTTTCTTGTTGTTCTCTGCTTGCTCATACTCGCGCCGCTGGATCGCCTTCTTATGATCTTCCACCTCTTCGTCAAGTCGTCGTTTTGTAGTCTGTAACTCAGCCTCAAGAGAATCAGCGCGACCTTGTAGACGCCGGCGATTGTCCGCCTCAGTTAACTCCTGCTCGTTTCGCAGATTCTGAAGATCAGTGATCATCTTGTTCAACCGGCCTCTTTCCTCAAGAAGTGATTTGTTGTCGGTCTCCAGACGGTTTTCGATGTTCTTCAAAAGCTCGCGGGAGGCCTTCAGATTGGCCTTCTCTCGTTCAAGACTGTCCACTAGGCCTTTAGCCTCCACAAGATCCTGTACCGCTTGCTGAGTACGGACATCTTGCTGGGCAGCACTATCTCTAAGGCCGTCGCAACGTTTCTGAATTTCGTCATTCTCAGATTGTAAGAGATTGAGCTTGTTTTGCAAAAGGTCATATCGTTCCTGAGCCAGCTGTACTGAGTTGTTGAGTCGCATGTTTTCGGTTTGTAGTCGACCATTGTCCTTGGCCAAGGCATCGGCTTGCTGTTTGAGTGACGCGTGGTCTGTGGCGCTTTCTTGTCTGAGGGCATCCATATGCGCCTGAAGATCCTTGACAAGTTTTTCATATCCAGAAATTTCCTTGGAATGTGGTGTCTGGTTGACACTTTGGAGTAGGCTACCAGGTGGTGGGGTTGCCATACCTCTGCCGTCCACAGACTGGCTAAATAGGGCACCAGAGTCTGAGCCACCAGGGACCTGCCCGCGACTCGTGACAATGCGGCGATACATGTCACGCTCTTTTGTGATGCTCTGAGATTTAATGTTAAGTGACTGTATCTGGTCTTCATATTGAGCGACCTTATCGCGGAGTGATGAAAGTTCTTGTCGGTCTTGTTCGATCTGGTTTGTGCGTGCTTGGGCCTCGCTACCCTCGTACCTATCCGCGACCTCACGAATAGCGCGTAGCAGTTCTGCATTCTGCTGCTGGAGTTCCTGGATATTTTTGAACAGTACGAGTTTTCGGCTGATAAGGCGGCCAGTGTCGGTAGTATCATCCAATTGATCGTCCGGAATCTGGCCAAGAGCGACTTGTTGAAGGTAAGTCCGCTCGTCAGGGGTGAGGGACTCTATTCCTTCCTCGCGGACTCTCTGCTCTAGCAACAGGAAAGTGAGCTGTGTGCTAGAATCGCGAAGCTGTTGTCGAAGTATTTCACCCTCACGAACGATACCCTGGTAATCGCCTTGAGCCTTGCGCGTTTCCTTCCGAGCGGCTTCCTTCTCAGAAGTAGCTTCCGCGAGCAATGCTGATATCTCCCCTGTCTCGACAGTAAGGCGTTCATTCTCCTGTCGAAGTTCCTCAATTTCTGGTTGGCGACTTTCGAGTTCTTCAAGCATCTCATTCATAGTAGCTGTACGTTTCTCGTCACGATCTTGGAGTGTCCGGACCTCGGCCTTCAGCTGCGTATTCTCAGCATATAGCTGTGTCGTCGACAAACCTGCCCGGCTGCGAGAAGGAGACAGGAAACTTGGCGAGCCAATGCGGCCTGGAGTATCAAAGGGGCCATTGATGGGGCGTCGCGGCGTTCCGGGAACTGGCGCTGAGCTACGCAACTCTGAAATTTGTGTTTCGAGGGCTTCAATCTGGGATTCAAGCTCGGCGATCCTGGTCTCCGTTGCTTCTCTCTGACGGATTTCAGAGTCAACTTCGGCCTGTAGCTGGCCAACTTCGGCGGCAGCAGTGTCCTTGGCCTGGTCGAGTTGTGCCCTGAGTTCCTGTAGATGAGCTTTGGCGGTGTTGGCGCTTTGTTCATGCAGACTAGCTAGGCGTCGCATGTTGTCTAGCTCAGCCTGCGACGACTCCTCTTTCTGAGCAGCCTCATCCTGAAGTTGTTGTACCTTCGAAAGGGTTTGCTCAATCTTTTGTTCCAGATCCTCAATGCGTTTGCGCTGGGAGGTCTCGGTCCGGCGAAGGGATTCAATCGTCTGGGTCGCATCTGCATTGGCGCGTTGAAGCTCGGAGATCTGGTTGTTCTTTTCCTTCCGGAGCTTCGACATGTCATCGCGTTTCTGGTTCAGTTCGCTCTCGTAGTAGTCACTGTTCTTCTTCAGCATCTCAATCTCTTGCTGGAGACTCTGTTCCCTGAATTTCGCACTGTTCGCGGCATTTTCAAGCGACTGGTTCTTCTCCTCAAGTTCAGATAGCTGCTTTCGAAGACCGACAAGCTTCTGATGTTGGGCGGACAGGTCTTCGGCAAGACGATCGTGCGCAGCGGACTTTGCTTCGAGTAGGGAGATTGTGTCTCTGTTCTGAGCCTCTAAAGACTTGATGCGAGATTCGAGAGCTTGCGCTTCGGATGTAGAGCTCGTGGCAGTCGATTTGAGGTGTTGGAGTTCCGACTCAACTTCACTACGTGCATTTTCTTTCATCATTAAATGTCAGCGCATGCGTTACTGGTAGATAACATCGGTCTTAAGACTTACCCTCCTGAATGAGCTTCTGGCGGAGGTCTTCAACCTCTTTCAGGGCTTTGTCGGCGGAAGCCTTCAGGGTTCGTGCGCGGGTCTCGCCATTTCGCACCGCGTTTTCCAACTCTACATCTGAGCGAAGCTTCTCCGATGTGAGTTCATCGTGTTCTCTAGCTTTCGCTTCAACCTGTACGAGCAGCTCCTGCACTAATTCGATCGTGGGTGCTGAAAGTAAAGTCTGTAAAGTAGGTTCTGGTACGGCGTAGGACGCGGAGATGTAGCTCACGTCAACTGCAGCCGCAGCCATCGTGGACAATTAATCGAGCTGTTGTATCCTAGCGCATTATCTCCCAGAAAACCTTGAAGCAGAAAAGAAGAAAATGAGAAAAGAGTGTCGGGGTGGGCAGGCGACGTGAGCCGTCAATGAAGTTGATGTTTCTTTGAGCTTCACTCGCGTCCTTAGCAACGCAAAGCCAAGCAACGTCCGTGCGTCCGCGCAACTGCTCCGAGCAATTGGCTTACTATTACCAGGCTACGTCTTTATTCAACAATTCATTCATTTGTTCATCCACCACAATAGTCTTGCCGCTGCCCGTCAACCCGGCAAGACCCTTCACTGGCGTATGCTGAACGTACGTCGACCGTACAAACCACTGTCTTCCTGACTATCCTCTCTCTCCGTGCGACTCTTTCACTAGACGCCGCACATCGAGCAACTAATAGCCTCACCACCGATCTTCGACTCTGATCGTATCTTTCCTCTTGCCATATCTTCATATCGCCCTCGCAACAACATTCTCGACCATGTCCTATCTCAAGACGAGCTCCGCTTCTCACCTCTCGGCGCCCTCGCCAACGCCATCTACCTCGTCCACCGGCGGTGGGAAGCGCAAGCGCGAGGATGCCGCGCAATCGATCGTATATTCACAGCCGCAGGAGACAGGCACCGGCAGTCACTTGATGACCCAGGTCACCTATACGATCGAGCACCTTCGCAAAGAACAACGTTGGTTGACCCTGCAGGAGATTCTCGATTTCCTGAATCTGCAACAGTCGGCAAGCTATGAACAAGACAAGCAAACACTCATCGCCACTTTCCACAAGAAAGATCCGAAAAACCGCATCGAATACGACGCGAAGACGAAGAGATATCGCTACAAGCCTAAGGTTCCTGTCCGGAATGCCGATGACCTCAAGTCTTTCCTGCAGAAGCAGAAGTCGGCCCAGGGTTTATCGGTGAAAGATCTCAAGGATGGCTGGCCGAGTTGCCAGGAAGGCATCACCAAGATGGAACAAAAGAAGGAGATTCTCGTCAATCGCCTTAAGAAGGACAATCAGGCCAAGACCGTTTGGATCAACGACCCGACCTTAATGTATCCAATGGATACGGAGTTCAAGGAGGAATGGCTCAGGATCCAACTTCCTGCTAATCCTGACGATTTGCGCAATCGACTTATCAAAGCAAACCTCAAGCCTTCGAGCGCTCCACGGGAAGCCAAGACTGCGAAAGCAGAAAAGACGAAGCGGAAAGCAGCCAGGCGTGGCGGAAAGCAGACGAACACCCATATGGCTAACATCCTCAAAGATTTCTCGCACTTGCGAAAGTAAAGCTGTGTTTTCTGCATTATACTGGAGTTTGGAAAGCATCACTATCGGTGTTTTGGCGTTAGAAAACATACCATCATTTATCGTAGAACTTTCGGGGGGTCGTCTCAATGAAACAATTCAATTTATTTTCAGTGAGAATAGAATTCTGTGACCATTCCTTTAGACGATGATATCTCGATCCTGTGCTATAATTGCTTGCTTGTGCAGCAACAGTCCATTATCCATACATGTTGGAATTCTGATCACGTTAGCCCGTGATTTCGTGACATCAGCCTTTTGCACGCGCCACAATTTTGGTCTCAAGACTTCAACCCTCAACCTGAGCCTGACACCAATTGCTGCTCCAATGGCTGCGACCATTCCCAACCACGCCTTTCGATCATGTCTACATATCTCCCGCCGTAGTTTAATACGAGCCGCACCGTTCATACGTCAACAACGAGCGCCTCTACCATTGCAAGCAATCCGCTTCACCTCCGCTACCTCCGCTCATCCCAATGCTTCAAAATCCTCGGTCGACCCCTCGGAGGTCTCCCACTTCAATGCGCTCGCATCCAGCTGGTGGGACCCACACGGCCCTTCACGACTCCTCCATCTCATGAATCCTCTGCGGCACGAATTCATTTCCCGTTGCCGTTTACGCACACCCGGACTCGATACCGAGAAATTGCGATATCTAGACATAGGCTGTGGTGGCGGCATTTTCGCGGAATCAGCAGCTCGGCTGCCAAATACAAAGTCTGTCACTGCGATTGATCCTACGCCCGAGGTTCTCAAGGTGGCGGAGCTGCACAAGAAGCGCGATCCGGCTCTCCAAGCTCCGGGGAAACTCACATATCTCAATGCCTCGATCGAGTCGCTACCTAAGCCGGAGTCACCGTCGGATGGATATGATGTCGTTTCTGTTTTTGAAGTGCTTGAGCATGTCAATGAGCCCGCTCCGTTCCTCGAGCAGGTCATGCAGCAGGTGAAGCCTGGTGGTTGGTTGGTGATGTCCACGATTGCTAGGACTTGGACAAGCTGGATGGTAACCAACGTAATGGCGGAGGATGTTCTGGGAATAGTACCAAAAGGAACGCACGATTGGAGCAAGTATGTCAATGAAGCAGAATTGAGGGATTGGCTCACGAAGAAGGGTTGGGGAAAGAATGGAGCGATGAAGACAATGGGAGTGATGTATGTTCCCGGTTTGGGATGGAAAGAGGTCACTGGAAGTGAAGGCTGGGGCAACTACTTCATCGGCGTAAGGAAAGACGAGTGATGGAGACCATTATGCGGCATACAAAAACACTGAACGGGTGTTCATGGTAACTGAGATACCCTTATATCAAAATGTACAACATCGAATATTCAACGCTGTCCATTCTTGCACACGTTTCCTGCAGGCTCAATATGCGTGCGGGCTCTTTCCTATCATCCTGCAGTATATCCTATAGCACAATTGTTGTACATTTATCTCATTTCAAATCATAAACGCCTTATAATGCACCATCAATGCCCCCAATCGCATCAGTATCCTCCATTATGGTCTCCCTCCTCTTTCCACATCCTCAAATACTCCTCTCCAGTGAAGGTCTTCTGGGGTATTGACCACTTTCCATCATCGCTCTGAACATTTTTCGAGATATGGCGGCCAACAAATGGTGTGAGCTAACCGCAGATTAGTATGGGCATTAATGTGATCAGCTCGCGCTTCGTTTCTTCTCACCTCAAAACCATCCAAACCAGTAAGGGGGTAGACAAAAGTCCTGACTTTGCTGTAGTCGACTTTGAAAACTCGGTGGTTTACGGGGTCCCAGCTACCAAGGTGACCGACGCCATTTCCTTTGTAGAATCCTTTTCGCGTTTGCTTCGTGGTAAGAGGTAGGCGGCGTAGCCGTCCAAAAAGAGCTTGTGTGGCCTTCATCGCTATGGTGTGATGCGATTGAGCTCAATCGACTTCGCTGGTGGTGTAATCCGTTTGTTGATGGTGCGTCGACCTATCTGTACTGCACAAGATCTGCTGAGGAGGTGGTGGGCTTGCCTTGCGACACTCCGCGCGGAAAAAGTTCGGCAGACAAAAAAAGTTACCCGCCAAGATTTCGCCCACCTCAAGCAAACCCGTAAACATTTTTTTGGTTGCTAAACAACAGCTTTCACAATAACGCAACATGCCTCCTCGAGTTTCAAGGAGTTCGTTGAAAGGGGCAAGACCCTCAAAACCCCAATCTAATCCACGTAAACCCAAGAAATCCGCCAAACGCGCACTTGATGCCTTCGCCATCGCCTCGCACGAAACCAGCGACTACCCGAAGATAAGCAAGCATCGACTTGGAGAATCTGACGTCTCCTCACGTAGAAAACGACAGCGCAATGACAGCGACGGCGAATCAGGTGAAGACGATGAAGAACCCAAGAGGAGACGGCAGAGGAAGGGCGGTGACGATGAGATGAGTTTCGATGAAGACAGCGACTCTGAAGGCAATAATTGGACCATGGGCCATGTTGAAGATGATGACGATAGCGATATCGACAGTGACGAGGCTTTTGGAGAGAGCGACGAGGAGAGATTCGATGGCTGGACATTTCGAGGAAGTTCTACCACCAAGAAACAGGACCCAAAGAAAGGAAAAGCAAAGAAGCAAGTTAAAGCGGCTGAAGACTTCGACATGGATGGGGATTTTGATTTAAATGAAGATGATAGTGAAGAGGAGGAAGACGAGGACGAGGATGACCTGGGTGAGGATGCCATTGATCTGGCCACGGCCCTAGATCAGTATGAGGAAAGTGATAACGAACAGGACAAGAAGAAGAAGAAACCAAAAGAACGATCTGTCGAGGAAAATGGTGATTTCCTAAGCGAAGATGACGAAAGCTCGGATTCTTCTTCAGAGGATGAGGATGAGATCAGTAGGGCCTCAAAGCTCCAGAACCTCATATCATCACTTCCCGAGGAAGAAGAATCTACTACTGGAACTCGCAAAAATCAACGTGCCGCACTCGAATCGGCTGCTCCTTCCGAATTCGCAGTCACCAGGAAGGTCGATCTTGCAAGCTTCAAGCCCAAAGTGTCCGACCCCGAGAAGAAAAAGTCCTTGAAGCTATTGCAGGATGATGTGAAGTCTTCAAAACGAAACGATATTGCACGGAAGCTAGATGCCCCTTTGCCGAAACGTCAACAAGACAAGATTGATCGGATAGCGGCCAACGAGAAGGCAAACGACACACTGGCACGATGGACGGACACTGTCAAGCAAAACCGCCGCGCAGAACACCTTCAATTCCCTCTCCAACATCCTAATGCCGGATCGGCATTTGGCGAGACTCGCCTTGTACCAACAACGTCATCGGCTCCGGCGAATGACCTCGAAGGAACCATTCAGTCAATTCTACAACAGAGCGGTCTATCTAATGGCAAAGATGACGGCGAAGATCAGATTCAAAAGTGGGAGGAATTGCAGACAAACAAGTTGCCCTTAGAAGAGGTGGAAAAGAGAAGAGCAGAGCTCCGCAGGCAACGCGATCTCCTCTTCCGTGAGGAGGTTCGTGCGAAGCGGATCAAGAAGATTAAGAGCAAAGCTTATCGCCGCGTGCACAGGAAAGAACGCGAGAGGTTATTGCAGAAGGAGAGGGATGCCCTCAAAGCAGACGGTGTCGATATTTCTGAAGATGAAAGGGAATACAACGATCGACGAAGGGCAGAGGAGAGAATGGGCGCTAAACATCGTGAGAGCAAGTGGGCCAAGGGTATCAAGGCCAGCGGACGATCCGTTTGGGACGAAGACGCCCGCGATGGCGTTACGGAAATGGCGCGACGAAATGAGGAGCTTCGCCGCCGTATTGAGGGCAAGGAGGTCCGAGATGAAGATGAGGACCATTCTGACTTTTCTGATGAGGAAGAGGAGGATGACGATGACGAAGATGGCGCTCTGCAGAAGTCACTCGGTCGCCTGCAAAATCCTTTCTCCACAAATGCCGATCTCTCCCACCTGGGGAAGATTGGTCAGATGAAGTTCATGCAAAACGCCGAAGCTGCAAGGAAAGCACAGAATGACGAGACAGTCAGACAAATGAAGAAAGAACTAGCCGGTGAGGAGAGTGACAGCGACGAAGGCGACGAAAACACAGCACGCATTGGTCGAATGAAGTACGGCCCTGGTGCCAAGCCTGCCATTACGACCCGTGCTACTCGTAGTGAATTCGAGGAACGTTCTGGTTCGGAAGACGAAGGAGATAGCAAGAGCCGCAAGGCATTGAAGTCATCCGGCTTTATCCCAGCGGGTTCAACTGAACGGTCAGAGAACCCGTTCATCACCAAGGCTCCAAAAGAAAGCGCGAAGCCCAGCAAAGCAACGGAGGCTTTATTGGATGCCCACAACGCCATCTCCACGTCGCACGAGAAGCAGTCAGCCAAAGCCAAAGCCAAAGCAGGAAAGAAATCTAAGAGCAAGTCGAGTGACGACGAGCTGCCCCCGGCGATTGTCAGTGCGCCCGATGCCGATGGATGGCAAACGGTTACATACGGCAACGACTCTGATGGAGACTCGGACGAAGGAGTTGATCTAGATTTTGTTCAGAGTAACCAAGCCCTCACAGCTCAAGCATTCGCAGGAGACCAGGATGTGGAGGCAGATTTCGCAAAGGAGAAGAAGGCTCAAGTCGACGAAGAAGCGCCACAGGAGACGGTCACGACTCTTCCCGGATGGGGTAGCTGGACTGGCGAAGGTCTCTCCAAACGTGCCAACAAACGGGGACAAAAGACCGTAACTCGCAAGTCCGGAGTAGATCCATCCAAACGTAAAGACGCCAAGCTCGGGGATAGAGTCATTATCAACCAGAAGAAAGTCAAGGCAAACAGCAAGTTCCTTGCAACCTCATTGCCTTTCCCCTTCGAGTCCAAGGAACAATACGAGAGGAGTCTTAGGTTGCCTCAAGGTCCAGAATGGACGACCAAACAGACTTTCCAGGATGCCACGAAGCCCAGAGTTATCGTCAAGCAAGGAGTTATTCGGCCTTTGCACAAACCAATGGTTTGAGAGGCACGAAGGGCTGCAACTATCGTCGTTTATTGAAAGATTCAAGGTCTGCATCTCAACCTGTCAACAGCTGTCAGTGCAGCCCTGATAGTCCGAATCGGAGTCGAAATCTGGGGTCACACCCTTCTGTTGTACGGTGGTTTTACCGCATCGGCAGCTCACAGTGGAATCAATCGGCACTCACAAGACATGATCACTACAGGGACGGTCAGGATTTTAGAGAGTTTTCATGTCTCTAATTGAATAGCTAATGGAGCAATCGGTGTAACTTTGGCGTAAAAAAAGGGAGGATCTTGTGATTCTATATTGGTCGTGTCACGGCCGCAAGAGTACATATAGTCACAAATACAAAATGACACTGTCCATTTGTAAGGCTGTCTTTGTTTGGCACCTGTCATGCGTAATTCAAGATGTACAGTGAAGAGACAAATCCTAACGTCATTACTTACAAACCATGAGAGTGTGTGTGTTAGGTTATGCCGTACAGTCCAAGATTTCAAGAATGCAGGACGGCAGTCGTTGCCGAGTGGCTAGTTTAGTCTGTTTCTCTCTCCGCATCTCCAAGATTCACACCAATCAATGCCTTTCATGGAGACCAACTCGCCCACTGTGCCACACCCTGATTTACGCCCATAGTGATGCATAATGTATTTACTTGCAAGTGTGCCTTGTTGAATTAGAATAAACCAAGTGCAGACTGAAGAAATGATAGTTAAGATTATCTTTCCCGGGCAAAAGAGTCCTTAAATCGTACCAAACCTATCGCTGATTTTACAAGTTCCGCCATTGCTAAGCTTCTTCGTATCTCGAACTAAGACCACCGACCTCACAATCACCAAGATCCCCTCAATTCTAACTATGTACAGTACATTGTAGTAATCTTGACAATACGACCCGTACATCCGGATTCCATGAAACCATAGCAAATGACAAGGCATACTCGGCACTGGCGCCACACGTGCCTCTCGTTCAGCCCCCAAATCCAGCAGAGCCTCAAGCCCCAACCCTGGTTAAGCTCCCATGGGCGACGTCAGCCCCATGCCGGTTATCCGTCACAACACAACCCAAACCTTATAAGCAGGCGGGCGCCCCTCGTGGTACTGGAAATGCGCCCAAAGGAAAAATATGCATCGCCATCCAGTTCTCGTCGACAAGATTTCAACAAAACGCCCTGGGGAATTAACATCCAGATTGAATCACGGGACCCCCATTCCGGACCATGTCTTTCCCACGGCGCTGCCACGGGATGTCGATTTGTATACAACTCCTAGATGCTACTTGGCAGGTGACTTGAGCCCACTGGGCCTGATGTCTTCACGTCCTTATCACAATCTCAAGAGGGGAAGTACGTGTCTTTACACTTTAGGTTGAACATTCCCCATGGCTCTGCTCGGGATGAACATGCCTCAGTATAACTTCAACAGTTCTGCCACGATGCCAGTATTCATCCTGGATCAATCACTCCCTCGTTCAGTCAGGTCCTCTGCTTTTCTGTGCATTATCTAGATCGAACTTCCAAGGTCTCTACCTTACTTATTTCGATTAATCGGACCTAGTATATTGTTTGACCTTTCCAATTCTCGTTGAGCATTACCCCAAGTATGCTGCTACATCATCTTGGCGTTCCAATATGGTTCTATATCTTTCTATCACTTCACTGGACTACAGCAATACCATTATCTAACACTCTAAATAATACGACCCATCTGGAACTATGGCAGCCCACTCACCCTACAGCGGAGACTATATTTATGTACTTGAATAGCTCGCTGAGCACTACGACATGGAGGGATGCTACACCGAGTACAGTACAACACCAACTGGGGATCCTATCAAACTTCTCGTCCCCTTTGAATACATCCTCATCGGCTCGGGCTCTATCGTATGCATCTCAAGTCGACATATCCAGCAGTGTGGTTTCTACCACGGTCTATTCGGTAAGTGGATTTGCTCAATTGAAGTTCTGCGCGAGTATACAACACCCGCATTGCGCATTGCGCGGGAGGCTGCATATGCGCAACTTCGCAAGTGTAATCATTCGATATCACTCGGCACCGAATAAGCACAACACCGACATCATGCAATCTATCCAGAGGGACCAAAGAATAGTTGGTTGCAGCATGTTCAGACCCGACTCTCGCACCTGCCTAAGATATCTTTACTAACGCCATTTGTTCAGAATGATGAGTCGCCGCTGTCACTGCCTCTTACACCGACAGGCACCATCCTTCCGGCCCAGTCGGTAACAGGAGTTCCACTACTAACGACAGGTTATATGCCGGACGACATTTCACTGTCCTTCACTGCAACCCCTACAGAAACCTCGAATATCTCCTTTATTCTTAGTCAATTTGAGCAATCTACATCTTCACATTCAATTACAAACCCCCCGACTCCAGGACCAGAACCAACCTATATGGGCCAGAGCTCTTCATCAAAATCGCCACCACCGGACTCTGACGATGATCCAACATGGACGGAATCATTGCGAGAGGACCTGAAAGCCACGCTGTCGCCCATACGCCTCAGCTCCGTCAAGCCTTCCGCGAGCGCGACCGCGGCGCCAGTGCCGGATGCCAACATCTTCGTGCCGATCCAGCGAGACGACATTCTATCTCAGATCCCAATCGGAAGACACCATCCCGTGCCTCGGAAAGGGATTGAGGACGACTATGACAGGACGCTGCATACCAACAAGTTCTATGCGAATGCTTTCCTCGGGAACCAGGACCAGCCGATATGGACGCATCCGTACTTCATCTGGTGGGGGAAGGGGACTTCAGGTGGTCAATCTGAGACGTGGGGTATGAATATAGGACAAGTTGAAGCGGAAGAGGTGGTTCTTGGGGAAGGCGATCCTGCAAGGGTAAATACACTCTGCCAATATCGTGAGACTCGAATTTGACCTTTGGTAGTTCTACATCAATCCTCGCAAGCAAGCACTCATTCTCTCTGCGAAGGAGCTTGGACCGGACACCACACTCACAACGGATACTCACCTCCCCTTCTCCGTCAACATCAACCTAAATTCTGGCGGCCGTTCGGAACCAGTATTGACCTTTCCAACCGTTCAGGGTATGAGTTTTGTCACGGGCGGTTATCGAAACGCAACGCCAATCATCCAATGTGGCGGCAGAGGATTCCGGTCAATCAGTCTTCCCATCTTCGTCGGAAAATCGACCAAGTATCGAATTGAAGATAGTGATGGCCGCCATTGGGTCGCATACGTCAATCCGGCGCAAGGTAGCGTCTACGACGGGACGGCTTTCTACGCTCAGGATGAGCACAATCTTGTTGGGCCCAGCGGATTCAAAGGAACCATCCAGATAGCCAAGAACCCACTCGGAGCGGAAGGGGAAGCCCTCTACGACACCGCAACTGGGTCTTTCGTAATCGAAGCCAGGGTGACTGGTACCGTTGCTAATACCAAGGCCATATACACTCTGGAATACACCAAGGTTGGAAAGTCACCTTTGCTGATGTTTGCTCTCCCACATCACATTGCATCTCTGGATTCTTCACTGAAGTCTAAGGTCACCAAGCTGCAGCTACGGACAACTACAAAGGGAGTTGCAACAGCCATCTGGACCGAGCACCTCACGCTCACGGAAAGCAGCTTGCCCACCAACATGGGATTTGGGCCATTCGCGACATTGAGCGGAAACCGCCCTAAGCTTTCCCAAGCCACTCTCGACTTCATGAACACGACCGCAATGTCCGATCTTCAAGCCGCAATAGCAGATCAAACCCCCAACGACTCACTATACTTCGCCGGCAAAACGCTCGCCAAATTCGCCATGATCCTCCTCGTCATGAAAGAAGTCCTCAACAACAACGCCTACCTCGCGGGGCTCGAGAAACTCAAATCCGAGATGGCCCGCTACGTCGACAACCGCCAAAAGTACCCTCTCTTCTACGACGACTCGTGGAAGGGCCTCGTGTCGTCGGCGGGCTTCACGGACCCCGGCGCAGACTTCGGAAGCACCTACTACAACGACCACCACTTCCACTACGGCTACTTCGTCTACACGGCCGCCGTCATTGCGCACCTGGACGCCCGCTGGCTCGAGGAGCGCGACAACAAGGCGTGGGTCAACTCGCTTGTCAAGGACTTCGCCGAGTCGGACTACAATGGCCGCGACTACCCGTTCTCCAGGAGCTTCGACTGGTTCCATGGGCACTCGTGGGCGAAGGGGCTGTTCGAGAGCGCGGACGGCAAGGACGAGGAGAGTAGCTCTGAGGACGGGTTCGCGAGCTACGCGATCAAGATGTGGGGGAAGGTCATTGGAGATGAGAACATGGAGAAGAGAGGTATGTTGCATTTATCCACTTCTCCCTCCCTCCTCGCTATCAAAAAGAAGAAACGAACACTAACCACACACCCAGGAAACCTCATGCTAGCAATCCAAGCCCGAACCTTCAACACCTACTTCTACCTCCTCCCCTCCACCTCCACCTCAACCACCAACACCACCACCAACACCACCACCGTCCCCTCCACCCCATCAACCCACCCATCGCCATCCTCATACTTCAACACCACCAGCAACACCTCGAACAGCAACGCCAACACGAACACCCCCCTCTCCTCAACAATCCACCCCGCCCGCTTCACACCAAACACCGTAACAGGCATCCTCTTCGAAAACAAAGTCGACCACGCCACCTACTTCGGCCTCGACCCGCACCTCATCCACGGCATCCACATGCTGCCCCTCTCCCCGGCCTCCGTCTACCTGCGCCCGAGACCCTTCGTCCGACACGAGTGGGACGCCTTCTTCGACCGCGACCGCGCGAGACGCCACGTCCCGGGCGGGTGGAGGGGCGTGCTGATGGCGAACCTGGCGCTCGTGGATGCGAGGGCGAGTTGGAGCTTCTTCGCCGAGGGCGTGGATGGTGCGTGGGAGGCCGGTTGGATCGATGGCGGGGCGAGTCGCGTGTGGTATCTTGCGTTCGCTGCCGGGTTGGGCGGCGCGAGATGAGATTGACTGAATAGCGTGAAGAGTGAGTGAGTGAGGGAGTGAAAAGTCTTGTTTTCTTTTCGATCAAAGTTTCTCGTATTGTTTGTTTGTTGGTTACGTTCTTTCTTTGCTTTCCAGCCACACCGTGTGGAGGGGTAGGTAGGTATTTCTACAGATATGGTTTTCCCCTCCCTACCTGCCTAACCTTGTCCTCCTTCCCTGACGCCGCAACAGCGCACCGTCTCCCACACACACATTCCGGGATATAAAAAAAAGAGGGGGATAAAACAACATAGGAGATGCGCAAGGGAAAACAGAACAGAACAAAAGGAAAAACCACCTCCCCTCTTTTCTCTCACGAGAGAGAAAGGGGATCAAATAACGCCAATCCGAAAAAGCCCAACCGAACCCAACCCGTATGTCCGAGGAATTTCCCACACACTTGCCTGTTTGCCGGTTGGCCGACCGATCGACCGACTCTGCACCGGACCCTTTGAATATCTTACAGGACTCCGAACGATGGAGCACGGAGCCGTCTCCTATCAGGAGGAGACAAAAAGAGACAAAAAAGGATTACTAAGGGGGAAAAACGTATTTACAAAGGAAAAAAGATGGGTAGGACAAAAAACACAAAGAGATTTGGGGTCAGAAAGAGGAGGCAATGAGGGAAATCCCTGTTCATCGTCCTCTTCATTCTCGCCCAATCATTGGGAACTTTTTGGATGTTGCAGCTTGCACAAATCCTTGAATTCGGCCGATGAGGATTCAGGGGGAGTAGGCATCAAAAATGACGTGCTAATGGAAGAAGTTGTTGATGAAATTGCCGCCGAGGTTGCCGTTTGCATCGTCTGGGTAGACGTAGAATGCGAGGGCAATAATAGTATATCTGTTGTTGAAAATAGAACGTCAGTTTGCGGTTCTAAAAAGAGAAGACAATGGAGGGGATAGTGGGTCTGTGCTAAATGGGGAAGGGTGCAGGGGTTGGGGGTTGCATGCATGCATGTGCATGCATACACCTTTGTGGGGGCGGGGACATTCCAAAGAAAACCAGGTAAGACTTACGTTCCCAAGCACATGGCACCCTCCAAATAGTTACTCTTGCCGTCCTGGATAAGGTAGTTGACGACCAAGACAGACAAGAAGAAGACGACTGTCTCAAAGCCCTGGAAGTGCAACGTCATTGGCTGGTCGATGATCCAACCGAGGATGACAAGGAAGGGAGTCACGAATAGAGCAATCTGCATGGAGCTGCCAATGGCAACGTTGATGGCAAGGTCCATCTTGCCCTTGTAGGCGACAATGACGGCGGTGACGTGCTCGGCGGCATTTCCAACAATGGGCAAGAGGACAAGACCGATGAAGGTCTTGCTGATGTGTGCAGTCTCAACGATGGAATCAATGCTGTCGACCAAGTACTCGGCACAGACGGCGACCATGACGGTGACAACGACGAGAACAACGCCAGCGGCAACGGGAGACAGAATGTGCTCCTCCTCGTCCTCGGGGTTCTGTGCCTCGACATCATCGAACAAGTCGTGGTGGCTGAAGAGCTGGAAGTAGAGATACAGGAGGTAGAGGACAAGGAGAATGATGGATGTTCCATGGGAGAGGAGGAGAATGCCGCCGTCGGTCTCGGCCTTGGAGTCCTTGAGCGCGGCATAGAGGGTGGCGGGGATGATGAGCGATGCGCAAGCTACGGCCATGAGGGAAGACATGGTGCTAGCGACTGTCTCGTTAAAGGAGCGCTCCTGTTCGCGAATACCTCCTGCGAGGAAACAGCAGCCGAGAACCTAGACATCTGTCAGTATGGGGTGTTGCGCATCATCCCAGGAGAGGGAAGGGCATGGAATGGTTGTACGCACCAGAAGGATGTTGGACAAGATGGAGCCCAGCATGCTGGACTGTACGATGCGGATCTCGCCCTCTCGTAGCGCAACGATGGAGACCTGTGTATATCAATTAGAGCCTGGTTCCTGACCATTGTCTCCCATGATTTGAGTGGTGTGTATCCTTACAATGAGTTCCACAGCATTGCCGAAGGTTGCATTGAGCAATCCACCTAGTGTTTGGCCGAGCTTCGCAGACAGCTCCTCCGTCGCAAAGCTCAAGAGGGAGGCAAGAGGGACGATGGCGATGAAGTTTAGGACGAAGACGGCAGTAGGATTCCAGCCCAATGCGCCAGCGACGATGCCGATGGGGACGAAGACGAGGAGGACGTTGACATAGTTGCTGACGAGAGTAGCCCAGGTCACCGCAGCGACGTGCTGGGGGACATGTTTCCAGTCGCGAGGGGCAGCGTCTGATTGGGATCGTTGTAGGAGGGGAGTAGACTCGTTGGTGCCGGCATGGCCGTTTGCTTGCGACGGCATGTCGTTTGTGTTGTTGCGTGTGAATGATAATGCGCTATTGTTGCGACCGAGAAGGTTGAACTGTCGCTTTAAGTCTGAGAATGCCAAGGAAGGCTTTGATTAGCCAGACAGCCAAGAGATTTGTAGAAGTTGTCGCCGTATGGGTTCGTACGGGCTATGGTGGAAGATTTGGAAAAGGTAAAGAGGATACGTCTGCGTGATGTGGCTGCGCCAGGCAGGAGATGACAAAAAGGGTTTCTTGGAGGTAGAGCAGGGGAGGGGGGCAAGGACAGATTGGGATATGCGATGTGAGGTGAGGTGAGGTGAGGCGAGGCGAGGTAAGGAGAGGGGAGGAGATGGGTAAGGTAAGGTAAGGTAAGGTAAGGTATTGGGAATTGATTGATTGATGATGATGATGGGATGGGATGGGGTATGGGTGTATGTGTTAGCCGCGGTGCTGGCCAGAGCAACTCTGGGCGATCTGGTCTGGTGTTGAGGCGTTGGGTTTGGCGGTGGATACTACCGAAGACCAAGGCCGCGCATGCGCAGCACAGCAAATGCACAGCGCAAAGGCACGGTGACAAAGGAGACCAGGTCTGGGAGGTAGGCGGTGAAAGATGCGCAAATAATGGAGACGGACGAAAGGGTAAGGAGGGATTGACTCTTTCGGATGAGGATAAGGACAAGGAGGAGAATGGAGATGGGGAGATGATGATGGTGGTGGTGGTGGTGGTGATGATGATGGTGATGTACAAGAAAGAAAGTCCGGAGACGGTGTTTCACTCACTCATGGTTTAAAGACGTAGTCTGGTAGCGAGATCGTGTGTGAAAGAAAGAGAAGAAAGATTTGATTGACACACACGCACACACGAGTCTTGGTAGATGGCGGAGACCGACGGAACGGGTTGGTTTCTGAATGGACGTGGAGGAAAGATTGTCGACGGGTTGAGGAATGAACTAAGAGCAGGAGGAGGAGTAGAAGGAGGAGCAGCCAGGACAATGTGTTGTAGTGGTGAGGTATTGGCAAGGCAGGTTAGGTAAGGTAAGGTACCAGTAGGGTACAAGTTGGATCGGGGAAGGGTAGACCCGGTAGAGTAGAGTAGAGTAGAGTAGAGTATTGAGGAGAGGAAGGATGCGCGCGCGCGAAGAGTGGGTGGATGAAAGATGTGGATGTGGATGTGGACGATGATTATGACGATTATGATGATGATGTCTTGGGAGTTGGGTGGGATCCAGTCTTGGGACTGGTAAGGTAAGTGTTTTTGGTGGGAAATGGAAGAAGAGTAGGGCCGAAGCGGGAGGCCAATGGGGCAGGGCAGGGGCGAACCAGGATCAATGGAAACAGGACAGGGTCATGGTTATGGTTACGGTTACGGTAGGACTGAGGCAAAACCCACGCAGCAGACTCTAGGGAACGGAGTAACTCGAGAAGGAATAAGGGAAGAGAAGAGACAGACGGGACGGGGACTAGACAGAGCCTAGAGGATAGGTTTGATAGGATGGGATAGGATAGGATAGGGATGAGGTAGATGGAAAGCGGGGAAGAGAAGAAGGCGCAGCAAGAGGACAAGAAACCAGTAGAGTTAGAGACTACGGAAAAGAACTCAGTACTCAGTAAACTCTAGAATACCCGAGCAGGCCTGGATGGATCTGATCAGACTATCAAGCACATTTACGCGAATGGCAAAAAAGAGTACGAGCAGATAGAAAGAAAGAAGGAGGTTGGTAATGATATTGCATTCTTGACAGATGGATGGCAGGTGGCAGGTGGCAGGTGGCAGGTGGCAGTTGGCCATGTTGATGATGTAGGTGGAGGACTAGCAGGGGAGTTGTCAACCTCTAGCTTTGATTATTGTATCAAGTTTCAAGGTATCAGGGAAGGTATCAAGTGTTCCCATACAATAGTTACAGGTACATACCTCATACATACTCCGTACAAGTAAGAGAAGAAGAGACGATGGGGCAAAGCGTGGGCTGACTGAATCGACTTGACTGGCTGGCTGAGGGACATGACAACTCATTACACAGACACACAGACACACAGACTCAGACTCAGACTCGCACAGAGTAACTGTAGACGAATAGACGAGTTGCAACCGATTGGCCAATGAGGATGGTTGGATCGTGGAAGCAAAGGACGATGATTCGATGGTTCGTTTATCATCTTCACCTACCTATACTTGCACTGCCCCAATGATGCGCCGGAATGCCAATACTCGTACACCAACCCTTACCTTATCCCGCGAGTAGTAGACATTGCCCAGACGACACTAACACATCTTCATCAATCAAATCAATCAAGTCAATTGATTCCATCTGCAATAATGCCTGAGGTATCATCCTTCTCTTGTCCTTCTTAGGTATTCTTCTGTTGACACTGATACTTAAGGTATCGCCCCGTCCACCTGGCGATCCCGCAGATAAGCTCCACTAGTGGGTCCCCCCTCTACACAGTACAAACTCAATCACAACGTGTGACATCTTCCATCTCATCCAGGAAGTACAACTAATAGATCAACTCCCTATTCACGAGATCATTCATGATACAGAGAGCATATGTAATACAGCATCGCCTCGTTCTTCTCCCATACCCGCCCTGCGCTGTGCATCTCCCCTAGACTAACTCCGTCCTGATCAATGTATCGTCATCGTCCCCGTCATCATCTTTTTGCCCCGGCGCTTACCCACTTCCTCCCTAGTCAGGTACATGTACATGTCCAGGGCTTGCGTTATTCAATCCTCACGGAAGCATGACAGTTCCCTTTTTTTTTCCTTCCCTATGACTATCACTGCAGACAATGACATATGTTCTTCCTTCTTTTTTTTTTTTGCCTTGGTTTGGTTTGAGTGAATTGATTTTCATCTACGCAAAAGAAACATTTCTAACACACTCCTCAACGAAACAAGGAAAAGTAGACCAGAGTGGAGATGTTCCAAATAACTCAATGTAACAAAACCGCAATGAATAGTGGACCAACCCCTTCCCACCAAAAAAAACAACACAGCTACCAACTCCACATAACGCCTCCCCTAACGGCAAAGACACCGTACCCAAACGCACCCACTGACGTCAAATCAACCCCCAACTACGAAAGAAAATTCGAACACAAAAATGTACATTATTATTGTACGGCTTCGGAGGTGCCCGTAACCAACGTGTCGTTGCGTGGTAGCTTCTCCGGTCCGACCGGTCACTGTGCACTGCCCTCCCGAGCGCCTCCGCCCGCACCTTGCCTTTTCGCCGCGCGCCGCACCGCACCGGTGTTGAAGGAATTATATGTCCGGTGAAGAGGGAGAGCCCGGCGATACGCCTGGGGAGTGGGATGGGATGGAGCGTAGCTAAGCATGGGGGATATAGATGGGGTTACGGAGTGTTTGTATGACTGACTTTATCGGTCCTTTGTGTTAGGGACGAGACGAGGCGGGATTTGAGATGGGTGATCGTTGTTGTGGCTAAGCCACGGGTTGACGACGTATGGGGAGGTGCTTGTGACTGTGGTCGGTGATGGATGATGGTGAGGGGTTTGTGCTTGTTGATGGGTGGGATGTGTATGAGGAATACTGGTGATTACTGAGTGGATTGCGATTTTGAAGTACCTGGGTTAAATAAACTCATCGAGCAAAATGAATAAACAAACAAATAAACAGACCCATCCCCTCAACTACCTCTGCTCTCTCTTGTCTCCCATTTAAATCATGTTCGCTTTAATTCGTCTATCTAGAGTAAGCATAGTTTATTAGGTCGACGTTCCTGTAGTAGAGATACAGCGGGCATTGCTACTAACAAAATTTTTGACATGCATCACCAAATGGATCTGTGGCTGGTGCATTTATATCTATCAATATCTCATGGCGCAATCTCTCTCCTGAGAGTCACACAAACATTGCTCACTGCATTCCTATGATCCGAGCGGTCTGTCGTCCTCCCTGCGTTTGATAGTCATTTAGATAATAAGCTATCTTGACTATGATCGTCTTCAACAGTCTTGCAATGTCCAGAGTCTAAGTCTAAGTACTGGTTACATAAAAACGTAGGCAGACGCGGGGTTGCAGCTGAGATGCACAGTCACCTCTGTGAACCTCAGATTGAGAAAGAACCCACTTATTGATATTCCTAGTCCCGTATTTGTACTTCCTCTCTACCTCTGGAAGGGAAACCCTTGCATCAAGCTTTGCTGCACTGTGTCAATTCTCAATTTGAATCAGTACCCTGAGTCCACTGCTGCAACTCCATACTCAACAGCACCAACCAAGATGAGACCATGCAAGTTCTTCGCACTTGGAACCTGCCGGAATGGAAACAATTGCACCTACGACCATGAAACAACGACAAGCACCCAGAATCACTTTGGACCCGTCACTTCAGCCATTCCGGCAATCGGGGGACTGTACATCAGCCCACTCACTACTACCTCCCCGGGGGGCCTACATTCAGTTCGACCAGACGAGAGCCCTCGACAAGCACCATCTGACTCTCGCGCCAAAGTTCCATGCAAGTTTCTCTCGCGGCACGGGGGTTGCCAAAAACCCTCTTGTCCGTTCCTCCACCCAAGAGACAGCCATGATGAAGTGGAGAAGATCCGCAACCCAGATCCTGAGCTCAGCATAGCCGAGGCAAGAAGGTACTCTCTAGCTTGTGAAGGACGCAGTATATTGATACCTTAAGCAGGACCAAGTGAATGATGACGATTTCGTTCGGGATCTTCTAGGAGCATCAGTGTACTTCAATGAATTCGGACAGATTCTCAAGGTATCCTTCCCGACAGATTACTCTCTTGCATGCATTACGGGCCTTGCGCCGGGAGTCACCCCTGAGACAATCGTCGATATCCTTCGTGGGCTAGGTTTCAACGTAGACGTCTCCTGCGTTCGCATTTCCAAGGACACTGCATTGTCGGAAACAAAAGCCACCGTGAAAGTCGAAGACCCGTCGTTTGCCCAAGAGTTAAGCACCAGGACCAAGAATCAGGGGTCGACCCTCAGTGCAGTGCCAGTTGCAATTGATACCAGGCGGACGAATTGCAGAAAAGTCCACATCTCATGGCACAAAGCCACTCGAAGCGTGTGGCTGAATTTCGGCAACGGTGAGATAGCGGCGAGGGTTGGGAGGAAATTCAATGAAGGTAGGTATAAATGTCTAGACCAGCTTGTCAAATCATCTACAAGGAGGAGTAGCCAGGGTCGGGGATATTCGCACAACCCTGTGGCTTGGACGGTTACGTTGAGCGATGTGTTCGGCGATGCGACTACCAAAGATGTTGAAAGTGCCATCATATCACAACACGATAAACCACGGCACGTTGAAATGGGATCCATTAGCTACCGAGCTTCCGATGGGGAAGTCAGCGTTGAAGTTCGCTCGCAATTAGAAGAGCATGGCCCGCTCGAGAGCTTCCATCTCGCATCCTCGTCCAAAGGGAAGCGAGTCAAAGCCACAGCTTGGTTCCAAGATGAAGCAGACGCTAGGTCGGCATGTTCACTGAACAACGCACCGCTTGACATCCTCAGGAAGGGTAAACTGACCGTAACACCAATTCAAACGGCCAAAGTAAAGGTTGTTACGAAAGTCTACTTTGCCTTGAAGAGTAGAATCGATGAAGAAAGCAAGACATGGAAAGAACGGCATTTGGCGTTTCATGTCTACCATGACTCTGCAAAACGGTTCACGACATTGAAGATTGAAGGTGATAATCCGAAAGACGTGGCCAATACGCGCAAAATACTTGACAGAATTGTGAGTGGAGCTGTCCTGATGGATGGCGAAAACGTGGTGTGGAGTTCAGCACTCAGCAGTAATGGAAGCACGTATGAGAATGTCAAGTCAATCGAAAAAGAACTCAACATAGCCCTTATCAGAGACAAGCCAAAGCGCCAGGTTCGATTTTACGGGTCTCCTGAGAAGTTTGAGCAAGCGGTTTGTCGAATCAGCGACATGCTCAAAGACGAACCTTCCATGAGCTACGAAGTCGATCTGAAGCCGCATCAATTCGCTTGGGCGATTCATAGCGGGTTCAAGAGCATCGAACAGGCATTAGGGAAGAACGTCGCTGTTTTCAACGTGGTCTTGAGGAGGATCGCTATCAATGGCACGCAACAACAATACGAAACTGCCTTGTCAATCATGCACGACAAGCGCCCTCTAAGTACTCGTCCTCCCTCGGACGCCCCGTCTAAGCCAGAAGGAGATTGCCCAATCTGCTTCTGCGAAGCCGAAAGCCCCATCCAAACATCTTGTAAACACACATACTGCCTCGAGTGCTTCGAAGAATGCTGCAAATCCGCCGCCTCGACCAGCAACCACGACTTTGCAATCCGGTGCCAGGGCGACGAAGGAACCTGCCCAACCGTATTCCCTCTCCGCGAACTGAAAGACCACCTCTCCTCCTCCGTCTTCGAAACCGTCCTCGAGTGCTCCTTCAAAGGCTACATCCAACGCCATCCGGACGCCTTCCACTACTGCTCAACCCCAGACTGCGGCTACATCTACCGCTGCACAGCACCGGGCTCGAAGCCGCCCCCAGCATACACCTGCCCCAACTGCTTCGAACCGCTCTGCACATCCTGCCACGCGCGCCATGGCGACTACACGTGCGCAGAGTACAAAGACATGCAATCCGGCGGCTACGAGGCGCTCGAGAAGCTGAAGAGGGAACTCAACATCAAGGACTGTCCGAAGTGCACGACGCCGATGGAGAAGACGGAGGGGTGCAATCATATGACTTGCGGGGGCTGCAGGGCGCATATCTGCTGGGTGTGCATGGCGGTTTTCGAGACGAGCGGGGATTGCTATGGCCATATGAATAGGAAGCATGGTGGTATCGGGCTTGGGCTGGAAGGTTTTATGGATTGATAGAGGGACTTGGAGGATCCGGAGAGCGAATACGAGGTTGGTTAACTTATGTAATGTAAGTAGAAGAAGGAATTCGAGTTGTGGTAATTACTATATTTAAGATAATATAATGATAAAGGTATTTCTTCACTATTCTCCTATAGTGCAAGGCAAGTACTATTGCTCGAAGCTGTACGTAACAAGATATCTAATACATAGTAGTGTCCCACATCTGGCTTATCCAGTCATCTAGATTCCAGGAACTGTCGATCTCGAACGTCTCACGGTCGTCTCTCCAGCAGACTTCGTGGAATGCCTCCACGTCCTCCAACATGCAAGCCTGACCTTTCGAAGCGAGATTGCCCGCCAAAACCATGTTGAGCAGCAGATTTTTCGCCGTCTCGTAAGTAGCTGCATCGTTGGGCTTTTCATTGAAGCTCCCAGGCCAGCGAGAATTGACAGAGTTAGCTAAAGAGAGGATGGTAAGGCTAGAAAAGAGATGTAGGCTTTCCCAGAAGCCAAACTTAGCTTTTCTTTCTGTTAGTACCTTGATGGTCTAGGGATGGTTGCAGGGCTGAAGTACCTATTTTGTCCATGTTCCAGAGATCTATGATTATGTTCAAGGTTGTTCTGGCCATGCGTAGGCAGATGTTAGTGAGGTCCTGCAGGTCCTCCTGCTCAGCCTCAGTAGTTTTAGAGGATAGTAATAGCATAATACGTTTCAGAAAGAGCGGTCGAAGGAGGAGGATGAAACACTGCAGTCATTGTAAGTGATAAGTACTAGCTGAGGGAGTTGCAGAACCTGCGTGCGCACCTGGTTATATCGCTGATATAGAGATGCCAGCGATCGGTCGTGGAGCTGCTTTACAGGTTCCGGAATGCCGTCTTCGAAATCATAATTAAGATGCGGTGGCAAGCCAGCCTTGAGGTCGTTAAGACGCTGGACAATGGAACCAGTCCATTTGCCAACATTCGCAGTGGTGTCCTCGTCTAAGCTCTTCATATTCTCGCATATGTCTGCGTGAATGAAGGCAAGTTGAATGTAGGCATTAATAGTATGGGCGTCTCCAAACTCTTCTCTTTGTTCAGGTGTTAGGAGTGGCGAGTCCTCTGGATACGAGATCTCGACTTCACTAATATGAATCGCCGTGGGTAAGCCCATTTCAGTGCTCGTCATACGGTCCAGGCAGTATGTAGTCCACCATACACGCTTCTGGTGCTCTAGTTCGACAATCGAGGATGTCGTGGACGTAGGAGGCTTGTGCAACCCCAACATATTGGACATCCTCGTACTCTGTCCAGCGTAGGAGTAGGCTGCTTTCCTACGATTTAGGCTATATGAGTAGAACGCCTAGATAATATGCATTATTAGGAATAATTGCTGTGCAGCGGAGCAGTCGTAGTGAGTTAGCTTACAATGAGATTAAGGGCTTCCACCTGGTCGATGCTTGGGTTCTCATGGCGAATGTTGAGTAATGCCAAAGCCTGTTCAAAGAATTGAGTTCCAGGGGGAGGCTTGGATTCACGGTCTGGGAAAGAGTGACTGGCGTGAGAACCGTCTGGTAAAAAGTGAATCTCGGGAGGTTGGCCAGAGTTGTACGACTCCCCAAGAGCGAAGACAACAAGCAGTCGGCACAACCACGTTCGATCGCTCGCCTCATCAGAGAAAGGCTGCTGATAGGTCACATTCAGCTTTTCGCGGAACGTCTTTCGCAAAAACCAATGCCAGTCATGGCCAAGGAAAACGTCGAACTGATTTAGCAATACTAGAGCATACGGATAAGGTGGTAGCTTTATTGATAGAGAGGGATCTGATGAACAGGTTAACTGAAGTGCACTGTACGAGTTTCGCGGGGAGACATACTCTTCGTATCGAAATTAAGGCGAACGTACTCATACGCACTCTCCTGGGGGGTGTTTCCGCCGACATTGCTGGGTGACGACTGAGAATCGTGAGGTAATTGGCTCGAAGAACCAGCCAAATAGGGCTGCCGAAACCGCTTCAGTCTAGAAACAAAGCCCTCGGTTGTAGGATCCTCGACCAAGAGTTCAGCTTTACTATGACTTCCTGAGCTCGTAGCACCATTGGCATGTGTTCCTACATCATTGGGGCGAGAGGAAACTGCAGGATAGTAAGTCGCTGGGGCCGCAGACAAACGTGATGCGTTTGCTTCGAGGTTACGGATATAGCTCTCAGGCACGGTCAAGAATTGCTCGCGTGAGGGATAAGTGCAGGTTCGATGTGCGAGATGACAGTTCCGACAGGGTACCTCTGCAGTATGGAAAACTCAGCCATAACAGACAAGACCGTAGGCAGAGATGCGTTCTTACCGCGAGAGCACTTTACCTTTCGGTCGTGACAGCGGTGGCATGCCGTGCTGGGGCGGCCGCCGGGTGGAGACCTCAGAGCGTTATTGCGGGGCATCGTGAACGTCTAAAGAGCGTCTGCATCGTAGAGGAACACAAATTTGCGAGCGCAAGCACGCGAGAGGAAGGGAATATATATGACAACTTCTACGAGTAGTTGGATTCAACGTTAGTTCTCTAGTCTAGGTTTGCACGTGACAACGACATAGGATCTTGTGAATTTAAGGACGGGCACTGTGAAAGATGAGTACATAGAGTGTAAGCACTCTTTTCAAAGATAAGATATAATCAAACATGCTTTTCAACGATAAGATATAATCAAGCACGCTCTTCAATGATTCACTGGTCCTGCACGGATAAAGGCCGATAGAGGCTCCAGCGTCGCTGTAGATTCTATTTGGGTGATCCAGTCCAGCAGCTGTTGGGCTCCTGTAACGTCCGAAGCCAGGGACGTGAATTTGCTCTTGACGCTTGCCCAGTCAAACAATGTCTGCACATCCCAAGGATCTCCCGCGGCGTAGTCACTGCTCTCTGTCCACGCCTGGCCGCGTATAGTAATTGTGGCAGCCCCAGGCATCTTGCGAATCTGGTTGTCCACCATGTCCCGGGCAAACGTATCGCCTGCACCGAACCGCTCGATGCGTACCCTTTGTCGGAGCTTCAGTGCAGCAGTAGACTCGGCGATATCAGCGTCGAACCACATGGCGCCCGCCGGCACACCCAAGATCATCATCGCGACAGCATGCTGGTAGCTGAACGAATAACTCCCAAACGTCTTGGGCGCAACGTTGCGAAAGCGCGCTGAATTTGCCAACGGGCCAGTGTATATCACGACCTCGTCGATTTCATCAGGCATCGGTCGCAGCCGTTGCAGCAGCCGGTCCAGCGCCGTCATGGGCGCATGCATGAACCTACACGTTGGCCACGGCTTGTATGTAATATCTGCCAGGTGCCATCGTTCACCCAGGCCAGAAGTCAAACTGTCCTTAAGAGGCATGGCCGCTCCGCACGCCTCGATCACTCCCACGGCGCCGTCCAGGATATTTGAGAAACCCGTCAAGCCGGCTTTGGCGGCCACAACGCCGTGCTGACCCGTGACCGCACACCAGCCTGCATCGCAGTATTTGCAGTCGGGCAAGTCAATGGCTTCAGACCAGCGGTTGCCAATTGGCAGTGGAATGTTGGAGCAAGCAATGCCCAGCGCCTGGCTCAGTCCTGCGGCATCGATGTTCACTACTCTCGCGTACCCAACACAAGCAGCCACTACTACTGGCGCCGCCACACCCCAGATAGAGGCGAACCCTTTGACCTCACCGTCACGAACTTCCATCATAGGCCCTATAGCACTCGCAAGACGTGCCCCAGCTTCATAGCCTGCCACTATGCCTGTTATCAAATCGGCGCCCGACCGCTCCTCAGCTTCAGCTGCGACAATGGCCGCGCACACAGCTCCCACGCCAAAGTGCACACCCACTGGGTAAGTCTCATCTAAGTCGAGTAGGTTACCTAGTCGTGCGTTTGCATACAGAGCGCGTGCTGTTCCAACGGGCAAAGATGACCCAACAAGGGAACCATAGCCGGGCCCCTGGAACATTTGTGAAAGATCTTTGATGCGCTGGGCAGGCGCTGCGCTGGATGCTGCTTGCATGCATGTCAGCGTATCCAGTAGAAGCGACGAAGCTGCTGTGCGGATATTTGGGGGGATATCATGAAGTTGAAGATTGCTGAAGAAGTTGGCAAACTCGCTCGTGACAGTTGAAGTGGCCATCGTAAATTGGACGAGTGGGGGAAGACAACTACGCAGTGAGGAAGTGAGGAAGTAAGGAGTTGATTGGTATACTTATGCTCCCAATCCAGGTGACGATTACTCGGACGCTAGGTCTACATTCCCGAAAAATGCTGAACTGTTGTTCCTGGGGATCCTCGCGTCCACTACGTTTAAGGGCATCACGAGGAGAACATAATCGCTTGACTTTCTCATTTCAATTTACTTCAAATCTTGGTGTTTCGGGCATTGATAATGACAGTACATGATACGAAGACGACGCCCACGTAGTGAACCAGTCAATTATAACGCTCATTGTCTTTTGCAATATCAAAGTGGACTAGCATCGTGGATCTTCTCGCACATATCGAAAGAAACAATGAAAGAGTTTTAAGCTCACTATTTCACAACCTTGCTACTGGTATCTTGAAAAAGTAGTCATTCACAAGCGTTGCAGTAGCACGAGCCAAACCAAAGCTGAACACATAACCTCCGCCTCCTGTGCCATATGCATGCACAATCTTCTCTCCACCCAATATTTCCTGCTCTACCCTTACACCTTCAGGCCTTCCTGGTCGGAATCCCACATTGTCCTGTATAATTTCAAAATCTGTCTCCTGTGGGCTCGGGAATATATTGGGAAGATGTTCGTGAACGCGACGAAGAATCTGCGAACAATTTAGCTGAATTATCTTACTACATGAAAACCAAAGAATACTACTGACATCAGCCTTGATGTCCTGGTCTACTTCAGGATACCTATACCAATGTTTGTGAGCCATTCTTGTCAGAGTTTGGAGACGGTCTGACTTACGTTTCGCCAATTTGCTTGATGCCGCCGATGATGGCAGTGCCGTCTAGTCGTGGAATCACATACGTATAGTCTTTGCCGTGCCGCATGAAAATCTTGTCGTAACTTGTTCTTACCAGCAATGTTTGCCCACGAATTTGCTGCACACCTTCATCTGCTATATCAGTAAGGAATTTCGATCCCCAGCCGGTGGCATTGACGAGCACATCGTGGCCAAAGTCTTTGAGATCGTTCAGAGCCTTTAACTCTTTACGCACGAATTTGACTCCGGATCTTTCCAATTGCTTCCGAAGCCAGGGAAGGAAGATATGTGGTGTCAGAACTACTGTTTGGTCTGCTAGGAGTCAGTCGCGTTAATCACAAACACACCGGGCACCAAGAGGCTACTAACATCTCATGCCCAGCTTTACCCCTTCAGGCAATTCTTCTGGAGATATCTTGCGCATCTGCATATATTATTGATACTTTGCTTCGAAAGACACCGTCAGTGTACTTACTCCTGGCATCAAGTCTTTGTACCAGATCTTTTCCCATGGCGTTTCATCTTGGAAGTCGTTCATCTCGATTCTCTGCCACCGCTCAGTATGCGGATCAATCATTGGGAATCAACCAGATTGTGTATGCGCACCTTAACGCTTGACTCTGGGTGGCTCTCTGCAAGAGCCCACAGCCAAGCAAGTGAATCAGCTTGCATCCTCTGCTCATGAGCATTGGATCCATCTAGACACAAGAAACAAGCACCAGCCCAAGGGCTGGCCCATTCCAGGCTGTTGGCATCTCCTGGAAGGTTGCGGGCAACAATCGTTATCTCATGTGAGCGCGATAGCATACTTGCTATCGCCATGCCAGTGATGCTATGATACTGTAAGTTGAGACTTTTGTCAAAAGAGATACTACACACCCGGCACCAACAATCGCGATCTTTGGCATATTGATGAATGTATTGCTTCTTTGGGACTGGTTTATTGATAAAGAGAGGGGGGAACGGGGACTTGAAGCATTTATTGAATGTGACTATGGCTGACTGGTCTATGATTTAAGTAAAGACCATTCATGTCCTCAGATATAGATCCTTCAATATCTTCGCAACGCACTGCCAATGATATGGACCAATCTCGGCAATGCTATAATAGCAGTTGATAGTATGTGTTCGGTATATTGGAGGAGCTAACGGCCGCTAAGAGGTACTAATCCGAGCATTTCTTCGGACTAGCGCCTACTGGCGCCCGAGAGTATCTCGGTCTACCAAGAACCATTTCCGAAATCTCCTCAATATCTCAGTAGTTGTGAATGTTATCAGTATGGGGTTATCGATGCGGGGTTCTAGGTTCTCCAGCTGTGGCTTGTTGCTATCAAAGGGTAAATTTGAACGAACTTAAGGGTCGTCCTCAGCGATATATAAAACCCTCACTAATTCCTATGGCTACTTCTTCCAAGGTCATCCTTCGCCTTTGAGCTTTCTTAACAAGTAAATTCATTCTCACATCACTATTATTGCGAGGAGCAACATGTCCGACCCCTTGAAATCCAGGGCCATTGACGAGATGAAAGAGATGGGCGACACTGAAACCACCTCCATATCGAACGGAGACGTTGTGGCCACTAGATCTGCCAATCGTTCTGAGTACGAAGAGTACTTGGACCTCAGCCAGCGGTTCACTGGAGTTGAACACAAGAAGCTTATTCGGAAAGTTGAGTGAGTGTAGTTCTGTTGTCTCGGTGAAAGTTTCTAACCTGAAGCCTAGCTGGCATGTCTTGCCGCAACTGATTCTGATATACCTTATGTCCTACATCGATCGTACAAACGTCGGTATGTATATTTCAGAAGTGCCTGGACGGTGACACAGCGCTCACACTTGGGTTTAGGAAATGCGAAGCTATTCGGTGCCCTTCCCGATCTTGGTCTCAGCGGCCAACAATGGAATACATGCTTGTCCATCTTCTTCGTTACCTATGCTCTCGGTGGAGTGCCGTCAAATATCGCCCTGAAGCGGTGGGGACCCAAGATTTGGCTGCCAACCTTGCTTCTGACCGTCTCCATAATCTTGATCTGCAGTTCAACCGTGAACAATTTCGCTGGTTGGGCTGCGTTTCGCGTCCTCCTAGGCTTGTTCGAGGCTGGCGTTTTCCCAGGCTGCTCGTTCGTTCTGACCGCTTGGTACTCGCCTCGTGAAATCCAGGCTCGAATGTCTATCTTTTTCTCGGGAGCTTCCGCCGCTGGCGCCTTCTCAGGCCTCCTAGCCTACGGCATCGGACAATTGGACTATACTTGGGGCTATCGTGGATGGAGATTTATCTATTGTATCGAAGGTAGGTGCTCAGCAAGGAACTGTCTCGAATCAGGGCTAATAGTTCACCAGGTGTTTTCAGTGTCTGCCTCGCTCTTGCCGGATTTTGGTTCGTGTATGATACTCCAGCAAACGTCAAATGGCTTTCCACAGAGGAAAAGAGATTCCTCGTTCTTCGCCATAAGTTCTCAGCTGGAGGTGGTACAAGCGTTGGCGAGAAGTCCGAGTTTGCATGGAAGTATGCATGGAAGGCCTTCCGATCTTTCCACATCTACGCCGTGGCTCTCATTGAGTTCACTCTTTGCGTTACAGTATACGGCTACTCTTTCATTCTCCCCACCATCATCCACAACCTTGGATATTCTGCTGCCAACGCTCAAGCCATGAGCGCTCCGCCATACGTTTTTGCCTGTATGGTCACATTTTTCGCCGGGTGGTTTGCCGACAGAACTCAGCAAAGAATGTTGACGGTCTTGCTGTTGAACCTTATGGCCCTGTTCGGCTTCATTATTATGATAGTAAGCGTAAGGTACCCTCACCTTCTTGGTGTGACACTCTTCGGTGTATTTCTTACCGCTGGCGGCTTGTATCCCCTATCACCAGCCGTCACCGCCTGGATCGCTCTCAACTGCGCTGGCACTATGAAACGCGCCGTAGGTATTGGTGCTATGATTAGTTTTTCACAACTAGGTGGTGTAAGTCCTGACCTCTGCTCATCCTGCTGGTGCTCTGAATACATCATGCTGATTATATCGTATGTAGATTGTTGGGTCCAACATTTATATCGCAAAGCAGGCCCCCAGATATCCGATCGGTTTCGGTATCAGTCTGGGAATGCTTGCGGTATTTGGCTGCATCTGGCCGCCTATTTATTGGTTGATTCTCAAGCGCATCAACGCAACGCGAGATGCTATGAGCGAAGACGAGATACGAGCGAAGTATACTGAGGAAGAGCTGGCTGAGATGGGTGATGAAAGCCCATTGTTTCGATATGCTACTTAAGTATCGAAGCCAGCTCTATCAATCAGTAGACGAAAATGCTTGTCGCAGGCATTCGGCGCGTTAACAAGTGCTCTCTCGATCTCTTCAATGAAGGAACTCCTTGTAGAGTTACTAGCAAGGCAGTTAAAGTGTAGTCAGCCATTGAGAACGTCATTAGATACTAGTATACTGGGTGTGAGTAGAAATCTTAATATACTAGGGTGTACCACTTCACCCCTGAAACATCGTGAAAAAAGTATATGTAAGTCTTATCACTCGGTATTTCCCTCAGCTTCGCACTTACGACACTCCTGTCTTGTCCACGCGAGTGCCAATCAATCACCAGAGCAGCACCCATAATATTTATCTCATAATGTACTGTGTATACTAACTGTTCTTATCTACTATTATCATTGATAGCGTTTGTTGCTTTGAAAGTTGCACTTTTAATGAAAGATAACATGATGGATGAGGGGCAAGAAAGACGTGTAGTGAAAAGATAAAATGAGGTGATTTGGGTTGATCTGGTGTAACTGAGTTTTTTCTTTCTTCTTATCTTCCGTCTCTTCTTTCTGTGATCTGATCGATCTTTGATACATGCGACAGTTTTGAGGCGGTTTGTCGCTGTCGTCGTTGACATTGCTTCATGTTTGGGTTGGGTGGTCGTTTGTCGCATTTTTGTCCCGATCGTTGTTTCGACGACACATATACCGATTCCTTATTCATCAACATCATCGTCGTGTCTTGTTTCAGCCCCGCGAGAAAGAATAACCCGAAAACCGAACTCCAATACCGGTTCGTGCACCTATCCCAAACAATACTCCTAAGAAAGCCTAATTTCAATACTCCGCCACCCCTTCCTCATTATCCTCGTCGTAAACCCCACCATGACCACTAATCGTGACCCTCCTCTTCGGCGCCTCCCTCCACAGCTGCCTCAGCACCTTCTGCTTCTGCTCCTCCCTGACGCCCTTCAGGAAACCATACGTGCCGCTCAGGTCCGCGAGCTGCTGCTCGAGGCCGAAGGAGTTGGACTGGGCGCGGCGGATCAGCGGGCTGACGAGGTTGCGGCGCGCCTTGTCGAGCTGCTCCTTGACCGAGTGGATGATCTGTATGTGCGACTTGAGCTCCGACTTGTTCGTCAGGGTGCTGGCGCGCACGGTCTTGAGGAGCTTGAGGTTCTTTTCGTATTTCTTGAGCTTCAGCTGGTTGCCGATGGAGCTGCGCCACATGGACGCGAGGAATTCGTCCTTCTTGGTTGCGACGCTGTCTTCCTCTTTGGCGACGGACCGGTGCAGGTTTTGGAATTGCCGGTCTACGCTTTCGAAGAGCGTGAAGAGGACGTCTGCGCGCGCGAGCTCGTTGGTGATGTTTTCTTCGAGCGTCGAGAGGAGGTAGTCGAAGGTTCGTTGGAGGGTGGCTTTGGAGCGCTGTTGTGAGGTTTGGCCGAGCACGTCGCTGAATGTGCGGCCTATCGCTGTGGGTTGGCCGTCGTGCTCCAGAAGTCCTGCCTTGCCGAGGGCGCCGTGGATGTTGCCAATGACGGTATCTATTAGGCCTGTCTTGGGACCTTGGATGCTCTTCAGTTCGCGCTTCGCCCATTCCATCGTGATCAAGATACTAGCGTGGTCAGATTAGTTCACATGAATCGATTAAAAAGGTAAGGGTTAACTCACGAATCAACATCGCCATCAACATTCGTAAAGAAACTCGTCATCTGCTCCGACAGCACCTTGAGGTTGTCCCCCAGATCGTCAAGCTGGTCGATGATTGTCGTCGATGCGGACATGTTCGTCGCCCGCACGCTCTCACCCAGATCCTGCACAGCAATGCTTGCTTCGGCAAGCTCTCGCGAGCGCGGTATCACGTTCTCGGACGCATACAGCAGAGGCGACAGCTGCTTTACGAATCCTGCGACGTTGGCTACGTCGGGCACTAGACCTGTTGACGTCCATGGCTGGACGAGGACCCATGCAAGCGCGATCATGAACAATGTGCTGATAATGCTCATGGGCGAATTGCTAAACGCATGTACGAAATGGGCACACACAGATATGGAGTCCTCAATGGGTGCAGTGCGGAACAATGTCTCCCCCCGTACGGCGAAGCGGATGACTGCGTAAGGTTAGTATCAAAACGTAGACATGTGATAGCGGACATAAAAGATCACGTACATCCGTCCGGGTTCGCAGCACCCTCGTCATGCAGCGACAATGCCGCCTCTTCTCCCTCGCCATGGGGTACTTCTCCATCCATATCTGGCTCCGCTGAGGGACTTTGCATCCTTGATGCTATGTTTTCCGGTGTGAATAAATGCTCCGGTTCCGGGCTCGTTCGCGGGGTATGCTTGAGCGGCGAGTCTGGGAGAGGGATGCGCGATGGTGTGACGTCTCGATCGCCGCGCTCATAGTACGAAGGAGATCTCGAAGGACTCGACCGCATCACGCTGTCGCCGAGTAGGGATTTGCGGTACCAGTTGTTGTTGCTGCTCTTCTGCCAGGCTGGCGGTCGCCACGGGCCGTCCGATTCTTGGTCCGACTCTTCTGGCTCTTGTAAGCTCCATCGCGACGACGACTGCATGCCGGATCGCCCGCTGTAGGCCGAGTGTGTGCTTCGCTCCGGATCAAAGGCGCTCATGGCGGATGCGCTGAGAGAAGGAATATCGTGTTCGTAGAAGCTTCCACCATCCATGGTTGTATAGGCGGCTCGCATAGAGTCGTTTGCAGACGCAGAGGTGAAGAAGCGCTGGTACGGGTAGATACCGAGAGGAGGCTGGAAGTTGGGTCTGAATTAAGGTCGTACCACGAGGGATGCGAATAGGCGCGGTCGGCACATGGAAACACCTTGTGATGTAGTAGCCCTATGAGACATGGGTGCCTAAGCTGGGTCGAAGAGCCTCTGATTCTGTGAAGAAGCAGGAGCAGGAGCAAAGGCAGTGGCAGGAGAAGAGGCCATGGTGAAGAGACAGCCGTGCTCTGATCTGAGCATCGACTGGCAGCCGGGAGGCGTCGACTCGGGAGCGGCCAGCAAACGCATCGCCAGGGGTGAGGGGTGAAACGCGAGGTTGGGAGGTTGATCGCGGGGTGCGAGTGGGTGGTTGGCTATCGTGCAACGCGACTGATAGCACATCCCTGTCATATCACCCCTAGTAATCCACCCGCTTCCTGTAAATGCTCCGCGCGAACCGGATCCCATTCAGCAGTGTTTTTGGAGGCAATCCAGTAAAATATAGTGGAGAGACGAATTTGTGGTGTTGCACAGATTGGGCTAGACGTAAGGTATCGAGCGTGCTAGTGAATGGCTATGGCGTTCCTGAGATCTAGTAGCGATCCTCCTGTTCACAATGAAAACTGTCACGCAATCTCTGTGATAGTGATAGGCAAGCAATTGATTGTATTTACTCTGAATGAATGTACACTTGGCTACTTTCTGTTTCAACCGTGACTGTAATGGCAGGCTCCAACACCCTGACAATTATAACACAGGCCACCAACTGCAAATAAAACATATGAAAAAGAAACATAAGAAGGGTGCCTCGTTGGAGCCTAACCAGATCTTCGATCATTCGGGCTTGACCAATACCTGGGGTTCCCAACAAGTGAAAGGCACCTCCGAGCCCAAGAAACCATAGCAATTCCCATTCCCAATTTACCGTCAAGTCAAATAAAGGAATATAATCCGGGTCGTGAGGTGGTATAATAATATGATGTCTTCAGCTCTCGTGAGTGATTGACCTATAACGGTCATGAATGGCTCAGTGATTTTTTCGTTCGTCAATCTGTTTTAGGGAAGCGCTGGACCAAAGCCGAATGGATTTGGTTCTTCAGTTCTTCGGTTCTTTAGTTCTTTGGTTCTTTAGCACCGAGGCAATGTAGCATGGCTTAAAGATAGAACATGGTTTCGGCGAGGTTGGCGTGAACACCGCCATGCCAATGGTTGGTCGTGAAGTTCTCGGAACCATCTCCCTTAAGGACACGATGGAGATAGGAGCGGCCGCGTTCGCACAGCAGGTCTGCATAGTATGCAGGAGGACACACGCTTACTGCCCGTGTAGCACGAGCGAATGTGTAGCAGAGGTTGTGGGTCAAAGTCTGAAGCTGGTCGGCGCCCAGCTTGTTTTCGTCCTTGAGCACCACGTAGTGAGCAGGCTTGGAAGTACCTTGAAGGCCCTGATGGGCGAGCAAGAAGAAGTCAAACAACTTCTCACCGGTCACGCCTCGGTCGACTACGGTTCCTGGCTTGGGATTACCGTTCTCGACATCCGCATTGGTTTCGTCGATCTTCGTTGGATAGAAGCGGGTATGATGGCGTTTTCCAACAACAATGATGGAGATCTTGGGATGCTTAGACTCTGCGCCGTATAGCTTGTTGAACGCTGTGACAAAGCATGGATATTCTTCTTGCAGAACCGTCTTGTACTGTCCTTCAGATACACCATCCCGATAGACGATCACCTTCGTGGGCAACTTCCCATTTAGCTTCTGCCAAAGCTTCAAGCGCTCCACGACCATCTCTGCCAGTTCGGACACCATCTCCTTCCTGCCCTTCTGGGTGCGAATGCTTGCTGGGTATTGCGCGAAGTTGCCGTCAATAGAAGCTACAATCCCAGCAATGCTCGGAGACGACTCCGAACTGCCTGGAGAAGGATGCGTGACGTCGATTCCGAAGACGATGGTTTGAGAATCAAGGGGTTTGAAATGGTCCGCCGAAAGGGTGTGGTTGATGCCGCCGAGTTTCTGGTTGAACTTCATGGCGACGTTGGCGAAATACTGCATCCGCCCCTGCTCTTTTCTGAACTTGTGGCCAATGCTGCAGATGCTAGGGATTCCAAGCTTGGTGTCGCAGACAAACTTGATGCAGTCGTACAGCACTGCGTCCTCGCTGGGCAACACAATGAAAAGGAACTGGGGGCGTAACTTGAACTGTCCGATGCTGGTAGAGATCCTCCGTTGTACTGCATCGACTTTCCTGTCTTGCAATTCTGCTCTGGTGACTTCCATGTAAACTGGACCACCGTACGGCTTTGGCTTCATTCCGTAAGTGTTGAGAGTTCGTTGAAACTTTGTCAATGTTTCTTTATCGTTAAATTGACCATCCTCGCTTCGGGTATGCGTATCATAACTATCCACAATGATAAGGCATCCCCAGGTGGGTAGGGGTTTGGCAACTTTGAACGGTTCATTACCCAATTCTCGGACGTCGAGATTCCAAGCTCCGTTGCGAGGAGTGCAAGTATTTCTCTTGTAGTGAAGCACAGGAGCTTGCAGAACACGACCATGTACCGTAAGGAGGGTTGTAGCGACCTTGATGCCAAATGGCTTCAGATTGGTATTCAATCCTTGTGCCACCGGCATGATCTTGGTGACCTGAAGTCCGTCACGAACGATAGACTCGGCATTGTCGACAGGACGACGGGCCGCGAATTTGATCATCTCGCTGGTCTGTTTGCCGCTCAACAGACGCCGCGCGAGTTGCCCAGGAAGGATAGAGCAAAGCTCTCCGGGGATCCATTTCGGGCTCTCACGAGTTCCGTAATTCACGAGTGGCGCCTGAGGCAGTTGAAGGCGAAGCCCATACTCCGTCTCGAAATGATCGGCCACGGTAACATCCCTAGTCGTACCATCCGCAGCGGTTTTTGGGAACGTGGTATTCGATGCGTTTTGTCCGAACCGCGAGAGTTCGATGATAGCGTGGACTTTCCTCTTCGTTTTCCCCTGGATACGCTTCCCCTTCTTGTCAGAGGCAGGCAAGTAGTTCGTTTCGATGCGCAAGCCTCGGACAAAACCTGCCGCTTTCTGGTGGGCCCCAGCAAACTGAGCTGGCAGACCAAGCTCTCTCAACATATCGAGGAGTGGTCCGGGTTTGTAGAATGCCCCAGTAGCGACATTGATGTTGACAATAATGCGGTCGACGCTCGTGCGAACACTCGAGAAATAGCCACGCAAAGCTTGGAGGCCAAACGTCAAGTCACGGGATTGCACTTGGGGATGTTTGCCAAAGGGGTAGAAATGGTTCTGACCAGCAACAGCAATCTGATCATCCAGGCTCGGGCCGTTGGCCATGACAAGATTCAAGGCCTGAATTGCTTCCATTTTCAATGGATACGTGGCGCCCGAGGCACTAATGTCCTTTACCAGCTCCTCAAGGGAAACCGTACCGAGTTGTTCGACTAGCAACATGTATGTGCTTCTGTTCCTGGCATTAGTCCTCTCCTGGGGTTCACCCTGTTCGGGCGAGGGAAGTGGTTCTCCGTCGTTGGGGTACCATTCAATGTGGTAGCTTGCTCGATTTCCATCCAGTTTGACCTTTTGTGTGGTCACGATGAGCTGGGCCCAGTCACTTGTGGATGCGACGTTGGAAAATGGTGCTTCTTTCAAAAGCAACTGGATGAGCCGCTTCTTCTTTGGCTTGGGTAGATCGGGTTGGCCTTGGACTACAACACTATATCGATAGAAGACCGCTTGAGGGTTGATGGCATTCAGCTCGAGATAGTTTGTCCAAAGAACTATGGGTGTTCCGATCGATCCGTAACCAGGGCGTCGGGGGAATTCTTCTTCCAAAGTTGTGCTGGCAAGAGCAGTAGAAACATCGCTGACAAGAGCATCTTCGGCCTCCTTGACAGGAGCATCTCCAGCCTCGTTGACAGGAGCATCTTTGGCCTTGTTGACAGGAGCATCTTTGGCCTTGTTGACAGGAGCATCTTGGGCCTTGCTGGCAGGGGCATTTTCGGCCTCGCTGACAAGAGCATCTTCGGCCTTGCTGACCTTCTGGTCGGGCTGCGGGAAGCTTCCATTCCTACGATATGTTAGTACCAATGCTGGGAAATGTGGACGATGAACGTCATAGTAGCAGCTGACTTACCCAAAGGCACGAGCAGACTCGAAGCGTGAACCTCCGCGACCTCCACGGTCTCCACGGCCACCACGAGGCCCTCCACGCCCACGGTCGTCGTGGCCACCTCTTCCGCTGTTGCCACGCGGCGCTCCACGACCGCGGTCTTGGTAACCACCTCTTTCACCGTTGCCGCGGAAGCCTCCACGTCCACGGTCTGAGGCACCATCGAATCCCCCACGGCCACGGCCACCCCCACCTCGTTCTCCACCTCCCCGACCACGGCCACCATCGCCACGTCCACGACCACGACCACGTGAATCAGCCATGTTGACTAAAGATATGATGAAAGGGTATCAAAGAATGGAGTATCGAAAAGGTTGTTTAGTTAGAAAAGATCTGATCGAGACTGAATTTAGCAAGTCAGTACACAGAAGAATTGGTTGCAGAGGCTGTCGAGAGGAAGAATGTGAGGAGCATGGAGATTGGCATGGGCATGGTTCTTATATGGAGGAACACCGGGAGACTTGGGAGTGCATAGTACAGACAGAAGCAAAGTGAAACAAGATGACCTTACTAGTTAGTGTGTGACTGTGGCTGATTGCTAACAATGTTTGTGAAATGTGTTTTGGTCGTCTGGATTCTTTCAAGACTGATTGTATGCGGGCCGGTAGCCTCGCAGAAGCTTGTCTGCGAGACACCTTCTGGCGAAACTATGATGGTTTTGTCCGGTGATTAAGATAAATATGATTTCTTTATCCAATATGTTAAGGAAGGCGTAGGATGTTATGTACAGAGCAGTTAGAGTGGAATATACTCGTAGAACAGGACGAAGTCGTGAGAGTGGAGTTGAGATGCTGGGTGGGCCTCATGAGGCGGGGGCAAAGCAGGCAAGGCAGGCCAATTGGACGCGCCATAGTCTAACGCGCGGGGAAGCCGGCAACACGCGAAGTCACGTTTGGGGCCTGAGATGATCTTTGCGGTGAGGTGGTGTTTGTAGATAATGCTCGGCGTTTGTATCTTAGCTTTGAACGAAACAATGGACTCTTTGCATAAGTGCATGCTTAATGCATCATTCATTCTGACTTTGCGGAGTACTCCGTATGCAAACACAACACTGTTACTATGTGACTCAGTCCAAGTGAAGAGAGAAGTTTTTTCCAATGTCGTAACACGGCTGTTTTCCAATCTTAGAATGATTGTGTCACTTGTGTCGAGACCACGCAGTGACAGGTCACAACTGTTTCTGCGCTCTTAGATGGTATCGATAGTGCCATCCTAACAATCGTATGCTCTATGCACACCTACCTACTCCTGTCACAACGGCCAGACCTATGAGCTGTCCATCAGGGGAAGTTAATTATCTTGGCCCAACTGACACTTTGGGAGAGACATCCCCACATTCGGAAGAGGTCTTTACTCACCAAAATTTCTGCGTACCTTTTCCAAAAATAGCCCTTTTGTTCCATTCTACCAACAAATGGTCATGTACTTTGCTCTAGGTGAAGAATGGAGATTTGGTAATTGGTAATTGATTCTACGAAGAGTGCACAGTACGCAAACCGACACTCCCTCCATCGATAGCCATCTTTTTGCTCCAAATGTCTCTGGATGAACGCCAGCCTTCTGGGATTCCGTCATTGAGATTTTCAAGAAATCAATGACGTCCTCGTAATTCTCTAGGTCTAGCAGAATTTACCCAAACATTTACCCTAATCATCGATCCAGTAGAAGTGGAAGGGTAAAGAGATGAGCACGTGATGCAATGCGCTATAGGACTAGCGCGAATTTTCCATATGGAAATGGGCTCGACATCTCATCATCGTCATTCCCCACGGCCTCTTCACACTCCACGCCCGCCATGCCGCCCCGATTAAACCCTCTCTCATTCTCGAGACCAATTGCATACCGACCAAAGGCACAGGTGCAATTGCGCCTTCAGCCTGCGGCCCGCATCGCTCCGTGGCAATGCCGCAACTACGCCGACAAAACTGATTCAGCAGGCGCAGACCGATCGAAACGCATTGAGGCACAACCGCTTGGTCATGTTAGTGAAGAGGCTGCACAAACAGCTAAGATCACGGGCGAGCAAGGTCCAGAGCTGTCGAAAGGAACGCCTATTGAGGAGGTGAGCGATTGCGAATCCGGCCCATGAATCTAGCAGAGCAAAACACTGACGCTGAAGTAGGTTGTGAAGGGCGATAAAGCTGTAGTCGACAATCTCCCCAAAGTAATGCAGGATGCGATCAAGGCAAAACAATCAAGTTCTCCACCGAAGGGATCCAGATCTTACTCCACAACGACGACACCGGTCACGAACAACGGCAGCATGGATATCGGGATTTTCAATCTACCTACCAAGACACCTGCAGCAGTACCAGGAGCGAAGTTCGAGGTTCCATCGCTGCCCCTTCCGAAGGGCTCCCATGTCAAGCATAGATATGATCCTGTCATCGAACAAGTGACGAACCTACTCATGCAACACGGACAGAAGAGCAAGGCTCAACGAGTACGTATTCTCTGCAAAGTCGAACTAGTAAATGTATACTGACAAAACCTGAAGAACATGTCCCTCATCCTTCAACACCTGCGTACCTCCCCAATCCCCACCATCAATCCTGACCGTCCTCTCGTTCCTGGCGCCCCTCCGCCATCACACTTGCCTTTAAACCCTGTTCTCTATCTTACCCTCGCGGTCGATTCGGTGGCTCCCCTTCTCCGACTTCGAAGTCAGAAGGGTGCAGCTGGAGGTGGTGTCGCCTTGCAGATTCCCATCCCACTCGGTCTAAGGCAGCGCAGGCGGACAGCCGTACAGTGGATCCTCAACTCTGCCGTGAAGAGGAAGAATGTGGGCAGTGGCAAGACTGGATTTGCTCAGCGATTTGCACAGGAGTTGATCAGCGTCGTGGAAGGCCGAAGCTCTGTGTGGGACAGGCGCAATGCCGTACACAAGTTGGGTGTGGCCGCCCGAGCCAATATTGTTCTACCTAAGAGAAGATAGGAGGCATGGCTGGGAAGCTAAGTTGAAAAAAAAAACGATACCTTGGTCGGATCATTTCATGTACAAATACAAATAGCGATTGCTGAGTTTTCGAACTGTTCCAATAGTTAAAAGCAATGTACGATTTCAGTTCGCACATAGTGTGCGTCATTATGTGTCAGAGTCATGAGCCTCAGCGTGTTCAATTGCAAGGTTGCGCTTCCGAATGCTTCTACGTGCAGGAGTACTCAGATGAGGTACTGTACGAGAAATTAGACAACGGCATTTCAATGATGTTTAAATTTCCATCCTGTCTTATCGTAATTTATACAACTATACTCCCTAGTAGGTATCCCGGCCGAAAGAGAATTGATCTCGTGCGCGGTTTCATAGTCGGAAGATATAGGCTGGCTGGTAGCACCATAGCACCGTAGCACCTCCACATGCCTACGCCGGCCACGATTATCACATGAAGCGAAGCACAGCCACCCGAGGATTCGGATTAATTGGCCCAATTGCGGATTCGTGATGATGGCCAAGGAAACGCCTTGCTTGGCCTTTTTCCAATTGCTTTTGCTTTGGATGTGCACGTTGTACTCCGTACGGACAGGAAGAGGGCGGTGATGCATTTTGGTGTTACCCACCCTTATGAAGGAGAAGAGAATTGATATCATTTAATTCGTACTTGCAGTATGATAGATTGGGTTCCATGGCTATACGGTAACAAACAAAAAAAAAAAAAGCAAATCCGTACATTCATCTCCATGCTCCTCCCTTTTGCCAAGTTCCTCCCCCAGCTCCCCCCTCCCCCTCCCCTCCCTCTGCCTCATCAACCACAATCCACCCACTCACTCACTAGATAACTTACCATTGCCTGCTGGCTCCAAAACCTACTACAGCTGGTTAGCCCTTCAGAGCATGTGCCCTGCGAGCCCCCCATCGTGTCCTTGTCGTCGCGCTTACTGATTCTGAGAAACTACTCTCCAAACTACCTCCACTACTACCATTACCACTCCCACTAATACTGCCCAACCCCGATTTCTTTGCCCATTCTCTATGTCGTCTGCTTCTATCACCACCCTCGGGAACCCCCTGTTCACCGACAGCGGTTAACCCATCATTGTCCACCAACTGGCCCTCGCTCTTGCGACTTTCCAACCTCGCAATACCTACCCCGCCGACCTCACACACATACCTACTCATACTTTGATCCATCTCCGTCCTCGGGCACCTGCCGTCGGTCGTCGGTTGTCCACTGCCAGAGCAATTGAATCAACGGAGTACTGACTGTATGATGGGAAATTCCTTTCGCGCGTGAATGTCTTCGCTAACTGGCCACAGCAGCGTCTATCATTCACTGTACTCGTAACAGCTGAGCACACACCACGGCTCTACGGGTATCGTACCATACACACGGATCGACAACCCCACACTCCTCCCAGGCATCACAACACAATCTTTCCTGCCCACCTCCTTCGTCACCCGTTCGACCGCTTCAGCTGCAGCTCTCGATCGTGTGCTGCTTCACCTCCAGATCACCCTCATTACTCTACACGTCTTGCGCCGTGCTACTGAAGCCTCGCCCTAGTCTACGAAGGCCCCACTCCCAACCCCAACCACGTCAAACGGATATCCAGATAGGAAGAAACACCGCTTGAAGCTGCCTACAAAGACGCCGTTACCATGTCTCTGGAGTCTGCACTCGACGAGGAGAGAAGGGCGGTGATGGAGCTACTGGAAGGAAGGTCCATGGCTCCACGACCAGCCCGGCGAGACGGTAGCCCTCGTGTCGGTTCTCGCGCTCAGAGCCCCGCTGTCGCAGTATCACCCATGCGCAGCATGCTCGATATCGATGACCCTCCCTCCTCACCGGGCGGACGCGCCGCCTCAATTTCCTCAGGCTATCGCAGCATGCTTGATACCTCGTCTCCACCTCCCAGCGGTCTACGCAACTCCAGCCGCGGCCCAATGCCCTCCTCTCCACCACCCTCCGCCCGCAGCCTCCCAGGGTCCTCCGTGAACCCAGTCTCCGCCTATCAGTTCGAGATGCTTCCTACCATCGAGGCTCATTCCATGCCGAAGCGAGTCACCCAAGGTGGTAAGAAGAACAAGCAGCGTGCCATGGCGTCAGTATACGGTGGATCTGAAACCGGAGGGTCCTCGCGAGGAGAGCAGCGACAAAGCTCTTTTGGCGGATTGCTGGGAAAGAAATCAGGCTCTCCTGGGCCCGGCAGGTCTCAGTCGCCAGGAGGCAGAAAGCTGAATACCAATTCCTTCAACCTGATGCCCACACCCGGAAAGTATGTCACCGATACAGGAAAGGTGGTGGACATGTCGAGCGCATATCGCAGATTGTCCGACGCTGCATTGCTCCGCTCGGGTGGCACACTTTCGAATTTACCAAGTCGTAAAGGATCGGATCCGACAAGAGGAGAGTCGTTGGCTCCCGGCGGCGGTGTTCGCCTGGCCACGGATGATTTTGGAGACGATGAAGATGCAATCGAGTCGAGCGACGACTACGAATCTGACGGCAGTTCAGATGGTGAAGGCTGGGGATCACAGAAACGACGAGGAAGGCGGCGAACACGACAGAATAACGGTTCGGAAAAACATGGCGGAGAACCGAGAATTACGAAGAGCTTGTTGGCAGCCGCGGAAGAAGAGCGTGCGTTAGAACCATCTCTCTGGAACATGATCATGTGATACTGATAATACGACAGGGAAAGAACAACAATCATCCTATAGGGTCAAATCGTTGCTCGAACCAACGATCAATGTTACAGGGCCCGATGGCAAGCAGATGGCTAACAAGAAGTCTGGTGTACATCCAAACACCAACTTCGACCAAGGTGGATCTGGATTCTCAACACCAATGAGCTCTGACACCGAAGCCGACCTGTCAGAGGTGAAGGCTGCTCAGCAAATGGCTATGAACATTTCTCCAATTCATTCTAGCCCCGAGGCTCATCGATGCGTTCGCCAGATTCTCCGCGGAAAGTACGGACAGTTTCATGACGATGCCGACAATGGCCTCCGACGCCAACGAGTCTATTTGGTTGCAACTGATCTCAGTGAGGAGGCGGCTTATGCCCTGGAATGGACCATCGGTACCGTTCTGCGCGATGGCGACACGCTATTGGCAGTGTATGCTGTGGACGAGGAGATTGGTGTAGGAGGCGCAGACGGCACTGGTGTTGCTATCGGTGGAGGTGCTACGGCCCAACAGGAGACCGACTCACTCATGAAGACGCTCTCCAATACGAAGGGCATCTCGGAAGCGCACAAGCCATCTCCGCTACAGAACAGTGTGTCAGCTTCAGAATCCGATGTAAACGCCATGAACAAAGCAGAGAAGGAGCGTTATCAGGCGGCTGTTGAGGTTTCCGATCGCTGCGTGAAATTGCTCAGGAAGACTCGTTTGCAGGTTCGGGTCGTGGTCGAAGTTTTCCATTGCAAGAGCCCGAAGCACATGATTACAGAAGTGGTAAGTATCGAAAGTCGCCCCGACATATTGAAACTTGTTGCTGACAACTGATTGACAGATTGACTTCTTGGAGCCAACGCTTGTAATTCTAGGATCAAGAGGTCGAAGTGCGCTCAAGGGGTATGTCATGTTTCTCTTTTTCGTTTATGCATGATTTCTGACAGTCTGTAGTGTTTTGCTTGGCTCATTCAGCAACTATCTTGTCACGAAATCCTCCGTTCCAGTCATGGTCGCACGGAAACGCCTACGAAAGCACAGCAAATACAAGCGAAAGAACCTCCGACTATCCAATGTGCTCACCAACCCGACGGGCAGACTCGCAAACGCCAAGGTGGACTGATGTTTGTGTATTTGGTTTGGTGATTTGTCACGATGTTTCAAGATAACGATCTCTATAAATGGAAAAGGGAAACTTGAGGTTGGGGTTGGGGTGGGAACATAAAAAGAAAAACAAGATGGGGAAGAGATGCGAAACAATGACGGTTTGGCGATTGGCGAGGACGTGTCTCGGCAGCCCTCGTGATGTTTATGAATGCACACAACAGTTCGGATTGGGCTGTCGTACCGTGCTTTTTTATTTTCTATTTTTGGTGGCTAGATTGATTCACGACACGATCTGCGCCAGATGGAACGCACTTCCTTCCATCAATCTCGAATTGTTTCCGAAGTCTCCGCTCGCGATAATCCTCCATACATCCATAGCATAGTGTCTGATGATGTCAGGACCGGAACGGCAATGAGCATCTAGAATTCCCCTCTCACTCCTAGTCGACTTCTATCATCGTGCGTTCAAGCATTATTTAGCTAGCTCTACTTTGTATTCATGCATCTTGGACCTCTATACGCCCCATTGGTACTAATTCTTGATATCCAGACAACTTCGAGGTAGTACGGGCCGTTTTCTTCTCATGCAGCTGTCATTATGTCAAATCTCGTCCTTCAACACACGGCCCGCTCCAAACAGCTCGACACAGGTGTGGCGTATTCACGGCAATGCGATGTCTGTCCTAGCGTTCTCGTGTCATTGAACCCACCTTGTGGAACAAGTGCAAGGTGAATCGATGTTAAGAAGACACAAGCTGGCTACATGGAAGTAAACAACGTTATTGCCATCGACGAGCTAATCCACTAGTATCCCAATTCACTGGAACATTGTCCATAGAGTGTTCGACTTCAATGTATCTTGCCCTACAACAATACCCTCGCCTGGACCATTGCGAGTTCATCGAGGTGGACGAGGACGATGTCGATGCCGCAAACCTCCACATCAACGTCATACCCGACGACATAAAGCGCTCCATGCTCGCCGACCGGCATTCCCCATCTTCCTTCGCCCCATCATCATCACAGATAATCGATGCCGACACGCTGCTACAGAACCTCACTCGTCTGGCCCCCAACGTGGCGAAAGACTTCGTCCCCCGATACCAGGCTTACGACGACTTCACATTCCGGCTCATCAACAACACTGACGAAGACAATGACGACGAAGAGGATCCAGAAGTTGAAAACCCCGAGGAGAGCTACATTGCACTGAGCTACTGCTGGAGCGAATCACGCCGGGAGAACAAAGAAGTGCTAACCGGCAATGTTGGCGATCTGCCCTTCGGATGGGTGAGAACTGTCGAGAGGTTTCCACTGCCGACTAGTAAGTCGATGTTTCAGGCGGTTCTCGAGGAGAGGACAGATGACAGGGAAGGGCTTTGGGTTGACCAGGTAAGTTCACTGTGTTGGTACCGATGGAGCATCGTCTAACTGTTCACTGTCAGGTTTGTATCAACCAGGACGATGCAGTTGAGAAGGCTACCGCGGTCGGTGCCGTGGGCGCTGTGTATAGGAACGCACGTACTGTCATCGTTGCACTCGACGATGTTATCATCCCGCAAGACGAAGTATCGTTCCTACGGTCCTATGTGAAGCAATACGCCACATCGAACACGCCGTTATCACAGAACCCGAATCAAGGTCTCCATCCGCCTGCCATGCAACGGTTTCCACTATTTAGATCGTTCTTGGAACGATTGTTACGGTCCAGTTGGTTTGAGCGAGCGTGGTGCGCTTTCGAGATGCAGATGGCGAAGTCGCATGTGTTTCTTGCGCGGTGCATCGCGAATGAAGAGCAGCTGGATGATGGGTGTTGTGCTTTGATACGGTTTACTGGGGATTTCTTCCTTCATATGCTTCTCCTTGCCAGCGAGCTTGACTATGGACACCAGCTCTCTGCCAGACCAGGCCAGGTCGATTATCTGGTTTCGTTCTTTCGAGAATGGTCATCGGGACAACATCGTTCTTCTAATACACCACATAGTCCTCCGACGAATCGACTCCAAAAACCGACAACGTCGTATATCCGCCAAATACAAGATGTTCTTCGTCTCCGAGCAAGTGGGAATCCACAACTACCCGAGTACCTTCGCCGGCTGGACGCAAATCGAGATCGAACAAGCATCGCTCTGAATGTGGCGGGCCTACCTTTGGTGTTGAAACCGCCCAATCCACTCCAGAGGCCCTTCATCGAAGATGAATGTCTTCGATATCTCTTACTCGCCGGCATCGCGGCAGGAGATCCAGGCGCACTTTGCACGATAGGACCACCTCTCCAACTTCATGATGGCTCGATATCATGGCTCTGCCGCCCAGCGTCATCCTCCGCATCCAACCACCACTCTACACAAACACCACCTCCATTCTCGACCAGCAATTCAACCCTAATACAATCCCACGACGGCCGTGCAGAGTACCTCCAACTCGACCTCATCTTCACCACCCTCCCCCAACGGACCCAACCAAACCCCAACTTCCCCTCCTACATCCAACGCGCCCGAGCATTCATATCATTCTGCATCCACCACTCCATCCCCAGCACCAACCCTCTCTGGTCCTCATGGCAACCGCAGCAACAGCAACAGCAAGCCCAACAACACACGACCCCCGCTCCCCACCCCCGCGCCGCCTCCCTCCAAAACATCTTCATCCAAACCCTCGCCTGCTGCTACGACCTGGGACCCACCTTCCTCCTCACCGTCTCCGCCTCCCTTCCCCCATCCTCCCAACCCCCCCTCCCCTACTCAACCCTCTCAACCCTCCTCTCCCCAACCCTCACCCTCACCTCCCCACCCGCCCACGAAACCCTCTCCCCCTTCCTCACCCTCCTCGCCACCCTCATCACAGCTGGCATCCCCTGGTCCCCCACAACCTCCGAACGCACCCACGGCCCCCTCATCATCCACACCCCCTCTTCTTCCTCCCAATTAGGCAAGAAAGCACTCACGTTCGCCCCCTTCGCACACACAAAGTCCCTGCTCATCGCTATCCCCGCCGTGCTGGCTGACGAGTCGTACGCGGGCCTGCCGCGCGGGTGGTGTCTCACTCCGTTTGTTGGTGTGGCAGGAGCGGGTGCGGGTGCGGGCAGGGCTGTGGGGTGGAGGTTGGAGGGGAAGGGGAGGGTTTTTGGGGGAGGGGGGTTTGGTAGGGTTGGGGGTGAGGGGGAAGGAGGAGGGGGGAGGGTACATAGGGTTTATGGGCCTTTGAGGTTCGGATAGTTGAGGAGGAGTTTTTATGGATGGATAGGCTGGCGGGGGGGGGGGGAGAAGGGTTGGTTTGAGGGTGTATTTTTGTTGGGTTGGCTGGGTTTTCTTGTTTAGAATTAGACTTAGATTTTCTGGAATCTCATCATATATTTACTATTTCGTTTAGATAGATTTAGATTTTTATACCTACATATTCTTTTCTTCCACTCATTTAGATGTAAGAAAAAAAAGAGGAAATTACACAGTATGGATGATTATGCTAGGAATAAAAAAAATGACTGAGGTAGTACTTCCAATTTGAGCGTTCTTATAAGAATCTGATAAATCGATCAATTGAAATATCCAAATCTTTATATGAGTTTCTTTTGCATAATCATAGACTTGATTTTTCACACAAGAAAGTAGAAATATTAACAAAAGATATACGCCGTTGAATCAATCCGTTAGAATAATAGTCAAATGGTGAAGGAACGATCCACATCACCAAGAGTAGTAGCACTTGTACTTCGTAGGTTTATTGTTTGTCTCTTGTAAATTCGTTGTTCATGCAGTGAGTGGATCGAAGAATTCGATGTGATGCGCTCCCGAGAGAACGCTTGGGTTATTTGCTAGTTCACTTGATTGAGTAGACAGATGGGACGAATAGTATTGGACCAAATGGCTGGTTATGCAATGTGTCTCCTTGTATTATTTTCTTCTCCGGAGATGTGTGGATATCTGTCTGTCTACGATGACTACACGGCTACTACGTTTACTGCTACATCGAGGTCGATTTTATTTTTCTATTTTGTCTCCTTGCCCAGGGCCGCGAGATCCTTGGTGACAAACTCTGTGGCGCTCATTAATGCAGTGCTACCATACACGACGCGACGCTTCGGGCCCGCCGCGCTCGTGCGCTTCGCCCACTCCTGCAGATTCCCGTACTCGTCCATGGAGCCGCCACCGACAGTGAACAGGATGGCCTCGCTGAAGCCCTGCCGCCGCTGGCCGAAGCTGGCCTCGATGCCGCGGCCGACGGCGCCCTGCTGGTTGCGCGCCTGGCTGGCGGGCGGGATGGTGCCGCGCGCGTTGGCGGAGCGCGGGTCGAAGTAGAGGTAGGATTCCGTCTTGGAGATGGCGGAGGAGGAAGCGTTCTGCGGGTCCATGAGGGACTCTGTGATCTTGGTGAGGGTGAGGTCGGTGTTCTTGGGGACGAGGTTCTTGATGCCGGAGACGAGGCCATCGAAGTTGGCGCCCAGGCCGGCTTCCTTGAAGCGGTCCGTCACGCGCGACGAGAGGCTGCTGAAGCCGCCGAAGAGTTGGCTCGCGGGCTGCGTGGGCTGGTTTGGTGCGGAGGAGATCATCATCATGCGGGTTAGTTGGCGGACCGTCTTCACGTATTGGAGGGAGGAGGTGTCGGCGCCGGCGGCTTCGAGGGATTGCGTGAAGTTTTCCATGTCCGCGCGGGAGATTTCTTGTTCGGTGGCGAGGTACCATTGGATGAAGTAGCGCAGTTTGTCGATGGGTTCGTTGCCCTTCTCCGAGCTCTTGATGGTCTCGAGAACCTGGGCTTTCGTCTGCTTGGTGATATCCTCTTCGAGCTGGAAGAATTCGTGGACTTTGCGGTCTGCACGGCATGTTAGCAGGTATCATTGACAGTTGAGCTGAGACATGACGAACCCTCAATTCCCTTGACTATTTGCTTGAGGATATTCATATGCATGGAAAGTGTGGCTTTGCGCTCCTTCAGCTCCGGCAGTAGAGCCATGGCGCCCTTGAGATGCGCGGCGATGCCACCACCCTGTAGGTCGTCCAAAGAGGTCGCACCAGTCTTCTTGGTCACCTCCGAAGCATCCTCTTCATACTTCTTCAATTCAATATCAATATCCTCCGCCACATCGGGGAAAGGCCGGGTGGCGTTTCGGAGCCAAAAGTAGTCCGAGCTTTGCAGGTCATACTCTTCTTTGCGGGTTCCCTTGGCAGGGTTGTTCTCGTCCACTGGGACAGTGACTTTTATTTTGTTCAGCCGCATGTCCAGGATGTCGGTAATCAGGGATTGATACGTCCATGAGTGGCTAAGCATTGGGAGGAGGTCGACATTTCGATCCACAATGATCAGCACTGGTCGTGAGGAAACGGCGGCGGCTGACTTCTGATCGCTACCAGAGAATAGTCCAGTCTTATTATTGAGGTAATGGTCGCGTAGTTTGCTGGGTATTGTCAGAAGAGACTCTACGTCGATTCGGAAGCACCACCTACCGATCAAGCTTTGCAGCAATCATCTCTGCCGCACCCTCCTTGGGGCAGCGAATTATGGGAATCGTGCCCATGGTCACTGCAACAGAGAACAGTCCCGACACTATGCGGTCCACCATGGCATCCAGCTCCTCATCCGATGTCTGAGCACTATTGAGTTGGTGGTATGCGCCATCTATTCCGAGATTGAACAGATCCGGTTCCGAGACGATGAAGTTGAGGTATTGGTCGAATATGGAAGCTAGATGTGGAGCTGTTTCTGCGGCGGCAGTCGAGGCGGCAAAGTCTTCGAGCAATGGCCGTGGTACTGAAGATAGAAAGTTGAGGTGGGCAGGGGAATAGAGGCCCCGCGAGAGGTCGGAGGTGACGATTTCAAGGTTTGCGGCGGTGGGTTCGATAAGGTATATGACGGGAACATCGGGAATGCTGTGCCTAGTTGTGTTTATATTCAAATGGATCGTGACCTGCCAATTGCTTTTAGTTCTTGAAGACCTGGCGGAGCAGCTCCAGGATGATTTACCCCCCAAGCCCGCAAGTCATTGACTCTGAGGACACTTGATATCACATCCCGACCCAGGTTGTCAAAGACAAGAACCTTCCATATGGGCTCACCGGACTCGGTGAGTATGGGAGTCTGTGTAGAGAGCGCGCTGGAACCATCGTGGTGATCGTTGTGTTCGGAGGAGGATTTGGGGTCGGCGTTGAGGTTGAGGATTCGTTCTATCGAGCGCTTCTGCAGGTCGCGAAGGGTCAAGGCGGTAGCCATGCTGAAGATGACAGGAAATGACCAGGCAATCTATGTGATCGGAGAGAAGTGTGCCGCGGATTCGGGGTACGTTTCGATTGTACGGAGTGGGATGGCGCCCGCCGGTGTGCACAGGCTACCTCATGCGCTGCGCGAGTGGGAGGGGGATGAGACGGGGGAGGAGGGAGGGGGTGATTTCAATTACAGGTCCTTGAAGGTTGGGAAGTAGACGATACAAGAAACGAAATAGTAGTTCTCCGTAGAATTGAGTACCTAGGTAGCTTTCTTACAGATACTCTCTGTCTCTATCTTCTCTACTACTACTCCATACAAGCTGTCGTCAATGTTCACTCGTGTCGTTTTGGGGATTAACGCTAGTACTGATTGAGGTGAAGTGGCTGGAGTGTTGCCAAGACTGACCATCTGGCCAGTGCACGTTCTTAGCGCCGTTTCCCGTTCGCATTTGCTGGCGCTGAACGAATCCTTTCCCTTCCTTTCCCTCCTTCTTCCCTCCTTCTTCCCTCCTTCGCTGCCCTCCTGCCCTCCTCTTTTCCCTTCCCTCTTACACTCTCCTCTTCCCATCCCTCCCTCATCTACTCTTCTTCTTCTTCTTCCTCCTCCTCTTCCTCTCCCTCCATCCTACCTTTCCCATTCTTCTTTCTCTTCCTCCTCCCTCTCAACTTCCTCCTCTTCTCCCTCACTCGCCACCACACTTGCCATCACTATTCTCCCTCTATTCCTACTCGTAATTCCTGTTCTTCTCCCTTCGTATCTACTCGGACGCATCCTCGACTCATCTTTCTCTCCCTTCTCTACCCATATGATCCTTATTAGTGACCTGCTCGCCCACCTAATAAGGGCATCTGCTTCTTGAAACTTGATCTATCTTCGGTTTCCGTTGTGAGGAGATTCTGGCACTCAGGCTGGTAGCAGGCTATTTTCATGAAGGGTTGCGTTGGTTCGCGAGCAAAGAAGAACTAGGGACGGAGAACAGCAGGCAGACAGTAATTCTGTTACTTCTGCTGAGAGTGACGCGCAAACCTCTGTGTTTGGTACTAATTCAGGACCTTTCGACGATCGTCAAGTCAAAGTCAAAGTCAATCAACCCATCAACTCTCAGTCAAGTGGGAGAGTCGTTGTAGCCTGCTCGCTGTTGCGCACTCAAGGGCTACATCTCCCATTTCCCCCATTCCATTCTCTTTGAGAGAAGACAAATATTAAAGAGCGACTTTTCGTTGAAAACAGACAAGACAGCAGGCAGAGGAGCCTGCCCCCTTGTCTCAGCGTTTGAGCCGCTGATTGTACAGTGCAAAATTAAGGTGCGCAACCACTTTTCAGTGACGCATCGGCATCAGGATCAACACCAAAGCAAGTACCGCACCAGGCATCAGCAGCACCAGCGGGAGCAGCGAGTGCTGGCTGTGGCAATAATCGCGCAAGGTAGCCTGCCTAATAATTCCGGGTACGCGAGTCTGTGGACAAGACAGCGGAACGGGGCTTTTCGGTGGGTATCCTGCGGGTGTCGCAAACGCATACAGGCACCTCATCTTGCCTGCACGGGTGAGCGTAATCGCTGCCAGCCGGGTGCAAATCTTCGCAGTACTACGCACACTGTGCCGCACAGCTTAGGAGAACAGTACTGAGCAGAGCAGAGCTGAGCAGAACAGATCAGAACACACCAAATAAGGGAACAGACAGTCCGACAGCAAAACGGTCAGTCAGATTCGATCGATCAATCAGTCATTCAGTCAGTCAATCTGCAGCAAACCCAGGATCTTTTTCTTTACCTCACCATACTGGCTTTTTACGGCTGCATCTGGAGGTATTTCGGGCCTATCTACGCCCCTTCACCATTGTCCTCCCGTCACCAGAAGAAGTGTACACGTATCCGTCACATTTACACTCCCCAAACTATTTGTGACGCGGACTTGTACCCCAACGCCCGCCTGGGTTGACGAATAGCGTATAGCGTATAACCGTATAGCGGCGCGGCCTGTGTCTATTGTCTTGCCTTGCCTTTGTCTCGCTGCAAGATCCAGATCCCCTGATTGGTCGGATCAAACCCAAACTGTGGGTCCATCCTCATCAACATACCAAACCCCCCCACACCCCCGCTCATCAGCCAATCAGACGCCTTCTCTGGGGCAAATTGTCTGCCAAGCAAGTCGGGGATCATCGTTTGTCCTCGCAGCCACATACATACATCCATCATGGGTCCTAGTCACGTGCCGACTGATCACCATCATCACCATCCTCACTCTCACCAAGTTCAACAACATGGTGGTGGTGGTGTTCAATCTATATACAATGATCCAGCGTATGAGCAACTCTTCTCTCGTGGCGATCAATTCATCGGCGCACCCTCGTGGGATCAGTTCAACCAAAGCCATGCTGCCCTTCTACCACAGACATCGTCTGCCCAATCCTGGCACCACGGTTCCCCAGTCCCTCAACAATCATATCCCGCCCTGAACCAGCCATACGGCGGTGCAAGCCAGACATACCAGAACACAACGCCATATACATACGGTCAATTCGGAAACAACACCAACCAGAATCAGAACCAAGGTCACCCTCCAAACCATACACAGACCCATGGCTCCGTTAACACCTATACACATCCACCATCCACCGTGGACCCTTCCCTTGGACTTGATCCCGTTTCTCTACGACAGCAACAGCGCTCTCCCTACCAGATTATAAGGAACTCCACTCCACAAGGTCAACCTGCAGTGACTCCTCAGATCCTGCAACAGACACAGCAACAGCAACAACAACAGCAACAACAACAGCAACAACAGGCACAATCTCAACCCCAACCACAATCTCAGCCTCAGCAGCAGCAGCAACAGAAACAACACCTCCAACCTCAACAACAACCAAATGTCGCCTCTCAGCCGCCTGCACGGACAACCGCCTCTCCTTTCCAAGTAAGTCACTCGCCCCTCTTGAATCAAGTTAAAAACCAAACTAATCATTCAAAGATACCCAAGTCAACGACTGAGATATTCGCCCAACGTGCAATGCCGACTTCTTTAGCTGTATTACCCCCTGCTAACCCAAACTTTGAAATACCAAAGGGTAAGGTGACGGGTGGTTACTATGTTATTGATCAAGCTGCCCTGGAAAGAGGCACTAAATCTAAATCCTTGCATAAATTCGTGAATATTGGTACCGAGCCCATTCATCTTGCTAGCAATAGAAGTAAGCCCACCGTGCCGCAACATAAGAATTTATTATTTACAGTGTCTGACCCGTTTGTAGCCGCTTTACCAGTGTATAACGCTCGCCAATCCATCAAGGATTTGAAGAAGGCGGGGCTGGCAAACAAGAAGATCTTAGATAAACTGGCGAAGAGACCTTCATCTTCAAAATTAAAATCTAGGATCCTCTTGTCAGGGAGGTCTGCCGCTGGTAGCCCCTCAGCCTTAAGGAGGGAAGAGGAGGAGGCAAGTGACAGTGAAAGTTACACCGAGTCGTCTGATGATAGCGATTACACATCGGATGAAGAGGATGAGCCTTCGCCACTGCCCTCTTCCCGTCCGGACGAGCCGCATGAGGCTGTTCGGTACGATGTGATCAAGGCATCGTGGCATCCCCGCCGGCCGCCCCCCGACACCGATAAGATCAAGGCAAGTCTACGGGATCTCTGGGAAGTACTCAATACAATACAGAAGCGATGGAGGACAGATAGCAAGGCCGTCACAGAAGCGGAAGAGCAGAAAAAAGTCGGCGACCTTCCCGTTCTCAAAAGCCGCGTGGCAAGTCAGAGAGATCTTTTGCAGACGGCCTTCAAGGCTTCGTTGGAGTTTTCGCACCCCGATGTTCTTTACCATCTTGGCCAGGTTCGACCTTTTGCGTACTTGTGCTACCAGTTTCTTGCGAATCGTTTCAAGGCACAGGATTTCGATGGGGGATTGTCGTCTGTCATCTACCAAATGCTGGCTCGCACCGCCGGCATGCTGACAAACGAACTGCTTGAAGACACCAAGTTGATCAAAGCCCTTAACTCCATGAAGAAGAATGTCAATGATGCAAATAAGGCACTGATCCAAAAAGTCATCGAGGGCGCGGCGGCCAATTCGAAGAAGCAGAAGGTGAGCCCGCCACCTGCTTCAGAGGCTGCCGATGCGAAGACTGCAAAGAAACCTCTCACCGCTGCGCCCGCTCGGCCGGGCGTAGACGCCAATGCAATCAAAAAGGCAAAGACATCAGATGTTGCAGCAAATGGCCTCAAGAAGACAGCCGTCCCTACATCGGCGTTAAAATCCGGTTCTGCGGCTACCAGCACGACTTTGAAGCGGCCTGCAGATAAAGCTGCTGCGGTTCCCGTGAAAGTGAAAGCAAATCCTGTCACCAACAAGACATCATCTACTTTCTTTTCGAGCCTTAACGCCACCAGCAAAAAACCTACTACAACACCTACCACAGGTCAAGCCAAACCGAACGCTGCACCAAAGCCTGCAGCACAGCCCGTGAAAGACAAGAAGCCCGCGCCTGCCGCCTCCAAGCCCGCGTTCTCTTTCGCGGAGACGATGGCCCAACTGCTCAAGCCCAAGGAGGAAACAACAACCCCCTCCAAACCCGAAAAACAACTTCCACCAGAGACCCCAGAGGAGAAGGCGAAGCGATTACGTAAAGAATCTCGCCGGCACCTACGAGTGACATTCCGACCGGACGCGAGCCTCGTGAACATTCGATATTTCCACCACGATCCAGAGGAGGAGCAGGGCCACGACGAAAACTTTGTGCGCGACGCCGGCGACATTGGTGGCGAAGGCCGCATGTTCAAGCAACATAGGGATATGGCGGAAGACGACGATGACGATGACGAGCCCGAGTTGGATTACCGTTCATGGGATGAGCCCACCACTGTCGATTTCAGCGTCGTTCCTTCTGACGAACGAGAGCGTAATTTCGCTCCCTATGGAGGTGGTACCAGACAGCCTCTGTCGCCTGAGAAGGAGGCCAACCAACGTAGAGAGCAAGTCACTCTCATGGAATTCTACAGTCGTCCGGACGACATTCCACCCACACCTAGAGAACCCTCTGATGATGCGCAAACTCAGAGTTCAACGACCATCCGGGAATTTGGTGCTCCCCCTCAGAACATACTTGACCGCGCACCTGCCCCAATGCCTGCCCTGCCCGATATAAGCAATCTCGAGAGTATCGTACGTCAATTGTCTGGCGGCCCACCTCCGCAGAGTCTCGCCCAGAATGCATATGTGCCACCACTTCAGCCAGTCCTTCCTGTCGCCCCTACACAGGCCCCAGCACCGGCTCCGGCCTCGGCACCGGCACCTCCAATTGATATCGGTGCCATCCTCAGCTCATTACAGGCTCAGCAGCCGCTTCCAGTCTCTGTCCCGCCAGCGCTTGCCCAAATTCCGGCGCCCCCGATGCCTCCTGTTCCCGGGTTTGATCTGGCAAGTATCATGTCTGCCATTCAAGGATCAGCAGGCGGAGGCTCTTTTCCACCTCTTCCGGCGGGCATACCGCAATTTGCCCAACTGTTCCAGCAGCAGCAGCCGCAGCAACCACCAGCTGGCACGGATTACCAACAACAGCCGCAACAGAACCACGCAAATGGGGGCGTGAAACGGCAACGCGATGATGGACATAATAGCTACAATAACGACCGGGGCTATGGCTCTTTCAAGAAGCAGAAGGGCGGCAAATACGGCGGTGACCGCCCAGCCTACAAAGTCATACCGTGTCGATTCTACAAGCAGGGAAACTGCACTAAAGGAGAGGATTGCACCTTTATCCACGATCGAAACTGAAGCGAACGATCTGAAAATAGTTCGTGTAGCTTCACAAAAGCGACCCGCCGTACACTGTCGGCTTGAAGCGACGCTTTGTACAAATACCACATTTCTTTACGAGGAGTTCATGATGCATTGTCGGCGCATTTCTACAATCAGCATTTGTTTTTTTAAGAGAGAAGTACTGCATCAAATGGATACCTTGCATTACCTTATAAGGAACAGCATCTGAACGGCGCAGGGATTGAAAGGGAAAGCCCACTAGTGATATATATGATACCCTCTCTTTGGAGAGCTTTTTACAAATCTATCATCGGGCTGGAGGAAAGACTCAATATAGTATTGACGGGAATTGTACATAGTAATATTTCATTTCCATGACCATTGCACAACCACTCCTATGCATTGATTTGACCATCTGCCTATGTGACATGAATTTCTTACTGAACTAAATAGGAGGCCATCATCCCTTTGTCGGCAACCCTTTGTTATGTTCTTATTGTACCATCATTAATCTTTGACTTTTCTTCCAGGATAGATTGCCCTCGTTTTCCCAACCACGGTATAATAGATAGTTACAGTTTCAATATTTGTCAGCCTCTGTACTAAATGGGCGTGAAGATGTATGTACCCAGTCACGTGCTTACTTTCCATAATGTAAACATTACGCCCAGTACGAGCGGTACTCTGGTCTGGCTTGCACGGAGATGTAGATGTCGATCAAATGATCTTCAAAGGCCGGATCCCTGTCTAGGTGTTTACGGGTAGTTGCTGCGCCGTAGGAGGTTTGACGAAGATCTAGTTACGTGGGTACCGAATATATGCTGAGACTGTTTGGGGTATATCCTCCATACCGCAATTGTATTTCAGAGTCGATCGCATACAGCACACGCCTTAATATTCATAATGATGTACATTAAGCGTCTGTGTTATTAATTGACATAGTGAGTTGTAATTGTATGGACCGATACACTCGGCTGGCATGTCTGGATGGGATGGATGGATACTCGTAGCAAAAGCTCTGATCATATCGTGGCGAGCGGCCGCGCGGGAAGGGCCAGCCAAGCTTCGACTCAACCGTCATTTTTCTCAGGCATCGAACATCATCTAAGATCCCCATCATACCACATCCCAACCTCCACATTCGCGGCCATCTCCTCCTCTCCGCCACGGTTGCTATAATCACATCCTCCGCATCCGCTCTCGTATCCGCCCTTTCGCTAGCCCTCCCTCGCTGCGTCTGCCTCCCCGCCTGAGCCATCGCCCTACCCACCCTTCTCTCTCCGGCCAAGCGATACCTACGTCCTCGCTCCCTCGCTCTCCTCCGGTCTCCCCGCCCTATCTGCAACTTCTCGTATTATCCAACATGGCCGCCCCAAGGAAAAACAGGAACATCGTACGACGACGAAGGCTGGACGACGAAAGCGACGACAGGTCGGTGGCGACTGAGGTGGCCGACGATTCGCAAAGCGACATCTCCGTTCCCAGCGACATCGATGAGGACGCCGACGCCGACAACAGCGACCTGAGCGATGCCGACACGTCTCCATCACTGACTACCGGAAAGACGAAACCAAAGACCAACGGAGCCGCTCGAGGGGCGAGCACTCGCACAGAGCCCTCGGCCCGCCGAGCTCCATCGCCGCCCATTGCTCATTCCGATGCCACCTTTACCGCCGTCAAGGATACCGAGATAATGATGAATGGTCTCAAACTGGCAGACAAGGCCTCAAGTGATGAAGTGGTGGACTTTGAGGCGGCGTCTCCGCCCGCTGGGGAGCGCCCTGCCTCAGCTGGAGTTGCTTCCAACCGGCCAGAAACATTCGCCGATCGCAAACGACGGGAACACGAGGAATACAAGAAGAAAAGGGATTCCGATCCCGCATTCATACCAAACCGAGGTGCTTTCTTCATGCATGACCAGCGGACTTCACATGGACAGAATGGATTCAGACAGTATGGGCCTCGAGGGGGTGCTCGTGGGATAAGGGGAGGAGCAGGTGGTCACATCGGAGGCCCATACTCGCCGGCGAAGTACGTATTGATTGATGCTTGTCATGTGCACATTCCGAACGTATGCTTACAATATGAACAGTCAAAGGGTGCAGACCTCGGAAGCTACAGAATCGCCGTGGAAGCATGACCTCCACGAAACGATCAATGACCCGACTTCTCATTCTCAGCAAAACCAAACAGCCCGCTCGAACGTCCCGAATGATTCCGCACCGAACGCTCCTTCATCCTTCACGAAACCATCGACGGCACCTACCCCTAAACCTCCGCAAGTACGCAACTTCTCCACCACCGTTCATACTCACAACGCACTGGTGCGTGTGTTCCTTCCTGGAATGAAAGCACCCATCCAGTTCCAGAATGTACCGATCAAGCAACATACACGCCTCCCAAACCACCGACCCCCACTTCGCCGCGACAAACCCGTACGCATCTCCCTCCCGCCCGCGGCTCCCAGATATATCTTCCCGACGGTCGATCGATCGTTCATCTTCATCCCACGTGCACTGAGACCCAATCAACAAGGCTTTGGACGGGGACGAGGCCGGGGATTCGGTTCTTTTGGTGGAGGATTCTCGAGCAGGCGGACAAGCGCGTATGGAGGCAGCGTGTACTCTCCAAGCGTTGCAATGAGCAGGAGATCATCCATGGCACGGGAAATGGGGAGAGACTCACTCGTCTCTCCCGCAGGGTCCATCATGTCTCGATCAGGTGGCTTCGTCGATCCATCACGCCCAGTGGTCCGTCTGCCCCCTGGTGGACCTAAGCATCCTGGACCTCCCGTCATTTCACCGCACATGGGCACTCCGAACAACATGGCGACCCAGCCGTATCCTCTTCCACAGAAACCTGCCTTCCGCGAAAACTGGGGCCAAGGTGCTCTTCCCATGCATCAGCCTCGGCCTCAGAAGACTGTATCTGTTGCTGGAATCGAATCGCCGGTCTCTATGAACTTCAACCCTCCCCAGCAACAAGAGCAACAGCCTTTCCATCAGCAAGTCCCTGCCCACGTCAACGGAAACGCCCCCGCCGAGCAGCAAACATATTACCCCCATGCTCGCCAGCTTTCCTACCCCAGCCAGGCATCGACTGGAACTCCTCTATCGAACATTCCGGAGAGGGCCATACATGCTCCAGCTTTCCAGCCATTCCAACAAGCTGGCTACCAGCCGCAAGGTTACGCTGTGCAACCAAACTACTACTACCCTCAGGCCGCTTCTCAACAGTTTGTACCACCTGGTGGCATGGTCCCTATGTTCGTACCCAACCCTCAACAGGGTTATGCCATGCCTATGGCAGCAGGTCCGCCGGCCCCTGCCGCCAACGCGCCTCCTACTGGACCTTCTATGGTTCCCTACGAGTCCAACGGCATGACCTACTACATCGACCCTTCACAGATGTATAACACTGCGCCTCCTCCTATGGAGGGTTACCCTCAACCCAGCTATGCTGTGCCTGGCATGGGTGGGATGATGACTCCTAGTCCAGAAGGGGCACAATACTATTACCCACAACAAATGCAGCCTACAGGGGCAGTCTACTATCCTCCCCAGTAGGCTTGAAGGACTTCGTTTACTCCTGATTCACCTTCGTCTTCCCGGTTTGTATCTTTTTCCACGAGTCCGTTTTTCGGACGTGTTCTTCTTCTACGAGTGGCTCCTTTGAAGTTTCTTTCTCAAAATGCGGAGTTTTTGGAGCGAGCGGGACCGGCATGATTCATTCACTGCGTCGCAGACGATCGCCATTCAATAAAACATTTAATCCAAGAGTCGGTACCGGTACCCTACATCAGTTCTTTCATCATGTCTTCCAGGCTCATTTTCATTTTCCCACGGTCTCCTTTCGGGCCGCATCTTTTACGTACGATTGCGAGTGCATAGCGTCGGACGCTACTTCACCTCACTGGCACCCACCACCATTACCTGTTTCTAATGAAAACCCCTCTTGTTTTGGCTATTCTGATTCCCCTCCATTGTGTGTTATAGGTCTTGTGTGTTGCGTTCAGTGTGGCTTGGTATGGAATTCTCTGCTTCTTCAATTGATTGTATCACGAAGACCCCACTCTTCCCAAAACTCATGAACTACTGCGGCATCGGGTTTGGGCAGGGCAGGGTAGGACAGGATAGGGAAGGAAGGCGTGCATGGTTTGAACGTTGTGGAGACGGCGGACTGTAAGGCTACTCGACACATTCCCGTAGTTTTAAAAAGAAGTCAGCCTTGGTCTGCGGGCCAGGGTAGTTGTGATGGATGAACTACATCTTTTGACATGCTGCGTGATTCATACCATATCTCGTTCACTGTTGCTATCGTCATTCACATCACGGATGTCACAGAATGAATTTCAATGAGGTCACTCTCGGTCTGCCGAACGCAATCTGATAACACGAGAGAAACAACAATTTATTTCGCAAAACTATATGGAAAAGCTAGCTAAGATCATTATCATTATTCATAAAACCACAAAAACAGCACATCCATCGTAAGATGTAGACTTTCCGGGACAGAAAATCCACGACGTATTCAATTTGAACCAAGCTTTCACAAGCAGGAGAAGGAGAGTTTGAAGAGGAAAAAGGAAAGAAGAAAGAGAAGGAGAACAGTAAGGGAAAGGAATGAGTGTCGGGCAGTCTTTCCAGACCAAACGTAGATTGCAAACGGATAACGACGAAAGAAGGAACGAACGAAAGGTTGAACAAGGCACTTTACCCAAGGCATGCCCCTCAGACCTCACTCGAGCAGCAAGAATCGTCATCGACGTCCCGTCCGGCGGCCGAGCGCGCCTCAGGTGCGATGCCCCTAGCCGCCTTCAGCGCCTCGAGCGGCACCGCATCGACAGCCCACACCATAACCCTCCCGTACCGCTCGAAGCACTCGTCCGCGTACATCTGCAGCACCCACCTGTCCTCTGCGCTGACGTGCCGCCACCTCCTGATGTCGCCCTTGCCCGCGCTGTCGTTGACCGACTCGCAGACCCGGTCCGACGTGAAGATGTGCGAGACGGGCTCCGCGAGCAGCAATTGGAACGTCGCGTGCGGGTTGGGGAGCACGCGGAAGGGGGGCGGGGCGGCGATGGGGCCGCCGAAGGGGGGCAGCGCGAGGGGCGTGTAGGTTAGCGTTTCGCGGTCCTTGGTGAATTCCTTCATGTCCATGAAGGTGCGCAGGGGTGCTGGGACGACGGCGGGTTCGGCGGTGGTGGTGGAGGCGACTGCGGTGGTGTTGTCGGAGGAGGTGGGGGTGTCGGCGCCGGGGAAGGACTGTGTCAGGCGGTGTTTGTCGTCTGCGAAGATCTCCTTCATGCGGTCGACGAGTTGTTGGGGCCGCATGGCGTCGAAGCTCTTCTTGAAGGCTTCGAAGTGCTTCGTCTCGTCGTCGAGGAGGCTGTCGAATTCTTCCTTGGGGTCCGTGAGGGCAGGCCGGGCGAGGTTGAGGGTCGTATATGGGTTTTTCACGCCGACGCCGCCGAAGGCGAAGGGGAGGTAGATTAGGGGTTCGATGGGGAGTGGGTCGTTGGGGGATTTGGGGAGGTGCTTTTGGAGGAGTTGTGTGACGTATGTGTTGAGGTTGCTGGAATCGAAAATGATTCTGTTCAAGGGGGAGTCACTGTTAGCTGGAGTTTCTTCTGATATTGGGTTTTTGAAGCTGAGGGGATGGGAACTTGGGGGGGAGGAAAACATACTCATGAATGCGGTTGTACGATTTCGTGACAAGATCCACGTGCTCACGGCCGAATATGTTGGCTAGAGGCCCAAAGAGGTGCTTTGCGTAGGTTCCTACTGTAAGGTTCCAAGTGCGGACCCAGTCGATCACGGTGGTGCAGGTCGACAGCTGCTTCTTGACGCGGCGGGCGTAGGCGTCGGTTTTCTCGTCATCAAGTCCATACGAAACCTTGCCATCCACTACCTTGAAGACAACATGTCCGAGGGTGGACTTCGCCATCGTTCCATACTCGCAGTTAAGACCAAAAGCATCGGTAAAGGTCTTGAAGATTTCTGCAACAGTGTCACAATGCTCCTTCTTCCCAACGAAGTAACATTGGTCCCTGAGACGATAGAGGAAGTTATTTGTCTTCTTTCTGACGGCGAAATCGAGGACGAAGAGGATCAGCTCAGTGAAGAATTGCTCCCAACCGTGAGCAATGGGGACGCCGCAAGTCCGCGTTACGACTTTATCGGAGCTACCCCTCACGATGGGACCCATGTTCAATGGAGCACGCAGGAATCGTTTGAAAACCTCGAGCCATTGCTCGGGCATGCCAATGTACTTGAGAACGGTCAAGATGGTGTCGTGAGGGAGTGACGAGGCAAAAGATGTGAAGTTGGCAGTGAAGCCATGGACTTCGCCATCGAAGCGCTCACGGAGTTTACTCTCTACGGCAAGGTTTTTGATGAGCTCTGCCTGGGTCGCGTTCACATCTTTAGACTTATATGCGGATGCGAAGTCGGTTGGGAGGCGGGAAAGGAAGAATTCACGCATGTATATCTGCGAGCGTTCGCCGCTGACAGTCCAACGGTAGACGGGACCGCCGCGCCTTCCCTTCTTTGCAACCCTTCTTCGAGGAGCGGGTGGATAGATTATGGGGAATGGTTCACCAGGGGGCGGAGGGGGAGGTGGCATTACGTGTCCGGGAAGCACATGTGGCATCGGTGGGGGCATTGGTGGAGGCATCGGCGGAGGGAAAGGAGGCGGACCATGGCAAACGGTACAGACGGAAGCTCTCGGCAAAGGCTGCCTCATAGGACGACCGATTGGGAAGGGGTGCAGATAGTAGTCCTTTCTATCGTACTCTGCCGGGCTGGTAGCTGCGGTATTTGGCCATACATTGGGATGTTCGACCAGGTCTTCGAGGTAGGTCCTGAGTTTGGCGGAGAATCCAATGGCGAGAGTGTGGTGAAACAAAGTATCTGTAAGATCCTCTTCCACCGTGATGCAGTACTTGCCATCTTCGTTCTGACGTGCAACAACCGGCAGGCCGTTTTCCTTTCGCCAGTTCCAATGGCGGATGGTCTTCATGTTCAGCGTGCTCTTGATTTCACGAATAGCCGCCGGCGATTGCAGGTATCCCTCCAACGTCTTTCTCTTGTCGTCGCTGAGCAGCCCGTTGGATAGGAGGTCACGAATGCACCATTCAAGCTCCTCGTCGGCCAATTCTATGCTGCCATCCATGACATCAGTAGCATAAAACTTGATGTCGTCCCGAAGCCGGTCCAAGGCCACCTGTGAGTTATCGTCACCGAAAGCCTCATCCAGGTACTTCTCAATACCCTCTGTATTGACGGGCTTGGAAGCGAACGCGTTTTTCTCAAAAGTCTCAAATACGTTCTCTAATTCACCTTCAACGAGTTCGAATCCGTCTTCGAGCTCCATTTGCTCAAGCGTAGGGGCGAGATCGGCCGCGGCTTCCTTCTTGTTCAGAAACTCCTTCAGGAGCCCTACTTGGAAGACCGCTACCTCCAATCGATTTCCGTGCATGTTCAGCTTCTCGAGCAATTGCTTCTCGAATCGGCCAAGTTTTGCATCCGAAATCGAACTGTCATTCTTCGCCTGCTCGAGATATCGAGATATCGCCTGGAAGTCGTCCTCATCTTCGAGATAAGGATCGAGCCTCTTCATCTCCTCGAGGAGTGCGGTAACTTTCTTCAGTGCATCGTCGCCAGCCTGAATTATGCTCTGGTTGGCATTATAGCGATTTGTGAAGTCGTCTCTCGCATTATACAACTCTGTGATTTTGAGATCCGCTGCCTCCTTCAAAAAAGGGGACACGGATGGAGTACGGGCCGAAGCCATATGAAAAGAATGAGCCAGGAAAGCTTTTGGAGTCTGACGCCGGGGAAGCAGGACAGACGGCTAAGTTTTTATGTCAGTCCAGAGGGACCAAAAGCAATAGCAACCCTTCACGAAGGGCGGGCTTCTGCCTGCCTTGGAAGAACATGGGGAGCAGAATGGTCGTACTACCAGGACATGGGGGCCGAGACAAAAAGGTGATTGGAATATAGAAGGACATATTGATTGGAGTGTGCATGCGACTTGCATGAGGGCGCAGTTCACTCGGTTTGACGTTATCAGACGGATGGCTCCAGGCAGAACGATGCAACCAATCAGACACACTACAGGGCGCCTGGCGCATCTCTCACCCCGCCCGAGCTTCACCGGTTTTGTCGCATTCCTTTCAGCCTTTGGCTTCAGCTTCGGCAGAAGAGGATGTTGAGAGAGTTTGTTCGTCCTCTTGGGCAGCCTGGTCCATACGCTGCTGCACGGTTGCCTACTTCAATGATGACAACAGCTGCTTGAGAGTGATTTGGGCAACATACATAGCAAAATAGCGGGAGAGGCACGGTATTCTTATAGAAACATGAATGAGGCTTCTATAGCCTAACTTCTTCAATCCAGACTAATGTCCAGAGTGCGGTTGCACCACATAGGATATCGAATAGGCCGTGAAGCTCAACGTCAGAAAGATACGTGGTCGAACTCGACTGAACGGAGGACGCGGCCTGATGTAATGTCTCAACATTATTTGCAGGTTCCGTACCCCATGCATGTCCTCTACTGCGGGCCCAGGAAATTGTCCTTCGACGATGGAAATGTCGATCAGGCTGGCAGACGAAGGGTGTCAGGAGCTAGACTATATCCGGTATTCTAGACTGTAGAACCCTATTAGATATACCGAATCAACGTTATCGCGGGTGTACTGTAACCGAATGGTAGGGTCTTGGAGGACTATAGCTGCTCTATTGGAATTCCGGATTTGTCTTCAATAGACTCGGTTCAAATTGGGCGTAGAAATGGTCAGGTTAGGTCAGGTCAGGTCCACCCGAGTCAGCACTGAGGGCTACAAGGCTGGGAAAAATACTACAAGGCTGTGAATTTATCAAGATTGAATGCTACTGAACGACTGCAAGCGGTTACAGCATCATTGATTAGGAAACAACCCATAATATAGCGTACATGTGACACGATATCTCTGCAAGGCACTTAGATCTGGACGGCGACACGGTTGGTCTGGTACTTCTTCGTGCTGGGGAGCAGAATGCAGCAGACAATCGCCATCGAACCAAAAGCAATACTCGTGAACCAGACGTACTTCAAACTCTGGCTGTACGCCCACTGGACGCCCTTTGACGCCCCTTGTATTACTGCGGGTGTGACGCCCTCCACGGTGCCGACTTCCTCCGGCGCGGTCAAGAAGAGAGTGACGAACTTCTCCGCTGAGGTAGCAGGGAGGCCGGCCTTCATTGCGTATTCGATGACGTATGATGGAAGCTGTTGCTCGAGCTTGGTAGCGAAAATGTTGTAATAGACGGAGTATCCGATCGATCCACCAACGGTTCGAATCGAGAGGGAGAGGGCGGCGGCGGTGGTGATGACGGCGTCGGGGGCGACGATCATAGCTATTGTAGCTGCTGGCACAAGAACTCCACCGATACCAAAAGATGCAAGAGCACCAAGGGCAACTGTCAACTTTGGGTTTTCAGGAGTGCTACAGGCGAGAGAGCCACCGAAAGCAGTCATGAAGAAAAGCGCAACGAGGAGGATTTCTCGACTGCGCCCTGGGAAGGTAGAGAGGGCAGCATTGAATCCGATAGCTCCGAATGTCGTTGTAAATGCTGGAGGAAGTCCTGTACAAAGTGTTACTATTTCATGATCTTCTCCATTTGCTCATCTGAATTTACCTTTAAGTCCGATCTGCACTGGAATGGGATCGTAAACGTTGGTGAACGTAATTGGGAAGAAATTCAAAATACTGTTGTAATATGTTAGTGTGTAATTTGCAATATTGCAAAACACAGATACAAACCTGAAGAAATTCATTCCAGCAGCGAAGGCAATAACATATGCTAGCCCTACAATACGCTGGCCGCGGAAAAGCTCATGGGGAATCATAGGATGTTTGGCGAATTTCCATTGATGAACGATCCATGCCCCGATGAGCAGAAGTCCGATAATAAGAGTGCATAGCACATAGGCGCTGCTCCATGGGTGCGTGTAACCACCGGATTGAAGGGCAACCAAGCTTCAGAGCATCAGAATATGTCTATAAGGGTGAAAGCATTGCAACGTACAAGAGAGTCAATCCAGTGATTGACAGAACTCCTCCCAGGTAGTCGATCTTCTTGAGAATAGCCTTACGGGAGAATCCTTCGCCACGTGGGTGTGCCTTTGGAAAGTAAGTGCATAGTAGCCCCAATCCGATGATAACATTGTAAATACTACATAGTGTTAGTGCACCGTAGCCTGAAAAAGTCGCCGTCATATCTTACAATGCTACCCAGGGGCCCCAACGCCAACCAGGTCCAGAATTTGTGTGCGCTGAATTCATCAGTATATTTGCATGCTTTGGAATGGAGCCGCTATGTAGCCGATTTCCACTTACACCAAAGCTCAACATACCTGTCAATGATTAGCGTCTTCGTCGTCACAGATTAGAAGGCCGTGGGGGAACTCACATGAGATACGGGCAGAAAGGAAGGACGAAGGCTGTCACAAGTGCTAAAGAGTACCCACGATACTTGACGGGCACAACTTCTGCGAGTCTAAAATCTCCAAATCAGCATCGAAGCAGTAAGCAAGCAACGGGAAAGTTTACCCAGCAAGACCGGTCAATTCTCCTATGGCAGCGCCAACTCCAGATATAGCCATTCCTGCAAGTGCCTGAGCAAAGGAATGCGTGGTGGCCATCAATACGCAGCCGATACAGATGCACAATGAGCCGAACAGTGCTGGGATTCTGCTTGAATGTTAACAGAATGATCAGGAACGAATGACCTGAGGATAGACATAATTTTTCCCATAGATATCTTGCAAATATCCTGCATATGGACAAACGGCGGCGATAGCAAGGATATTTGCTGTTGGGAGCCATGCGGAGCCTCTAGAGAGGCCGAGGTCCTCTGCGATGAAGCCCAGGGAGCCACCGGTGAAGTACAAAATGACTTGAGACCCTACACACATCATTAGTGAAAAATCATTATTAATTTTATTAATGCACTTGAAGCAATGCAGAAGGAATATTTAAAGACAGGTAAATAGCTATTGGAGTGTGTCATGGTCAGGCGTGGGTGGGCAAACTGCTCGCAACATACCTGTGTAAAGACCAGCGAGGAAGATCGCAGCAAGAATACTACGAAGGTTCCATGTAACCTTTCCGTCACTGTCATCCCCCAAAAAAGCATTGTGATTGTCTACATCGATACCCTCCAGCGTCCGTTGCTGTTCAAGGTTCAACGAGGCCTCTGTTGGCGATTGGTTTGCGTTCTCAATGAAGACGGGCTTCTCAACGTCCCCAATCTTCTTCTCATGAGCGAAGTCATTACTTTCGACAGTCATGATGAAGTGTGTGGAAGAAGTCGAACAATGGAGTAGAGGAGGGAGTGAAGGACAAGAGGAGGAGGAGTGAGTGGACACAAAATAAAGCGAAGATCTCTGTCCTGATGTAGGGACATCATTTCTATAACAAGCATGTACCATTCCATTCACTCCCCCACTATCTGTAACTCGTCCTCCTGATGATCTAGAATCGTAGGCCCGTGTTGGATGCTACTTCAGCCACCATATGAGCGAAGTGGAGCCGCTTGCCTGGAATAGACGACAATCCGGGGTAGGAAGTGATAGCGCCAATGTGGAGAAATGCGGGGGAATTGAATTGGACGGGGGCTTCATTGTGTCGACGCGTGGTGGAAATTGATACAAGTTGGTGGCGATTAAAGGTATGCTGACTCGACTCGACGATCATTCGCTCTTTTGATTGGTCTTGACCTTGTTTTTTGCACCCCACGACCACTTCATACCCTCGGATCCACATACAGAGTTATCTTCATTCTGTAAAGCCACTGCTTGAGTTGCTTGGGCGCTATCAAGGAGAATTACCAGGCATTGCCTTATCCCAGACTATTGTAGCCAGTCTAGAAGCGGCAATTGAAGCCACCGGTTTGCGCGGGGACAATTGATACCTGGTAAACACTTCCGAGTACCTTGTCGTCGGAATCGTAGTCGAAACCATGCGGTAATTTCATTCCAAGAAAGACAATTGAAGGCCTCCCTGCATATCTGAATATGCACATGATAATTACACGGCATCGGAGCAAACAACTATAAAGTTATCCTATCCTGATCTGGACGCCTCTGCCTTTGAAACGAGCATGCCAATTTCTACCCATCAATTCGTGAATGATATGCAATCAGCTCTTTCACGAAGCGAATATCTCCTCAGGATCCTGAGATTGCGCATGGGAACTACTGTGGCCCAGCGCCTTGTATCCACTACAACCAACCAACGACATACACAGCTGAACTAGCCCAGGTGACAAGAAGCCATCCTGCGACACTCATAACAAGCCTACGCCCTAGAGAGAGACTTGTATCCACAAGTCCCGCCGCTACGGGACTTCGCGGTAATTTTCGGCCTCCGTCCCGCACTTGCTAAAATGGTCTGGAGCTTGTTTTGATGTGAGTCTGCTTTTTCTGACACAATCTCCAGCAACAGCAGTTTAAGTATGTTGCTCTATGTTTACGGGCGTAAAGGCAAAAGTGGGCGAGCAGTGTAGAAGAGGAGCTTTGTACCAGAGACTTTTGAAGACAGGTCAATCTTCTGAAGCGGGCGGGCAACACTTACAAAATACATTCCTGGGTAGAGTAAGTGAATGTTTGACCTCGGAGAAATTCACTGCGTAAACCCACTGATTCAGACCCATCTACACGTATGGTATGAGTACGGAATGGCCAAGCGTACTTCCCTGGCTTGTGGCGAGTGTCTGGGCCATGAAGACCATCAGAGAAACTAAGATCTGTCATTCCGAAGCATCGTGCGTCGGCAGCGAATCTTAAGCCGTCTAATTTTTTTGATGTGTCGTACTAGGGATTATAGATGCCGAGAGAAGCACCTAGTGCCCAATTGCTGTCTTGTCAATGATCTGAAGGGTACAGACAACTGCTGTCTTCTCAATGATCTGAAGGGTACAGAGAGAGGCAAGTTGGTTGAATGTCTAATAACATTTCGTGCATGCAAGTGTAGATTCACAAGGCCAAGAGACTGTTTTTAACTGACTATAGCATTCCATACAATGTGAGTTCAAATACTGATATATTCCTTCAACTAACTACACTACAATCTTAGATAAATGTAGTAAACTAGATGCAACGTGCTGAACTGGCTACAACATACTTAAGGACTGCTAATCAACTACTCTTAAGCTGGTTAAGCTGGTTACAATACGCTCTAGAAATAGATTTCTAGCTAGGCAATACAAATGCAAGGTCACAGAGAAGGAGAGGACAATGATAATAATAGTACTAAAGACTACTGTTGAAAGAGCTACAATACACTCTGAGATTGCCCGTTGTAGGCAATACAATACCAACAGGGAGCCAGCCAGATGTGACTGTCCTCTGTCTAAGTATTGGTGTTCTTCCGAGCATTAGTGTTCTTCCAGATGTTGATGTTCTTCCGAATATTAGTGTTCTTCCGAGCATTGCTGTTCTTCCGAGTATCGGTGTTCTTCCAAATGTTGGCCTCATCAGTTTATCTTCCTCGGCTTCCTCGTCCCCCTTGCTATTGTCTTGTGATAACTCTTCACATGCGTTATGATCTTCTTCTTCCTCCTGTTTGTAGCCATGGTTCCGCCTTGCTTTCGTCTGCGCCTTCTTCATATTGGCCAGGTTCATGGCCTTTGCTTTGGCGTTGTCAAATCGCAGGAATTGCCGATAGAATTTTGCGTATGTGACTAGCACGAATATGGGCTTTTGTAGCTTCTGTGCCAACTTTTCCCCGATCCACTCATTGAATTTGACTGCTTTTGTTGGCGCAACCGCAGTCTTGTCGTCTACATTGGATTGACTGGTCATCTGGTACCAGTCAAGGGAGCCCAACATGGCGAAATTGATGAGCGCCTCTTTCCAGCCTCCGATCGCAGCATTCGGGATCACGATGAAGCTATATCCCGAGACAGGATTTTCGATCTCGAGCTCGATGATCTCATCCACTGCGACGAGATCTGCTATGTCAGCCAACTCTTCTTCGGCGTCAGGCCCAGATGCTGACACCCGAATTTGGAAAACACGTATAGCAGCAACGAGCCCTACGTATGTCTTCCCCAATCCAACCTCATCCCCAAGCATCGTCGATGAGATCGGCGACAACATGTACATGATCATTGCAGTAGCAGCAACCACTTGGTGTGGCTCAAGAATGATCTCGTGATCGGGGTTCTTCTCCGACATGCTTGCCAGGGAGAGGGTACTCGAGTCAACGCCTACCAACCTGGAGGCGTCTTCGAAGTCTGGCAGAGTCGCAGACGTACTATTCATCTTTCGCGTAAAACGACAGAATTCGTCCACGTTCTCTGTCTCAGATTGGGTTATAGCGGCGCGCGCAAGGTCTATACCCGCCGTTGCGTCGGCAATGCTCTGCTCCTTAATGGAGAATCGTGGTGGAGGGATTTCAAAGGGATCCATGCCGGCAGGGTGGAGTAGGCGACCACCAAGTTTCATTCTCGTGAATATCTGATCGAGGAGTTCCATGGTAAAATCCTCCGTGATTTGGGGTAACATATCCTTTGAGTGCTTGCTGAATCCATTAATGGATTCCTCAAGCTCCTTTAAGGATTTTTCGGCAACATCTTGCGCAAGAGGAAAGCCCGAGGGCGTCATACTCATTTGTTGAGTCAGAAGACTATGTAGACGATGCATATGCGTTGACATCTGATTCTGCTCGTCCGCAGCTTCTAGCTCCTTTGTGTTGAACTTTGTGTAGTCAGAAGGTTGAAGGTATCGTGGGCGGATGGACTTGGTATCGTGCCCGCCCTGGCGCTTCTTCTTTGCTTCCTCCTCTTCATCCACCTCTTCTCCATCTTCTGCATCTCTCCCCTTCCTCTGTACCTTATGTAACATGTGGCGTGCCGCTTCCATCAACCTGTGCCAGTTCTCCGGATGTGCTTTCATCAAAGCACCATTCGCTTCTACTTTTCGAGATTGTGATCTTGTGAAGGTTCAGTTCGCGGGTCCCGAGCTTGAACTGGCGCTGTAATTCGCGGGCGTAGGGTACAAGACCGGTACAGGTATTAGACGGGTCTTCCGCCATAGCTGTTGTTGGAGATATGATTAGAGCAATAAGGCGGAGAATTATGAAAAGGTAGGTGACAGTCTGAATAAGCTTTATGAAGGTGGAGTAAGGTTAATAAAGGAAAAATAGAAGGTTAAGGTGAGAGACGGCGTATATATACTCTTGTTTTAAACCGCCTTCACCTGGGCGCGATCACGTGAGACATGGACGAGATTTTCGTCAATATCTTCTTCCCTAACCCATGTATTGCACTCGGGAGGTAGTTATAAACACATGCAGAGGGCATGCGCGTTGGGTAAGCTGACTACTAACTTCACGTACCTTCTTTGCCTAGAGTAACTATCTCCCAGTGTATTGTAGCTAATTGACTATCAAAAGGCCTTGCGAATATATTTGTAAACATATAGTTGTAGGTTGTAGATGCATATATCTCTTATACTTAATTTCATTTATGTGAAGATGTAGTGTAGCCAGTAAACAGTAGTAAGGTCTTATAAATACACTTATAAACTTATAGTAGCTGTAGGCCATAAACCTATCTTTCTTTAATATTTAGACTAAGATTCTAAGAGTGTGTTGTAGCTAGTCGACAGCATCAAGACTTTGCAAAAGTAACAGTGGATGCTGTAGTAGACACAAAAATCACTTAAGGGAACAGCCTGGCAAGTCAGCACTCTGTAGTGACAATTAGCGCACCATGATGAAGTTTATTTCTTTGCGAACTCTTCCTCTGCAATCATGGCCTCTACGTCCTTTTCTATGAGCCAGTTCCTGACACTTTCCATGACTTTTTCGAGGGTCTGGCCACCCTGGATAACATCGTCTAGATCATGCACTGTTGTGCCACTCCGATGATCCGTGACCCGCTGCTGACCCCAATTGTATGTCCTAATCTTATCGCCTCGTCCCATTTTCGCCACACCAACGACGCTTCTCCTCATGGCAACGATCTCGTCCTCCCTTTTCTCTCGTCTGGCTTGGGCTAGACGCGACCGGAGCAGCTGCCATGCCTTGTCCTTGTTCTTGGACTGCGATCTCGAGTCCTGTATGGAGACCACGGTGTTTGTCGGTAAGTGCGTTAGCCGAACGGCAGACTCAGTCTTATTGACATGCTGCCCGCCAGCGCCACCGGCCCTCATCACCTCCACCCTGACCTCTTTGAGGTCGACGTAATAGTCACTTTCTGGGTCTTCAAAATCTGCCTCCCCAAGACTATTTTCTTGCAAACTAGGCAATACCAGCACGGAGGCCGCAGAGGTATGTGTTCTGCCTTTTGTCTCTGTCACTGGCACGCGCTGTACTCGGTGAACACCTGCCTCGCACCTGAACAGACCGTATGCGTTTTCCGACTCGACTTCGATAACGGCTTCGGACAGCGGCAATCCAGCCTCAGAAGTGCCATTGACATTCTCGTACTTCAGAAAAGTCGTCCGAATATTGTTGCGGTTGCAGAACGATTCGTACATTCGAACTAGATCTCCCGCGAAGATGGCAGCTTCTGACCCGCCTGCGCCAGGCCGTATTTCGAGTAGACATGGGAGGTGTGCGAACGGATGAATAGGTACAAGTGAGGTCGTCAGGCTCTTTGCAGCCTCCGCAAGTGCTGTTCGTGAGGAGCCAAGATCGTCAGCGGCCAGGTCGCGGAGTTCTGCGTCGGTCGTGGGGTCGTGAATCAGAGAGACCAGCTCGGTCACAGACTATCTGTGTCAGTCGAATATTGGTAAGAGGACTGGACTCTCAAGGAGTAAATACCTCGTTTGCTTTGTCCCATGTTTGTAAAGCATTGACAATTGCTGATTGCTGACCGAGTTTCTTTGCTGCGCGAGCGTCGAAGCCATTGGCAAGCTTTTCGGTCAATTCCTTCTGTTCCGAGGCAATCGTACGAGCTCTTGCCAGCAATGCTGGAGAAATCGACTCTGATGTTGAAGCTGTTGGATCATGAGCCCACTTCGCATTGGCTTAATTACGTCACACTTCACTCACTCGTAGATTGGAAGCGAGCCAGCCGCCGAAGCGGAGACCTCGAAATTCGGGTAAGACAGCTACGGCATATCCATGGCGCAACTTTCATGGTTGTTCAGTCTGACACTGGGGTTCAAACGATACAAAAGAAAATCGAGGACTTTGGGACGCGCGACGTTCTCGGGCCGACATCTTGGCAAATCGCATCTTCACGTGATGGACCCTCACTCTCTAATTGAACATATTCCCAAGTACCCTTTGATGTTATATGTAGTCATTTACCTCAAGTTTGATATCAAAATGTACTCAACATTTAACGGTAGAGGCGCTGACATCCAGGACTACATTTTACCCCATCACCTGGATATCTTCCTTCTGCCCGGCCAATTCTAACGAAACCACCACTCTATTACATAAATAGACGATCATGGTACGCCTACAACCAATCCAAATGACGCTATTTTGGAGGCGAACTCCGCAGCGGGAAACGGGAAAGGCACTTCTATATTATTGGACCTGTCAACTTGGGCAAACCGCGCGACGTTGCAAATCAATTTCCCCGCCAGTATCCGTTCATGTCCACAATATCCAATTTGCCTTTGAATAATAAGTCTTATCCGCTTTCTTATCTGTTGTTATCCGACACGAGGTTGCCGTGTTCGCCGTATTCGGAGCTTTGATTATATCGTAGCATCATTACCAGTTCCTACCTAGGTAAGTACCTAGGTATCACTACATGCCGACGTGACTCAATTACCTGATAAATCACTGGACGTTTGTTGATATTTTATATTTTGCCATCTGTTCTCTTCATACAATCACAGTTACACCCGTTTCCTTCTCAGATACAGCTATTAACAAATTGAAAAGCATCAGTGTCACGACTTCAAGAACCCCGCATTATTGACGCTGGTTAACTCTCCCCCACCAACAACTCCACGAGCTTCCCCATAGCATTACCTAATTGATCATGGCACCCAACGTCTACCCACATCCTGAACCTCAATTCATACATTTCCCCAGTCGGCGTTCCGTCGTGCACAGTACGAAGGCAGTCGTCTCTTCGACACAACCACTTGCCACGGCTGCTGGGTTGGACATTCTGAGGAAGGGTGGAAACGCTGCGGTATGGTTATTGCCGATTGTCATTGAGACGAAGCAAAGCATTGACTAATGAACTACACAGGACGCCGCTGTAGCCGTCGCTGCAGCCATCAATGTCACAGAACCTGGATCAACCGGCATCGGCGGCGATCTATTCTGTCTATTCTATGAGGCCAAGACGAAGAAAGTGCATGCTCTCAATGGATCAGGTCGTTCGGGACAGAATGTCACGCTCGAGCAGATCCGCAAAGATTTGAAGATCCCAGACGGACAGACTGGGCAGATCCCAATGGACAGTGTCCATGCTGTTACTGTTCCAGGAGCAGCGGCAGGGTGGGTCGATGTGGTCGAGAGGTTCGGCAGCGGAAAGGTATCTCTGGAGGAGGTCCTAACGCCTGCTATTGAACTTGCGGAGAAGGGTTTTGCTGTTTCTGAACTTTCTGCCACATTCGTAAGCCTTCCTAAAACTCACCTATTTCGATTCGATCATTGTAGCTAACTTCATTTTCAGTGGGCACACAGCGAGTCTGCAATCCGAAAGGCCTCGCCAAACGGCGCCGAAATGCTCAAGAAAGATACCTCAGCACCAGGTGGTGCAAGGGCACCCAAAGCAGGTGAAATTATGAAGAACCCAACCATAGGCAACACTTTCAGACTTCTGGCCAAGCATGGCAAAAAGGGGTTCTATGAGGGTGAAGTCGCTGAACAGCTCATCAAAGTCGTCACCGACCTTGGAGGCCACCTCACGCTCGACGACCTCAAGCATCACGCCGAAACAGGCTCTGAGCCAGTCGACGCCATATCGCTGAAATACACCGGCCAAGGCGTCGGCGACAACACCGAAGGCCACGGCATCCAACTCTGGGAGCACCCGCCCAACGGCCAAGGCATCGTCGCTCTCATGGCCCTCGGCATAATCCAAGAGCTCGAAAAGCAAGGCAAGATCCCCAAATGGTCCCTTTCAGACCACAACAGCACCACGCACCTACACGCCGTCATCGAAGCCCTCCGCATCGCCTTCGCCGACGCCCACTGGTTCGTCACAGACCCCAACGTCGTGAAAGTCCCCTCCGCAGACCTGATATCGCAACCCTACCTCGCGGACCGCGCGAAGCTTTTCGACGCATCCAAAGCCGCCTCGGCGCCCATCCACGGCTCCCCCGCCCACCTCCAGAGCGACACCGTATACTTCTGCGCCTCGGACCCAGACGGCAACGCCATCTCCTTCATCAACAGCAACTACGGGGGGTTCGGCACCGCAATCATCCCCAAGGGCTGCGGCTTCACGCTGCAGAACCGCGGCGCGAACTTCAGCCTCGCACAGTCCGGTCACCCTAACGTTCTCGCCCCGCGGAAGAGGCCGTACCACACTATCATCCCGGGCCTCATCACCTACGCGAAGGACCAGAGTCTGCACAGCGTGTACGGCGTAATGGGTGGCTTCATGCAGCCCCAGGGCCACGTGCAGGTCCTACTCAACCAGGAGGTCTTCAAGTTGAATCCCCAGGCCGCGCTCGACGCTCCGCGGATCTGTATCGGAGCCGGCATGCCCAGTGACGATGGGACGATGACGGACGCGACAATCTATGTTGAGGAAGGCATTGATTCAAAGGTCGTGGAGGAGTTGAGGGCGCTGGGACACAATGTCGAGCAGCTCAGTGGGTATGCGAGGGGCATGTTCGGGAGGGGCCAGATTATCAGGCAGCATTTTGATGATGGGGTCATGGTTTGGAGCGGCGGAAGTGATCTGAGAGGCGATGGTGCTGCTGTGCCACTATAATCGTCCCTGAGAGAGCTATAAATCCGGACTTTTGGTCTTAGTTTTCCAGCGGCGAGGTCACATAATGAGACAATGAGAATTGAACATAGCCGTCTAATGAGTCGTACCTATCTCTACTATGTGTCTCTCTGCTAAGTGTCTCAATTACTTGCCCAAGAAAATCCTTCTCTCTAACCTTATTTTTCCCCTCATCTGATGTTAATTCCTGGGGATTGGTGGATTTAAATCTTTTCAAGGCAGGCAGGCGCTGGTAGCGATTCAAAGGGCTTGTGAGCTCCGCTCAGTGCCTGATGAGCTGGTGACTGATGCTTGTACAATCAAATGGTAGTGTCGGCCATATTAAAAAGGTAGGTGTAGGAAGTTTAGACGGCGTTGTATCATTGGGGATGGCTGATAACAATTGGGCAGAGCATATCGAAGGACTACACAGTACGTTCAACAAGAAAACCACACGTTGAACGATTATTTGCATGTTGGGGACTTTAAGTAGAAACAAAAAATTAACACCATTGTATTTCAGTCGTTAAAGTACTTGTATAATTCAAAAGAAAAAGGCCCTCCTTAATTCAAACATCCATGCCCAGAACTAAGCCCACCTCGAGAATGCCCGCAAATTGTACATGGAGATATGGTCCAATTTCGAAGGGCGTCTTGGAAATGCTCCTGTGTAGGATGATGAAAAAAGTGTTTGAACAAGGGAATATAAGGTGCCTCAGATGCCGCTGGGTGGAATAGTACAGGTCATGAAGATTTCTCCGTCTCCGGCAACTCTCAAAAAATCAAATTTTCTCTTTACCAAATATTCAGACTACTCAGCAGCCAGCCTGCTGGAGTCGAGCATACCAAAACGCCAGCACTTGAAGATCGGAATTGAGATCGTGGGAATCGAAGCATTGATAATGCAACACGGCCGTTGGTAGACTCCGTCTAGTTAGATTGCGCGGCGCGAGAGGAGATGTGCGTTTATCGCCTCCTGACGCAGAAGAAAAGACCGCTGCGGCCCAAGAACCACAGGCAGCCAATGAAACGGATGAGGGAGAGGAATGCAGTTGCCCAGAGTAGGGCCTGGAAGAAACGGGCGGTACGCTCATTGGCATCGGACTACAAGCTGTTAGCAAAAGCGATATACCCTAGAAAATGGAAGTACTAACCGAGAAACCAAGACGACTGAAGCTGTCTTGGGTGATGACGACCGCGAGGGTTGCATTGGAGAAGATCCAGAAAGTCGTGAGATGGGTACGGAAAGACTTGTACGAGTCCTCGAGTGTCTTCTCGGTGCTCTCGACGGGTGGAACGTAAGGGGCCAAAGCACGCTTCACTGTGGCCTCGAACTGGCTGTCAATATCGGCCTGCGGTAGATCAGGCTCCTCGATAACCGTGTGCTTGCCGTCAGAAGCCTTCTCGGTCTTCGCAGATGGGAGAGCATCGGCCTTATCAGCACCCTTGGTTCCCCAGGACACATCATGCCAGTTGCTGAAAGCGTAGACATTGAGGATGTTGATGTACGATGACATGACCAGAAGATACTGCGGGAAAGAAGTGAACATGTGCCATGGGTCAAGGTACAAGAACGAGGCGACGAAGTAGAGACCGAAGGTAGCAGCCAAAGCAATGAGAATGATACCAACACCGTCGGAAGAGAAGAACGATTCAACGAAATCGCCGGCACTGCCATCGGTGTTGAGACCAACGGATTTTCCGCTCGTGAAAGCTTGGACCACGAGGTACATCGACAGGATGATGATGTAGAATTGGACGAGCGCGAAAACGACAAAGGACAGCATGTAAGACCATCTGGAACCTTTGGGACGATTACCAAGGGCGAGAATGAATTGAAGACCGAGGAAGGCGAGGTAGAGGTACTTGAGGACGAGGTTCAGGATTGGCGTAGCTTTATCACCAAAGGGCCAGCCATGACGATTAGTATCCGGGTTGGGATTACCGACAAGATCCATGATAACGGAGGTAGTGAGCCAGAAGGAAGCCAGAGCGAACCAGGAGAGGAAGACGGTGAAGGTGTTGTACAACATCTGGATGTGGAAGAAGAACATGCGAATGATGTTGTGGCCAGACTTGTACATACGACCGAAATGCATCAGAGAGTAGATACTGGCAGCGAACGAACCGTTAAGCCAACGACGACGTTGGCCAATGAATTCAGCAGCGCCTTCCGGTACATCAGTCTCGCCCTTGGAGGACTTCACGTAGGTAAGATGCCATTTAGAGCCAGCCTTTGCAACCAACTCGAAGCAGAGGATACGATCCTCAGCCAAGAACATATTCTTCTTGAAAATGTTCATGCCCTCGATACCCTTCTTTCCGAGGATCTTGGAAAGGGTGTGGTCACCGTGGAAGTACTGCTCGAGCGGTCTTCCCATGATGGCACGGAATCTGTAGGCGGAGAAAGCACCGGGCAACACGGACACGTAACCGAAGGACGATTCCAGGGGCTTGTCGAGAATGTTGGAGATCTTATACTCGAAGTTCTGGGACGCAACAAGAGGATTGAGGAGGTTTTTCCATCCCTGTACGCTTTGTTAGATATTGTCTGTTAAAAAGAGCCAAAATCCATTCACCTTTCCCAACATAGCGTGGATCTCACCACAGGCACCTCCGAGATCCTTGTCGTTGTAGAAGGCTTCCCAAAGAGCAAGGAGAGACTTGGTACCAGGCTTGGTACCAGCATCAAGCAAGATGCAGACTTCCGGGTTCAAGATGCGGCCGAATGCGGTGAAAAGCCATCTGTGAGAATTAATCTTCTTGCTGTTCTTCTGCTTCAAACAGAACATCATCTGGACCGGGGGAAGAGTGCTGGCGCTGTCGTCATGGGGACGGATCAACTGCTGGTTTGGAGTGACCGACAATTGCGTGGTGTACTCGAACTATACCCAGTTAGTTGCTTGTGGTGGCTAGATTTTGCTGATTAACGACTTACGATGTGAGCGACAGTCTCCTTGCCGTCAATGTCACGCTTCATGACACCATCCTGGTAGACACCAACGGTTGCAAGGAGATCGAGAGTACCCTTGTCACAGGGGTCGATACCGTCGAAAACCAAGCAGACAACGATCTTTTGCCAAGCTGGACCACCCTTGTTCCAGAACTCAGATTTCTTCAAGTTGACAATGTCGCGAATGTTCTGCATGACACCGTGGAGGGTTCGCGCAGTCAAGACCTTGTCTTCGTTGTAGTAGGTGATAGCAATGAGCAACTCGGTGTGACGGTTGTACATGGCGGGTCGTAGATTGTAGCCATTCTTTAGGGTGAAATCGTTGGGGTCGCAAGTTGCGGCGGTGTCTGGTAGCTGTCAGCTCGGGTCTCGGCAGTGTCAATATGGAAACCTGAAACGTACATCGCATATGGGTGAACTCCTCGCTTCCACTCTCGAGATCGTTGCGGTACTTAGCCTGGATAGCATTCTGGATGGCGCTGGGCACGGGGTAGTCGGCACTGAGGACGGAGCCCTGAACGAGCTTGACCTTACGGGTCATTCCACGCTTCAAGCCACCCGCGGCACCGCCGCCGGGCTGCTGTCGCTGTCTCCAGGCCTCTGTTGAGCTGGTCTCGCTCCTGGCATATGGCGAGGGAGCACGGTGTGGAGCCCCGAACTCAGAGGCTGGGTCGTAGCCTCCAGTCGCGGAGTAAACATCGGAGGAGCCATCATGTGCCTGGCCGGGATATCGAGTGGGTGTGTCGGAGGCATATGTCTCGGTCAAGCTGTATGTGCTCTGAGGGCGAACATCGGATGCACCGCCGTAGACGCCATGGTGGTCGTCGAATGGACCCTGCTGAGTTCCGGTAGGGTTGTGACCGAGCAACGAACGCTGAACGTCTTCTTCATCACCTTGTTGTCGGTGTGGGGGCTCGTCGTAGCCACGCTGTGAATAGTGTTAGTGATAAGACAACTCAGTAGCTTGATGGAAATGATTGTTGCGTACTCCTGCATGAGGATCCCCATAACCACCAGGTCCTTGGTAGGCCATGATGTGAAGCTGTCCAGGGGCAGGCGGTGGTGAGCTTCGAATGGACTATGAAACGGATGGAGAGGGAGGGAAAGATGAAGGCCGAACGATGGCTGGTAAGGCAATGATGTAACGAAGGAACAAGGAATAGGAGGATGGGTTTTTAGAAGAAAGGGAAAACGAGGGAGGATGGTTTTTGTTGGTGAGGTAGCGTGTGTGAAGTACTCGTAGGAGCAGGAGTAGATACAAGTAGTAAGTTAGAAAAGGTTGGCACGCTTAGACAACAGACCAGGACGAGAGAGAGAGAGAAATGTCAGAGCAGAGAGCAGAGAGCGAGCTGAGAAGGAGGATGGTGGTCAGTGCGTTGGTGCAACGGCCTGTTTGGGATTAGGCCGGCTGTACTGGTAGTGTGTGGTGGAGTATCTTTTGTATTTTACGCTCTGTACCTATTAATATTATACCCGTAAGGAAGTCGAGTGGGCTTGCGCATGCGAATGAGAACGATTTAGTGTGCAGAGAGCAGGCGCAGCAAGAGATAGACTGAGATATGCGGGTAGCGTAGGGCAGCGCAGGGCAATCAGACCGAGTTACTCGTACTCGTAGCAAAGTGGTCAACGAGCATGAGAACGAGGGAGAAAATACAGAACGCAAATCGCAAATACAAAATCGCAAATCGCAGGACGTAGGACGCAGAACGGAAGAAACGCAACTGGGGTCTTCTCCTTGTGCCTCAATCTCAGTCGCAATGGTTGGCTATGTGAATTTCTGGGCTGGCGGAGGGATGGCGTCCACTACGTCGACGATACAGTACACTATGTCCGGTTGAAGACATGATAGACATGATGAGCGGCGATGGGCCACGCCAAACGGCTGCCGGGCCCTACCCGGGGGCGACGATGAAACGCGACAGGAATGCTACTGGATGCGCGCCGGCGGTCTTCCTTGTTTCGCAATACAATACGGCCGGTCCTTCATCAAAAATGTGCGCGGTATCGTAATTTGACCTCGTGAAGAATGGACATGGTCGCAACAATGGACGACACGGCACCATCATCTGCCATGCCACGATGGCAAATTCATTATTGTCTGGTGCAAGTTCAAGAGTTCAGTATGATGGCCGATGACCAGGACACGAGGCACAAGACAGGATACACAACCATTGAACACGCCAAAAACAGGGCACACCAGGTCGAGCCAGCATCACCCCAGGCGAAGGCGGCGGCGGCGTCGACCACTGGACGTGGTGGAGTGGTAGACTTTGGTGCAGAGTGGTGTCGACTGGTAGAGCGGACTGGCAAGGCAAGACGTTGCGGGCGGTGGCGGCCATACGAAGGTTCTATTTTAATACCCAAACCTCTCCATCCCTCCCTCATTTCTTATTCAGCGGGCGGGGGAGCTGCGGGCATCCCATGTCCCATGTCCCATAATACACCATGTTGGCAGCAGTTGGCTGCAACTCTACGCTCCATCCTGTTAGCCGCAGAACAAGCAGTGCGGCCATTCCGTGAGCAAAGCAGCGGCAACCTTGCTGACTGCTGCTCAGCCTCATACAAAAAAAACCTTTCGCCAGCCAACAAACAGTTGACAGAGTTCTCGTTTACAAAGAATCCGTGTTCTGATTTGTTGACTCGTTGTTGCTTGTCTTCGATCCGCACGAGACAATAGCAATAATACAAAGCAAACATTCATTCAGCAGGACCCATTATTATCCACTCAGATCGAACTGGCTTGGGTGCTGTAAGACCCTGAACGGACGCCTGAATAACGGCACTGCACTGCACTGCACCTGGACCTATCTCTCCACAGTACTCCGTACAGAGTGCCACTAATCTTATCAAATAATTACTGTCTTTCGATACACTCCTCGTGTGCCTTCGTACTCTAGGTCCTTGAATCAGTTTGCCCATCTCATCTAGCGCGTTGTTGAGCCTGTCGCATACGAACGCAACAGATTCTGCCGACTGCCGCATCCAATGTACGCAATGCTGTTGTCGTCATCGCTGTATTGGAAGGCTAGCAAGGAGAATCACTCCCTGTTCAGGGGTCCTTCCGATATGTGCTCTACGTATTATGTAGTGTAGCAGGGCTGCATATGTTCACACAAGTATCTCCGCTCCGTCACATGTTGAATTCCCCAGGCTTTGGTACGATAATCTGACAGTACAGTACTTTGTACGATTGAATGACAAAAATTGATTACCCAGAGTAATACGGAGTACCTCCGCAGCCATCAGGTTCCCCCCAACTAAACAATTCCCTGGATGAATTTCCGGAATTCGACCTCTTCCTGGGCCCGGTCGTAGGCCGGCCGTCTGTCGATAAGTTAGTAAATGCGCGCATACGTCAGCACGATCCCCTGGATCCAAGAATTGGCGACCCTAACCCAGCGAAAATCATCCATAGGCGACTCTCTTTTGTCCCTTTCCCCGTCTTGCTACCACTTCTAGGTAGCTTGCATGAATAAACTGTATGATATCAATTGCTTGCAGTAGAGAATATGTTACGCCTTGCGCAGTAGATACATTTTCAGCAGCATGCAGGATAAGCTTTTCAGTCCATAAATGGCTGCCTTAAACACTTAGACACACCGCTAACTACAGCGACTTTGATTCAGCTCTTGGTTGTCCTACATGCTTCGCGCGTGAATGGCGGCCGACGTGCATGAAAGCTGCCGCAAGTCAAGAATCTGACTGCATTCCAGCCGTCGACCTTAAAGAGGGAACGGCACGCGGCCATACTTTTTGGCGTTTGGCTTTTTAATGTTTAGTTATACTGATTCTATACGCATCGTGATTGATCCATTGTTCGTTGTACGGAGTAGAGGTGTTCCCTGTGAGAAGAACTTCGATTGACCCTTGCTCAAGCGCCCGTCCCTACCAATTATCTTTCCTGTAGTACAGTCACCCACAGTATTACACATTACACAAGAAACGAAACATCTCCAGATGATAGCAACTGTTTTAATGAATTTGGTTACTGGAGCATTGATGATTGCATCCCGTACTATGTAGACGTTGAGTTAAGCGCCGCTGCCCCATTCCACGCGAATGGGTGCGCTCCGCAAGACGTCATGGCATCTCAATCCCGGGACTCTACCAACATTTTCCCTTCCACGAACCTACGTAAATCTGCATTCTAATTCACCCCCTCGCATTCAAGACACTCCGTTAACATTTGTCTCTGGACCCGTACAGCCGCCGGGTCATTTTCATCCGGACTGACGGTCCTCAGCCACACCAGGTCTTGCCCCTCGTGCTGTTATATTCGCCGACAGCTTATCGACCTGGGTCACCCCGAAAAGGAATCTGTTTTGATGGCACCAGCCACGCCCGCACAAGTATTACCAAAGTCCAAATATCACCAATCCGTTGTGTCTGCGGCTACGGAACGTTCAGTGCCTCCCGCGGCACCGCCTCTACGCGGTCCGTTGCCCCATGCTGATACAAGCCGTGGCTTGGACGAGGCGGGCAAGACATTCATTCACCCTAATCATGTGATTCCTCCAAAGAATTATGCAGGGGTTGACAATTTGGTCATTGTGTGCTGCCATGCCATATTCCATCCGGACGTCGATTCTTCCAGTTTCCCCCTGCACAGTCCCTACGACGAGCGCAATTGGCACCTCGCTCCCTTCCAAAGATCCAATCCGGCGACACGGAAGCCAGGTGAACATGAGACTTTCCTATCTCATATCTCTGCAGGTTGCAGTGCCTTGACCACCGGGTCTTGGGCAACCAACAGTGTTCTCGTTTTCAGCGGTGGCGCTACCAAACAGAGTCTCACTTCCCTTACCGAGGCGCGCTCGTACTACAACGCTGCCCTGGCTCTAGATCTCAGCCGGGGCTATCAATCTGGTTTCCCTACTAAGACTTTGTATGATGCTGGCCGGATATTGCTGGAGGAAAGTGCCACGGACTCTTACCAAAACCTACTATTCAGTATTTTACTTTTCCGGCAAACAGTTGGATCATACCCCAAAGACATCCGTATCATCACGCATGCATTCAAAGCAAAGCGGTTTCTAGAATTGCATGCACCGGCAATCTGTTGGCCTTCGGACTATATCAGGGTCCAGGGAATTGACCCTGTGATGTCTAGCGAAGAGCTTGTTGATACTGTGCAAGGTGAGTCACGTTATGGTCAAGACCCATGGCGGGAAGATCCACTGGGCACTGGCGAGATACTGAGCCAGAAGCGGAAGGCTCGTGGATGGGAAGACAAGACAGATGCAGAGCTTGGGAAAGGCCTCGAAGACAGCATCAGGCAATTACTCAACGGCAAGGTTCACAAGAATCTACCTTGGAGGGATGCAGTGACTCCTTCTGTTGAATGAGCGAGGAAACGATCTCCATTGTCACACTAGCTTGAAGCAAATACTTGCGCCTCGAGAGTGCCAATTTGCTTTCCTATTCTCGATATTTGATCATGTCCGAGTACGCCCTCATTCGTGATGTAGCAATTCACAAACTGCTTCGGAACCCATTCAAACCACTCTCCAAACACGTCCACTCTTTCGGCCTCCAATTCACGCTTTGCATGCGTACTGTAAGACTCGGTCAGTTCCCCGGCAGGGTGGTTCTCCTCTTCTCGTGCTGGTTGCTCGCTTTCGTCCGCAACAATCTTGTCCACCTCACTCACAACTACCACTTTCGCGTTTGTGTTGAGCTGTCGAGCGCAAACGGCTGCTGCCAGTGACCCAATCTTGTTCAAAACATGCCCCTTCGCCGTAATGCGGTCCGCACCCAATAGAACAACATCGATGTTCGAAACAAGGACCCCCACCGCACAATCGGGCGCCATCGTGACCTTCAGTTTGGTCTCATTACCGTCGTTGCCAGCATTTGATGAACCCTTAACAAACGCTTCAAGCAGTGAAGCAGCCAAGTCCGCCCCCTCAAACCGCGGCCGAGACTCCAATACTGTCAAATGCATCGTAAGTGACGTCGTTGACTTCAGTAGGCTGAGCAAAGCTGCCCGAATCGTCGACGAATTCGACAACGTCAATATCCGGATAATCCGTATCCCATCCTCGTTCACCTGCCCGCTCTCCACGAACCACTCCACAAAATTTCGTTCCAATCTGTCAGAAGCTCCTATTCTGCCCTCGATATGTCGTTGGATCCCAGACTTCGCTCTTTCGCATACCTTAGATATCGAGTCGTTCTCCTCTTTATCCCATTCCGGACGAATCTTATCTAGAGTTCGCAGCACCGTAGACTTGATTGCCGCACTGTATTGCCATCCTCGTTAGCCATCATCTCCTCTCATTGATCTGTTATTGCAAATCAGTCACACGTACTTCATACTAGGTCTAGCACCGATTAATCCCCTCGCAAGAGATACTAGCATCGACCATAACTCATCTTTACTTCGTGCCGCTTGTCCAGCAAGCGAGAAGATATCGTGAAGTTGTTGAAGACTTCTGTTTGCTAATTGACGGGCACCGGAGACGAAATCATTTTCGAGGTCTAATATGGCGCGTTCGAGGGCTTGAGTGTATGCTTTTGTCGAACTGCCAAGGAGTCAAGTTAGCAGGGCTTCTCAAGCGTTCAGGCGTCGAAGTAGATATCTGAATTAGTGAAATACAAATTACGAATTGATAAAAAAATCCTCGTGATCGTTTAATGTCAAGTGTGAAGTTGGTGCATCGGAATCAATACGGCATCAGATTGAACTTCAACATCACGCGATCTACTTACTCATTTTCTTCCATCTTTCAATGTACCACGATCTTCAATTTAGTGATTCCTAGTAGTCTCTATTCGAATTTTCGTAAAGGCAGTCATATACCTCAAAACGATTCGTGTGAAGGCAGTAGTAAAGTACCTAAGCATGCCCAACACATGACGTCGTTCGTATGGCGCTTGGCGCGGTTCCTCCCCCTCATATCGCCTAATTTGCAAGAACGTGTCTGGATCGTAGTGCTGATGCCTAAGTCTGTTCGAACAGAATATTAATAATTATATATATATCTGTAATTTCCTTGATCCTCTCGGACTAATATTTCACGTTTTGACAAGTTTTGCAACTTAGTAGATTGCAAGGTCATTTGTTGAAAACTTATATTGGTTATCTTGATTGATTCCTCGAACACATACGTCTGCTTAAGAACTACTTTATTGATAACTTATGTTCAACCCACCAAGAAGCAACAACCATCAACTCAGAAATCTACAAAAATGAGAACAAAACCTCTCCCCGAACCAATTCCCAAAGCCCTCCATCCCCTCCCCAAATCCACATCGCCAATCCTCCGCACCGGGTCCTCCGCAGTCGTATACCACATCCCGACCACCTCCACTACTGACACCTCCGACGACAACAACAATCTCAAAACCACAATCCTCCTCCCACGCTATTCAACGTGGTCCTCAGGCCTCCATTTCCACGCCACGCATACGGAGTACATCCGTCTGGTCCGCGGCGCGATTTACGTGCGTCTAGGCTCTCGAACCATGGTGCTGACTTGCGAAGAGGGCGAGGAGGAGAAGGTTGTCACGGTGCCGAAGTATGTGAGGCATGATTGGGGACGGGCGGAGTGGTACTTACGACAGAGGAGGGGAGTCGGAGGGAGGAGGCATGATGCTTCGCCAGAGGTATTGGGGGAGGATGTGGTAGTGGAGGAGTGGACGGATCCGAGGGATCTGATGAAGCCTTTGTTTTTCTGGAATTTGAACGGCGTTATTCTCAATGATGGAGGGGGGGAGAGTGCTGGATTGGCGGTGCGAATGGTTAGATGGATGCTTGGGAATTGGTGGGTACCATTTCAGCTTTTTGTGATTTTTAGGGAGTTGGATAATTTCCCAATTTTCTTCGAGGTTTTGCACCTGGGCGAAGAGGATGGAGTCATTCCGGAGTGCGTGGAGCATGCGATCGAGTACATGGTAACATATTCGGTTCTTTTTGTTGCTCACGTATTGGCTGGGCACATTGGGATCCGTGCTGTAAGCGAGGACCGAACACCAAAAGATCTCTGGGCGGAATGGAGAAATCGTGAAATTGCGGGGCCATAGCAATTGTGATCGTAATATGTAGGGATCAATGATTAATATCACATGAGAATATTCCAATTGCGAGCACATTTCACGGATTCAGAAAAGAGCATCATGTTTGTAGTTGCGTAATGGTATCATCATTTTTTTTGGGCTCCTATGCCAAATACTTTTCCGACATGCCATGGCCAAACGTTTAGTATCCGCGCCGTAATATCATGAAATTTCAGACGCCCATTGCCGATAAAGAAGAGAATATATCTACATGTCGACTAGTTCCATCTTCGTTTGCATTCATTTCAGTACGTTTATTTCTTGTTCTCGGGGCGGAGGCTGCGGACGGCCTTGCCTGCACGCCAGATCTCGAGGTTGTCAATCTCCTCAAGCTCCTTCTTGTACTTCTCACGGTAGTCGGGCTGCGAGTTGTACTCGAGGGAGCGCTTGGTCTCGCTTCCGTTGGCAACGGAATCGTAGAGGTCGTTGAAGACGGGCTTGAGGGTGTCCTTGAAGCGCTTGCTCCAGTCGATGGCACCACGACGAGCGGTGGTGGAGCATGCGTTGTACATGTAGTCCATACCGTGGCCTCCGATCAAGGGGTAGAGGGACTGGGTAGCCTCCTCAACGGTCTCGTTGAAAGCCTCAGATGGGGAGTGGCCGCGCTCACGGAGAACCTCGTACTGAGCGAGGAACATACCGTGGATACCGCCCATGAGGCAACCACGCTCACCGTACAAGTCGGAGTAGACCTCCTTCTCGAAGGTGGTCTCGTAGAGGTAACCGGAGCCGACGGCAACACCGAGGGCAACAGCCTTCTCCTGAGCCTTGCCGGTCACATCCTGGAAGACGGCGACGGAGGAGTTGATTCCACGTCCCTCACGGAAGAGAGTGCGGACGGTACGGCCGGAGCCCTTGGGGGCGACGAGGATGACGTCGATGTCGGTGGGGACCTCGACCTTGGTGAGGTCCTTGAAGACAGGGGAGAAACCGTGGGAGAAGTAGAGAGTCTGGGGAAAACAGCTTGTTAGCCTAGATATGACTCAAATATTTTGATATTTCGCTTACCTTGCCCTTAGTCAACTGGGGCTTGATGGCGGGCCAGGTCTCTGACTGTGCGGCATCAGAGAGCAAGTTCATGACGATGGTGGCCTTGCCAATGGCCTCGTCGATGTCGAACAGGTTCTTGCCGGGCACCCAGCCATCCTGCTCGGCCTCCTTCCAGGAAGCACCGTTCTTTCGCACACCGACGATGACGTTCAAGCCGTTGTCGCGGAGGTTAAGACCCTGGCCGTGACCCTGAGAGCCGTAGCCGATGAGGGCAAGAGTGTCATCCTTGAAGTACTCCTATTTCAACAATTAGCTGATGGTCCACCTGGCGTGTGGCATACGAAGCCGGGAGATGCCGCAGCCAACTTACCAAGAGCTTCTCCTTGGGCCAATCGGCACGCTCTGGAGAGTCAATTAGCTAAAATTATCGAGAAATCGATTGGAGAAAGGACATACCGTAGACGGTCTCCTTGTGGCCGGCGAAGTCAATGGTCTTGACACCACGAACCTGCTGGAACTGAGAGGTGACAGCGGCCTTGGGGGCAGCTGCAACACCAGCGCGAGCAGCGTTCAAAGCAGAGACGAAAGTACGCCTCTGAACGGCGGGAGCAGCAGCCAATTGCTTGGCAGACTGGCGGAGAGCTCGTGCAGCGGGTCTTGAGGCCATTGTGATTGTGTGTGTTTGGGTATCTTGAAGAAAGAATGTTTGTGGGAGGGGGACGTGAGGGTTATGTAGATTTTCGAGAGCCGGGCCCAAACGACACAAGCTCCAATCCCAGCCTGCCGAAATCGGCGGTCAGCAGCTTGTCACGTGTCGGGGACATACACTTCTTCTCCGGTGGAGGCGAGATCCACAACGGGGACCACAGAACTTTTGCCTCGACTACCAAAAGTAGGAGCTCCATATTGTTGACTCACTACATTAAGGCCCCGATCCGCTCTCTTTTAGAATTCGTGGACTCCGTTGTCGCTCAAGCTGTGTTGGAGCTTCTTTTAGCCGGCATGTGCTTCGTACATCATCATACATAGATTCCCTCGTATCCTCTCTTTTGCACGCCACATAACAACATCGCAGTGGTGCTCAATTCCGGTTCACAAGCATAAATCTAGGTGACACAACATCATTTTCGTATGCCGAATACTTCATCGTACTGCAACATCGTAACTCAAAAGCCTTTCGCCATGCGCCTGCCAATAGGAAATATTTCAGTGTTTGTATCAAGGGAGCCCCGTATATATCGACGCCGCGCTCCAATTGACGCCAGTCTAACAATATGCACGCTTAAACAGAAGGTCTGGGGAAGCTTCATGACTGCATGACTCCTACGCCACTCTCTAGTGCACCCGTGGCAATATTGTCGCCTTCTACTTCAGAACTCGGTCGAATGTTTGCCCCTTCACGCTACCTCCACCAAGTGACGACCGTACGTTGCGCTTGAAGCCCTCTCGGTTCGCCTTCAGATCCTCTGCAGCCTCCTTATTCAATGGGTCCGATGCGTTAGGTTCGAGAAAAAGGAACTGGGCCAAATTAGCATCTCCTTGTTTCTAGACTCGATCTCCAAGATTCCATCACACACCTGCAGACCGACAATCACCGCGTTCAAGTTAAGAACCGGCTTCCAGTCTTCTCTCAAGATGTTCAAACACACATTACCCTCGAGGTCGATGTTTGGGTGGTATATCTTCTGCGTGCACTTGACCTTCGGTGGGTCGTGAGGAAAGTTCTGGTTGATCTTGAAGTCGAATACGAATCGTCCGGCCTTGTACATGCCCTCGTCAGGCTCGATCGTGAGTGTGAAGTTTAGGATGTCATCGGGGTTCGCGAAGTGAGTCTTCATGGTCGTTCCAAGGGATAGCTCAGAAAGATCTAGAGACACTTAGTACAGTCGTAATGTGACCGCAGATGCGTGCGATCCCAATGACACATACCTTTTTGCACGCGGAGCTGTGCTGCTGTGACCTTCTTTTTCTTGCTTCCTGCTGCGGCTGCTTCATCTTGCTGCTGCTTCTGCTTCTGCAGTGGATATTAGTACTGCGATACCATATTTGGAAGTTCTTGTATGCACCATAGACCAGATCTTTAACATCTTGGCGGTATTGTTTGATTTGCCCAGTCAAGGTAAGTGTATGTTGCTGTAAACGGTCTCAAGCGGCCGTCGGATGGGGGTCTCGGGCGCTGTTCGCAGTTGATATTTCTTGTCGTATGCTCGTTTACGAAGTTCTAGCCCTGTATGCCCGCAGTATGGATAGGAGAGGAAGTTGGATCGAAAATGCAAAACGCCGAGAGGAGTATGAAAGGTAAGAATGCAACTGAAAGAGAGGTTGCTGCGCTCACGGAGTCAGGCACCTTGGATCACCAAATCGTGGGGCAACTTCCCTGCCAAGATGGCGTTATGTAGTTCCGGCCGCTGCCTTCCAAGGTAGGTTGCGAGGGGCCAGCTTAGTAAGGAATTTCTCATGATTCATTTCTTTCTCAAAGCTTCTACCAGCTACCTCGGTATGACTGTTAATGGAACATCATTGACTCGAATTTTTCTTTGAGACGGACCGAGTACGCATGGACAACTATATTGCCTAGGATAAGTCACTAATGATGTTTGCCGTCAAGGACCCTTGCTTCGTCACCATCTTGATTCGAATACATATATCGGATAAAGTGTCCTGTCTGCCCACATCTGTATAAGCGAAGCACTTTTATAAGCAAGATGACTTCATCGACTCGGGGCGCTCTGAATTTCTCCACAGCAGAATGTGAAAAAATCGATCCATACATACCACCACCTGGATCGTCCCAAGATTCAAGACCTCATGTGACACTCACATATGCGACCTCCTTGGATTCCAATCTGTCGATCGCCCCTGGCGTCCAAACCCTTCTTTCGGGACCAGAATCAAAATCTATGACACACTATCTACGGTCTAGACACGATGCTATCTTGATCGGTGCTGGCACAGCTATTGCCGACGACCCGTCCCTCAACTGTAGAATTGAAGGTGTAGGCGGCTATGGCGGGGATGGACTTGACGGCCAGCCAAGGCCTGTCGTCCTGGATCCTAATGGCCGATGGAACCTCACAGATGCTAGCAAGATCATCAAGCTTGCTAGAGAGGGGAGAGGCCGGGCACCCTGGGTATTCGCGGGCCATTCTTTTGCAGTAGATAAGCAACGTGCAATTGAGCGAGTTGGTGGAAAGGTTTTTCTTGTCACGTATACAGATCCTCAGGCTTCATCAGGAAGATTAGGCTGGACACAAATACTCAGTACTCTAGCCAAAGAAGGGATCAAGAGTGTTATGGTTGAAGGTGGAGGGGTCGTGATCAACGACCTACTCTCATCAAACAACATTCAATTGGTTGACTCAGTTATCATTACCATTGCCCCTACTTGGCTTGGAAGAGACGGCGTACAGGTTTGTCCACCTGAGCGAGCAGAGAATGGACAGCGAGTTCCAGTGGGAAGACTTAAAGAGGTGAAATGGATACCATTAGGAGATGATGTAGTGCTTTGCGGAAGACCGAATGTCTAACACCTCGAATGCAGAACAGAGGCTTGCATGGAACTTATTCATACCACAATGACCAAATTGTCTGTATCAATGCCGCCGCGTTCCCAATAGACACATCCGTTGGCCTTCAATCTCTATCCGTCTTTTGCATCTTCCTTTCTGCCACCAAAGCCCGTGACATTATACTACAGGAAAGATGCAGTCCCCGAGTACCCCAATTCTCCATGTAAGGAGAACAACGTGTTGGGCATCTGGCAACCAGGATTTTAACACTGGTCTGAAGCACAATGGACAAAACTGTTTGTGAAGGAAACCGTCAGCAGGCAAATCGTAATTGTCGAGAACTTCGACGGCCTGTGGCAGGACTGGACCGGCGACACTTCGTCAAGGCATATCTTTTCAGATATCGTGGAAACGGAGGTAATCGTCGGTCGGTACTAGTCTGGGAGTCTGTATTATCAGGCCAGTATGTCCGATTGAGGGTCTGCTATTGGATTTCCTTCCGCTGGATGATTGAATGGCCGCTCACTGGGCGACAACCTGACTGGATCGGAATTGACCAGTATACCGACGAGTAAAGCGCCGAGACACAGCGTTTTGAGACCTCCAAACAGTAGTTTCATCGCTCTTCGTACTTTTGTGAAGAATCCCTTTTGCTTGATTTGTCCTGTGTCTACTTTCGAGTATGGAGGTGGTGGGTCATCTGCATTGAACGCAGGGGGTGCCAGACGTTCTGTGGATAGTTGGCATAAAAGAGGTTCTTCAGACTGGGCTGTAAGTGCTCGTTGCGCAGTGGAAGTGCAGCTTGTTTGGCGCGTCAGTGATCCAACGGGCCGAAAATGATAATGGCGAAACGTAATGACTGAGGTATATTGTTGACGAAAGGTGTTAGGAGAGAGGGCGATGAGAGGCAAATCGACTGACAGCTTTCTGCGAGGTGCTTCGAAAGCTCTTCTACAGACTCTCTTAATCGAAGGACGCCCAGCCAAACCTAGAAGGAAGGAAGATCCGGAGGACCAAGAGAAGGCAATTGCTACCATAGGTCAAACATGAACGTACCGCACCCCTGGTACAATTTTGGTTGTACTTTTGTTGGATCCCTACGTGTAGAGATGGCCCAGTACATGTATTTAATCCGTGATGAATTTTAGGCTATGATGCGAACACTAAGACCTTACCAACGCCATTTAGGTCCCGCTCTCATGTATGCAAAGGACTGTTCCAACAAGAACCATGGCCCGTCTACCGGGACCTGAACCCACAACAGGCCCAAAAATGATCATACAATTCCCTGCAAAGCCACTAGAACGTCCGTCCAAGACCGCCTGTTTAAACGGGCAAGCTTGTACATGCGTTCATGTACCGTGCTCCACTAGATAAGATGCTTGGACCTGAAGTAAGCCCTCAAGTAAACAACTTGCCAGACTCCCAATCCAACCAGCATTCCCATTGTGCCGAACGCAAACCACTTCACACGCTCGTTCGTGCTCTCATTGGTATCCCTGAGCTTCTGCTCACGTCCTCGCAGATAATCCATCTCTTGAACAATCTCGCCAACAACCTCTTCGATCCTTCGGAGTTCCGCTTCGACGGGCTTGAGCTTCTCACCAGCCTGAATTGCTGACCAGTCCTTCGCGTCTGCGCCAATGTCGATGTCAAGTTCGACGTGTCGAGATGGGTTGATGTTTCCGGTTGGCTCTGGAAATGTCGGGTTAGTAGACATAATAGAGACTTGAATCTACACTGTTCAGGGAGGGGTGGCGTACTTCCTGTCATGATGTTCTCGAAGCAAACGTCAAATGCGGAATCGGCATGTGAAGTAAAGAGATATCGGTTTTCTCCATAGACATCTCGCGGCCGTCCGTAATCGTTGCCCATTGCATCGCGGATCTATCGTGACTAGGAGTTAGCGAACGTCCAGAGCTGCCTAAACACCTAGTAGAACTATCTCCGAGCTCATCAACACATACATGCATATTAAGCGTTTGTCCGTCGCCTCTTTGGCCGCTCACAATAGCCGTCACTACCACCAGTTGCTCTTTCGCTACAAAGTTGCGAATGCATCGCTCGTGCCTCGCAGCTTCATGTTGGGGAACCGCGTGAATTTCGAACTTCAATGCCGATATAATTGGAAGTGCTACGAGTAGCAGTAGAACATTTGCAAGGCGGCATAATCGATCCATTTTGGCGGGGGCGTTTGCTCAAGTCGAATCCTGAGCTTCGTTGTTGGTGGTATTGGAGATGTCGGAAGGACACGAAACCATACGCTAACCCTAATCTATGTTAGTGCTACGGGGGTCACTGGCATGCACCGCAACCCACTTGCTTCCTTGCATGAACATCACGACTTCAACTTGCACTCAGGTACGGAGTATCTTCTTTGATTGTTGCCTGATTAGACTAAAGTTATCAATTACTATTAATTCATACTACACAGTAATCTCATCCTGGAAAATTCGAAATACCCAACGCCAAGGCTTTCAAACAATCCTAAATAGCTGCAAGACATCGTTACTGCCACCTCGGATCCCAAAATATACATGTCCATCTACCAAGCAGAGCATCCACCATCTATGCGGAGATCAGCGCCCGTCTATGATGTATTAGCGTATGCCGTCACATTTGAACTCAACAACTTACCATGTAGCTGCTGGCCTGGCTGAGCAGGAAAAGTCCTGCCGCTTTGTACTCCTCTGGCGTACTTAGTCTTCCCAACATACTATTCTCTTCCCAGGCCGCCCTGTCAGCCTCGCCCTTCCTGAAGTTCTCTTCCACCATTGGTGTTAGGATGTGACCTGGACTGAGCGTGTTCACCCTGATGCCACCCGAGCCATCAGGTTGCACTCTCCCCCACTCCATCGCAAGATTACGAGCTAATTGTATAACGGCTGCCTTTGAGGAGTTGTATACCGGTGCTATGAACCCCTTATTCGCAATTGTACCGCTCATGGAAGCAATCAGACACATGGAACCCTGTATCTTGTACTTGTACATCTGGCGTGCGCAAGCTCGTGCCGAAAGAAAGACTCCAGTGTAGTTCGTCGCCAGCATTCGAGCAATGTCCTCAGAAGCATAGTCAAGTGCAGGCGTGACTTGTTGGATTCCGGCCGCTAGTTGGCAATGTTAGCATGTTCGACATTGAGCATTGTGCTTGTGAATCGATTCTAATGCCGGACGAGAGAAAATACGCATCTCTAGGTGTAGGTGCCGGAGGCGCGGGTCTTACCAGCAATTAAGCCATCTAGTCGTTGGTTCTGCGATGCAATACCTGCGATCGTTTCTTCAATTTCATCGTTTTTCGAGACATCAACCTGGTGATAGTTCAATGATCCGCCCAAATCTGGATTGACTCGTTCTTTCGCCCGAGCAAAGAAACCATCCGGTTCTGGTAACCTGTCCAGACAGTGGACCTTGCCGCCTGCTTCCACAAGACCCTCGGCCATACAGAGACCTAGACCGCGACCGCCACCTAGACATTGTCAGCTCAGTCATAACAGCAAAAGTTATTTGAATCAAGGGAAGACGCCGGTATGCTGTACCTGTGACCACGAACACCTTTCCTTCCAGATCAAATTGTCCAAAACGCTTGTTACCTACGGGCTCTCTCGTTCGATATGGATTCGGCTTGGCTTGACCCTCAATGTTCTTTGTGACTTGCGCATTGGGTTTAATTTGCCCTTGATGAGCAAAGAATCTTTGGGTAGGAACCCCGCTGAGGGGTAAGAGGCGCGGAGTTGAGCGTACTCGTAGATTGGCGCAACGGCGGGCAAGCATTATTGCGGAGGTTCGTGGAGCGTTCATTGTTCTGTCTGACACAATAGACTGGAGGCGGACGCAATTTAAAGGAACTACGAGGCAGTAGGGAGCTCAACACTACCAAGAGGAGCTATCGTGTACCCAATCCATTCATCTTCACTAAGATATGTATGTAAATTGTTTGTACAACAACGCGTCAGCTTCGCCCGCGCCACGGAGCCCAGATCATTCTTCGAAGCTTCATCATGAGATGACATTGCTTGGAATGAGCTGATTGATGGAACTGCAGATGCTCAGACAACGTGGCGCGCCCGATTTTGTGTCAATCCTTCCTCACTTCTTCAATGATAGTCTCTCGTCAGGTCACGCGTGGATCCGATGAGATATTCGTATGTTCACAAGATCTCATAGTCATACAGGTTCCCGTCTACGAGTACATAGATCCCAGTCTTTGCCTGCATAGCACTAACGACCTCTCAAGCACCGGGACAGATAAAGAAATCCTACTCGTAGCTTGCTGTATGTTTATGCATCCTGGACGGCCCAGAGTTGCGGGGACGCGGGGCCTAGCCTGAGCGACTCACTATCGATAAAGGTGGGACGGGACAAACGAGCTACCAGTCGTACCAGTAAGACGGAGCTCTTTGTTCAACCGCTCGAATACCTATTGGATATCACAATACAATGAAACCAGGCTCGCCCGCTCGTACTTTCAGCCCTACATCATCCCTTCATCAGAGGTTGACGATCGTGACTTAGACCTTCATTTTCCCTGGCACTGGCCCATTTTCCATCCTTCTTACATATTTTCGATTTCACAATGAAGTAATCCAAAAAGGATGGTAATGAGGTACTTGATGTAGGGCTTTGGGTTGCCTTGTGTGAACGTCATCTATTTTCAAGGCCCTCCAATTAAGTCGTACTTGTGCTATTGACACATACATGCACATGAGATAACAATTATCTCGGCCCGTATTCACACGAGTCCATATTTGAAAAGTCCAGCTCCACCGGATGTGGAACTGTGCAATAGCTCTCCAAAACGCCCAGGTCACCACCTTCATCAGCTCTATTCATTTTACCTTCGCAAGAATCCATAAAAATGCTGCATCTTTAACATCCTGCTTGACTTCTTTGATCAGGACTTCAAATCCGGCATCCTCCACAATCTTCAATGTCTTCTCGCTTCCCCATCCGCTCCAGAAAACCCACCCTTTCTCCTGCTTGAGCCAATTCTCGTCTATCGCCACGGGCAATTCCTCCTTCGAAAAATTCGCTAGCAGAAAACCATCTGGTTTGAGCCACTTCGCAATTTTATGCAGCAAGACCGTCTGCTCCTCACGCGGAAGATGTATGATAGAGTAGAAACCGACCACAGCATCTAACGAACCATCCTCGAACGAAAGCTGAAGCATATCTCCCTGCACAAGCGTAAGTCTCTCCGAATAGGCCTCCAGGTTCTTCTTCGCAAGATCGATTTGCGTTGTGGAAAGATCGTTTGCTGTCACACTGAAGCTTGGGCTTTTGTTCTCCAGAAGCGTTCTGGTGCCCGGGATGCCGGCACCGCAGCCAAGTTCTAAGACGGTCGCGTCCTGTTTTCCATTTTCGCGAAGGCGTTGGAAGAGGCGCTCGAGATAGTCTAAGCGAATGGCATCATCATCGCGTACGAATCGGGAGTTATATTCGGTTGCAATTGCATCGTAGGACTCTTTCATGCGGGCTTTGAGGTCTTCTGGTACTTGGGAGTTGGTAGACGACATTTTGAATTGGTACGCTTTGATCAAAGAATGTTCTGACAATAATCTATTTCTTACGATGTTGCGATTGATTTTAAATACAGATTGTGAGTCAAGGTAGGCGTGACTCAGGAACATCCATGAAGAGGATTGTGAGGGGTAGTATGTGCCGATCGTCGAAATCATGTTAGCGCTGACCAAATAGAGTGTCATTTCGCAACATTCTTGCCCGAGAATCTTTTTCTACTAACTCGTCTTGCCTACGAAGCCCTGACATGCATGGTCGTTCTGTGTATTTTTATTTTTCTACTTACAGTGTGTATGATTTATTTCAGAAATTGAGTCAACAAGTAAGATATTGTCAATTGGATGATGCACGTCGTTCCACGACTCTGCTGTGATTGCTCGATTCATGGTGTTTCGATGGGTATAATGCTTTAAAAGCAATCTAGTCCAATCCGGAGTATCACATTGTAGTAGTGACTTGTAAGAGAAAGACACAATTTCATAGACGAACAAGTTAGCTTACATCAAACTTATTTGAGAGACGTTCCCGTCTCTCTTAATGGTGGTGGTTTTGAGTACCATATTGAGCAAGCCATCAAGGTACCGACCAGCCATGCATCGAACACCAACGCTCAAAACCGGACAATGGGGAAAAAACATTCTGATCGATTAGAAAAAACCTTCTTCTTTGCACTTTGCTCAAATACATTTCGAAAGTTCAAACTTTGCATTCCTCCACAGCACTCCTCTCCACGACGAAGGTATACGAAGATGTCTCACGACACGGTCTGGTATTCCCGCCCCCGCAATTACGGCAAAGGCTCCCGAGGCTGGTAAGAACCCTAATATTTGGTCTGATATTTTCGCCATGCCATGCTTGCAGGACGAACCTCCAATTGTTCATGTACTGACTTTCCAGCGTTGTCACGGGCGATAAGAAGAAGTCCGGCATCATTCGCAAATATGGTCTCAACATGAGTCGTCAAGTTTTCCGTGAGAAAGCCGCGGATATTGGTTTCCACAAAGTGAGTTATGATTGTGCTGTTTGTATGACAATACATCACTGATTGATCGTCTAGTACCGCTGAGATTGCACGTGCAATGGTGTGCTCGGTCTGGGGCATGTGGCTCATTCGGAAGTATTTATGGGGGTTTCCGACTTCTACGAAAATACCTTCCGTAGCTGCTCAAACTGAATTTCTGCATGGCCTGTAACTCAGATCTCTTGAATCTCTCCTTGCCTCAGTCTTATTTGGCACGTATGCGCGATAAGGTATTAGACTATACTGATCAAATTCTTCCGACCAACCAATCACTCCAATAAAATATTTCACGATTATGATAATTCTTTACTATATAATTCTGATATGTGCATTGATTAGTATGCATAGCCACTTTATGTGTCAGAAAGCAGGACTATCTCTGTCTAACTGTAACGAGCTACTTTAGAACATAAAAATACTCTTTGTCTCCCCAAAATTGGAAATGAGGCACGAATACGAGCTTGTTTCCGGATTGCCTCTTTTGCCAATGCTAACCCAATTGTGCTTAGCTTGCCTACATTTTTCTTGATGGCAAACAAAGCCTACTACATGACTCCGACTCGAGGTATCTGCTCTGTTACTCAAATTAATTGTCATACAACTACATCCGCCCCAAGATGCCTCCAACTATTTACCTGGTTCGTCATGCACAGGGCGAACACAATGCAACAGTAAGTGCATTATTTCTGCACCCTTGAAGAATATGGAAATTGACCTCCTACTAGCGTAATTACACTATCCTGGACCCTCTTCTAACAGCAAAAGGGAAACAACAATGTCAAGATCTTAAGAAGGCATTTCCCTTCCACAATGAAATAGATCTAGTTGTTGCATCTCCTCTTCGTCGCACAGTTCAGACTGCAGCTTTGAGTTTCGGCCCAACCCTGGCCCGAAAAGAGGTTCCATTCATCGCATTGCCAGTTGCACAGGAAGTGAGCAACACGAAAAGTGATACTGGACTCGAAATCGAGGAACTACTTGAAAGTTTACCTACTCTCTTCTCCAATGATCAACTTGAATTTGATGTCCATTCAAAACTTGATCTGAGTTTACTCGAGAAAGGCTGGACTAGCAAGGTGGGTTCCTTCTATTTCACGCTCTTTAACGAGGACCTATGCTAAGATATCATAGCAAGGGCAATATGCCTACACAAAAGAGGCCATTTTGAAGAGGGCTGCTGGCCTGCGGAGCTGGCTCTACCAGCGCCCAGAAAAGAACGTGAGTAGACACTATCACTCGGCGATCAATCGCTGAACATAGGTTTAGATCATCCTCGTATCTCACGGGGCATTCATGCACTTTTTCACAGAAGATCTAGACACAGTAGATGCGATGACCAGCACTGCTTATCTCAATTGTGAACTCCGTATATTTACCTTCACGCCTTCCTCCACGGAAGACGATGCGCACGTTCAGGAGACGCCCGAAAGTCGCACGACAAGAGGTGCAAACCAGAGGGAAAGGGACCCGCATGTATTAGAAGAGATTGAGACAGTTACCGTGCAAGCTTGAGTACTGCAGCCATGGACATTTTAAATACGTGTAAACGATAGATTTAGAGTTTCACTTTTTCCCGCTTTTTCATAGAATGGTCCCATGGATAGATGAGTAATGGCATATTGGCAGCGCGCAAAGAATGTTTCAATGAATTAATGGTATCACTCTCACTCTGCATGCAATCTATCGCTGGTGAAAGAACGGACACCATCGAACGAGATTCTGCATTGGTCTGAAGCATTTCCGTATTCTTAACGACATTGAATCTGTCTTGAGCGCACACATAGAAGCAGTATCAATAATTATTAAAATTCTATCATTTCGCGTAAAACAACAACAGAAAGTGTAGTTCGACCTTGCTTTTACCCAAGTTCCAACTCACCTGTTCGCTAGTAAAGCTAAATCCTTCTTGCGTCCCACCACTGGTCTCTCAATTTGGCTGAAATCGTAATGCCGTATTTGGACAGAATTCCGATTTCACAAGGATATCTCTTTGGCTGGAAGGGGCTTTGCCTGTACCCATTCTTAGATTTTCCTACGCTGAGGTTTCTGGGGATCAAGGGCCAGTAGGAGTATAGGCCTGCCCAGAAGCTTCTAAATATGATTTCCTGAAAAGATCACCTTCGTCGTTACCCTCGTCGCCACCCTCGTCGTTGCTAGGATCGTCTGGATCGTCTGGATCGTTTGGAGAGTGAGACCGAGAGTTCACAGGAGAGGGGTGAGGAAATCCATTGTCGTCGTGAAATTCCCGGCGTCCACGAGTCTTTTTTGACCCCTCGGTTGTCATTGGTCGTGGTTGAGCATCGCTAGTATTATGTTCAGGCATATTTAGACGTTTACAGACATCAGGCGGATAAGCAAAGGCGGATACTTGCTTAACGAATCCTGAGCTGTCGTATGAGACTTGGTGATCGTCTGCAGTCTCAGTTGCTGACACGAAATATCCGCCCCGTAAATTTTGGTAATGTTTTGTTGCTGTAGTTGAAGACAAACCCTTTTCTCTGATGCGTCGCTCACTGTGTGTCTCATGCCACTTGAAATTACCCGTGGTGTCCTCAACCTCCTTACGACGCTTCTCTAGACTAGAAATATCGAGATTGTCATGAACATTGTTCCGCGGGAGTTTCTTGCGGTCCGGTCCTCTTTTGTTGATTTCGTATCGAAGCGAGGGATCTCGCATATGAAGTTCTTGCCACGGTATATTTTTCTTACTGAGATGGCATTTCGGGTTTTTGTCTTTCTCCGGCAGTACAGCACCATCTTCGTCCGATTCCGGTGCAGTTTTCCCAACTTCCCTTTTCTGAAAAGCGTTTACAATTTTACTTAGCTCTTCTTCGGATTTTTTTAGATACTTCCCAGTAACCATGTTTCTGGGGCGCTTGCTCGCAATCTGGTAATATGGGAAATCTTCATACTCCTCTTCTGCATACTTTCTGGCTTTATGCGCCTCTTCTCTTTTTTCCGCACAAATATCACGAGTGGGCTTTTTACCAGCTGCGAGATATTGATAGACTTTAGCTGCAGTACCCTCGTCCTCTGCAGCCAGCTTCGTCTTCTTTAGAGTCTCACAGAGAATTTTGGTGCTAAACTCTCCGCGTCCTGGGATCTCAATGACTAGATCGGTATGCACACACGGGTGAGGAGTCTCATCATCACTCGGCACTGGGTCCGCCTTTGGTTTCTCCGGCTGTTCGGTTCCCTTCTCTTTCGTATTCTTCTCTTTCGTACTCTTCTCTTTCGTACTCTTCTCTTTCGT